GACACTATGCATATGCCGACCGCTGGTGGTTTCAAGTATCTCGTTCAAGGCCGCTGTTCGGTATCGCACTACCCCAAATTCCGCATGCTCCGACGCGAAACAAGCTCAGCCCTCGCCGACTGGATCTTCGAGGATATCATGTGCCGATGGGGAACACTGGTAGAGATCGTCTCCGACAACGGACCAGCATTCGTCAAGGCGCTCGACCAGTTAGCGAAAAAGTACCACGTTCGGCACATCCGTATTTCGGGCTACAATTCCCGCGCCAACGGCATCGCCGAACGACCTCACTTCGACGTTCGGCAGGCTCTGTTCAAAACCGTTGATGGAGATCAGGCCAAGTGGAATCGTGCAGCTCATTTCGTATTCTGGGCTGATCGCATTACCGTTCGGCGCCGAATGGGTTGCTCGCCATACTTCGCAGCGACCGGAACCCATCCCCTTCTCCCCCTCGACATCGCCGAAGCCACCTACCTCCTGCCACCGCCGACCACAACCCTCAGCACCACCGACCTCATCGCCCGACGTGCCATAGCCTTGCAGAAACGCCGATCAGACCTCGCCCACCTTCGCAGCTCAGTAGTCGGCGCCCGTGTCCAGGCCGCCATCCGATTCGAACAACAGCATTCGGCCACCCTTCGCGACTTCAATTTCCACCGAGGCTCGCTTGTCCTGATGCGCAACACAGCCATAGAGAAGGCACTCAATCGGAAGATGCGTCCACGGTATTTAGGGCCATTGCTAGTAATTTCTAGGAATCGGGGAGGGGCGTATATTTTGGCCGAACTCGACGGATCGGTCTTTGACCGGCCAGTGGCGGCATTCCGCATTATTCCTTATTTTGCTCGCAGGTCTCTGAAGCTCGCCGACATTGAAGCCCTCCTCGACATCTCACAAGAACGCCTTCGGGCCATGGAAGAATCCCGATCGAGCAACGACGATGCCGAAGACGACGATGCCGACGAGGAGAATACTGACACCAGCTCCATCCGATCAGCAGAAGACGACGATGCGGGGTCGGCGACTTCTGACTAGACCCACCCTCCCACCCTTCGCTCTCTTTGGTCGGTGACTGGGGACAGTCATGATTTCAGTAGGGAGGAGGATGCACAGATATACCCATTCCTTATTTCACCTATTCGTCACAGACATGGACTGACACCCAAGCATTTCCACATCTCTTAGTACTTTTGCTGCCGACCGATCGCCGACCGAATAGTCGGCACTCATTTTCCCCATCACTCCTTCAAGTACCAAGCCGCATTGAAGACTTCTTCCGATTTGCGCAAAACCATAGGGTTTTATGCCTGTGATGACATACTGAGGCTTCCCCTAAGATTCCAGTTTATTGTCTTCATTTCTGCCGAACGCTTCGCTTACAAGTACATTCACACACAGTCATTTCGCCGACCGATTTCCCGAGACGACACCTCTAGTCTTCGCCGAACGTCACATTTCATCCAGGACAGTTTTTTTTTCTTTTATTTACATTCTAACTACTGTACAAGGGCCTGAATTCATTCGCTGGGTACAAAATCCCCCGACTCGGACATCGCCGAACCTTCCGACTGCGACGAATCCTCGACCATCACCATGTCCGAAGTCGCAGGACCCGAACGCGCTTCGAGGGACTCTAGCTCGGCCTGCCACATCGTGATCGAACGCGCCAGAAAGGCACGCGAACCCTCGGCAACGGCAATCCGGTACCGAATCTCAGAAGCGATGCCTTGCGCAACGGTCGGCAACAGACGGGAAGAGTTGGAAAGGGAGGGAATGACGGACGGACGGGAGCGAGGAGGATGAGAAGAGGAAGGGACAGCCTGGGTGGTCACCGGCAGGCGCTTCACCGGCTTCCTGGTCCGAGCGGCTGTACAAATCGCGATGAGCCCCTCCAAAACTTTACCGAACGACAACTTACCTTTGTTTTGCGCGATGCTGTCCCCGACCGACCGTTCGGGAACAAGCACCTCCACCCTACGTCTCTTTGTTGGGCGGGATGGCCCCTCCTCCACCGACTTTTCGATCGACTTCGCCTTACTAGCCGACTTCGCCTTCCCGGTAGACTTCCCCTTCCCCTTCGACGCCCCCTTTCCCTTGTCTTTTGATGTCCACCCAGGCTGGAAACTGCAACCCTTCCGCTCCCCGGTGCATTTGATACACGATACTTGGCCGGGCCTCAGGTAGCAACGGAACGCCCTGGTGGTGAAGTTGTCGGCGCAGCGATGACAGGCATAGTCAGCCTAGAAACGAAAGAAGATCAGTATCAGGACGAGGCGGCAAGAGGGAGGGGACGTACCAAGACATCACCAGGAAGTAGTCCAGGAGGATCCTCAAGAACCTTACCAGCGCCGTTCCGTTCCACCGGGGGACGAACCGTCGACATTCGGCCTGTGCCAGGACCTAGAGGAAGCACAACCCGCCCAGCAGTCGGCGTCTGTTGGCGCGCGAACTCGACGATAACAGCAGCGGCCGATTTCTTGCCCTTCGCATCGGTCGGGGCGGTGGACGCGACCAGATCCACGCTCATTCGGTTCATAGCGGCGGTCGCGGAGGCGAGTTCAGGATCGGCGATTGGAGACCCGGGACGAGAAAGCGAGTCGGCGACGGAAGGAGCGGGATGGGAAGAGGACACGATGGGAGCGGAAGGAGAGGGAGAGCGAAGAAAAAGGGGGAAGGGTAGGACGGACTCTGCTTCTAGGGCGGCCATTTGACGGTCCCCTTCTTCCGGATCCATCGATCCATCGAACATGGCCTCCACCAAGGCCTCCCGGCGCCGCTGACGATCATCTTCGGCGATACGCAAGGCAGCAGCAGCCCGCGCTGCCTCAGCCTCCTCAGCCTCGCGTTCGGCAATGGCGACCCGTGCCGATTCCTCCTCCAGGGCCTGTGCTTCGGCCGCTTGTCGCTGTTGCTGCGTCGCAAAGTGCGCCGCCCGTTGCGGTAGGATACGCGTTCCCCAGGCCAGCCAGTCATCGGTGGCCATGTGGTCGAGGCCATGCTCGGCCTCGGCGATCCAGTCGGCGAGTTCGGGAAGGTCTTGCCCACGCGCTGAGCGATCTAAAACAGCCTGAAAAGACGTCAGCGAGCAGCAGGGACAAGAGAAAAGAGCCGACTTACCACTCGCTTGGCGAAACCTCGCGCCCAGGCCTCGTAGTCCTCGTATTCGGCGGCACCATCCGGAAGGGAGAGCATATACTCTCCGAGTTTCGTCTTCAGGGCGGAGAGGAGGGCTGACATGTCGGAAGAGACGAAGGAATTGAGCGGTAGGCAAGCGGCGATGAGGGACTTGGTCGCTGGAGAATCAACAATCGGCACGTGACTGTGGTCACCTGACAAAGCCACGAGCCACTGCGCGCGGCAGTAATTGCGATACGCGCCACCGCGCCTTGCCGACACGCTCTCACGCCACCGTCTAGTTGGGACACGCTAGGCTTTAGCCACTTCCTCACCTAATCAGTTGCCACGCCACAGGACTTTGCCGACTCAGCCCCGGTCTCTCTTGCGCGCCGACCCGGTTCTTTCTACGACATCTCTTTGCCGATTATTCACCTGTGCCACATCCCTCCCACGCACCCACTCCTTTCCACGCCACCGCTCATAGCCGATCTTTTTCCCACGAAACTTGCCACACCGCTCCATTTTCCACGCCACAGCTATTCTTTCCACGCTATCGCTTGTTACCAACTCTTTCCCACATCCACGCCACCACATTTTCTACACCATTTTTTTCCCGCTCCGACTCATAGCCGACGACCACTGACTGAGGACAGTCAGGATTTCAGTAGGGAGGAGATGATGAGCATGCACCCGCGCTAGGGTCCGAGGGAGGTATTCGTGAAGCTTTGGGGAGATACCGAACAGCGCTCGACAAGTACCGAAGACGCCGACTATTACCGAACACGGTCGGTCCCTACCCGACCGACGACAAGCCACCGAAGGACGTTCGGCAGCACTTGGGTCAGTTCGCCCACACTTCACGTACTTACCATGACCGCATAGGAGTGTTACGATAAGTGTTTACGAGATCGGAGCCAGTATTCCGTATCGGCCGATGTCCTCCGTGAGTCGGTCGGTCCTTATCGTTTATCTTCCCGACTTCCGCATGGTCGGTCAAACGCGATCTTGCACCATTGCTTGGCCACCCTGGTCGTACGATACCTCTTCTTTATTTTTCATTGGCTCTCCAACGCCTGTTCCTGCTACCTACGCTCGGGCGACGGATCCCGAACGTTCGGGATTTCGACATCACTGATTACCTTTTACCTTATCACCTTCGGAACCCATATGGACATCTCACCTACCTTCTTATCTTCTCTGATCGCTGGGGCTTGGCGCCCATTCGACATCTACTCTCATTTCTTGTTTAATATTTTACTTAGGGGCTCTGTTTACTATAAAAACCTACATACAACTCTGGAATAAACCAGCTTTCGCACCCCACAGTTCAGAGCTCATTCGCACTCGTCTCAACCATCGAAATCGTCTTCGTCGACTTCCGAAAAACTTGTCATCCTCGTCGTTCGGCCTCATTCGCGTTCGTACTCGTCTCTTCGCTCGTACCCCCCCGTCCTCCCTCGTATATTGTCAGAGTCCCGTGTGGCTCTTGAAGCACGTAGTTGTCGGTCGCGACACTACCTTCTCATTACCGACCGCATCGCCGACACGACCGACCGAACGTTCGGTCGGTGTTCGGCGCAGTCCCGAAACCGTTCGGGCGCTATAATCTCACACTCCCCGATTGCTTCTCAGTACGCCTTCAATTTCTAAAGTCATCACTTACAATTCCTTGTGTATCAGATACTAGCTCCAGCACCCCTGCCTTAGAGGTTGTTTTAGTGTTGTGCTCGGCACTTAGAGCCACCTCTAGCGTAACACCGGAGTCTGTACCACCACCTCCTGCTCCGCCTGAGCTGGTGCCAGTGCCGGTGCCAGTACCGGACCCTGTCTTTGATATGAAACCCAACGAATTTGGGTTATTCCGCCGGTATAAGCAACGCCCAATGCACGATCCAGAACCCGAAAACTCACTGGACAAGGTCTGTGATTCAGCCGCATTCCTGAAGACAGATCCGGCGCCTGCAGAGAAACCAGCACCAGCACAGTGTTGCCTTCATCCCCGAAGACGATCCCGCCGCGTTCGGCTTCTTAGACCCCGAGCAAATCATCCGCAGTGTACACCTCATCCCTGCATTTGCACGTGAACACACCTCCGAGCGACTTGGGTCATCTATCACTCGACAGCCAGCAGAAAATGATGAAGATTGGGAGGGGTATCATATTAACATGTAAGTTTCACATCATTTCCTACTTATATTTCTCAATTCCTTCTAGGTTTGTGGACCGCGACATGTTCATGCGCTTCCACGGCGGCGGCATCGGTCACAAGGGCACATGGCACCTCAATGCCAGCCTTCTCCGAGATGGGCAAGCTGCACAAGTGCCGGAGGAGCCCTCCGACGAGGCAGTCGACGAGCAAGGCGGCGCTGAGGACGACGATTCGGAAGAGGAATCTGAAGAAGAGGAGGGAGAAGAAGGCCCTTTGACGGAGGAGGAGGAGGAGGAGGACTCTGACGATGATCCCAACCCGTTGCCTGAAGGCAACGGAAGGGAGCGGGACGAGCGAGTGCTTGCGAAGGAGGGTTATGGCGAGTTTTGAGGCCGGTGTGTATGTATCGCATTATATCTTGAGGCCGGGTGTATGTATAACATTATATTCTGAGCCGGTGTGCATGTTTAACAATATATTTTGAGGCCGGTGTGCATGTATAAGAAAATATCATGAAGGCCAGGAATATATTACATTGGCATCGGGGCCTCCAGATTGCAATCTAATGCAACGATTGCGCCGAACCACCAAGGAGAGCGCGGCAAATGCAATGCCATATATGATTCTGCCTGCAGGCTCTCGAGATTATATAACCCCCCAATCCGTCCAAGGCCATCCCACGTTTTGTCACTTTTGCTGATGTTGGTAGTGACTCACACCTTCGTTTTGGCCGAGCCCCACTCATCTGTTGCCAACGAGGCTCAAAATTAGGTGATGGCGTACCGTCTGTGATAGCCCCAAATGCGCTCTCCTGAAATGCTCCTCCTGCTTGATGTGGTACTGAACGAAGTCGAGGCAGATAATTGTATGCATCGCTCCTGCCTCACAAATTCTATGCTGAGACATATCCCTCTTTTGTCGACTCACCTTCCGCATGGCGCTCTTAGTGTCTGACGACACAGTTGAAAAGCTATCTTATTTCTTCACTGAAGAACTTCTATTGGCCGCTCTGGACTTAATAGACAGAGAATGTGGTTGGTGTCGGCCACCTTGCTACTCCACCCCGTAGTGGCTAACTCATAGATACCTGACTTCTCTCTTGCGTTCCTTCAGTGTTCAAATACATCACGCCATGGGGTAGAACTCATTTCCAAGTTCAGGGATCGACTGAAGTTTATACGGTGTTTCCCTCCCTTTCTAACTCGCCGACTGTTCCATCATTTTGTTCTTGTCCCGCTTTTTCTTTTGCTGTCTTGATCTCAAACTCCCACTTGATGGTGCGTCACACAATGAGCGGATTTCACCCAGTGACTTATGATCGTCTCAGTGTAAACATGTGCTTGCCACTCGTCTCGCCGATCGGCTTGGGAAGTGCATCGAGCGACACGCCACCCAAGACGACCTTGTATCAATACTCAGTCGCCAATATTCCAACCTCTGATATATGTGCAACCTCGATGCACGCACTGACTGCGCACTCCTGACTTGAGCGCTTAAGCCACAACACAAACGCGCTAATTTATCATCAATTGAATATTATTAGGGTGAATATAACGGGATAGTTAGTGTGTATAATGCATCTACGGTTTCAGCACCAACGTATAGCGTTCAGCGGCTCTACAGCATTTTCACTTTGCCTTGTCTGTGCCCTTCCTACCGTCTTCGATAGTTTTACCATCGTCTTCCTGCATGCGCCAAACCCTCCACTCCAAGACTTCCGCGTACTCCACCAAGTTCTTTACGAGGCTTTGCAGCTCTTGCTTTGAAGGGATGTTCCCTGCTGTATATGTTTGCATGAGCTGCCGCATCTCGTCACCGTCCTCACTATCAGAAACAGTAGACAGCGATGACATCTCGTCACCTTCGGCGTCGTCGTCAGATATCTGGTCTAGTGATGAAGAAGCTCGTGATGGTATCCCAGCGTCCGGGTCGCCTGTCAAAGCACTGCTCGAATCTCTCGACAAAGTTGCGCCGTTACCCTGCTTGCTGCTTCTACTCCAAGTGTCAGCGGACCCGCGTTCTTCATCGACCTCTCCAGCATGGCATGTGCCATTCTCGTCCATCCCAGTCTTGATGGTGATCCACTCGGCGAGTTTTCGGATCTCCTCCGATTGCCAGAAGCCCCACCACTTCTCGACATCTGTATCGTCCTCGTCGGAGTCTGAGCTCTTCGCCTGTTCCTTGGCTTGAACCACAGTTTTGGTACTTTCAGGCCTGCGTCCCCAAACACTGATGAACCAACTCCAACGTGTCATGGACTGCCTGTCTTCTTCACTAACGACTGCTCGCCCGCGAGCTTTCCCTCCCGCTTTGGCCTTGCCGTCGAGAAGGGCAAATGCCGCCTCTCGTTCTGCAATGTTCGGGGATAGTGCAAAGTAAATACGCCCTTCGTGGTCCCTACCGAGAGGGATGAAGCGTGGCATATATGAATATGAAGTCAGCCGACGAGCTTGTTCCAGAGCGGACAGTACGTGTTTATGTTGTGCTCGCGCCGCTTTGATGTGTAGCTGTGAAGATCATATTAATCCAACGAAGGGTATCAAAGTGAGTCAGTAGGCATACCGCGGGCGTTGAATGCCGAGCACTTCCCCATCTTTGCATCTCGAGCTTGACCTGTTCTCGCTCTGATTTCAGAGGGTCCCTTACTTCTCTCATACCAGCCTCAATCTCCTCTCTGACGGCGAAGTTGCTCAGTGCCAGATCCACGAGTGGCACGAGGACTGGGATGAGCTGCGCAGAGGTCGCCACATAGATGCCGCCACTGTGCTGTTGTCCGCTACGTGTAGTGTGGATCGATGCATTTGCCGGAAGAGGGAGAGGGTCGGGGAAGGTGAGTGTCGCGGCTGTTCCACTGGGCACTTCGAGGAGTGAAGTACGCATGTCGGACAATGCGCTCCAAACTTTAGTCAAGTTTGCGCCGGAAGCTTTCACTTTCTTGAGGCTATCTTGAATGGTTTTTCTTCCATCTCTGCCAACGGCTTCGCTGTTCGCCACAAGACCCAACAACCCAGTAACAATAGCGGTGACGCAAGTCGCACTCACCCACCTAAGGTCTTGTTCCTTTAGCTTTTCTTCCTCATCTTCATCTACGAAGTCACCAGCAATCTCCTCGAGCTCATTGAGATGCGCGTTGGATATTTTGAGGAGAGATGCAAACCTGAGAACAAATTCGCGTATCTCTATTCGTGCCAGGGCCGTATCCAGTGTAAATATAGACGGGACCGGGAGGGGCGTCCAACGAGGATGGGGAAGCGCTTTGGGTTTCCGAATATATTGGCGTTTAGGCTTCGTCGCACTGGTAGCCTCTGCAGAATCGGTTGTCACCCCAGGTTTGGCCCTAGCCCTCGATTTTCTCGGAGCATTCTCGACCTGCTTCCCTTTTCCTGGCAAGATACCCTGTGATGAGCTATCAGTAAAAGAGGCCTGAATAGGATATGGATAGGCATACGGTAGCGGCAATGTTATCGGCGAGCAACGTCGCTACCGACTTCGCACCTGATTTCTTCGCCGCAATTGTCAGGTTCCTGAGCGAACCCCGAGTTAGACTCAGTAAATATTCTCTTATCGAATGATAGAATAATCACCCCGTGGGCTCAAGGCCTTTGGCCACACGACAAATACGACAATTGCATGTGTCCTCGCATTTAGGACATCTGAGAAGGGAAATTTCAACGCGAGCAACGGGGCATGCTGTCTTATAAGAACTCACTTGAAATAATATCCTAGATCTGCGACGTGACCAGCCGTCTCAGAACAGACTTTCATATCACCGAACTTGATCTCGTCTAATTCTTGGCCATATCTATTTAGGAGGCAAGCCTTGCAATATTTGAGTCTGCAACGACCTCGTGCGTCTATACCTGTGATGTTGAACGTGCATTGCAGGCCCACTACATGCATTGCGACGCAAGCGTTACCTCAGTATACACTCAGAAAAATTGAACTCGGGGCGTACAGTTTGAATCTCTCTTCTTTGAGCACTGGTGACAATAGAAGAATCCGTCGGGGTACTCCTCCGTCGCATTCGATGGTTCAGCCTTAGTGTTTGCTGACCTCGCCTTTACATCACTAGATACCCTCTGCTTCTTGGTCTGAACCGCAGAACGCTCTGTCCCCTCGCGTCCTAGGTCGCGCGCAGAACGCTTGCGTTTAAGTTGCACAACGACGGGCGAGCTACCCGCGCTCGATATATGCTCCTCATTCCGCGCACGTAAAGGGGCGTTTTCTTTCGGCATATCAGCCCCGTGTGATTGTCGATTGGAAGTGATAGTAAGAAGGCTATCGGGAGTGTTGGAGGTGCGACGGAAAGGAGATGATGGAAGTTCGACGTAAACCTGGGAGAGTTGGCGCACGACTTTTGAAGGATAGGCGGGGTTCACGGAGAGTGGCTTGAGCTTTGACATAGGTAATTGTGTGGTATGCTGTGGCCTCGCTACAGTTGTTTGTCCTATTTCAACTGTTCCGACGCGCTTTGTTGGTCACTCTAATTGAGACCCACACGATCACGTGGATTATCACGTGTATGCCTGCCCTGAACAGAAAAGTTTCGAGTATTACGATGTGAGCCAGCACTGCAGCGGCACCTGCTACGGCGAGCTCATCGACTTCGGTCTCCTCCTCAACTTCACTATGGCCCACGCAGATCACACACGGGATCCCTGGTATGTTGGCGAAGCACGTTCTGGCGTTATCAATCTCAGCATTCTTCAGTCCATGGGTCATCCTTAATGACTTTGGTGGCGCATTTGCTATGGGGGCCGTTGGTGGTGGTATCTGGCACGGTATCAAGGGAGCCCGAAATTCACCAAAAGTATGTCTACACGCATTCACTCTTCGACTCATCTCTGTGTGCAACGTGCGAATGCGATGCTCAACCTCACGTTGCAGGGCGAACGATTTGTTGGCGCCATCTCCACCATCAAAGCCCGTGCGCCAGTAACGGGAGGCAACTTCGGCGTTTGGGGAGGAATGTTTTCAACGTTTGATTGTGCGGTGAAGGGATGGCGACAAAAGGAAGATGCGTGGAATGCAATCATCTCGGGCTTCATGACAGGTGGATGTTTGGCTGCACGAAGTGAGTCCTTGCATTATACGAACAGGACATACGACGCAGTCGCTTGAGGAACAGAGTACAAGGCAGACGCGCAGACCAGATTGACGTTTGATAAGCGGTTGTTCTTGCCTTCGTTAGCAAGCACATGTCTCCTGCTGTACTCGACGTCATCCTTGTCGCGCTCATGCCTTCTCATGGTCACAGTCTCAACTTATTCTGACAATTTCCTCCAGGTGGACCTCGAGCAGCATTTGGCTCAGCCGTTGCTTGCGGCATCCTTCTTGGTGTCTTCGAAGGTGTCGGTGTGCTTATGTCTCGCGTATTCTCAGAGGGACAACGTCCGCAATTACCTCCTCGTCAGTAACATTCCTTGACGTAGTTCCCTCAATTGCTGACTCTTTCAATTAACGACAGTGCCGGAGTCGATGTCAGCGCAGCCCGCGTCACCATCACATTAGCCAGGAGGGTCTGCGCTCACACACTGCAGATGTGTATAATCACATTGTGCCTTCGGTTGGCGACAGCGCGCCGCGGCCGTCGCTTCGGGCCGCATCTATCGCTCTTGTCCACCTACGCTGTCCTATGTCGCTTTCTTATATATTAATTTCAGCTGTATATATCACACTTCAACTCATCAAAATGAAGGCATTCGTATTGTGTTGCGCATGGCAGAAGTAAAGAGGTGCGTTTCTACTCCTTGATTCTATGAATGTCTTGTTTGTGGTCAGCATCTCGTCATCCATGAGGATCAGAATGACTTTTCAGTAATCTCTTTGGTGTGAAATGAGGTGTTGAGGGTTGGGTGTCTAACGTCTAGGACTTACGACGCCGAGACCGCTGTCTCGGCGAACCTTCTCGTTGCCATCCAGCACACCATCAAGATGCGCTGGACACTTTGCGCATGAGGCAAACAATGATCGTTCCCAAACTCGTTCATCCATCACTTCGACGTGCAACATATTGATACCATTCTCTCTTGACTGTTCCGGACAGGTCGTCTGTGCTTAAAAGGGTTCCTTCTGATTGCCACTTGGGCTAACGTCTAGACTTTTGACTGAAACTTGAATATCTTCAGTGGTGTAACGCCTGCCGGCACCTCTTCCACGAATGTCTTGACGATACACCTGAGCCATTGTTCAGTGCCGTTAGATAGCAACAACACTATTACCTCCTGCCAATTATGAGGTTCCGCTTCAGAGGTCGATACGCGAGAGACGGAACTCAACTATCTTCGAATCCAGACACTCCGCTGCCACTCCAGGGCTTCTGGGTTGACAGTGGGTTGACAGAACACAACTAGTTTCGTTCGCAGATTCTATACATGTCAGCCTCATAGGTATTTAATCCTGAGATTTGCAATATCCAACTCCATCCCCCGTTATTCCTTCTTGTCGCGAAATCAAGGTCAGGCCGTACCTTTGTGTTACTGGTCATCGTACTCATTGCCGCCAACAGCAATTGAACCTGACACATTGTAGGGCTTGTGCACAGATTGCCATTACCTTTTCTCGCAGAATCTACGGCTATGTTTAGAATCCTTATCGTCGCCGTGGCCATGTTTCCCATCCTTGCAAGTGCGGCGGCTATACCTATTCCTGCCAACGAGCCTCGCCAGCTCGGAGGTCTTCCGTGAGTCCTTAAATCTAGAGCAGCCACACGTTGACTCTGTTCCCAGTGCTGGAGAGCTTCTAGCGCCCGTTGAAGGCTTAATCCCTATTCCTTTGTGAGCTTGGTTAACACGTTGCAACTTGCGATATGAGGGAAGTTCTAATCAGAGAGGGTCCGTGATACTTTTTGAAACTGTTGTTACGTTGACAGGCTGTGATGTTCGTGAAGCGCTTCGGAATAGATTTTTTTTTCCCGTACTGTACGATTCACTATACGAAACTGATCGTCGATATTGATCATTTTATCAGGCTTTTACCGTCCATCTAAGATGACACATGAATCGAGGCTGAACGTTGAACATTGAATATTGAACGTTGGTATCACCTATTTTTTTGAATGCAAGCTGAAGCGCTGATGTCTGACACTACGTTCTTTCCGGATGCCGACACGCTGCTTGTGCTCGCCACTTCGTATTCCGTAGCACTGCCTATTGGGGACCGCTCTGTAGGGCAGTGCCTCCGTCAACCCTCCTTATGTCTCGCAAAGGGTCATCCTAGATCATCCTCGCTTGTGCACGATGTGGCTGCATCTCCTCAGAGACCTGGCCGCCCCCCTTGGCCATTTCTATACTGATGATCAGGCACGAGAGGTAATGGCACCTTGAACGATAGTCCTGCCCTAGTCAGATGGGGAGATACATCTACTAGGGAGATGCGAATAGGCCTAAGACGAATTGACAACGTCACTGCCTTTGAAAGACTTACCCATACTTCCGGGCTCCATAAGCGGCGTCGCCAGACAGCCATCCTCATCCGCCTCTCTATCATGAAGTTGGCTCTTCAGTGCTGTCTCGTTAAGTCTGTGGCCGGTGTCATGCAGAATTGACGTCCGAGTCGAGCGTGTTAGGGAATGGCTCAGGTGGTAAAAGCACCCCGAACTTTGTGTGACAATACTCTCAAAATATGTACCTGCATTCCTTACGCAGTACTGACAATGAATACTTGAATGGAAAGAACATGGAAGTCACGTCTGGGTGGCCAGGCGAAGCTCAAGCTCTGGATCACATCATGCTCATCCTCCGATCACTACGTATCCACTCTAGTCAGGCCTCAGGGTGTCAAAACTTCGACACCCCACTTAGGTTATCATCATTCGTGCATACAAGCCGAAGAACGATGCGATAAGTACTTTCAAGTCTCAACGCTATATTCAACCGGCCGTTCACATCTTGTTCATGACTGCGTGGAGTAATAAAACCCCAATCATTCGTGAAGGCATATTCGAAACGTGAGCATGTTGATGGTCACAGCGTCTAGATATGAGTTTTTGGACTAAAATTTCGTACATGTTGTTCTAAAATTTGCTGTGATGGCCAGATGCATAACGATAGGCCCAAGCTTCGGAAAAGAGGACTGGGTCGGAGCATCGAATTTGAGATCCAGACAGCGTACGACTGGGATAGAGTGGAGGGGAGAGCAAATGGGAAATTCGGCATCTACCGGTACCACCAAAATACCCCAGCGCCGACATATTTGGCGAAGCATGTTCTTTTTCGTTGAAGCCCATCGTTTATGTGAGTCCGGCAAGAATAGCTCACACTTTCTACTATTGCGAAGCCGGGATTGCAATAGGATGGAAAATTTGGCCCAGAGGCCGGACCACTTTTTGATGTTAGAAGATATCAGCGCCCTTCAAATGATGACGTTCAATCCCACCATGCACGGTGAGTGCAATGGCATCGGTTCAATGCATTGAGGTTTACCGTAATTACGACAGTCGTATAAAAGCTTATGCAGTGGACTTGAAATTCCTTACTGCCTACGTTCCACGTTTTAAACACAAACAGTCTCTACTGGAACATCATATTTGTTCAGTTCCATAGCTTCTCATCCAACAATCAACGTTCAACAATGCACCCCACTCTTGACAAAAATAATATCTCAGCAAGTGACCTGAGTACGTTCTGTTTCACAGTATATCGAAGTATTCACGATTCATCTTGTTTTCCAGATGCCATAACCTCTATTTTCGAAACCTTTTTGCGAGACATAGATTATAGGCCCCAGGCGTTACAGGACACCAACGTGCAACTCGAAGAAGCCATGTACAACGAAATGAAAGACCTTGATATCTGTTGTGATCAGCTGGAAAGAACGCTTCATTTGGCCGCTAGCTTCGTTGAGGTAACGTCTTGTCGTCATTCGATTATTGCTCGAGGGGAGCGCTGACGTCTCCATTTGTTCCACAGCTGATTTATCGAGACTGCAACCTCGCCGAAAAGCTGGTCATCGCAAAGTTCAACTGGTATGAAAACATCAAACAACAATTTTTGGACAGCACCCTGATAAGAAATTTCACAGGTATATGATTTATGTCGACGACATGGTCTCCAAGGATCTCGCCCCCGCCGTGGCTTTCGAAGAGCGCTTTTTGCGCCGTCAACTGCAGCTGGATCCCGTGCTCGACGCAGCTGCAGAAGTTTTTATGAGCATCTACGAGTACTACGATGCACACGCAGCCAACTGCATCATTACCAGCGCACTTGAATTCCTCACCTTCTCCTCAGTCGAAGTAAAGATCCAGGAGCTTCCCTTGGTCCGTGAAGCCCATCGCTTCCCGTGGTTTTTGCGCGAACGTACTGGCATAGGAGCGGGCTTTGCCTTCTTTATGTTTCCCAAGAGACTCGGTGTTGATATCATGGAATATATTCAAGTCATGCCAGACATGGTGGTTTGGATAGATCTAGCGAATGATCTACTGTCGTATGTGTACCTTCCCAAAATTTCCACATGACATTTACTTAACGAGTGTTGTTTTTCTATACAGATTTTACAAAGAGGAACATGCGGGGGAATCAGCCAACTACATCCATACACGCGCCTTTGTCGAAGAGAAGGTCCCGATACAAGTACTCGCTGAAGTAGCAAATGACCTGCGTTCCTCGACATCTTCCATACTCGCAACTATCGCTCAGCGCCCCAAAGCGATCCGGGCCTGGAGATTCTATCAACACGGCTACGTGTAAGCATTCTCTTAATTGTCCTTAGGAACACCAGTCTTAATGCTCCTCACAGTTACTGGCATCTAACCCAAGACCGCTACAAGTTACAAGATCTAAGTTTATAATTCGAGCGATAAGAGCACTACTATAACAAAATGTAGAATCGGAGGGGTAACGCACTGTGGATTTCAAACTATCCTGTATTAGATAGACGCCAACCTTGCGTTGTCAAAGATGTTAGAGCAGTTCAGGCAAATAATGATACTACCAAAGTGCCATGCCTTGCGTGTGCCGGGTAGGTAGACACAGATGCTTTCGCAACTGATAAGAATGATGGAGTGACACACGAGCGATATATGATATGGCCCAAAAACGAATGAATTCCGAATCTGATAACTGGGCTGTGCAGTGAAATGTCCTGGAAACCATATGTGGTGCTTATCGGTTGTTTTTTTGTATGTCCTCGACTTTCTCAACTTCCGCCTTCAACCGGTCTACCTCGTCTCGTCTTCTGGAAGCCAGCTCTTCTATCCCATCGCATGCACGTAACGGCACAATCAAGACCTGGTTTTCCAGTGTTTTTTTCAATGTGGCCTAGCCATCCATCGAATACCGTTAAGAAGGGATTTGAGAGCTTCTGTATGCACGGAAAACGTACCTGCACATCCCTGCCAACACCGTCGCTCACTCTCTTCCAATCTCGCCACCAAGACTTCCGCGCCTTCTCCCAGCGAGTTATGGCCCACCTGACACCCGAAAGCGCCAGCAACAACCCCACACCCGCACCCGTTCCAACAGCTTCCAACATCTCCGCTGCTCCAGACCCCGCGATCCAACTCGCACCGCCGGCCCATGTGACCCATCCAGCCCCAGCCCCAATACCTCCGGCTACGCTCCCTCCCACACGCAGAACCAACGCCTGCGCCGCACGCTCCAGACGCGCCGTGGGCCCATTGTCGAGGACCTCTCGGCGGCGGGTGAGAGGTGCGAGGAGTGTTGTGGTTTGAACAGGGTACGAAGGAGCCGTGGTGAGCTGGGCGAGCGTGTTGGTGAGAACGGCGGAACGCAGTGGGGATAGCAGAGCAGAGAGGTGCGACTGGGTCATAGTACTAAGCTGCGCCTGAGCGACCGGCAACGTCGAGTAAGCCGGGAGAATCTATCGGACACAATTGTGGTATCATCAGTCGAAAGCGAAGACTGGGAGACGAACTGTGACGAACTGTACGTTCAACCTCCCCCACCCAAGCGCACCTCACCGCTTGCTTTACCATCCACCCGACTTCGTCCGCACGCCATAGTACACGCCACCAGTTGAGAGTGTCCGTGACTTGCTTTACCACAACCTCTGCTCCGTTCATCGCCTCCTTGACCACATTTGCGTGACTGGTAAGTTTATTTGCGACATGTCCTGACAATGCCGCTTCATTGCCGCCCACACGCTCCATGTCGTGCCCATAGATGCTGATTTCTATTCTTGCTCGGGCTTCGGCAACGGCTCCACGCAGTATACGCACTGTCTGTGATGCGAGGCGGAGTTGGGATTCTGCATGTGTGAGCGCGCCGCGTACCGTCACGAGGGAGGCGTCTAGTAGTGCAGACGCCTTAGCTGTGCGAGTCTGCGCGACTACTTCTGACGCGGGAGTATATGAAAGTCGAGAAGTCAAAGCTCGCATGACAGCGCTGATCCCTGATTTCACAGTATCATCTTGGTAGCGTTGGATATTTGACGGATTCGAAGGGGATGAATGGAGTGCCTGGAGCGCCTGATGCGCACGAACGGGGTCAACGAGGAGTATTCTATCTACTAGACCCACGTCACCAGAAGTGCCATCGAAAGCAGATGCGAGAGTGTCGATAAGTCCGGAGGGGAGCGCTGTCGGAGAGGGCGTCGTGAGGACGAGGATGGCATGGCTAGGGAGTGGATACGGAAATATAGGTGAGTGCAAGGAGGGGTTATGAGGAAAAATAGAAGCGAGAGGCATTGTCAGTGGGTTGATGACGATGATTGGGACATCAGCTGTGTAAAGCGTCTGGAGGTCTTCTTGTGAAGGTGCCGTGGGAGGCCGCAATTCGGTCAAGCGAATTTGCGCAGAGAAAGAGTTTAGAAAAGGTGAAGAGAGCTGAATGGTGCCGACGCGTGGGTCTCCTGGCCGTGCAGAAGGGTCCCCGTACCTTTTATCCGAAAGATGCATATTAGTCGCCGACTAACGCAGGGACTCAAGAAAGATATATACCGTATATCAAGCTTCCTGCCTGATACATGTCCTTCCCACCTTCGTCGAACAAGCGTAGTTGCCGCGTCTGAGGCAAATGGATGCTCGAGAAGCGCACCAACCAGTGCATCTGCACCCGCAAATTCATCGGCGGCGTACACTGTACAGTTTGTCCCCTTAACGTCAGCTCATTGTCACATCCTATGAATAGTCCCATACGAGTGACACATCGAGCAGGTTCAGAGGACTCACCAACAACACGGACATTCTCCCTGCTGCTTTCATGCACCTCATCATCAATTCCTCTAATTTCCTCTGATGCTGTTCTCAGCAGACCATCCCAGAACACCAGTTCCGGCGAGTCTGGAGATAACACGCGCGGGAGTAGCGCACGCGTAAGGTGAAGGGCCGTGCTGATATGCGCATTCTGCAATATCTGAGAAGACGGTGGGGATGATGATCGGGATGTACCACGTTGAGCAGATGGCGCGGGGGCCGACGGAAATGGCGGGGGCGGGGGCGACGAAGAGAAAGGTGACGCGGAAGACAAGCTGTCTGCAGGACGCTGTTGGATGGCAGACACTGAGATGTGTCGATAGTTATAGACTCCTTGGAGTCTTGGGCATCTGCGACGAAGAATGGACCCGCGCTGGATGCATGCCCGCATCAGGTGGGATGCCGTCGAAGATGATTTGTGGGACGTGCGAATTGAACAAGTCGAGGCTTCGGTCACTAAGTTGTTGATGTTCATAGTGAGACATCACTACAGCTTCTAAACTGGTCACGGTCCACGGAAGCTCATGTAGAACGATATAGCTCGTACCCTGAAAGTGTAAATAGATAAAATACAGAGCCCTCTACCGACCAGTCCAAGCCAATAAAATCCAGTGCGTCTGCAGGCGGTCCCGCTTTTGCTGCCCATGCCCCATCCTCCGTGCAAGGATCCACCCTACAGTCTGATACTGTAGCCTCCTCCTGGAGTCTGCCCTTCCTCTCTTTCTCGATCTCCACTACCCTCAGCCCAATGAACAATGCGCGGGGTTCGCACTTCTTTTGTCACTTTATCTCTACCCTGACCCTCGTCGTCACTCCCGTCACTATCATCATCTCCGACACCAAACAGCTCTTCTCGCTCGTCCCACACATCTGCCATCGCGAGGCTGTCCGACCTCACCCGGCCCTTCCCCTTTGTCCTACCCTTTCCTTGTCCCGGCAGGCCGATCGAGCTTGTCGGGGTCTCGGGTTTGGGAGAACGGCCAGGGAGATGGAGAGGTAGGAGCTGCGTGCCTGACTCGAGATCGTTCTCTTCTTCCGTGTCGTCTGGAAGGTGGATAGATGAAAGCGATGCGGAGAGGGGACGATACAGTCGTGATATCTGCGTGTCGGAAGGACATAAAATCAGGCTAGTTAAACTCCCAAGATACAAAGATCTGCAGAGCAAGTAAGAGTAATAGCTTACCTCACGGCGCTGACGATAGTACCGCTCGAGGTAATAGGCTGTATAGAGGCCTATGGATGATCCCAAGAGATTCGCCTTCATCAGGCAGTCAAACGAGGGTAAATTCAGATGGGAACCGCGCGACGTACTACGATATCTCCAAACTGGAATTCCTTGTACTGCATTTTTATAAGGCGCCACCCGAAAATGCAGTCCGTATGAAAGGCGTACCGGAAGCATAGATTGAATGAATTCGCTCATGACACCGCCGACAAAGAAACAAATCAGCGCAGTCAGCATGAGCGGTGAATGGCGCCAGAACCAAATTCTGCGCGATTCTCTTGGGTACGACATCCACCATCCCCGTGTCAAACCATACACACAATTTCAGAGCAGCTTGACTGCTTACTCTTCTACGTCGAAGATAAAGTAAAACACTCCGGTGGCGATCCCCAAGCAAAAGAAATGAAGTAGCTTGTCGTTTATAGGGAGTGCATGGGCAAGGTTTGTGAACCCCAGAAGCGCGAGAATGAGCATGATGAGAACTGTTATGAGGATAAACCACTAGCACATGAGACATAAGTTAACCCGTTGAGTGTGGCCATTCCAAAAAGGAGCACAGGCACATACAGGTCGTATTCGCAGAGGCATGTCATACTTCGGGATTTTCAAACGGTAGGAGCGCATGATGCCTTTGAACGCCCTGCGACATTGCCGCCGTGCGCTTTTGACGATTCGCGCAGTCCTGCGCTCCGGTAGCGATTGTGGCCAGGAGGGAGTGCTAGCCATCGTTGGGAACGTTGGCGAGAAGGAGGAGTTTCGGCGGCGTGATCTGGCGGCTTCTGGCGGCAACGTCGGGAATCGGGGGGATCGGATCTAAGAAGAGATAAGATAAGATGTACGGGCAACCGTTCCAGCAGGTTCCAGCGCGGAATTAACACATGCTCTCGCTCTCGTCCAGGTATATCAGTTGGATAGGAGCGCGTTGTACGTTAGTACCTCCAATAATCCAAGAATGGCATCTCCACTCGCTGAATACTCAACTTGCGAGCTATCTGACGCTCTCCTCAAGCTCGGCGTCGCTCACGGTGGACACATTCCAGACATCCGCATGATCTCTCCATCCCCTTCTTCGACAAACGCAGAGAACGTGAGGATATGCGGACCAGCATACACTGTACATATGGTTCTCTCTACCAACCCGACTGCTCCAAAGCTGAACGGTCATTTTGTCGATCTCGCCCCAGAAGGGAGCGTCATCCTCATCGACGCCCCATCAGGTTTGTCCTCCAGCCCAGAAGCCATCTATTCAGCATACTGATGCCTCGTTCGATTTTTCATCAAACGTACTTCAACACCGACTTTTCAATAATCTGCTAGAGGCTCAGAATGCGGTCTGGGGCGGCCTCATGACTGCAGGTGCCCTCGCCCGTCGCTGCCTCGGGACCATCGTTTCGGGCCGCATACGCGATACGTCCGAGCACCGGGCTACTTCGTACCCCCTTTTCGCACGCGGCACATCTACGGTCGGCCAGTCTCCTTTCACGCGCCCTTCTCTGGTCGATATTTCTGTCACCATACACACTGGCGGAAACCTGCAACCTGTTACAGTTAACCCCGGCGACTGGCTGGTTGCTGACATCGACGGGGTCGTGTGCGTACCCAAAGAGCTCGCAAAACAGGTGGCCGAGCTCGCCGCAGGAGGGCACGATGTCGATGCACGATGCTTGGAAGACATTCAGAAAGGGCTTGGTGTGGCAAATAGCTTCAACATGCATAGAGGAAAGTAGCGGGGATGCTGTGGAAGGTGTTGAAGAATACAAATACAAATCCAGTCATCTTGAAAGCAATCGAAAGCATTATAATAATTTGTCGATGCGAACTCAAGCGCTCATGACTCAAATGTTGAACGTTGAGTTGAACGTCGAACGTCGGCAGGCACTTCGATGAGTGATTGTACAATACATTATCATTCATCAACATACGCCAATCGTATTTCCAACAATACTGAACTATCGATACACGACCCAAGCCAATTGGGATGACCTAGCGTCGTAAATAATCGTAATAGTGCGTACAGAGTTGTTGAGACAGTAAAACAGTGATGCAAAGGATGGATACTGCAAGCAACAGAGGCAAGTAAAACAGATGGCGAGAGACAGAAAAATGCGAAGAGAAAATGCGTTCTACATCTAGGTTTACTTCTTCTTGGTAGCCTTCTCCGCGGACTTTGTGACTGTGGAACGTCCGATCATTAGCAAAAGAATTGTTCGATCAAGAACCAAACACCCACCCTTGCCAGTAGTCTTTTCAGTCTTGTCGACGGACTTAATGACACCGACAGCAACAGTCTGTCTCATGTCACGAACGGCGAAACGACCGAGAGGTGGGTACTCGTTGTACGACTCAACGCACATTGGCTTGCTTGGGATGAGCTTGACAATGCAGGCATCACCTGACTTGACAAACTTCGGCGACTGCTCCATCACCTTACCAGAACGACGGTCAATCTTCTCAATGAGCTCGGCGAATTTGCAGGCAATGTGAGCAGTGTGGCAATCGAGGACTGGGGCATAACCGGCACCAATCTGACCCGGGTGGTTTAGAACAATGACCTGGGCGTTGAAGGATGCGGCCTCTTTCGCGGGGTCGTTCTTCGAGTCAGACGCAACGTTCCCACGGCGGATATCCTTGACTGACACGTTCCTGGTTTCCCCGTCAGTTTGCTAACAGCTGAGTCGTGTAAGTGACTTACTTCACGTTGAAACCAACGTTGTCACCTGGAGCGCCCTGCTCGAGCTGCTCGTGGTGCATTTCGACAGACTTGACTTCAGTGGTGACATTGCTAGGCGCAAACGTGACAATCATGCCAGCCTTGATGATACCAGTCTCAACACGACCGACGGGCACCGTCCCAATACCGCCAATCTTGTAAACGTCCTGTAGAGGAAGTCGAAGAGGCTTGTCGGAGGGTCGAGATGGAGGGTCGATGGCATCGATGGCGTCGAGGAGGGTCTTGCCCTTGACAACACCGGACTTGTTCTCCTTGCTCCAGCCCTTGTACCACGGCATGCTGAAGACAAGAACATTAAAAAGATGAATGAAATGGATCAGAACATGATACTCACTTAGGGGATTCCTCCAGCATATTGTCACCGTGCCAGCCTGAGATGGGAACAAAAGCGACCGTTTTAGGGTTGTACCCGACTTTCTTAATGAAAGTCGAAGTCTCCTTGATAATCTCGTTGAAACGATCTTCACTCCACTGTTTGTGAAAAATCAGTTCAAGGTCACGCGTCAATCGAGTATCGTCGTGACGAATATACCTTGGTGGTGTCCATCTTGTTGACAGCAACGATGAGTTGCCGCACACCAAGGGTGAAGGCAAGGAGGGCATGCTCGCGGGTCTGGCCATCTTTCGAGATACCAGCCTCGAACTCACCGGTACCACCGGCGATGATGAGGATAGCACAATCAGCCTGGGAGGTACCAGTGATCATGTTTTTAATGAAATCACGGTGACCAGGGGCATCGATGACCTATTAGAGGAAAACAAATTAGTCTAATATCAGCCTTTACACAACGATCGACGTACCGTGACCATGTATTTGGGGGTTTCGAACTTCCATAGGGCGATATCAATGGTGATACCACGTTCACGCTCAGCTTTCAGCTTGTCGAGAACCCAGGCTATGGTTGTGAATGGTGAGCGATAGGAAACAGAAACCAATGTGGGTTGTATGCATACCATACTTGAAGGAACCTTTGCCGAGTTCGGCAGCCTCTTTCTCAAACTTTTCGATGGTACGCTTATCGATACCACCGCACTTGTAGATAAGGTGTCCAGTGGTGGTGGACTTGCCAGAATCGACGTGGCCGATGACTATAGATCGTCAGATCATAGATCAGACCATAGATCAAGACACACTGACCGACAACGTTAACATGGAACTTGTCTTTGCCCATTCTTTCTCTCTGAATGCAGTCGTTAGTGTTCAGAACGATAAGGGTGACGAATCCAGGGCGACAGTAATGAATAGTCGAAAGGTAGGGGAAAACTTCGAAAGCTTCATCCTCTCAGCCCCCTCCCAATCCATCATGTGCATCAAAAACAACAGCAAGCACGATGGGGTGTCCAGAATGAAAGACATGCCAACTCACCGTAAATCAGTAAAGAGAGTAATGAAAAAAGGAAAAGATCGTTAGAGCAGGTGGGGAGGGGGAGGCAGTAATATGTCGCCAAGATTCAGCACCAGTTATACGCGCGGCGCCGGAAATTTTGCGTGATCGATTTCACAAGATCCGATAACCCCCACGTGCTTAGGAAGTGTCACACGTCACGCTCTGTAGGGAAACTCACGTCAACGTCAACCTCCAAAATCTGTTCAGCTCTCGCGGGTACTGCCATACTGTATTTACGCCGATACTGTCTGTAGGCTTCTGTGATAGGTTCACAGACAGAAAAATCTCCCCAGTGCTACAGTAAAGTCCTTGAAATCATCACGAGCCATCTCGGATATTCGCGCTGTTTGAACGAGACGAAGGCGACCGGGTACCTTCAATTGAAACTTCGTCGTCTGCCTCTCCCTCTCTTCCCACTCCCTTCTCTAGTTCTTTTCGGAGAATCTCTCTTCCACCACTCCTTGAGCCCCTTGTTATTATCATCTTCAGTGCCTTGTTTTTTCATGTTCTTGGTACTAACACTCGTCCCGGCTTCCGTTTGCGCAGCTCGAATAGCCTCCCGACTCAAACACCAGTCCACATGTGAATTCAATAACCCATTATCTGTGAACTTTTGCGCACATAACGGGCATTCGAGGCTGTGTTCGCCCACAATATCTTGAGGAGCTTTTTTTCGGGATTTTGATTCAAGGTGGTCGATTTCAGAAGTCAACGTGTTAGTTGAGACTCTGCGAGATGAATGCCGAGATGTAGACGAGAGAGCGGCCACGGCTTGATCATGCCAATTGGATACCAAAGGAAGTGAAGATGTTGAGGCACTAGGGTTGACAAGTTTTGTTGTATGAGAGGGGAGACGATCAGAAGCCAAGGCAACGCGAGAAGATGACGCAGGCGCAGAGACTGGTGGTCGATTATGTTGCTTGTCGGGACGGATCACCGCCACCTTGCGCTCCGATGTTGCAGGGTCATGCACGTCTCCTTCGGCATCGACGTCCCACACATCAGGCTCCAGCTCATGATAACCCGGCGTCGCCTCTCCATATTCATCATCATCGAGGACATCAATAGCTTTCTGCCGTTTTGTTGGCAACCCCTCGCTACCACTTGTTGGTTCAAAGAACTATAGAGATAATGTGCGTAGGCAAGGCAGGGCGGAGCCGCCAGAAATCAGAGATACGTGCTTACCCGTTTGATCCCTTTGTGACTGTCTGGTTGGCGAAGATCTTTCAGTTTCGTCACCCGTAGTCCTATCAATCGAATGCGCAGCGGTAATTCTGGATGTAGGAGTTCCTTGCCAATGGCCAGCAGGTCGGATTTTTTTGTGATCCAATGATTGAGGGACTTGGCACGAGTGAATACTGGCAGACGGAGAACTTAAGTGGACGATTGTAATATTGAGAATTATAATTACCTTGATAAGTATCCAGCTTGTATTTGAGCGTGACGGTCTTTCCTGTCCACCCTCCACGTTCCATATCACCTTCAAGTTCTTCGGCGATTTCGTCTAACTTCTGGAAGATTTTCTCAGGGTCGCTGATGGAGTGAAATGTTCTATCCGGAAATTTGCGGTGAGTTTGCTACAAAAGCGCAGAACTGTCATTACCGTTCAGCCCCTATGCTCTTCCGCTCCTCCCGTTGCCACGGATGGACTATATTTGATGCGATACCAAGATGTGTTCGTAACAAGAAGTTAAGGCCGAATTGCTTGTCCATTAATGAGAGCATAGCACGATTTATAAGGATATCGCCACACGTCTGTAGTATGTATTGAACAGAGTCCCAGGCAGTCACCTAGGATGAGTATAGTCATTCCAAATATTGGACAAGTAACGTACCTTGATACCAACAGATTCAAGCAGACGCTCATTGACACGACCAACACCCGGTATCTTGCGTATCGACAAGCCGGACATGAAGTTTATGATGTCCTTCGACTTGTGCGGGAGACAAAATTGACCATTTGGTTTGTTCTGAGCATGTGAGATCATAATTTATCAGTGACTGATGAACTTGTTTTTTGGACACAAAGACCAAACCTTGTCAGAGCAGATCTGAGTAGGTTAGAATGTAAGTGCGATTCATCATATTTGAACTTAAAATTACCTTTGCAAGCATCTACAGGGGTATCAAACAGTATCAGCAAAGTGACCCCGAGGAAAGATGACCAGGCACGATACTTTGTTTGCTGCAATCCCTGCACTGACAGTCAACTTCGTTTCGTCGACTACCTGTTGCCGCATCTTTTGCACACAAGCCTCAGGCTTAAGCCCATGCTCATCACAGTATGCTGTGATACTGCATAACACAGCGATGTCAATACAGGCATGAGATCATACCAGCTCCGCTTACTTGAGATATGCTTCATCAATGCTAGCAGCCAGCAGATCAGGGTCGTACTGTCTGAAGATATTCATGATTATCTTCGACATCTCACTGTATCGAGACATGTGTATCGGGACAATCGTAAGTTCGGGGCACAATTTTTGAGCAATGAAGCCTGTATAAAGATAGTATCAAGGGACGAGACGAGTATTATTGACGTGCCTTTTACTCACTGGGCATTCCTGATCTGACCCCATATTTTCGTGCTTCGTAAGATGCTGTGGTCAAAACGCCCCATCCGACCTGCGAAGGTCGTGAGTATAGTGAAAGACACGAGCTCCAAATAGCTCCAAATGGCCGGACATACACCGAAAGGCTTTTGAGCAAGACTCGGATTGTCAAGCAATTCGACGTTCGCGTAGAAGGCATCCATGTCAACATGCACGATAATTTGGCTGAGGTCACGCTCTGCTTCTAACTCGAGTAGCTGGAGGTCCCGGGTCTCAGAAGAATAGCTTGAGGGACAGTGTTCGTCGGTACATACCAAGTGATCGACTTTGCGTTCAATACTGCCTGCAGTGGCACAGAGATTCAGGGCAATGAGATAGGAGTGAAAGATGAAACACGGACTCAAGTCCACTCCCTTCAAAGCCTCATCTCGCTGCTGAAGAATCCGCTCAATTCGTTGAGTCAGATCTTTATCTTTCCTCTTCTCGTTCTAATTTGACATGTAACAATTTGAGTCGCGCACTGACATTGCAACGATTGGAACGAACGGACCTCATAAAATTGGGATCCCTTCGACACTTCTGCAATAATACGATTGATTTCAGATTGATCTTTGGCAAGTCTGACGAGAGAATTCCAGAGAATGAGCTGCAAGAGATTCAAGAAGTTCACTGACCCCGCTTTGGTCGTCGATGGCCCAGCAAGGCGCTTCACGAGAGATGCGGTTTCTTGAGATGTTTCTGGGGCCGCTGTACTGCTCATAGAGGTTAATCACGCTTAGTATTTGATGTGGGTAGTTTGTGATAAACACCAAATTCGTGAAGGTCGTCGCGATACCTAACCCCGAGACGTGCGCTCTAGCAAGGACATGAACATGTGATCATATAGAATGATGTCACGCGTCAGTTGCTTACTCTCAGCTAAGTTTGCATGGTTTAGAGAATTTATATACATAGACGAGAAGATGGGATAGATTAGAGCACCTGAATAAGCAAGTGGCTGGCCCGCGGCCAATAAGTATGTACGAAGCAAGATGGAAAAAAGATATAATATGCGAGGTATGCAAACTTCCAATAGTGCTATACTGTTTCCTCGCCTCGAAAGATAGTCACGCACGCGACTAGTGTATCCCATAGTTCCTTCGACGTCTCAGGCAAGTCTGGCAATGGCTCTTCGGCCCCGGAAGCAACAGACTTAACTGCATCTCCAGAGCCCATGTTCGAACCCTGCTCGACGATGCTCATGGGCACGTAATTCGTCGAGACGAACAGCTTCAAGAAGCCTGAGCTGTATTCATCATTGTCGAGGAGATTGAATGAGAGCGCCTCAGACCCTGTGAATCCTGTGCCAATTTGCAAGTGTGACCTTTTGGCAAGCGGCGCAGAGGCAATCGAGGGGTCGGGTTGATAGACTGAGCTGATAATATAACCGCTCGCGTCCATCCAAAAGAGATAAGGCCATAGGTCGATGTTGGACTGGTTCTCCAAAACGACAGAGTATATGGTGCCTTTTTCCACGGAGAGGTTGGCACGACCTTCGATCAAGAGATTGTCGCCAGCTTTTGACCATTCGTCACCATCCAGACGATATAGGCTCATAGACAATTTGTCGCATAACAGTCCGTGAGAGTTTTTCCTGTGAAGCTGAAGATGGAAGCGTGCGGCTGCGTCAATGATGTCAGTGTCAAGGGCCATGTCGTTGACAGGGATATGAACTATCCGAGGACAATTTGCGGCAATGAGTGGATCGTGGTGTTCGACAACGATGTGCTTCTCGAGTCTCTGTAGCGAAACGTCCGCATGCGACGCTTTCTTCACACGAACGATGTTGAGCCCTCCGGTCGACACCATCTGCTCCATTTTTGACGGCAACTTCCGGCGGAGATTCCACCACTGCATGAACGATGAACAAGTCTTCTTCAAATGGATGCGGAAGGGTGGTCGATTATTCCATTTGGTGATACGGGCCCATCCTGCCTCGATGCCCGATCTGAAGGACGTTTTTGAGTGGGCGAAACACCAGGTTGGATGTACCTCGAATGTATGAAGAACGGCCAGGATAGGGTTCAACGAGCCACGACGATTATGCCCATGCATGCTAAACTCGGTTCCCAGGACTACACCGTGGATTGCTCCGGCGCCAATGCGAACGTTCGTTCCGGAGCGGAAGGCAGAGACGAAGTGGGAATCAGGGATAAAGGGAGCGCCATCGAACAGGGTTCGCTCGTAGTTCTGTCCAGCACAGATTGCGTGCTGCGATTCGTCTTTGAGGGAGAGGCTAGTTATGAGCTGGCCCATATGCCATACAGTGTATGGGCGCTTTCCCCATCGCCTCGAGTAGAGCACCTGTAAATTTCCCTCCCTCTTTGTCTTCCATAGCCCGTTCACCGGCACCACATGCCAAAAGAGTAATGTGCGTGGGAGCAGTGCGCTGACAGAATCCCTGGCCATTGGTATTGACGTTAGAGCCTAGAGCACCCCGCCAGAGACCGGCATAGAGATCATCCGAGGTGACTTTGACAGTAGGAGTCCATCGCGTGCAGCGCCTGCTTCGAATGTTCATGCGGGAGGGAGTGGGAGAGAAGCAGCAGTCCAGAATGAGAGTGATGTTATCGCCCTTGACGCTGCAGAGCTCCTGCATCATGGCGTGCATAGACCAGTCAGTGATACCCGATACCCTCCCTTCCCAGCTCCTCGTGTCGTGATCATGAGGGCACAGCATCTCCACACGCGCGCAGCTGGCGTTGTACCACCCTTCGGGTGCCAGTAGCCGGCTGCCATGGCCGGCGAAGTAGACAAGTATCGCATCCCCCGGCTCGATAGCAGCATTGCTAACAAGGTGAGACATGAAGCAGTCTTCGATGGCACGTTTTGTTGCCTTGTCATCGAGAAGGATACAAATCTGGTCGCGTGGAACATGAAGGTCGTTCAACAACCATCGTTTGATGTTCTGGGCATCATCGACACAAGATGAGAGGTTCCAGATACGGCTTGACTTGTATTGGTCAACGCCAATAATAAGTGCGAATACACGAGCAGCCATCTGGCAAACTTGTAAGTTTACACACGAAAACCGGCGTATTTGTTTTGCGCACCTGGTATCACGAACAGCGAGGAGAATGTAAATTAACAGGCACTGAAGTCATCATAGGGCTTTTAAACTACATCAAAGAGCGCTTAACAACACTGGTTCTGAGAAGGAGCTAGCTGCGACTGTAGCCTTGCGTATGCGATGCGGTTTCATATCATGATGTCGCCAGCCGTGTGTACATGGCCATATCGTGATATCAACTTTCATCGAGACTGAAAAATGCCTGTTCAGTGTGACGCAGCTCTGGCTGGAGCAAGGAGGCGCCATATTTTGCCTAAACGGGGGATCATCGGAGGAGATCGCCTGTAGCTTGCTTGAAAGGCATCTAACGCTGAAAAACATGCTGCGTTGTGTGAGGCACGCGTTTGCAGTACGGTCGAGCGCGAGAAAGTGGTGCATCCAGCATGGGTGCCGGTGAAGGTTTTTGACCAGAGCCCTACTGCATGTGAGTTATGACGCGCCCAGCATCATCAGCGACCGGAGCAACAAGGCGAGGGTGACCAAAGTCGATCGCTCACCGTAACAGTCACCTTGCGGCATGCTAAAGGCACGAGCAGCAGGATGATGCATACATATTCCCTGTAAATGATAGACGGACTCCTCCAAAATAAGAGACATATGAATCCGTTCTGACCGTGTACGTGGGGTGATTCCGGTTAGCCTGCGTCAGTTTATCCGGTGCAGCTACGTCAGACTAGGTAGATTCCAAGAAAATATAAGGACGCACGTTCCGATGCTGCTAATGGTCTAAGCCACTCGAAGCCACTGTGTGGAGGTATGGAATCCTTCCACATGGATCTAGAAACTCTTGGTCGTGAGTCGTTGTCAAACCTGCTAGACCAGCCTATTAATTTCCTATTCCTGCTGCTAGATTAGTAGTCTCAATCACGATGAATGGCCACAATAATTCATGTCAATTGTAAAGCATGAAAATTTGAGAGCGTACCGAATGAATCCCTAGACCCTGCTGCCACGAGTCATGGACCGATGACGAAGGTGCACACAACGCTATTACCAATTCAGCAGGTACGACCGGAGACAGCCGGGCACGATTCACTCTTGCCACCCCTGAGTACACAGCGGGCAAAGTACCATGTGTTCAGCTCGAAAGTAGCGGAACATGGTGATTACATGGCCAACTTTCCCTTTTTGGGTAGGTTGGCCATGTAATCACCCTTTATCGGTTGATTCCATGCTGAACACATCGAACTTTGCCCGCGGTGGTATGACCGGGACCCATTCCTAAACTCTCTTCACCAACACCAGCTGATCATGGCATTCATCTGTCAAAAATGTAAACAACCTCTGCAAGTGAAGCCTATTCTCTCATGGTGCTGTCGCACACATTCATATTGACTTACGCTCAGCTCGACGCATCGCTTGTGGACCTGGCCCCGTCCGCTTATGACATGATCATAAGCTCTCTTCCATTGCCGATGAATAGCCAGCAACCTGCCTCCTCGGAGGAACAGCTGGATCAACTTCCCTCTCCTGCTTCGGCAAAGGTTGCATGGAGGTCGGCTGTTCATGTAAATGCCAAATCGCCACCCATATCCCCTCGTGCTCAGGGAAAGCTGCCTCAACGTGCCCCCTCCGAGTCCTTCGTTCTCCTACAGGATAGTGTCATACGCAACATACCGTCTCCAGTACCATCATCTACGCATTCACGGAAGTTCTCAAGTGTGCGATCGGCTGCGTCCAAAAGCGCCCAGCCTGAACCACCAATCGAGCTGGATCATCCCAATCCTTCACCGTTGTCACATCATCTGCGATCTACTCAACGATTATTGAATTTACTTTCCAGCCGGACTGATATTGATCATCCTCTCTGTTCGGAATGTACGCATATCCTTCTGACAACCCTCACTCGACAACTCGAAGAAACTAAGAAGGAACGTGATGGCTACATTGCATTCGAAAAGGAGGTCAGGAAAGAGAAGGAGCGAGAGAAGGAAGGTATGAGCAAAGAAGAAGCAGAAAGGAAGATTGCCCAGCTGAATGAGGACGAACAACTCGCGATCGAGCAGCTGCGAGAGGCTGAGCGCGAGCAGAAGCAGTTGCAAGAGGAGATGAAGGCGTTGGAATTGGAGGAAGAAGCCCTGGGAGACGAGGAAGAGGAGTTGGTATCTGTTCCTTTGCCCCTTGCGCTATGTACTTACAAAACAATGAACAGGTTTTGGCGAATACACAACGTCCAACTCCTGAAATCAACAGAACAGAGTTCTCAGTTATCTGCCTTGCGGGCAGCATATGCTGCCGACTCAGCAACGTTAGAACGATTGGAGCGAACCAATGTGTATAACGATGCCTTCTGTATAGGGCACGATGGCGTATTTGGTACTATTAATGGACTCCGCCTAGGAAGAGTTCCTGGAGTTCCTGTGGGTGATTCTACTGTGCTGCCAGATGGCTACTCATATGATTATAGGTCGAATGGGCCGAAATAAACGCTGCGTGGGGACAGACTTTGCTGCTTCTGTATACTATCGCCCGCAAACTTGATTTCACATTTGAAAAGTAGGTCGTTAAGATGTCACCCCACATGCACCCTCTCACTCGTTTTCACTAGTTATCGCTTAATTCCCATGGGCTCCTTTTCTCGCATTGAGAGGATCGGCGGTGACAAAGCAACTTACGAGTTATACGGCTCGGGAGACCTTCACCTTGGCCGTCTCCTTCATAACCGTCGCTTCGATTTCGCAATGGTGGCATTCTTGGACTGCTTAAAGCAACTCACGGATTGGACAAAGTCACAAGATCCTAGTTTGGAATTTCCTCACCAGTAAGCCGTGTTTGCTCGGCAGGCCTACTATGGAAAACAATGACAACGTGATGTACCACAGGATCGTCAAAGATAAGATTGGCGAGTCATCCGTCAAACTCCAGTTCAGTCAGGAGGAGGCTTGGACTCGCTCTTTAAGGCACGTCTTGTTGGCCCTCAAAATTCTACTCAAGTGGACGACGAACGGGAGCAATGGGTGAGACCTGAGAATAATGCGCTCAGTGCCCCAGGTCACTCGGATCTATGTAGTCACAAGTACTGACTTCGACAGGAGATGGTTGTTCTGCCGTAGGTTTATGCTATCTTTCATTGGCATCTATGGGCATCTACGCAAGTCATCACTTCTTAACCTCGAGGCGTTCCTGATGGCTGGCAGCACTGAGCTTCGGCGACTGCGGAGGCTGCAAACACTGCACAGTTCTAACAGCCATGGGTCCTAAACGTCTGACTCCAAGTCTGAATGGAAAAGGCGTGACGATCGTCATTCGCTGTACGCATATAGTTGCGAACAGTATGAGCATCTATGAGCACGAACATGCCAGATCTAAGGCCCATTTTAAACGGAGCCCAAAGTCCTCAGTTTACGTGTAAGGAGCACGCAGTTACGCCATTGAACTTCCTTTCGACAACATCATTCACGTTAGACACTGAAGAACACTTTCAGTCCATGGATTACTCACCTTGTCGCTCCTATGAACAATGCTTGACTTATGTGTGGAGACCGGAACAGTTGTGTAAACGGAGAGCCGTGGCTGAGCCCTGAATGAGCTGGCTTTGTAAGGATAATTTTTTGGTTTGTCAGATCTCGGCCGTGACTGAGGAAAAGCCTGGTAGGAACTGTACTTTATTACTCCGGATTCCTGCACCTTATCTTCCATCTTCCATCTCTCAGACGACCATGGGCCTCTTGTCTCTCGGTACTCCCCTCTCCTGGGATGACGCAAAGCCCTACATAGACCATGTTCGCCATCATGGAGTCACGCAGTTTTTGAACATCTGGGATCGGTTGAAGGACAGGCACGGAGACGAGCTGCTTTGGGGAGACGAGGTATCCCCAAATTGTATGCATCTGCGGTCATACGTCTCTAACCATCACACGCATGTAAGGTTGAATACATGGTTGTTTCTCTTGACGCCGAGTCGAAAACTGCCGTGCTTTCGTTGCGCCAGACCGAAATATTGGCCAAGCTACAGCCCGCCACAAGTGAAATTGATGCTCACACGGATAACTCGTGAGATATTCAAGTCCCGTCTTATATCTTGGAGGCTCTATTATGTTTCGCAGGATATCTGTCCCGACGTTCCATCCTGAGTATGGACGATATATGTTGGAATCCACTCCCGGGTCCCCATACACTGGATCCCTTCGCGATCTGCTTTCTGTGGAATCTAATATGCGTTACAGGTGGGAAGTTTGATGAACTATCTTTATCATCTCTATATTCAGCTTTCAAGGAAGGCGAAGTCTTGCTCGTAAACATCTGAAGCCTAACGAGATTCCGATAACATTCACATCGTTCCCTCGACTGGGTGCTCCTGGGGTATTCACAGAACCATACTACGATCCTGCCAATGCGACATCAAGTCATAGTTTGTTTCTTCCTGAAGAGATCACAAACCCGCACGCACGTTTCCCGTCCGTGACACCCGAGCATTGTTCGTGGTGCAGTGCCTGATCTGAGACCTTGTAGGACTTTGACTGCAAATATTCGGAGGAGACGCGGGTCCAAGGTCGCGATTAATCTGCCGATATTTGTTGATGCAAGTGTGCCACGACCCTTTAAAGACTCCACTATACCATGGGAGAGAAATTTATACCCGGAAGACCAAGGTTCGTTTCGACGTGCACTCTTTCTCGTTCTAACTCATAATTACACGCATCTTTAGAAGCAAAAAACGGTGCAGCACTTGATGATCATATCTATTTGGACGCTATGGGCTTTGGCATGGGATGCTGCTGCCTTCAGCTGACTTTCCAGTCGTGCAATGTTGAAGAAGCGAGGCGCATGTACGATGCTCTGGTACCCGTCGGCCCGATTATGGTATATATCATCTTTAGTTTTCTTTTTCACCGATTTGACCTCGTCGTCCTAGTTGGCGTTAACTGCCGCAAGTCCTCTCTGGCGTGGATTCATCGCGGATGTCGATTGCCGATGGAATGTTATCGCAGGTAGTGTAGATGACCGCACGCAAGAGGAACGCGGCTTGAAGGTATATACTTATCTAATCATTGATGCTAACGCTAAACTCCTCAATTTGTAGCCATTGAAGGATGACAAGTTCAAAATTCCGAAATCTCGATACGACAGCGTAGATTTGTATATCTCTCAGGATTGGATGAATAGGCCAGAGTACAACGATACCGTTTTGCCCATCGATGAATCTATCTATTCCCGTCTACGCAGACATGGTGAGTTCAAACTCATCTCTTTATGTTACCTGTCCGTCTGACGATGCTTCGAACAAGGCATCGATGATCTTCTATCGAAACACATATCACATCTGTTTATTCGTGACCCCATCGTCATTTTTTCGGAGCTCATTGAACAAGATGACACAACGAGTACCGATCATTTTGAGGTACGCCTGCATCCCGTCGATGCATTTTGGATCGCTCATATCGTCAACACCGTCTTACAGAACATTCAATCCACAAATTGGCAAACTCTACGCTTCAAGCCTCCTCCACCGAACTCATCCATTGGGTGGCGCGTAGAGTTCCGCAGCATGGAGGTGCAAATGACAGATTTCGAGAACGCTGCATATGCAGTTTTCATCGTCCTCCTATCTCGAGCAATAATGAGCATGAATCTCAATTTCTACATGCCCATCTCCAAGGTACAGATAGCTTCATCGCATTGCTGGTTAAATTTATTAACTTTCAGAACACCAGGTTGACGATAACATGCAACGCGCGCAACTCAGGGATGCATCACGCTCTTCAAAGTTCTACTTTCGGAAAAATGTCTTCCCACCCATATCATCCCGAACTTCCAGTGTTCAGTCGTCTGGTGCCGCGTCACCTGTCGAAGGCGCCAACGGTATTCCCCGTGTCAAAGAACGTCGCTTGAGGAATTGCTACCCGCCCATTCCTCCCCCAGAAGAAGGATTGCCCAACGTGGCTGTTGACGAAGAATATGAGGAAATGACTATGAATGAGATTCTCAACGGAAAGGTCAGTCATACCGGCACACTACACTTAACTCCGCCTTATCTTCGTGTATTTTAGGAGACCAGGTTTCCAGGCTTATTGGGACTGGTGGAACTCTACTTGGGTACACTAGATATGAATGAAGATGAGCGGTGTAAAATCGGCTCGTACTTGAATCTTATCAAGTGCAGAGCAAACGGTTAGTTGACACGACGCACACGCTCGCATCTATAACTCAATACCTCATAGGCACTCTGAAAACGCCAGCAACCTGGATTCGCGAATTTGTTCGCTCTCATCCTGCTTATAAATTCGACTCGGTCGTGAACCAGGAGATCAATTATGATCTCATGGTGGCAGTGGACGAAATGTAGGTTCATCTCGCTTCACATACATGGAAAATTTTATCTTTGCATTTCAGTGAACGTGGCGTCCGACGAGCTCCTGATTTACTTCCAGAAGACTATACCGGTGGTGCGCAAGATCAAGGCTGTTTAGAAAAGTAAGACTCGCCGTGTAAGGGACGAGGGTGACTAGGTTGTTCTTATGTATCGCTAAGTAAATAGATATTGTATCTTGTCTGTTTGGACGCACATCTGCAAATCCGATGCTCTTGTAATTTGATCACAGTTGTCTCCGACCCAAAAAAATTATATGCGACATGCACTGCAAGAAAGCTCTGAGGTCTCAAACAAATTTACACTCAGTCCGTAACATACACACTCTGAACACACATACTGTAGCAACAAAGATACCCCTTCAGAACCCACTGGCGGTGACCCGCAGCTGTTCCAACTTCTTCAATACCTCGCTCACGGTTCGGTCCAGCTCTCCAGCAATCGCGCTCTGCTTTGAGGCCGGCAGACGCGCGAACGTCTCACAGAGATCACCATCCACGACCGCCTTCACTGGAACGTAGTACCCTCTCCAAGCAAGATGATCTCTACCTACCAGGCTATTCTGTTCTGTCCGGATGTGCTGCTCCAGCGTCGAGATGAAGTCGACATCTTCCTTCGACACCAAAGGTACCAAAATGCCGATAGTGCCGTGTATGCCGGTATACAGCAGCACCTCACGGCCACCCGCGACCAACGATACTTTATGTATCGATGTAACCAAATCCCCAACGTGAAAATGGGCTAACATGGATGTCTTGTGAGGTGCACCCATGAGGAGACCCTTTTCGTGAAGGATACCGGCCCCGGTTGGATCATCATCTACTTGGTCGGACACCTTGATATCCAGCCGGTTGACGAAAATGTTGCCAAATCGATCACCTGCAGCGATAGTGGTGTAGTCAACCATTGTTGAACAGGTGACCCATCGTGCTTGCGTGTCGTCAGCAAAGACAAGCAGCCGGTTTTCTGGCGACTTGTACACGGCGAATGTGATGGATTCTTGCATGTCGCCAACGATGATGCGCGATCCTTGAGTGTTCAGGCTGATGATGGCTGACGAGAAGCTCTGTTCGTACACTTCAACACACGTTTACGCAAGGTCAAACTTTTAAGACGTACTTTGTTCTCAACTTTACGAAGCAGTTTCTTCTTTCCTATATCGTAAATCCTGAGGGACTTGCCTATGCCAGCCACCAGTCTTCCCTGAAAGGCTAGTAAGGCAAGGGGGACATCATCTGTCTCCGTCTACATCGCGATTGTCAGTTTAAAGTAGTGGTAAGTTTATTCATGACTTCTCGCCTTATGAAGAAGCTCGAGTCCCGCCCCATCGGCAATAAACTTGTATGTTCGCAGGAATCCACTTGTACATGAACGAGGAGCCAAGAAGGTGTCTTGGGCGGTACCGACAACGAGATGAAGTTCGTTTTGCCGTGCTGCGAATGGGACCACCGCCAAAGAAAACGCCGCTTCGTTATTGTCGAGAGTAATGACTGCAACAGTTTTGCTCTTTCGGGAATATCAATATACAAAGCGGTTGATGGTAGAACATTACAAACCTCGACAGGGTCGATGATACGTATGCAAGAAGCCCATGTACCAGCGGGTGCCTTTGCACGTCCAAACACTGCTGGAGATAGCTCGAGGACTTCCTCGTCGACCATCTCACCTCGTGATCGCTAGAGCAAACTTGTCAGCAACAACGTATTCCAAAAAAAAAAAAAAAAAAAGGACCATCTCTATTGTTTTCTTCGCAATCGCCTCTTCACTCATGACGCGATGGTCTGCTTCTATGAGGTAGAAATACCCGTTATGGGGGTGGGAAATAAATTTGCGCGGGGTGTATGACAATGGTAAGGCGTCTTGCTTCAACTTTGTTCCTAGCTTAGGAATTTGAAAGATACTGGAACCAAAAAAAATGAGCGGCCGTAAATCTCATACTTTGGGCGACAACTTTATGATGGTGAAGTCCAAAGGACTTCATGATGCCCTGGTGTCATCGTTGGAGAGAAAGATGCCACCGAAGCGACAAACAGCTGGGATGCTTACCGAAGGACGCTACCCGTGATGCCGATCAGACCCTCGGGGCAAAGTTCGGCAGAGAAGCTCCACGCATAATCCAAATTCTCGAAGATAAGCGGAGTGAAGTGCATCAGATTTTGATGGGTGTAATTAAGCCATGTTCGTGAAGAGAGGGCCAGGATTGCTGGTTGATGCTGTATCTGTACGCGAATGAGGCGGACGGGTCGAGTACCAAGAAATCTTGTATGCCAAAACAGTGAGCCACTATCATCGCCACGATAATTCAACAAAATACCTTGTACGTGTATCTGTAAGTTGCCCATTAACAGGATCCAACACAGTCCGTAGCAAGACGCCGTTTTGAAGACCGATATTGACGAACATTGTCGGCTGACTTTTGTTGATACCAGCATCAAGCATGTCGGCGATGCAGATTGCAGATGGCGGCGCGGTGAGCGCTTGTAAGCTGATCGTCTCCAGAGTGCTTTCTGGATCGAGGGAGATGATGCGAACGGTCTGATCTTCACAGCCTACTGCCTGAGAAGGAGGGGAATTCGTGAGGTATCTAGTAAACGAGATGTGACATATCATCATACCAGGTATGGTGTTCTCTGTCTGCCCAGTGGAACCTCCCCGATACTTAGTGCAAGGACAGTACTTCCCATAGCCTTCCGATCCTGATACTCGTTCAATTGCCCATCCAGATCCAACTCGAAGTATACGAGCTCCGCCGAACTCAGCGCGACAACGACTTGACGTTTGTTCGTCGTTGCCGCAACGATGATCTTATCTTGCGGGACTCTCCATTCGTTAACGCGCCGGTCAGCAAGAACGTGTCGAATACCATGTGGATGCACTTGAAGCAATGCGTCCGCACCGATCTGCTGTACAGCAAGGGTGGGGGCAGATGAGAGGAAACCTGTGTCTTGCACTTCCTCGATAGTCTCACCGATAGACAATACGAGCGTACCATTGACGAAGGACAGGATGATATAGGAGTCGAAGGCATCTGAGGAATTCCATGAACACTGAAAAATAGGAAGTAATGTTCACTCACCATCTTCCTTCACTTTGGTCGTCCATACAGCATTGGGGATACCAGGCAAGTCAGAGCTGACGGTCTCCTCCACTTCTAGACCATGACGTAGAGTGCGGAAGGTGCTACGAGCGCCGCGGCCGCATGCAGTGAAAATTTGGGGGGTGTCGGAGTTGGGCAGTAAGTTCATAACTTTGGAGTCCAAAATTGGGTTCAATGACTCCATCTCGTCAGCGAGCGCAAGATTGTCCAAAGGTCGAGGTCGGAAATACGCGCGAGGGAGAGCCTGGGCCAAATCCGCCATGCCAAATGAAGGGTAGTCAGTCGAGCTAAACTCGGGCTCATTGTCATCGTCTCCAAGCTTTTGAAATTGATATAGCTGGCTGAAAGTGATAATGCTGAGCCACGGATAGATACAGGCGAAAATGATGGACTCACTGATTACCAAACTCAGACGCCACGAAAAGGAATCCAGATTTTAAGATACACAGACTGGATGCAATAGGTACTGTATCGAAATACTTGATTTTAAGTGCCTTCACCTCTTCATCCTCATGTTCAATAGTGACCTTATACAGATCGCCTTCTTCACTTTGCAGAAGGAAGAAAAATGCGCCCTAGGGTCCGCGGTAAGCGCATGCTGCGGCTCGTAGCTATTGAACGCACCTTCATCTTATGCATGACCGCGGATGTGATGATCAGACCTCGCTCTGTATCTTCTAGTGGGTGCTTTCTCCGCGGTATAGGAACACGATGTTGTGGTACATCAACGTGCCGGTAAATGATGTGATCCTCGCAGCATATGAGCACGCCTGAAGGACCGTCATAACGATCGGAGGAAGCGAGTTGACCACCAGGAACTTGTACAAGCAGGTTCGCCCTAGGATCCGTAGGCTCGCTCCATTTTCGGACAACGTGGTTGAGTCCCAAATCGAGCTCGTAGTAAGTGAGAACCTGGTCATATTGCAGGGCGACATCACGAAGAGGCGATGTGAACGGTGAGCCTTCAGGGCAACAACCAGGCGAACCCTCACCTTATCAGCGTTATTGAATGCTTCCCCGGTTGGGTCTTGGTCAGATTCAGTGTAATCCACCTCGAGCGCAGCAAACATTGGGTTCTCAAACCCAACGTCCAGCCCAACTATATGATGGATGATAGCCGCGTTTTTGTGGGCTTCCAGTGGCGAAGAGATGGTCAGGTTGGCTGCGACATCCCTGTTCAGAATATAGACCAGTTTCGCCTTTTCCATTGCCGCGACCATGACGCTTCTGCCTTTGGGATCTGTCGCCAAGTACTGCCCAGGGACGATCCTCCTCGCGCCTGACTTTCCATACGTCTCCTGGTGCACCTTAACGAAACTGCTCGTCTTCGGATCGTAGTCTAAAATCACAATCCTGCCCGAGTCGGATCCTACTATTGCGTAGTCTGAATAAAAGACCAAATGTGAACCCACGAGGGAAAGTGAGTATGGATACGTACACGGGCTCACCCTTAGTTCCGCCAGTCAGCCTGAACGCAGCGAGCGATCGAATAGAACCAAAAACATCGCTGGCAATAACAGTCCCCACTTTTCCTGTCTGCACGTCGGGACGCAGCAACTCTAAGCGTGTGCCATTGGAGACGATGATTTCCTGCTGCCTTGCCCCAGAAAAGTTCCCTACAATGGCCTGAGAGGCTGCCGTAGCCGGCTCAAGCGTGAGATTGTAGAGATGCATGATTTACAGCTAAGAGCTGAAGTTTTTAGGATGCTGTACAGGATGAATGAACCTGCTGCTACTGGGTCAACGAGGGAGCTGCACGACGTGCACGCGTGAATGAACGGCGTTGACGTGCAAGACTCGAAAATGACAGACGCGGGGACCCCGGAACTAATTCTTGGCACCGTCATTGTAAGCTGTTTGCGTTCAGACTTTGGCCTTCCCTTGTCGTTAATTGCCTCTATTTTATGTTCCGAGATACAGTATATAACGCCAGGAGGTAATTATCAGAACGTCGATGACTCAAACTAAAAATTACAAAAAACTAGGTGTATGACTACTTAGAAGGTACTAGATGGGCACATACATTCCGAGCATATCTCACCGTATTCCTAGATAGTATAGCTTCTCAAGTGTCAGAGAGGTGAATATCCCAGTCAGAAGGGTGCACGTACCGGAACAAGGGGCTTTGGTCGCCCATTTCCCGAAACTCGTCTTTCCTGTCAACATCGATGCGCTCCCGCACGCACAGCTCTTCCTTTTCTCGATTGATTACGCTGTATCTCCACATGAGAACACAGCTCGACACGACGCTGCCCAACAGTGACAATGGGATTTAGTAAGGTCGGGAGAAGGTCAGACATGCCCAAGAACATACGTTAAACCCAGCCACCCAATCATGACACCGTGACCATGGTGGAAGCGAGGAGGATCATAATAGATGAAAGATGAACAGATGCTGATGACACACTTCAGCATGTTTCACTATCATTGTCAGCGTGTGTGAACACCCACCCTCCGAGATTACCGATTCCAATGACCATAGCAATCACGACACCTCTCTTAAGATCTCCGCCAGCATTACCGCCCGCCCATGCCAGATTGACAGCGATGGTGGGATAGACTCCCATACACGCGATCACAGTACCCGCATAGCCTGGGCCTGGACGGCTCGTGTTGTACAGCACAAGATAGCCGCACATTGAGACCAAGGCACCGCCAATAATGAATGGCCCTCGTATATTCCACTTGTCAGAGTAGATGCCGACAACGATAGTGAGAAGGCATCCACAGACGAATGGCGGGATAGACAGGAGCTGTGCACGCGCGGAGGCGAACCCAAGCCCACTGATGATTGAGGGAGTGAATAGGGCGACTGCATACACTGGTATAAGAACGCTAGACTTCGATTGTCAGACCAACCACGAAGAGGCGAGAAATAGGTACACACCCCATGTATATGCAAATCTGCAAGTAGGTCTTGTAATCTTTGACTGCTTGCCAGAAGAATTTGATATCAAAATGGGTCGCCAGGCCGTTTGAATCATTCTTGAGCAAGTGGATGAGGCGATCGCGTTCCGAGGTAGTCAAAAATGTAGCCGTCTCAGGGTACTACGGAGTGACATTGAATCAAAGGAGAAGGTGACGCTGAGTGACACGATCGGCGTACATCGTGCATGAAAAAGAATGAGCAGATGGCAACTATGACAGTCACTATGTCAAAGTGTCAGTGGTAAAGCCAAGAATGAGATTCAATATTCAAGGATGGATAATTACGGATGCCTTCCAAGCAGAACTGCGATGAGAGGGTCAGCGAAGGCTAAACAGTGCTTCCTACAGTGACTTACTATCCATTGCCAGCCATGAAGTCCACCGATACTATCAGGATGTCAGCCTGGACCCGTGTCTCAGATAAAGTGTGTTACCCATCCATCTTCTCAATACCGAAGCTACGAACATTGATGAAAATCTGATGTGAAATAATATACTCATCAAAGATACTCACGCGAGAATACCACCAAAAGCGCCAGCTACTGTGGCAGCAGAGAAGAAGATTGCTACTCTCTTCGCTTGCTTTTGACGTGGATACCAAAGAGAAATGTAATACGTTATTCCAGGGAAGAGACCTGCCTCAGCAAGGCCAAGGAACAGACGAGCGCTGTTCAGTTGATCAGGTCAATCCGAATGTTTGATATGCATAAAGCACTTACACTAGAAGCCCCCCATAGCTATTGACCAGACACATTAAAGTCATAACAATGCCCCAAGCAACCATAATTGAAGGAACTGATGCGTCGTCAGCTGTCAATGGTGGTAACATACAACGGGAATCTCGGTACATACTCCATCGTGAGGGTCGTACAAGTTTCAAGAGCATGTTCCTATGATAATGGAAAGTTGTGAGCGAGTACTTAAACAATTATCATATAACAAGGATCACGATTATCACATACGAAGGAACTTCCGCCAAGCAGTACGGGATCTGGGAACTGCGTTCAGCCACGATATCTTAATATTAAGGAAAATGACTTGCAAAAAACAGAGCGGCAGCCATGTTGTATCGTAGACCGACTAAGTGTAAATCCTTAGCCATCCCAGCAATCTTCGCATTACCTAGAGGAGTACCATTAGCGTTTCTTCAAAAACAGGTTGATTATATGAGGGGCATACCAATATTAGCTCGATCCCTGCCAGCAGCTTCGTGATTATTGCATGTGGGCGACGGTCGATATAAAGACTCACAAGAATGAGAGAAGATACAAGAGCGACACGAAGGGTAGGAGATATAAATCCATCTTCCTGAAAATCCGCCTCTCTTCTTTCTTCTCGTAATCCGTCAGAGGACCTTCCTTCAGCTCGGAAGAAACATTGTCCTGGACGTCGATCTCTTCTTTCTCGAGCGAGGCTGCCATAGCTGGGAAGATGCAGGTCGCTCGTAGTGAGAACCAGGAGGAAGTGGGCTGGATCAAGCGAGACAAGGGCGCTCGTAGTGGTCACGACATATATATAAGGAGGTCTTGACTGTCCAATGGTTTGACGACCTGGCCGTAATGAAGCAGTTGATTGGCAATTTAGTCGATCGTCCGGGGCACCCGTCCCGAAATTCGGACGAAATTCGGACGATGTGCATTCACAGATCCAACACCTCATGAAGAGCTGTTTTTATAATACCTCAAATCGAAACAAACATCACACCGAACCCTCGTGAATGGTGAGAAGACAGATGACGAGCTTGACCGACCGCAACCAAGTCAAGCGCTTTGAATAAAGCCATCGCCTCGGCAAATGACATAATGCTATCCCACATTGGGTCAGTTCGGTATCCAGCGGTATCCCCGCAAATTTCTCAAAATGCGGGGTAAGAGTGGTGTAAGGCTATTAAGCTGACCAAAGGGCACTCGAAGGGCCTGGTACCTCGATAGCGAAAGTGGACGGAGGCAAAATCGACACGATCATCAAAAGAGGAAATCGTTACTTACTGCATCGCATTGCGTCACTTTTCAACTATTTCCCGTCGACATCATCCAGAACTACCCAAAAGTCCACATTCAGATTGTCGACAAACACGCTTACTCGATTATTATCACCGCACATTTTGTGTGGTCTTAGTTGGTCTCACCGTCCTTGATGTTGCTGCCCCTGTCTGATCCTGTCGATGGTTTCCAATATAAGAAACCATTGCCGCATATGGCTCTCTCCTATAGCAATCTCTTTGCGGAAGGTTTTGCCGCATACATGCTTTCCTATGATGTGCTTCATTTCCAATAAAAAATTCCTGTATTGGGCCCTTCTCGTGCTCTACCAGAGCATTGCCACATATGATTCTCTCCTGTCGCGGTCTCTTTTTGGAGGGTTTTGCCACATACATGCTTTCCTATAATATGTTTCATTTCCAGTAAGAATTCCTGTAATTTGGCCCTTCTCATGCTCTGAGCCATCAGCAAACTAGGAAGTGTCTAGACATGGTGCTCCTGCACTGCCAGCACTCTTTACAGCTCCACAGACGGTTATGATATGAAGTCAAAATGGCACCTCACTAGCCAACCACACATATCCTCAGCAAGAGCGAAGAGGGCCACAGATATCAGAAATGGTTACACAGTGAGCACCCAGGTGATTACAGAGCTCTTCGATGCAAGAGGCAAGCCAGAGGATAACTAAAGGGCCCAAGGACGATACCATATGAGTTCAAGCTCTCTTATATAGGGCAAACCGGGTGGAAGGATAACACGACATTGAGCCGAAAATGGCAAAATCATCCATATGTAGGACAAATTCTTAAGACAATGTGGTGCTAAAACAGGCAAGATTATCCATAAAAAGATAAACCCAAATGTGAACCAGACATTAACTGACCCCTAACCAACATGAGCCAGATGATGTCTACAGAGCTCGTCAGCCAAAGAGTAGACCCAGAGCTAAACTACAGAACCCCTGTACAGAGCTCGAAGTGGGACATCAACATGGCCGACACAAACCAGACATTACTGTATAGGCTGACTGAACAAAAGCAAGAACAAGGCGCCGGAGCGAAGCGACGGTTTGCCGTGTGGTGAATATGATCGGCCGCGCTTGAGAGACATGCTATGTTCAGTCAATACTATTGTAAGGAAAATAAAGAAATCGGCATACGCCAATAGTTTTAAGGACCGCTACCACTCATCTGCAGCAGCAAAAGCAGAAGCTTTCCCTCGAGATTTTGATCCACCTCTGCCGCTTCCTCGGGGTCGACCCCTTCCCCTTTTCGACCCTGATCGGAAAGACGATGATCGCGAAGGAGCTCGTTTCCCACTGCCGGGGCAAGCTAAGACAATGCGCGAATCTGTAACAATTCTGACTTAGCATCATGAATCCAAGACATACCGTTGCTGAAATGCCCTTCTTCGCCACACTTAAAACAAGACACGGAATTGTTCGTGCCCTTGGCCATCGTTGTGCCTTTGAAACGCTTTCCGTTATCGGAATCACCTTGAGGACAAGCTGCAAGATCCAGCATGTTCACCATAACGAGCAAGAACATATGCACAATTATAACATACCGTTGGCCCAGTGACCTTCTTCTCCGCACTGTTGGGCAATAATGGGTTTGAATCAATCGATGGGCCCATTTCGGAGCAGTAGAAAGAAATCGTACTTACTTTGAAACATCCTCCAGAATTTTGAGGGCGATCACCCCCTAGACTCTGGGCCCTCCCCGCCAATGCAGAAACAGTGCCACCAAGATCAGATTCGTCTTCGGCCCATTCAAAAAAACCACATTTGGCATTTTGGTGGTTGGGACATGTCCAAAACTTTCGTCCTTTGTTGACCCCATCCTTCACGACAGTGCTTTGTACGGCTGTCAGCTCGCATCTACACCGTTTGGGCTCATCAGCGCTGGTATGGGCCTTGCCAAGTCCAAACGCCACCCGGAGTTCGATCAAAATAGAGAAATTGTCAGAAGCACTGAGGAAAGGCGACATAGGAACACTCACAGCTCGTTCAGAATATGATCGCTTACTAGGCACAGCGTGAGGGGGGCCTGCACTGGTCGCAGGTTGGTCCGCCCACTGGAAAAAGCTGCAACCTTCATCCCGGCCCTTGTCGCACACATAAAACAGGCGCCCCTTGTTCTCATTTTCTTTCGTTACTGTGCGCTCTACAGCGTTTTCGCCGCAGGCACAGATGATGTTTTCGGATGAACTTGCGCTTCGGCTTAGCCCTGCGACCGGCTGGTGTTGTGCAGCTACGTAGGATCGTGGGGGTTGGGGTGCTGGCAATCGCGGTTCTAACCTTGGTGTGATTGCGGGTTGAGCTCGCGGTGGGAGCGGTGGGGACGGTGGTGGCTGCGGGCGCTGAGGCGCGATGGCCCACTCCATGTCTGCAAGTCCGTCAAGGTGAGCCGGATAATGAGATTTTCACAAATACTCTATGCCCGCACCGTCTTCGTCAAGCGGCCAAGGTGGCGGGCTTCCGTATCTTGCATCATCAACATGTGTACGTTTCTTGCCTTTCGAAGGAGGCTTCGCATTTCCGCGCGATGTTGCTCGACCACGAGCTCCTGCGCTCCTTCCTCCAGCGCCAGGACCTGGACCGTCTACGCCGTCGTCGCCACCCCCAGCGCCTCTTCCAGCACCTCCACCTATGCCCCTACCACCCCTACCGCCCCCGCCCGCGGCTCTACCACCCCCGCGACCGCTGCCGCCAGGACCACCACCACCGCCACCACCACCGCCACCGCCACCGCCACCGCCGCCGCCGCCATTTAGAGGTCCACCATTTCCTCCGCCAGCACCTGTGACATATTTTCGGACACTCTGCAGTCCGGCCCCAGCTTAGCGAATACGTGAGTAAATTGAACAGAAACTTTACCGCAACAACTTTCTCAAAATCTCTCTTGGCTTTGACGAACATCTCCTTGTATTGCTCGACGGCTTCAACAACCATATCGTTCTTGGTTTTGGTACCTTGACAAACTTGAACCATGTTCCGTTCAGTCTAGAACGAGACGTTTACTGTTAAGTGAAGTACCTGGAAAAAGGCAGCGTCGACTTACCTCTCGTCGCAGTTGTGGTTTGCTCAGGCTCCGTTCGAACCCAATCTCGTTGTAGCCGTCTACGAGCCCGATGCCCAGTATTGAAGGGACCAGATACTTCATCGAACCTTCCATCCGCGCAATTACATATCCACGGTCAATAATGGTCTGGATATGTTGTGCAATCGTTGCGTCGGTCCCTATAGTTTAAAGCGTGAGCCCTTCCGGAACAACCAGCACATAATCACAAAGACAAGCATCGCACCGATCCCATTCTTGTCCATCAACCCGACCAAATCAGCTTCGGTTAGCAAGGTCGGCTTTGTAGTCTGCCCCTCTCGCAATTCACATACGCTGGGCATAAACTCTTGTCCTTCTTGGAAGTCCTCTATTTCCTTTCCGTTCCACTTGTCATACGGATAGACATCTAGGTAATTACGCTCAAGAACAATAAGGCCTATGCAGAGCGTTAGTTTAATCTCTGCATGGATGATGGGGTAGATTTACCGGTAGCATAGAATTCCTCTCCTCCATATAATACATCCACAGTCGTCTCAAAGCCCAGCGCGTCTTTAGAACAACATGCGAGAAAGCGACGCGCAATGAACTCGTATACCCTTTTATCATCTCCAGCTAGAATGCCTGCGTATGCAGTGGGGTGGATGGGGGGATGTGCGTGATCGTTGTTCTTTCCTTGTCGAGGCACTACGAAACCACCGTTCCGAAGGCTGTCACAGAGGTCAGTTAGATACACCTTGATTCATAAAGGAGGGGAACATATTACTTGGTAGCGAAGCCACCCCATGCAGGGTCTGCAGTTTGCTTCTCAATTAAAGTCATGAAGTCAAACTCAGGGTCAAATTGATCTGTTTCAGTACGAGGATACGACAAAAATCCTTTTTGGTACAGTCCCTCTGCAACCTGCCGCACCGTCAACCACTGCAGATGGACAACATGAAGACGGCGTACATCAAGAATCTTCTTTGGAGCCAATTTCAAGAGCCTAGATCCAGCCTTTTGCAATTCAACCGTTGTCAACGGAAGAGGTTTCCTAAAGTGTCCATCAGTCCGTGTAAGTGCAATCAATAAGGAACTTTTCCAACCATTTCTTGGTGTTCTTTTTTGTCACTTTAGAGACGCGTGCAGGGGCTTCCCGGTCAGAGAGAGCCGCCTCGTAGATGGCAAACGCAACGTCAAAATCAAAGAGATGACCCCTTCGCCACGTGAACACGGTTTCTCCTCTCTCCGTGGATGATCGACATAAAGCAGACAGATATATGAACCAGAAACTTTCAGCGACGAAAGATTTCACTTGGTTATATCGAGACACGACAAAACCCAGGGTAGGGAACTGACAAGGGCCTAGTGAGAACTAGGCGTAAGACGATGGTCGTGTGGATGACAAGCTCAACGATGCGCATTTACCATAGGATATAGTGTCTTTGATTTCGTTGAGTCGGGCCTGTAAAGTAAGCGTTTGCATACGAGTGAGAGCTGCCCCAACCCGAAGGTCAAGCATGATACGGGCATCCACTGCCGCGGCTTGTGCAAGATCTAGTTCAACAGGATGTTGCGCTGCATGATGTATCTGCCTGGCTGTAAAATTCATACGCTACGCTAGCTTTCAACAGAAAAGGTAATGAGACGTACTGAGAAATGATAGCACTGAATCTCGCTCGCTTTACCACAATGTGCTTCTGCGCCTTCCGACATATTGAAGCTATCTCGGCACCAATGTTTTCTCCCTCTCTATCACAGTCTGTCCAAATCATCAGCTGCTGCGCTTTCTTGGCCTCGTTGATGAGATTTTGCTCAATAGATTTCTTGTCAGGAGCCACAGTCGAAACCACGGGAGCATCAAACAACGCAAAAGGATCACAAGAGTTCCATTTGCGATGATTCTCGCCGAAGTCAAGGGACAAGAGGTGGCCAGAGACGCAAGTCACAGTGAAAGAAGCTCTGGCTTGTGGATAGTCGAAATCGTAGTTCTTGATATACTTATTGGTGGTATTGCGCTGATGATAGAGACCTCATGAGAATATGCATTGAGAGAGAAACAGCGAGACGCACGGTTGTATATTGTCCTCCTGACAATATCTGACTGACTGACTTTGCGATTGACGGTTTCTCAGCCACGCATAGAACCTTCATCGAGTAGTATCGCGATACGAGTAATGAGACAGAATATCGTGAGTCGTGTGTGGCGAAGTACGGAGTGATGCGTCAAACGTGGTGCTCTTATGAAGAATTATTCTTTAAATAGAGTTGTTGACACGCGCATACAGCAGTGATACAACGAGAAGATTGTCACCTCACTCAAGACGGAGGCAGGAGCCAAGGTACGTGAGCACCGACTCGCCAACTGACACGACAAAGCACGACGCGTTCGACGCGTCTTCACGTGACCATAGGATCATTCGGCCAGCAACGCGATCTGATAGCTGCACCACCTCAATGATTCCGTGCCCTAGGTCACTCCCTCAGGCCTCAGCATTGCTAACATGATCCCCGACTCCGTTCTTACTGTAGGGTACAACCTTTTGGACAAGGTAATACGTCTTTCGCGTCTTTGACGAGATATGCACATCCTTTCTGACAATGCATTGCATGCAATGATCAGGGGCTGGTCCCTGACTTCATTCTTCGCACTGCTATCCGCGCACTGTGTCGCCAGCGGCTACAGGAAATCAACCATGGCTCTTTTGAAACTAACCATGCCGCCAAGATGCAATGGGTAGAGAACTCGCGCGCAAGAGAGACCATCGCGGAATTGACCGAAAAGGCCAACGAGCAGCACTATGAGGTATCTTTGTGTCACAAAAACCTTGCTTTGTTCATCAATCGGATGTACCTTTAGGTTTCAACAGACTTCATCTTATCTTGCTTAGGCCCGTTCGCAAAGTACTCGTCCTGCCTATACCCTACCGGCAAAGAAACTTTGGAGGAGGCTGAGGTGCTCATGATGGAGATGTACTGCGAGAAGGCGAAGCTCAGAAATGGCCAATACATCCTTGATCTCGGATGCGGTGCGCACGGTCTGTCTTGAAACGCATACCTGCATTGCTAAAAGTATTTTTATATAGGATGGGGCAGTCTATCGCTTTATTTAGCGCAGGTATGCTTGTCGCCGAGGAGCCCTTTATCAGCGCTCGACGCGAAGCCCATGATGACGATGATGATGCTTCACACAGAAATACCCCAGATCCCAAATTATGGGCCTTTCCAACTCTTCGACCCAGAAACTATACATAGATGCGCAGGCCAAGAAGCGCGGGCTGAATAATGTCAAGGTAGAGCATCGATCATTGTTTCATACTCGAAACATCCCGTCCCTCTGTTCAACCATGTTGCAAGGACCGGATGCTTACATTCTGGGTAGACTATCACTGCGGATGTGAACACAATTGATTTCGTTGACTGTGACCAGTACGCATTATGCATCTCATCTTTCGATTCGATCTAATAGGCCCTTGGTTTATTCGAATTGTCAGATTCGACCGCATACTCTCGATCGAGGTAGGTCGTGTCAGCTCATAACAGTCAAATCCTCAAATGGTGCCTGTCTTGTCTTCCAGATGTTTGAGCACATGAAGAACTACGACAAGTTGCTGCGCAAGGTTTCTACTTGGCTCAAACCCTCGCAGCATACCGGTGAAGGCGATGATTCCAATCCGTCGCTCCTCTTTGTGCATATATTCTGCCACAAGACCATGCCATATGATTTCGTGGAAGACGATGGATGGATGGCCCAGACGTTTTTTTCTGGTAACAACATGTCCCTCCGCTCTTGTTTATCGATTCATGGCCTTTTATCATTAACGCGAGATCCCCATTTTATCGCCAATTCATATCACAGGTGGAACAATGCCCTCGCATGACCTGTTCCTCTATTATCAGAGCCATCTCACCCTCCTCTCGTCGTCGTACATATCGGGCATACATTACTCGCGCACGCTCGAGCATTGGTTGCAGCGTCAGGATGCCAATGCAAAGCATGGCCTGAAAGAACTCGAGATGGATGCTGAAAAGAAGGGCAAAAAGGGTGAGGGAGCCAAGGCATTCTATCGGTGCGTAATATTTTGAAGAGGTCTCATGTCGCCAGTCAGATTGTAACACCAAACATGTTCATCCCTCGCTTCTAGGTTCAGAGTATTCTATATGGCATGCTCGGAATTGTTCGCTTACAACGATGGCCAGGAGTAAGCCGTTCAACCTACTCATCTTGTCAAATTATTCATCTACCATTTGTACAGATGGGGCATCGGGCACTACGTCTTCAAGCGGAAAGACTGAACTACGGACCGGGATGAAGTTTTTGGTGAAGTTTTCTGTGCTGTCGGTGGTTTCAAGATGGAAGGTGAGATGGCTGAGCGAGCGAGCGAGCACAAGGGGTATGAGTGAGAACCAGTGAGAATTACAATCGAAGTGATGCTCCTTGGTTCCCTAAACAGTAAAGTCTCGAGCAAAGTTCAAGTAATCTACAACAAGGATAACGTACGTATGTGTCTCTCAGACGGTATGACAGACAAAATCAGACTAGGTGAAGAGCAATGGATCGCATTGATGTTGATCGTCTGCACTGTCCTGGCAGTTTCGAGGGAAAACGATGGCAAACAGAGACAAGACTGACAACCCAGTACATGACTGGCGGATTTTGAGCGTCAGGAAGCGCGGAGAGCTGCGCTTAGCATCACTCACGAGTGGAATCAGGAGAGAGGGCGGAACTGCTCAGAGGTGGTGCAAGTAGTGGCTCGTGAATCTGCTCTTGAACAGGTACACTACGTATTTTGCTCTCAAATTACAATATATTGGCTGGCATGACAAGTCAATCAAGGAGCTCGAGAATTTCTGTTGGCAGGGCGTACAAAATTGTATCATGTCGACGGATGATGGAAGACGCGCGTCACGCGCGACGTAAGTATTCGTCCGCACTTCCAACGTTCACTTGAAGGATGCATCTGAAAACTGACCGGATTAGCCTTAATGGCGAACGCGGGTCGGTCCGTCGGAGCAACACCAAGCAAACGATAGGCCTCGACGGGCGCTGATAAGAGTAGAAAGGTCGATGGAAGCCCCCTCGCATGATACTTCCGATGCAAAACGACGTCGCGAAGGAATATACGCCTCCTGGGTATCATGACACGAAAGTCTTTCATGTACTGATGGCCTGGCAGATGAACAGTCCACGCCGCGGATCGTGGGTATCAGAAGTGTAGGTTCGGATAATTCCGGCGTCGCCCACAGCCAGAGGCGCCAACTCTTAAGCTTCTCCCAGCTTCTCCCACCCGGCCCTCTAGGCTTTACGACAAGACGTACTCGACCTCTAGTGTGCATGCTAATAACTACGTGGCTTTAGGATTTTATCAGGAGAATTATCTTGGCCTAGCATTCCAGGCTCATGGGTTGTTCTCCCTATTCCTTGACAGGAGATTCGGCCAGCGACATGCATGAAAATTCATCTAACGCCGATCATCGAGTTGTTAATGTGGGTTGTTACCCAGGCTTGGTCAAGTACATATATCCATTGAAGAATGATTGCTCCGGCGGAGATCCCGGGCTGAACGCCTTGGGCGTTGACCTGCTATGCTACCGAAGCCTGTAAACGTACACAAATCAGACACCCCTCCCAGTACAGAACTTAGGTACAAATGGACCCGGCCGTTATACCTCGTGGTCTTATCTCTATCAGAAACGATAGACATATCTGCGTGAGCCTCGATTCACGATTTTCTGCCTGTCAGCCCTCATTCGAGTTGGATGCACAACACTTAGAGGTAAGTAAGTACTCGATAATGCCCGGTTTCATGCTTTAACTTCAATTGACGCCCTCCCCGTTTTTGTATACAGACGCTTCTGGCTTGTTGATTGTCCGGTGACGTGCTTCTTCGAATCGCAGTCGTGAGTAAGAGCAGGATTCCACGACTAATAATAGATTGATAGAGCACTCCTTCAATAGTACGCCTTTCCCCCGACGAGACACATGCTCTCTCCTAGAGAACCGTGCGGAGATGGCGTTCTCGTGGGTCCTTTCAACCGCCGTGCCTTTCGCTTGACTCCTTAAATGGCCTGATCTGCTCCCTCAACATTAGGCCTTGGAACACTCTTTCCGGGTCTTCAAAGGTCCTCGCCCTCGAACACCATGCGTATCTCCCTCGTTGTGTTGTCGGTCTGTGCTACCGCATTTGCTGCACCTTCTCCTCGCTCTACTCATGTCATGCACGAGAGGCGCGCGGCGGAGCCTGTTGGGTGGTCAAAATCCAGGAGGCTTGAAGCAGAAAAAGTTTTGCCCCTGCGCATCGGCCTCAAACAACAGAACCTCGATGATCTGGACGATCTCCTCATGTCTGTTTCACACCCGGACTCTCCGACCTATGGACAGCATTGGTCTCCGAACAGAGTTGTAGATCACTTTTCTCCTTCCAATTTGACGGTAGCAACCGTGAAGGATTGGCTCACTTATGCTGGTCTGTCGAGTAACCGTCTCCGCCATTCTGTCAGCAAGGGTTGGATAGAGGTCAATGCAACTGTAGCGGAGGTCGAGGAACTGCTGAGTACCGAATATCACGTCTACACACACACGTCTGGCGTCGAACAAATCGGTAAGCCAGTAGCTCATTTTTAACTAACGAATCCCTTGGGTATCTGACCACATTCTCAAGGATGCCATTCGTACTCGGTGCCGGAGCATGTTCGCGAACACATCGACCTCATCAAGCCCACAGTACACTTCAATCATCGTGCTGGTAGCGAACCAGCTCGCATGAGGAAGCGGACTACCGACAAACTAGGCTACCCATCTTCCTTCAACGGGCCGAAGACTATTGGCAAGAAACCGAACGTCAAACCGTCGCTGGATACTTGCGATCAGTTTATCACCCCTGATTGCCTTCGGGCACTCTACAATATCAACTACAAGCCGGTTTCAACGCAGAAGAACTCGTACGGGATCGGTGAGTCGCGTTTCGTCTCCAAAGTTGAATCTAGTACTGACATTATTTTCCTAGTTGAGTTCACCCCACAAGCATTCTTGACCGGAGATCTCGATCTGTTCTTTACGTACGTGATCGTGATACCTTACAACGCTTTTTTTGATTTCGCTTTCAGCAATTTCTCTACCAGCCAAGTAGGGAGTAGACCCATCCTTGTCTCTATTGACGGAGGTTTTTTGTCATTTCACTTCCTTTAAAAAACTAAAACATGACGATACCATGCTAGGGGTAGCGCAAACAGAAAATCAGAGCTTCGGTTTCAATGGCGAGAGTGACCTTGACTTGGAATATGCCATGGCCTTGACAAATCCCCAGCCAATTACTCTTCTCCAAACTGGTGATCTTGTCGAAGGTCGGTCTGGAGAACAAGGTGGCGGGAGATCGAACTGATTCTTTCCTTCACTATCAGGCGCTGGGTTTGATAACTGGCTTGATGCCGTCGACAAGTCATTCTGTACGTTTGAAGGAGGAGATGACCCTACGCAGGTACGTCGGCGGATTTTACCCTAGTCTGTCATATTCTTCATTGTAGCAATCAGGATGGAATTTATCCTGATCCTCAACCAGGAGGCTTTGACGGTAAATCAGAACTCTTCGCGATAGATACGTTACTCATACTTTTACAGAACCTGAATCATGCGGAATTATTCCTCCGCCAAAAGTGGTGTCAGTATCCTATGGGCAGGACGAGGCAACAGTCACGGCTGTGTTTGCTAACAGGCAATGCGTTGAGTATGCCAAGCTTGGGTTGATGGGAACAACCGTTCTCTACAGTTCAGGCGATTTTGGCGTTGCAGGTTTCGATAATGTGTGTCTAACACCTGATGGTAAGGAATTTAGCACGCAAAACCACATGTTGTCCGATTAACACTCTGCAGGTGAAGAATCACAAAATGGTACAAGGTTCAACCCGGATTTCCCTTCCGGGTGTCCGTATGTCACTTCAGTTGGTGCAACGCAAGTCAATCCAGGCTCTACGGTCCACGATCCAGAAGGTGCCTGCGAGCAAGTCATCTTCAGCGGGGGAGGTTTCAGCAATATTTTCCCCGTACCGTCGTATCAAACGTCTGCCGTTGCCAGTTTCTTGAAGAACCACCCGCCGCCATACTCAGCTGCGCAATTTAATAACTCTGGAAAGGCAAGGAAGCTTGTTGGCATATGATTGATGGCTCTGTTCATCATCAATTGTAGGCCCGGGCGTTCCCTGATTTATCTGCCAACGGGTACGAGCCTCAAATATCCTTTCATCTGAGTCGTCTTTATCTTGAAATTGCGATGTCAGCGCGAATTATGTCGTAGGCAAGTGGCCTCTGTCGTTTGTCGGATGGAATACTGAACCACCCTCAGCTATTGATGGCGAATTCGAGCTTGTGTTCGGAACGTCCTGCTCGTCCCCAGTGGTCGGATCACTCATCACTCTCGTGAACGATGCTCGTCTTGCCAAGGGAAAGAAATCAGTCGGTGAGTTCTCATCGCGCCCTGAAGGACCCCAGCCCCCAACTTAGTTTTTCACTCAGGTTTCATAAACCCTTCGGTGTGTCGACCTAGTATACGCTCAGTTGCATCTTTCGCTCAACTTGGGTTAGGTATATTCCAGTAAATTCGCACATGCTTTTAACGACATCACAACGGGAGGAAACCAGGGATGTGGTACGTGACTCAAAAATATTCTGGAAGACTTCGACTCACCTGTTCGCCACCAAGGAACTCCCGGTTTCACGTCGTAAGTCCTTGCAGGATTCCTCACATCATAAGCGCGCTGACACTCTGTCCTCTTCTAGGACGACTGGCTGGGATCCTGTGACTGGTATGATCCGCTTTTCTGTACCTCATCAGCATTTCACTTACCGTCGAGCGTTCTAGGCGTCGGAACACCCAACCTCGAGCTTTTATTGCCGTTGTTCTTGGCCTTGCCATGAGCGTGGACGAACTTTCATTACGAACCACGTTCTGTTTGCACGACTCACTGGTGGCTCTTAAACGGTTTGTTGAATAGGGACTTTGTGTGTATTTTGACGCTACTACGTGTGGTATATTGGTATTGTCTGCTGAATCTCATTAGGCTACCCAGCCCATTTGAAGGATACGGATCCGATGGAAATGCGGGCGTCAAGGTGATGGTGTGGACAACCCAAATCAGAAAGCATGAACGACCTCAAAACGCACACATCATTCTTGCTTTGTCCACCCCCGGCGGATCAGTGAAAGGGACTCTCGCAATGTAGATTCTGAAGTGAGCGCGATGTCCTATAGATGGCACCCGTAAGTGGCGGCAGTCATTCCGTTATGCTTCCTTCCTTTTCCCCAAACAAAAGCGTGCAAAATACCCACGCCGCCGCCCTATGCACCGTCCATGCCCATCTGCGCACGGCGGGTAGCGATGCGCCGCATATCCAGCTCCCCGGCGAACCACCGTGTCCAGTACTTCGTGTGCACCATGTCCGCCGCCATCTGCCTGATCAGCTTCCGCAGCGCCTGCAGCTCCTCCGGATCCGCGGCCTGGCCCTGGTCGCTCGCGGCACCGTGGAGCTCGACGTCGCGCATGCTCTCCCGGAACCGCCGGACGTCCTGCTTGACGCCCTCGAGCGCGTCCTGCAGGAAGGCGAGCGCGTCGTCCAGCTCGTCGCACGCTTGGTTCGCCTCGGATACTTGCGCGGAGAGGGAGGAGGTAGACATGGTCCGTTTGGGTTGAAAACGTCAGGGGATAGGATCGTGAGTTGCGGGCGACTGTTCGCTTGGTCTGAATGCGTGTGTGCAGGATTGTGAGCGCCCATCTCGTCGCCGCTCTGCTTTTATACACCACCGTGTCGCAAACATACTCGCATCCTTGTGGTCATGGCCGATTCACCCGCGATACATCTGTCTTCCTCTTCAAAGTCCTCAATACCAAAGAGGAAGCGGTCACAAGGCCATGGATTGAACAAACCTCCATCGCTGATTCATGTGACGGGCTCCTCATCGCGTTTGCCCGCACAAACCCCTTTCACTCCCCATCCCGTGTTCCGAGGGCACAAACGAACTCGTCAACGCCGGCGCAAGCCACGAAAAGCTGAATTGAAAATGATAGTTGCCGGCAGAAAGAGCGAAAGCAAAAAAGAAAACAAGACACCATGAGACGACGAGATCCGAGTCCGACTTTTGTTGTTAAATAAATACATCCATCCCGTTCGTTCCACTTCCGATCGTTTGGTATCGCTCCTCCACAACATCTAAACCGTGCGCGACCCAAGCTAAGCGCGCCCACACCGTCTCTAAGCAAAAGCACCACCACCACTCCCCAGCCCACGCAGCGCGTCAAAAATCAAGGCTCCACATCCAGCGCCTCCCCGCCCGTCGTCGTAAACGCCTTCCGAATCGCCTCCAGCTCCCGCCTCCACCCATCATGCCGCTCCACGAGCTCCAGCAGCTCGCCCTCGCTCATCGGCTCGTCCTCCTCCTCTTCGCCGTCCTCGCTCGCCGCCCCGCCGCCACCCGCACGGCCCTCGTTCATGCTCGCGAGCGCGTCCTCCACCCGCCCGCGCTCGAGCGCAAACAGGTGGTACGCCTTGATATAGTGCGTGTACGAGCGGCGGTACCGCCGACGCAGCGTTGCGCGGTCCGTTGGGAGTGGCGTGGTGGGCGGCTCCGGGGGCAGACGCGAGCGCGCGGCGGCGCGCGTGCCGCTGTTGTTGGTGCCGTGGCCCGCGCGGTCGCGGTCTTTGTCGCGCTCGCGATCCCGCTCGTGGTCGCGCTCGCGATCCCGCTCGTGGTCGCGCTCGCGGGCATGCGAGCGCCCAGGGGGGTCCACGTCGCGCGGGGAGGACGTGCTCGTGGCGGAGGACGCAGGCTCGGGGTGCGTGTGGGAGTGCGCGTTGGTGCGCGGGCGCGTGGCGGGGCTCGGCCCGTCCTCGTCGTCAGAGGACGAGGAGGTGTAGATGGGGCTCCTCCGGCGCTTGCTGATGCGCCCCGCCTTGGGTTTATCCTGCTCCTGGTCGTGGTCGCGCCCCCGCTCTCGCTCGCGTGGCTCGCGGTCGCGGTCACGGTCGCGTTCCCGCTCCCGGTCGCGCGCGCGGACGGGCACTGGCTCAGGCTCGGGCTCCCGTTTGATCTTGCGCGGCGGCGGCGGCGGCAGCGGTGTCGCGTCCCGCTCTCGCGCGCGCTCCCTTTCTCTGTCCTTGTTCACAGGCTTGCGCGGCGGCGGCTGCACCGACGCGCTCCTCTCCTTCTCTTTCTCCCGCTCCCTCTCCCTGTCCCTCTCTCGCTTCGCGGCCGAGACCTTCCGCTGATGCAGCGCCGCCGCGGCCTGCTCCTTCTCCATCTCCCGCTGCTCCCTCTCCCGCTGCTCCTTCTCCTTCTCCCAGTCCCGCTCCCGCTCCCGTGCCTTGGGAAGCGCACCACCGGCGGCAGCGGGCGCGTACCCTCCGCCCTCGTCCACCTTCCGGCGCTTCACCGCCGTGACCGACACCCGCGTGCCCGTCACAGGCGGCGCGGCGCCCGGCCCGGACCTCGCCCCCGCGACCGCACTCTCGAGCCCATCGTCGGCGCCGTCCCGGTACGCCTGCGCCTTGCGCTTCTTCCCCTGCGGCGCCGCACCGGCCGGCGCCCTCGCAGGCGCGGGGGGCGCCTCGTCGATCTCGCCCTCCTCTCGCACGACGGGCGTCTTCTTGATCCGCTCGCGCACCCGCTCCTTCTCCTTCTCCTTCTCGCGCGCAGACGGCGGTGGCGGGATTGAGGGCAGCGCGGTCGCGCGCCCGCTCGGCTGCGGCTCCTCGCGCTTGTTCCGCGCGTCGACGGGCCCCGTGCGCTTCGTGACCGTCACCGCTGGCTTCTGCCGCGGGGGCGAAGGCCCCGTGCCTCCTGTGGCCTGCGTCCCCGTGCGCCCCGCGCCTGCGCCCGCGCTCGTGCCCGTGGGGGAATCAGACCCAAACGGCGACGCGCGCATGGTCGACTTGAACCCGGACCCAGGCAAGCGCCGGCGAGCCGCCGCCGTCGTCGGGCTCGGCGCTGGCTGTGTGTCGTCCGGCGAGTTTCTGGAAACTTTGCCGGCAGACACCGAGGGTGGGAGCGGCGGCGGCGGCATGACGGGGCGCGGACGGGGCGGAAGCTCATGTTTCTGCCTGATAGCAGCAGACGGGGCGCTCGCGGGTGGCTCGTCTCTGGCGTCCGTCTTGGATGTCGCCGATGCGGAGGTAGAGGTAGAGTTGGCATTGGATCCGGAGGCGGTGGCGGTGGCGCCGCCGCGCGCTTTGCCCGTCGTCGTGATCGCCCTCTTCGCCGGCGGCTTCGCGGCAGCGGTGGGCGCCACTGCGGCCGCGGCGGACGCAGGCTGGCGGTAGCGCACGTGCTCCCAGCGAGGGTCGCTCTGAGGAATGCGCAGGTCACCGAACGCGAGGCGCGCCTGGCGCGCAAAGTTGGTGCGCTCGGTGTCCGTGAGCCCAGTCCACTCGTATGGACGCACTTCGAGCCACACTTCCGGACGGACACGGTACTTCGCCGGAGACGAAGAGTGTTTGGGCCCCTCGATGGGCATGGCCACCTGAATGGTGTGGCGGAGGATAAGCAGGCGATCGCGAGGTCATAAAGGATGAGAGGGAGCACGCACGTCTTCGAGCTGGGCGAGGACGTCGCGCCGTGTGGAATCTGCGCACGAGGGGCCACTGACGAGGTTGACGACCTCGTCCTGCGTCCGCGGGCTGGCGGCGATGCAGCGAATGACGCGCTGGCGGAGGTTGATATTTGTCGTAGCGGCGGGCGGGCGCAGGGGCGAGAGTGCCTTGCCTTGGTTGGGAGCGGGAGACGCGAGCCTAGAGGAGCCCTCGTTCTTGGCCTGTATGATCTGTGGCGCACGACGCGTGACCGACACGCTCGTGCCCGTCTTCTTCTTCTTCGTAGCTGCGGTGGAGGCTGCGGCGGGTTTCTTTGGGGGCGGCTCGTCGATGACGACGATGCGGCGGGAATTCTTTGCCTTGGCGGCGTCGGCGGTGGACTGGGAGACCTTGTCCTCGATTTTTTGGTCGAGCTCGCGCTCGACGGTGATCTTGCCTGTGATGTTGGCGTAGAGCTTGAGAGGCGCGTTTGGCTTGTTCAAAGGGGTGGATCGGAGGTAGAGTTCGTGAGGGGCGGCCTCTCCGATGATGCGCATGGGGAAGAACTGCTCGCCGATATAGATGCCCTGTAGAGATGAACCAGGGACATGCTTGTCAGGGATGCGCAGAGAGAAGAAGGGAGGAGGATGTGCGCACGGGGCTGTCGCCGAACTGTGCTTGGATGCTACGGTGGCGGGTGAAGTCCTGGAGAGACTGGATGTTCTCTGGGGTGAGGCGGATGAGCATGCCGTGCTTGAGGGTAGATTTGGTTGCGTCTCCAGAGCGGAGGGCGCCCTGGAGAGAGAGAGTGCCGTTGACGTTGGGGAGAGGCATTGTGGCGAGGACGGCGGGGGGACGGCGGGAGGTGATGGGTAGGGTGCGGCGAGGGCCGTTGGTGTGAGGATGGCAGAGGCGCCGGGTGCGCAGGACGATGATGGCGCCACTGGGAGAGTTGTGGCGAGGGTGAAGGAGGGTACGGGGGAGGAGGAGGAGGAGGAGGGTCGGAGGGTGTGGTTCAGAAAGGGCAGGAGAGAGGCCCAAGTGAAGGCCAGCCAAGCCACACCGCCGTGCATCATCTCTCCTGCGCTTCTCGGGGTCCCCTCATCGCCAGATCTCCTCGCCACCCCCTCGGGCTCCCACAGCTCCCTCCCTTTCTCTCCCTCTCCTAGTTCTCTCCCTCTCCCAGTCCTCTCCCCTCCCGCCGCCCTCCCTTGTCTCTCCATACGCGTCTCGCCGCTTCTCGCACCTCGCGCGCGTGGCCGTTCTCCCCGAGGAAGAGCAGCCCTACAGCCCCCCCCCCGCTCCACGACGCCGGTACCTCATGCTGATTTCTCACGGCGTACCACTCGGGGCCTCGGGTGCCTGCAACTCTCTCTCCCCGCACGTGAACCTGCGACCGAGGCCCAACCAGCGCCCGTACACGACGGCGCACGCATTCATTCAAAATCATCGCCATCCAATCTTCCCGCCGCGGGCCTCCCCGAGCGTTCCTGCGCTCAATAAGTTTCAGCGCGCGTCTCGACGGCACGCGACGCTTTCGCTCGCCTCCGCCCTCTCGCCCCCACAGCGCGCGTCTCAACTCTATCAGCGCTACAGCAGCAGTAGCAGCAGTAGCAGTGTTCGAAGGGCCCGACGTGGCCTTCGCGATCTCCACAGCTCGGAAGCCCGTTTTGTAATGGCCTCTTCTCAGACTTCCTCATCAGGACTTCCTGCCGGTTTCCGAGTTTTCATGCCGGAGCGCTTCGTCGCCGTGCTCGCATGACGCTCGTCGAACTCCACCGGGAATGCAGTGTGTATGTGTGCAGTACGTACGGTACATAACAGTGATGACTAGTAACCCTCTGACTCGCCCGATGCGAATCAATCAAAACAAGAACAAGGCAAGATAACGACTAAAAATTTCAAACAGAGAGCCACGAAGACTGACGGTCGCGCGTGAATATCCGGTCAGCCAAACCAAACGCCACGCATAAATTCAGTTCTAATCGAGACCAGTCGACAAGAATTTCGCGTCCAATACCAACAGTCCCAGTACGAGATCCCAGACTCGTCGATCGTAGCGCACGAAAGCCCGACCGCCGGGCATGTGTGCGATGATCACTGGCCGGGGGTATACACGCGCAAGGAGTTGATCTCCCAGTAGGACTCTGCGAACGCAGCCGGATTGTTGTTGACGACTGCACAACCCAAACGTCAGCGCGAGCGTACAAGGGGCGGTGTGAGTGTTCACGACGTACAGTCTTCGCACGTGCCCTGTCCGCACCCCGACGAAGACCACGCGGAGCCTGCCCAGTCACCCTATAATGCGTCCATCCATGACGTCGTCAGACTCTCCGTTCGCGACCCATATCAAGCGAGGAACGCTGAACAGCCCACTCACGCAGAACGTCAAGTCGAACACCGCCACATGGTCGTCGAAGTGCTCGTCGAACCCGCACGTACCCTCCGCCCCGCTCGCGCTCTCGCCGTCGTCGTTCCTCTTCCACTTCGCACGCACGCCCATCCCTACCCCCACCTCGGCACCGCTCTCCTCATCATCATCATCTTGTTCGTCCGCGCCCCCGCCCATCGCAAACTCCGCCCCCGGCATCCCCCATCCCTCCACGGACTCCACGAGGCCCGCCCCCGCCCTCACCTCCACCGGCACCCCCTGATCGTTCCTCCCCCAAAACCACACGCGCACCCCCCTCCCCCGCGCGCGCTGCATCGCGTACCACCCCCCGCCCGCCGCATTGAACGGCGCGCCGTACGATTCTGCCTGCGTCATCTGCGTCCCGCAGCCCTGGTTCGAGTTGGCCAGCCCGGAGCAGTCGGTGGAGATCACCGTGCTGTGGGCAGTAGAGCGTCGATGTCAGAAGTGGGGAGGGAGAGCAGGACAGAGCAGAGCTGGGATGGGACGCGCACGCACCCCGTTTGAGCGCGCTGCTGCGGCATCGTGCAGTCCGGCGCCGTGTGCAGCGAAACCAAGTTCGCAGTCGCCTCGTTCACGCCTTCCCACGAAAAAAAAGCCAAATCAGCCCGCTCGTTCCTCACAAGCACGACAGAGGACAGGCGGGACAGGGGACGAGAGACAGGGCGGGCGCACCTTCGATGATGTCAATCTCGCCGCCGTGCGGCCACGGCCCGCGCTGGCTGAGCGTCCAGAACGCGGGCCACGTCGCGCAGCCCGCCGGCATGTGCGCGACGTCGAGCACGACCAGCGAGTCTCCGTACGCGCCGCGCGACGTGATGCGCACGCTGTCGCGCCCGCGCGGGCCCCCGCCGACGCGCGTCCAGCTGTCCGCGCGCATGACGAACTTGGCGTCGGTCGCTTGCGGGGCGCGGGGGAGCGGGTGAGCACGCGCGCGGGAACGGGGGGAGGCGGGAGGGAGAGAGGCGTACCGTAGGAGAGGTTCTTCTGCAGCGCTGTGCGCTGGTCGACGTAGTTGACGCGCCCGTGCGTCGGGTCGTCCATCGTCTCCCACGTCCACGCGTCCAGGAAATCGCGGCCGACGAACTTGTCCTTCAGCACGTACTGCGTCTGCGCGTCGACGCCGGCGCGGTCCTGGGCAAGCGCGAGCGCGAGGAGCAGGAGCCTCAGAGCGTAGCCGGTACGCATTCGGGAGGGCGGGTCGGGTGTCTATGGAGGGAGGGAGCGTGGTCTGGTTTGGTTTGGTTTGGAGCGAGGAGCGCGAGGGGTGGGGTGTGTGTGTGGGACGTGCCGGACGTGAAGAGAAGAGAAGAGGGCGGGCAGGGAGCCCCGGGCGAGTTGAAGAGGGCATGTTGACATCTGGACTGACAGCCCGGAGTCACGTCTCTTCTGGGACCGGTGCATACGAGCCTGATGGTCTGAATCGCATCAAGGCGAGTCTACACGGTCGAGAGGGGTGTGGACCAGTGGACTGGGGCCGGACGTCGATCGGCGCAGTTGTTCATGGAGGCGCGACGGTGGCGGGACGAGGTTGGATGCCGCATCCGTCGCGGAGATCCTCTCTGTCCTGCGCCGGGAGCTGCCGGCCCGCCCTGAGCAGCACCCATAATCTCCAACAGACCCAACGGTCTAGTATCCAACATGCCCTGCACATTCACTGCAAGCTATGGTCTCCCCAGTATCGTTTTTTCGGCCCGCTCGTCATGGTCGTCCCATCTTACCGCCACGTCCTGCCTCTCACGCTTTGTGCACTCGTACTCGGCGTAGCGTGTTCTCCCGTGCATAACTCTGGACCATTACGCGGGGGCGTGCGGGTCAAGCTCAATCGTAGAGCGACGCGACAGACGACGGTCCTCCACAACGGCGACGTGATACACCTCTTTGATGCGACACCTGCGGTAAGAGCTGGTCTTGAACAACCTTTCTGAACCCGCTTTCGGAATGCGATCTGACCATCGTTGTTATATAGATACAAGAGCTGGAAGCTATCTTATCCAAATATTCAGAAGCCGTGCAGTTTCTCCAGGGTGTGGGGCTCAACTCGGAACAGATCGACGTCGCACAGTTCTACGAGCCCTCCGCTTTTGATACATCGTCTGACGTGCAATCACCCTCCCTCCCGCACGTCTTGTACCCATTCGGCAATATCTCCACCACCTCCACCACCTCTTCCTCTCCATCTGGGGCTTCGTCGATAGACTCCTCCTCCTCGTCTGCCGAAGACGCAGGCGCCGAAGATGCCGGGGACGCCGACGAGGAGGACCTTGGGATGGGCACGGGCGTCGAGCCGCTGCAAGACTTCGCACCTGGAAACGTCGACCTCTTGTATTATGGCCCGGTGGACATCGGCACGCCGGCGCAGAGGCTCACGATCGACATCGACACTGGCTCCGCGGACCTCTGGGTCCCTGTCAACTGCACCAGCTGTAACGGGCGCTCGTTTGACCCTGCGCAGAGCAGCACGTACACCAACACCAACCAGCCTTTTTCGATCACTTATGTGTGTCCTAAACTGAGATCCCTCTCGGATGATTTTTTTAAATGATACATTCGTTGTACAGGGGAGCGGCGCAGTGTCCGGCACGCTTGCCACCGACGTCGTGTCTATCGCGGGGTTCACCGTCCAGCAGCAGGCCTTTGGCGCCATCGACGGCGAGTCTGCCGACTTCCAGGGCCAGCCGAACGACGGCCTGCTTGGGATGGCCTTCGGCACGATCGCGCAGTCTCGCAGGCCGACGTTCTTCGAGAACCTCATCGAAGGGAGACAGCTCGCCGCGCCGCTGTTCTCGGTCCATCTTGAACGGCGGCAGGAGACTGGATCCGAGGTGCGCTTTACTGGTACAGTTGTGGGGCGGCTTTGATGAGGCGGGATTTATTTGTAGGTTTGCTTTGGCTGCGTTGATGCGGACCGTATCGACGGCACAGGGAGTATCACTTGGATTCCGGTAAAGTCCCAGGTGCGACACACCACGCTGATAGCAGCGCCTTTATTGATCAATTCCCTCCACAGACTTATTGGGCCATCGGCATGGACGGCATCGCAGCGAACGGCCAAGTCGCCCAGACAAATATTTTAGCCGTTCGTGCATCTCTTCTTGGTTTCCGAACTGATATCGATACCGGAATACACTCTACAGGCTATCGACACGGGCACGACGCTCGTATACCTCCCAAACGAACTGGCCGCGCGGTTCTACGCCCTCGTCCCAGGGTCCAAACTCGCGGCCCAGTTCGGCCCCGGTGAGCCTTGTACTAGCATAGCACGCGTTCGGGCCCTAATGCGTCTGCAGGTTTTTATACCTACCCGTGCGCATCACGGCCCACGGTCGAGCTGTCCTTTGACGGGACCCGCTTCGCGCTCGACCTGCGCGACTTCAATCTTGGGCGCACGGCCCTCGGCTCCGCGGACTGCGTCGGCGGGATCCTCGCGGCCGGGGACGGGTTTCCGTCGAACCTGGCCATCGTCGGGGACGAGTTTCTCAAGTCCTGTGAGTCGTTGATCTGTCCCGTTGTTCTGCGTGCGATATTGATGTGCTCGTCGGTGGCGGGCTGGGATGCTCGGGGGGTTCATCTAGGGTATTCGATTTATGATTATTCGAACGGGGCGAGGGTCGGGTTTGCACAGGATGCGAACAACAAGCCGTGATCATGTAATGCAACGATAGCCTGCCTCTTTCGGACTCAGTTCTAGTACAGCGTGAGGGATATCGTAAATAGTTTCATCAGATCATCGGTTCTTCTATTCACAAAAATCAGGAAGACTTGGGCTTCGCGGTCCTTTGTCCTCCGAACACCTTGCGACGTTGCTTCATCATGTACGTGTACATCACATACAGCCCTATCGCGCGAAACAGCAAGGCATCGCCGTCAACGTCCATTTGACCATTCGGATCAAGCGGAAAGATAGTGAATGAATGTCGGTGTGCTCACCTGGCCACCAAATGCCGAACAGCACCGCGCGCCCGATCGACTCCACGTCCCATTCGTTGAGAGGCGTCTTGAGCGGGAGCGTCGCGAACGCGACGAACGCCTCCGAGCCCGCGCCGGTGGGGTAGAGGACATAGAACGTGGTGTAGCGCAGCCATGTCAGCAGGCGCGGCTCGGCCCCCACGAGCGACGCCGCGTAAAACGTGTACCGGATGACCTCCGTCACGGACCACGAGAGCACCATGCTAGCGAAGAACGGGCTCGCGCGCGCCTGCGCACGCCGCACCGACCGTCGATGAGCGCGGGACTGAGAAATGCTAAGGAGGCGCGCGGGGCGGGAGACGCACCGACTCGAAGCGCGGGGCGATCCCCCAGACGAGGTACAGCCGGCTCGCGACCTGCGTGGCGGTGGTGCCGAGTGGACTGCGCACAAAGCCGAGGAGGACGTGGAGGACCTCTAGAAGCGCCGCGCTCTGCACGTACAGCGTCGGAGTGCCGACGGCGGTGCTTGCTGTGGTCGCGCGCGTGTAGAGAGGCACGAGGGCCTGGGGCACGAATGGGGGTATGTATGCGGGCGTGGAGATCGATGGTGGTGGTGGTGGTGATGATGGCGTGACGAGGTGGGTGAGCGTCAGGTAGAGGATGTAGGACCACCCGCAGGCGGAGAGGAGGTTGTAGAGGACGAGGTAGGCTTTCACGAGGGGCGGGGTCGCTGTGGACGCGATCATGGCGGCGTGAGCTGTCGCTAAAACGACACGACCGAGACGCGACTCACATTTCTTGTGCGCGCTGTGGGATTTCGTTTTCGTTTTTTGAGGCATCGTAGTGTGGCTTGACTGGGTGGTGAGTGGAAGAGGTCACTTCGAGGACGAATCCTGTGGGGAGCGCCGAAGCCAAACCCCACCGTTGTGTCGCGTCGCGAACAAGCGGCGCCATCTCCTCGGTCCAGTATATTCACCGACCACACCACCATCGCCTGCAAACTCAAACTTCGAGCTCGACATCAGCAGGAGAGATCGAGAGGCAGCATAAGATTCCAGGCAAGCGTAGCAGATATATACACGAGTTCCGCATTCCTTCTAGCAGTCTCAATCTTCGAAATCCTTCGAAATCCACTCATCAGGCGTCACCATCATACATCAACCTCCCGCGTCAAAAATTCGCGAAGGAGAGCAATGAATTCGAACCGATTGACGCTAGCTTGACGTGGCGACATGTCCGACACCCTCAATGTTCAAGTCTTGCGCCTTCAATCGAGGCCTCTGACTGATGAATGGAACGTCCATCCTCTGCCGGGGTTTGCCCACTTCACGATCGCCCGTCCAAGCCAACACTGGCCCCCAATCCATTCGACCAATGACAGTTCTCGCTTCCAGTCCATACCAGCGTCTTCTTCTCTCTCATATTATCGCCTTTGAGGTCAAGGGTCAGTCCCTACCATGTCGGCCCCCTCACTACTGTCCAGTGGTCTATCATCAACTCTGAGCGGTGGGCTCGGTGAGCATAACCATGCCCCACACGGCGGTCCACTTGCAGGCGAGCAGTTCGACGAAACAAACCCGCTCCTGCCGTCCGCCTCTGCCGTAATCCCTCCTCTCCCGTACCAAGCGGCCCTGCAGAATGCCCGGCTGCTCATGCGGATGACTCCGCTGCCCGTGATGCAGCTCGCCTGCCTCTGCGCCCTGCACCTCGTTGAGCCGATGGTAATGGGCCAAATCTCACCCTCCGTCAACGCGATGTTGGCAGACTTTCGACCTGCACTGCCTGAGGTGGGGGAAGACATGCCTGCGTCCGCTGGACCGCTCAGCGGGATCTTCGACAGCGCGTTCTCGACGATGCAGCTGTTCGCGGTCCACCAGCTGGTCAGGATCTCTGGTCAGTACGCACCTTCCGCGCCGCCCTCTCGATACTCGGCGGACATCTGAAGCCCCGCTGCGTTATGGACAGACAAAATAGGCCGGCGACCCATCATGCTGTGGAGCGTCGCGGGCATGGCGATGAGTAGCTTTTTATTTGGCTTCTCCCGCTCTGTCCCCGTCGCTGTTCTCATCTCTTGCATCAGTGAGTGCGGTCCCCGTCTAGCAGCGAGCATCGACAGAATCGGCTTCCTACCTCAGCTAGCTTGTCGTCTGCGAACATGGCCGTCGTGACGTCGATGCTGGGCGAGATCACCGACTCGTCAAACCAAGCCATCGCGTTCTCTGTGTTCGGCTTCGCAGAGCCGCTGGGCAACACAGTTGGGTTCGTGGTTCAATTGCTGTCCTCCCTGATAGCACCCAGTGCGATGATCGATAGATACCAACGGCTGCGTACGTTCATTTCAGGGCTTTCATCGGCACCACATTCTCGAATCCAGCGGCGACGTACCCCCGCGTCTGCGACAACTTCTTCTTCCGCGCCTTTCCTAATTTCCTGTCGGGTATTTTGACGGCAGGCGTCGCGTTCGCGTGCATGAATTTTGCGTACCATTTCATGAACGAAGTACGGCACAACCGCTCAATAATCAGTGCTATATCTGCCGGACTCAGACGCTCTCCAGACACTTCCACCGGGGACGGGGAGGCACGAGGCAGAACCCGCGGGCTCGCCGTCTCTCGCTGCGGCAGAGATCGACGAGGAGGATCTCGGGCTCGCCAAAGCCCACGGGATCATCGCACTGCTCTCCGCGCCGCATCTCCGCGCGGTCTGCCTCTCTGGCCTCGCGCTCAGCTTCATCGCCACTGCGCACGACACCGCGTTCGCGCTGCTAAGCACTGCGCCCATCGAAACGGGCGGCCTCGCATTTTCGGTGCGTCGCTCTCCGCCTCAATCATTGTCGGGCATGATAGTCACCCCCTTCGAACCCCTCCACCGCCCAGACGGCGGACGCGGAGTATTGCCTCGTGCTCGCGGGCGGCCTCGCCTCGCTCTTGCAACTCCTAGTCCTCCCGCTACTCCTCGCACGCCACGGGCACGCGCGCGTGCACAGCGCCTGCGCCGCGCTCTGGCCCTGGTGCTTCGCGCTTCTACCGCTTGCCAACGCCGCAGCCTGGCTCGGGCTCCCCGACGAGGCCGGCGATCGCAGAGACGCCCCGCGCGGGCTCGAGCACGTCCATCCGCGCGCCCGCGCGGTGGTGTGGGGCGGAGTCGTCGCGATGATCGCGCTCGCGAAGAGCGCCCGGATGGCATTCTCGTGAGTCGCCCGTGTGCTGCTGTGCTGCTTCGCGTGGCGCTCCTCCTCCGCGGACGTCGCATCAGCGATCCACCTCTACGCCGCGATGCGCGGATGGCGGGGCCGCTCTCGGCAGTAACACCTGGGCTTAATTGCTCGAGCGTGCCGCGAGTGCTGACTCACCGGGGCTGCGCTGCGTTATTATTTTTGTGCTCGTCTCGATTCTCGTCGCGTATACGGCGTCTCATGGCGACAGGATAAACATGATTCTCGTCAAGGAGCGCGCGCCAAACGCGGCATCGCTCGGCGCCGCCAATGGGCTCTCGCAGTCTGGGATGGCGCTCGCGCAGGCGGCTGCGAGCGCCTTTGTAAAGTGCGTCGCGACACCCGAGAGTCAGACGGAGGGACGCTGATCCCGCTCGCCCCTGTGGTGCGATGTTGATGCCTGGTGTTCGGTGGGGCCGTTTGACGGGCTCGGGCATAGTGCGCTGGCAGCGCTGTCGCTCGGGCACGAGGGGGCAAGGCAGTACCTGTGGATCGTGGGGCTCGTGATTATATCGTTCGTGGGGTTGTGGTCCGCGAAGGATGTCGAGAGGGGCGTCGAGGACTAGGGAGAGCGGGTGGGATGGGCGTTAGCCGTTGGAGGGCGGTGGAGAGAAAAGGAACCGGTCTGCTTAGACAACGACTGACAAAGCGAGGGTCATGTAAAGTCAATCGTCGACATCGACATCTTGATGATATGATCGGCGGTTCGTGTGAGTTACTGACGCAGCGTCGAAGCCCAACTCTAAAGTCTCTTTCGAACTCAACGTGGGATCGGGCAGGTCAAGGCGCAGGACTGATACATCCTATCACGGCTTCTGTCAATTTGGACGCCTGGTCTGCTCGAGCAAACTGGGGCGAACAACAGTCTAAAGAACAGCGTACGGTCTCGGATAACAACAGGCGAAAATTTGAAGAATAAAGACGGGTAGTGTACAATCGGCGACCGTGCTCAGGCTCAACGGGATTACGACCAGAACGGAGACACGTTGGGAGGATGGCTAACGTTTTGTAAAACTGAACGGCTGGTGTACAGTGAGCCAAGAGAAAGTATGAATGCGAACACCTCGATCCAATCGCGACGACACAGACAGTCCGGCGGCCCACCATCCCTACGTGTCGGTCTTCTCTCCGCCCTTGTCGCCCGATGGGTTGTTGAGAGAATTGTTGCCGGACATGACCTGCGCCTGGCTGAGCGCGGAGCGGAGGGCGGCATTCTCGATGCGCAGCTGATCGACGAGGGCACGGCATTCCTCCCAGCGCCTGTTCGCTTCGTCTGCGGACGCGAGGGCGGCGTCGAGGAGCTGCGAGCGGGACTCGAGGGCCTTCACGTGTCTGTATGCGCGGGCGATGAACACGGTTCGACGGGAGACGGGGAGAGAAAAGGCACGCACTGGTCTCGCCGCTCTCTGAACGCGCGCTGGGCCTTCCGATTCTGCTCTGCTCGCTTGCTCTGGCTGAGTGTTCTGGCGTTGGGCTGCTGCTGCTGCTGCTGCTGTTGTTGTTGTTGCTGCTGCTGTTGCTGCTCGGGAGAGGGGAGGGACTGGTCGTGCACGCCGGGAGGGATGGCGTGTACTTGGTGGGGAGGAGGGAGACCGGCGGTGGAGTAGTCTGCGGGTGCGTATTGATAGGGGGGAAGGGCGTGAGGATTGGGCATGTGCGGCGGGACGAGGGTGTGTGGAGGTGGAAGGGTGTGCTGCATGGCTGCCTGGGGCGGGGGAGGAGGGGCGGGCTGGGCAGGATCAGGGTTAGGAGGAGACTTGCGTTTGCGGGAGGAGCGGGGCGGTGGCTGAGTTACAGGCGGAGCCTCCTGGCGAAGACGCATTGTGTGGATTGTGGGCGGCTGCGGGTGGCCGGGGCCCGCCTGGAGGTCCTGGGCAGAGACGGCAGGCGGGGGGGTCGGGTGCTGTGTGAGCTGGGCGACATTGACGGCGTTGGTGTTCTGCTGCTGCTGGTACGCCGAGTGTGCTAACATGGGTCGTGCAGTCAACCAACACGTAGTCCGCCCCCTCGACATTAGTAAGAACGCCACGCCTCGGTCCTTGCCGCGGCCACTCACCCTCCATCTTCAGCTCCTCCATCTCCTCCATGAACGACCCACGCCGCCCCCGCAGTTCCATCTCGCCTGGTCTGCCCTCGCTTGCTGACATCTTTTCAAGTCTGACTTAGGGCTCGCGCGTGCGGTCGGCTTGTGTCTCGGCTTTGCGCCCCTCTCGGCTTATGTACAATTCCCCTTTCCTTATCGGGCCCCTTCTCACGCTCCGTGCTTACCAACCGCTACCACCTGTCCCGGGTCACGCCGTCACATCCATTCAGCCACCTGGCTTTCTCTCATGCCCTCCCGGCTAACGCTTTCACGCCATGTCAACATCCCGAGCAGACTCCGTGGTACTCTTGTCATCGATGTCGCCAGCGCCCATCCTCACTTGTCCCACACAGGCAGACCTCGCGCGCCGAAGACGGCCCGCATCTTTCCGATTCCATAAGGAGTTACCACGCTCCAGTATGACTAATGATTTCTTACATACTTGGAACTTTTGATATCGCTCGATATCGGCCTCGAAAGAAAGATGCCGTCTGCATGCAGATCGCAGTCGCTCGAGGTACAGCATCGCAGTAGTGTCGCGCTTTATGGAGACAATGCATAGGCATGCTTCAGCCACATAAGTAGGTTTTGGGATCCGTATGCCTGCAGTTTTCCCTCGGTCGCGATACAACCCACGCAGAGTGTCCCGATCGCTCGGGAATTTGAACGATCAATCAACGCATCTTGGCCGTCAAATGCTCTTTCGCCAATTCTGAATTGTGCGCTCGAATGTAGCGCCCTTGTTTTCTATTCTGTCTTCTTCTTTCTGCCTTTCCCTGGCTCTCCATTGCACACTTCAATGTCCTCTGGTCATGAATCCCCATTTTCACGCTCTGCGTTGGCTGGCAATTGTTGCATATATATTTGAGATACCAGTGGCATCCTTTCGATCAAATGGGGCTGATCCGAGCGCATGATTCTGAACGAGCGACCCTACATATGAAGAGATGCGATGTGACTTTGCGTAGCTCAACTTATTGGGTATCAACGATCATGGACACATGCCTATACACCGACGTCTCTTGCATACATACAGCATCACTGCCAACCACCAGCTTGGAAGGCCTGGTTGTCGTCGAGCACTGAGCAGGAGCTGTAGCGCCTGGGTGAGAAAGTGTTACGTAACGAAACACGCCTTGGACTAGCACACTCGCGGCGGAGGCATTCGCTGTGTTGTCTGTCTCCCGCTCTACCTCGTTCATACCCCCGCCTGCCTCGTGTCTCCTATGGCCGCCTCTTCTACCGCTTCTCATGACACAGTCACTCAGGCAGCCGCAGCAGCACCCGCCAAGTCTTCCAAACACAGTCTATTCGCCAGGCGCAAGGCGACGAAGAAGGGAAAAGAAGTCGCAGATACCACTTCGACAGCAGACGAGGCGCATCCCAATGGTACCAGCAACGAGCATGGACAGGAGCAGCACCAACCCCAGACGGCCGCTTCAGCTGAGGGTGTGACCACCACCAGTACGGTTGACCTTCCCACCCCATCCCATCACGACGGCCCTGAGGGCGTCAAGACGCAAGATGGCGCAGGCGCAAGCTCTGAGCCAGGGCAGGACCCTACAGTGTCTCAGCAGGAGTCGTCCGCTCTCGCTGAGCCAGCCTCGGTCGAGCCGACGACTGCATCTTCCGTCCCTCCCCCGCCCTCAGAGCAGGCTGACGAGGCTGACAAGGAAAAGGAGAAGGACAAGGGCTCTCTCTCCACCACCCTCACGGGCACCCAGACCCATACACGTCAGTCCCGACGTAAAGGAACCCAGGGCGCTTCTGACGGCGCGCATTCTTCGACGACAGATCCCCCGTCCACACCGACGCCGCGCGCAACAGGCAAACAGAAGGCCCTATCCCCGCGCGCCCGCCCTCGCGTCTCGTTGTTTTCGCGCCTTGTCCACGTCCTCGTGCCGTGTGTCGGGCCCGCGCATAGCCCCGATGACCTCGACATAGTCCCTGTGCCTGATGTCGCCCCGTCTGACGTTGAGAAGCCACCCCTGCCTGGCACCGAGGAGCCGCAGCCCGTCCAAGAGACGCCTGCTCCCGGCGAGTCTGTGTCAACTCACACGCCCGCCGACGCCCCCACCACCAATCAGCCCGAAGCGCAGCTTCAGCCGCTTGACGTCGGTCCCGCGACGCCGTCTTCTGGGGAAAAGGAAGTTGTCATCCCGCCTACGCCTACTCGACATGTCTTGCCCCAATCGGAGACCGAGGGTGTGACGTCTGGGGCCGTTCAGCCACCCGGCTCGACCGGCGAGGAGGTGACCCAGCCAAAGACACAGCATGACTCATCGGGGGACGAGAGCGATGGAACGAGTTTTACGGAAGACGAGGACGTCGAAGAGGGTCCTGGAATCGATGAGGTAGAGGATGATGAGGATAGGTTGATCATGAGTGGTGGAGCGGGAATACCCATTGGACCGGTGTGTTTGTCTTGCGCTTCTATCGCTTGTCCTCGTTCTTATGCCTTCCTGTTCTAAGGACGGTGTTCCTCGACCACTATTGCCTCCAATCGCACCCCATCACGCAGGCCGCAAATGCCTCGTCCTCGACCTGGACGAGACGTTAGTGCACAGCAGCTTCAAAGTCAGTTTTCCACCTCATTCTACTGGCACGATGCATCATTCGAGCGACGTGGATTCATTCCTGTTCAGTCAATACACCAGGCCGACTATGTCGTGCCCGTCGAGATCGAGTATCACTGGCACAACGTCTACGTTATAAAGCGTCCTGGCGTCGACAATTTCTTGAAGAGGATGGGGGAGATCTACGAGATCGTAGTCTTCACTGCAAGTCTGAGCAAGGTACGCAACTGCTGGCCAAAATTTTGAATCGTAATTGGTTATATTTTGACACATGGCTCTGATAGTATGCGGACCCAGTACTGGACAAGCTGGACGTGAATCGCGTGGTGACTCATCGGCTGTTCCGGGAGAGCTGTTATAACCATAAAGGCAACTATGTCAAGGTGATGAGCCTCTGATTCGATCTCCTTCTATGTCACTGACGTCGTGGATCGGATGGCAGGACCTATCACAACTAGGCAGACCCATAGCAGATACCATCATCCTTGATAACTCTCCTGCTTCCTACATCTTCCACCCCAACAACGCTGTTCCTGTGTCGTCATGGTTCAACGATCCCCATGATACGGAGCTCACCGATCTCTGCCCATTCCTTGCTGATCTGGGCACCGTGGATGATGTTCGAGGAGTGTTGGATGGAGGGCTATAATTCCTGTCGTCTCTAACTCTGTCCCTCTCTTATCGTGATTTTACCTCCGTCTCTCCACGTTGAGCTTCCCTCCCAGCTGAGGAGTTGAAAGGGCGTTACCATACCGCAACCATCGTTTGCTCTCCTTACCCCTGTCCCTCCCTTTTTTAGCCGCCTCATCGGTCATCGGTACATACAGTCAGCCACGCTTCCCATATACCCCCCGCAATCAACTCTGTCACGTTTGTTTCGGTCCCAATTTGCACCCGTTGCTTCCATCCTGTCCCACGGTTGGCACGCTCTTTCCATTCCAATGTTGGACTTCGTTTTCTTATTCCTCTCCAGTCGCCTCGCTCTCACTAATAATGCTACTGTTGCTGTCGTCGGGAATATACACGGCTATGCCACTTCTTCCCCCTGGTCGGATCCCTCAGCACCGCTCCCTCCTGTACCGCTTTATTGGCCTCCCTATTCTTCTCAGCTCACCATGCGTATCGGTTTTGCGCCTATGCCCCACGCCGCTCACTTTTGCGTTTTAGATCTTTTGTTGTCTTAGGCACATGCACACGTTTTTTCTCGCCCAGATTTCGCGCTCAGTCTTTTCTTCTCGGCTTATTGTCTTTGGTTCTCTTTTCTATATATCCTCCGGTTCCATCCGTTTCTGGCCCTTACGAACTGGTACGAAAAGCGACGATCGACGACGACGATTCCCCCGGACTGCGTCACTTGCAGTATTTACCTAAAATTGCGTTCTTCCTCGCTCTCGCTTCGGGTCCTCCGAATCTGTGGATCTGTGTACTCGACTCTTTTTGAAAGCCGTAATACATGCTGTGCGCAAAAATTGGATTTTTACAAAATCCAGGAGGGCTGTTCTGAGCTAGACTGTACGTTGAGCGATCTGGTATAGTCCAGTGTCATCTTCGTCAGCGAACGTGGGTCGCGATCGTTCACAACGCTTCCGCCTGGGTGCGTTCCAGTTCCCCAGTGGCTGTAAGTGGCGCTCAGTGGCGCTCGACGGCATGTTCCGAGCCGTTTTTTGAAGGTCCGCTCCAGGAGGCCTTTCATATATATGGCAGTTTTGCTCATCGCGCCTTTTTCCATCTCTCCCCTTCCCTTCATCTTTAACTAGAGGTGCGTTCGTCTGTTGTTTCAGCGCCGAGCATCGCTGACCGATGCCTCCAGGCTCCGGCCCACACATAGACTTTTAGAAGGTTCTTTGTCCTTGTCGCCTTCGTGCGCTTATCGCCCCAGACAAAATTTCCATCATAACATCTTTAAAGGTGCGTTTCTCGCAAGATCGACAAGCACTGATTTAATTGTCTCACAACCTTCTTTACCGATTTTTGCACAGATCTCAGAAATGCCCGCTGTCACCGCCCCCGCTGCAGCTACCGCTACCCCCGCTTCCCTCAAGGCCGCCCCTGTTGAAGGCCAGGTCGACGTTTCTTCCCTCTTTGTCGCCGACAAGGCTGCGCGCCAGGCCGCGGCTCAGTCCCTCGCCTCAATCGCTCAAAAGGACGGCCCTCTTGCCATCAAGTCCACCGGCTTCGCTGATGCCGCCGTCAAGGCTCTTGCCGACAAAAAGTCGCCCGCCGCCCGCGAGGGTGCTGCCGAGGCTGTTGCAATCATCGCAGCTTCCGCGAGCAAGGCCCTCGAGCCATCTTTCATCGATTCCGGCCTCTACGCTGCTCTCCTCGAGGCCTTCGCCGACAAGATGCCTGCTGTCCGGACAGCGGCCGTCGAGGCGGTCCGGGTGTACGTCGCTGCTGCGAACCCATGGAGCACTGCCCTCATTCTCCCTGCTCTCCTTCACGAGATCAAAACCGCCGGCAAATGGCAAATCAAGACTGGGTCTCTCGTCATTTTGGACCAGCTCGTCAAGAGCGCGAAGACCCAGATGGCCAAGCTGATGCCCGAAATCGTCCCCGTGCTCGCTGAGGCAATTTGGGATACCAAAGCCGACGTGAAGAAAGCTGCTCGCGAATCGCTCACGAAGGCCACCGCTCTGGTGTCCAACAAGGATATTGAACGCTTCATTCCTGCTCTCATCAAGGCTCTGATTAATCCCGTCGAGGAGGTGCCGACCACCATCCAGCTCCTCTCGGCCACGACATTCGTTTCCGAAGTTGACTCCCCTACACTTTCTCTAATGGTCCCCCTTTTGTCCCGTGGTCTCTCTGAGAAGCTGACCGCCACCAAGCGTAAGGTCGCTGTGTATGTCAAATTCTCTTCGCGCTTCAGAACTTAGCTCACTTAGATATTCTACAGCATCATCGACAACATGGCCAAGCTTGTTGACTCTCCGGTCACCGTTCGTCCTTTCCTGCCTAAGCTCCTCCCTGGTCTGTTGAAGGTCGAGACCACCATCGGCGACCCTGAGGCTCGCAGTGTTGTTGGCCGTGCCATCGCCACCCTCCGTCAAGTCGGCGAAGTTCCTACTGGCGATGGATCGGATCTTCCCCCTCTCAAACAGGCTGAGTTCAGCCAACTCGCTCACTCTCTTGCTGCTGTTTACAAGAAGGCCGGCGCTTCTGCTGTGCCATCTGTCGCTGACGAGACCACCATCTACGTCGCTCATCTGGCCACGAACCTCTTGAACGCGAAGAACTTCGACGTTCCCGAGTGGGATACCCTCGCCCCCTTCCTTGGCTTCCTTGCTGCTACCCCAGACCCCCTCACGATTGCACGGGAGTGGGTGGTTCGCTCTGCTACTGAGGACATTGAGGATGGTGATGCACTTGAGGATGAGGAGGAGGGTGAAGATCTTTGCAATTGCCAGTTCTCGCTCGCGTACGGTGCCAAGATCCTCTTGAACACCGCCGTCCTCCGTCTTAAGCGTGGTCACCGCTACGGTCTCTGCGGTAAGAATGGTACCGGAAAGTCGACGTTGATGCGCGCCATCACCAATGGGTTAGTTTTTTTCTCATTATGCACACAGCCACTTCTGATTGTGTCTTTGTTGCTTACAGTCAAGTCGAGGGCTTCCCTTCCCCCGACGAGGTCCGCACGTTCTACGTCGAGCACGACATCGATGGCAGCGAAGAGGAGACTTCTGTCCTCGAGTTCATCCTTTCGGACAAGCGCATTCTCGCTGACAAGAATGAGGTCATTGAGACCCTCGCGTCCGTCGGTTTCAATGACGAGAGGCAGCTGCACGCCATTGGCAGTCTCTCTGGTGGTTGGAAGATGAAGCTCGCCCTCGCCCGCGCCATGTTGTTCAAGGCCGACATCCTGTTGCTCGACGAGCCCACTAACCACTTGGACGTTGTCAACGTTGCCTGGCTGGAGAACTACTTGACTGGCCTTACCCACTGCACGTCCATCATCGTCTCGCACGACTCCGGCTTCCTCAACAACACCATCACCGACGTTCTTCACTTGAACCGTTTCAAGCTCCGTCGTTACAGAGGAAACCTCGAGTCCTTCGTCAAGCAGGTCCCTGAGGCCAAGTCTTACTACACTCTGGAGGCAGCTGAGGACTACAAGTTCAAGCTCCCCGACCCCCCTTTGCTCGAGGGTGTCAAGACCAAGGAGAAGTCGCTTCTCAAGATGCGCAAGGTTGGCTTCCAGTACCCATCCCAGCCCGTCCAGCAGCTGTACGACATCACGCTTCAAGTTTCCTTGTCATCTCGTGTCGCTGTCCTCGGCCCCAACGGTTCCGGAAAGTCGACGCTCGTCAAATTGCTCACTGCGGAGATGGAGCCGAACAAGGGTGGTGAGGTGTGGAAGCACCCCAACTTGGTCATCGGCTATGTTGCCCAGCACGCCTTCCACCACATCGATAACCATCTCGACAAGACGCCCCTCGAGTACATGTTGTGGCGTTACCAGACTGGTGAAGATTTGGAGGAGATGATGAAGGCTAATCGCCAAATTTCCGAGGAGGAAGCGCAGAAGATGAAGGATGGTTCCATTGTCGTTGTCGAGGGTCAGAAGCGTCTCATCGATGAGATCACTGCCCGCAAGAAGTTGAAGCAGTCATACGAGTACGAGGTCTCGTTCAAGGGTCTCTCTTCCTCGGAGAACATCTGGCTTCCCCGTGACGAGCTCATCAAGCGTGGTTTCGAGAAGGTATGCCACTACGTATCTTGCTAGATTCTTGACGGAGCACTCATGTTTACTTCGTTATTAGAAAGTTCTCGAGGTCGATACTCGTGAGGCTCAACGCCTTGGCCTCCTCCGCCCTCTCGTTCGTCGCGAGATCGAGTCCCACTTTGCAGACTTTGGTCTTGAGCCCGAGTTCGTTTCGCACAACACCATGCGTGGTCTTTCCGGTGGTCAGAAGGTGAAGATCGTGCTCGGTGCTGCCACCTGGCGTCGCCCTCACGTCATCTGCTTGGATGAGCCGACTAGTACGTCCAATCTTAATTTGCCTACCGCTCGTATGTTTACGAGTCATGACTAGACTACCTCGATCGTGAGTCGCTCGCCGCTCTCATCGAGGCCCTGAAGGTCTTTGAGGGTGGTGTGCTCGTCATCACCCACAACCGAGACTTCTCCGAGTCGATCTGCCAGGAGGTGTGGGCCATGCGTGATGGTCGTCTCGAGGCCTCCGGTCACAACTGGGTTGAGGGTCAGGGATCTGGACCCCGTATCGACAAGAACGACGGAGCTGAGGAGGACACATATGATGCTATGGGTAACAAGATCGAGAACAAGAAGCAGAAGAAGATCACGTCTGCTGAGGCTCGCAAGGTTCGTGACCATACATTGTCTTTGAGAGCGTTCACAGTATCTAACGTAACCTTGTCTCTCTGCAGCTCAAGAAGGAGCGCATTGCACGGAAAAAGCGAGGCGAGGAGATCACCGACGATGAGCTGTGAAGCAACCACCGTTGTATTTTTTTTCACTCATGTCCTCGCTGTGTTATTCCTCGCCCGTGTTTTTCCTACGTGTGTCCTTGTCCCTTGTCTTTGTTACCTTGTATTGTTCACTATGGCATCATGTTCGAGTATGTTCGTAATGACATTTTTATGCTTTTATCTTTTTGCCACTCGTGCGCGCGCAGAAACCTGGGCGAAGACTGAGCCGATGAGGCTCACGAGGACATGGACAGGTGTCTCGGCACGATGAATCGATGACGCGTGATGTCCAGGCAAGCTGTGGGTGCAGCACAGTTGCGTGACGGAAAACCTTGCTCTGCTTTCACTCGACATTGCCGACTAAACGCGGAATGCGGGCCACGAAGGCCAGGCGCTACGTTGCGTGAAGAGGGTGCGCGAGGGTGTGCGGCCTGCCGCGATGTGACGAAGAAGCACGCCAGAGCCGGCGTGCGTCATGATGCAAGTAAGTTACAGACTCGTGTCTCGCCGTATTGTATTGTGTTGTGTCGTATTGTGTTGTGTCGTATCGTACCATTCGAACCACCCTCGACGTGACGTAGAACGAGACGAGGCGAGACGGATCCACGCCATCATCGATAGGCCACGAAGTCCCGTCCCCGTCGACTTGCGTGCCGAACGAGGGGTTGGCTGAGGATGGACGGGGTGCGGGGCGAAGCGCGTTGCGTCCAGGTTGGTACGGTCCTAAACTCGATTTTTTTTCAGATACTTGAGCACTTGAGCACGTCGCTTCTCGCCGCTCGGCTGGCGGGAGGACGACAGTTCCCAAGACGGACGATGCGCGGACTGGCGCCGCCGCGAGCTGCCGCGAGGGGGCGGCGAAGAGCGAGCCTTGACCGAGGGCGGAGCGCGATTCGGCGAGCCGGATTCGCGTCGAGGCGAGCGGCGTGCATTTGCGTGGCCGTCGGTGCGCGAGCGGCGTGATTCGGACGAGAGTCGCCATGAATGTATGACTGGGAGTCGATCGGGCCCTGCGTGAACCGCCGCACCGCACGAGGATCAGGTGAGAGTGCGCTGTTACCAACAGCTGGCGAGGGCCCGGCAGGGGAGAGATGCGTGCGGTCCAGAACCCAGGAGGTCCGTTGCAAGTGACGAGGAACCACAGACGCAGCCGGGCCGATGACGCGCGCGAAGGAAGTGCTCGTGCCCAGGCAATAAAGCGTGCGCAGGCGTGTGCCGGTACAGGGATCCGCGACGAAACGGCAATCCCAGAAACGAAGCCGACGATCGGCGCTTGACGAGGCCGCATCGCGCGGTGTGTGCGACGGATCGCGACGAGGCGAAGTGCGCCGGCGTGGGCGGAGGTGCTCAGCGACGGACGTGCGCGGACTCCAGAGCGGGTCCGCCGGCGAACATGCGTGATGCTTGAGTGTTAGGACGAGGCCGGGGCGAACCGAGTGGAGCGGGACGAGCGGGAGCGATCCACTGGGAATGGGCGTGAACGGGACGAGACGTGCGTCGCTGAGGAACGTAAACGAGCATCCAACGGGGTGTATCAGGACGTATCGGGATGTGTCGCAGAAGAAGCGGGAATGGGCCACCGTGAACAGCCATTTTTTTAGACCGAGCTCCGGTCGGCTCAGCACACTCTCCACGAGCGGGACAACACGCCACAAATCGCGGGATCGACAAGCAGCCAGCAGCCAGCAGCCAGCAGCCAGCAGCCAGCAGCCAGCAAAATCGCCCACGCGATCGTCCACAGCCATCTCGAGGCGAGCGAGCGCCGAGCACGCACGGCTCCGCGCCGCCCAGCCAGCGCCCACGCGCGTCCGAAGCGACGCACCCAGCGCCCACAAGCGCCCACAGCAGAAAAAGCAAACGGCCGCGCCATGCACATGCACGTGTCATCACGATAGCACCGGGCCTTCCACGCCACGCCACGCCGCGCGCGCTCCCGCATCCACACCCGCATCCACACCCGCACGATGGAGATCGACGACCCGACCGTCTACTACGCACCCGCCTACGCCCCCTCACCCCCGCCTCCCCTCCCCTCTCCATACCACATCGCGCTCGCCGCCGCCGCCTCCTCCGCTTCTCGCCCCGCCGCCGCCGCCGCTCCTCCCGCCACCGCGACCGAGGGCGCTCAGAAGAAAAAGAAGGAGAAAAAGCCGCGCTACCGCGCCGACGCGTTCCTCAAGGCGCGCAGGCGGGACAAGGCGCTCAAGAGCCGCAACCCGCGGCAGCTGCGGAAGCGGTACAAGGCCGCCGAGCGAGGTGAGTCGTGTGGCCCCGCTTCCGGCGGGGTGGAGCGCTGCTGATCGTTTGTTTGTTTGTTTGTTTGGTTGGTTTGGTTTGGTTGTTTAGCGAAGAGGGGGTGGTGAATGCTAGGTGGCGAAGAGGGGGTGGTGAATGCTAGGTGCGCGAGGCGAGGAGGAGCCGCGCGCGTTGGTGGACGAGATGGGCGGCCGGGCGCGCGGCGCGGCGTGGCGCGGCGCGGCGTGGCGTGGCGTGGCGGAAGTTTATTATGGACCGAGGTGACGCTGGGTCGAGCGGGAACAAGCATAGATCGCGGAAGGGACACCAGGATGTATTGATTGATGAAATAGAGCACAGACGAGCTCGGACCGAGCGAGACCTGCGTACATCGTATACCTCCGACCCGTTCGCGTCGGTGAGCGCGCGCCTGCACAGACCAAGACACGCAAACCCGGACGGGTTACGGGCGTGTCGAAGCAGCGCCCCGAGGGCCGAGGGCGCGAGACGTGCGTCGTGATCGCGTCGATGGATGCGCGGGACTGTATCTCTGCGTCGATGGGCCCTGTGAGCTGTATCAAGTCACCGTAGACCGCGGCGGCACGTTGGTTAACCTAGCATCGGCATCGGCATCGGCGTTGGCGTGGCTCGACGCGATACGATGTGGGGGTTGGTAGTCCGGTCGAGCCGACGACGGGCGAGGCCAGCTCTGGTCAGCTGGTGTGAGGATGCCGGGCGGGCGGGGAGCTATGGGGTGATGACGCGGGGCGGGTGACTGGTGAGTGGTGCTGGAGTGGTGCTGGCACGGGCGGCCTCGGGCGGGGCGAAGCGGATGGGCGGGGTCGGGGTCGTCGAGGACGTGTTTGGTCGGCGGTGGGCGGGTTGGGTCGTGGGTTGTGGGCGCGATGGGCGCGATGTGGGGGTGCGAGAGCGTAGGGCAGGGTGCGCGCGCGGGGTGGCGGAGGCGGGCGGGGTGTGCGGGGCGTGCGGGAGATAAGAGGGCCGCTGGGCAAAGGCGGATTGCGACAGTTATGAAATGCGAAACGAGCGATGGAAGCTGGGAGAAGACGGTGACGGGACCGAGATGATGATGCAACGATGCACTGATGATGATTTGATAGCGGGGGCGCTGGAGCCACGCGGAGCGCACGGGCGGAGCGGGACCACCGGAGCGGGGACGAGATGGGTTCTGATTCATGACGCCGCGAGGGTGCTGCGCCGGGTCGATCATGCGATGCAAGGCGGGAAGGGGGCCGGCGGGCGAGGGAATCACGAGGGAGGCGGGGACGCGGGTAATCGAGGGCCGAAAACGAGTTTGGAGAGAGGGAGGGGGACGTGTGCGATGTGTTGCGATAAGATGGAAGCTGGGAGCGGGCGCGCAGAGTCGCGCAGGTCGCAGGGCTGGGGGAGGCGGCGTGGTGGATCGATGGCGGGAGGCCGGGCGGCGGCGGCGACGGGATCGGGATCGGGCGGGGGAGACAGCCGATTGGGCGAGCGGAGGGCGATGCCGGGATGGACACAGTTTTCAACGGGTCAACGGGAGAGAGTCTCGAGTCTCTCAGTAGTGTCAAGTGTCTCGCGGTGCAGCAGATCGCACTGGTCGCCATCAGACAGCCACGGACACGCTCGCCTGCAGCACGTCTCCGCCGCCCACCTCCGTCCACTCCCTCCGCTCTCTTGCTAAGCCGCCTCGAGGCACTCCCGCTGCGCGCTCCCGTCCCCCTCACTCTCTCTCCTCGACGCCGCCATGTTCGCATCGACGCCGCTCCAGCACTGGTCCCTCGCCGTCGTCGACCCACACCTCGACCTCAGATCCCTCTTCCTCGCCGCCGCCTTTCTCCTTGTCCTCTTGATCGTCGGTGAGTCAAATATGCCCGTCTTCCTCTTTCGTCCCTCCCGCTCTCTTCTCGAGACCTCTTCCTCCGCCACAACCGCCCCCGCGTCCTCCGTGCTCCCATGCCCGCTCTATACGTGCTGACCCACCGCGCCCACCTCCTCGTAGCCTACCTCACAAACCCGTCCGAAACCTCCTTCAGGTCCTATCTCACAGAACAGTGCTTCCGCCACCACCTCTCCCGCCTCGACGACGCCAGCGACGACGACCACAGCGACTCGGAAGACTCTGGCGTACACTACTCCTCCACAACCCCAACCACCACCACCACCACCACCGTCACCCCCCGCCGCCCCCCGTCCTCCTCCGACCTCCTCGAGTCCGCCTCCACCTTCCACTTCTCCAACCGCGCCTCCGTCGCCCTCCGCACCCCGAAACACGCCTTTCACAGCTTTGCCTTTTTCACCATCGCCGCCGTCATCCCGACCTCCAGCTCCCGCGCACCGCCCGCGGGCACAGCATCCCACCGCCCCGCTCCCGCCCCCGGCGATCTCGACGGATCAACCCCCAAGGAAGCCTGGTTCGTCGGCGCCTTTGGCCGCTGGTGGAAGGGCATAGAGATCCCCTGGCCCCAGCGCTCCCCCGCCCGCTCCAAGTGCGACGAGGAGGGCTGGAGCTCCGGCATCCTCAACGTCAAGGCCCTCGACAAATCAGACCCCTACAACGGTCAGTCGCCAGCCCCGCCCGCACGATCGATCGCTCATCACACCTCGACAGGCCTGCCGTTCCCGACCACCTCGCCCCAGTCCCATCCCCGCGCATCCCCGCCAAAATTGCGCTCCCGCGACCGGTCCAACCCGCGCCACAACCCGCCCCGCACGTCCAGCCCCCCGCCGCTCCCAAAGTCCGCAACCCTCCCCCTCCACACGCCCCGCCAGCCCTCCCAGTCCCAGGCGCACGCCGCCCCGGCCCCAGCCCCGACCTCGCCCCCGTGCCCCCCCACCGCGACCGCCACGCACGCGCGCTCGCCCTCCGCGACCACCCTCCCCGCGCACGCGCCCTCCTTCGAGCCCACGCCCGCCATCGCCGAGCTCCTGCGCCAGATCTCCCACACGCGCGGCGCAAACCACGACCTCCGCGCCCAGCTCGCCGAGCACGCCGCCCTCGCCGCGTCCACAGACGCCGACCTCGCCGCCGACCTCGCCGCCGCGCGCGACGCGAAGCGCGCAGAGGACGCCGCCCGCGCCGAGCTCAAGGCCCGCACCAAGGCGCTCGAGGACGCCCGCCGCACCGCCGAGGCCGCGCGCCGCGACGCCGAGCGCCGCCTCCGCGCCGCGCAGACCGCGCAGGCCGACGCGGGCGCGCGCATCGGCGCGCTCGCGGGCGAGATCCGCGCGCTCGAGCAGCAGGTGCTGCGCGACACGCGCGCCGTCGCGGACTCGCGCGGCGGGGTGGACGCCGCGGCGCGCGAAGTGGAGGGCGCGCTGGAGAGGCGCCGCAGGGAGGTGCAGGTCGCGGAGGACGTCGTCGCGGCGCTTGGCGTGCGCGCGCGGGAGCTGGAGGAGGCGGTTGAGCGCGAGGGCGCGCGGTTGAGGGAGGCGAAGGACAGGGCGGACATGCTCCGCCAGGACCGGGCCTTCCTCTCGCTCTCGGTCGTCCAGAGCCAGAACCAGAGCGCGGACGGCTGGGCGCCGCTCCTCGCGCCGGGGTCGTCGTCCTCGGAGAGCCCGGACAAGGCGGGCTTTGACGAGGTGTTCCCGACGCCGCTCGAAAAGGAGCACGACAGCGGGAGCAGCTCTGCGTCCGCGGGCTCGCGCGGCGCGTCCGCCTCGCCGCGCCCGCGCCCGCTCAGCCTAATCCCCATCGCGAGCCTCGCGTTCAACCCGACCGCGCGCGCGCGGCCGACGACCTCGTTTTCGCCGTTCAACGACCGCGAGGACGAGGGCGAGGACAACGCGGACGCGGACGAAGATCAAGAGGGCGCGCGCTCCGCGCCCCTCAATATCGCGGGCCTCCGCGCGTACGCGCCCCCCGCGTCCTCGCTCATCCCGCACAGCCTCATCCGCTCGCTCGACGCGCACGCGCCGCTCGCCGGCGCGGGCGCGGTGTCCAAGTCGTTCCAGTCCGAGAACGACGTGTTCCTCGACCGCGACTGGCGCCGCCGCATGCCGCGCCACTCCGACTCGAGCGCGGGCGCGCTCCCCGTCGGCGCGTCGCCCGCCGCCGCCGCCGCCGTCGCCATGCACAGCCCAAACGCGATGCACGCGTCCCCGGTGTCCGCGACCGCGACCGCGCCCCCCGCGTTCCCGAGCGACGCGCAGGAGGACTACGACCCGTTCGAGATCCGGCCCCCGCCGGTGCCCCACCAGCAGCCGCACCGCGCGCCGCGCCAGAGGCTCATCTCGGACCCGCTGGACGTGCTGCAGCGCGCGTGGCCCGCGCGCACGAACTCCGATCCGGCGCCGCCTCGCGAGGGGCTCGGCGCCGCGCACGCTGGTGCGCGCGGGTGGTGGTTTGCGTCGACGGCGGCGACGGCGGCGGCGGCGGCGGCGGGAGAGCTCGGCGAGCGCGAGCGCGAGAGGGAGAGGGAGAGGGAGCGCGAGAAGGAGAAGGAGAGAAGGGGGCTTAACCCCGACGCGAAGGTGTTCCGGATTTCTCGCCCGCCTGCGTTCGGCTCCACCGCCGCCGCCGCCGGCGCGCGCGCACAGCAGCAGCAGCAAGCGCCCCCTCCTCTGGTGTTCGACACGCTCAACCCCTCCGCGGGCCCAGGCAACGCGCCCTTCCTCCCACCCTCCCCCCCCACCACCACCACCACCACCACCGCGTTGACGACTGCACCTGTGGTGGCGGCGCCCGCGGCGCCCGCGCTGTTCTCCGGCCTCGCGATGCGCGCGTTCGCGCCGTCCCCCGAGGAGCGCGAGGCGCTGCAGCGCGCGCTCGGCGGGTCGACGAACACGAGCCTCGAGCGGCTGCCGAGCCTGAGCGAGGTCGGCAGCAGCGGGCCCGCGTCGCCCGTGCACGTCCACGCGCACGCCCACGCACACGCCCACGCACACGCACACGCGCATGCGCACGGCCATGCGCACGGGCAGGCGCACGGGCAGGCGGGCCTGGCGCTCGAGCTGGCGGCGGCGGCGGCGAAGCGCTCGTGGTTGGTTGGGCTCGCGGCGCCGCAGGGGGGCAAGATCCGGTTCAGCCCGTGGGGCGACGCGGATGGGGAGGACGGGGGCGCGTGAGGCGGTCGCGGGGGCGCGCGCTTTGCTCTCGTTGTTGCGCCCCCCCCCTGCTGCCTCGCTCGCTCGTGCGTCGCGTCGCATCGCGTGTTCGTTGTTTTGGTGCTGCTGTGTCGCGCGCGAAGAAGAAGAAATGTACAGGTCCTGCTGCCGGTCGCGGGTGTTTGGGGGTCGAACGCGGATGCGGCGGTGGCGTACGGGGCGTTTCTCGGTTCTCTCTTTCTCTTTTGCTCTTCCCCTTCCTCCTATATATAAAAAATACTACAGGTCGCTCAGAATGGCATGCGTGTCGAACGTCGGATGATGTCGGTGTGCGTGAGCGTGTGCGTGTGCGTGGGGGGGTGAACCACTGTCAGGCCGCAGATTGCAGACTGCCGCTGGACGCACGTCGCGTCCGGGTGCTGTGCTGTGCCGTGCTGAGATTCCGAGGCGTGCGTTCGTAGATATATATAGCGGGCCTGCTCACGGGCTGGCTGGCCGGGTGGCTGACCGGCTTAAACAGGATCAGGATCAGGATGGTGCGGATCAGGGTGGGGGCCCGGTGGGGCAGGAGGGCAGGAGGGCCGCTGCGCTCGGTCCTCCGTCCTCGGTGCTCGCGGTGGGCGCGGCGGGCGCGCGCACTGCCAGAGCGTGATTGTATCAACCGCGGGCTCTTCGTTGTGGGACCAGTGCGCGCTGGCTGGTACTATTACTCGCCCCCGTGAGTCCGACGTATCGATGCTGCTGTCGGTCGCGCGCTCGTGTGCTGGCCGCGTTCCAGCATGGTGCCTTCAGCGCAGACGAGCCCACCGATCATCGTCTCGATGAAAAAAAAATGCGATAAAATACGATACGATACGATACGATAAAAGGTAAACGACAAGTGGGGTCTCGGCCTTTCGTCGAGTTCTTTCGCTTCTGGGGATCTGGGTGCCGCACCCACTTCGAGCTCCAGCTCCGGAGCACTTATCGACGTCCCGGAAGTCTCACGAAGAGTGCGATGGTGTTCTCGGCGGCTGCGATCTGAACAGGTGACGGCGATGGGATAGTGTCGATATCGCCCGCGTGGCGCGTGCAGGGCGCGAAGGCCGACGAGGGCATTACCGACGTCCGTACGGAAAGACGCAGACGGTGAATATTTATCAGTATGTCCACTGATATGTACATTAGCGTTAGCGGGAGCAGACTTCCCCTCCCCAGCAGCATATCGTACCGTATAGTCTACACTCGATCCCAAGAACGCCCAGCGAAGGATGACAATTTATACCCCAAACCCTAGATCTCGACAGATACCCCCGAAGAAAAGGGAAACCCAGAATAAAAAAAAACCCCGCCTCTCCCCACGATGCTCCTTGAAGCGCGACTTGCGGCTCAGGGCATATCAGTGCTCATGTACGACGACGCGACGCTCATGCGGCCCGACGGCAGATTCCAGCCCATGTCGTCGTTGAGGCGCCCGAGCTGCATTGGTTCCTGGCTGCTCGCGTCGCCGAGGCTCGGCTTGCTCGACCCGCGGCGGATCGGGCTCGGCGACGGCGCGCGGCCCTCGGCGACGACGACGACGTTCGGCTTGCTGAAGAGGAGCAGCTGCGGGCGCGTGGTGAGCAGGAGCGTGACGTTCGCGGCGCCCGAGAGCGAGAAGACGACGATGACGACGAAGTTGAAGACGGAGGGGGCGTCCGTGCCGTGCGCCTCGAGGCCGAAGTTGATCCAGCGGACGACGGTCAGCGGGAGCACGAGGATGGCGTAGATGAGCGGGTACCTGGAGAGGGCGAGGGGAGGCAGTCGCAATATGATGTCAGCTGTCGTGCGACGGGGGCAGGAATATCGGGACTTACGCCAGCATCGCCATCGCGCGGCGTTTCCTGCCGTCAGTATCCTCTACTACCATTGGCCGGTGCATGCGGAAGCGCCACCATTTGTGGGGGTCCACGGAGAGCCTTCCCTGGCTCCAGAAATAGAGCGGGACGTAGACGAGCAGAGACGTGGACAGGGCGAGCCAGAGCCAGAAATACTCGCCCGCGATGCGCTCCGCCAAGAAACGGCCTCCGACCCAACACCAAAACTATGCAGAGCCCAACGCATGGGTGAGCAGAAACAAGATGTAAGGACGGGACGCACGGGTGTAGGGACATCGTAGAGGTCGCCTGGCGAACGGTGCAGTCCGACGCCTAACCCGACGAAGAGAGCGACGAAGAGCCAAATGAACCCCACGATGCAAAAGGCTGCGAGACGGGAGTGCGTGCCCTTCCGCCACATGACTGCAATGAACGTGTGCACGGATATCACCTGTCCACCGAGAGGGGGATCAAGAGGCTGTTCGGACTCGAAGATGTAAATCGTATACGTACGAAAGTAGCCATCGCCACGCCTGTCTCACCGAGTTGCTGTATGGCGCCTACGAGGGGCGCTGGACTCAGAACAGTGAATCGGCAGACAGCGATGAGACATACCCTGCGCGGTACAGTAATCCCCGCTATACAACTTGGCCTCGTGCACCCATTTGATGTTCATGACCATTCCAAACGCTTGCAGAAAATCAGAGCAAAAGAGAGACATCTAAAAGGTGCCATCGATTTCAATGACAGTCCAACGCGAAGAGATCACGACGTGCCATGAATATGTCCATAGGCTCTTGTAGAAGTCTCCACTTATTCCATGGCACTTGTGTCCAATGTCTGTAGACATTCCTCTGCGAAAGTGACATCGATTGATCAATCGTCTGTAACTCAAGAAAAGGGAGACGTACGATAATGAGCGTGAAGAGAAATGCAATCGAGCACAGGGAGATCAGTGCAGCCTCTACAGTGAGCTGAAGGCGCGCGCGCAATAGACAGGGATATGTTGCTTTAGCCATGCATAGGGCGAGCCATCTTATTTGACTCACCAGGACGCCAATATTCTGTCCATGAGTGAGACATGTGATGGTCGGATAGGGGTTGTCATCTGTGGAGAGAGAGAGAGCGTATTCCTCTGCTGTGCACACGATGCCTGGGGGCACATTCGACATTGCAGACGACGCCGCAGGAAGGAGCGGAACGAGGGAGACCTCGTAGAGAGGAGAGGACGAGATACGATCGCGGAGACGAGCGCGTGTGCGGCTTTTGAAGACAGACACGGCGCTCGCATACGTCTCAGTCTCCAGTGGACCCGACCGCTCGGCGCAGCTTGACGTCAGGCACTTGTGGCCCGTCGATGCGACTGTTCGTACGTCTGTCGGGCGATGTTCCTAGCCGCTCGCCAGCATCCTCTTGCGGCTTCAAGTCTGCTCTATGCTGCTGCGCACACGAATCAAACATCCCACAAAAACACGATCCTCCGGCGTCTCTGTGAATCCACGTCTCCGTCCATTTTGTTGGCTAATCCTAACGTTGCCTATCAGCGCCCGCTGGACCGCTCAGCACATGGCTTGAAAATGCAAAAGCCACTCACGAGGGATGCCGCCGTTCCACTCCTCTCCCGTCTCCTTTTATATCCAGTCCCGTTCCCGCAGGCCCCGTTCCGACCCGTTCCAGCCTCTTCCATTCCTCGATAGCAGATCATTGTTCTAGGTCCATACAGCGGAGCTACCGCGAGACCGCGACCAGCACCAATCAGATTTCTGGCGACGGCAGACGCCTCTCGGCCATGTTGTCTGCACCCGACGTCGCGCATCGAGCGTGAGTCTATGGGCTGGCGTCTGCGTCCTCGTAACAATCTGCAGCAACAGCAACAGCAACAGATACGCCCACTTCATCAACAGTTAATTGACAGGTTCCTTGGCATCCAGGATACGACCAGACCAGGCGTTCCCCTCGTGCCTCGTGCTTTGCCTCAAAGACACGATAAGCGCGGCACCGCGACAAGGACCTGCAACACGTTTGCACATGCTTGTGTCCCACTTTTCACCAAACATAAAACCACTCGATCACCGCAGTTTTCTCGGAACACCATCGCATGCCCCGATTTTATACACATGGCCCTGCAACCTTTCGGACGCTTGAGTGCTCGAGTTCTCCGTGCTTATGCTAGGGCGTGGACTGCAGTCTGTGTGGTCCGTCCACGAGAGCTGACGTATCAAGTCAGTCGTGTATAGGTCTAGGCCATGCAGGTGACCCACCTAACGATGCGACATGCTCTTCGACGAGAGAAATCCGCTGAATAAGGTGTGTACAAACTTGCCACTGCTGCACGGAGTAGACCCCCTCAGGCTGATGTGCTCGCAAACCGACTTCTCAAACTCATATGCATCTTTTGCTTTCTACGGTTGAGTTGACGTTGGCATTGGTGCAGAGTATGTGTATGTCAAGGGAAGGACCGGAGAGTAACACGACGCGATGACATCACGTAGCTGAGTGCGCCAGCTCCCTCCATCTCGAGAACGCCATGGCGATCTATATCTGAACGGGGATTATATCCAACGAAGCAAATCACAGCGAAATACAGGAGTCATTACCTCAATACAAATATGATAATGCGAGCGCAGCACCCGTCCAACCAGACCACGCCAACCTACACCCACCTCTAGCGTCCATTCAGTGAACCTGGTGGTCAACTGGACGATTGCGCGCCGGCGCTGGGCCCGGGCTCGGATGGCGGTGGCGGCGTGGTGGGGGGCTCCTCTGCGACTTTGAGCTCGGCCTCGATTCGCTCGCGCGCGCGGACGACCTTCGACTGGATGTAGTGCGAATACGATGATGGTGCAGCTCCTCGTGTACCGGGTGTCGATTTTGGTGGCGCCGCGGGCGGGGAATTCGCCTTGTAGAGATGCTCGTAATTCTGTGCGAACGCCGGTCGTGAATCACCGTGCGCGAAGAGCGAGAGTTTTGTCAAGAATAATGGAACGCACGCGCATGATTTGCTCCATGGCCTCGGTTCGCTTGACGTTCAGAATGAGATGCGCCTCGTCGAGCGTCATCCTGTGGTCCCGCGTAAGACGATCCGTCAGCGAGCCCGACTTGGCGTTGCCGACGCCCGCCACGTCGCCACCGATTGACCCATCTGGCCGGTGCTTCGCGTCTGCGCCGAAGCAGGAGTAGGCCAAGACCGCAGTTTAGAACGAGCGAGACGAGAACATGCAGAGCGTACTTTTGACGGCCTGTTTCCCCGCCTCGAACAGGGCCTTGCCGAATATCTGCGTGCCAGTGATGAGGATCTGGATGATGATTTTTGGGGCTGACTACGCGGAGAACATCTCGTCAGACGCCATACAACGAATGCTGTGAGAAGTGCATACCATGGCAGAGGCCCTGCGGGTGTAAGGAGCGACGAAGATGTGGTACTGAAGCCGCGGTCGGGTGCGTGAGAAAGGCCAAAATTTCCTCCGAATTCACTTGCACAAGCACTCCCAAAGCACACCGCGGGATTGGCATCGGCACTTCACAAGATAATACCTATACATCCCAAACAAAACCGTCACTATGTCCCAGCACACAACAGCACACGCCCCTAAACGAAAAGACGTTCCCGACCCCACGGCCGTCGGCAGCACGTCCAAAAAAGCCCGTCGCGAGGACGGCACCGAGAAGAGACACAAAGATAAAAAGGAGAAAAAAGAGCGATCCAAAGGCAAGGGAAAGGCTAAGGCGGACGCGCACGAGGGCCCCGAGGGCGAGTTTTGCGCCGTCAAGGCCTCTGTGGTGCTTGCCCTCTCCCCCGTGTTCGCGAGCAAGCCGCGCGAGGGCGCAGAAGAAATGCTCGACTCGATGATCATGCGGTGCGTCCAATTCCGCGCATACCCTCCCGAGCGAATGAGGAGCGAACATTCAGGCTCCACGCACGCGTCGCGTAACGCCTGTGCAGATATATCCCAGCCCTGCGCGGCGTCGTACTTGCGCACTCGAATCTGCAGTTTCTCGACAAGGTCGGGCGGATACAGGCCGACAGCCCATTCGCGGTATGCAACGTTGGGTTCGAGGCGACGATATGGCGGCCAGAGCTGGGGATGAAGCTATGTGCGTATCCCACTTCGGCGACTTCGTGCATGCAGTTCATGTTCTCATGCTCGCATTTAACGGTAGCCGGAAAAATCAATCTCTGTTCCCCTGACCACATATCGCTGCTCGTGCATCGGACGTTCAATGTATCTATACCTCGACACCATATCCAAACTGACGAGTGGGAGTTTGAACATGGGCCGGCCGAGAATGACCCAGAATTTGGTATAGGAGTAGAGGCAGTGGATGCCCAGGATGGAGAAGATCCAGGAGACGCACGCCCCTCGGAAGATGTGGAACGAGGCGGAAGGTGGATTCACAAAGTCACTGGTGATCGACTGGGTGGTGAGGAGGGACGCCTGGAGTTCACAGTTGTTGGGTACGCATCGCAGAGCCTCTGAGTCCGCTTATGGAGGTACTCACAGACCTCCAATTCCAGCCTCACGATCGCGAACCAAATGCTTTCCGTTCTCGGCTCTATCCAGCCAGATCCCTTCTCTCCTGCCCATATTTCTCACTCTGCTGCACACGAGGAACCTCAAACAGTGCGATCACCATCTCCTCAAGCCGAAGAAAACGAAAACGATGCAAGCGGAGAAGAAGAAGAAGGCGGGGCAATCGACGCTTTCGCACAGCTCGGCCGGCTCAGCGACGAGGCAGAGAAAAAGGCGCAAAAGGAGCGCGAAGCCAGGGAGAAAGCGGAGAGAAAGGAAGAGAGAAAGCGAAAACGGAGAGAAAAGGAGAAGCAAGCTGAGGAGGGAGAGGTTGCGGTCAAGAAGTCGAAAAAGAAATTTTGACATGATCGTTCGTGCAGCCTTGCTATGATCATGACCTGCCATTTTATATCTTGGAGCTCTCACGAACAACCCACACAGTGATAGCCTTCTCGTGCGATGCCTTGGACGCGGATCGGTTTTTCTCGAGCACACCTCATCAACGCTCAGTCCAATGTATCTTATCCAGCTACACTGTAGTCCGAAAGCCTTCAGGTCTAAGCAACTATGACATATGGGCCACACCCGTAAATTTCGTGCTATAACCGATAGACAGCACGATGTCCATCGGAATCTAGCCCTGAAGGAACTGCTCGTATCTTTAAGGCGAGACTCTTTCAATGACAAGACATAATGGTCAGATTGCATCCCGAAAGTGGGCGATGGAAAATTACAATGTGGGTCGCCGTTATTGAGGATCGTTGTCTGTCACGTCGCTTTACGACTGAGCTTCGCCCGCACGCGGCCGAGTGAGGGTCCGGAGCTGTGCACGGTGGAAGCTGCTACGCCGAGAACAGAGCGAGACAAGCAGGACGTGCCGGTCAGATGGCGCAACCATGATGAGCGTGGGGCGAATATCTTTTTGGGAAATTATAGCGGCGAACCTGCAGGCTTTGTTGGATGCTGGTCCGGTCTGTTGATCGTGGGTGCCGCTAGCTAGCGTCCGTTTTGTTGCTACAACCGCCCAAATCAGATGTAACGGATATAAGATACACCCGTTTCCTAACGGCTAAGTACATATACAATCCAGACATCTCAAAGCTTGTGTAGTACATGAACCATTCGCACAAAGAAAATCCAAGGGCAAGCAAGTCAAAAAGTCTCTCGAGATCTTCCCAAAGGCGCTACCAGGGCTCGAACCTGGGTTCCAGGAAATTTGAATCAGAATCCTGAGTGATAACCACTACACTATAGCGCCATGTGAAGTAAACAGAAAGCATATACTAAAACCAGTGCAGCGTATGCCACCGCCAGCTGCGTCGTTGCCGTGCGAGGTCTCCTCTGCAACGGCAACACCGACCGGGACAGCTCGATTGGAGCCATCGAGTGCGATGATGACCAACCCGTCTCACATCCTAATCGCCAGAAGTTCTCGAGGCACCCACAACCCCTCTGCCTCCCTCAGCTCCCCCACAGAGACGCACGCAGCTGCAGCAGGCATATTCAGGTCCACAGGCTCTCCGCCATGGTTTCTCGAAGGATGCGATACGGACGACCTCATTTCCGAACTTAGCATTGACGATTCCGAGGATCCCATAGACGTTGATAAGACGTTTACCAAGCGCCATGAATTTCCAGGGACGGTCAAGATCGTCGTAGAGAGCACGACGTTCTGGTATGTCTCCGAGTCTCGTGAATGCCACGGCTCTTCCAAAGCCACTGTTGACACGGGCAACCATGGCACAGGGCACACAAAGAAGTGCTTTACTTTGCGTCCCCATTCTTCCAGGCCGCACTGAGCGGAGACTGGGCAGAAACTGGACGCCCGGCATCCATGTCTTCCGTCATTACCATCTCTCAGCCTCCCATCGTTCTGGGCGACAAGCGACGCTCTGATGCACCCACAGAGATGACCTTTGCGCCCATGGACCCCGACATCGATCCGGAGGAATTGGACATTGACCTTGGCGAATCGAGCGATGCGGAGGCGAGCGATTCGTCCCAGGCGATACTTATAACTCAAGACGACGAGCGCCCTAACGTTGAGATGAGTGCCGAACCGAAGAAGAACCCTGGAACGATGAAAGAGCGTGGTAACAGAGCGAGCGCAACGAAAGTTGTGGTCGAAGTACAGCCAGAGGAGAAGGAAACAGCGAGAAAAGAGAGTTTGGATAAGCTGCAAGGCGGCAGCCCGAGGCCTACGGAGTTTGTCCCTCCGGAGCCTCCTAAAGCGAATGAGAAGGGTAGGGCGAGAGCGAAAAATGGACAAACTGTCCGCCTCTCTTGGAAGAAGGGTGCTACGGAGGCCGCCGTTCGACGCCGTCAGAAGGTGAACGGCCCCGACGCTGTAATCGTTCTCAAAGAAGAGAAGGTCTGTGCTGTTATTGTTAGCATTGTGTATCACTTCGGCCTCAATTTCGACAATAGGCGAGCACCTTCCATGACTTCCTCCATTTCGTGTATCCTGGGTAAGAACAACGATGCTTCTTTTGAGCTGAGCTTTCGAGACATACTAATCAACTTTATGATAGCATGGAATGCACTATCACATGGAACAACGTTGAGGGTCTCATGAACATTGCACACAAACTCTGCGTCCCGTCCCTTCAGCGGAAGTGTCTCAACTTCTTGCTCACGCACGCTGCGGGGCGACCTATCAAGGCCATGCGCATCGCAGAGCTCTTTGAAGAGGAAGAACTGTACCGCGAGAGCTCCCGCTTTGTACTCGACAACCCAGGCGGATGGTCAGAACACGAGTTGAGCACGCTTAGCAGCGAAACGCTCCTCAGACTTGAGCGCCGGTATGAGCCCATTCCATTCAGCTTGATATATGCTGTTCATTGGCTGGCGTCCTTCCCTAAAGTCGTACCTGGTTCCTTGAGCGAGTATTGAAGCTCGGCCTGATCCAGATCGCCAAAGAATACGAATGCGTGCGTTCTGCTACTGACTTTTCTTTTTCTCTCCGCGCTCACATTCACCAGTGCTCTTCTTGCTCGGACCCCGCGTCCTGCGCGCGCCTCCTCGAAGAGAAATGGCGTCAGGCCTACCAAGCTGTCTTCCGCTTTGGACCATGTCAACCCTCTATGGTTTTCCGGTACTTGCGCACCCTTGAAGGCATCAGTCCACCCCTCGCACTCTCCCACTTAGCATGCCAGTCAACAGCCAAGGCATTCATAGCAACACGTGCGTCTCTTGTTTCTCGCCAGGTCGTGGAGCTGATTGTGGTCCTCCGCTCCCGTGACAGTCTTTGACCGGATGTTCACTCTTGGCGTGCGTGGGAGCGGCACTGACACAGCTCCCCTCGGCGCACGCGTCGCCGCAGTCGCGGGTGTTGCGGGCCCACGCCGCCATTTCTTGTACTGCTCGCTTAGACCAGAGAACCCTGCGCCGCGGCCTCCGCGCAATCGTGATGCAACGTAAAGGCAAATTTTCTTTGGGCGTATTCCCCTCATCATAATCTTAGTCTGCATCTGTGTCTTTGATTGCCTCGTATCTGTGCTTGTACGATACACTCGTTTATCTCTTTTTGACCACATGGGACAGTGTTTGCTGGAACTCTATGGACTTATAACCTTGTTACTTCTTACGTTGCTTGTCTTCTCCGCACGTTTCTTTTGCATAGTTTGTGAATGATGAAACAAATGGTGATTCCTGTTCGGTAGCGGTCGGTGCGCGGCTTCTTGGAGTCGATACGAGTCATCCTCGCCAATCATGACTCACATATTCTCCTTCGAAACAAGGTTCCGCGACTTCTTTCGGCAACATAGGCGAGCACCGTCGACTGGTTTAAATATCTGAGTCTTTTTGCTAGTAGCCTTCGTCTTTCTCTCCCTTTCTTTAACTCCTACCAATGGGTCAGTATTTCGAGGTTTGGAACCTCGATAAGCACCAGGCCATTTCCCTCGACAAATTTGGTGAGGGCTTTATGGCAGGGGTTCCGTCGCAATTGGAACGGCGGTACCTTAACCGCAACATAATGTGGCTCGCCGATTTGGAAGATGTGAGGACTTCCAAACTTTGCTCAGACTTTTCTGTCTAATCATGTTGTTGTCGATGGTTGCCTCTCAGCTTGAAGAAGTCAAACCAGTCAAGAAGCGCCAGTCAACACATGATGATGATTATGATGCTGCCCTACTAGCGACTTTTGAATGTGCCCGCAAACGCAGAAAGCAACTTGAGAATGTCCCAGGCATCGCCGATCATGAGCCTGCTTGCTCCAACGCGGAACTCATCAAGCCCGTACCAGTAGTACCACCCACCGCTTACTTCTCCCTGCTCTCCGCCGAGCTTATTCATTGCATCAACGATCACATTCATGACTACTTCGATGTTATCATGTTTTCCTTGACTTGTCGCCGGCATTGGCAGATCGGCCGAAAGCACATCGCCTCCCGCTTCCTTTCCATGGCCTATTGGGGCGGTGATCGTATCATCTGTCTCGGCGACAACTGCGACCCTTTCGACATCCCGGACACCCTCGAGCTCACGGACGCGGAGAAGGCTAAACTCGACAGGTGGAAAGCTCGCCGCTTGGAGTCGGACGATAATGCGCACGACGACCCGCACGACAACGAGGATGACAATGAGAACGACAAAGAGGAAGACAAAGAGAAAAACAACGAGGAAGACAACGAAGAAGACAACGAGGACAAGGGCGGGGGCGAGGACGAGGACGAGGGCGAGGACGAGGACGAGGACGATGACCCGGAGAGCCCAGGAAGCGTTTTGTACCGCCTCTTGGGGGAAACCGTCGAGTCCTTGACCACCTCAATCATCGAAGACCAATTGTCCAGCTTACAACCCGACTGGCGCAAGCCGAACGAATCTCGTTCGCTGTTCAAAGATCTCACAACGCCTGAGTTCGCGCAGCACGTATTCGGGGTGCGCGTCCCTCCCGCGCGTGGAGAGGAGTGCCGGATCCTTCGCAATCTGTCTCGCCGTGAGTACGTGCACAGCAAGACGCTGCAAGAATTCAAGGCTCGTTATTCTGAAGAACACCCCGGAACCAAGGTCACGTCCGAGTTGCGACGCGTTGGATTGAGCGAGGCCGTGGTCCTGCGCACCATCTGGTCATCCGACGGCTCTTGTTCCATGTGTTACCAACAAAAGAAAGACAATTTTCACCGCGGAGTATGGGCGGGCAATCGGTTTGATATCGTGTCGGACAGTACCTTTGAAAAGGAGAAGGGTGAAGGATGGAGAGACGTGTCCGAAGAAGTGGCGTTAGAGCTGATCGCAGTGTGGGCATGTGAATTCGCCTAGTGAACTGCAAAATCCCGAAGAATGTCAAGAACGTGACAATATAAAGTATCATGGTTATTCCATTGGCGCAATAATCCAGAGTAATAAGATACATATCCACAAAGGCAGGTAACAAATGCGAACACAGAGGAGCGAGAAAGCGAAAAGGAAAGAGTGAATGGGCGCTGTCGCGGGATATGATGACAAAAGATGTGTGGGATAACAAACATGAGCGGCGGGCGTGCGCCGAGGGGAAGATAGAAAAATATAGATATCAATGAATTAATGAACGCCTGTGCACCCACTAAAGGACAAAGAATAAAAGGACCCAGATGGAAGAGGTGAAAATCCAAGAGATCGTCGACGGCAGCGAGCCCGATGGGTATGTGCTTGGAAACGCGGTGGGTGAGGCGCGTGTGGAACGAAGGATGAAATGCGGAAGGAACCATCTATCAACTCGAGCGGGAGCAAAATGCTGTCCGTCCTTGCGTGCGCATCAACACAGAAGAGGGGTGGGGAGGGGCGTATGGAGTGGGGTGATAGCAATGAATACAACATATGTATGAGGGAATTCAAGATTAGTGTTGTTCGTTCGGCAGTGGAGGGAAGATCTCTGGAGCCTTCAGCACAAGCCACTCGACAGACAGCGCTTTGCCTGCCATGTCGCTAAATTCGGCGGCGGGGTCGCGCGAGCGCATGAGGGTTGCTATGGCATATATTAAGCATGGAGCATGTAAGCTATGGACAGGCGCAAGACACTCACGCCCAAATACAACGCCCAGGTTGCGCGCAGTCATCAGGTTCACGTCACTACGTTCATAGACCCTTCATACGGCAAGATGATCAATGTCGCCATATATGAGACAGCGTGAACAACACCCACCGGTGGAGATGTAGCATGAGCAAGCGGACGGTGTAGTAGTGTTCCGTGGGGAGTTGCGAAACCAGATCAGCATACTTAGCGCTCTTTGCGGCGGGTTCCCGAGTGGTCGAAGCGTGCATAAACTCGTCGTGCAATGCGTATGTCATAAGTGGATTAGGCAGCGATCGGAAATACGTCTTGAGGACGGAGGTGATGCTGCAGATGTCGTTGAACTTGTCCTGGTCCCGAAGGTCGAAGGAGGCGTAGTCGCCCCGCTCGAACAATTGGGTGATAATCTTCGATTGTCCGGACCCTCCGGTCTTGCGATAGATGCCCTCGTATTCCAGCGCTGAAATGGCGTCGCCGACCGGGTCAGATGTAGGGGATCAATGGCGCACGGGAGGTGTGGATCAGCGTACCTGAGTTCTCGACGGCATCGATGCACTTCTCGACGATGACCGGTACCATTCGGTCGGCGCCCTTCGAATCCGCCCGTACCTGCTCGATGAGATCACGCCCAAACATAGATGGGGCTATCGCACGAAGCCATGAGAAATGGTGCTTCGTTTATGAAATTGAACGTACGCAATGGAGCGGCCGACGCCGACTCGTCCCGGCGAGGGGCCTGTGGCGTGCAAGCCGACACGACATGGTTCAGGCAGCGAGGATGGACCGAGTAGCTGCAAGCTGACGGACAAGCGCATCAGCACATCCGAAGAATGCACTTCACGTAAGCACCACGCCGGCTTACCTGAACAGCGCACTTGGGATCCCCACAGCTTGTCGCCGCAGTAATCGCATCGCGTGAACCGCAGTAGACTGATCTGCTGGAAGACGTGCTTGGCACCCATGGGCTTTTCGACTTCGGGGACTGCAACGGCCGAGGAAGGCGTCGTCTCCTTGATGAGTCTCCCTGGCCACCGAAGCTTGCCCCGCAGAGTCGGTGGCGCCTCGGCGTCCGTCTTTGACACCTTGATGTATACGCTCGAATCCGCGCTCTCGTCCGTCCCGAGGGAATTTGTCGTCAGCACGGTGTTGGAAGGCTCAATGGTACCCATCGGAGGCCTTTGCCTGTCAAACGAGCCGCTCTTCTTCTCGCGCGAGGTGTCCTGTTCGGTGTTGTCCGGCATCGAAGACTCGTTCCGCCGCGCATACAAGGCATTCAACTGGGCCAGCTCTTCGTTGCGAGCATTGAGCATGGTGGTCTCTTCCAAGAATACATCCCGGGCGGCCTTGAGTTCGGCCACTTCCCGAAGAAGGGCGCCCCGCTCGTCGGTGAGCGGAATCAGCTCGCGCTGGTACTGCGTTTTCAGCTTGTCCAGGCGCATGGTAAGCGAGCGACTAAGGTTGGCGGGAGGATCCCCGGTGTCGCCCAGGCTCGAAGCGCTGCAACACAAAGCGTCCGGTTAACCAACAAAGCAAGATGCGTCGCCCAGGCTGCCTCACCTCCTGGAAGACGCCAGCTCGTCCATCTCTGCAAGCGTCACGTCGCGCTCGACCCTGAGCTTCGAGACGTCGCGTTCGAGGCCGGTGAGGCTGTCGCTGAGCTCCTGGGTGATCTGCTTGTGCAGCTCGCCCTTGCGGTTCTCGTTCGACATCGCGATGATGCGCGCGGCCTGGCCAGCAAGCAGCACTCTCAGCCGCGTCACCTCTGCCTCCGCGTCCCGGCGCAGGCGCAGCTCCCTGTCGTACTCGCCCTGCGCGACCGTCAGCCCGTCGATGTATTGCTGGCTCGCCCGCTGTATGCAAAACGTCAGCCTCATATCGCCACTCACGCCGAGAAGCAAGCAGCAGCAGCGGGGGGAAGGGGAACAAAAAGAAAGCAAGAAAGAAAGAAAGGGGCGGAGTGGAGTGAAGCGAAAGAAACGTGGCCTAACCTTCATCCCGTCCAGCTTGCCTTTCATCTCCGCGTTCTCGACCTTGCGCTGCTCGACGACCATGAGGATCGCCTGCACGAACTCCTTGTCGAGGTTGACATGCATCGCGCCACGCTTCGACGCCTCGTGAAGCGCCTCCTGCAGCCGGCGCGTCACCAGGTCCGACGCGTCGTGCTTGAGCGGCCGCGCCACCGTCGAGCCCGGCGCGGTCACCGTGATCCGCGCCGCGTTCGCCTCGTAGCCCACGCTCGCATCCATGTTTAGCGAGGTGTTCGAGTCGAGCCGCCTGTGCCGCGCCAACGACGAGGCGGCGGCGGCGGCGGCGCCACGCGCGTCGCGATCGAGATCGGAGGACGAGCGGCCATGCAGCGCCGGGACGGTGTTTAGCGGCCGCCGCGCGGCCGACACGCTGCTGCCCGAGCTCGTCTGCCGCGAGATCGACTCGGGCTCGCGTTCGCCCGCTTTGGACGCGGGCAGCGGCTCGTCCGGGGCCAGCGACGAGCTCGAGGACACGGACTCGCGGTGGCCGTCGCTGCTGGACTCGGTGTGGAAGTTGCTGCTCGGCGCGGAGGACGCCTCGACGGTGATCTCGGACGCGTCGTCCGACAGCGCGGACTGCGCCGTCGCCTGCGTGAACGTTGAGTCGCTCGCTGGCGTCGTCTGCCACGCGCCCTCGGACGCGGCCGTCGGCGGCGGCGTCTTGGCGAGCGGCGGCGTGTCCATGCGGTCGAGGCGCGCGATCGTGTCCTCGCTCAGCTGCGCGAGGCGGTCGAGCGACTTGAGCGACGACTGGCCGGTCACGGACTGCAGCAGGTCCGCAAAGTCGCCGCCGCCCATGGAGAAGCGAATCGGCGGCAGCGCGGGGGCGATGAACGTCGAGTGGGAGATCCGCTGGACGGGCGAGGACTCCCCGTCCGACGTGTCGGCGCTGCTCGAGCGCGAGGCGCCCTCTTCGACGTCGTCGGGTTGCTGAGACTCGAAGTGTAAGCGATCGGGGCGCGAGCGCGGCTTGGTCTCCTTTGGCGGGGGGACGGGTGGCTCGTCGTCGTCGCTCGCCTCCGCACTGGGTTTGTTATCGCCTTCGGCCTCTGTGTCGGTACCACTCTCGATGTTCTGTGGAACGTCGACTCTATGCGCGGGCGACGTCGGGTGAGATCTATTGCCCGATCCGCTGCGGGACTTCTCGACATCTATGCTAAGGGAATTAGAAACCGCGCGCCGATCTGGGAGGGCCATGCTTGGCCGTATCGTGCGCTCGTCGAACGACCTCTGCGGTCGGATACTGCTGGGCAAGCCAAGGCCAGGGGAGGCTCGGTCTGGCGTGCGCTCGTTCGGGGGGACAGTGGCGGTCAGGCTATGGCTCCGCGGGGGGATGTCGTCCGACTCTAGATGATTGAGAGGAGATGATTTAGGTTTAGGATGTTCAGGTAGGTACGCGCTCGACGACTCGGCGCGCGGTCGTACGGGGGGGAGGTTCTGGTACAAGGCACCACGCTCGTTAGCGGGGCGCTCACGTAGGGGCGACGACAGGTGAGGCGAGCCGCGTCCGCTGACAGGTGAAGATCTGCCGTACGACGCTGAATCGTGCGTGCTTTGCGATTGGGCCGACGAGACGTTGGAGAGATCTAGTTTGAATGGCATGCCGGGGTTGATAGACTGCCGCTTTGAGCGACTGGAGAGGCCCTTGCTGGGGACATGGAGCCCCGGGACTCCGCCGTCCCCGTTCATCACTGTAGGCTTCTGTGCGAGCTGGCCCAATGGCCGCACGCCGTCATCGTAGCTTTTCCGTCGCTGCAACGAGTTCAGACTGCCCGGGAGAGCTAATAAGTTGCTGTTCGAGGAGCTAAAAGCTTCTTCCGATGACCGGAGATAATAGTCGAGAGATAATGCCATATCTGAATCCACATCTTGGGATGGGCTGACGATAGTCGGGGATGAAGGAGGGAGCGAGGATGAATGACCATTCCGGCCCTCGAGAGGTGGTATAGTAACCGCGACGGAGGGCGGATAAGACGAAGGCGTGTTGCGTCCGGAGCGAGAATCGGTTTCAGGCACGGGGGTGGGGGAAGAGACGACCCCGTTCTTCTGATGATCGCTGTTCGTGGACTGTACGGATTGGCGCCTGACCGGGAGACCCGGAGAGGACGGGTTCGGGGGGGTGGAGAGCGGTAATGTGGCGGCCCTGCCGGGGGCCGTATGGGCATGGGTATTCTGGGAGGAAGGCGGCGGGACCGCCGCCGATGTCGAGGGGTGTGCGGAAGAAGGCGTCCAAGCGGACGCTGGGGAACCAGCCTGAAGGGGCTAGTGTTAGCCAAAAGGAACTAGCGCGGCAGGCGGCTGGGCGCGCGACGTACCCCGTTCCCTTTGGCATGCTCTCTCGCTGCGTGCTCCCTCGACTTGCTGGAGCCGGAAGCGGACGCAGAGGAGCTCGTGCCCGGCCGCTCCTTTAGCTCGCGTTCCCTCTGCCCCCTGAGCTCCCTCTGTTTTTGGGCATGGCGCTCGCTCCTCGCGACCCGCTCGCTATGGCAGTTCATGCAATATATCCCATGACTTGTCTTTGCGAACATGAGCTCGTCGATGCGGTTGTGACAGGACTTGCACATGAAACAGTGTGCGTGGTAGCTGTCGTCGCCGGTCATGATGGCCTCGTCGAGGATGGGCTGATGGCAGACGCTGCAGCTGTAGGAGCAGTTTGAGCATATTGGCTGGCCGTCGGAGAGGAGGAGGAGGTTGGTTTCCGCGGTGACCTTGTCATGGCACTTGGCGCACTTGAAGCAGTCGACGTGAAAAAAAGACTGGCTGGAGCGGAAAGAAGGCCGAGCGGGCGGACACGTTAGCGAGTGGTCGGTATGGGGAATGATACAAACGGGGGATAGCGCGTGCGAGCGGGGACGTACCCAAACGCGATGACCACGCCGCCATTGTCGTCGAGCACGGTCGTCTGGCATCCTGGACAGAGTTTGCTATCCGCAGCAGCGTTCGGGTCGTGGAGTATAGCGGTGCGGTCGTCCGGACCGCCGTAGGATGAGCTGGGGAGAGCAGCCAACATGGGATGCACAGGGGAGGGGTGTGGGCACGGATATGTTGAGAGAGGGAAGGAGAGTTGACGGGGGGCTGTGGTGTGTTCGTATAGACGCGTTGAGCGAGCGAGCGCTGCCGAGGGTGCGGATAGTGATGTGATGCAGCGTCGACGGCGGCAAGAATACGATAAATAGCAGAGGGGGGTGGGAGAGAGGGGAGAGGCGTGTGTATGTTGGCCAGGAGGAGGAGAGGGAGGAGGAGAGGGAGGAGGAGGAGGAAAAGGAGGAGGAGGAGGAGGAGGAAGGGATAGCAACGGTGGATCTGAGCGTGTCACTCGTCCGCGTCCGTCACGCGATGGATGATAGTCCCGACGAAACTGACTGTGATCATTTGTTGACGCCTTTATTTCTCTCCGCACCATCCTCCCAACCCGGCTGCGCACATCGTCGCTATCCTCTTTCGGCACCCTTCCCCCTCCCACCCCGCACCTCCCACCCCCTCCCATCCCTCCTCCTCCCCATCCTCTCCTGTCTGCTCTCGGCGTATGTGCGGTCCCCAATAGCATCCGACATCGCAAACCGGGCGCCCGTCCTATTCCCATCTTACACCATTTCGAACATGAGGCCGCAACGAATCCTGTTCACTCGACGACTCGGTCCACCCTCAAACGTGCCCATCTCGGCCTTCTTCGTCATGGCTTACATCCCCGCTTCGATCATTTCCGTGCCTGCTGCGAGCGCTATTACTCCACCTCTTCCTCCCTTGCAAGCCTCCTCTCAATAAGTAAGTACACCGTCCCCCCTCTTTTCTTTTCCGGAGACAGCATGTCTCGAAATGTACCGGCGTTGCTGTGCGTGCGTGCGCGCGATACCGTTGATGATCTCGATACCGTCAGCATCCATATATCACGACCCTTCTACATGGCTTGGCTGTATCCCGTTGCGGGCTATCGCAGCCTGCGGCCCGTGACTGCACAACACAGACACTTGGCCGCCTCGCAAGCTCTCACACCACATGCACATGCGCCTCCCAACTACCGAAACCGCTCCATTTGCAAATAAGCCCGTACGTGTTTGGCGATCGCGCGCAGGGGCTCGGCGGACAACACGCGCGCGAGCGGATCTGGCACTCACGAGTACGATTGGAGTTTGCGCGCGAATATATGCATCCTGCGCGTTCCTCGCTCGGGCGTCTTCTAGCGCGCGTTTGTTCCCTCCGGTCAGGTCTCCCAATATGCCCCGGTGCACTTCGATCGATTGTGGCATGGTTACGGCTCGCACAACCTCGCACGGGCCTGTCAAGCTCGTGCCTAAGGCCGAGACTCACAAGATCACGTCTGATCACATCCACGATCGTGATTCGCCTTGGGTATCATAACTGCACTACAGCGATGATATGAATGTCCAGCGAATCAATAAATGTCCAAGTATTAGTGAATCCCACTGTCACCTGGGCTTAGTATTAGCATGTAACTCTGTATGACTCTGTATGTACTGATCATCAGCGCATCAAATTAATGCTGGTATCAGGTGCAGAGCCAATAACGTATCGTTGCCAAAAATATGTGAGGCGGTGTGGAGTAGGTAGCTGCCCTGAGCTGCTCCTTCGCGAGGACGTGCGTCACTGTTCCTGGCCGGCAGACAACGCCGTGGACCCACACCGGAGTCACATCTCGTCACGGCCGGGTGCCACGTTCCATCCCCGCTGAGCCGCTCCGCGCGTCCGCCGTCCGACCGTCGCGCTCTGAGCAAGTCACGCTCCCAAACCTTCTGCCGCATTGAGAGGGATCCTTGACCGAAAACTCTAAGCACAGATACCGAGCGACGCTCGTTCTCTGAAGGATGGACTCGAAGGCTCCGTTCTCCTGGTTCGCAGCGCATGGGGGAATATGCGACACATCTGCGCTCGGCCTGCGCGAGTTCGAAGGGTACGGTCAAGGGGCCGTCGCGCTTCGCTCTCTATCGGTGAGCACTTTCCTTGATTCTCGCCGATGTTCCCCGCTACTACCAGTCTCTGATGAAATACACCACAGGAGGGACATGTTCTGTTCTCGATACCGCGAGATCTCACGCTCTCGACGCGCACATCTGCGCTCCCGACGCTCCTAGGGCAAACCGAATGGCAGAAAACCGACCTCCACAGGGGATGGGCCGGCCTGATCCTCTGCATGATGTGGGAAGAGGCCCAAGGAAGCCTTTCAAAGTGGTCCGACTATCTAGGTATGTGCATCTGCCTCGCGAACCATAGTATAATTGAAGTACGAGCGGAGCGCCGGCGATGGCAGCTTCTCTGCCCGCGTCCTTCGATACGCCGATGTTCTGGAGTGAGGAAGATCTGCTGGAGCTGAAAGGGACGTCTGTGGTAGGTCTGTCGCGTTGAGCTTGTGCTGCGCGATGCGATCTCATCTGCCGTGCGTAGAAAAAATAGGGAAGGACGCAGCTGAGAAGGATTACCGTGAAAAAGTCGTTCCCGTTCTAGAGGTGATTCTTGCCCTCGGTGTCGTGAATTGAAATTTCTACTCATCGTATGGTAGGGCAGGCCAGATATCTTCGGTCATCAGCCGCCGAGCCGGTATTATTCGCTCAAGAATTATCACCTCATGGGGAGTCGGATCCTCTCCCGCAGCTTCAACGTGGAGAAGTGGGACGGAGAAGACGACGAGGACTCAAAAGAACAACACTCGACGGACATGGACGTCGACGAGGACCCCTCGGCACAAAAACCCGATCCAGAGCAGTTCGAAGAGGCCCAGGAAACCTCATTGGTGGACGACGATGACTCTGATGACGAGGGTGAGGATGCAGACTCTTCCGACGTAGCTATGGTTCCGATGGCAGATATGCTCAACGCTCGATACGGGAGCGAAAACGTTCGTCTTTCCGCATCTCTATCAAGTCGGCTTGTTCAAGCTGTTTTGTTAGGCTAAGCTGTTTTATGAGAAGCATGAGCTCCGTATGGTGACTACGAAAGCTATCGCGGAAGGCGAGCAGATCGTAGGCTCTTTGCTGTGTGTTCATTTCATATATCCTCTGAATTCACTTTTGCGCAAAGTGGAACACATATGGCGACCCTCCCAACTCACACCTGCTGCGCTGCTACGGGCACATCGATCTAATACCTCTACCAGGAGGCATCCAAGGAAACCCAGCAGACATCGTCGAGCTCCGCGCAGACCTTCTTGTCCAAAGCGTATCTCAACTGTACGCAGCCGGCGCTGACCGCTCTCCGACCGAACGAGTGGACTGGTGGTTGGAGGAAGGAGGCGAAGAGTAAGGAAATAGTCCACTTGCGTCGACCTTGATGACTCAACTGACGGCGCTGTAGCTTGTTTATCATAGACACGAGCTACGACGTCCCCGACGAACTCATCTCGTTCGCGCGCCTGCTCTTGATGGAAGCTCCCGAGTGGATTGAAGCCAAATCTAAGAGGAAGCTGCCGAAGGCGAAGGTGGACGAAAGAGTGCTAACCGTCGCCGCGGACGTGCTGCAGAAACGCATAGCCGAATACCCCACGACCTCGGAGGTGCGTCGTCTGCGAGTAAAACTACCTGTCCGAGTATCCATGCCATCCCAAAGGAGGACGAGATCCTGCTATCCGAACGTGGAGTCTCCCAACTCTCCTTGAACAAGAGGCACTCGGTGATCGTTCGGTTGGGAGAAAAGCGTATCCTGCAGAACGCGATGGGGAAGGTGCAGGCGAAATTGGGGGCCGCAAGGAGCGGGAGGTCGAACAAAAAACGGACGGCGGACGAGAACGGTGAACACAGCAGAAAAAAGCAGAAGGCCAGGCGGTGAACTATCTCTATTCCGCCGTGTAGTAGGTACGCGTACGTGTGCTTGCTGTGTTGTCGAACAAGTGCTCTGAGCCGGCTCCCGGCAAACGCCGCTGGCGATGATTGAAGCCGAAGCGCTGCAGCTGTGCACCGTCTGCAGCCATCTCTTTCCGCTACAACACTCACGGCCTCAATCCTCTCTGACATTCGATGACTGGTGTTCCAGACGAGGCGTCTCATTCGGAAGAGAGCTTGCACAGCGAGCCGACGTCGACCGCAGCCACCACCCACTCATCAGAACATCCTAGAAACGAGACATCAGCTGCCGCGAACGTAGTATGTTCCCGCCTGCCACAAGCGACGTCTTCTTTCTTGATCATCGTGACACGTATAGACGACCCCTCCCTCTCACCCCCCCGAAGATGAGTTCGCCGAGCCACAGTTGGCTGCGCTGCACGCGATCTTCCCAGATTTCGACGCCGCGCTATTGTGAGCCGTTCCTGCGAGATTGTGCTTACTTGCGTGCGCTCATCTCGTGATGCCGCGCTAGGCAATCGGTGTTGGAGTCCGTCGGTGGGAACCAGGATCGTGCGGTGGACGCCTTGCTGGGCATGAGTGACCCGGACTACGTCCCATCCGCGCAGGAGCAAGCTGCACCGGTGAGTATCCCCTCGTCAACACGAGCGCACCTCTGAATGCGTTGGCTCCTTTCAGAGGTCTCAGACAGAGCTGGACGAGGAATTCGCTCGTCAGTTGATGCTCGAGGAGCAGCAGCAGCAGCAGCAACAGACTAGACCCCGGTGGCAGCCATCCCCGAATGCCCAATCCCGATCCCAATCCCAATCCCAGCCGTTCGCCAACGCGCCCTATGACTCCCGGACGGGGGTTCCTCAAACTGGCCCGCAGAAGGACACTATGGCTGAAGTGCAAGAGCAGTTCAATAAGTTCGCGGAAAGTGCGTCTGTCTGAGGAGCACCTTCGTTAGGAAGTCGCTCACGTGTGCTGGACAGCTGGGAAACGCACGTTCTCGTCTATCGTGTCGAAGGTCAAGGCGAAGGTGCAAGAGTTCGACCAACAGCGGTACGTGGTTTCGCCCAGTCTGACCCCACGCCGTTTCTGACGATCGTTCATAGCAGCGGACAAGGTGCCGCTGGTACCCAGCCGTCGTGGGGGTCTTCGTCGACTCCCCAACCTGAGTATGACCGTCACTCTCAACAAGGTTATCATGCCCCTGCTCGTGAAGAGCCTCGGCCTGTCAGAGCTACATATCCTGCTACACAAGGGTATGACCTGACCACGCCTTCCAGCATTTCCCCGAGTAGTCAAGGTTCGAGATCCTCCCGTTCAACGTATCTAGCTTGCTTACAATCGCATTCGTAGTGGTTTCCTCCACTATCTCAAATGAACCTTCACGCAATGCCACGAGCCCCGCAACCTCAAGTTCTACGGCTACTCCCCCGCCTCCAAATCCCGGCCCGCCTACGGTCAACATAGATCCAAGTTCGCTATCTTACGTGAAACAACTTCGTCGCCGCATTGCTAACGTCTGTTTGTCTGCGCATATTTTTTTCAAGGCAAAGTTGGCTTGCTGCCTAAAAGGCCTGTCCCTTTGATTCGTCCATCCGACCAGTCTGCCGCCCAAAGCCACATCCTCGACGACGACAAATCGGAAGATCTCGAGTACATGGAAAATCCATTCGAGGATCACGAACGGAAGTAGCTTGCTTCAGGGTGCGTGAAGAGGAGGTAAATGGAAGGTATTTATCTGGTCTAAATATTCCCAGAGTTTGGTAGATTTGGAAGTTGTATGTGTGTATGAGTTCGGACCGGTATACCTTGAGGTGTATGAAACGATCTTAGGCTGTAGGTTTTGATGCACGGGCGAACAGATATTTATGTTTGTTGGGCTGGGCACGTAGGTCACACGCAGTCAGTCTTGACTTTGAGGTCGCAATGTGGCCGAGGAATGAGCTTTGTAGTGCAAGTAGAACGAGGAACGGCCAACATCTCTGATAGCTAATTAAGAGACAAGTGGTAACGCCAGTAACGGGTTAACGTTGGCTGCGGCCGCGAATTCGCTCGCTCTGCCAACCATGAGTAGACCAACTGAAAAATTCAAGTGGTCTTCAGTAATGACGTTCAAGCCTGCCAGAGACAACCCAGAGCTCACCGATGAGTCCGAACAAGCCCAGGATACTGCCAAACACCTCGACAATGAGGATTTTGACGAAGAGATTAGGGTCGGCGGCATCTGCGAGGGCGGCGGTAGAGCCAGTGATACCGACCGAGACACCACAGAGGAGGTTGCACATGCCGACGGTCAGCCCTCCCCAAAAAAGTGCATAACCTAGAAGGTGTGAAGATGTAGATGGACACATGACAGTGAGGGAATTGATGGACGCACCAGTGAAATAGTTCGCCTTGGTGTAGAGGAGTTCCTCAGAGATGGACTCCAGCTTCGAAGAGTACACGATACCCATAATCTGCAAGGGTGAGTTTTGAGGATGGGAGATGGGAGGTTAACATGTTCTGCTGTACTTACCACTCCGTATATGGCCACGACTTCGCAGAAAATGACACTAGGCCAGACAGGATGTCTATATGCTATGCGATGGGTGATTTGACGGACAGAAGAACGCACCTAATCAAGTTCTTGGTACGTATCCGAGGTGCCCTCACGCCTCCGCCGAGAATGGATGCACCGGTCACAAAGATTCCCCTGCAGAGACATGGTGAACTCGTCATCTCACCGAGCTTCAAGCTGTAGAACGCGCACCATCCGGCCCCCAACACACTCAACCCGATGCAAAGACCAATCCCCACAGATGCCCACGCGTAAGGACTTGACTCCTCGAGGAACTGTCCTACATTGAATGCCTCCCCAGAGTCTGCGGATGGAAGACAGTAACAGCAGAATTGAACGAGCAAGTCTATCAGCCACGCATAGGGCACATACCAGTGAATAGGAGGTATAATGCGATTATTACGACGAGAAAGGATGGGAGCCCGAAGGCATAGTATTTGGAGTAGAGGCCCATGTGTTGAGCGTCGATGCTCTAAATGAACTATATCCGCCGCTTCGAGTTTGGCCAGTTGTTTACCTCCGGTGGCGTTCGGTGACTTCACCTCGGACATGTACCACCTCCTGAGAGGCCTACATGAATATATTACAAGGTAGTTGTTCTTCAGTCGTGGCACTCGTACCTCACTGAACGCGCTGATAAGAAAGGAAGAGTTTTCGGTGATTATTGTAGGGTTGGATGGTGCCGGAAAGACCGTGAGTTGAACTTCGTCATGAACCGTTGGAAAGTCCAATAACTCCCGGTACTACAGACTCTGCTAGAGAAAATCAAGACGTTCTATAACGACACTCCAGGTCTTTCTCCTGACAAAATAGCCCCTACTGTCGGCCAGAACAGTTCGTCGCCCCATCCGCAAAAATAGACCATGCTCACAGCCAACCCCCGTAGCGGGCAGGATTACGCTTCCTTCTACTATCCTGCAGTTCTGGGATCTTGGTGGACAAAGAGGCATTCGCTCCATTTGGCCAAGATACTATGACGACTGTCACGCCGTCGTCTATGTGATTGACGCGGACGACCGCGAACGACTCAGTGAAGGCTGGGAGGTATTCGGTATGTATGGTTGCTTGCCTCCTCCCGTCTGGTCATCAAGCCGCTGACGATACAAAGGACCCTAAGAAAGCGTCCTGTCATCACCTCAGATTCTCGGCGTGCCTCTTCTACTCCTCGCTAACAAACAGGACAGCCCTCAAAGCCTTTCAGTAGAGGAGATCCGGAATGACTACGAAGACTGGCATCAGCGGAAAATGGAGAGTGCCAGGCGGAGGTATGGTGAAGAAAACGAATTGGAACAGCGGAGAGAAAGGATCGCCAGTCTTGATGTCATGGGCGTTTCTGCGCTTGAGGGGTAGGCTAATTATGCTTCCGTGATCACTCATGGACTGATTGTGGAATCAGGACCGGCGTGCGAGCTGCGGTCGATTGGCTATTCATCAGGGTTCAGAATAGCAGACGTAGGTGTGTGGCAGTTTCTCCTGTTCTCGAGGTTTATGTCTGTGATAACACTTCTTGACAGAGATGAGCGTTCTTAGAGATGTGCTCGAGCATCAGACCGTATGCCTTCGTTCCCTTTTACAGTATTCTCAACCGCGCTATGTGTCAGAAATATCTGGCCGCGCGAGTCAGGGTCTCAGGTCCGCCATACATTGTGTACACACATGCATTACACCCTATACTCCGTTTCTGATCAGCTGAGTAGCTCCTTTAGTGCCAACAATCCTCTCCAATCTGAACCAATCAAACTTCGAGTACAAAACCCGAGATGTAACATCCGATGGCTCGACGTCCTCATCCAGGAAAGGGTAAGAAAGAAATTCCGCATAGAACTGTGCGTGATCCGGGGGGCCGAAGAAAACGAGGTTGCGAATACCTCGGATTTTGTATCTGCGGCCCCCGACACGGATGAGTTTTTGAGTGTCCAAGGAGGAGAGTACTGATAGCGCTGACATACCTGCGATAAAAGTGGAATCGTTCGGTCACAAGCAGGAACGGCCGTTTGCCCGTGAAAAACGCCTGCCTCGCGCGCGAGATATCTTGATTCGTCGAGTCTCTATGCAAGTTTGATCCACAGCTCAATCCGAATGAAGATGCGTCAGTTCGTATTAGTTTACGCACTCTGACAGCACTGTGAACGAAATGCTGCTCTTGCGGAAGTGGTTCCGAACACGGATGAAGTCAAAGTAAGACGGGATGAAGATCACGGTATTGGCACTTTGTACTGCCGATTTTAAGATTGTTGGAAGTATCTATCAGGAGACACGTTAATAGAGTGTTTAAGAATATAGATCATAAACGTCACCTGTGTGATGAAGTATGTGAATCGTTTATCTGGCTCATCTTTGATGTTAGAACAGTCGAATTGGACAAATTTCTGCCGTAGACGAATGAGTACTCGACGATATGCTGTTAAGTATGGGTTATACCTGGTCTAGATCCTCAGGCACCTCCACAGGAGACCAATGTCTGACTGTCCTCATCTTGCCCGCAACATTTTTCAGAGATTGGTTGAACAAACTGCGCGTCTCCGGAGTCTCATATGTAGAGAAAAGGATGCTCTGGCGAAGATAGGCAGCGCTGTTGGTACCACACATCTTTTGTATCAGTAGCTAAATGCTACGCAAAGGAAATGCGTACTGTCCATCGAGATACCAAGGCTTGATTCGTGAGAAATCGGTATCGTGCGAATCTTTTGGTAGTTTGTTCATATGGGACAAGACAAACTATTCGCCACACAAATAAGCGCCTTCGTCTTGTCTCGGTCGGTGAGAAAGCGAACCTCGACATGCTCCCAGTTCTGCATGGTGACAACATCCATCTGATCAAATATCAAGATCTCTATGGATGACAGGAAGTCTGCGTTTCTGACACAGGTACGCCGCTCAGCATTGAGATGACTTCAACAGAAAAGAGAAGAACATACTTGTTTTTTTCAATAGACAAGCGCAGTCCTAATGGGCTTGCTAAAATGATATCACTGGCATAGAACTCTGAGAATAATTTGACGCTCTTCCTCGTCAGCTTTATCCCTACTCTGAAACTGTCATCCATGTTCCCCTTGAACGTCTCGACATGATCTCGCGGGTATGTCCCAGGTTCAGCTGTGGCTAGTTTATCGACTGAGCCTTCTGGTAAGCCGAACTCGTTCCGGAACCGAGCAAGATTCTCTACTTGATAGTTAGGCGCGGGAGTGTGGGTCATGATGGCTTCCAACCATCTGAGCGCGGAAGATCGGAAAGGGAGAAGAATGAGAACAGACGGTCGAGTGAACCCTTGATCCTGGACATTTTCAGGAAGGGTTGTGGAATTTTTTGAGGCATGCGCTAGGCGTTCGTTGTTTTTGAGCACTCGTCGCCGTTTTCTAGGGATAGTGTGAGCAAAGGGTTAGATGGTGATTTGATGGCCCTTACTTCGTGACATGACTTAGGACGTGAAGAGAGGTGGCTTCTCTGACTCTGTTGACAGTTTCAAGCGACGTCTGTCCATAGTAAAGATCACGGTATGTGGGGAGAACAGAGAGTATGTTGTTTTGAAGCTCCACAAGATCTGTGACGACAACGAAGTTCAATACACAGACCCGAGAGCGTGAGCAGGAAAAAAACCTGATGGAAGCCTTGCTTGTTGCTGATTGAATGGTATCCGAAGTCGCTCTAAGACCTTTATAATTTATTTGTATTTCATGCCAAATGATCAAGAGCCTCCAAACTCACGGGCGATTCTTTAGAGAGCTCTGGCTTCGAAGTCCCAGCAGGGAAGGATTCAATCACGGTGCCTAACCTGGAGAGTGAAGAATTGGACGATGTCCATGCTCGTTTATCCACAGATTCTCTGGAAAGCTCTGTCAATATTGACGGTTCGGCGCCGAAGTGCGCTTCATAGGTGTCCTGAAAAGCTGCCATATGTTCCCATAAGAAGACTCAGAATGTGACTTGATACAGGCATACCTTCAGATTCAGGTCCATCTTCTATCTCATCTCCCCCCTCGTCAGTTTTGTCGTTTGATTGTTGTAAAACTTCAACAGGGCTAGAAGCCTCTCTATTTTCTTTGTGTTCTTGAACTTCAGAAGATGTTACTGTTTTACGGGCTTGTGATCGCCTCTTATTGAGCTTGAGGGATGGAGACGATTCTTCATATTCGCGCTTGCGCTTTGTAGACCTGGTTGCGGAGACATTCAAAAGGGTCAAGAGGCGGGTAGTTGGTGTGGTATCGTCGTCGGACATGGCTGGGGCTTTTGCTAAAACACAGAACAATTTCTTCGCCGTCGCGGTCATGGAGCACACGTGATCACAATATCGGTCCACGTGCGTATTCACGCGACCGGAACGCGTCAAGCTGAGCGAAGACTTGGAACATTATTAACTTCTCTGTAGTCAAACTAAGTAAAGTATATACAGTAGATATCGGTGTCCCATCTATTGTCCTCTAGCCTCTCGCCATAGCGGTGTCAGCGCTTGAGCAACCGTGTTGGCAGCGACCTCCAAAGAACTCCGTTCCGTTTCGTCCTCAATGGTGTTCAGAAGCCTTCTCGAGCTCCAACGGTCCGGATGAAACCTCCGATGACTCTTTTCGACAAAAGTTTTATACTCTTGCCAACGCATGTGGTCCTTCACTGTCTCGAAGAACTTTTCCACCCCCGCCCAATCCACATCCTCAACTGAGAAAGTCAACGGAGCTGCAAGTAGAGGCCATGGTACAGCCTCAAAAGTCAATGGCTCGTCGGCCGAGAACTTCGTCGCGTCGAAAGTTTCGCAAAGAGTCTTGTAGCGTTCCAGCGCTCGCTGTGACGTCCAGGCACCTCGAGACCATTTCTCTTGCTGTTGTCGGGTTTTCTTCTCATTTTCCCTCCTCCAAGCCTCAGCCTGTTCTCGTCTTTCCCTCTCAAATTTCTCTTGAGCTTCTTTCTGTGCCTGAGCGCGACGATTAATTTCCGCCTGTTGTCGTTTACGCTCCATTGCAGCCTTTCGTATATCTTCCGCTCGTTGTATCCGATCCCGTTCCTCACGCTCGCGTGCTTCCGCCACTTTGCGTTCTCTTTCCAGCTCTTCCTCGTGTGCGCGTTTCGATTCGCGTTCGCGTGCGGCTTGCTCCCATATTGGCCGGTCTCGTTCCAACTCCTCGAGCTTTCGGCGAGATTCGGCGATCGCAGCTTGCCGTATTTCTTCCTCATCAACCTGGTTGACCTGCTCCTCAAGTATATCTAAAGAATTGTTCATACGCTGACATGGGAAATTGAAAAGGCATAGCTCACCATTAGCTGGAGAAGAAAACTCAGGAATGTCTGCCAGGATATCCTCCATGAACGCGCGCTCCCTCTGTTCTTTCCGTAGATGTGATTGTCTTGCGATATTCTCCGCTTTCTTTCGTTCCCTTTCCTTTCGTCTCTCGGTCGCTTCGCGTCGATTCAATTCCGGAGACTGTGTACGCGCCCTCTTCGATGGTTTGAAGCCATTTGAGGAAGAATTTGTAGGGGAGGCTCGAAGGTCCTGGTCTGAGTGACTGGAGCGGCCTAAATGACTATCAGTCTATGAATGATATGTTAGAGTCTAAAATACCTTTGCGTTTTGCTGAAGGCACAGATTGATAGGTGTTCCTAGGCGTAGCTGGTATTGTGAACACCGGATTGATAGAGTCAACCTCCATGCCGTCGTCTACATGTCCGTCGCGAGCATGTCTTCCTTGTGCGTACGCAAGCTTCTCTCTCTTTATTCTTCGCTCAGCCTCAACATTATCGTGCTTTCGACGTGCAGGAGGCCGCGTGTTCAAGGTGCTGGTACGTGGAGGGCGGGGTCGAGAAGAATTTATCAAAATCTCAACTTCGCTTTCGTCGTCGCTAGAGCTGAAATCATCAACAGCCTGACGCCGCTTTTTGGTTGGAATTGTGTCCTGGTCTGTGTACAAGGGTGGCGAGAGCCGGCGCTTGAAGCGGTGGCCGGATGAGCTAGATGAAGCGGATTGAGAGTTTGATGGGTTTTGCGACGTGGTTGGAGGCGGCTCCTTTCGGGTGACGATAGTTATTTCTGGGCTGGCTTGCACGTAGCAATCATACTCAGGATCAAGTTTATAGATGTCCCACTGGTCTTGTGAACACTCTATGAGCTCTCTGGAAGAGATGTCATTGACTAAATATGGCACATGTTTCGTCGAGACGTACCCGCAGATATTGATAACTCTTGGCCACGCTCCTTCATCTTCCACACTTATTCCTCTCCTCGCTCTGGGTACGAATCTCCAGAAACTGTCACCGTCGGGCAGAGTCTCGATGACGACGCGTTTGGGTCGATACAATTCCTCATTCAGGGACAGTTTATCGACATCTATACGGATTTCGCTGGATGCCACGCGAGGATGGAAAGCTGCAAAAGAAAGTATCGTTCCAGGCAGCCGAAGAAGTCGAGCGGTTTGTGAAGGGTCAAGAAGACCTGGCTGTGAACCGCTGATTGACCGAGATGCGACATGGCTGGGTCGCGGAGCACCTTCATGTGCCATGGATCGGACGTGAAGGTGGCGGTTCTGATGCAATATCGATAGTGAGGCGCGTGTAGGAGGCAATATAAACTTGAGGTTCGACTCGTTCGTGCCACACACCGCGTTCCGGTCACGTGTGTGGAGATCTGCTGGAGTCACCAGTAGCGTCTTGGAGTCATCCCCGTACTTCCAATTTTGTCCTAAGTATCGTAAGTCATCAAGCCGCTGATTCGTTCGTAAACTTACTACTTAAGCCGACGCTTTCAGCTATTTTAATACATGTGACCATCTCCCATTGCCATCATGACCAGTCTACGGATATTTCAAGACGAGATCGAGGGAGTACGCAGTCGACAGGCCGCAAAGCACAAAGCTCAGATCACTCCTGCCAAGGAGGACAAGGGGCACCATGACAGGGATTCGAAACATATTCCTACCACTCAAGGGAGATACCTAAGGAGTCATACGGACACATCAGACCTCGAGGAGAATATCCAGGTACTTAGGGTAGCACCGAGCATCAAGCCTACACTTACCGTTCGTGAAGACATTTCTTCTTTCAGACGACCAGACACAACACGAATCTGCTCGTGACCTTGTCGCCTCGCTATTAACGGGCTCACGGGGCGAATTCATCTTCCGAATAGGTGCACGTCCAGCTCACAACAAACTCTTTGCTGGCGAGGTTCTCGACGATGGATGGACTGGGACTGACAGGGGCATGACGCAGCTAGATACGCTCGTCATTAACTTGATAAAAACCGTCGAAGAAGTGGGCGGAAAGGCAAGTAGTCGGGTTCGTACGCCGAACGTGTTCACCAACGCAGTATTATGCAGGCATGTGTATTATTCAAGACGACGGACGGTCACCCACGGGCGACAGTATTGCTCCGAATACCTCCACCCAGTGTATCGTTGACACCTGAGGTTAGATGCGCTGTGGTAGGAAACGTGGATAGTGGTAAATCGACTATGCTAGGGGTTCTTACTGGAGGTAAGTCATCTGGAAGGTCTTGGTAGGACTTCCTCAGATTTCGGTGCAGGGTCACTGGACGACGGGAGAGGCCTCGCGCGAGTCGCCTTGTTCAGACACAAACATGAAATCGAGACTGGTCGTACATCAAGCGTTGGCATGGAAGTGAATCTGGGTGATTTTGGGCGCCTACACCAGACTGACTTGCATGTGGTAGATTCTCGGATTCGACACCAGTGGGCAGCCAATACTCTCAAATACTGCAGGCTCAAATGACCCCGACATTATTCGGCGTGGCAAATTGGGTTGGGATCAGATATCTGTACAATCGGCGAAAATCATCACGTTCATAGGTTTGCGATTCCCTCTCCCCCGTAAATGGTCATTGCTCGGCATTAACGAGTGGTGATAGACCTTGCTGGGCATGAGCGGTATCTAAAGACTACACTCTATGGCCTCACGTCTGGCGCTCCGTCCTGTGTCATATTAATGGTGGGTGCGAACGCTGGACTGATAGGCATGTCAAAAGAACATTTAGCTATCGCGCTCGCGCTAAGCGTTCCAGTGATTATCTGTATCAGTAAGGTTAGTAATCCGTCCCTGTGGGTTCTGACGTATTAAAAGAGAACACGTATCTCAACTATAGGTTGACATGACTCCACCAAATAAATTGGCAGAGACTGTGAAACAGGTGGTAAAGGTTCTCAAGAGTCCTGGTTGCAGGTTTGCAATCTATGCCTTCTGTATACAGCTATTATAATCCTTCTCACACCTATTCGGAAGGAAAACCCCGGTTTTCGTCAACTCGCAAGAGACTGCGATTGAAGTGTCTCAGGTATATGCTGCGGAACGGTAAATAAAAACTCTCTTTCATTGCATACTTGCTTGCGGCTGACGCTGACACGGCAACGAAGAATATGCCCCATTTTCCAAATATCGAACGTAACTGGGGCAGGATTAGAATTTGTGAGTAATCATTTCTATTCAAACTAGCCATTCTGTCGGCTAACCTTGAGTTTTGCAGATGCGCACCTTTCTCAATCTTCTCTCGCCAAGTGAGGATGAAGAAAGATTTGACGTTGCTCAACCACTTGAAGTACGTAGGATCGAGCTTGCCTTCCGAGACATATCACTCACCGTGATTGTATACGTAGTATTCTGTGACCGACATCTGGTCTGTTCCTTATGTTGGGACTGTTGTCAATGGTATCGTGTATAGTGGGATCATCAAGAAAGGGGATGCCGTGTTCATAGGACCGGACTCGAATGGCAATTTCATTCCGACCGTCGTCAAAAGTATGCAGAGAAAACGGTATGTCTATCACACTCCTGTTCACTCGCGTTTGCAATAATTGACGATATTTGAGTCAACAGCGTAGACGTTGTCACGGCTGAGGCAGGGCAGACGGTATCCTGTGCACTGAAACGGGTGAAAAGGACCGACGTGAAGAAGGGTATGGTCATCGTCCCAAAAACGGAGACACCACCGCGAGGTAAAGGACACCCCTTGATATATGTGTTATCGCAACTCAATGTGCTCCAATAGCTGTTCGCCGCTTCGAAGGCCAAGTCTTAATCCTGTATCATAATACCACCATGCAGACCAATTATCAAGTATGCATATGTTTTGAATTGCTGAACCATCGAGCTGATTTCTTCCTCTCAGGCTATGCTTCACTGTGGGGTTAGCCCTGTTTCTGAAGGCGGGGTAGTGATTTCGTTATTAATTTTATCATTAACCTAGGCCGTGCGACAGACGGTCAAGATCATTTCCATCAACCACCCGCAAGGATTACTTCGTACTGGAGATCGTGCGACTGTACAATTCGAATTTATTTCTCGACCAGAATTTGTAAAGGAGGGAATGAAGTTGTTGTTCAGAGAGGGGAGGACGAAGGTAGGTCGTTCGTTCTTTGCGCCATACTTGTCGGCGATCATTCACTCTGTATACAGGGTTTGGGTGTCATCACTAGTCTCCTCTAGGACTACGCTAGATTTCCCGTGGCTACTATTTCGTCGCCTATGTTGTAACCTATTCTTGGTCATAGGCTAAAGCGTATGTATTTTGGACATTCATTGTAATGTATTCGCTGTGACGTGGACTCGAAATCCTTTGACCTTTGATGATATCCGTAGAAACAACTTGCTACCGTTCTCGCTTTGGTCAGCTTCATTATTCAAGTAGATGAAGCCTCTTTCATTCGAGAAGTTACTGAACCTGATATGCGCCTGCAGGATATTAGTGTCACAGCCTCATTTCTCACTCAACAACTTTTCTGAAGGCTGGTGCACAGGCGAACTGATCCAAGGGTTGGACGTGACTACGAAATCAGTGATCTGGTGGGTGCGATACATAGACTATGCAATTGCGTGATTTCACCATGGCGTTGCATGTTAGGTACATCATATGGATTTTGTAAATGAGGTATAATCGCTTTGTCCTTTTGCGATGTCGGAGGTACGGAAGCTTGTATAGGGAAATTACGACTCCTTATTTGCAGGGTGCTACAAACGAGGCCATCGTTGTCGCTCCCTTGGTGGCGTCGGTGACATCATCGTGCCAATGCATCGAGGAGACGTCATCCAGGAATGAGTGAGTTGATAAAGCGGTCTTGCCTACGCTGATGCTCAACGTTCAACAATGCCTTTCCCCTCGCTAGCCGTCGGCGCCTTGAGGCCTGTCTCCGTCCGCTTCAAACCTAGTCCTCTATTGAATAAGCTCTTCGTCGTTAACGGAAAGTACGTCCTGGAGTCCGACTTTTTAGCAACGTGGGACAGATTGTAAGTGACCTTCGGTTTGGCTTGCAGTGTTTTGGCCCACTATTCGAGCAGCGGGCACGGCTACGACCCCGAGGTTCTTGAGCTAGAGAAATGGCGTAACCTACTAGCCAAGCAACAATACCAGACTACCGCTCCCGTCGACGACGCGCCAGGTTGGAATGAAGATCTAGCCTCCGACTCCGAAGCCTTCGTCAAGGTAAGCTGCCGCCCGACTCGCCATCTCGAACTCGGACTCACCGTTGAACGTTGAACTACCCTAATTTTTAGGCTGATCGTACGCCGGGCAGCCCGAGCGCAGAACTGGTCGAGCGGACTGTCACCCACGTCAAAGCCAAACACTGCGCCGAACAGCGCTTGGAGGAGACCGGCGAGCACTATGACCAGAATGAGACACCCCGGAACGTGCAGAACGCAGGTGCGAAAACACATGCGGCGGATCAGTGATGAATGTGCGGCTTCCGATTCCCCAGATAGAACATACGTACAGCTAGGCCGAAATCGAAGAAGGTCCGCGGATCTGACGACATGACGTTCATACCTACTCTTTGTTTCGCACTACCGAGTCGCACTTCGACGCCTGGTGGTGCCTTGTACCTTGTTCATACCCAAAGAACCATCCATACCTTTTGTAAAATCGTTTGATGTAACAATCCATCGCATATTGTCAAATGTTGTTTTCATACACCGTGAAAAAATCCGCTTGTACGCACTGTCGTGTGTAATGCGGCACGATGATCTTGATATCCTCGGCATTCTCTCTTCGGACGAATAGATAATAATGAGTACTTAACATTGTTCTTACGGGTAAGTGCCATCATACAGCCGAACCATTCTTCAAACCACGAACGATAGCGATGCAAGCAAGCATATAAAAAACGACATATTCAGTCAAAAAATCTCACCGTCCATCTAGAAGAAATCGCCGAGGCAGTCGCGCGCGGTCGCGGTTATGCACATCAAGTTGATCCACCGTTCGACCGCCGCGATCTCGCTCATGACCATGACCACGACCTGCTTCCGCACGCCTTTCACCGCCGCGTCATTCTCGCACTGCACCGCGTCGAGGTGCACCACGAGCCGGTCCAGGTCCTCAATGTACCGGTGCACGGGCTCGTTTAGCGGCGTGAAGCTCAGCTTCCCACGCTCGTGTTCCGGTATGCGCTTCTCCTCGAGGACACGCAGCGCGGAGATCACAGACGCGGACGTGACGCGCGCGGCATCATGCTGCAGGGTCCACGATGCGCAGCCGATGTCGACCGAGCGCGGGAGCATGAAACTCCGCTTGAGCATCTCGAAATACGCTTGTAGGAGGGAGAGCGTCCGAGATGCGCGCTGCAGATCTGAAGTGAGCATTATTTCCTCGCTGTCCTCGTGCCCGTTCACTTATCAAGGCACGGTGCAGAATCAGAAATCAGGACGTTGATATCAGAGATAGGCCCTCACCAGAAGCAGACACCTCGGAGTACGTCCTGAAACTATCAACTGAGGGTACTAGCCTTGACGATGATAGAACAGTCGACTCGCTAGGGACGTCAATGTGAGACGAAGACATTGTAGCACCAGAGACGGGTTGGGTAGATCGAGGCCGTTCTTGTGTGTCCACGATTGAACTTCGAAGAGAAGGCGTCGGCGTCGGCAAGCGAGGGGTCGGGACCCGTCGAAGAGTGGGTACTCTGGGAGGTATCAAGACCTCGGCCGAGCTATGTGAATCTAGCGGTGTGTATGGCAGATAAACTTGACGGCCTGCATCTGCAATCTGCGCATCTATGGTCCTACCTGGTGAAGGGTTTACGATATTCGTGGGCTCCGGCGAGAGTGGTCGGGAGGCTGATAGGGAATAAGCGGGAGGCACCTCACGAAGCTGAGGTGCTACATCGAAGTTGAGATGCCAGACAGGCGTCCTTGGGTGAGATGGCGATCGGAGCCGGATCGTCGGTGGTGTTGACTCGTGTTCAGTATCAACAAGAGATCCCAGAGACGACGTGTCATCTGAAGAATCAGTAACAAACGAGTAGTGGTCTCCATTTGACTGAGGATGAGTATGTTCGATGTTCGACGTGGGAGATGGAAGGTCGATTTGAACACGAGGCGGCGAGTTGGAGGGGAGAGAGACGGCAGGCGGATAGGCGTCTGGATAATAGATGTCGGGACTGGGCCCTAGCAGACCTGCATGAGAGACGAGGACTTCTCCGTAAGAAACATCTGAGTGGACGGATGAAGCACGGGAATGGGAACGATGTCTTGCATCAATTCGAGAACCAGGTGCTGCCTCCCACATCCGAGAATTGCTCATACTCAGAGCATGCGACGAAGTGAGACTTCTGCTAGACTGTCTACCCCGCAAGACGGGTTCAGTTTCGGGAGGGGGAGTGGAACGATTAGCAAACGGCGTTTTAGGTCGCGGAGGCGTTTCTCTCGCTGGAGACATTTCCATTGCCATGGTTGCCGGGGAAGTAGCGTGCGCCCTCTGAAAGCCATGAAGCGATATCATGGGTGACACCGTTCGGACCCGCAGCGTGGAGTCCGTCTGCTTCAACATGGGTCAATGATAGGACAGTGCAAGCAGGGAAGATAGTAATACCATGTCATGTTTGGGAGGATCCGCAGCGATGCCAGAAAGGCCGTCAGCGATTTTCCTTACTTGGAGGAGGATGTCGGCGCTAGCGGCAAACAGATCGTCTATCTCGTGCTGCAAGCGCCGGTCGTGCTGCTCTTTGACCCTAAACATCTCCATGATGCCTTCCCTGAGACGCTTCTCTCCTTCCGCACGGCGTCCAAGAATGGCATGGATGGAGCGTTCCATGGTCGATTGCCGCTCTGTACACTCTGCAATAGCGCTCATGAGGGCACGTGTGTGAGAGGCTTGGGTGGCCTGTTGGATGGAGGTGGTGCGGGCCACGCGTTCGAGGGCATCCCTTTCCTGAGCGAGTTGAGTGAAGAGGTCGAGAGTGGCCTTTTGGTTGCGGTGAAAAAGGGCCTCCGCGAAAGACATCTCCCTGGAGGCAGTGGGCACACCCGGGTCCGTGGGCAGCGAGGACTGCGAATTTCCGTGGGAGTCAGATGTAGACGGGCCGCCCAAGGTGTGCGAGCTGCTGCCTGTTATCGGTGCGTGGTGAGCAGAAATATGGGGTATGAGGGGAAAGCAGGACGTACTCATGTTTGACGAGGAGACGACCTGGCACCAGGGCGTACGTGGACGATATGAAGGAAGGAAGGAAGGCCTTCGGTGGTAGCGTTTGGAGGCATGGCGCACTTATAACGGGGCGGCGTACTGTCGAGCGTCTCGAACGGTATCCTAGGCCCTCGAAGCTCTTCAACCCGAGGACAGCCAAACGCGAACAAACCGACAGCAGCTGATTCAGCCCCTAACCCCGTCCCAGGGTTCCCCGTGCCCAACCCTGTCCCTCGCTGCCGCGGGATCTCTGCGTCCGTCCTGACCATCTGCCTCCGTTCTGAGTGTGTAGACTTCATGGCCATCTGCGACAATATATGCCTCATCAATCAAATTAAACTTCGCAGCGGGTTCTTGGTAGGCGCACTGAACGCATCCGGACACCTCCGTCTGTCCTCGCTTGTGTGCAATGTGCACCTCTCAGCTATCGGCCCAGTCAGGTTAGAACTGCGATTCTTGGTCACTCACCACCAATCGTAGATCCTGTATCTGAACCCCACGATCTTTTCAGAGATCGATATCGCCAGGCCTGATCCGTACCCAGCGCCGCCTGGCTCCGCTTCAGGCAGTCTTCAGCCTGCTTCTAGCTTTGACAATCCCGCGGACGACCTGCTCGGAGACCATGGGAGTCTTCTCTTTCGCATATCTGCATCGTAACGGCGCCCCGGCCGTTTGTCTCCTGCCTTTTAAATAAAGCGCGAGTCTTGAACAGTTCCCTCAATGCTCTTCTCCTTACGACCAACTTCACGACTATTAACTCATTGAATCATGGGCATCTCAGTAGACACGGCCGAACTTCTCGATCTCTTCCTTGAAACTTTCGCTTTTGGTCAGTCTTCCTGCCCCGCTCTTGTCCACTAGGTTGCTCAGCTTCGGCCGACCGTCACGGGCCTCCTCAACTCGCGATCGCGATCACTTGCAGGCATATTCCTTACGCTCAGCTGTATCACCATACCCGCTCTCGGCTGGTCCCGCAGAGATTGCTCTCGACCGGCAAGATTCCTCCTCCCTGTCGCTTGTTTTATGCTTGTTATAGGGACTGCAGTGAGATTTCCGTCTCTGGATCTTTCTGTATGTCGACATTGACCCCTCCTTCGACACAAGCATGTCATCATCCAATTTATCCGGGTCTTGCGATTCTTCCATCACCCAGACGGATACCCAGAGAATAGTTCGGTTGGATATTTCGAGAATGTAGCTGATCCCCTGTTCATTGCCAAATCTGTACTTTATGGGATTCAGACCCTACTCGGCGACAGCGTCATTGTAAGTGCTTGGATGACTCGTCGAGCGGCTCTGAAACTGATCTGTTTCCAGATCTGGCGCTGCTATATCGTGTATGACAAGCGCTTAATCCTGGTTGCTCTCCCTCTTCTTTTCACGATTCCAGCCTTAAGTAACGACCAGATCATCTGTTCCTTCTCGAATAGCTCCTCATCTTTGCCTTCTAGTCGCAGGGGTACTCATTCTTAATATAATGTCGCACCTTTTACGTGCCGATTTGCCAGACATCGTGAACGATGGCCAAAAAGGGCAGTTTACGAAATGCCTCACCATCTACTTTGTCATGACGCTGTTGATCAACATTTACTGTACCGGTAAAAATAAATCCTGCTTTTCGCCCTCGTCGAGCTGATTTTTTTTCGCGCAGGTGCGATTATCTGGCGTATATATTCGACCAGCCGCTTCCAACGCTTTTTTGGCAAGCTGCGTCCGACCGTCATCATCCTGGTAGAGAGCGGCGCGCTCTACACGTCCAGCATCATAGCTTACCTGTGCACCTACCTCTCAAGCCCGACCAGCGCCGGCCAATGGGCCGCCCTCGACATCATCACCCCGCTCGTGGTGCGACACGCCGTTTCCTCCCCGCGCTCTCCGTCTTCGTCACTGACCACACTCCCGACGTTCACCAGGGCATCGTGTTCTGCCTGATCATCCTCCAGGCAAAGTTCCACCCCGGAAGCTGGGCGCTGGACACGGAGCCCGACTTCATAGACACGACCTCGCCCGGCGTCGGGCACTGGAACGCGCGCGGGTCGCTCGGGAACATGGGCGGCGTCGACGTCGGGTCCGCGCCCACCACGGGCCGCCCACGGACGTCGATCGCGCTGGAGTTCAGCATCCGCGAGCCACAAAAGCGGGACGAGCGCGAGGTGGACTGCGGGGAATCCTCCGGCCACTATTCTTTATGACGCGAGGATGAATGATACTCACTGCCCATACACGACGAATGACGACTGTACAAGAGGTTGCCAGGACGGAAGCCCGTGTGTATGAGTATTTACACGCATGTAATCTATTATCTCGAGGACAGTACGAAATGCCCATTATGACCATGCCAAATCTTGTCCCGCCGCACCTTTGATCTACTCACGAAACATTCAATCGTGAGGTCGTGCGCACAGAAAGATGGATGACTCGCCCAATGTGTTCGTCCCTTCGATAAATGTAACACCCAATTTGAAGTATCCACCAACAGTTGATACCAAAAGTCGAAATGAATGTAGTGCTCTGACATCGCGTTCATGACCCTGCTTCATGTTTTTCATCTGCATCCACTTCTCTACCTTTTCACGCAACACGACATCGTCCAGTATCGCCCTCGATGACAATTCGCCCACCAGGCCTCAGATCTCAGACTTAAGGACACTCAGGGCACAGGAACGCAGAACCGCAATCATACAAAGCCGCGGCACCGGCAGTCTCGCGCGACGAGATCAGAGACAACGAGACTAACCCATCGCAGCATAGCGGCGGCTTCCCGAAACGTCGCTCGCGAAAAACAAAAACGAGCGAACGGACGACGCGGCGGACAATGAACTCACGTTCGAGCGTTCGCGCTTGACGCGCCAAAGGCCGAAGGCCGAAGGGCCCACCGAGGCCGTCCTTCGTTCGTTCGCTCGTTCGCTCGTTCGAAGCCATTCTCTTCGCAAAAAGTGAATCGCAGAAGGCGGCGAAGGCGCCCCACAGGCCGTCAGAATGACGACCGGGTGCTGTCTGACGCGCTCCGACATTGTGCAAGCGGCCTCCAGATGTCCACATGAATCGTCCGTGTTCGTATTTGTAGAGGGAGGTGATGAACACGGCAGTGCCCAGGATTGTTGATACGAGGAGCCGAAGATCGCTTGCCAACGATTGTTCGCTCGTCATTCGCGATTACAATCGGCCAGCCCATATCGTCATGATTTGTGACGTCCGGGTCTCGCCTGTCTAGGGATCGAGCAAGGAGAACTCTCGAGCGAGTGATAGACTGATGGCGCAAGATGCTGATGACGCCATGTCTATTGCTCGCCAGGCTGAATGATAATATTCAGAGCGTAAGTGCTCAAATGACCTCATGCACGCCATGAACAGCCAAGAGCTCTCCAGCTCCAGTCGAGAAGCTAGGAGGTAGGTGTGCGGTGAATCCGCCTACTGCAGAATATGTGGATGCTATGGCTGTGCCCACTAAGAGAAGCCCGCTCAATTGAGTTCCATGGAGGGAGCACCCGCGTCGAGCGTGCTGCTATCATCTTCCATTCATAATTTGTCGGAGCCGGCGCAACCCTGGTCTGCTGACAGACGTCAAGTCAGTTCCGCCGGCGCAGAGCCCAAGCGTCCTGCTCTAGGACATGCCCCGAGGCGAGGAAGAACAGGATAGAATGTCCAGCGACAAGACAAGCGTCGCATAATGCATCCCAAAAGTGCGAGTAGCACAAGCTTAGTACGAACCAGGTAGATCATCTCCCCTACACCTTGATCGCCCCTCCTGCATACACTCACAGAGCACACGCTGACAGCCCGAAGGCTCACGCGGTCGGGGTCAGCTAGACAGCTCTTCAATGCTCCATTTGGGCCGGATCGCGATCGAGTATGGGTCGAAGTCGCCCGCAAGGAAGCGGTGCATGGACGCCCAAGCAATCATCACCGCGTTGTCTGCATGACCTCACATAAGCGAACGAATAACGACCAGGGCATCCTGGTAATGTGGGAGGAGTATGCACCTGTACATAGGGATGAAGGGGGGAATACCAGCGCAATCGGGGTATCCGGGCTTGCTTCGCGCGCGCATACATTCAATCTTGAGTGTCAGAGTGTCAGAGACTCGCAGTTTTGAGAGACAGGATGAGAGCGGCGCTGTTCACCTCTCACGCAAATACATGTTGCTGGCCACGCCCCCGCTCACCACGACGTGCCGCACGTCGATCCCCTCTCCGACGCACCATCTCAATGCGAGTGCGAGCTTTTCCTCGAGATGCCCAACAGCTGCTCGTTGGAACGCGCGCGCAAGAGAACGCCGCGTGCTCGTGTCAAGGGATGAGACACCACCAGCGGAAGTGACGAAGCGTTCGACCGTCGAATGAATCCCAGAGAATGAAAAGGCGAGGGTGCGCGGGAGTGGCCGGGGCATGAGTGGGAGGGAAACATTGTTGTCATCGTCTGCTTCCTCACCGGTGGTCGGTAAACAAAACTCTTCAAGAGCAGCACCTGGGCCAAGGGCAGACCACGGGAGCGCGAGCATACGGGAGACTTTGTCGAAGACGCGGCCAATACTTTGGTCTTGAGTTGTCGCGAGGATGCGAAAGGACGTGGAGGACGTGGCAAGGAGGAGAAGGGTGTGTCCACCCGAGACGAGAAGTGTTAGGAAGGGGAATGTAGGCATTTCGGAGGGGGAAGAAGTTAAAAGGGCGGTCAGTGCGTGCGCTTGCTAGAGCAATGTCAGAGATGCTGGATGTGCGGCGAGACAGAAAAGAGGACCATGTGGTGCACACCGACGAGAGGTTTGTCAAGGGCAGCCGCAAGAGATTTGGCAGCACTTGCACCTACACCGAGACAGCCTGTCATGCCTATATGCGCGAGGTCAGCTTTATATGTGCGTATATGCGGGTCAAAAATAACGAGGACGGACCAGGGCCCCGCGTGAATGCAATTCCATCTACGTCGATGACGCTGAGATTGGCTTCCGCCAACGCTCTACGAACGGCACCTGGCTGGCGAAGCGTTTAGCGCGACACGATATCAGCATGTGGGATTATAAAGGACGTGCTAGGTTGTGTTGATGAGCTTGAACGGCCTTGTAGGGGTGGATGCCTCCATAGCCTTCGTGTCTGAGCGCTGTGTCACAACCGTTGCTTATATATTGCAGCTAAACGTGTGTTGGCTCACATGGTGTTTTGTTTCACCACGACATTCGACAGGATTTTTTGGGAAGACGTGACGATCGCAACGGCGGTGTCGTCAGCAGAGGACTCAATGGCTAGGACGGTGAAGTGGCGAATGGACGGGCAACATGATGGGGGGCGAGGGAGGGGGAAGGGGCGTCGGGCAAGAGAGTGGAGAGAAAGAGGGACGCGCATGCATGCAGAAGGCGCGACGCGACTCAGTTTCTTATGTGAAGAACCCTTCTTCGCCCACGCTGCAGGGCTCGTGCTGCCTGCTCCTCCTCGTCAATCCGTTCAGCGAGTCGTTGTTCTGGACTGTAGGTCACTGAGCTCGACTAGTGTCGCAGAGCAATTTTGCGAAGGCTCTAACGTTGGACGTATACGTGCACACTTACTGACGGGCTGAGCGCTGCCCAATTTTTCAACTGCCCCCAAGAACACGACGCGCTATGCCGTCTCCCCCGCCGATTCGATTTGCGATGGACGGCCCACCGACAACAGGGCGGCGGTCGTACGAGACGCGGCCCGCGTCACCGCCGAGCATGTTCGTGGAGGAGCGGGGATGGATCTCGAACGACGAGACGCCACGGCCGACTGCGCGGGCGCTGGGGGAGGGTGGAGGGGCGGGGACGGCGTCGAGGCGGCTGGCAATCTTTGGAGACAAGCTGACGGGGCAGAGCGGCAACATCGGACGGGCATCGCCCATCGCAGCGCCGCCGCAGCCCGCACAGCTTCTCCCTCCCCGCTCCATCTCCCACGCACGCCCTGACTCCGCCTTGAACAACAGAGACCCCGCGCCTGCACTTGCCCAGTCCATGGCCTCGAGCACGACCCTCCCACCCTCAAAGGCTCTCCCCTCCTCCATCAAGGTCAACCCACCTCCCTTTCCTCTCATCGTCTCTCATCCACCTTCTCCTCCAGGGCCCCACTCGCACCTATGACTCCAAGCTCGTCTCTCGCGAGATGCACCGTCTCGGCAACTTCGCCCACCTCCCCTCTGCACTTGCCCCCTCCCTCTCCACCGGCCCGTCTTCCTCTTCCTTGAGCCTCGCCAATTCCAGCGCCCCTGCCCCGTCGATCTTATCCACGTCTTCCACCGAAAATCCCTGGGGAACACTGCATGTCCTCGTGCTGCCCCTCTTCAACGGCGAACCACTTCGAATACCCATGTCAGTCCTCGCGTCTCTATCCCGCTTCTCCTCTCGGTCTCATTTGTTGCTTCCCAACAAAGTGAGGACCTGAATACCCTCGTCAAGCGCCACATAGCCAGCATCGTCTCCAATTCTCCTCCGAAAGCGATCGCCACTCTCGAGGCGGAGGCGTCAGAGCTCATCGGCTCCGGTATGGACACGCTCAACGGGAAACTCGCAGGCATCGAGGACGACAAACTCGTTGGGCGCGTCGTGGAACTTTGGGGGTTCTTCTGGGATCAAGTCTTACCATACGTCGAAGGCGTGCGTCTCTTCGCAGCTGTTTGGCAAACAAGCTTGATTGACGTTTCCTTGTGTCTAGGTCCTTTTACCCCTTCAGACCGACCCTATTCTTTCCTCCTTGTACCGCACACCCAAAACCCACCGCAATTCTTCGCCGACGCGTCAGAACGGCAAGGGTTCGATGTCAATGCCGTCGCATCTACTTCCATCCACAGCACAGATCGACGTGCGCACGGTCGCGCTGCGGTCTTTCCGCGATAAAATCATTCTCCCCATCTACACCCGTCTGCACGCTCGCCTTAGCTCGCAAAAGCAAGAGAGCTTCTCCGAGGGCCACACCTATCCTCGCCTGCAGCAGATGTATGCCTCACGTATCTCACCATCCAACAGCACGCTAAACCCCTTCACAGGCTCCTTGTCCTAGTCTCGCAAGGCCGACGCCAAATGACCTCGCTCTCTCTCACCGAGCCCGCCTCGCAGCCGCCCGCCGGTGAAGCCGCCGTGACGCATCTGCTCCGCCTCGTGCGCTCGACGACCTCAGGTACGCGCATCGGCAGCGCGCACACAAACCCGCACCAGGCGCGCACCCTCTCCTTCCTCTCGAGTAACATCCCGCGCGACCGCCGTGGGCGCATCGCGCACCGCCCGAACCCGCTCCGCGCGGACGTGTCGGAGGAAGACGAGGATGAGGACGACATTGACGAGGACGAGGACGGCGCGGAGACCCCGCGGCTTGGGTTCGCGTCCGCGCGGGAGCGCTACCGTGGACGCGAGTTCCTGGAGGCGCTGCGGAGCCCCGACCGGCCGGGTGTGCGGCAGAGTGGAGGGTGGGGGCTCGGCGCGTTCAACGAGGACGGAAAGGAGAAGGCTGACGAGGACGACGAGGACGAGCAGCCCGACTGGGACAACTTGCAGGTGCGCGTGCCGCATCAAGCATTCTAGTGAACATGTTGATCTGTCGGCGTCGTGGGGGTATAGGCGGATGTGGAGCGCATGGTCGGGATGAAGTCGACGACCTCAGGGGGGCCGCCACTCCCTGAGCGGCGGCGGCGAATGACGTGACGAGGAGGTCGATTTATTTCCCTCATCTTTTTGCTGCAACAACCGTGTACTTCTAGATTGCATATTTATTTCGCAAAGCACTGTTGGTTTTTTGTCAAGGATTATCTGTCTGATTTCCTCTGTGGGCACCTATGGCACGTGGTGCAGGGCCAGGGTGGCGTGACCGGGCGCGCGAGCGCGTCGCAGCGACGTTGGGAGTCGACGTCACTTGGGCACGAGCCCCTCAAGGCGACGTCATACGAAGAGAGAGTGGCCCCTCGCCAGGAGCCCCTCGGATCAAGGCGTATATAAACACCCCTTTTGCTCCTCACTCGCTCCTATTCCATTTTTTGCCCATTCACCGCTCACCCATCCTACCAATTCTACTTCACAATTCTACCCTTCAGGAGATTCGTACACATGGCTGGTGAGCGCTCCGCTCGACGGGGTATGGTGGATCGGATACGCTGCTGATGCCGACCGCGGTCTCGTTTGTTTGCGTAGAACACAAAGATCCGTCGCGCGTTGCGGCAGGGCTAAAAGCGTCGCTGCACAACCCGCATGTGTCGGACGAGGCGAAACGACATGCGCAGGAGCGCCTTGAAAGTATGGGCTCTGTCCAGCATGGGAAGGCGCAGCATGAAAACCTTGGCACCCACCATGTAGGGGTGAGCCACCATCATGTGGAGGACAACCGCGTTCTCGGTACGTGGGCCGCGTTGGGCCATCTCAGGTTTAACCGACATTGGTATACTTATGGCGTCTTACAGGAGGATATAAGGCCACTCTACACAGTAAGTGATCGGACACCCCATCCGCGACAGTGACCGCTGAGATGCGTATGCGCGGTATCAGATGAGTCTACATCTCCCGCTGCCAAAGCGCACGCACGCGAGATACTCGAAGCCGCTGGGTACCATGTCGACAAGCCCAAGGGCACAAGCGAAGAGGAGCACACCACGCGCGTCCTCGCTGGCTACAGGGCCGCCCTACACAGTAATCCCTCTCACTGCTGCGGAGAGCGCATCTCTGACGTGTTTCATAGATGATAGGGTGTCTGCTGAGGCCAAGGCGCACGCTCGTGAATATCTACGAGAACACGGTGGTTTGTGAGATTCTGCGTTTTGGACGCTATGTGCAATAAATAAGTCTTGTACCATTTTTTGCTGGGGTTTGGCAAAACCATGTAACCTATCACATATAGTTGACCACGCTGCTGACTTCAATTGATAACTTTTTGGATGCTCGTTCGGCGTGGTGGGGCTCTCAAGGTGGTATCCTGATCATATTCAACTGGCGCTGTAACATAGAGTACAGGTACAGGTACAAACAATTGTCGTAAACGGGTTGATGATCTCCTATGGTACTGACCCCCCAGGGGGGACTGTAGAATTATTCAGTGATCCTGGCGACAACTACAAAGATATTTGAGTACGAAGGCGCGAACACAATTTGCAGGGAAAGACGCACGCGCCAAAAAGATGACAGAGAACAGCAGGCAGCGGATTTCCGGGGTAATTGAGGCCACTATCATCACGAGCGCGTGCAGACTTGTGCCACGGACGGGTCGCCGAAGTGGTCGTGGGGAGGGAGGCCGCGACATGGGCGGTACTGGATGGCGCCGTGAATCCGAGGATGGGGACAAGTGGGTTGCCGGCGTCCTGGAGGTGTCCTAACCCGCGCACGTTCAGGTCAACGTGGGCATTGAGGTCGATTTCCTCTTCCTCGCGACGCGACGGAGGGCCGGACGCCGTGGTGCGCGAAGACAGCGCGAGTTTCTCCCTGTCTGGGATGGGGAGCAGGTCGACAAGTGGGTCCCCGATCTCTGAAAGGTCTCTGTTTACGTGCGTGACGGCGTCCGCTCGCGGCGGTAGAGAGTCGGCGCCTTGAACCCTATGCAGACCCTGATCAGTATGTGGGTGTATTCGCCGCGCAGCCAAAAATACGCGTATAGGACTGGCGTCGTTTGGCGCCAAACTTACGGAGCGCCGGGGGGGCTAACGAGGAGGCTTTTGAGTGAAGACAAGAGATCAGCCGTCTTCTGTGGGCGATCTACGAGCTGCTTACTGTGGGGAGCCGGCCGGCGGCGGAAACACGCGTACAGGGGCCGCAGAGACGCAGATGGCGAGAGCATAAATGAATACGGTGACGGCAGCAGACCACATCGCTTTGTCCTTGGAGCCTGATGAGGAGAGGAATATGATTTGGGTAGTGACCGCCGAGAAACGCAGTAATGAGCAGTCGAGGGACGTGAAGTGCTCCTGATTCGAGGTACTTCGAGGATAGTAGGTAGCCGGTACCAGGAGAATATGGGCGAAGGGAGCGCAGCTGGAGGACATCTGAGTTGACGAGGACTCGTTATATGCTACCTATCTTTACTGAGTCCTGTGCTCGATTGATAGTTGTTGGGCGGGTGCATACTACTAACATCGATCAATCTATCTTACCCTTCTGCTCGAGACATGAGAGATCAGGTAACCTGTCCAGACCCAACAGTTCGTAACGAATTATGAAAGGTAAGGCTGTGTGTTTGAGCAAGGACTACCATCGTCCATCGACTTGACGTCCTTCAAGACATCAACAAAAGAGCGTGATCATGATGCAGTTGATCGGTAGACCAAAAAGACCTTTACCGCCAAATCGTTGCCTCTCTATTTGTGAGTAATCCTTCATAACGACACTTTACTCGTGATATCGTAACAGGTTGGTGGCTTCTCGTGAATTCTTGTTCCGGAAACACTGTTCAATCTATTTGTTGAAAACGACAAGATCCGAGGTAGGTGAACAATTATACATTAGTGACGAGCCTTGCCCCTGCCAAATGTTCATCAAGATTGTAGGATCATCGTGCTTTCATAGCGGAGGGACACCGCTGAAACATTGAATTGCACCTGTACTCACCTGGGCATTGGCCAGTTATGGACTAGATTATACTCCATAAAGTCGCGGGAGACCAGGCTTTCTCGCAAGAAGGTCGTACGCAGCGATGTACTTCAGTATCTGGATCGATTGGTCAATTGATCAAAAGCTCCCTCTGTAGAGAAGAATCTGGTTCCACTGAGTTATCTCATCGAGACAGTTGACGCTGGGGAGCGCTGGGTCAGGGCTCTGAACGTCAAAACCGGGGCTGATCGCGCAGAAGACTGAGCAACCAGAAATCTTCCGAATTCCTGCGAATTAGATTAAAGCGACATGTGAAGGGTATCATAAAATAGAGGCTAGCCACATCATTTCGACAACCCCGGTATCATCTGCTCACCTGCTCCACTCTCTGCAAGAGTGATTGTACCCGCTCCTCCAAACCACTTACGTTACCTTCCACCAGCTTCCTGTTCTCGTCTAGACTACCCTCGACGCTATCTAGTGCTCTGCTCAACTCTTCTAATGCCTCCCGGGCTTTCTTCTGTTCTTCCTCAAGACCTTCGAGGGTGCTCTGGAACTCCGCGGCAGATGTGTGTAACGCGGACAGAGTTCGGAGCCTCATAAGGATGTGTGGAATATGAGGTAGGCTCGGCACAAGGCGAGTGAGGATGGGGGTGATCTGTTCTTGGAGGGCAGAGGGTGCCGCGTTTGGCGGAATGGCAGCTTCATTGTGGTGGGACTGACGCCGATGTTGTTGGTTTGCAGAAGAGACACGGTCGAGGTCAGATAGAAGGAGTTTGAGACGACGCGATATATTATCTAAGTGACGAGGCTGGGTAAGGACGGTGACTTGGGTGTTCAATCGACTGAGGAGGAGAAGAAGAGGTGTTGGCATTGGAGAGGCCTGGATCACAATCAATCAGCGCCCAACAGTTTTCGACAGACTGGACGTACCTCATCGAGAGAAGTGCTAGAAGAGCCAATGAGCTTTTCTACCTCGCCAACTCGACGATCCATCTCGGCCAATTCCTTCACACCGTCCTTCGCTTGATCTCCATCCTTTACTTTCGTTGTGGCTCCCTCCTCCTTCACCTCTACTGTGTTTAGTATCTCTTTCTTATTGCCATGGCTTAAGACCTCCTGTACGAGTCTCGATCTACCCTCCTTTTGAGAGACCTTGTCCAGCCGGGCTCTCACATCCACCAGCCCTTTGATCAACTCGCCTGGATCGACATTGCTTTCCTCGCGTTCCTTCTGGAGTAAAGGGTTAGAGGGATCCGAGACCTCGTTCTCTAAAGACGCTAGTTCGTTTTGAAGCAGGCGCAGACGCGCAGATAGGGATTTTTGTCGAGAAGGGGAAGGCGAAAGGCTTCGTGATGGAGGATACTTGTAAAGAGAGCGATCCTGACGGCCTCCTGTGTCACGCGTGGATAGACATGGTGGTGAACGTGAATTTGTGACAGGAAACGAAACTTACTCTTGCGCTCTGCGCGCTTGAACCGTCTGCTCGCCTCATCTGTACCAATCAGGCTGCTGTTGTCGAGTTCTTCCCTCCCTGGCGCTTCTATAATCTTTCCTCGAGATGTGTGACGCGTCTGAACTCCTGATTCTTCATCGCTCGAGTCCCCTTGCTACCATATGGAGAGGTACGTTGAAATCCAAAAGAGCAAGATATATATGACTTACTTTGGCTTGCGAGGAAGGGAATACATCCTCTGTCTCGTAGATATCTGGGGCTGTATCCTAGTATACGCTATAAATTGAGCTCGGAAATGATAGAAAGAACGTCGTACTATGTCTGGCAAGTTTGCATATTTGTTCACGCTCATTGTGAGGTTTCTCGAGCTATTCTGTCGAACAAAATCGTGAGTTGGGAAGAAACAAGCGGACAACTGAGGTAATATAGAGTGAGGTGAAGTTAGCGAGGTAGCGTGGGAATAGATTAGACGAAGCATCGAAAAAATCGTCACCTGAGCGATTCGAACACTCGCGGGCAAAGCCCAACCGCTAAGCTAAGTAATAGCAGGCGATCCCGTTAACCACTCCGGCAAAGTGACTTAGCTCATAAACGTGTATAGTTTGATATATACCGATCATCGTTGAATATCGAATCCACCAAAATTTTGTGGAAAATTCCGTTACCAGCACAAGACTCAGCACATAACAGAAGAATTAGCTTGAAGTCAACTACGCCAAGTATTACGGATAACTTGTACGAAACCAAACAACACTTTCGTGATAACACGCTCGGAAATTTAGGGTAACGCATCCGTAGGAACGGTATATAAGAATGTGTCGTAGATGTTTTAGATTGTATTGAGTAGATCATCGTCTCCATCTAATTATCGCCGCAACAGCCTACTTCAAGATGTGATAGAATTGAACCTCATGCATCCTGTCGCACAGGAACTAAGCACCCTGACTTGCGGCCAGCTGCCTGATACCAAACAATTCAATGAGGTCTGTCATATAAGTATCAGTAGAGTTTGGCGCTCGATGCAAGGAGAAACATTGACCGTTCAACCTGGCTTCCTTCTTCTGGCGCTGAGTTTCTTTGTTCTTCATACCAGAAAAGGCCTGCACGTTGTGGTGTGAGTCAATGTCGCGTCATTACTTCTGCCGCAATACACACCTCTTGAACCAAATGCTTCTTCTTCTCTTGAATGTCAATAACCTATCGGGAATAAAGTCAGGGAAAAGACGCCCTCCACTGAATGGAACCCATGCCTTAGACTCTACCGTATCTTCCGCGATGAGTTGATAGACGTGAACAGGTTTCTTTTGGCCAATACTGGGGACACGATCAGCGATACACGTTTTCAAAGTCACGGGAGCAAATATACCGATTGCATCTATCAATTGCCTGACTCTCGATACCTTCCTGCCACCATCTGTAGAGTCGAAAATCAACGTGCTATCTGTGAACGAGCTTTGTATGCGACGCACGGGTCCATGCTGCGTGATATTCCATGAGCGACGTTCTCTTGGCGATAAAAAAGAACTTACAGGTAAACATTGTTCGCCACCGTGAGATTGAGACCAAGTGCTCCCGCTTTCAAAGAGATGAGCATCACTCTGGGAATCGCACCGGGGATGGCAGAGTCATAAGCGGCACTTGTGGACGCCGAGGACTTAATTCTTGTCGCATGTTTGCCCTTTGCCTTTGCCTTCGCCTTTCCTTTTCCCTTCTTCGTCCATACGGTGTCGTCGTCAGAGATAAAATCATCCTCGCCATCATCATCCCGGGCACCGTTCGGATGGAAGTCGCCGTCGTCATCTCCTTGGTCTTGGAAGGCTTCATCGGCTACATCCTGGGTCATCTGCGTGCTAGAGCATCTGCGAGACGGCCGAGAAGCGGTCTGAAATGGCTGTGCTGCTTGCGTAGAGGTCGTGCTCTCCTCAATGGGAATAGAGAATTGTTCAAGAGTCTCCTGTCGCCTCCTCGCAGACATTTTCCCGTCAAATCGGACGTATGGGATACTAAGCGGCACTGCGTCAGCTCCACCAGCAAGGAGAATGAGCATCCTAAATTACCCTTCTTTATCAAGCGTTTCCGCAATCTTAAAGACACTGAATCACGATGTGTTGCACATGCGGCGTTGGAAGGATTACGCACCTTGTCCAGGAAAGATGTGAACTGCGAAAATACAAGGGATTTTTCGGTCAGAGGCGTCAGCTTCAGGAGGTGCACCAATTGATCGATTTTAGCCGATGAACTGGCGGAACGGATATCACCCTTGTCTTCCTCATCTTCGTCCGACCGTACAGGCACCTGAGTCAACTCTGTCGGTGGTGGCGGCTCGATAAGGTCGCCTAGGCCAAGGGGGCGCCGGTCCTTTGTTATCGTCAGAATTTTTCAATGGACATGATTGAGCCGAGATGCAAACCATGGGACATTTAGGATCACGAGCTATGACTTCGCTGATGCTAAAGAAACAAAATCTCAGAGAGTATCGAGCGATACGGGCAATTAACCTACCAAGCAAGGCAGAATCGGTGTGAGCAAACGGTGATGCGAGGTTCGTCCAAAATCCCGAAACAGATTGGGCATTCTTCATTGTCCTCTATGGCCTGGAAGAGTTGGCTCTGCAAGCGAACCTTAACCTCAGGTGTGATCTGGATGGTTGCGTGAGAATGTTCATCATCGGCATGGCGAAGTTGCTCGACGTAATCAGCCGGAACAAGTCCTGGATGAAGCGCAAGTTGTCGAAGACGGGTGAGCATACTCAATGCATTTGTTGAGATCTGAAGCGTGCAAAATTCAGTTACATGCGCCTTGAAGGTCATGACTACAGGGCGAAACATACAGAGACGTTAGTGATCCCTTCAGGGCGGTTCATAAAGCCTTCAATGCGCTGCTTCGAAAGCTGTTCAACCGTATCGTACAGCTCCTATAGAATCTTCAGATGAAGTGAATGCGAAGGTTCGTATAGAGTACTCACCCTCGCTTCGGGACTGAGGGACACAGGAACAACTGTCATTTCGACCTGCCAGATGTTTAGCCAGGTAGATTGGTTGCATAGTTGGAGCACTGACCGGTGGAAGAGGAACAAGGTAATTCCCTTCGCTATCTTGCATCTGCTCAATATTAAGCATGCGATTGAAAACTACGCTCGAATGAAATAACTTACTTCCTTCGTCCGGCGAATACAGATCTGACTCATGAGAGCCTGTGATAATATAACATATCAAATATCAGTCTTTGAGTCAATAGTAGTCCAAAAGCTATACCCTTAGAAGCTCAGCACCAGACGGGTCCCCATCCTTGAGTGGGCGAAGGACAAGTCTTTTGTAGAAGTCGGGGTTATCGAGTGGGCGGCAAATTCGAAGGAACGTGAGGATAGAACCGAGATCCTTTGACCAATAAGTGTCAGGTACGTATGCATGCGTCCGACTCAGAAACTTGCCTGTGGCGAATTGATCTAACATGACGTTTCAGTGACTAAACGACAGGGAAGATGAGGGATAAAGGCGCTCACGATGGGCGTGCCAGTCAAAACCCATCGTCTCTGCGCCGCCAGGGCAGAGACAGCCTTGGCCATCTTAGTACGGGGATTTCTAATGTTGTGTCCTTCATCTAGGATCACTCGCTAGATCCAAAGACCACGTCGATAAGACTTTGCTGATGTCCGACGTAAAATTATGATGCACCTTCCAGTGAACACCGAACAAGCTGCTGTCCAGCTTCTTCCTCTTTTTACTAGGACCCTTTGATTCCGATGCTTCAGGTGCATTGCTTTGGAAGTTCTCATGTTCGCCCGCAACCGTCTGATATGTTGTAATCACCACGTCATACTTCTGCAAGTCTTGTGCAGACATCGAGCGGGTGCTGCCGTAGTAGACGCAGTATGTAAGTGCACCAGGAACACAATGGTCCTGGATTTGTTTCTCCCAATTCGAGAGCACGGAAAGGGGCACAACTAGAACGAAGATTGAGTAATTCTAAAATATGAACACTGTAGCGACGAAATCACCTATCAATGTACTTTGGCCGCAGTCAGATTGGACATCAGCTTTGGTCGCCAAGACTAGAGCGATCATCGTCAACGTCTTGCCCTGCAGCAAATGAGATTTTCATTCTAGTGGAATCAACGAGACGAAGACGCACCAAACCCATGCTGTCGGCACAGAGCGCGCCTCGGCCAAGAATGGGAGCAGCTTCTTGAGGCGTCTTGGTAACAACTGTCAATTTAAAGTTAACTCAGCGTTTTGACATATAGAGCAAGCAGGTTTACTGTTGTAATAATAAGGCTTGATAACGATTGTCAACTTATATCCGACTCGCGAAGGGCATATCTCCTTACCTTGGCTCCAGTCGTCCGATATTGCCAGAACTGAACGGGCTTGTCCTCGTCCTTACTTGGTAGGGTCGGATATTCACGGTCAATACACCATCGGAGTGCTTGACTCTGCGACACAAATGCTATCAAGAGGATGTCCGTTACCAGATTCCTTGGCCCTTACCTGATGCTTTAACAAATTCACTGTCAATTCTCCGTTAGCGATCCCAGGCGGAGTCGCGTGAACAGGTAAAGACAAGATATCTTCCGTCGAACATAAGGTATCCAATAAGCTGCTTCTCCTTCCCTCATCGTCCACCTTTTCTAGATTGTTCAACATCTGTCGTAGTTCTGCGGCCTTCGCAAATGCCTCCTGCTGCTGCTGAATTCTTTTCTGTTGAGCGGCGAGCTCTTGAGGACTCATTCGAGAAACTTGTGAAGGAGAAGGATATGCAGGGCCTGGACCCATTTGCGAGTCAGATGGGCCAGACCCAGCTGCGGAGGCGGTCGCGATTTGCCCAGCAGTCTGGCGTTTCGGAAATCCTCGCTGACCGGGTGTTGCCCATACGAGAAGAGGCTCGAGCTGGTCGCGCAAGTCCGAGGCTCCATAAATCTTTAGGGTCCTATGAAAAGAGTCAGGACTGGAGCCGGTTGAGGTGCGAGAAGTCTGAGTTACTCACACAGACAATGAGTAGCAAAAACCTCGCACTGGAGCCATTTTATCAACATTGTCGACGAGAAGTACAGCAGCAACGTACGATTGCCTTCATTCATGGTTCCCTCGACAGTTACACGCCGCTGGTCCATCAACGGTGCTAATTTGGATGCAATGTCACGAGGAATGTGACCGACTTGCGCTTGCCCTATATTCTTTACTTGTATCGCATTTCTGTAGCCATCAACAATGTTCAGAAGGCGTGGTGAAGTGACATTCAAGAAGTGATATTCACCTGTCAAAACGGTTATGAGGCTCTCTGACCAAAAGGACTTGTTCTCCTGCTGCGACCATGCCTAAATTTGAAGGTGTCAGCGACTTTGTGAATACAGATTTTGATCATGTACCTCCGTAGTACTGGACACCAACCACATTGGTGCTCTTCGTACAATAGAGCTCGTCTCTCAGTTCTTCTTCTAGTGCCTCGTCCTCTGCTCCTTCCTCCCAGCGTGCATCAACCGGAATGTTTGCGACTGCCTGGGCTCTTTGCGTCGCGAGTGTTTGAGATGCAGGGGTCGGAGCGTTTTGGGCTGGGGCATTTCCTTCCGAGCTAGCTTCAATCGTGACGTGAGGCGTCTTTCTCTTTTTATCGTTCGATGATGCGGTCGGTTTCGGTTGTGAAGACGCCTGTGAAGAAGGAAGCGCGGACGGTAATTTCGCCGATGCTAGAATATCAGCAGGGTCAATGCGTCGAGTTGCCAGAGCCGTGCGGATCTTCTTTTGATCTTCTGTCCGCAGAAAATGAAAGCCATCCACGCGTTCCATACCATATCCCGCTATTTGAACAAGAATGGCACGCGTGACACAACCCCTGTACACACACAACGAACTTAGAGGCCACATTTCGGTACAAAGGGACGGCGACAATACCAGTGACGCCATTCGACGCCTTCGCCCCACTTGGTTTTGATTGTCTTGCCATACCGAAGAGCACCTTGCTCAATGGCTGTGCCTCTACATGGCGCGGGGCCGTGACATTTTGCTCTGGAGCTTTTACTGTACTGAATAACACAATGTCAGACGCCTCGCAAGAAAGCACGCTGGGGAACGAGAATATAAGATCACCTCTATGTGGTGCAAAGAGGGCATCTATCTCTCACGGTGAGGTCCGTTCACAGAGTGAGACGGAGAGCTATAGTCTGTGGTAAATATCTAAATGGTATGAGTCTGGGAGAGGCGACGCGCCACCGACGCGACTGACGATGGATAAACAACTGTCAACAACACGTTACGCCCAACGCGCTTGAGTGAGCGAGCCAATTCCAGTTTCCATCGGCTTCTGTAATTCATTCTCGTCACTTCCGACGCATACAGTGACCCCTTTTATATCAGCCATTGATTGCGAGCGAGGACGGAGGAGCAAGGACTAACTGACCATGATTTATCATTTTATATGATCTTCTCCCTCATCTATGTGAGCCAAGGCAGGGCCAAACCATCAATTTCGCCAGCGGCAGTTTCACACGTTGCAGGGAAGAGAGTGATAAGATACCCCGCCCAGGCATTTTGATTCATATCGCTGTCCTTGCTGTCTTACTCCACATCTGAAACAGACCCATTTCTGGATGCTTGCAAACACGATAGATAGGTGAGCGGATCTCGAGAAGGGTAAGGTGAGGTCCTCCGAGGTGCCGTGTCGTAGCACTCAACATCATGGTTACAGAGGTTGCAAACACGACTTCGAGCAGCACCGTGCCATGTTCTGTTCGAAGGTGATCAATTTGGGAGCAGGTGCGGGATGCCTGGTCTATGCCATCATCATCGTTCACTAGCGTCTAGGCAAATTCGAATTCCAATGCCATCGATATCAAAGAGATGCTAACCCCTGCTAAACCTTGCACACCACTGCCGTAGATGAACGACAACGATACGCATGCCTTTTTGGCCTTCATCACACAAGGCTTTTCGAGGTTAATTTCCTCCTCACTATCGAATCGACACCATGTTGCGCAGTGCGATTCACGCGGCGGATGTTTCGACTTCAGGTTTGATGAAGATCAGCACCCTCGTAGATAGAGAACCAACATATGCTAACGAGAACTGCCCCTCGCAAGCCCGGCTCTGACACGCCTCGCCCATGCATCCACAATCTCCTTCTCCAGCACGACCCCATGCACTGCCTCCAAATGCCTTCGTAGATCATACGCGCGCCCGAAGGCGTACTCGCACGCCGCCACCGCTCCCTGCAGATGTTGTAAAGGCGACAACGACGACGAGAAGCCGCTCAAGTTGGGGTACGGGCACCGGAGCTGACGCAATCTGCCCATACCGGCGCCAGTAGGCCCAGAGTCCCCAGCGGCGGCGCGCTGTGCGTATAAGCGCCCAGTCATGGCATCGATGCCGCTAGGTCCTCCTCGCGCTTCACCTGCGTCACTGCATTCCTCATCCGTGTCTGCGTCAGCATCAGCATCGTTTTCTCGTCCGCGCGCTTCCCCACTCTGTCCCTGATCGCGCACAGCGGCATGCACGCGAGCGACATGTCGCTGCAGTATGTGCTTATATCCGAACGCCCGCGCGCACCCGATTTCGGGGCACACGAAGTCGCGCCTGCCGAGGTGCGTGATGGTATGGTGCGTCGTGAGCGCTTTTTTCTGTGGTTCGAGCAAGGACCAGCATTTGAGCACAGAGTAGCGAAGAATGAGAGAAGTTGCGTAGATTGGATAAGAGAATAGACGCACAGACTTGAACTCCTTCCAGCACCCGTCCTCCTCGCATCTCCAATCTCTCCCGACCTCGCCTCCGCGCCTCCGCTTCTTCGGCCGGCTCTCTGCCTCGTCATTGCCACTATCTTCTCCTCCTCGCCCCTCCATCTCCATGCGCATCTCCCCTTCGGCCTCCACATCCGCATCCGCATGCACCTTTAGATGCGCCCTCAGCCCCGCATGCGACGCAAAGGTGCGCCCGTTACAGGAGGCATGCGGACACGTCGGCGGATGCGCCGTGCGGATGTGGTGCTGGAGTGCGGTCCATGTAGGAAAATAAGCCGGCTCCGTTGCTGGCTGAGGTAGGACTGCATCGGAAGAGGGCAGCGCGAGGGCGGGAACAGAGACTAGAGCGAGGCACACGGGATGCGCGCACGTATATCTCTTCTCTGCAGAAATACGAGAAAAAGTATTTAGAAATCTATTGGGCTCCATCGGGGAGTGGTGACCAACCCTCGTGCACCTTCACGTGCGCGCGTAGCTTCTGTGCCGTCGCGAACGACTTTGTGCACTCGTTGTGTGTGCACAGATATGGTTTACTGCCGGGAGGCGCGTGTTCAGCGGCAGTGTGTGCGCGAAGTTGATGGTGCTTTGCGAAGGCGGCAGGGCACACCTCACACTAATGGAGGGCCGTAGGAAAGATATTAATAAAGAAGCAGCGGCGACGATACAGTAGAGCCATGAGACCCAACAGAAGTGATGACCCTGAAATGCGCACGCACCTCATAGCTCTTCACACCCCTGTGCATGACCTCGACGTGTGTATTCAGGTGCTGCGGTGTCCAAAAGCGTTTGTCGCATCCTGGTTCGGAGCATGCGAGCGGACGCGCAGATGTGGGAAGGTGCGTGCGCGCATGTGCGGCGAGGTGGGTATCGCGGAGGTAGGATTTCGAGCAGGAGGGGCATTTGTATGGGCGCTGGATCCAGGCTCATTAGCAAAATGACAGGCCAGGCATGACAGGAAAATCGCAAAAATCAAAGAATAGGAGAAAGTAAAAGAAGGCGAGAAAGGGGAAAAGGAAGAAAGAGAAGGTGCGTACATGTCCAGTATGCGAGCGCGTGTGCTCAGCGAGACGCGACGGCTTCGTGTACGCCTTGTCGCATCCCTCAAGATCACATCTATATACTTTTTCTCGCGTCTTCGCGGTTCTTCGTCCAAGTATACGTCCATTCTTAGACGTAGATGGTCCTGCGGCGGCATCAGAGGCGCGCGAAGATGCCTCGGCGTCGACATCAGTATGGAGATCGGTGGTCGTGTCGGTGTTCATGTCAGGGTCCACGTCAGAGGCAGAGAGGTGGATGATATACAATTGGGTCGCTTTTCGCTTCCCGGAGACGGTCGTGGTGGGCGCGGCAGCTGCTGTGGACGTCGCCATCGCTTTCGAAGGCGGAAAGAGAGGAGGGCTATATCTTGTGGTGTTTGGGCGATGAGAGTAACGAAGCAAGTACCAGGGGTCCTTATACGCATAGCGACTCAAGTACTCAATACCCACCGTTATCATGACTCTTTGCAGCGTATCGCAGCAATGCAGGAGAAGAAACCACTCATCCCGAAGCCTTCCAACAAGCCGCGATACGTACTCGTCATACATGGCGGTGCGGGCACAATGTCTAGAGAGGCTTCCACGCCTGAGCGGGAAGCGCGGTACAAGACCGCGTTGAGCAGTGCTCTCCGCGCCGGACACGCGGTATTGCAAGATGGTGGAGAGGCAATGGACGCGGCCGTCGCAGCCGTCATGTCCATGGAAGGCGAGTCGAGATCTGTGTTTCTAACCTGCCATCTGACAAGGAGCCCCAGACTGCCCGCTCTTTAACTCTGGCAAGGGTGCTGTCTTCAACGTAGTAGGTCAGGTTAGTTCGGGTCTCGTTACTGAGAGCAAATTTCGCAAAATAAATCTCCTTAGAACGAGCTTGAGGCCTCTATCATGCTATCCAGGCCACCCTCTTCACATCCAAAGATCCCACACAAGAGACGTGGATTTTCATTGACCCTTCTCACACGCACACGCAACCCATCTCACATGGTCAGAGAGCTCTATCTTTCTCCACAGAGCTCTCCACACCCATTTCTTTCCGGTGCCGCAGCTGAAACTGTTGGCGAGACACTGGGCGAACAACTCGTAGACCCTTCATATTTTTTTACCGAGGCACGCTGGCGTGAACACCGACGTGGGCTCGGGCTGCCCGAAACCCCCTTCCCTCCAGGACATGTCCTGTCTTCTCCACCGTCAGAGCTAAACCTAGACCAATTGCCGACCGGCACGGTGGGTGCTGTCGCGCTTGATGTGCACGGCTGCATCGTTGCGGTGACCTCAACCGGTGGCCGGACGAACAAGATGGCAGGAAGAATCGGCGACACGCCGCATATGGGGGCTGGATTTTGGGCGGAAGAGTGGAAGACAGAAGGGTGGATCCGCCGTACCTGGAACAAGGCACTGGGACGGAAGAGTAAACAGGCCGTCGGTGTGTCTGGCACTGGGGATGGGGATGTGAGTCTCATTTGCCGGTAAAACGCAGTTCGTTCAAGTAACCGAATATTGCTCTAGTACTTCATCCGACAGAACACCGCTTGTACGCTTGCCCGTCGTATGCAGTACTTACACGAGCCATTGTCTAAGGCAGCACAATATGCCGTGGATGATCTTCGCAGAGTCGGAGGTGACGGCGGTCTTATCGCGGTCGATAGTGAAGGACATGGTGAGATATTTTCTTTTGATCTTCACTAAGACGATCCACTGATTATAATTCAGTCGCGATGCCTCTGAACTGTCCTGGCATGTATCGCGGGTTGATTGGAGTGGACGGTATCCCAAAAACAGCAATCTTTAGCGATGAAGAGCTATCGTAAAGCACGCAACTATGGTCCTTTCATGTCAACGTTGTCTTCTGCTTCTGCACAAGCTGAAATATGTTCGATTGTACTCACACTCAACCGCTATGTTACCTGTTCTTTTTTCACAATCTCGGCAAATGGGAATATAGCGCGCCATGTTGACCCTCTAGTCAAGACCAAAGGCTTGAAGGTCAAGGCAGTAGGGTGAAGTTCACCTTGACAGCATACGTAGTGTTTTAATAGCTGACTGTGGCATTTGGATGTGAGGAATTGATGAATTCCAGCCTCATCTGCTTATCAAGAAATTGAGGGGAAAAGCGTCACTATCATTGCTATTGTGTGATTTTAATCTGAATCATACCGACACGGGACAACGCGTAAAGGCAGGACAAGGACTTACAAAAGTCAAGGCGGATAGGACATATTCCGAACATGGTCTGACGATCTCTCATCTTATCACTGTCGAAGGCAGTCGTGCGCATCGAGAGGGGCAGCCTGGCTATACGTTTCCCATGAAGAACAAGGATAAGATATAATAAAACAGTGGCGTCCGGAATAAGTAGAGGGACCTCAGTGGGCCCCAGAAACAGCAGCCTTGAGCCTTTGTCTGAGTCCACGACTCTCGTCATGAGATGCAGGCTCGGGGGAGTTCGATGGTGGCTTATCATCGGTGGACACCGTATGTTCCTTCGGAATGGCAGCTGCTGGAGGTTTGTAGGGGACCAGATCACCATCCTCCCGGACAATGCCCAACTCACCAGGGCCGACAGGCTCTACAAGCTCCGTGAGAACCGCTATCCGAGTCCACCGCCTGTATCTTGTATACTACGTTGTGAAATCTAGTGAATACCATCTTCCTGTAACATTCGAGCAACCACTCACCTTGCCCATGCCACCCTTCCCGCTACGACCTTCCCATTTATTATCGCCATACACCCACCCATCTCCATCTGTATCCACACTGTCCATATCTAGTTGATCTCCGTTCTCAACTTCCATATGCTCATGGCTACCCTTCGCGGGAGCCGTGCTTGCCCCTGTACTTGACGCTGCCGAAACGGACGAGGAAGCTTCCATCATCTTGCCTGCCGCCTTAAACAGCCTTCCTCCGGATGAAGTTACAATGGTTTCTTCCTTCGGCAGCGGTAGCGGCCGCTCAACCCGAGTGGATCCCTCGCCCTCCTTCCGCACAACGACCTTCCACTCACTCTCCTCCCAACCCCACATGGCGACACGCTTGACACGACCACCCTTCCCGTCCGGGAGGTACACAATTGTCGGGCTTGGTAGCGTGAATGCGCTCGGAGGGGAGACGGGCTGCTGAGATGCCGAACACCAGGACGGCCGCTCACCCGGTAGCAGCGCCGCGGTCCAGTCAAGTCCCATCCACCAGCGATGGTTTTCGTAGAGCGTGAAAAGAAAGCGCACCGTGTTCACAGGACTCCCCGAGGATTGTGAAGCGATCTCCAGTACGAGGGGGCGGGCAGGAAGTGGTAGGCCAGAGATATAGGACCATACTCGGTACAGGGACCAGCGAATCCAAGCGCTTTGCCAGAGGTTAGCGCGGAGCAGGCACATCCAAGGCGCTCGCCATGACAGGAGGACTGTCCCGACAACGCCGAGGATTATTCTCAGTCGTACAAAGTATGTGAGGATGAGGTATGGAGGGTATGAGAAGGCGCATACACGTAGCAGAATGACAGAGGAAGTAGATGGGAGGTTGGGTACAACAGGTAGTAATGTAAATATGGTGGAAAAGTCAGAGATAGTCAGCTGAAGGTTTGCCTCAGAGAGTAGCGGTGCGACAGGAGGCGAAGATGGACGAGACTTCCATCGGGTGAGGGTAATGATGCCTAGAATCACGACAGGCGAGAGGTATCTGTACCACGTCACTGTCGATAACATTGCCAAGGGACATAAAATGCGACTCACCTGAGCACAAAGTTCGCGAATAAGCAAACGCTCCACCACGCAGCGATTGCTAGCCAGCTTTCTTCCCAAGAAGACTTCCAGCTTATAACTTCAATGATGCGACGAGCACCTGATGCTGATGGTCCAAGGCCGACAAGGAGAGTTGTGAGGGGGGATGGTACTATGTTAACGAACTCTAGGAGTGTGGGGAGGCCAGCGAGGGTGGCGGCTGGTGTAGCAAGGCTAGCTTGGTCTGAGGTTGGAGACCGAGGCTCGAGCTGGACATGGGATTGAGAAGATGCTCTTCTATGCAGAGACGACATGCTGTAAATATGGATACGTGCTGGTTTACATGAAAATACGGGAGCGGTCGCCAACAGTCACGGCGTCGACTGGGGTTTCGGAGTGGGGCACGGCATTGGCGCGGCTTTCAGCGTCAATTGACACCGTCAGCAACAACAATCACGAGCTTGGATCCGGTCTGTGCTCGTCACTCGACACTCGGCCTAAACGAAACAGCACAGAGAACTGTACCCGTCATCGGGTGAGACAGTCCGCATACAAAATCCTGCTGTGATGGATTCAAACGCATCATCGTCGAGCTTGATACCACAAAACCATCTACGCCTGCTCACCCGCTGCACCATCGCCAGTCGAGTTCTGACTTTGTTGCTTATCTGGCTTTCTTCCCACCTCCCCCTGTTTGACTCTTCCTCGAAAGTCCTAGTGGATGATTCGACCTTCTCACTCACGACTGCGCTGCTTCGCTGGGATGCCTTCCATTTCGCACAAATCGCTCGAGACGGCTACGTCTACGAACATCAATGGGCGTTCTTCCCTGGAACACCGATGGTCATGAACCTCGCCTCCCGATTGATGAGATTTACGAAGCCCGCAGAAAATTCTATAGGTTGGGTCGATATCCTGCAAGGAGGCGCGCTGGCTTCTCTATGTTGCGACAGCACCCAAACCCTTTATCACTTGTCCCTTTATCATCTCAAATCCCCATCGCTTGCACTGCTAGCATCTCTACTATCCCTTCTCCCCAGCAGCCCTGCTACCTTGCGCTACGCAGGCTATAGCGAACCATTTTTCACGTTTTTCTCGTACAAAGGTACATGCGTTTACCACTCGAACTGTTGCTTATCACAATGCTCAAGGTCAGTGTAATCACAAGGTATGCTCTCCTGTGCCAGGCGACAGTGGTTTCGCGCATCGTGCTATTTTGTCTTAGCGGCTACTTTTCGTTCCAACGGATTTCTGCTTGGAGGGTACATCCTATGGGGACTTATCATCCGTCCATCCTATCAGGGCAAGGCGGTACGCCTCGTCCCATCAATCTCTACTGTTTAGCATTGGACTTGACTGACCATCAAACAGCCATCCTTGTCGAAAATCGGATATGCTGTGGCTTTGACCACACTCACATTCATCCCCTTCATTTTCCATCAATACACTGCGTACCGCAACTTTTGCACGTCTACTGATCTTAGCATCCATCTGCCTTCATGGTGCCACAATACAGTACCTTCCATATATGCCCACGTGCAATCGCGATATTGGAACGTCGGGTTCCTCCGCTACTGGACGCTCGCCCAAGCCCCTAATATTCTTATCGCCTCGCCCGTCCTGGCCCTCCTGTCTATATTTTCCTTGATGCAGATTTCAAACGCCGCTCCTCGCATCCTCTCCAACTCTAAACACAAACAAAAACTGGACATCCAGGCGTCGCCCTTTTTCATCGAGTCCCTGACGCCGCATGCTATCCTCGCTTCAATACTCGTATCCATACTCCTGTTCGCGTCGCATACCCAAATTGCCCTTCGCCAGGCTGCTGCGGTGCCGATCACATACTGGGCGGCAGCCTGGCTTATCGTCGAGCGGCCGTGGTGGGGACGTATCTGGATCATATGGAGTGTCGTCTGGGGCGCCATATCGATCGTATTGTGGACGGCGTTTCTACCGCCTGCATAATTATTCTCTTTCCTCTGACTCGCGGTATCCTGGAAAGTGTTCGATTGCTGCAATTTTTGGAACAAGCGCGGGATTATCAAACATTGCGAAGGGTATAATAAGAGTTATCAATAACTTGTGAAGAATACAAAAGCGAGTTATTGCGGAACAAACAAGGGAGGAACAGGTGGGTAGCTTTGGGCTAACGTCATAAAGGTTCATCCGGGGTATGTCATTACTTCCCGTTGCCTTGCGGAAAAGGAATGAACAGGAACGCTTATCGACATGAACAAAAACTGTTTCAAGAAATTGGAGCAAGACAGCTAACCAAAATGATGCAAAAATACAGGTACATGTGAGTGCACGCGAGTCAGCACAATAGTCTTATAACAATGACTATGAAAGGGCGCATTAAATCGGGCTCTATGAATATGGGAAAGCGACGTACTGGAAGAATAGTCTCAGCGGCGGTGGATGATGCCGATGGCGCAAGTGGTGATGCACTGTTGGAAGGTTCCGCCTCTGTTGATGGTTCTTGACTGAGAATTGGGAATGCAAGAATAGTCGCTGAACCTGACTGCGTGATTGGGGCAGTTTGCGATGGGGCAGTCGTCGATGCTGGAGCGGATGACGCTTGCGACGATGCAATGGTCGCAGTAGAAATCGCGAGCTTAGACTCGCTGATCGAGTGCGCTTTCTCCTTCATCTCAGCGATGCTCAGGTCGAGCTGGTAAGTCGTTGTTACACCAAGTTGAGTCAAGTGTAACCAGGGTATCTCGTATCCACCACTGCCGATACTAGAATGCATGTTAGCATGCTGAAGTACAATAATTTCAACCACCTTACCGAACAGTGGCGACAGCAAAGACGTCAAGCTTGCCGATAGGGATGATTCCCAGTGATGCTATTGCACCTTGGGTGAGCAAAACATTTCCAAAAGTGCCACTATTCGCAATGCTCTTGGCGGGAATGGTAAAGCCCGTAAACGCCTGGTCAAAATGTGCGTATGTGACCCCGTCGAGCCCGGAGTCAGCTTGAGAGAATTCGATCGTCATTTCCGTGTCCAATGGGTTGGCAATCTAAACAGCGTTCAAAATTCATTATTTCTGTGATGAAATCTTTGAAAGAGCTCACATCAAAGTTGATTTTGATGAGGTTTGTGAGTAGTGAATCGAGGGTTATGAAGGCGTTAACGTGCGTTATGATCGGAGGGACATTGAGGGCTATGATGCAGTTCAAAAAGAGATTGTGATTGCCACAGGCGAAATGCTGACCTTGTAAGTTAGTTGACAGTTGAATGCCCTCCAAACCTAACACTAATGATGGAAAGGGTGAACTTGCCACGTCACCGCGTATCTCGAGGGGCACGGCATCATTGGTTTGTAAGAAGCGAGAAATGAAATCCTGCAACAATGAACATCGATAGAGACTCGGTCATCTTTGTACTCAAAACTCACTTGTGCCGTCGTATCATTTGCATCAGCAGGCGCGTAGCGGAATTCGGTCTCTACCGTAGTCTCTCCCGGAACAAGGTCGAGTGTCTGAGAAACATGCATCAGTATCAACGGGTTCCCTGGCTAAAGTTTACGAACATTGATAGCTGCACGGCCCAGCATGACACCTTGATAATAGACAGGTAAAGAAACATCTGTGGTCGTCAGAGAAACGTTGGAAGGATTTTGCAGCTTCGTAGTTAGCGGCGTCTTGATGTATTCGCTACCGCCATTTCCACCGCTGCCTGTGATTGAGACATTGCTGAGTGAAGCTGCTCCACCGAAAGCATTGATGCCTGTATAGACGACAGTCAATAAATGAGCGGACCAATACATTGATCGAACAGTCCATACCTGCCAAGCTTGAAGATACATTGAATGCAATCCCAGAAATAGGGATATCGCCAATAGTTGTGCGTCCCACAACATCGGCTGATCCCTTCAACTCGAATTCAACTCCCTTGGTGTCTGTGACTGCAGCGAAGAATTGAATAAAGGCAGCATTGTTGAGTGAGCGAAGGGCCTGATTTTCGAACGTGAGGACTAAATCTACTAGATTGCCCGTTGATACTCCGCCTTCTGTCGATGCTTGCGGAAGTTGTAACTGTAGAAAAATGAGTTTGACGAAGAATCCTTGAATCGAAGATAAATACATGAGCAATGTCAACGCCACTTGCGCCGAGAATGATATCTTCAGAGGCTTGTACGACTTGCAATGAGAAACCGAATGGGTTCTTATATTGCGCAAGAGTATGCTTAGAGCTCGTTAGAGGCGCGAATGTTTCCTCCTGATCGTTCATGATGACCTCGAAGTCCGATAATTCGATGGATTGGATAACCTATCAAGTCGTGTTAGTGATGAGCAAGGATCAAAACATGCACTAACATTGAATGTTTGTCCAGGCAGAATAACCTCGAGCGTAAGTGTCTTGAATGCTGTGCTCAACCATCCCACGGGTGAGGTCGACCCTGAAGGTTGCACGGAATCTCCCTTCACGGACAAAGTCTGGTTCTTTCCTGCGAGATAGTCTGAAAATAGTTTGCCGATTATATCAACGTCGCCGCTGCTCTGAGGCACGATACGTCCAGACAAGTGGAGGTTCGTCTGAGAATCGGGAGCTAAGAATAAACCACTTCCAGACAATGCTACAAGAGATTGTCAACCAGCCTGAAGTCACATCAGTCATCGCGAGAAAAACTCACGACCAACTGTTGCATTCTCGAAGGATGCCTGGAAGCCAACAGTGCCCAGATCGATTCCAAGCTCTGTAAAAGCCATGAAGTCAATCAAAATGCCATTGAAAAGACAAAACTCAAATAACGAACGCGCTGGGGAAGGAATCAGCGAGTCGGTTTCAATATGAATTCCCCCAACAGGATCATCTGCAGGAAGCTGGAAGTTGCTGATCGTTACGCCTGGCAGATTGTTGAAAGCCTTAAACGAAACGTTCTTGCTCAATGTGACGCCATCGAAATTCGTTCCTAGAGCAGTCACGCGAAGGTTTTGCGTAGAGATTGTCCATTCAAAGCTTGGGGAATGCAGGAGGATTGTCGCAAAAGACGTGAATCTGCTTTCAGTCAATATATGCCACACAAGCCTTGAAAACACTAACTTACTCGTCCTGATCGGTGATAGTCAATCGAGCGCTCGTTCGATAGTCAGGTACGCCTGAGTTAGCAGCTGCACAAACTTTTAACAGCAGATGATTAGTTGAAGCCATATTGTATGGGAAGAGGACTCGCCTGGCGGTAAAGCAATCTTGGCGATGTCTTTCCCATTCCAGTTGACCCTTATAATGTGTCAAGACGTTTTGAAAGCTCCGATTTTAACCTGACGCATACGTTACTGGGTCAACAAAGGTGATTTCTGCATCCAATGGTCCGGTGCCCGTAAGCGACCCATGGAGCGATAAATCAAATCCTTCGTCCGATATGTTTCTATATTGATGGAGTCAATCAAAAAGGGCTATCCATGAGATGTAAAGACACGAACGTGATGTTTGCCTCGTCGAAACTCAATACGGATCCACTAACAAGATCCTGCACGATGGGTGGAGCTACGACACCTATAAGATACAATGCGGTCTCGTCCGTCTGCCATGATATATGTTTAGCATAAATTTGAGTCAAATGTATCGTATGACTAACGATTGCAGAAACGTTGTATTGCTTGAAGGAGAGCTCCGTGGGATCTGTAGTAGGTGAGTAACACTCCTCGACATGTCAAACATAAGAAAGTCGAATTTACAGTCATCGATCTTCACACCACTGTTTACGTTCAATGTGACATCCAGATTTTCTAAGGCGGCAAGAATGGCTTCATTGACATTGAATTGCTTTCCACTATTGATCATGAGTTAGCTCGTCGGCAATAAAGTAAGACTAGACACACAAATTCACCTGACGCAAGAAGATTGATTGGTGACCACGGAAGTAGTGATCTACTCCCAATTGTGTCGGCGATAGTAAGTTAGGATGCAGGAATCAAATACATACCGGAGGATGATAGCTTGGATCCTTTACAACAATGGAAAATAAGTCCACTAGCGGGCCTAAATCTACATGATTGTTTTGAGCACCAGCAATCAGGAGCTCAATGATCATGATAGGATCAGTGTTAAATTTGAAGGGTAGCTGTGGGGACGTAATAGTAGAGCCGCCGTCTGCGTGGATTGGTGACAATGACCTATCAACATGGTCGATACTTCCGAGCGTCAAGTTTTGGAAAGTGACCGTAGCCGTCACTTCCAATAAGTTGATGCTAGCCGTGAAGGGATTTGCCAAAACGAAAGTGGTCGTCGCAATTCCGGTCTGGACGATGTCCGTAGGGAAAGACAAGGAGGCTGAGGTGATCAAATTCTGGTGCAACGCGGGAATTTGTACGGGTTCGAGGTGAATTTTAGACATAGCTAGCTTCAAAGAATCAATCGAAGTGCTGTCCTCGGAACCTTGGATGACTGTGTCAGATTGGATGCCTTGCAGATAATTCTCGAGGAGGGCCTGGCCCGCAGGAACTGCAGTGCCTTGGGGCGAGAAGTGAACACCTACAGAAAGGGTCAATACGCAGACGATGTAACTTGTATGATAACGAGCTCACCTATCGCATAAGAATTATTTCCAGGGAGTATCTCGAGGTTGGTCTGGGAAGTAACTTAGCAAACAGGGGCTTTTATGGGGAAAAAAAACAGAAGGCCCGTACGATGTCTGCAGTGCCGAGTTGCTGATTCCTGTAGACCACAGATCAACAAGCGTTGCTTCAGGGAGAGAACAAGACGTACTGGAACGCCAACCCAAAAGCAACATTGCCGGCACCTAGGTTGTACGTTAGTACTCCACTTGTGTTTCTTGTGCTCGTAAACGTGCCTAAAGTGATATTGCTGTATAGTTATGATAAGAAAAGACCGCACTAATTCAAAGAAACGGACATACCTGGGATTAAACAACGAAGCGTTGACCTTAATGAGCAAGTAATCCGAATAGCCATGATTTACATCCAGTGATGAGACAATCGCAGGTTTGGAGTTCAATCCCTGTAGTCCTGCAATAGAGGTGCTGACCGAGAATTCAATATCGTTAAGCGACAGCACGCCGACAGCAGTGCTGGCATCAGTGTTCGCTGCGCCAGAGAATTGCATGGTCTCATTTACTGCTGTCTCCGTTGCCGCCAAAAATTGCTGGAAAGCACCCTGCTGGCCGTCGAGCAGAGCGAACGGAACGTTCGAGAATGTCAAGGAAATAACTCTTGTGTCAACATTAGTGGTGCTTGGGCCCTTGGGGATGACGAGTTCCGCAAATGAATGTCCTTCTGCGCCGACTGTAATGTTCTGTGCAAGAGCAATAATATCGACAGGGAAGGCGAACGGCAAGGTGAAGGCCGCTGTCGCATCGTTACTGCTTGTTGAAGGATCGTACGCCGTGTCCGTCGAGAATTGAAGGTTGAGCTCGTTCAAGTCAATGGATTTGATCATGTTTAATCTGCCTTGGTTGGGCAGTGCAGTCGTGAGCTGTAGGCTTTTGATTCCGTCGTTCAACCAAGTGACCTAGAATATAACATTAGCTGATGAAAGCACCTCCGAACGGACAAGCGCACATCACTCGGTCCCGCGGTGTCACCATGAACACCGACTTCACTATCTTGCCCATGGATAAAGTTGTTAAACACCGTTGATATGTCATGCAACCCGGAGTCGGAATCCTGATGGATGAGTCTTCCGATCAGACTGAGCGGAACGGTAGACTGGGCGCTGAGGGTGAAGGTCCCATTGGATTTGACCGGGCCAATATTGGTATTTCCAAAGAAATTTTGAAATCCGAGCGAGCTCAATTCGATTCCAACTTGCGATGGCTAAAAAATCCTTATGAGTGAAGCCCTTCGGCCCTTCGAAGGTATTGATTGAATATCTTACATTGGTCACAGTCGTATCGAGTGTGAGGTGGATTCCACCCGCAGGATCATCGGCAGGTAGATCGAAGGAGTTGATCTTGACACCGTTCTTCAAATTGTTCATACCCTTCAAGGTGACCTTCTTTGATGGAAGCGAAATGCTTGACACCTCGATACCTGAGCAATCGTTCATTTAACACGTACTCGTCTCTAGTAAAGATCATACACCTACCGAGCGCTGAGACTACCGAAGGGAGACCGGCAATTGTCAAAATACATCATAACACAAGGAAACGATGCACACACCAGTAAGATTCTCCCCAGAGATATCCCATTCGAAAGACTCCTCTGTTAACAATACCTGAAACATAGAAGACCTTTGAGATCAGCCCCACGACATCGAGACTGCTGCATACCCTCGTAAAATTGGTCAAATGATCCACATCTGCGACATGAAAAGTGGCATCAATATCGAATTGAGCACCAACGTCCCCCGTGACGTTGATGTTCGACATCGCGATTGACCCAAGCGCCCGACCAGACCAGGCAATTGTCAATCCAGATCCGAAGGCGATCACCGCATCGACTGTAAAGTCCAAAATGATATCTTGACGAAAGTTCTGAACGAATCTAGGAATTTACTAACATGGACCGGACTGGGTGATTGACCCCGACAGCCTGGTGTCTAAACACGCTCAATGAGAATCCTGTGAAGATCTTCAGTCTAGGTACTTAGAAGTACTCACCAAAGGAGTTTTGCTGCGGATTCTTGATGAGGACATTGTTAATGCTGATCGATACGTACCGCAGGTGAGCCATTGGTCTAAAGAGTGCTTGTAATTCGTACCCAAGTGAGGCCCCGCCAACAATCTTCTGTACTATAGGCTGCGCTAGGATAGGTAGCAGGAGATTGATGCTCTGATCCGTCTTCGTTGGCACATTGCTCTGCGTGTACTGCAGGTTCGCCTTGTAATCGCCTGTCGCACACTGCGCTGAGCAAAATCAACACGGAAGGAAAGTTGATACATACCAATCGTGAGGCCTGCCGTAAGCTCAACATCTGAGTGGAGCTGCTTGAAAGCCTCTTGAACGAAGTTCGGCAAATTGAACCCACTGAGATGTTCGTTAGTGGGTATGACTAAAATCGTTCATAGCTTGGAAACGCACGTATATACGTTGTCGCGGCGATTGTTTGAAGACACAGTATCGCTTCTGTCCAAGTAATGATAATCACCAAGAGCAACGATGCCATCGAGCTGTGCTGTGTCCAATCCTGCTTGTTTCGCCAGACTATGTGTCACGGTGAATAACGATTGAGGGTCCATGTTCAGGTCCAGGGCCAGGTTCGGCGATGTGGTCGTTGAGTTCCCGGCGGACGTGAAGTTAGTGATGGTATCTATTGTGCCGAGCTGAATGCCATGTGCGAAAACAGTAGACTTAATCTGTGTAATCTCGAGTCCGGCGGTGAATGTGTTGACAAGGTCGACAGTGACGTGGGTAAGATTATTTCCATGGCCAGTAGTGGTCAAGACTATCAATGATAATTCAGGCTTGGGAAAGATATCGAGCGATGATATGTTACCTTCGAGAGAAGCAGAACTAAGAAGGTCAGTAGTTAATGCGGGCAGACTTGCATCTAGGTTGATGGTTTCGAAGGCTTTAAGAAGGGAATCGATCTTCGTACTTCCGTCGTATCCTGAGATCTGGATGTCCACGTCTAATGAAAGAAGTTGAGAATATTCGAATCAACATTAAAATTAGTAATCACCCTTCTTCCCAACGAAGTCGTTCAATGTCTGTTGTCCTTCCGGACTGTTGTTGGGCTTCCCGGATAGAAGTAAGAGAACCGAAAGAAACGCCAATAGATCTCAACTTACTGAGAAGCTACCTTGCGCACGCATAGAATTGTTGCCCATGTTGAGAGTGAGATTAGGGAGCAAGGTTGTGCCCAGAAGCCCGCTGCCTCTGAATAATTGCAGTACTATGTAGAAAGTGAGAACATGCCCGCGCTAAAATTTCGAGGCACATAAAACTTACCCAGGTCGCCAGTATCTAGAATCAAATTTGACGGATTGTAGATAGATACTGAGAGCAGAATTGAGTACCGCGTTGTGTCGTTAGTGAATATTAGTCTTCGTACCATCGATTCCAAGGTCTAGAGCTTCAGGCGAGCCTCCCATCACGTCGACATGCTCAATCTTGACCATATTCCTAAGACCCTGAAGGCCATTCAAGCCAGATGAAACGTTGAACTTGATTGGGTCCAATGTGATCCTCCCGATGCTCATGTCCGACACAGCGCGTGCGTGACCTTCCAACCGGAAATCCGAGCGAAAGAGGTCTGTTAAGTCAGCATCTAAGGGACAATCTCAGCTTTGGTTCGTCGGAAGAAATAGCTGAGGCACGCACTGAACTGTGCGAAGTGGGGGTGATCAGGATCAGGCACTTGGAAGGGAGAATTTTCGATGGTGATGTTGATGACTCCCTGAGTGTTGGTGGAATTGATCACATGTATTTCAGATGTAGATGCCCCCAGCGGCTGAAATAGGTCGCGTCAGACAATGCTTACATGACTTCAACTATCCGAGACATACCGTTAAAAGTCCTGCAGCGACAGAACCATTCTTCGTTATGTTGAACATGTTCTCAATCTGTCCAATAGAAAGTCCAAAACCGAAAGGCAATTCTATACGAGCACTATTATGAGATTGAGTTGAATCATAAACAGTCAAGATACCTACGCAAAGAAGCCTGCACCGTTTGACTGTTAGCCACGGGCGCCCACGGTTGGCTTTCAGAAAAAGCAAGACCGAAGTCTCCGATATCTATGGACCGTATAGGGTTGATTGGAGTGAACGGCTTCAGTGGAACCGTCAGCTGCAACGCCTGCAGGCCTTGGCTGAGCCACGAAATGGTCGAATTATCGTTCTGCAACGTTGACTGGCCTATTGCAATGACAGGAGACGATTCGCTGTTAATGTACTGCGTAAACAGCTGCGAGACAATGGCCAGTTCGGAGTCCGAGTCGTTGTGGGGGATAAGCCGCCCTCGAAGAGTGATTTCGTTCTCACCAGGGCTCTGTTGACTCGTACGCGTCAGTGGCTTTCCAAGCCTGAAGAGCAGAATCGGCTTACAATGCTCGTGTTGGTTCCTATCCCTGCACCTAGGAAAACATTTCGATACAGAAGATTGAATACCACCGTGCCAAGACTGAGGTCGAAAGGGCTGAAAGGGGAGCGCTTCAGTTGTCATCGTGAGAGCAAAAACACGAAAAGAGGGACCTTGGGTTGTTCAGCTGCGTCACGGCCACAAAATTGATCCCGCCTTCAGGGTTATCACTAGGAAGTTGAAAGTCCTTCAGGAGAACATTTCCCTCAAAGCTATTGATACCTGGAAACACAAGAAGTCTAGAACACGGTGTACTAGAGTTCGAAAAGAGGCATACCATTGAATAGAACATCCTTTTTAAATTTGATGCCTTTTGCTAGCGGGAATTTCAGCGCACGCGCGGCCAAGTCGTTGCTCTCTAGCCGCCAGGTAAAGTTTTGAGCAATGATCATAGAAGCTGTAAATCTGCCAAAGGCGTCCTCATCAGAGATCTCGAACTGCGTAGTCTGATTGATGTAGGCGCGCTTGTGCTTCGCGATGAGCGGTTGCATGTTGAACGAGCCCAAGGGCACCACCTCGTCTCCATTGAGCCAGGACACGTTTAATGGCTTGGGAAACATGATTTTGGCGGAGAATATACCCGTGTGCGTAACCTGGGATGTGCCGACGTGAGTTCTGAGCCATATATCCAGTAGAACCACTTACAAGGCCATCCATTTTCAGGGTGAATCTGAGGAAATACATGAAACGTCAAAATTTACCAAGCTTCCAATACTATCACGTACGAATCATTTGTAGGCTGTAAGATTGATGCTTTGTCAATGCTAAGGACTGTCATCAACGCTTCATTACTTCCTAGCCGGATGAAAATGACAGCAGGACTGACCTGACACGTCGACGACGTGTTGTGCAATCGCACGAATGACGGGATACAGGATGACGAAGAGCAGACCGATGCCAACGAGGCCCACGACAATTAGAGAGACGATGAACCATCGTTTCCTGTAGAATGGTTGTATTTCGACAGCAGCTGGGGTCGCATCTGTTGTCCCTGACACTACCCCCGCTGTCGGTTCCGGAAGGACCCCCGCAGCGCCACCCCCGCTTTCCCCACTCGACCCCACGGGGACACCAGCCGTGGTGGTTCGCGCAATGTCCCCGACTGGCTGCCCCACAGCAGCGGCCCCCGCATTGTCTGAACCACACCTTAAGTTGAGAAGCGGGGTAGAGAAGCTAGAACATACCATCAACATATGATTCGGCGGCGAGGCTAAAAGTGCTAGGCGCAATGCCCTCGTAGAGACCGCTGTCCTGTCTGGGCCGGTGGGTTTCCTCCATCGTTGCAGCAACGATTGGTCGGTGAGAGCAGAGTCGGTGGGACAGAAAACACACGCCAACAAAGTTCCCGGACTTAATGAAGGAACGTGAAAAAGCAGGGGCACTAAAATATAAGTGGGCGGGTCCTCATGGAGTTTCATGGAAGTCTTCATGTCGATTGGGTCCCTAGCTTCATTCGCATCACGGGGTGAACCGTACACGCTAACAGAAGCCACATGGTTCTCAAGCCCCACAAATTACTGTCCCGCTCGCAAAGAATCAAGGTCGCCCATTGTACAGCGCCCGAACTGCGTCGGCCGGGCAAAAAACCTTCAATGTCCCACTGAAACAAGCGCCTACCTTCTATACAAAGCGGATTGTGCGCTTTGCGGCAAAAGCACATCCCTGGAGGCGTCGAACAGCAGAGAAAAAATAAATCCAACAGATATGGTTGTTGTCAAGGGGTTATTGGGCATGACGCGAAGCAATTGATCGAATTGCAAATTCGAACTCAGCGCTTTCTATTGGATGACAGCTGAGCGCTGAGTACGTACTTACCGCGGCTTACCGCCAACCTGGCAGCGATGTGAACCATTCTTGGATCTGTAGTCTCCTCGACGACGACTGTCGTCCAACGGGTTACCCTCTACCAGCTTGCTATTATCTAGGATCACCTAAAATTCAGGTTGGTTGCACCTACCTCTTTGGACGACTTCACAATTGCTCACACGGGATGTATTGTGGTGATCAGAGTGGCTGCACAGTACACCTAGGTACACCAGGTCACCAGGCCAGGTCTGTACACACGAGCGTTCGGGAGCGCATATAGAGTCGCTAACTACAATCACATGTATGAGGAACTCCGTAGACCCTTTTTCTCGTGCAACTTGATGTCTCTTGACAGCTTTTGACGCCATGTAAACCAGTTTTGAACATGTGAGCTGTTGTTCGCGGGTCCGCATCAGACGTTGGGCTTAGTGATGGAGCCTTTATCCCTGATAATTCACAATAAATGAAGCGGAAATGCGCGGTTCCATGGCTACGTAGTTCTAGCTGCTCTTGCGCTCCGTTTACTTATTCACAATACCTATGGGGATTTCTTACAGGGCCGAGGCGAGTCATTGACTGACATTCCATCGACCCAATCCTTATGCGGAACGAAGGCAGCCGCAGCCCTCGTACCAAGCACGATCTTTTTGCTCTCAATCTTCAAACGATCATCGAGGTGAACGCCGGATCTCGCTGATATTATGTTGCCACTCGATCAAGATGAGCGCCTACCTCCGTAAAGTGCGTCTGGCATGGGAACACTTGATTGTTTCACGCTTTCCAGAAGACTCTTTTTAGAACAACGTCGTAACAGGCAAAGCTCTGCTCCCGAACATGCATCTCCCAAAATATCTGTCATGGGTCCATTGGACCATAACTAGTATACTCGCTCGCGTCATACCGACGTGGAGATCAGCTCACTCCGGACTTTGACACAACTCCAACTCAGCTCCCTGCAGCTCCGAATCATGCAGTCGACTAGGGTCTGCTGATCCTTCCATGCATGCTGCCTTGGACGTTTCAAAATCCTTTGGAACACTAAACCACATGTGCAGATGCCAATGCCTGACTCAGCCGGCTAGCCCTCGTCTAAAAACAGTGATCTGCCCAGAACTGCAACTGCATCTGTGTATGGCATCGTGGCCTTACCTACTGCGGGCGCTGAGCGTCTTCTGGATGTCCGTCCGGAGTTCAAGTAGAGAGCACGCGTGCGACATCGATGGGATCTGCATCATCACGGCCAGGAAGTCTTGCTTTGGTTCCAATAATATTCCATATCATAAACAAACAAACAGCTGTCCAGATCCTGATGCAAGCAATGAAACCAAAGAAACGTGTAGGTGCGTTGTGAGCGTTGTACAGACAAGATGAACGGATGTAGAGAGAATTGCGAGGGTGAGAGAAAACAGACAAACAAACAGAAGATGTGACAGAGAGTGGACGGAAGTAGAAAACATACAATCGTGATTTAACCCTTTGAAGGCAGCTCACCTTCTTCGCTGAGCTCGCCCTCTTCTTTTTGGTTATCTGCATGGTCCATGGGAGATTCAATAACTCTGACAGAGATGATGTCTAGCGCTGCCGCTCTCTCCGTTGGCTGCTCGACCTCATTCCCTCGCTTTCCTGCTTGACTTATCTGCTCCAAAGTATCGGCCGCCGTCCCAGTACTATGATCCCCAGCCTTCCGGCCGTTTGTCGGATTTTTCTCCCTCGTCTCCACATCCGCCTCCACCTTGTCCTTTCCATCTTTCTTCATTTGCCCTGCATTCTGCACGACCGAGGCCGATAATGAGGTCTGAGTCTCGTCGCTGGCGCTCGAATTCCTCCGAGGCTGATTCGGTTTTCTGGCTGCAGCGGCCGCGGCTGCGCGCGAGCGTGTGGACCGCCTCTCGGGAACCTTGAGACCTTCGACCGCCTCAGCTACTTCTGCCTCCTTCGCCTCCTCGGCAGGCGCGAGTGATCCCCGCGGCGACCCAACGTCCGACGCTGTCTGAGCCGCGGGCCGCACGTTGCGGGTGCGCTTCGCAGGATACGTTCCATCGCCGTCCTCCGGCTCCCGGCGCTTGCGTTTTGCGTTTCCTTGGCCCGCCCTCCGCTTGCGCGGGCTGGCCTTCTCGCGGGGCGCGTCGGTGGCGGTCGCGGTGGGCTCCATGGTGGTGTCGGCCTCGCGCAGTTTCGGGGCGGGACGTCGCGCGCGCGATGATGAACGCCGGGTAGGATCGTCGATAGTGATGGGGCGTGCATTTCGGAGTCCAAGGGTTTCGGGGTCGATCTCGGGGAGAGAGAGCGCGAGCCGGCCCTGGGGGTGATATAAAGGCAGGGGAGGTTTGGCAATCTGCATGTAATGAGACATTGTTGGTGATGTATGCAAAGCGAGTGCGCTTTTGGGGTGAGATGTGCTGTTTGGAGCGGCGTGGAGGAGGGAGCTGGAAGAAGCGGCGGTGTGAGATGAGCGCTCTAGACAGAGGTCGCCCGGAAACTGTTTGGAAGGTGATCGGTACGTGATTTTGGGCTTTCTGCGCGATGTGCTAGAGACGGGATGATCGACAGAGGAAGAGGATGTTGTGTGGTTGGCGGTGCGATGGGCGCCGGCTACAAAGCTTTTCGATGAAATAGCAATCGGACGCCGTGAGCCTGCTACTGTCGCAGATAGAACGTCCATGATGTGTATATGTGACCAGCAAATGAGGTCGTCGTGGTTATGTCTTGGACGATGTTGACTTTTCCTTAAGCCCAAGGAAATATTTGTACAACGCAATGCGTGGAGCGGGGGTATAAGGTGACTTCGATGGAGGATGCCCAGGCAGCCAGCGGCAAGTCGTTTGGGTGGAATATCAAGCAAGAGTGTTCCAGGGATGTGTCGGCTACGTCGGGCGACGAAGCCGCCAGTGTTCCAGTCGTCGATGAGGATGCTGGTGAAGACGAACCTCGTATAATAAAGTGCAGTGATCACGTGGGTCGGAACGCGTCGCGACGTCGTCATCGTCCGAATTCGTGAGGTCCCTCGTTCCGGACCTCCGAGCACAGCGGCGACATAGAATTCATGACTCGTCGTCCAACACCGGCGATATTCACCAGACATCGACTCGCCGTTCACCATGGACTACAGCACCGACGAAGTAGAACCTGTGCACCCCGGAACCCCTAGTTTCTTTCCTGCATTACTCGAGCACATCAAGTCGGCCGCACCTGGTCTACCCACTGACCCAGTCATTCTACAATCCCTTCTTCTATGTATTATGGCCGGTAATAAGAACGTGATACTGAGGACTCGGGAGGAGGATATCAGCGTTGTGCAAAATTTGACGGCTTTGGTCAGTCTTTTGTTCATCAACATGGTCTATCCTTCAACGTCTCGCGAGTTCATGAAGAACGAGGCACCCGCACGACTGCGGGGACTTTTCAATCTCCCTAAAAACCGTTACATGAGCTAACTTCTCCACCCCACCTCAGCTCTTAACCAACGCGCTTTGCTACAGAACGCATCAGCACAAACTTCGTCGTTCCTCGAGGCCCTCACCGTCTTCATTCCTTTCTTCTTTCTTCTTTGCTCCTACCCACCCATCTCTCTCGACTACCGCAAATAAATCATTACGCTCAAAGAACAAGCGTTCCCGTTCATATCCTGTACCATCTGGCGAGCAGTCGTTGACAGGCATCACCGACAGCGAGCTCGAAACCCTCTCTTCAAATCACCTGAGTAGCTTTGATTCTAAAAGCAGGCCCTCACTGCGTCCTCTCGGCGTGAAGTCAAATCCAGCAGTCCCATTAGCTGAGGCAGAAGTGCTTGAACGCGCTCGCTTGCCTGCTGACGCCGAGATACCTCAAGCAGTCGTGGTGTCGGGTCTCGAGCATGCATCGGTGCCCTGCCAACGTGCTTTGCTCCGTACGTTTCTCGAAGGACGAATCGTGCTAGATGAGGATGACGGCTTTGCCAAAGATCTTCCTCCTGATTTCTTTTTTGTATATGTCTGCCCGTGGGATCCACGAGAGCGTCCCAAAATACACAAGAGCTTGGTGCGCATACCCACAATCATTGATTGCACAAATGATCAGCTATTCTAATTCCACCGAGGACAGCTAGACCAATTCTCCATGAGTGCTACCATCGGCCTTCACCCCAACACTCGCCACGCCTACGCCTCGTACCTTGCGTCCATTCTCCCAACAACTATAGTGCCCTCTTTGACCCCTCCAGCGTCGCCAGATGCCGCTCCCCTTCCTTCACGATTACTATCAGACCTTCGCGAGCTGAGTACCGCTGACCATACATATACACATGCGTCATTGCGACTGTATATCGCAGATCTATTCGCCGCCGCACGACACCACCACGAGCTGGACGGCACACTCCTAGGCGTGCGGGCGGCCCGTGACGCCGAGGCCATCGTATGCGCACACCGCGTTTTGTGCGGCGGCGACACAGGCATTGCGCTGGTTGAGCGCGCGGCGACGTTGGAGGAGCAGGCCGAGAAGCAGGCCGAGAAGCAGGCGAAGCTCGGCCGCGCAGAGATGAACCGAAGTACGATCGCGAGCACTCACGGGTATCACGATCACGATCGCTTGGATGAGTTCAGTATCGCGACGCCGCGCGGCGGCGAAGAGGATATCAACGACGGGCTGGATATCCGTGTACATCTTCACTGGAGGGATGACGACGACATGGTGTCACGTTCAACAGACCCGTCCGCATCTCCGATGTTGCCTATGGAGTTTGGTCATGGGCTACAAGATTCATTGGCTTCGCTCCCTATCGCGGACGACTGGTGGGCGATCGCGGACAAGGCCGTGCGGTGGGATGTCTCCGAGGTCGACGTTGCGAAGGTCGTGCCTCGCGTCATCTCTCATCGCCTACGCGTACGTGCTGGTCCAGAACACGAGATCCTCTCGAGCGTCATGTTTCCCGCGGCTATTCCGGGGCCCAAGCTGCGGCTCGAAGACGAGGGCGACAAGGCGGCGAAGGAGATATGGCGGCGTCGAACTGTCAAAGAGATTGTGGTGAAGATCATGAAAGAAGTTTGAAATCTTTCGTGGTACGTGATCCGGGTGTTGTTGTGTTCAATTACAGTGAATTTTTGAACATCAGAGATGTCAAAGGTCGTCAACAAGCAATCTATTGGACTTCCACTTGATTCTGATCTCGTTTGGCTTGTTGCTGATCACACTTATAGATCGATCCGAAATCGAACAAATTCCGCTTCATCCCAAACGGGGCGCTGGGGTGTACTGGCGGTTTTTCATGGAGTAATTTTGCATCCTCAATCAGAGGGCATATCATAATAGATTCTTTGTGTATTCAATACCTCAATTCAAGAAGATTGCATACACTCCGTGTGCATTTAGTCACACACATTGGACTGTGCCTCATTTTTGTCGGAGGCCATCTATTCGCACAGAATGAGAAGCAAAAAAGTTGAAATTGGCACGAGGGAACATCTATTACTATGAAATCTGCTCCCCACTGCAACACAAAGCACAACCATAGAAAATCCATCAGACAAACACGCAACTCGCAGGAAGGCCGCCGAGTATACCTGATGGTACACTCAATCAAGCCATCCTAACGTCCTCGAGCGCCACCCGAAAGAGGCGCATAGTTCTCGGTAAAACGAGTGCGCGCGATAGTCATCTACTGGATTTGAAGGATGTGGCATGTGTAAACATGCGAGACTCGAGTTAGTTTCTATAGAATAGATCCTAGCTGAGTATGTTCTGAGGAAACAGGAATGTTGGGAAGAAAACTTTTATAGCTAGATGCTCTTTAGGGCAGGCGGCAAAGCAAGCGCCCATTAGGCGCCCGTTAGTCCGTCTTACGCGGCCGAGGATTCCAAAGATGTTGGTTCTATTGACTGATGTGGTTCTGTACATTATTGCAGTGAACAATGTGCTCAACCATGATATTACGACTCTTAGGTCCGACACACATCCCCTTGGTTCCTGGAGCCTTTGATAGAGGAAGAAATGAACTCTACCTGGAATTCGCATAAATGAATTGCTTTTGTAACACGATCTGAGCGCGGTTGCGACCTGCTGATTACGGTTCGATCTACCAGGAAGACTCTGAGGTGGTTCAACTAGCCTCCAGCCGCTCATTTCCACGAAAGACAACGTGTCCTTCTCGCTCGAATAAGGGCGGAGCTCGCGCGCGAGGCCCGCGCCGCCTTTTCTTTTGCACTCGACCTGAGCTGGCAGCAGGGGAAGATGCCATTGTCATCGTGTGGCCATCAGGCGGCTCGTAGATATCTGGTTCCTGAATAGGAGGCGCCGGAATGCGGCGTGAGGTCTTGCATCTCAAGCAGGTTGTGTTGACTAGATGTCCATGCGTGCTCGACGCTATGAGGATCAACCCCAACGCTACTCATTTAGCATCGATGATCGCAATGCGCATGAAAGGAGCTCACTGTGAACTCTGACCACGGCCGACACTACTGGGACAAGGACAGAATCACAGCCTTGGCAAAACGTGCGTTTCACAGTCGGATCCCTGTCATCAACCAGAGCCTATAGTCAGACAACGCGAGGAGATAGTACGGCTACGTACATCTTTACCGTGGTTTTCTGGCCGATCTGCTTCATCTGACGCACATATGCACGCGCAATCTCTTCGACACCGAGCTTCCGTCCGACACCCATCTTGCGCTTCGCCGCCTTTCTCTGCTTGCGCGATCCGCCCGGATGTTTAGGATTGATGAAACGATGCGCCAGGAACCTGTCTGGGACGTGAAGCACCGGGTGGATGCTTGATGAATACTCGGGTAGAGGAGGTTGAGGCCGTGTTTCTGCAGACTGTGTGCTGGAGCTGGCAGTGGCGTTGGGCATAGTGCTGAGGTACGCGGAGGCTTGGTAGAGAAAGTTGAGCCGCTGGAGGATGTCGCGATTCGCGACGCTATTTGGGTTGGGCACCTCGTCTTTGCTCTTCTTGGCCATAGTGGGGTGCTGTTGCAAGGGAGGATACCTTAACCCTAATACGACATTGGGGACCTCGTCCTTAGCCGCTAATAGCGAGCTGCGATCGACTGCTATTAAATGCATCGATCTCCACGCATCAGCCGGTGTCAGTCTGGCAACTCAGCAATGTAGTGACATACTACGCAGAAATCACTCAGATCCTATGGCGTATGTGTGTACTGGTGCCTCCCTATGTTCCTGTGTCCAATATGTTTTGCCACGATTGTCGGAGGCACCTGTTCACAGGGTGGGAATCCCCTTCTAGATGAACTGAAAAGTAAGTCACCCGAGAGGGCGCTGATCTACGCTGATCGTGCCTCTTTGAGCGCGCGAGTTCTTCCATCCTTTGTCAATAGGGCCTGAGCAGAGAGGATACACATTTATCGTAAGTTGCTGCCAACGTTCGATTAGAAGTATACTTCCGGATGCTGGTTTTTGCACTGGCCCCCGGCTAACGAGGCCCAATCTACCGTCTTTCTCTCACCAACTCGCCTTGTGCCACCCTGTCAAACGTCGCTCTCCAAAACAAGCAGCATGGCCAGCCATGCGAACTTCGCAACCAGTTACTCACCCCGAACACTTCTATCTGCGCCTACACATGGAAGGTATCTAGGCTGGCACATGCTCAGGCATTCATGCATGACGTGCCGACGTCTTCGTGGGCAAGTATAAAAGGAGACCCTGACATCGTCTTGGTCGTCAAGTTCTGTCCGGAATGTCTCTGTATAACGTTCTCATCCTCATATGCCTTCTCGTTGTCGTGGGGCCTAAATCGACGCTAGCCACTTCCCCACTTCAGCAACGTGATGACGGTCTCCCTGCAAGGGTCCCGTATGTGTTTCCCGCTCCTGGGACAGATCCGGTGGGCTAGCTAATTATCGTTCAGAGATCTGATTATCTGGATGCTGACAGATGAAATTCCTCGCCTATGAATAGATAGCAGACTCAATACGTTCTCGGAGGACGAATGGTACGTTACTGGATCTCGATGGTGTCTTGTGAGTAACAGTCTGCTTGTTGGCGAAAGGTGGAAGTTCCGCGTTACTCACCTCTTGAAATCAAGGTTGAATGCACCGCTTGTTGCACAGGGTTGGAGTGACATTGCAGGGGTGATCCGAGACAATAATACTCTTCCTGCGGCCATGCGAGAACTCTTCGTGAGGGCTTCTGCCAAGTCTATGATCATGTCGTGATTGTATGACCCTTACAGATCCTGCGGACGGCGGTCTTGAACAGCGCGACATATCAATGGTGTGTACTTTGCATCCCACCCTTGATCTAAGACGCTGGTATACTGAGGTCATTGCTCGTCGTCAGGCTACAACACGAGCCCGTTGGTCGCGCTGCTGGCCTCACAACTTCACAGTTGCTCACGGTCCGCTTCGCTCCACCATTCGTTGGCCTACTGGGCGCTACCTCTGCTGTCAATCGCACCCTTTCTGCCGAGCTTTCCGCGGCTCTCGACTTCGCTGACTGGTCGACAGAAGCCGTGCACGTTCCACAGGACATATTTGACAACCTCCATGCTTTCCTTAATGACAAGCAGATGGTGGAGGCGACTGCGACTGTCGGGATGTATAATTTCGTCAGTCGCTTTACGGTAGGATTGAACATAGATGACAAAATGGGCGTACCGATTCCGATCCCTCAATGAGAGCGACTTTCTGGCGGCATGGAGTTCTGCTTCACTTACTGCCTTACTGACTCAAAAGCTAACTTTGTCGACTATACGGAAGTGTAAATACTCACTACAATATCGAGGTCTACTTGCGTGACATACAAAGTACGAATAAGATAGGTGGCCATCGAGAGATTCTCACATTGAAAAGAGTACAAAACCAAGTTAGGGAATCAAACAACATAATAGATCGTAAACAATAGGAGATCCACAAAAGTTCCTGAAACAAGAGATCATGGCTAACAAACTTGTTCCTATGATCATAAGCCCATAGAAGCGGCAATAGATGGTGCAACTGAACCTTGTCGCTGCCGGTCCCACAATTTATCCTTGGCGCGAATCTCTATGTTTTCGAACGGAGCAGCTTGAGAAAGCTTAACACAGTCTCGGGTTCCAAGAACGAGGAGCTCGAAGAAGAATGAAGAGGCTGCTCGCCGCGTAGCCTAGAAAAACGCATGCCATCAGCAATCGAGCAATCAAATATACGGCACAGAGCTTATGACCTTCGTAGACATCTTCTTGAAACTCATGACCTTTTCTTCTTCCTCGTGCTCATCGTCAGGCTGCAACTCCTTTCTGACGATCCCCAGGGCCTTCATGGTATTCTTGCTATACCCCTTCGAATCGACTCCATCTGTACTCTCGGACGACTGGCTCGACCCCTTCGTGTCGAAGACTGCTATAGGACACTCCAGGTCGGCGTATGTCTCCTCCGGTTCGTCTAGTCCGGGGGTTGATAGACGGGTCAGTTCTGATGGGGCAAGCGACCTTGAGCGTGCACGCTGCACGTCCAGGGCTATATCAGCATCTCCTCCCGCGATATCTCCCAAGTCCATTTGGAATTCCTCCACACCCTGCCCAGTGGTATCAAACTCAAGACCACCCTCTAGACCAGGCCCAACACTCCCACGCCCCAACACATCGCTGCCCAGCACAGCGCTGGGAGCGACACTGGCAACGCGGCGAGCTTGTTCGACTTGGTCATCTTCCGCAACACTTTCCTCTATGCGTGGCTTCTTGCTAGGAGGTTTCTCAGGAGATGCAGCACGGCGCTTCGCCGTTTGGTGTGTGGGCATTGGTCGCATGAACATCTCCTGGAGCTCTGGCGCCATACCCGGTGGACCAGCGAGTAGATATGTACCGGTGGGCGTAATTCTGGTCGGGAGGAAATGTGCGACAGGATCTTCACGAATCTTGAGTAAACGCATGACAAGGGATGAGCGGGGTAGATAGTGATGTTCTGTCAAAATCGAAGAGACGTCTTTAGCGCCAGGACCGAGTCCGCCACGTCGGTTGCTGTTTTGAAGTTCAGTAACATCGTCGATGATTTGTTTCTTCTCCTTTCGCTTCTTCTTCTCTTCAGGCTTCTCAGCTGGCACCGGCTCGTGACCTTCTGCAGCTATCTCCGGATTCAAATCAACACCTGGCGAAGGGGTCTTCGGCGGTTCGCTCAACGGAGAGGCTGCGAGGAATCAGTATCAATGTGGGCATCAACCATCAAAGGACTTACAGCCACGAGAAAGTGATCGTGTTTGGCCTGGAGTTCTTTCTCGCTCACCGAGGAGATTGTCACCAAAGTCAAGGCCCAAATCGATATCCATGCCAACTTCGGGACCAAATTCAAGACCCAAGTCCCCACCAAAAGGATGTTCGGATGGTTCTCTGCTCTTTTGAGACAAGACATCGAGATCTGTATCTCCTCCTCTCCCAAATATCTGCGAGTCCAGCGAATATCGAGGCTCTCTAGGTGGGGGAGCGTCACGGCCCACTTCAATGCTCATGCTGTCGCGATCACGACCATCTTCACTCAACGGTCCATCTCCGAAATCCAAACCCAAGTCAAGTTCATAGTCCTGAGACCCAATGCCATCAGCGGGACCCAAGTCAAAGCCATAACCAGCGTCGTCAAGATCGAACTGTAAGTCATCTGCAGTAGCGAGTGTGATGTCCGCTTGACGCGCAACATGGTGACCCTGGGGTTGGACAACTCGGTCTTCGAAGTCGATATCCCTAAGAAAGTGTGATGGAGTCGTTTGGACAATAATGTACGCAACAGCTTACCAGTTGATATCAGGCAAGAGCACATCAAGGTCCAACCCACCTGCCTGTAAAGTAATAGCATTCCGATTGACAGCAAGTTGATCTTCTGTCATATCTACAAGCCCTGGACGAAATGCCTGCAGAGATCGCTTTCAAGGTGCGAGCATTGAAACATTGGATTTCGACGTACCATCTTAATCTTGAGGAGCGCCTCATTGCAATCGTCAAGCAGATACTTCGCTTTGCGGCTGTAGATCCGGACTACCCCCAATAATAGTTGCCCGCTGAGCCTCAAAGCCATCACCTCTACTTCCTGGCCCATGATGGCATCTAGAGAAAGGCCCAGTCAGGAAGACACGTCGACATAGAAAGCCGTCGTATACTCACCAACAGACTGTTCAATGTCCGTCTGCAGTGTTTGAGCCTTCGAAAGCTTCCTTTCCATATGGGCCGCCAGCCATACTTTGGCCAAGGGACCACGCCTCGACAGAATTGCCTCTGAATAAAACTTTCAACGCATCTGGGGGTAAGTCACCGTTTCTTGTCAAGTCAGTAAGGACAAACCATGGTGTAAAAGTATCCAAGATATCAGCGCGTTGAGCGCGGTTGTGGCATGCGCCAAGGTTGAAACGTGCAGTGAGACGCGTGAGACGTGACATAACCTTCGTCATGCGTGACAATATGGTCACTTCCTTTTCGTTTGGACGCGCCAAGTTGGATCCTGCTGGTCATGCTCGCATCTTCCTCCAGAAATGCGCTCTCGGTCGCTCAAAAACGCTCCCCTGCTTCGGGGTCACAGTTGAATAGCCGTTTGTTACGCGCCCTGACAGATTGTGTGTTGTATATTCTTGCTTCCATCTTAGACTTACTCCAACCTATTCTTCATCACCAGCTGGCATTCACCACCGACGGTGCGCATCGACGTACACACTCTGGAATACCGATGAGGACTACACACAAGGCAGTTCATACCCTCGCTCTAGTAGTAGTCTGCGTAGCCAGCCCTGGTCATTCAAACAAGACTCCCTCTCTAGGTCTCAAGTGTCCTCATACAATCTAAGACTCGGACGATGTGTGGATCTAGGGCAGTCTATGCAGGCCCTCGGAATCGCCATGGAGATGAAGACTCATGGCGTAAAGCCTGACCTCCTCACCTACAATCTCTTGCTTCAATTGTTTGCCAACTTTCGCGCGCCCCGAGAGTGTTTGGCGCTTTTGGATGACATGAAGGCCCTGGACATAGAGCCGAACCTTCAATCCTACAATTCTGTTATCCAGGAAAGCCCCGCTACATAATCTACGCTCACCTCAAGTCACTAATTACTTCTATATTGTGATACAGTCATTGCATCACGAGCACACAGAGCAGATGTGGGACGTTTACAAGAAGATGGAGGCTTCCGGGATTGAGCCCGATGCGACAACATATATGCTATTGATTCGGAGGTATACGTCTGTCTCGAACCTGGAGATGGCCTTGCGACTTCTGGTGGAGATGGAGGGTCGTGAACTATTTCCGAAGCTTGAGACTGCGGAGGAAGTGATCACACTCGCTGCGGCCCGGGGTCAGCCTCGCCTGGCTATAGATTTGGCAGAGAATTTTGAGGCATCTTCCATACGCAGGCTCGGTACTCAAGTTTGGATTCAGTGTCTCCTTGCATCTTCAGAAAGCCTTTACGTGAGTTTATCAATGTTCTGCGCATGCTAAGTATGAACTATAATATCACTTACCAGAAAGACGGCGTTCTTCGTCTCTGGCCCAAGGTCGTCAATGACCTGAAGGTCGCGCCCGATGAAGGCGTCTGCCTCGAAGTTCTTCATACTGCTGGTCGACATGGGCTGCCCGAACTCGCCACAGACGCGCTTCATCATCTCCAAGCTATCGATGCGCAGCTACAGGAGTTCCACTTTGCCCCTGTTATTGAGGCTCTTTGTCGAACACATCGAATCAAGGACGCAATGAAGTTCCTCGCAGCTATGCGCTCACAAGGCGTGCCTCCGACATTGCAAACCTCGAATTCCATATTCCTTGCCATCAAAGACGATTCTGACGCTATCGACCGCGCATGGGACGCGTTGGACGAGCTGCATAAGGAAGGTGATGTCGTTGATGTCACTGCCATAAACGTTATCCTGCAGGCTTCCGTTGCGCAAGGCGATTTGCAGCGTGCTTTTGGCACGTACAAAATTTTCCCAGAGTTCAAAGTGAAACCCGACGTCGACACCTTCAATTCTTTACTCTCGGGATGCGTCGCGGCGCGACATCGGGAACTCGGCGATCAAATCATGGCTGACATGAAGGCGGCCGAAATCAAACCAGACGTGCTCACATATGAGCGTCTCATTGTTCTCTGCCTGACGGGTCAGACGTACGAGGACGCGTTCTTCTACTTGGAGGAAATGAAAGCGGAGAAATTCTACCCGCCGATCGCTCTATACGAAGCCATCATTCGTCGTTGTGTCTCGGAAGGCGACTCCCGGTACAGACTGGCCCTTGAAGAGATGGAAGAGTTTGGGTACGAGGTATCGCCACGATTGCAGTACTTGATCGACACTGGGGGATCAGGCATATGGAAGAGGAGGGGCGAGGAAGACCAGGAACTCGACGATCCTGAAACATCACAAACATAGGCTGCCGACTCGTAACTTAGTTTATTGCCCTCCATTTTTTTTATTGTGGTCAAAATGCACGTTGAGCACGCTCAATCTATCAGTGCTCGCGTGACCTTGAAAGCGCGACGCGCTTGTTTGCGTTAGTTTGGACAAGTTCGTTTTGTCTTTGCCACCGTGGCCATCCCTTGATTCCATCTCCATGATGCTGGCTAAAGCCCCGAACAACAAGGGAGTCATTCTGGGGGCGAAGACTCACAGTATCGACCGATATGCCGTTTTGCAACGCAAGCTCGATGAGCTGGAAAGGATACATGCGGACGGGAAGAAAGCCGTGAGTTATACGAGCACATTAACATGCCTTCTCTTTGATTCTAGACGCTTTTAGTACCAAGCAGACCTAGATCGTTTGAAGGTCGAACTGTCGCGAACACAGAAGGCCAACTCAGAGCAAGCAGACCGGCTGCAAAAATTGAAGAAGCAAAACGAAGGCTTAGATGCACGCATAATCGAGCTGAAGAAGACGAACACAGCGGAGGAATTGGAAAATAGACAGCTGCGTGTGAAGCTACGCTCGGCAGAGAATGAACGTGTGCAGCTGGTATCCAAACAAGGGGAGGCCGGCGACGTTAGGAAGGCACTACAAGCATTGGAGGCGAAGAGGAGAGATGAAGGGCGAGAGTCAGAAAGGCGGATAGCAGAGCTGGAGAAGCTGGTGGTGGCGGAGAAGAAGAAAAGGGAGATGGCGGAGGCTCGTACGCAAGAGATCAGGGGAACCGCAGAGACCGAGGTCAAGGAGGCACGTCTGAGCGCACGACAAGAAGAGACGCGCATGAAGGAGGCTTGTGTACTGGCGGAAGAAGCCCAAGCTGCCCTGGCCCTAGCTCGCGAGGAGGGCAGCAACAGAGAAGATCAACTGCTGTCGAGGCTCACTGACATGCAATTACTCCTCAAACGTGTGGCACAGGATTATGGCCGTCTTGCCAGTTCTTCCGTCCCTGCTTCGACCCACGACCCGCTCAGGCTGAAGCATGCTGGTCTACAGATGCAAGTGATGCGTCTTGAACGCAAGCTGGCCAACTCAGAGGGACAGGTTGTGGAATTGGCTAATTTGATCCGACAAACGAAGGACGAGAACAGCATACTCCTCGCCAGTCTCGACGATTCCACTCGACAATTGGCCTTCTATTCAAATGCATGGAGAGACAGTCTTCAAGATAAATTCTTTATGGACGAGTTCGATGACATTATCGGCGAACTCTTTACAGCAAAATCCAATATGTGGAGGGTTCAGCAAACGCTTTGCGATGCCTCCGTTGCCACCCATCGTCTGTCATACGAAGCATCCCGTCTTATTGCCCACAGTACCCTCATTTCCTATGCCACGTCTATCGGCGACCTTGACGGAGCATACCGGACTGTACGACAGTATTCTTCCGCGCTGAAGGCTGCAGAAGTCTTCAGAACTGCCCTTGATTCTGATCTGCACACCCTTCGCACAGAGCGTGACACTGTTCTGAGCCAGCTAGCCATTGCCGTCTCATCTATGGAGATTTCCAAGGCCAACGAAGGAGCACTGACGAAACAGCTGCAGGCTTTGGAGTCAAAGATACAGGAACTACAAACCTCTCAAGAGCAGGCTCTGAAGAAGGAGCGCGAGGCAAGTCAAAGAATGGCTGTGTCAGTCCAGAAGCATAAAATGGCAGAAGATGCCCTGCGCGCTGAAATTGAGCAGTATGTTCCTCGATACAACAACCGTCGATTATCTTCTTGACCTGCGTTTCTACAGATTAACAAGTGAGCTCACAGATGCCGAGCGCTATCAAGAGGCTTACCAGAGCCTGATTGAGGAGGTTGAGGCACTGGCAGCTCGCAATGAACTGGCTGAGGACGAGGCAGAACGTCTCAGTAAGTTCAATGCAGAAATTTTGGGGCATAACAACCCCGCCCAGAGAGTCATGTACCTAGACCGCATTAGAAGGGAGCTCGCAGAAACTAAACAGGTGATTTATCTCTCTCGAACGTCCGGTGCCGGTTGATTCACGGTGCGTTCATCGTTCAGGCACTCCTCACGGTTACCCTCGACCGCGATGCTGTGATTGCTCACGGCGACAGCCTTCAGCATGAGCTCAACATGTACAAATCCATCGCAGTCCCGTCAGAGTTCAAGCCTAGGACCACTATCACTCGCGTCGGTCGTGTCCCTTTGGTGAACCAGAGCACGAATGTCGGCTCAATGACACACAGCAAAGCCGGCGATACCGCCAAGATGAACGGTCGCCGTTCATTGAATGTCGACGGGGAGATGACGTTGGACGAGATCATTTAGACAAGCCGCTTTTTTCTGGTTATAGGTGCCCCGATCTACCTGGATTTTTCGGAAGGTTGAGATTACCCATGTGTCTTATTTTATTTTTATAATACCCATACTGAACAAAACACCGATTATATATCATGCTCTACATAGCTGAACTACAGCTCGCAAACCCCACAGAAAGGGTCCGATGTCCCAAAACGAAAGGCGTAAGAAAAAAAAAGGCCTTCAGCGGTTCGCAGCGAGCGGCTGCTGCGCTTCGGGCACGTATGGCATGTCAGAGTCGCTGTGGTGCATCTGGTATGGGTCTCGCGTCTCTGGCGGGATGTACGGCATCTCGTACGTCGACGGTCCATACGGCACCGTCGAGTCGCGCGGATAGTGGCCGTGCTGGGCGAACGGCGCCTCGTCGCCGTCGTCGTCTTCGTGCAGCCCTGCGACCTGCTTGTACTGCGCCACACGTACCTGTCGCTTCTTCCTCCAGCACCTGTCCATGTCAGCGACGGTCAGCCCTCCGACCTTGCATAATCCGGCTCGGCCTGGCCCGGTAGGAAAAGTAAACACGACGTACAGAAAGCCGATCAGCGCCCCGATCGCGATGGCGGCGCCGAGAAAGCCCAGCGCGATGGGCAGCTTGCTGGTGCTCAAGAAGCTCGCGACGCCCTTGAAGCCCGTCGGGTCCGGGTTCTTGAACGCGAGCTTGCGGTTCGGCAGCGCGACTTTGGACGGCGGGTTGCTGGGGTCGAAGCAGTACTGCTTGAAGCACGTCGCGCAGAAGTCGGAGCGCTGGATCAGCGGACTCGTCTTGTACCGCGCGCGGTCGAGCGCCGCGCACTGCAGGCAGCGGCCGAAGTTGGGGTCGGGGGAGTTCGTGTCGGGCTGGAAGCCGCCGATCGTGTTTGCGTGGACCTGGTCGATGAACAGCCGGGTGTGCTCCGGCGTGTAATCGAGCTGGAACGTGTCAGAGCTGCGCGGTATATGGCAGTCAGAGGTGGATTGGAGGTTGTGCGGAAAGAGCTCACTTGGTGACCGGATCGTCGCCATTGAGCGGGGGCGAGTTGGGGAAGTAGATGACCATAGGATATTCGGGCGGATTCTTCGCTGGGTCGCAGCCGAAGAAAGTGGGCCGCATGTTCACGCCGGTAGAGAGGAAGTCCGCCGGAGATGCCGGCAAGGGAGGGAAGTCCTGATGAGAAGACTGGAGGAGAGTGGCGATCCGACTTGCAGAATGCAGTGGCGATGAACCACTGACGAAGTGCGGAAGCGGACGTCAACAAGCGGATGCCGTTCAGTCGCGGCGTGGACTCACTTTGGCCAGCCCAGAGCGTCGGCACTTGCGTCGACGGCGAGAACGACATCGAGGCCTCGGGCATTCACAAACATAGGACCCAGCGGGACGTTCTCTCCATTAGACGACCCGTCGATGAGTTCGAGCCATCGCGAGCTCGAGTCCTCGAAGTTGCCTTGCTTGACGTTTTGAAATGGCTGGACGCGCAAGTTGTAAGGCTCGAAGCAGCACGAGCTGCTTGAAGGGAGGACTTACACTTGGCCAATTCGCAACGTCATCCGCGCGGGTGCGAACCTCCTGCAGCTGGCGGCTGAGCACGTAGAGTATGGCAGATGCACTGCTTCCTTGGAACCCGCTGATCGTATTTCTGCCAAAGTCCAGAATTTGCTATAAAACGTGGAGACGTCATTGTCAATATCACGCCGTTTAGGATGATTCCCGCAGCGAATGTATACATTAAACAGACTGGCACTGCTGCCCATGACGAATCCTGCCTGATCGAAATGCGTCACGCAGGCTGTGTCGTTGTCTGGCTGACCGTTGTTCAAGTGGGTGCCGGCGTAAGAGAGGTTCATCATCGCAGATAGTTTGGGATCAAAAGAGCCAAACTCCATGGGTGTGATCTAAATGTATCACGCATTAACCCCTGTCTGCAACCTGGAGCCAGAATAGCGCACTTCGTATGCAACAGGATCCGGTGAAAGCGCAGTGGTAAGATTGGAGCCCACGGGGCGAGAATCCGCCATGATGATCGGGAACGGAGGGATATGTTGTTGCCAGGGATCGGACAGCGGGATGTTGGACCACAATTGGCCTGCTCCATGGGCAGTGTCGTTCGAGAAGAAATTGCTGGGCGTCGTTTCATTCAAGAAATGATAGGAAATCATGCGAGCCCATGGGTCAGTCAGGCTGGTGTCTCTACATGGTCGGCCCGTGAGGATTAAGCGCGCAAGACAGCGGGGAACAGTTGCGGCTTACATGCCTAGGTCCGCCTTTGCCATGATGCTCCAAATGATACTACCGTACCACTCTTGATTCTTGTCGTCAAAGATGTCGTCGCCGTCCGGAGAGGCGAGGGAAAAGTCCAGCATCCAGCCAGGCTTGTCGCCCCCGTTGCCGAACACCATGTCCTTCACCGTTGGCCAGTCATTCATGTAGAGCCCTCCAGTGAGCCATGAGCCACCTAGATGAACGGGTCTCGAGTTGGGCACACGGTGGTACGCGACGCGACGACATAGCGGTCGACGCACCAGAGAGGCCTGCCCAGTAGGACGAGACCTGGAGGAGCCCGCCCGTGCTGGCGGCCTTGGCCGACTCGTTGCGGGCGTCGAGCCCCGAGAAAACGCCGGCGCCGAACTGCGCCGCACGGTACCCGCCCCCGCTGACGGCGATCCCAATCTTGCTGAAGTTCCCGCCGAAGGCGTCGAGGCTGTACCCGATGCTCGTGCCGTTGCCGACCCAGTTCTTCCACTCGTTGGGGATGACCTGCGAGAGGCGCGTGTTGACATAGTCCTGTTCGCGTGGATGCAGAGACTGATTCTGCGGGGTGAAGACGCGGATAAGAGGATCGGTGGGGCATGGCTGGTTCACGCGAGGGGCGTAGTCTGTGACGGAGCCGGCGTAGGCCCCGACGACGAGGGCCAGCAGGGGGAGAGGAAGCAAGAACATTGTCTTGGACAGACAAGAAGCATGGCAACCTTTTTGTAGTGGGCGGCGTTGATGGCTTGCTGGCCTGTGCGTGGGCGGCAGTCTTGCGAATATAATTGACTCTCTTCCATACGTGAACAAAGGCTGTTCTCCATTTCCAATTCCGTCTGCTCTCTCGGGCACCACGGCCAAGCCCTCCAGTGCACACAGTCCATTGCTGCGCTGACCACAAACATATCACAAAAAAAAACACAGTGCGCAGAGATCGTATGATACAGTACTTCGCCATCCCTTCAGTGATCCTCGAATCCGCCCTCAAACAGGTAATTCGCAGCCAGCTCCTCATTTTTGTCGCACGCAAAGTACGCCTCGATCACGGCGTCTCGCGAGAATCCCAAGGCCTCCAGCTGAGCAACAGCCTTGTCAGCGGATGACAGCGGATGATCCAGATACGCGCTTACCCTCTCAATTGCCGCACGCTCTTCCACCGTGATATTCACAACCTGTGTACCCGGCGGCAGTGGTCCCTCCTCGTCAAAGTCTTCACCACCTCCTAGTAGCTGGAACAGCGCCTCAGGGTTCTGCGCGATCAACTGTGCCATTTGTGGGTTTGCGGTGGCGAGCTGCTGGATTAGAGGCTGAATCATAGCTGGGTTCTGGGCCACCATCTCCCGTAATTGTGCGATCTGAGGGTTGTCCCGTAGTGCAGACAGGTCGAGGCCTCCCCCGCCACCGGCACCGATACCAGCACCGCCTAGCCCACCACCCATAGCAGGTACATGCTGCTGTTGCTGCTGCTGCTGCTGAGCCAGCTGAAAAAAAGCGATCAAGTAAGCACAGAACAATGTTCGTCGTCATGGCCTTGACAAACCTGGAAAAGATTCTGGGGGCCGGCAGATGCGGCAGCAGGTTGTGGTGCAGCGGGAAGGGGAGCTGCAAGGGCAGGGTTTCCAACTTGGGCTGTTGATCCACCAACGGGCACCTGTGGCTGTGGGCCGGCAGCCTCAGCCTCCAAATGAGCTGGGATACCCTAGCAAGAATTGGAAACAGGCTTTTGCGTGAGGAAACCAAAAGGACCTACGTTCATCAAGTAATCGACTGCCCGATCTGGGTTGTTGTAGCTGGCCCTCAGCGCGCGCAGAACCTGGTCTCTTGGGAATCCCATCTCGACCATGTTCTGGATAGTGGATTGCAAAGCTTCTCCGGTCAAAAAAGAGCTCATGTCGCCAAATGCGGGCGGGGCTGCGGCGGGTGCGGCGGGAGCCGCGGGGGCTGGCTCTGCAGCAGGCGCGGCGGGCGCAGGCGCAGGCGCAGGTGCAGGTGCAGCAGCTGGAGCAGACTCAGCAGCAGGTAGCGCAACAGCGGCGGGTGCGGGTGTCGAAGTGCTCGCGATGCTCGTCGAAGCGGCAGGTGTGGGCTTGGGCTGGCGCGCGCGGTGAGTGTAAAACTCCGATAAAATTTGAACATCAATAGAGAAGATACCTTGGACACCATCAACACCAAGAAATCTTTCTCCTTTATCTGACATGATTCTACGGTCTTCTCGTCCCCGAGTACCTTTCCTGGGAGCGGATTCTTTGAGCCATCTCACACCATGAAGACAGGCAGATGGGCATTTACCTGAGTAGATGATCTTCTGATGCTCAATGGGATGGCCTTGTAGCTCGTTAATCTTCCTCTTCAAGTCGCCGACAGTCTCCGAGCCCTCAGCATCGATCTGGATTCGCGTATTCAGCTCGCCTCGCAAATTACCGTAATTGAGAAGCGAATGCCCACCTGGAACACCTTCTGTTGAAGCGTCTTCACCGTGAGCTTCATGTTTGGAAGTATCTGCATCGAGAGGGAGGGAAATGAGTGGCGTGTGTGGCCCTAGGCGACAAGGACGTACCGATGAATATGGCGGAGAGTGAGAGACTGACGCGTTCCGTGGACCCAATATGTTTACAATTACTCGTTACGTAATCATGATCTAAGCGCACTGCAGGCGACAGGCCACTCACCGCACTGCTATAAGCCTTCCACATACCCACCACCCTCCATGGAGCTTGAACCCGGCGACGAATATCTACGTCGATTAGCGACGTTTATCCACACAAATGAACATCGTTTGGCAGAGGCTGGCTTTCACCGACGGCGGCGCTCAGCAAAGCCGACGCCCGCCTCGGGGTCCAGCGTATTCAACCCCCTCTCCTGGTTCGCAGCAGACGCTGGCGCACAGGTTCCTACCAACTCACCTAAGCCGCTTGCATTTTCCATCGATACGCACCGCCTTTTCTATGTGCTTATGCGCCTCGAGGCGCAGGGATTCGACGTGGGCTCACTGGACATCAAGGTGGACAGCCCGTCGCGACCCATGAATTATGTCAATATTTTTTCGGGCACTGACAGGGCGGAGACGATGTCACTCTCCTCCATCCGATCGTCCCTCTCCGTGGTATCGCGCCTGTCGCTCGGCGTAGGCTGGTGGGGACGTCCGGAAATCCCGAGCCTCGATCAGGAGCTCCGGTACCTCTTCAGCAGCTTCACGAAGATACCGGCGCTCTCGCTGAGCGCTCCTGGGCCGAAGAAGATCGCTGAGCTCGCTAATGATTCTCCGAGCGAGAACGCGCTGCCGCTCGATGCGTTCAAGAACTTGCAGAGTTTAGAATGCACGGACATCGACCCGCGGACGCTACTTGGGTGGGACCGCTTAGCAGACAGTTTGTGGAGTTTGACGATCAAGAAGAGTGGGCTGGATGATGTGTCGGACGTGCTCATTGGCGCAGTGCTGGACGATCAGGCCAGGAGGCAGGGGACGGAGACAAGCCGGAGAAAGAACATTACTCATGGCCCCTCTCGCCAATCGTCTTTCCACAGTACGCGACTGCCTGAAGCGATATCTGAAGACTCGGAAGATGCAGAGGACGAAGGCACCGTACTCCCTCCCTCCCCTCCAAAACTTTCGGCTCCTCAGCTATCCTCGTCGAAGTGGGCTTTACTCCGATATCTATCTCTCGCGGATAACTCCTTGACGTTCATCCCCATGACGCCTCTGCCGTATCTGACTTCCGTGACACACCTTGACTTATCCTCTAATCTGCTAGTGTCTGTTCCGCCAGGTCTCTCTACTCTATACAACCTCGTCTCCCTCAATCTCTCCGACAACATGATCGACTCTGTGCTCGGCATTTACAAGCAGCTTGGACAGATCTTGACTCTTAATTTATCCCACAATCGATTGGAGTCTATCTGTGGTCTCGAGAGACTCATGGGCTTGGAGCGTGTCGATATTCGCAACAATGCTATCGAGGAGACCGCTGAAGTTGGCAGGCTGTCCACCCTTCCGAACATCGCCGAAGTTTGGGTCGAGGGCAACCCCTTCATCGAGCTCGAAGAGGGCTACCGCGTCAAATGCTTTGACCTTTTCTGGAAGGAGGGGAAGAATATCTTACTAGACGGGACAGCGGCAGGGTTCTACGAGAAACGAAACTTCACTACAGCCCCACCACAGCAGATGACTTCCGCTCGTCCGGTCTCAAAAGCGTACTCCCCGCCTGTTGTGCCCGTTAGAGCGGCTGCGTCCCCTGCATTGTCTTACACCAACGGTGCAAGCTCTTCCAGCAGCCCCACCTTCCCACCCTCGTCATCTTCGCGCAATGCCTCACCATATTTTGCCGCAGCTGTAGTCGGTAAAAGCAAGCGGAAGAAGGTCAAGCGTATTGTCGATTTGGGAGACGCTCGCACAGACGACAGCACGGCAGACCGCACTCCTGATCGTCCTGTCGAGTTCACAGAGGACGGAGGGCACGCATCATTTCAACATCCTGGTCCAGAAACAACACTCCCTCCGCCATCGTTCAAGCCTGCTGACTTGGGGACTCTTACCAAGACTCGGCACCGGCGCTCACAGACCGAGCATACGTTTGCCGCCGGCCTTGATCCTACCCAGTTGCCGGCAAAGTCTCGTATCGACCGCACGGGCAGTCTGCGCGCTCATAAATCCGCGATGCGACGGGCTCGTGTCAACGCGTCTGCGTATGAAGCACCGGGGGTGACGACGGAGGCGGGGGCGGTGGGTGACGAATTCAAGGACGTGGACGCTTTTAGAGCACGTATAGAGGCATTGCGGTCGGATATGGGAGATGGTTGGCTGAAGGTCTTCAGTCAGAGTCAGCTGGGGCGGGCAGCTATTCCGTCCGGATAGACAGTCCTGTTCTGTATATTTATTTTTTGGTGTGTTCGGGGCTCCTGCTTATTTTCATCTACTACGTCGTGCATATACCTGGTTCACACGCTGTTCTGTAATTCGTATCTCTTGCCATGTTGCATGTAATTTGGAATTTCTCTGTGCATCGCGCGGAGACCACTTTTTCAGTGAGTCGGGGTTTTCCGGGGTCCCGTCCGTTGAATGATATGTGTCCAGGTCTCGAGCCACCTTCCACTTGGCGAACTCCGTCTCCAATCCTCTTCTGATTTCCTTTCATCTCCCAGGCCTTCCTCGTCGTTCTTTACTTTACCCCCGCATTCAACCAACATGGGTGCTAACCTTTCAAAGGCTCTAGGTGTGTACCCTGCCTACCGTTTCGATGTCTAGTCGACCGCGTCTGTAGCTGTTGACATGGCCATTCTACACAGGCAAGATTTTCGGCAACAAAGAGATGAGATTGCTGATGCTGGGGCTGGATGCTGCTGGGAAGACGAGTATGTGACTGCACTTCTATCAATCCTCGGAAATGCTGAACATGTCGTAAAGCCATCCTATACAAGCTCAAGTTAAATCAATCAGTCACCACCATCCCAACAGGTCATCATTCCCACCCCTCCCTTTATCTCATGCTAAGTCTGATGCTTTGCTTTAGTCGGTTTCAATGTGGAGACTGTAACATATAAGAACGTGAAGTTCAATGTCTGGGATGTTGGAGGCCAGGACAAAATTCGGCCTTTGTGGAGGCACTACTACACAGGCACGCAAGGCCTTGTTTTCGTCGTGGACAGCCAGGACCGTGAAAGAATAGACGAGGCGAAGCAGGAGCTGCACCGGATATTGAGTGACAGGGAAATGAAGGAGTGTTTACTGCTCGTGTTCGCGAATAAGCAGGATCTACCGGGAGGTGCGTGGGCCTATTCCTTCCCTGTCGCTTGTTCTCATCCTTCGTCTTTTAGCTATGTCGCCGGCAGAGGTGACAGAGAAATTGGGGCTGCATCGGATGCGTGACCGCTCTTGGTATGTGCACCCAAGGTAAGCGATACATCCTCGTGCGATAGCCAGAAGCATCATCTGCTCACTATACGTGTTCCAGTTGTGCGACAACAGGAGAAGGGTTGTTTGAAGGTTTGCAATGGTTGTCGCAGAACGTGAAGAAGCGTCAACAGTGAGCGCTGCAGTTTGCTTTATCGTCCTAATTCGACCTCCCTCCCTCGGAGCCGTCTCTATGTTCATAATATTTCCTTCTGCCATTATACCCCATATCGTTCCTGCTTGTCTCTCTGGTCATGGTTCTACGACGCGTTCACGCCCAACAGATACCTAGTCTGTCTATGCCCTCCTCCTGAGTTGTCGCCCAGCAGTCTTATCTTCATCCCCAATACACTCCTTACTGCGGTCCACCGATAAACAGTTAATACATGCCGTTTCCAGGAGGCTCAAGGACACGTTGACGTCCAATTGTACAGAGCGACATTATAGTGTATAGAGCTCTCGACGAAGTAGAGATACTTTCGTAATAAACAACAAAACTTCCCGATCATATTCCGCAACATATTCAGGCGATTACATAACCATACATTGCGAAGAATGACGCCTTCGAAGGTTGGGAAGGAAGTGGTGGAGGCTGGTGCAGGACTTCCACGGCTCTTTCTCCTACTTTGATCTGTAGCACAGCAATGGCTGCTTCGATCCTAAAACCGTTCGCGCGAGGATTCACGTCGAGGGCAGTGAACGGTTTCACTGGCGCGGTCGGAAACACCCCGCTCGTTTGTCAATGCTTTCTAATTCATGCCCAGATGCTTAAAATTGGTATGTAGATCTATTTGAAGACACTCTCGGAACAAACTGGGTCTCGCATCTACGGTAAGGCTGAATTCCAGAATCCCGGAGGTAGCGTCAAGGACCGTGCTGCCCTGGGAGTCGTCGAGGATGCTGAGGCACAAGGTCGGTGCGTGCACCGTGTGTATCATTGGTTCATGTACATCTGAATCCATCGGGCGTGACCCAGCATACAACCAGGAGGCACTGTTGTCGAAGGGACTGCCGGAAACACCGGTATAGGTCTCGCGCATGTGTGCAGAGCCAAGGGATATAAATGCGTCATCTTCATGCCAAATACCCAGGTGCGTTTTGTGATCATGTCCACCACGATACATCGGGTTCGCGAATCTCAATGGCATCGCAAGAGTCAAGAGAAGATAGATCTCTTGCGCATGCTGGGCGCGGAGGTACACCCCGTTCCCGCAGTCGCGTACGAGAACCCGCAAAACTATAACCACCAGGCGCGGGGCTATGCAAAAAGCATTCCCAACGCGATTTGGACCGACCAGTTCGATAATACCGCCAATGCGAATGCGCACTATCGCACGACCGGTCCTGAGATTTGGGAGCAGACAAACGGCGTGCTTGACGGATTTATCTGCGCGACGGGTACGGGCGGCACCTTGGCTGGCGTTGGCAAGTTCTTGCACGAAAAAAGCGAGGGGAAGACCCAAATTTGGTTGGCCGATCCACCGGGCAGTGTCCTCCAGAGCTATGTGTCTAGTGGGGGCCGTCTGACGGAGCGGTCAGGAAGCTCAATCACGGAAGGTGAGTTGAGATAAATCAGACCTTGCCAGGCAAAAGTGCTGACGTCGGTCCGGTCAGGTATTGGCCAGGGTCGCATCACCAACAACCTTGGCACATTTGTGGAGAAACTCTCTGGCGCTTTCAGCATCCCGGATGAAGAATCACTCACAATGGTGTATGATCTCTTGGATACCGAGGGATTGTATTTGGGTGCAAGCTCCGCTTTGAATGTCGTTGCTGCCGTCAAACTGGCACAGAAGCTTGGCCCAGGTGAACCTCCATTATTGTTGTACTATCCTTTCTGTTCCTAAATACTTCATCGTGTAGGGAAAACTATCGCAACTATTCTCTGCGATGGTGCTTACCGGTACCAGAGCCGATTATTCTCTAAGGCCTGGCTCAAGTCAAAGGGTTTGGAGGATGCAATTCCAGAACACTTGAAGAAGTATGCTGTATTGGATTAATTGTGTCGTCCCAATAGAGTCTGCTTCTTTTATTCACCCGAAATCTCATGGTGAGATTGTTGTGTTTTTCCCAAAAATATGTTGAGGTCGTAGCATAAGTATTCGTGGCTAGTATGCGCTATCCATGAGGATAATAATGTGGACTGTGGTTTTGAACGAATCATCTTCATGTGTCTTGGAAGCGCGTCTTGTCGCGTCTGTCGCGTCGCCGACACGTACTGTCACATTTGTCACTGTCACTACCCCATGTTCTCAACTTCCAACATTCGAATTGTTTGAAAGAACTAGCGCCTCTGCTCACAAACGCCGGGGTTACGACGAGAGTGGTTTTCTGACACTTGTATCTTGCTGACCGATGGCAGACACTCTTAACTCACCGTGGATCCACGATTATTTCATCAATGCTGCTGAAACATATGGCAGCAGCCTGAGCAGTGCTCCTGTCTACACGAAGTGTAAGAAAGTTCAGATTATTGAGGTAAATTCGTTCAGGTGAACCTCCGAGTCTGATTACTGATGTCGATAGTGCGATGATAGTTTCTCACATACCAAGAGTCAGAGAACGACGACTGTGTCTGGGCAATTATCTCTGACCGAAATTATTCCATACCTGCTCGATTTACCAAGGATGCTCTGGACCACTATCAGGCCCTGCAGTGAGCTTTGATGTGAATCTCCTATCGAAATCCAGATGTTTACTGACCTCCAGGCGCCTCTCCAGTCTGGAAGAATATAGTCAGGGCATGAGACTCACTCAACATCGAGGAGCCATTGTCTTGATAAAAAACTTCCGCCCTCTCTTTACGAGACGTCCTGTTGGCAATGGGGTCAAAAAGATGACTAAAGAGTCTACTTTAGCACTCGATGTTGATTATGTTGAGATTATCGGAAGTGCGCAGGAACCTATGTTCGGTTCCCCTCAGGAATTGAAGAATAGTAGGCTACTCGAGGAATGGATGGACGGTTTGCGAAAGGGCGGTGGTGATGGGTATGTTGTCTGAGTATCACTGAGATCTTTTGCCGAACAGACCTTCTTTGACAGGAATGTCCTCAAAGCTCGGAAGCAACAACAGGATGCCCAATCTCACTCAGCTGTCGAGAAAACTGTCGAGCCCGCTCCCATCACGTCTGAAGTTCAGATGCCACTGAATACAAACAACTCGCCGGTTGCAGCAAAGATATTGCTCAAGCCTGCAAGGCCGGTCGATCTAACACGAGAGCACAGGAAGTCTTGGCATGTAAACCATAATTCAATTCAACTCGTACATCTTCGCATCTCATTTTCCACCAAGTCCGTCATGCAGGATGAAAGGCTTCTAGGTCTGGATATGATGGCAATCAAAGGTCTCGCTGATCCTAGTAAGGACTACCATCACTGTCATGTCAAGCGGCCATTTAATCATAGAGCTTTCGTTGAAGGTCTCATAGTCAAACAGGAGCGGCCATTGGAAGATGAACCCTTGGCTGAGAAGAAGGCGGGCGGCTCCTCTTCAAACAGTCGACGTGCCGGTGAGTCATTGGCCACCTTTCATCTCACATATGCAATTGAGCAACTCATGCAGACCGTGGTCCTTTGGATTTCTCGAGCCCTACAAGAAGTCCTGTCCCGGATCCTTCCTCCCCCCTTATTCGACCGACAACCCCATCTCAATGGTCAGCTACAGCCGCATCCGAATCTGACGCCGAGTCTGCTGATGAAGAGCCGGACTCTCACTCCTTATCCTTTGCTAAACCCTCTCTTTCTTTCGGTCCGCCTTCGCCTCGTGTGCCACAGGATGGCTCCGAGGGCAGTTCTTCTCAGCCTTCACCAAATTCAGCATCACGAGAACCCCTCCCCTCTTCACCTCCAAATAGTTTCCTATCGTCGATCCATGCGCCAACGCCAGCACAGAGGCAGAAGCCTGTCCTCCATTCATCTTCACTACCACTATTGCCCCCTGATCGCCGCCCTTTGACTCGTCCTGTTGATAAAGTGACCTCGATGCCAAACCTCTTCATGGATCCTGATAGAAGGAGAGTCCCTCTGCCAATAATAGTGCTGCCGCGATCGAACGGCATCTCAGACGAACGAAGCAAAGTATTGGTCGCCGACTCAGACACATCAGGCAACGCTTCACAACTTCACAATCCGTCTCAGTCTCAAAGCCAAAGCGAGTCTCATACGAGCAAGAAGAATAACCCGTTGGACGTATCTGCACAGGCATCTTCTCAGCCAGGTGGGCATCTGCTTGTCCCCAATGATTCGCACGAAGTGGGTATCGAAGGATTGACGCGATCCGGAGAGCGCGAGAATTCCAAGACGATGTCCAGCCAGGAAGTTGAGGACAGCCATGATGGAGAGCAATCATCATTCGGAGTGCCTGGCATAGCAGCTCCCCAACACAGACAGCCTAGTCCTATTGCAGTGAAGGACTTGCTACCGGATCGTGATGACTCTATGACGTATTCGCGATTGAAGAAAGCGCTTGATCAGCGACATACAGCATGTATTCCGCTCCCAAAGTCACCAGTCCCATCTTCTTCTCTACCAGTCGCCAGTTATAGCCAAGTGTCCGCGAGCCAGTATCCTACACATTCTGCCAATTCGCACTCGCGCCGTTCTCCTAGTCAGGTGGGAGAAAGCATCTCCATGGACTCAATGAACACGACGAGTAGCAAGGACGCAATGGACGTGGACATTACGACGCACCCTGTTACTTGTGCAGAGCTCAGCGTCCCCCCGAGGCTGACGTCCAGAACAGAGGAGCGTTCTTTGCCTATGGTTGACATCTTTGAGCGCGGTCAAGATACGGCAGGCGAGATGAAACTCTTCGTTAAGAAGCGGAAGTTGAGGGGTTTTGAGCTGGATCTCGAACTGAAACAAGAAGATGGCCGACCAGAACTTGTAACCTGGAAGCGTCTGTGCGGAATCCTCTTGCGCACAGAGGGGATGCGAAATGGTAATGGCTAGTCTTTTAAACCTGTATGAACTATCATAGTTGATACTTTATTATTGTAAGTATTTTCGTAAGGTCCATCGGCGAACTCGTTGGAGATTTCAGTGATGAGGACGGATAGTATGTAGTAGTCAGATTTGTCATAACTGACTCAGGTTGCCTCAGACTTGCCTCAGTTCCAAAAGTCTTTGAGCACCACGCTCACGTGGTCTGTTGACTGGACGCGTCAAGTGCGCGTCTCAGCCGCCGAGCTCACAGTTGACAAGGTTGAAGCCTCTATACTGTTTCCTCTTACTTGATCAGCCTTCGTTATATCACGACTCACGACAGCAACGAAATATCGACGCTTATCACGATCCTATCCTATTACAATGGCTCGTCGCAAACCTGCCCCATCTTATCCTTATGACGAATCAGCACCTTTACAGAACCACACAGACGACGACGATGAATCTGAAGTCCTTCTCTCGCAGTCTCAAGAAAGATCTGCCGGTTCTCGGACACTACAATATGCTCTGATGGACACCAGCGCTCCTCCCCAGCCCCGTATGCCAGATTTTAACACAATAAGTCAAGCCGTCGATCAGTTGCAGAACCGTTTCTCCAGCAGTTCCTATGACACTCAATTTGCCACAAATATGCGTGGTAGAGTGAATGGGGGATATAACGGTGCGCCGAAACTACAAAGGTCATCCTCACGAAAGGCATCTTCCTCAGGATCGACAGCAGTCTATTACAAACAACCTAGCACCAAAGTTCAGGACGAAAAAGGCCTGGTGAATGTCGAATCTCATCGGCCTCATGCCTACCTTCCAACCATCGACTCCGGTGAACCACTTCGATGGGGCGACCTTCACATAACACGAGGCGAAGACGATCCCTTTACCGATTCCGCGGCACTAAAGCAACCACTCGTCCCTTCGCACATCACGGGGCCATCGCGTCCTCAGTCTCAACTGTCTGCATACGATGAATTTCTCCGCGGTACACTACCGTCACGAACCTCTCCAAAACCCCCAATCTCATCTCCAAACAAATCATTGTCGAACGACAGCCCCAGCCGTCTGTACAGACGCGCCGATGCTTCACCCAAACAAGGATCGCCGCAATACATAGACCACTTTCGTCATGACGCTGAAGCATACGCTTCTGGGACTAACTCGCGCGATTCATATTATCCTCCGCGCTCGCGATCCCCTACCCCTGCGGTCGAACGTGACGATCAGTCTGATGGAGATGACAGTATGGATCACACGAGCGCTCCACACGAATTGGACGACGACCAGTTCGCCGACCTTGAGAAACACGGTATGATGGCTCGACCGCCAGACATCATCGTGAACCGCGCAGTGCCCCTCCCTGACGGGAAGCAGACCTCAATATCGGACTTTCCTGAGACACCTGTCGAGACGCGTCACTTTGGGCCGGCTCCTTCTGGACGCGTCCTTCGACGACACAAGACTAAGAAACGCGTTCAACTCACAAATGGTAATCTCGTCGTCGAACTGCCTGTTCCTCCGAAGCTTGTCTTGCCGCGCAAGGGCGACACCGAAGTGATGGAGGCGCGCTATACTGCCGTCACCTGCGACCCTGACGAATTTGAGGGGAGCGGATTCTTTCTGCGGCAAAACGAGAGCGGGAGACGCACTGAGCTCTTTATTTGTATCACTATGTATAATGTGAGCATATAGCATGCTTCTTCCTCTATATGCGTCTGTAATTGGATCGTATGCGTTATTAGGAAGACGAAGTGTTATTCTGCAGAACCATGTATGGCGTCATGCGCAACATCTCTCACCTGTGCTCGCGCAAAAACTCCCAGACTTGGGGAGTCAATGCTTGGAAGAAGGTAGCGGTTTTCGACTCTTCCTCTCGAGCACGGTTTAACTTTGATATTAGGTGGTAGTCTGCATAGTGTCTGATGGTCGCAAGAAGATACACCCCCGGGTGCTCGATTGCCTTACCCTGCTCGGCGTATATCAGCCCGGAGGGCACATGAAGAACATGGTCAATAACAAAGCGGTCACCGCGCATTTATTCGAGTATACGACCTCCTTCGCCTTGGATCCTAATCTACACTTCCAGTATCCAGACAAGGGCATTGTGCCGACGCAGATCATCTTTTGTATGAAAGAGAAGAACCAAAAGAAAATCAACAGCCATCGATGGTTCTTCAACGCTTTCAGTTCCATGCTACAAGTGAGGTATCATTTACATGATCAAACACTCCCTTGCCCATTATCATCTTTTCTCTCTACATCTAGCCCAATGTATGCGTCCTTCTCGACGTGGGGACCAGGCCTAGCAATAAGAGCATATACCATCTTTGGAAGACGTTCGATCTTAATTCAAACGTTGCTGGAGCATGTGGGGAAATTGCGGCATATAAGGGTAAAAATTGGATCGCATTATTGAATCCTTTAGGTCAGTCTTTTGCCGTAAAGCTTCTAAACCGGAAAGTCTGACATGTTGAATAAATATACAGTCGCTGCGCAAAATTTTGAATACAAGATCAGCAATATACTCGATAAGCCTACGGAAAGTCTCTTCGGGTACATCAGTGTGTTGGTGAGTAGCTCAGCATTCTGCATGGCTATGTCTCACTCAGAAATTACACAGCCCGGTGCTTTCTCCGCTTACAGATACATTGCACTGCAAAATGACAAGAATGGGCTGGGGCCCTTGGCCTCTTATTTCAAGGGAGAGGTTCTTCATGGTCGAGATACCGATATCTTCACTTCGAACATGTGTAAGCCTTAATTCTCTTCTCACGTCGAGATCATTGAGAACTAAATATGGCACCTAGATCTTGCGGAGGATGTATGTCTGTCATTGCTAGAATGTATTGGTAGACGATAGTGACTTAGGTTTCGCAGCGTATTTTGTGTTTTGAATTGGTCGCGAAAGCCAATTCAAGCTGGTAGGCATCATTGACTTCGCAGCCTTCATATCACTGACTCTGCCATTTTCAGGGTGCTTCGCTACGTCAAGAGCGCTGTTGGCGAGACCGATGTCCCTGATGACCTACCAGAATTTATCAGTCAACGCCGTCGATGGCTAAATGGCTCTTTCTTCGCTGCAACTTACGCCATCGCACATGTCGGACAGATGATGCGTTCGGGGCATAGCTTTGGTCGCAAGGTAGCGCTGCTCGCCCAGGTTGCCTATAATATTCTGAATTTGGTCTCCTCGTGGTTTGCCATCGTAAGTCACATTGTCTCATGGCATTTCGAAGTAATAAATTTGACGGTGGTGCACAGGGCAACTTCTACTTGTTCTTTGTCATCCTCACCTCATCCTTGGAAAGCCCCGAGTTTAAAATGAAGGGCATCCGGTACTTCAACTCCATTATCCAGGTCATTCGTCAACTTCCAGTCTCCTTTTTGGCGTGCTGTGCTAACAGTTGAACCTTTTAGTATACTTTGGCCTCAATCGTCATTGCGTGCTTCCTATTTTCGATGGGAAATAAGCCTCGAGCGTAAGTGATTGTGTATCTGTATCATAGACATGTTCCAAGGCTGAGAGTGCTATTCAATACAGAGCTCATTGGAAATATAAACTCATCGCCATATCCCTTGCGATCCTAATGGTGTACCTCATCTTCGCGGCTGTAAAATGCTCTATCATGGCAGCATCACAAGGTGGTGGAGCTTACCAGATCATGCTATTCAGCATTATTGTCACCTATGGAGGTATGACCCTATCCTGGCCATGCTGGAATTGATCGCCTGTTAACGCAGTGTCTAGTCTACACTTTCTCCAGCCTTTTTGCGTTTGACCCGTGGCATTTATTGACTAGCTTCTTGCCGTACATGCTCCTGTCGCCGTCATACATCAACATTCTCAACATGTAGGTCTCCTTGACGCTCACAATGCGGAATTGATGAATCTTCCATCTAGCTACGCATTCTCCAATCTCGATGATGTGTGTGTTATATTATCTGAGTCATACATGGCGACTCACTCAGAATGCTTATTCGCATGTTAGATATCTTGGGGAACGAAGGAGGATAATACACCTGACAGCGACCTCGGCGCCGTCATCCAAGACTCTCACTCGCAGGTCGACGTCGAGATGCTCGCTGAGGCAGCCGACGCGAACGACATGTACGAAGAGGCGCTGTCGAACTTGAAGCATCGCACGCCAGTCTCGCGCAGCAAGGCTGGTCCGTCGAATGCCGAAAAGGAGCAGGCAGCGAAAGATTACTATGCCGGCGTGCGTACCAATGTGGGTTGTAACTCTTGTGCTTCTGCTCCCTACGTTCTGTTTACCGATGCATGAAACCGTAGGTCCTCCTTGCCTGGGTACTATCGAATGTGAATATTCTGGTCTTGTATCGTGTAAATGAGTTTTTTAATCACGTCCTTTACATGTGTAGGGTTTGTTGCTGGCAGGAATTCTCGGTGGAGGTCAATCGACCGAGACGTTCAAACCTGGCGGTGGTCTTACTGCTGCCAAAGCATATATGACATTTGTTCTTGCATTCGTCGGGATCACCAGCATCATCGTACGCCTGAGCTGTATCTTGACGCGTTCGCTGACGACCTTACGGCCATTTGCAGCGTTTCACAGGGTCGACGTTGTACCTCGTCGCCCGTGTATTCACCGGGTAGATGTGGTTTTTATTCGTATTTTATAATGACCTTTCTTGTTTTTCAAGATCCCATTCTCGGACGATTTCGTTTATTTGTACAACATCGACGTCATCTCCCCCCTGCGCACTGCGGAGGTCTCTATATACGATACACAACTCATACACGTGTATAAACATGACAACCCCTGATGCTGATCGCGACTCTCATCCCCCCAAATCGTCTGAGTGAATTGACTGACTCTGTATCAGTTGAATAGGTACTCGTAGAAGCTCCGTTCTCCCTTTCCTGCAGCCTTGCCCGTCCGGGCCGTACTGGTCAGTATGTGGGTGTCCATTCGTCTCCTGGGCCCGCGCCGCGCAGGCGATCTGGACGGCGACGACGCTGATCGCGTGTTGCGATCCCATACGCGCCTGCGGTATGTCGCACCATGTCTCGGACGGGGTGTTTCTTCCTGGTTCATGGATTCAGGAAAGACAGACGAGACAGGAGAATCTTGTACAGAGAGGGCAACGATGGCGCGATCGAGCTCGCTATCGCCGTCCACGGACCACACGTCGGCGTCTTGCATCCCATCGCGGTAGATCGAGCCGACGGATGCAGGAGAATGCGGCCTCTCCTCTGCGCGCTCACGCTCGACGTCAGCTTCGGCACCTGCATCCGAGGCAATGTCGGAGAGTGGCTCATGATCAGACGCGATGTCGGACAGGGGGCCCCCGCCGTTCTCGGATTCGGACAGGGCGTCCGAGTGGGTGGCGTCGGAGAGGATGTCAGAGAAGGAGGAGAGGATGTCAGAGTCGTAAGATGACAGCGAGGAGAGGTCCAAGTCCGTTGCGGGTGGTGTCATGAGCGCTGCACGGGCAGCGTGGTCCGGGCGAGTCACGTTCGGGCGGAGCAGATGCGTGAGACGGTGGGTGGAGGTGTCTTTACCTAGACAGCTGCTGAGTTCAACGGCGGAGAGGTCCGATGTAAAGACACTCACTGAAGCTGACGACTTCGTAGTAGCGCGCGCAGCAGTGCACGACGTACCTCGCCCACGCGTCGTCCTCTATCCACCACACCAGCTTCAACGGGCTCCTCTCGACCTCCCGCACACCTTGCTGTTCTCCGATCGCCCGTCCGGGAAACTGGAGGCCCTCGAACCCCGCCGTGAGCGTGCCATCGGGCTGCAAGACAACACCGCCCTCTGAGAGCCATCCCACGATCTCGTTCTCGACCGCCTTGACGAGCGCCTGCGTGCGGGGTCCAGCTTTGCGGAGGGTGCGACGCATGCCGCGCGTCGAAAGACTGAAGCGACCCGCATTCGCTGTGTCTGGCGATATCGGGGGAGGAACAGCATGCGGGAGGGCTACGTTCCGCGGGAGATAAGGCGGGAGGGGGACTGGGAACGTCGGGTGTGTGGTCGGGCGCACAGGAGCATAGTCCCGCTTCGTGGGCGCCGCGATGTGCGGGTTGCCGACGAATCGGGCTAGAGAGCAAGGCGAGAGCGGGTGTGAATGCGCCCCGAAGGCATCAGGATCCTGTCGAGCGCACCGTTCTCCTTGCGTCGGATCCAGCGCTTGCCCTCTCTGTCTTCGCGCCGGGTAGGGTTCGAAACTGGAGCTGGAGCTGGTCGTCCCTCGCTGTCTCCCCCGCGGTGCAGATGGGCGAAGCGGCTATTGAGCCCTGGGTTGCGGAGAACAGCGGGGAATGAGAGGGGCACTGGATCGATAGGAGCCCCGGTGGTGGGCGCGACAGGCTCGACGGGACGTGACGTTGCTTCAGATACGGTCGACATTGTGAGCGAGTCCGAGATGTGTTTGTGTTCGGGGCAAGGCAAGTTGTGGAAATGGAACACGTCGTGACTTCGATAAGGGATAGCAGGTGGAGGAGACCATCCATCTGTTATGAAATTTTAAATGACATATTTTGGCATGGCTCAATGGTCTAGTAGTATGATACTCGCTTCGGGTTCATCCCCGCTTACTTATGTAAGCAAGGTGTGAGTGGTCCCGGGTTCAATTCCCGGTTGAGCCCTTATTTTGGCTCTCCAACCAAATACCAATTTGTATTATTGAGTCAGCCAGTGGAGATGTATTCATGGGCACTTGATTCTGGCAGATTATCCTGCTATTACTGAGATCTGACTTAAGGTTTTAGAAGATATTTGGCTTTGATTTATTGTGAAAAAAAGGCATTTTATAAATAAGGAAGATAGCATAATTATGGCTACTAGTAGAGCTCTATGCCTCTGTTGCTTGATGCATGTTCAACTCAAACTGTTTGAGCATTCTTTCAGAAGTCCTAGAGATATCAAGATGCTTATTGGTATGTTTACTCTAATGACCCCTTTGGTTGCTCATTCTTCTGACCAATAGTATAGAAAATGCCTCACAGGTCAACAAGTGGAGTTTGTGGTCCGCAAGTATTGTTCGCATCGTCATATCAGATCTTGCATCATGATGGACCTTGGACTTTTGGAGAACCCCGAATAATCGATTACTATATATTACTTACTATATATGGAAGAGCCCAGATTCGGGGAGATCACCCCAACTTTTTCCCAAGCACGGAAAATTTTGGTCTGATAAACAAATAGTAGAGGTCCTTCCGAGGTGTTTTAGCTCTTTCGAAGTCTGTACAATGAGTTTTGCGAACGCAGAAGCAACTCGCGTCCAGGGATGCCCGAGGTGTCGGTTTTGAGCATCTGACACTGTACTAAATCTACGTTTCGTCAATGCACGTCTGGAATACTGCGGGCTGCCACATGTAGCCAAAGCCTAGAGCTTTTCGCACAATGAAGTCGGGCATGTGGCGGTCGCCTTGATCGTTAACTGCGCAGCGCCGTGTTCACATCGTGGCCTGGACGTACAAGTTCTATTCCATCAATCATCCTATGGAGACGCCAGAGAAAGGACTTTGTTTGAACTAGCTTCCAGAACGACAGGGTATGGGAAGGACAACACTGGTATGGGAAGGACAACACTACACACCGAACTCCTCCACACCATCTAGATTTCATTACAGCATCCAGGTCTTCGAAAACATCGCTGACAAGTATCCAGGCGCTCGGAACTAGTCACGAGTAATGGTGTTGCCGGAATGATGATAGCGTGTGCATACCGCCTGATGATTCACACAGTCACAACAGGCGTTGGAGAAGCACTTGCAGCATGCAGCAAACAATGAGAATTCTGTCGCCTGCTTACATCCGAACGTTAGATACATCCTATAAATAAACATTGGGTAGGACCACTCTCACTCTAAGACACCATGACACTACTCGCATTCGCGTTCAAGGTTATCAAAGTCCCTTGGAACTTCGTCCACTTTCTATTGTTTTCCTTCTCGACTGGACGAGCATCGCATCGTGAGGTTGAGCCCGAAGTCCCCGAAGTCCCTGATCTTCAAAAGCAGCTGCGGAAAACAGATGATGAGCTGCGGCGAGCACGACAGCATTCCACTGATCTAGAAGAGAGGTATAGGAAGGAACGGAAAGCATTGGACGAGGCACAGAGCAAGCTGGACCAGTCCATTGCCATCTTGCACACGCGCGAGCAGGACCTACAGAGGGCAAAGGAAATCATTACACGACGTGAGCAGACGATATCACAGCTCCAATCCCAGACCGCGGCCATCGAGACAATGCTTGCGCAGAACAACGCACTGTTGGACACGAGGACGCGAGAGCTCGAGGTAGCCCAAGTCTTCCTGACCAAGCAAGAGTCCTTCACGGAAAAGGAGATTATCGACCAGATCGAGGGGCTCAACTATGAGATATTCCAGGTCGCTATCGTGCTTTCCGATGAATGGGAGAGCGAAGAAGAATGTGAGACGGACGGAAAACTGCAGGATAGGGACACAACGAAGACGGTGCGCAACGTGAATGAGGACGAGCAAGCACACGCAGTGCTCGAAGAAATCCGCTCTTGGTCGACTCCACGCATAGCCGAGATCACCCAACTTGCATCACAGATAGAAGACCCGCTTGCCCTGCAGGTCGTGTTTCAAGCGTACCTCACACATATCGTGGCTTCATTCATGTCACAATGGCAATTCGCTGATCATGGCTTGAACCAAGCTATGGATCGTATTTTCTCTGCACTTGAGAACGAAGGTGAGTAACCTCTTGTTCCATGATATCGAATTGACCTACTCAATCGGGCACAGAACCACCGGCAATTTCTGGACGATGGAGAGCGCTGACCCACCAGTACACCCAAAAAGTGTTTCACCAAGAACAGACACCAGACTCGCTCGCCGATTTCCTAGCGGAGACATTGACTTCATGCGTGCTCTGTGCAGGTCGGGATCGAGACCGCGCTCGAATCAAGCATGCAATTCTCCAGAAAGCAGGCGATGGACTTCGAGAGGTCGCTACGTTTGTTTTCAGGTTGAATAAGGCGATCGGGGAGGGGATCACGACAAGCATGCTGTTGCCGATGGTGGTGATGGGCGGAGAGATGTTTGACGTTCGCAACATGGAGGACGGATACACGGAGGCAAAGGAATCGGGACCCGTGATGTGCACAACGAGTATGGGTCTTATGAGAGACCTCAAGAGGGACGATGGGAAGCGGAATCGTGCTGTGCTGTTGAAGCCGAAGGTTGCTTTGGAGAGCGTGCTGGCAATGTTGGCGGAGAATTAGGTAGCCCCAGCTAGCTCCATCCTCTCGGAATGTTGACCTATAATAGACGATCTGAAGCGATGAACATGTCGACTGGAATATGACAAGATCTCGCACCAAATTATCTTAACCTGAGGTTGCGAAGCCCTGAATACCCGATTCGATCAGGACTTGAGATTTGGCCGTCGTGTCTGTGACGGCCTCCTGATGCGGATAGTGGTTATTGGCTGGTGTTCAATAATGTCATGTCTATTCGAAGTCGCATTCGAAGGAAATCCGAAGCTTTTCGTGTCCAGGATGAGAACATGAGTGAGGTAGGGATATGCCGGGGTCCTGCTGCAACTACAGTACTGGAGCAACGTACTAGCGACGTATTGTAAATCAGAGTTAATCATGCCTCAAATATGAAGGATGCTGCAGTCTGGACTGCCATGTGATACGCTTGGACTACTGAAATTCAGTGAATCTGGTAGAAAGCAACCGTGCGGTCTCAAAGATTCTCCGAATCGCGCATACGACTGGTCAAGCTTCAGTTGGCATAGATATACAGTGGTACTCGTAGCATCGTAGATGAGATACCTCGAACCAAACAAAAATCGAATGAAAATAAAATGCGCTGGAACAGGGCTTCAATCATAGACGTTACAGATGTCAATTGGGCTCGGAATTGATCATTGAAAAGTGTCGCTCAGGCGTCAATTTTCATCATAGACAATTGAGGCTGGGCCACTGGAAGAACCGATTAAGACAGGTTTCGTTGCCGATGCTACTGCAGATAATGCGAGGAAGAGAGTCTTACAATTTCTTCACGCCCTGCAGAGATAATCTGTTAGTTGACTGAGAGTAACATGAAAGACGGATGATGCGGACATTTTCCATCCACGAAATTCTTGCCTTCAATTCGGTGAGACCAAATGATAAAACGATCTCATAATCTTGGCGAAAATAGCGACCGCTTGGGCCTTTCAAACGGATCTTCGGCACTTGAGATACGTCCGCAGAAACCGTGCACAAAGCAGAGAATAGCCCTGGAACAGCCGCGTGAGATCGCAAAGCAAGTCAATTTAAGTCATTCTGGACCTGGCTCTTCGTCTGTCCAGGAGGGAGTACGTCGCCCTTTGTAACACAATATAGTGCTTTCGATCCAATACAGCCCAGTCCTTGACGATTGGTAGAAAGAGCGTTCAAATTCTTCGGTTTCTGATACTTGGGTTCCCTAAGGTCATTATTTGTCAAGTTGAACTCAGACGTTGGCCTATCCATAGTGTACAATCATACCTTGGGAAGAATAATACTGAATCCCTTCGGCAGACGTACTGTGCCATCTTCCGCAATTTCTTTCGTCGCAAATCGTGAACGATGATCACGATCGTGAGAAACGAACAGCTTGCGGCATTCAACCCCGTATACAAACCGCGCGACGCGGGAGGACACATAGTGGTCCAAATGGAAGGAGACGGCTCCCTCCGCTACCGCTTTATTGCTATGAGGATGGCTCCAGTTCAGCAAGGCGGTCTCACAGATAGGCGTAAAAGCGTACGTATGACTGTCAGGCCTGAAGATCTGCGATCCATGCGCTTCCAGTTGACCGCGCAGCTTTGTGTACAAGTACTCGCTTGCAGCGAAGCCACCGACTAGGAAAAAGGTCTAATGACGAAAATATGGGAGTCGTTTTGGATAGATCAAATCAAAGTAATCACCGATATAACATGATTCTTCGCTGCACGCTGCTGTGCTTCTATTTCGTGCATGATGTCGCGTATCGCGGGGTCGAAGAAGGAGGCGATCTCGTCCCTAAGGCGTGGTCATTCGCTTCAGACATAGCAAGGTGCTGCAAAGGGAAAGGTACACAAACACTGTCAACTTCTTCTGCCCATTTCGAATCCCAAATTCGAGATCCCTGTCGGATGGCTGGCCAAATTTGACCCACGAATCGCCCGTCCCTTTGAAGCGCTTCTTCGTGGTCTTATCGAACTCAGTAGTGATCGCCTGTATATGTGACTCCGACCCAAAGCGCGAGGACGCCAAGCTCTCTATTCAAAATAATACGTCATATTTTAGCGATACACAGAAGAGAAGAGAAGGACATACGCCTCAGATATGCCGATGCACGGCTGCTGACGAGAACCGAACCTTGAAAGATACCTAGAAACAGATTATTATTTCCAGATGACTGAGGACTTGATGAACAGTTCACGCACATCCAGATGCAGCGATCTCGTCTATGGCGATTGGTGTTGACTTTGTGAACGTATACGTGCTGATATCCACTGTACCTCCTCCTGCGTCCACAATCATAACATTCTTCCCAATCTGTGAGTCGTATCAGCGGTCATATGCAACACAAAGTGGATTGAACTGGCCTCGACACTCTCACTGATCATTCCACTGGAGATACAACAGTGAAAGCTGGCTTCACCCTCTGTGACGAATTTGACTCGTTCTCGCCCATCTAGCGTGTCCGGCACCAACTCTGCTTTGATAGCGGCTCTGCGCATCGCACTCTGCTGCGCACCCTCCCAGCCGTTAGGATGACTGAGAATAAAGTCGATGTCCTCGCCGAAGGACTCCCAAAGCAGATCACCATTTGCGTGAGTCTGTTCGATATATGTACGGGCATGCCCATACATATAGCGATAAAAATCAGCGTATACTTCAAGAACATCCTGTTTACCAGGCGGTAGCTTGATCGATGGTATGGCAGGATCAGTATGCATGCCTTTGGGGCCGAGTAAGAGCTTGAACCTAATTCGATGAGGGGTCGTATAATGAGTAGTAGGGAAGACGGCTAAGACAGCATTACCATTCAACTTTGAAAACTTTCGGAACGTCTTCCCACTCATCGACAGCATCATCTTGCCATTCGGGGTCCTCAACAGGAGGCTCCGAAGGCTCTTCGGCACCCACGGCAAGTACCTGTCCATTTGAGTCGTACCAGACCACAGTCGGAATCTTTGCATCACCGGCTTCCTGTCCCGGATACCTGCGCTGGGTGTTGCAGCCAACCAGGATCGCATAGAAGAAGCGAGAAAAGCACACCTATTAACGGTCTTGATTTCCGGAGCCTTGCCCGGATCTAGAACGGCATAGGACATACCGCTGAAGGTAGTGCCAAGGTCCATTGAGAGAACGAGTCTACGTTTTGGTCCGTGGAATGGTTTCCTATGAATCATCGCGAAGAGATGTAGAGCAACAAACAGCAAAAGCGAAACGCCGTCGCATGATATATACATCTCTCCCATGTCTTTCTGATAAATCAAGCTCGTCACAGAAGTGGAAGGGCATCGATAGCTGCGGAGTAGACCCCTATGCCATGAACATGTGTGCTCGAGTGTTCTCAAGATGATGCGTCGCAGTCTCGCCTTACAGGCGTGTCACATTCCTGATCAGTCGGCTGGCCTGATTCCCAGTTCGTACAAGTTGCCAAATGTAGCAATGTACTCTTTCCTTAAACCAAAGTGATACCGGGTAAGAAGACTATTCACAATGCGTTCTAGAGTCATCAAACAATGATAGATGGTTTTGCTTCAGCTCAACGAAGCAAAAGGATAAGTCTGGACGCCCTACTCACCGCCTGGTGCGCTTGTTGTATGCCGAACTCCTTACGCGAGACAGCGGAAGGGAAGTCTCTATGCATGAGGTGTAAGCTTCTACTTCACGATCGTCGACTGCGCAAGTGGCATGTCCAGCTTGCTGTTCTGTCCTGGATGGGGAACATGAGTACTGATCCATCGATTATCATCTAGACGGGGGATAGTGTTCCCTTCAGAAAAGGGCCTTGTTTTCAAAACTGCAAGGGACAAAAACATTAGGATAACGCTGGTCTCATTCCAAGACCGCTCACCCTCACGTGGTGAAGGTTCGGGGTTCAGGAGGGGTCGGTCGAGCCTAACAATAATGCACCGTAGGCCACATGAATGTGAATCTCATGAGCGGTGGATGGTCCGAACAAACGGGAGCTACCACTGAATATAGCACAATCATGGCAGAAGGTGCCATGCTGCGGCCGCACTGATCGCTTGCGCAGTCGCAAGCAGGTGCTGAAGAAGCATCCACAACGTGCAGGACATTGTACAAAGTTAGAAAGCAGACGCTAGCTGAACACGTGCCTTCATCTGCGGCCACAGTAAACAATAGTACTTCCGCCAGGCTTAAGACGCACTCACATTGCTCCCCTCCCAACTTCGTCTGCTTCCCTATGGATTATCTCTGGCGTGGACGCACTGGCGCGCACTGCGATGCCGAGCTTGAAGTTGACAATCTCAGGGAATCGCTGCGAAAGAGGAACAACGACTTGAAGAGCGCCCGCAGCTCCAAGCTGAGATGGAAAGAGGGGTACGAAGAGCAGAAGCGAGCATTGGAAGACGCGAGAGATGAAAGTGAAATGAAGACGAAGCAGCTGGACAGTCTCGTGGTTACCTTACACATGCTCAACAACGAATTGCAGATGGCGACCAACACCGTCGTGCAACGGGAGCACACAATCTCACAGCTCCAAACCAAGAACCAAGCCCTCGAAACGACGCTTGCGCAGAACAAAGCCCTGCTGGATACGAGGACGCGAGAGCTCGAGATGGCACAGGCCTTCCTGACCAAGCAGGAGACGTTCACAGAGAAGGAGATTATCGAGCAGATCGAGGCACTCAACTACGAGATATTCCAGGTCGCCATCGTGCTTTCGGATGCATGGGTTGGCAAGGGCATACATGGGACGGTTGGGAAACCGAAGGATGAGAGCGAGCAAAGTCAGACAGTGTTCGAGGAAGTCCAGTCTCGATCCACTCTGCGAATAGCCCAAATAGCCCAGAGCGCGCCGCAGATGGGAGATCCACTCTTTCTCCAGATCGTATTTCAAGCATACCTCACGCACGTCGTGGCTTCCCTTATAATGCGATGGGTTTTTGGCAATCCCCCTTTGGAGAAAGGTATGAAAAATGTCTTCAAAGCACTCCGAGACGCAGGTGAGTGGCCTTCTCTCCGATTCTGATAATTGAAATTGAAACCATGAACGTAGAACCGCCTGAAATCTCTGGACGATGGAGAGCACTTACCCACCGTTATACGCAAAAGGCGTTTTACAAGGGACCAGCACCGGAAATCTCGCTCACCGACTACCTCGTGGAGAAATTGACTTTGTGTGTGCTCTGCGCGGCCCTGGATCGTGATCACGCTCAAATCAAGCAGACGATCTTCCAGAAAGCAGGCGATGGACTTCATGAGGTCGCTACATTCGCATTAAAATTAAACAAGATTATCGGAGAGGAGGTCACGGCAAGTATGCTGTCGCCAATGGTGATTAAAGGCGGAGATGTGTTCGATGCTCGGAGCATGGAGGACACATTCAGTGACCGAGGAGCCAAGACGAAGGTGAAGGAATCAGTACCTGTGATGTGCACAACGAGTATGGGTCTCATTCGGGATGTCATTCGGGATGATGGGAAGCTGGATCGTGCCGTGTTGTTGAGGCCAAAGGTTACATTGGAGAGTGTGTTGGCGGTGTTGGTGGAGAAGTAGACAGCGTAGGCAGACGCAGCTTCACCGTTCCTCGCGTTTCTTGCGTTGTAGATAACGTAGGATAGATCTGGGAACGAGACATCCATGGCAAAGATTCCCGGACGCTTGAAAATCTCAGCAGGTAGAGGAGGTGCAGTGCTCCTAAGGTCACAGTCAAAGCTTCATAAGAAATACGTAAGCAATAATGGTCGTCGAGCGTCAGTTACGCCTGCGATTGTGGTCTCCTTCATCTCTGCAGGCAATAAGGGTCTGTAATTTGTCTGTGCATACATGAACTTCTTCGATGCGGCGTACGACCCAGTGGTACCATCCACACCTCCTCCCGAACTCACTCACCAGCGTCAACAATCTCTGAACGAAGAAGTCACAGAAGTTATAGGCCAATTGGGCAAATTCTGGGGTGGGTTCAGGAAACAGGTGAGTGTTGGACATACTCCTTCGCCCACACGCAAATGAATGGTCTCGTGAAAGAGTCAAACTGCCATTCAGGCTGCACGGAAGGATTTGGGAAATTATGTGTCGCAAGCGCAGCAAGAGCTGAACAAGTTGACCGTGACGACGCCAGAGAACCTGGCCACAGAGTCATCGACATCTAGAGATGTACAATCTACCACTGAGCAGGATGTGTTGGAGAGCGCATCTCCTTCTGACTCGACATCTACCTCTGCATCCACCTCTACACTCCCAGGCAACGAACGGTCACCGCAGAGCTTCTTCTCCCGTCTCCAATCATCACTTCCTCCAGAGCTCCTCACGACAGTGCAGAATACTCAGAATTCGCTAACAGAGACCCTTCGGCATGCTCCTGAGCGCGTTGACCTCTCCCAATTGCGCAATGCATTTGAGAACGAGCTTCAACGCGTGCGTACACACAGCGCTACCGCTCGCGGCGAGGATCTGTTGCGCGGTGCCGGAGACTTGTTTCGCGAGGCTGTTCGTGTTATTCCTCCGGAGAACGCTGCCAGTGGGAGCGGGAGTGGTGCGACTGGGGTAATGTGGGATGGCATGGACATATGGACGATGCCTGGCTTCTCACAGCCGGAAACGCCTCAGCCCGATGTGGTACGTTCGCGGAGCAGGGACAGTGGGTCTAGGCGGAGTGGCGAAGTAAAGGCAATCGGGACACGCAAGGACGCTCTCTTGAGAGCTGTGAGGATGAACCCGGAGATCTTGAAGGTCGATCCGACAGGGGAGAAAAGTTCAGCTGATCTATTTGATACGTGGGTCCAGGCAGATGTGGAGGGGAAGGAAGGCGGCATTCGAAGCGAGCAATGGAAGGAGAGGGTGGAGATTGAGCTGGAGAGCGACCAGTCTGCCATCAAGACCACGCTTGACGCCCTTGGTTCGTCCCTGACTCATTCTAGGGACTCGAAGCTGACGGTGTGACGCTTAGTTCCATCCGAGATGACGGAAGATGCCTTCTGGACACGTTATTTCTTCCGTGTACATCAGATTGAGCAGGAAGAAGTGCGGCGGAAAGCTTTGCTGCAAGGTACGACCGTTACTGATATCATGACTGTCACCATAATATATCACATATTGATATTATATCTGGCCAGGCCCCACAGATCAGGACGATGAGTTCAGTTGGGAAGATGACGACGAAGAGGCGCTGTCCCCGAATGCCCCGCTCCCTTCCACCGAACAGGCCAAAGATAGCTCCATCTCAACTGTAGACGCTACAGTAGCTATCTCAGTTGACAGACTATCAGCACCCGTTTCGCAATCGGCTACTCCTGCTACGACCAGCCCGCGGCTCAGTAGCGAAGACAGCTATGACCTCGTCTCTTCAGGACACGCGAGCGGCGTTGGAGATGCCAAAGTGGCTGAGAAAGATAAGGAGAGAAAGGGAAACGATGATGACGGTGACGGCAGCGGTAGCGACTGGGAGTGATCGTGAGCTGTGGGACTTTGACTGGTTGAATCTTTATTGCCTTGTCTGTGTTGAGGATGACTACGTATATATTAATGGAGATGTACTGATAGTTGAAACTTGGTGGATCACTTTGTCCTGCACACTGAGAAAAATACAAGTATGAGTCGATCATGCATGTGAAGCTCGACTCGTGATACGTGGTCCCAGATGCTAACGAAGCTTCCGAGGAATAGACCTATGCGGAGGCGTCTGTATTTATCCACATCAGAATTAGTGGTCCACATTCCACTTTTCTCTTTCCTCTCCCCATCAGCAAGAAAAACAACCGGCCAACACTCAAGCTGAATTTATGAAGACTCATCTGCCCTCCCAAGGGTTATGATCCTGGCTTATTTGATACACTTGGCCTTGACACTTTCCCAGTTCGACAAGAAGCAGAGCATGTGCTTGCGGCGGTCCCAGAGCGACGATAGAGGTGTTCCTGGCATTTGTATATCTCTCGAGGATAACCGAGCTGCATATAAGAGGAATGATGACCGGCGGGAACGAAGCAACTGGGAGCACTCTCTAAGCTCCTCAACCTGGCCCTGGCTGGTCGAGACGAAAAAGCGAGTGACGTAAGCTTCAGTTTGCCTTGTCTGTCGCCCAAAAAGCCGAGCCTCACCTCCACCACCCTCCACCACTCCTTCAAGACCTTCAGAATCCCTCATCACCACCGCATTTGTAAGTTTACTGTTCATAGTGCAATGAATACGAAGCGCTACACATTTGCGCGTGCGCTGGGCTCTGACATCCTCGTGAACGGTCTTCGTCTATTCTGGGTAACGCTTGTCATATGGGGTGAATTTGGCGTGTTTTTCTACAGTCTTTCAAGTTGTAGATGGCCAGACAAGCTATTCCATCGCGTACGTCTGTTACATTAATGTTTCCTCCCTCTCACGATGTATGTCCTTTTCATCCTTCTTCATTCATGCAGCCGAAATCATCTCCCCGCGCATCTCACATCCTTCTTGTGGCTGATCCCCATGTTCTTCCGGATACACATTCTCGCGCCCACACTCTCGTGCAACGGTTTCGCGATATTCACCTCCGTAAATCATGGGCTGCCGTCCGACGGCTACGCCCACACACAATTTTTTTTCTAGGGGACATGCTGGCTAGTGGCGGGGCAATCAAAGATGACGACGAGTGAGTCTATTTTTACTCATTTGTGTATACTTGGTGTGGATTGTATACTTTTCGATGAGATCATCGTATCTAGGTACGAGACGTATGTACGCAAGTTTAAGAACACCTTCCCTGTCGACCCCGATATTGAGGTGAGGTATCTGCCCGGAAACAGTGACGTAGGGTGCGTTTTGCCTGTTTGGAGTTCATCAGTCTACGTCTATTTACGTACACTCGCAGACTTGGGGAGATCAACTCGTTTACAAAACACGTTCGAGAACGCTACATGGACCACTTCGGTGCCCTAAATCAAAGAATATCGGTTGCGAACTCCACCTTGGTTTTGCTAGACGCCCCTGGCCTCGTGAATGAAGACTATCTTCGTGCAGGCAGCGGTGTATCATTTGATCACTGGACACCTCTCAAGGATGGCCCGATTGAATTTGTCACGGCCGTTGCCACAGGTGAGCAAATATCATGACATCTATCCTATGATTCGGGAAAGTCTCTTAGCACTGTTATTTTAGACCATGAGCAAGGCCCGATTATTCTTTTTAGCCACATTCCGCTACACCGTGCTGAATCGCGTGCATGTGGGCCTTTGAGGGAAAGAGGTACCATCCGGCGCGGGGTAGGGCATGGGTGGCAGAGTTCTCTGGGAAAGCAAACATCTGTTTTTCTGCTTCAGAGTCTCAAGCCAGTCGTCATTTTCAGGTATGTCTGAGGTTTTGCTGTCTAAAGCAGTTACAAACTTCGCGTTTGGGTCGCATTATTAGTGCGGACGACAGAGATTACTGCGATATCACGCACGTCATAGCCTCCAATGTGTCGTCGGCTTCGTCAAGCGCTCAACGCGCGGAAATCCACGAAATCACGGTCAAATCTATCTCCCTCGCACCTCAGATTACCCGACCCGGCTTCCAACTCCTTTCCCTCCTTCCAATGGATCCCGACACGTCTACTGACGTACCAACATTTGCGCATACGCCATGTTTTCTCCCATCCGCGCATCATACATATACTGGCCTCTACATTCCTTTTTCATTTCTCACAAGCATCGCTCTCCTTGTCTATCATATTCGGAAGTCCCGCCGTCGCCTATTTCCCCCGTCTTCGTCTTCGTCTAGGTCGAATCCCTCGCATATCACCCCAGCGCCATCGCCCTATTCCTCTTCTAATTACTCGACATACACAAGTACGTCCACGACGCAACATGGGCTCGCCCCATCGCCATATTCTGAGCCGTTGGCATATCTCTCTCCGAATGCTGCATTCGGACGGGATACGATAGGCTCAGGATTACGGACGCCTAGGACGCCAAAGACTCCCTGGACCCCTTGGAGTCCTGTACCTTCTTCGACCACACCAAACCTGGACCCTCAGGTTGAACAGATCACCAACGATGTAGAGAGGGCGCCCAGAACGCCCATGTCTAAAGCAACTTCAGGTTCGAGTGCAAGTGGCACGCTAGTGAGCTCAGGATTTGAGCGAACGAAGACTGCACCGGAGGAGCCAGAAGATGAGGAAGAGGACGACGAGGCTCAGTATGTGTACGTTGCTCCCCGAGGTCAAGAGAAAGGCCTCGGTCTCGGTCCCATCGGGATTGAGAGCGCACGGGTGGAGAAAGGCGAGGACAAAAGCCGTCGATGTGGATGGGCGTACGTGTTCTCGTTCCGAGGACGAAGAAGGAGACTTGTACTCCGGTGCCCATCTTGGATTCAAGCGATCGGAAGATGTCTGCTACTTCCCAGACTCTTGGAGTTCTTGATAAAGCGAGGTGCGGAGAGGAGGCGAGCGAGGGCTGTTAGGAAACCGAAGAACAAGGATAGGCCGCTGTGGGTCATTGTTGGGAGGGACTTGATGAGAGTGGGTTGGCCAGCGGTCGCTACCTGGACTGGTATAACGTGGATTTTTGTGCGATGAATCCTATGTAAAACATTGGTTCGCCTGGAGCTGGTCCTTCGTACGATTAGTATGACTGACGATGACTGTATAACACTACAGAAATTTCTCAGCATGAAAAATTATATGGTATCGACTTTGGCGTTCACCGCCATAAATAGTTGCAGTACATCCATACTATCCTCTGCGAGCCTCTGCGGCGTTGAGTCATGCTCATGGGTGCAAATCCATAAATAGAGGGCGACACTGCAAAATTGTGGCGCTGGGCCGGCGGCTCATGTCGCGTGTCTTCGCTTATGCTCGCGTGGGCCACGTAAGAAACCACGCGAGACCACTGTCCCATAGGCTTCGGGATGCGAAACGGAGCATGTCGGAGCCTGAAATGGAGTTGGTCAGCGCGCGCGTGCCCGGAGCTGACCTAACCATAGGGAATTCTCTTCCCCTGGCACTGTCTTGCAGTGATTTCTTCAGGCAAGGGGGCATTCAGCAAGTGCTTAGCTTGGCAACCACTCTGGGCTCTTGGTTTTGTTTGCGGGTATTTTTTATATGTAAATAAATAATAAATAAAAGGGGACAATAAGAAATGGTGGCACTGGGCTAATAGCTCAAGTCATATGTCCTTGCTTATACTTATGTAGGCCACATAAAAAACCCTAGCAACTAGAGTGGGCTATGCCTCTGCAGCCATTGGAGCTTGAAATGGCATCCTAGCACCTCATGGAAAACCTCACGGGGGAGCCTCATAGGTGGGACTCTGATGGGGGAGCCTCATAGAGCAGAATCTCATAGGGGAATCTAATGGATAGGACCTTATAGGGAGCTTTATATGGGAATTTTACAGAAAGAACCTTATAGAATGTCACAGAAGAGCCATATAGGGATATTGGGGCACAGGACTTTTAGTAAGCAGAGTGAGCCATGTCTTAGTGCTCTCAGCAACCCTAGCAACTGGAGTGGGCTATGCCTCTGCAGCCATTGGAGCTTGAAATGGCATCCTAGCACCTCATGGAAAACCTCACGGGGGAGCCTCATAGGTGGGACTCTGATGGGGGAGCCTCATAGGGCAGAATCTCATAGGGGAATCTAATGGATGGGACCTTATAAGAAGCTTTATATGGGAATCTTATAGGAAGGACATTATAGGATATCATAAAAGAGCCATATAGGGATATTGGGGCACAAGACTTTATGGGCACTGGAATTTACAGGCACTGGACTTTATAGGCACTGGACTTTATAGACACTGGACTTTGTGGACACTGGACTTTATAAGCACTGGACTTTATGGGCACTAGAATTTATGGGCACTGAACTTTACGGGCACTAGACTTTATAGTCAGTGCACTCTACAGGCACATGAGACCAAGCACTACAACAAAAACTCAGATTAAGCACGGGCACTGTACTTTACAGGCACTAGACTTTATAGGCACTGGACTTTGTGAACACTAGACTTTACAGACACATTAGACCAAGCACTGTAACAAAAACTCAGATTAAGCATGGTTGCGCCGTCGCAACGCGACGGGTGAGAAGCTAGTCTCTATATAGAGGGCGACAGTAGGGGTCCGGTGGCAACTAGCCGTCGGCTAATCCCACGCGACAAACCACGCGAGACCACTGTCCCATAGGCTTCGGGACGCGAAACGGAGCATGTCGGAGCTTGAAACGGAGTTGGTCAGCGCGCGCGTGCCCGGAGCTAACCTAAGCATAGGGAATTCTCTTCCCCTGGCACTGTCTTGCAGTGATTTCTTCAGGTAAAATATGAGGGGGCATTCAGCAAGGGCTTAGCTTGGCAACCACTCTTGGCTCTTGGTTTTGTTTGCAGGTATTTTTTTATGTAAATAAATAATAAATAAAAGGGGACAATAAGAAATGGTGGCACTGGGCTAATAGCTCAAGTCATATGTCCTTGCTTACACTTATGTAGGCCACATAAGAAACCATGTGAGCAAAGCAAGCATCCATGATAAATTGGGTGAGCAGAGTAAGCCATGTCTTGGTGCTCCTAGCAACTCTAGCAACTAGAGTGGGCTATGCCTTAGCAGCCATTGAAGCTTGAAATGGCATCCTAGCACCTTATAGAGAACCTCACAGGGAAGCCTCATGGGTGGGGCCCTGATGGGGGAGCCTCATAGGGCAGAATCTCATAGGGAAATCCAATGGATGGGACCTTATAGAAAGCTTTATATGTATATGGAAATTTTATAAGAAGGACCTTATTGGATATCACAGAAGAGCCATATAGGGATATTAAGGTACTAGACTTTATGGGCACTAGACTTTACAGGCTAGCAACTAGAGTGGGCTATGCCTCAGAAGCCATTGGAGCTTGAAATGGCATCCCAGCACCTCACAGAGAACCTCACGGGGGAGCCTCATAAGTGAGACTCTGATGGGGGAGCTTCATAGGGCAGAATCTCATAGGGGAATCTAATGGATGGGACCTTATAGGGAGCTTTATATGGGAATCTTACAGAAAGGACCTTATAGGATATCATAAAAGAGCCATATAGGGATATTGGGGCACTGGACTTTATGGGCACTGGACTTTATGGGCACTGGACTTTACAGGCACTGGACTTTATAGTCAGTGCACTCTATAGGCACATGAGACCAAGCACTACAACAAAAACTCAGATTAAGCATGGGCACTGGACTTTATAGGCACTAGACTTTATAGACACTAAACTTTGTGAACACTAAACTTTACAGACACATCAAACCAAGCACTGTAACACAAACTCAGATTAAGCATGGTTGCGCCGTCGCAACGCGACGGGTGAAAAGCTAGTAAATAGAGGGCGACACTGCAAAATTGTGGCGCTGGGCCGGCGGCTCATGTCGCGTGTCTTCGCTTATGCTCGCGTGGGCCACGTAAGAAACCACGCGAGACCACTGTCCCATAGGCTTCGGGACGCGAAACGGAGCGTGTCGGAGCTTGAAACGGAGTTGGTCAGCGCGCGCGTGCCCGGAGCTAACCTAACCATAGGGAATTCTCTTCTCCTGGCACTGTCTTGCAGTGATTTCTTCAGGCAAGGGGGCATTCACCAAGTGCTTAGCTTGGCAACCACTCTGGGCTCTTGGTTTTTTTTGCAGGTATTTTTTTTATATAAATTAATAATAAATAAAAGGGGACAATAAGAAATGGTGGCACTGGGCTAATAGCTCAAGTCCTATGTCCTTGCTTATACTTATGTAGGCCACATAAGACACCATGTGAGCAAAGCAAGCATCCATGACAAATTTAGTGAGTAAAGTAAGCTATGTCTGGGTGCTCCTAGCAACCCTAGCAACTGGAGTAGGCTATGCCTCTGCAGCCATTAGAGCTTGAAATGACATCTTAGCATCTTATAGAGAACCTTACGGGGGAGCCTCATAGGGCAGAATCTCATAGGGAAATTTAATGGATGGGACCTTATAAAAAGCTTTATATGGAAATTTTATAAGAAGGACCTTATAGGATATCATAGAAGAGCCATATAGGGATATTAAGGTACTAGACTTTATGGGCACACTAGACTTTACAGGCTAGCAACTAGAGTAGGTTATGCCTCAGAAGCCATTGGAGCTTGAAATGGCATCCCAGCACCTCACGGAGAACCTCACGGGGGAGCCTCATAAGTGGGACTCCGATGGGGGAGCCTTATAGGGCAGAATCTCATAGGGGAATCTAATAGATGGGACCTTATAGGGAGCTTTATATAGGAATATTACAGGAAGGACCTTATAGGATATCATAAAAGAGCCATATAGGGATATTGGGGCACTGGACTTTACGGGCACTGGACTTTATGGGCACTGGACTTTATAGTCAGTGCACTCTACAGGCACATGAGACCAAGCACTACAACAAAAACTCAGATTAAGCACGGGCACTGTACTTTACAGGCACTAGACTTTATAGGCACTGGACTTTGTGAACACTAGACTTTACAGGCACTAGACTTTACAAACACATCGGACCAAGCACTGTAGCAAAAACTCAGATTAAGCATGGTTGCGCCGTCGCAACGCGACGGGTGAAAAGCTAGTTCTGAAGAGTCATGCGGCCGGTCACTCTGCACGTACCACGTGGTGGCTTGCGCTGTGGGTAACGGTACCCAATGCTACCCAATAGTCTCCTCAGCAGACTGATAAATAGTCGATAACGAATCGATTGGGTGTGTCTCTCCTATATACAGCTACTCTATGACCTGACTCCCATCTGGCACCCGCATCTTGTCCCCCAAAGGCAGCAACGTTGACAATTCTCCTTCAACCTCCGACGTGGTCTCCGGATATCCGTATCTGATGCCCGCATCCACCATGGTTCATATCGGTCCATGGCATGAACTCTTCTTCACATTTTCGAAATGTACAGTTCAAAGCTGCGGTCCGATATTGAAGGAGGCCCGTCAATGCTGCTGCCTTTGGTGAATAACGTGCAGTGCCTCACCACCATTGAGCGTTTCGTCACTCAATATCCAACAAGGCAATCACTCAGTACCGAGAACCCGCTTTCTTTTGACGTGTCATATGCAGCTTGGGCATTGAGATGAACTCTCAATACCATCATCAGGCTTTCATCTCAAACAATCTTCGAGGGCAATCATGACCTCAAATCTTATCGAAGACACGAAAAGATTCATCGAGCCTTTCGATTCAATCATTGCACCGCCTGACCTGAATTTCGCATCATCGTGTGACAGCCGCTAGTGCATCGAAGTTGCATCCAAACTCTAGTTGTACGGATCATCGCGTAACGGTATGTACTTCTTCAACGCCTCACGCCTCCTGCTTCTGATGCGCACCCATTCTGGTGCGTATCAGCAGCCCTAAGACCTCTTCGAGCGATGAATTTCGTCCTGATGATCTCGTAAGTGCCAGATATTTCGATTTTGCCCTACCAAAGTTCCGTGCAGATCTTAGCGCTTCAAGAAGTCTCATCATGCATATAAACAGTCTCACGCAGCCCACCTGTAGATCCCATACCCCACATGATGGTTATGGATGCACTCAGTCTCGTGAATGGACACAACGATGTCCTTGTCGCCGTTTCTTTTATTCTTCTGACGTTTTTGCTTTTTAGATCGAGAGTGCGTCGGACACCATTACCTCCTGGACCAAAGGCATCGTGGTGGTTTGGGAAGGTGCCTTTGCCTAAAGTTGCACCTTGGCGCACTCTTGCATCGTGGAGAGAGACATACGGTAGGTAGTTTCCTCGAAGTATTCAGATCGAGCTGTCGCTCATCGCGTTGCAGGGGACATTGCTTATATCTCTCAATTGGGGAATTCCGTCCTCTACATCAACTCGGCCAGGGCTGCATACGATTTGCTTGAAAAGCGAAGCGCGAATTATTCTTCACGACCGGCATGGCCGATGGTACAAGATCTGTAAGCAACGATTGTCAAGGGGTAGTTCACCAAATGTTCATCGTTTTCCTTTTTAAGAATGGGTTGGGGATGGAGTTTCTCTAGGATGCCGTATGGACCATATTGGCGGAAGCATCGCGCACTGTTCCAGAAACAATTCCCCCCAAACTCCCCCCGCTATCAGCCTGTTCAAGTCAAGGAAGTTCACGCTCTCCTTCGAAATCTAGCTCGCAGCCCCGAGAACCTGCATTACCATATTCAAAGGTTTGCATGTGACAGTGCCTGACACAATAAATCCTTATCTGACCTTGTCTTGCAGGAACGCCTCTGGTCTGATCATGAGAATTTCTTATGGTCATCAGATCAAAGAAGAAGGCGATATCTACGTGACGCTAGCCGAGACAGCCATGGCTACATCTGTGCAAGCTGGAATATATGGAACTTATCTCGTGGATTATATTCCCCTCTGTAGGTTCTTTCCTTCAGCGATCGAATCGCATCTTGAGTCGACCACTTGATATTCTTTGTAGTGAAGTATGTTCCAGATTGGATGCCTGGGGCGAATTTCAAGAGGCAAGCCAAGGAATGGAGGAAGCTTGTTGAAGCCATGGTTGACAAACCGTTCGAAATGACGAAAGAGCGAATGGTACGCTTTCCTGTTGGGACTCGATCATCTGACGTAAATATGTGAGGATAGGCATCCGGGACGGCAGAGCCATGTTTCACGACATTAGAGCTTCAGGATTCCGCCGACCAAGCTAAAGAACCAGGGTATATAACTATTATCAAAGGCGTTGCAGCGGTTTCTTACGCTGGTGGGTCATCATTTCGATTTTTTCTTGATCTGTTCTGATCAAGTCATCACCTCAGCTGGGTCCGACACAGTACGTCCTGCCTTCAACAATTTGCTAAAATGGTGTCCTTACCCGGTAGCAAGACAGTCAGCTCGACAGAATCATTTCTACTCGCTATGATGCTTCACCCAGAAGTTCAACGCAAAGCCCAGGAACAAATTGACAAAGCCATAGGTCACGACCGACTCCCCCAATTTTCTGACAAGAAGGATTTGCCCTATATTGACTGCATCCTCTGGGAGGTTTTACGGTGGAAGCCAATCGTACCGCTAAGCATTGCGCACTACACAGTCAAGGAGGATGTCTATGAGGGTTATCTCATTCCCAAAGGAACTACAGTCTTCCCGAATGTCTGGTCAGTGTTCTTGTATCTCCATTGTCATTACTTGGTCTGATCGCTAGAACGCGTCGTGGATAATATGCAGGGCCATAATGAACGATGAGGACGCCTATCCAGATCATTCAGCATTCCGCCCTGAACGATTTGAAGACCGGAAGAGGAACTCCGAGCTTGGAATTAATCCCTTGCCAGATGCCGCATTTGGTTTCGGAAGACGGTGAATCATCCCATAGAGCCCATGGTACTTTTTGATTGACGGAAACCTCTCAGGACTTGCCCAGGCCGGTGGCTTGCTATCGATACTCTGTGGATCACAATTGCCTCCATCCTCGCCGTCTACGATATCTCCAAAGCCGTCGATAAATATGGTGCTTTTATTGAACCCGACACTGAGTATACGACTGCATTAGTGAGGTGAGTTTTATGATGTCCGTTGTGCATGCATGTAGCTCAACATTCATTGTAGTCGTCCAAAGCCATTTAAGTGCTCTATCGTTCCTCGGTCATCCAGTGCGCTTGAGCTCATAAGACAGACTGAAGATGAGCATTGAGAGAGGCTTCCAACATAGGCCTTTGTAGTCGACGATTGGTGACGACCGATTTTACCCTGTCAACCATGATTTCAATAGCAGTACACGTTGGAATGGTCTTTTTCTCTTCCGAGAGCCTCAAAAGGCTCGCGATACTTGATAATCGACCAAGTGTCAGATTCATGTCGCGTCGATCTCATCGATCGCACTGGTATGCTGTTTGAAACTCTGGTCTGAGCCTCATACTGAAGACGAAGCAGGATCAGTGGTGAAAACAAAGCGCAATGTCGCAGACGGAGAAACACATTTCAAACGGGTCAGATTCCAGTCAGCGGGACAAGGTGTATTGGTCATCACTGTACAACATCGACGCCCGCCACGCGTCGTTGTGCGCCCCCGAAAATAGTTTGGGAGGCCGGGTGGCCGATCCGGCAAAATTTTGGGATTTTTGAGCCCTAGGCCTGATCCAGTCCGAGAAAAAATAACCCTCCGTGGTGCCGAGGCCTGACCCATGTATCCTGCAAAAAGTCACATCTAGGTGGTATGCCTGATCAACGTCCGGCAATTTATGGCGGGGATGGTGTAGTGGTCGATGGTTGGCGGTTAGGTGTGGAAACTGAGTTGGCACGGTCCCTCGGGTTCGAATCTTATAGAGTACTTTTTTTAATCTAAATTCAACTTGTTCAAGCTACATAAGCTGCCAGCGCAGACTGATAGTTTTCAAACGACGTTCAGCAATCACAATGTCAGACATCCTTTCCAATTTATTCTCGTCTAACAAAACATACTACGACCATTGTCGCAGCTGTGAAGTGACTACAAAGGTTACGTTGGTGCGGCGCGGGGGGCAAGAAGAGTAATGGTGCACTGGTGGCGCAGGGGAGGATGGCGACAGCTCTGTGATTGTTTGGGGTGGGTTTTCTCATCTGTGGCGTTCTGTATGTTGTATTGCGCTGTCTACTAGTGTCTACTACGCATTCTGACCATTGTAAGGCTCGGAAAAGGCCTGAATTTAGCAATCCGGCAATTTTGGGGCACCTGGAAGGCCTGATCTGGCGAGTCCGGCAAAAATTTAACTTTTTGAGGCCTGATCTAGCAATCCGAGCATTTTTTTGCGAATCTTACACATGCCTGAACTTATCCGGCAAAATTTAGCTGATTTTTGGGGTTTTGCGTCTGAGCAATTTTGCCGACTTTTGACAAATTTCCTACAGGCCCTCGTCTCAACGCCAGTGATCACCTCTTGCGCCTCCAACGCTCGTCCGATATACGACCTATCATTGCTTATGGCGGTGCAGAACCCTTCTATCACATCTGACCTGTGTTCGGATCGGGTAGCATGCGATCAAGACTAGGCGCGGGTTGAACGACACACTGACAAGTTGACCCTCTTCAGCGTTTTTATCTCACTACGCATCGTCGCACACCATTAGCTCGCCTGTAGTCTGACCCAGTTCAAAGCTCAAGGTCAAAGCTCGAGAACAAAGCTCAAGGTCAAAGCTCGAGAACAAAGCTCAAGCAATGCTGTGCTAGTGCTGTGCTGTCAAACTGAGTGAGGGTGAATCTCTTGTTCGACGCCACACAATTGCAAGCGCTCTTCCGGTCAACTATAAAAGGGAGGCAAGGTAGATCAATCACTCTTTTCGCCTCTCCTCTCAGTCCATATCTGTGCCACAATGGACTCCATCGCACAGGTTCAGGAATTCGCCTCACAATTACAAGCCATACTGACAATTTTGAGACCTCTTGCCGACCTGCCCGACAGACTAGACCAAATGACCACCGATCTCGCTAGTCTGACTGCTAAGGTTGCCAAATTGTCAGCGGCGTCAACGTCCTCAAAAGCGATCAAACCTCCTCCACCCATAACGCTGTAAGGATGACTTGTGTGGCGCTGATGCTTTACTGATGCTTGCTTGACTAGATCGCGACATCGCTATGATCCTACAACGTGTGGCTCACCGCCTCGCTCAGACATAGGACCGTTCGACCCTATGACAGGTTTCCCACGTAGGCGTCCTCTCAAACGCGAAGGAGCGTTCGTCCTCAACTCTGTTGCTGCCACGATCATACAGGCCAAATCTGTGGACCCACCCACCGTTTCTTCTCGTACCGATCCTCTTTCTGCAGGACATCTTTCCATTATCCCCATGCGCCACTCCACCCCTGGACCTTCTTGCTCTGCCCCGGCTCCTGGCTCCCCTCTTGCACCAGTCCCTTCTTCTTCCTCCAAGCTCAAGCACTCTAAGCATTCTAATGCTACCTCTCACGGAGCCTTTGCTTCCGGATCGACCGCCACTCTAACCCTTGGCACACTAGCAACCGGTTCAGACTCTGAGACAATTGCATCGGTCTGTGATGCTCACAATGAGGTGGACACAATGCCGACGGCCAAGGGAAAAGGCAAGAGGCGTGCTCGGGATAGAGATGATAACAATGCAACGGTATCCAGCGGCCCGTGTGGGGGTCATGCTAGTGCAGAAGATGACGACACGAGTCCGACGAAGAAGCGAAAATTACTCGAGGAGAAGGCTGCCAAGCAGTCTGGGAAGAAACCTACCCGCTACAATACTAGAGCGTCATCGCGAGTCGATCGAGGTCTCTCTTGATGCTGTGGACAGGCGGAATGGCCTGCTGGATCAAAAGGTTTCCATTATGATTTCTCTTGCTTAGTCTTTATTGGTCTCTGCCAGCTGTGATACCCCAAATCTTTTCTCCTCTTCACTTTTTCTCTTACTATTTGCCTCTCTAGGCGCATTGCGGAATCGTCTATATTTCTTTAACTCTTGTAATGAAAGCAATTCGTCACCCTTTCTTCTGGAATCATGCGGCGCTGCAGCGGTCGTACAGGGTCACCTCGTCTGGGGTCTCTCTGCTTATATGAGATGACGTAGGCATTGCTTACAGTAATGGTCTTATGGTCGATGTTGACCGCACATCCGTCAGGTGGTGATGGTATCGCCTGCATCCTACCAGCCAGTTGCTAGCTCAGACGACGTCTCTACCCCTCCAGGCATCATTCCACCCAAACGAAATCATCATAAATTTGCATCCTTCAAGCTTCTTGGACTTTTACTCGCATTCTGCTTGGTTGCGTTTGGCTCGTATAAAGTCGGCCAGTGGTCGATTCCGAAAGAAGACTCGGCGCAGCTGACTGTAGAAAAGCCTGTGCACGACACAGAAACCAGCCTCCCCAGCCAGGGGACTACAGAGCAAGCAGAGCCTGCAGACAAAGAGACGAACAAAGAGATGGCCAGCGAGAAACACAGTGTTGGATAGTGCGTGCGATTTCATCTCCCCCCATAAACTCCTTAAGAACCGATTTCGGCGTGCTCTCTGGTGCTTAGCTTCGTAAACTGGTGAATTGAATTGACCTTTGACCTGTAATGGCTGACTTGTAACACGATTGTTCCACGTCTAGGGGGATTTATGGGCGCAAGTTTCCTCCCTCATTGATACCAGTACAAGACCTCACGTATGCTTTTGGTGATCGTCACACGAGTGCTGTAGGCTCATTCAAAACCCCAGACACATACTCTACGCCTTCGCCGATGTTCGAGCGGAATCCGGGGAAGTCTTCCTCTCTGACCCGTGGGCGGATCAAGATATCCACTATCCCGGGGATTCTTGGAACGACGTTGGCACGAACCTATACGGGAACTTCAAAGCGATATACAACTTGAAGAAGCAGAACCGTCATCTCAAGGTCCTCTTATCCATCGGGGGCTGGACGTATTCACCGCATTTCCATCCCGTGGTAGTGTCGCCTGCACTCCGTGCGAAATTTGTGCAGTCGTCGATCCAGTTGCTAGAAGATTATGGCCTCGATGGTTTGGACATTGATTACGAATATCCACAGAACGACCAGCAAGCGAGAGGGTACGTTGAGTTGCTGAGGGAAATGAGGGCAGCCTTGGATGCGCACGCGAGAAGGAAGAACACGGATTATAGGTTTCTGTTAACGGTGCGTATAGGCTCTCCCTCGTCAAACCAGGACAATGCTCAGCTTTGACTGTGTCGCGGACCTAGATCGCTGCACCTTGTGGTCCCGATAATTATCAGAAACTCCATGTTCGTGAGATGGACCAATCTCTCGACTTCTGGAACATGATGACGTATGATTTCTGTGAGTCCTCTCTCATACCACAAATGATACATGCCTGACTTAAAATAATATAGCTGGCTCATGGGACAAAATCGCAAATCATCAGGCAAACGTGTACGGAGGCCCTATCAGTGCAGCGCAAGCGATCCATTGGTACATTTCCCAAGGCTTGCCCCGTCGCAAGATTATCATGGGCGTACCACTTTATGGGCGCTCTTTCTTGAACACCGATGGTCCCGGTAGCCCCTTCTCCGGTCTAGGTCCAGGCAGTTGGGAAAGCGGCGTGTACGATTACCGTGCATTGCCGCTGCCGAACTCGTATGTCTTGCGCGACAACCAGTCGCTCGCAAGCTGGACGTACGATTATGCGAAGAAGGAGATGATCAGCTTTGACGATGAGGAGGTCGGGCGATGGAAGGGCGAATGGATCAGAAATGAAGGGTTGGGCGGGAGCATGTTCTGGGAGCTCAGCGGGGATAAGGGAAGTGGGAGGGATGGGATGGAGAGTGGGCCTGGAAAGGACCCGCAGCCGGGGCGGAGCCTCGTGCAAGTCGTGAAGGATGCGATGGGTGGGCTGGATACAAGGCCAAATTGGCTGAGATACGAGGGAAGCAAGTTCGATAACATGCGGAATGGAATGTAATCATACTCGAGCTGAATACCATACGATATAATCTCCCACACCTGGATGATGCGTGTATGATACTTAAGTGTCCTTTCCTTCATCTCAGTCTGTCGCGCGCGGTGAGGAGCGCGGTGATGTGGATATGATATGATAATTGATCGCCGCCAGTCGCGCTTGTGGCTGAAGTCATTCCATTTTCGACCATAATTGAATTGACTTTTGACTGTGCTTCACAGCCGGCTCGATGCCGTATGGCATATATACAGACCCTCTACCTTCCACACCCATTTCCTGCGCTACCTAGCTATCACTGTGTTGATTCGTTTAGGTTAACAAGGTAAGTCTCGAGCACAAGTTACAACAACAAGGCCGCTTTTTGATGAGATGCGAGTTCAATGCCTTACCCCTTGCATTGTACTTATATCGTCCTGTCTCCTGTTTTACCTTTCTATCACGAATCCTCTACTAAATTATTCTCCCTTTAGCGACTGGCGCGCAGACAATTGCTCCATACATCCTTCAATCTCGGCGATGCCTTCCCAGAGATGCAGAGTACGTCGTCCACATAGCGTCCACGCTCATGGTTAATTGAGCTTGTGTAATGCGTGCAGTATTACGACAGCCGGGGCAACTCTCTGGGCGGCTGCCGAAGGCTGCAGGGCGGTCTTTGTGAGTTCGTTCACCCAAGCGAGCCCGCCTGGGACAGTGCCCTACCTCCCCGTCCTTTTGACCGCAATGAGCCAAGGGGTCCTGCAGGTGACAGAGGGAGATGGAACCGTGGCGGACGCGGCTTCGGAGGTGGAGGGAGAGACTCAGGATGGGGACGATCTAGCTCTAACCGGACCTCAGATACTCAGGAACAGGAGAAGGAGAAAGAGAAGGAAAAGGGGCTCTGGTCGGGGTTTTCGAGTGGCTGGGATACTGGGTCGAGCGGAGGTGGTGGTAGTGGTAGTGGAGGAGGCTGGGGCGCGCCTCCTGCAAGCACGTCAGGAATCACTGGAGGCTGGAATACACAAGGGAGCAGTGCTGCTGGTGGGACAGGGGGCTGGGGTGCGTCCACATCAACTGCAGACGAAACTCCTAGAGGCGGGGGTACCCTGCCAGAGAGCACGGGTTGGCCGTCTCCTCAAACTCCTGCGTTAAGGGCTGGAGACGCTGGTAGCTGGGGCGCCTCTACTGGAGGGGCGTGGAGTGCTGTTGCAGAACAGCCGACTAATTCTGGAGGTTGGGCTCAGCCTGCGACGGGAAAAAGCACCGCTGATACCTGGGGCGAATTTGGCCCCACGGAGACGACGCAAGACAACCCCCCCGATAATGATGCCATGGACACAGAGTCTATAATTGAAAGTCAAGTTGACCTCAACAAGACCTCCAATCGGATTGATGCTCGCGTTGACAGTCTCGCCTCCACAGAGCCAGGTCAGAATCGAGGAGACCGAAGCTCGTTAGAACCAGGCGAATTCGCGGATGATCTGTCACTCTTTGACTACTCGCGATCAGGAACTCTAGAACCGGGCGAGGTTGGGAGAGGTCCACGTCTTCCCAAGAAGGTGCCGACAAGCCTCCAGGACAGGAAGAGGGACGTCCTGACTTACTTCAAGTACGCGACATTTTCCACTGTTGCTTTTGATATGTACTGACGATGTCGTGTTCTCCTGTATATCAGATATGTTGGGCGCGCTGTCCAGTGCCAGATTGAGCTCAAGAAAGCCGAAGAAGATAAAGTTCGATGGAAGCGTACGCAAGCCTCATCACAGTACCAGCATGTCGGACGCGCCGGACGCAACATACTCGATGCCAAGCGAGTAGAGCTCGACGACAAAATCCATCTCCTACAAAAAAAGTACTCGGACTATGTGAGAGCCCTCAGCGAGCTTCATCCATTAGATGAATATGTCTCAGGGTATGACCCGGACGCACGGTCTCAATCTGCGGTGGAGTACGTTACAATGATCCAGAAATGGATTGCTGAGACACAACCTCGACTCGAGGCCATCATAGCTCAAGAAGAGGAGGAGCAGATCAAAAGGTAGCTTGTCCTGTCCAAATAGTGCCACTCTCTCACACTAGAATTTCAGACGAGATCGTCCTGTAGGCGAACCCGAATTTGTTCCCCCTTCTCTTGCGTCTCTTTTCAGCCAATTGCGAGTCGCGGATACGAAGCTCGACGACATGGAAGAGAGGTTTCATCACCAGGCCTCGATCGCTTTCGACACCGCAATCGAAAACAAACTGGAGGCGAAGCGCGAGGAACTCGTGACCTCAAGCGTGGCTGCCCTAGCTGAAGTCCGTGACCAGACGTTCATTCAACCGCTGAAAAAACTTCATCAAGACAGCCAACAGCATGGCGAGGGGATAGAGAAACTATCCGACGTGGTGGCGTCGCAGATACTGGCGACGAAGGGGGTCAACGAAGGACATGCACAGCTACTAGCTCAAAATACCCGGCTCAGGGCAGACGTGGAAGAGGTCTGTAACTCCGTCTACCGTCTACTTTGGCAGCTATGTCCTTGAGATCGCCTTATTGAGCATGAATGTTTACAGGTGACAGCCATAGCCTCGGACAACGATACGAAGCTTTCGACACTATTGGCCCAGATGGAACAAATGCAACAGCAGCTCGACCAGCTCGACGCGAGCTCGCAATCTCGATTGCAGGACATCGTATTAGGAGTCCAGCCTCGGCTCCAAGAATATATGGACCAGACCATCCATCCAGTTCTTGAGCGCGTTGACCAGAATTACGTTCGACAGATCGGGGCCCATCGTGCGGATATCTTCAAAGACGTATGGCCACACTTCCAATCGGTGGCTGCCTTGACGGAGCGAGCTTCCGGATGGTTTGACAATGAATTGAGAGAAAAGGATCTGGCTGCATCGTCGTGAAAGATCTGTATCTCCCATTTATGCCGATTTACAAGCTACAGTGTTGAATTTGTTGTATGCTAATTACATGAAGAGGAATATCATCTGCTGCGCGCAAGCCTTGTGCTCACCCAGATTGAAGACACTACGTATTGCTCCATCCGTGCTACAGCACTACAGGTATCACTGTACTCGTATAAGCTTTTCCTCTCACTCGACAGAGACAGATTGTGTTCGCGTTTTGAGATACATAAGATATGGCATTAATGGGGTAGTGGTAACCTGGGTCGTTGCCATCGACCCGCCGAGGGTTCGATTCCCTCTTAATGCAATGTCTCATCTGTGTTTTATTTTATTTTAGATATAATGCCGTACAATCAATGAGCTCGCTTCATGCTGGTTGGCTCGACGTGCGCGCGTGAACGTGTCCTGACTGCTGCTAAGTTAACAGGGAGAAGACGTCACGTGGGAGGATGCTATGTTCGGGGATCGGGGATGGAAATGAGCCACCGGCCTTCTCTGACTTGAAATGCAGACCAACGACATCCTCGAGCCTACCGTCCGTATACGCGACCTCCAAAGCGACCGCGTCAATTTTGTCCTTGAAAATGCAGACCTTGCGTATGTCTCCTGGCCGCCCGTGCGGAATCATCGTCTAACATTGTGTTAGACTGGCCAACTCGATGCGGAGAGTCATGATGGCAGATATCCCTACCGTCGGTCAGTGTCCTTCAATTTTCTGTGGTGTGGAGGAAGAGCTGTGTCGTGACGCCTCAGCTTTGTACAGCCATCGATATGGTTGAAATCCATGCCAACACTACCGTTTTGCCCGACGAGTTCATCGCACATCGGCTGGGTATGATCCCACTCGTTAGCACGAACTGCGATGAGGCAATTCGTTACAACAGAGTGTGCAATCTGTCTCGTTCAGCTCTACGTTACTCTGACCCCACAAACACAAGGATTGCACATGTGCACGATCCTGCCAAAACTGCTCTATAACACTGTTGCTGCATGTGTCATGTAGTGACAATAGGACAATGGATATAACGACCAATCACTTGGACGTTGTGGCGCAGTTCGAGGATGAGGAGCCGGCCGGTGAAGAATTGTCGAAGCGGTCTAAAAACTTTGGAGAACCAGTGGGGAAAGGTGCGTTTTGATTGGTCGCTGATTTCAGCCTCCAGCTAACGAATTGTTACCCCACAGGCGGCGACAATCCGGTATTGATAGGCAAAATACGAAAGGGACAGGAGCTCAAAGTGCGTTGTGTAGCCAAGAAGGTCCGTCTTTCTCTCGTTTCGTCTCCATCCTCACTCATTCATCGACCCCACAATGCAATCTTGTTTCCCGCGGGTTATCTCTCGATAGGGCATAGCTAAGGAACACGCAAAATGGTCACCATGTTCTGCTGTCTCCTTCGAGTATGACCCTCACAACAGGCTCCGACACACGTCATACTGGTATGAGACCGATATCAAGGACGAGTGGCCGTTGAGTGAAAACGCAAAAGAGGAAGAGCCACCTAGGGACGATGAGTTATTCGACTATAACGCTAAACCCAATAAGTTCTACATGGAAGTGGAGACAGATGGCAGTTTGGGACCACAAGAGGTGGTCATGAAGGTCCGTCTAGTGCTATTCATCAGATGACGTATATTCACTCTGCACCATCTCCAATCGTGTGATGTTCGACTCCTCTAATCTACCATCTACGCACTGGGGCGTATAACATCATAGGGACTGGCCGATTTGCAGCTCAAGCTCGCAAACCTCATTCTTGGGCTAAAATCAGACAGTCTGCCCAGTGTTGATCAGCAGCTCGCTCCAACTCAACAGAATGGGACGGGCACCAACGGAGTTCCTGGAGGTGGATGGGGCGCCAGTTCGTCGCCCGGCGCCGGCGGGTGGGGTGGTGCAAGCGGTGGAGGCAATGGGGGAGCCGCCGGAGGATGGAACGCCGGAGGTGGCGCATGGGGAGGTAGTCCAGCTGGTGGGTGGGCGTATGGAGCGTCGGGTAGTCCAGGGTCAGCCCCGGGTCCGAATTCGGGTCAGGGTCCAGCTTCCGGTGCAGGAAGTTGGGGTAGTACGAGCCCGCAGAGGACAGGGTGGGGTAGTCCACAGCAGCAAGCGAGCGGGTGGAATGTGTGATCATTGTGTTTGTACGTGCATACTGTACGCCTCTCTCTGTAGTCATCCTTGATTCCCATGCCATCACCAGGCTTTGGTCGGGGAACACACTGTATCATCTCAGTCGTTAACCAATGCTTGACCAGCTCGCCGACGACGATTAGATTTGCCCGCTCGATCACCGCTTTATCCGACAAGTCTGTTACTGTCAGATCAGGCCGCTTGTCTCATCTGATGGCGCTGCGAGTAGCCCTGAGTAGCGATTCCACGCTTCATATGTGATGTATTATAAGAGTATTATAAGAGACTGAAAGGGCAGATTCATCTTAAACTCCACGCAGGAATTCAATTGTCAAAGCATAGATCGCACCAGCATCCAGCATATATGTAAGGCTGAATAAAATTAATATCGTCAATCATTCCAAGAGGGTGCAGTAGCTCAGAATTTGACGTTCCATCAACGTACGACCATCCCCGCCCTATGCTCCGACTGTATTTCAGAGATTCAAAAACGGGCGCTCTTGACGTTCAACATCAATTCCATCTCGACTCAGGACACATCCCTCTACTCCATCTCAATCTCTTCAGTAACGTGACGAAGTGCCGAGGGCGTACCGACGGCCGCCGGCATCCGCGGCGTTTGATTCGGCCGATAGCGCATGTCGTCGCGCACATCCGAGCTGAGGGCGCCTTGCGGGGTTTCACTTGAAAACTGTGCAAGTACATTGCCGTGATCAGCACGAAGTAATCGTCGGGTGCGCATTGGGAAAGTAGAGCAGTCCTCGGACGCTCGGACAGAGGATGGAGAGAAGTCGGAAGGGGAGATCAATACGGTGGGGGAATTGGTTGAATGCTCACCTCCGCGGCTTCATCGAATATGTCTCCGGAGCCTGCCACTGGAAACAAAAACAGGGGTCCAAGACCATCAGAGGATGCTGAAACATCAAAGGGGTGAAATTGTAACACACTGAGAACGGTATCGTTACTTGTTAGGTTCCATCCTCCAATCGGCATGGATGGAGCCACTAGGCCTCGGCTTGGATCTGCGCCCCCCTGGGCATTACTCTTGTCCTCCTGCGAGACTGTTTCCCACGGTACAAGGGTATATTGTTTCGGCTTTTCTGCAGCATCTGGATTACCCTTGGGTCCGTAAACAAACACCTCGGCCAGGGCAGTTTTGAGCGCAGTAATCCACTTATTACGACGTTTGGCTAGAGGAAAGATCTCTCAATGATGTGCTACGGAAGAGGTAATAACAGGCCGAGGCGCACCTGTGATGGCACCCTGTTGCCAGTTACTCTTGTACATGATATCAGCCGTAAGAGTCATCTTCTCCTGCCCTGGTATGTCTATCGACTAGCTGAGTGATGAATGTGGCCTTGAAAAGATTCATTCTTACCCAAGATAACCACGTCGAATTGAGGAAGGAAGTCTCTCCGCTCTACTGTGACGAAGTCCAGCATTTTCTGGCGAAGCGCTTCGATCTTCTCAAAGGACGTCGAGAAGTGAACGTCGAACTTGAAGGACTCCGACATCTGTGAAGCCAAGATTTAGGTCTAAGCATCCGAAACTGACGAGGGAACAGACCTGTGGACTACGACGGATATTTTGGATGAACTGCGATCGATACGGCGATCGTTAGCATATTCAGGAGACTGACATCAGCCGGCGCACCAAAGTGTTTAGAACCGTGTTTGGAGCCTGTACCACCGTGTTATTTCCATCAAGGAAGACTGTGCTAAGTAGCCTGATCTCCTTGACAGTGAAGCTTCCGTGCTCTCCAAGGTTAACTCTGTCACCCACGTCGAAGGGGTGCCGAATGAATAGGAAGATGATGCTTGTGAGTACGTCAGAGAGGCTTCCGCCGATAAGCCAACTTAGACCTGAGGATAATCAGTCTAGGCCGCAAACACCACAGATGAGACACGATACCGAGAATAAGACTGCCTCCTCCAGTGATTAACGTTGCAATTTGCGCTTCCTACAAGACTGTTAATTCGGACCAAACCGATCCACGCTGCGAGATGATTTACCAAAGTCACCGCAAAAATGAGTATTGCGACGACGACATATACGCTCATCAAGATATTGTCAAGGCGTCCAACCGCACTGTCCAAGTCCCGCATCGAGTGTTCAATGGAGAGCTGCTCCCGATGGAATTCTAGACAAGACATTTCCAACTCCTCCATCGTTATATCCCCGTTGCCGTCCTTGTCAAATATCGCGAAAGCGACTTGTGCGTCTGGATATGTGGGGAAAAATCGGGCGATGTTATCGACTACAAGGTAGTCGTAGCCTGGCCTGACGAACGATAGGAACAAACGCCGGGCGAGCTAACAGGGTTTCTTCAGTGATACCGTCGATCGCAACTTGAAGGAATTCATAACGGACCATCCTAGTCTTATTAGACGACGCGAGGGCAGTCTGCACCATCGCCTGTGGAGAATTCGGCTGCAGGACAGAGCTGCAAGTTTAGAACCCATCAGCGGGGCTTCGTAACCAGCTCCTATCGCACACACACCTTCCTGCAATCTCGGATGCCACATTGCCCAGTGCTGTAGTGGTAGTCGTGGCCGCAAAGCGGACACCTTTGATGGCACGCTTGAAAAATTTCTTCGGGTTAAGCGTAGCGCGCTTATCCGTCCCACGGGTAGCTCGGAGAGTGTCAGATCGACCAGGAATATCGTTGGAGTGACGGTACAGCGTGGCGAGCGTCTTGACAGCGAATTTTTGATCAGCAATGCGTTCTGTGGTGAGAAGGGGGAGCATGTACGTGAGTATTACAGGGTCAATCGAGGCGTTTGGGGTGCACAACCAATAAGTTGTATGGGAAAAGAAGAGTAGTATGAAGGCATTAGACATGATGCATGTTAGCGGGTAGGGAAGGCCCGCAGACCCCGAAATGACAGAGATGTGAGAAAAGAATGAGCCAACGAACCTGCATATGACCGCTCGTGGAATTTACCCGCGATCCACTGTATTGAAAACTTCTCGAACAGGAGCAACGCGGTGCACAGAAGGAGGCCGAAAAGTAGTTTATAGATCAGCGCAATGACTGATACGCTTTTGCTGCTGGTGCCTTCTTCTACACGCGTATCGATGAGGGGGCCCCAGACAATCCATATGGTAAGGGACCACGCAGATAGCGCAACGTAGCTGTGTCAGGATCATGGGCGTCATTAACACTAGTCCACGCAAGTTATGATGCCGAATGACATGGAGAGAATGGAGACGGCCGTAAGAATTACCTACATACCGGTGAAGAACCTCAAGCCAATCGATATATCGCCGACTTCCGACCGCAACGATGCCTACCGTGTAGCGCGCAAGTCGAGGGAGCAGCATCCTGTTAATGATAGTCTTCAATAATTTAGGCAAGCTCGGGAAAATGCGGAACACCCACGCTGCCGCCAGACAGCCCCACCAGCCTATAGGCCACAGACAAGATTAAGTGATACATGGAAGCAAATCATACGTCTCACGCAGTACGCACCTCCCCACGCAATACTAAGCCATATGCTCCACCAAAGTAACTTGACCCCCCATATCTAATTACAATGACATGAACGTGTGTTCCAGATTCATTTCGATTGTAGAGATTAAACGAACCGTGGCGTCTGGAAACTCCGTAAGACCAAGGATGCCAGGTATCCAGAGGATAGCTAACCCAGGTATGATGAACAGTGTCCATCGTGAGACAATCGATACGTTAAGAAGGTAATTATAGAATCGGGTGAACTAGATGCGCATAAATTGTTGAGCCTTTCCACGTCAAGAGTTTGTACACAAGAGTGAAAATTTTTGTCACGCACTCTGTTTTTCGGCAGGTCGCCTTCAGCGAAGGCGAGATGCGTCTCGTTAGCATTGCGAGAATCGAAACGGTCGTAGGAATGTTCAAATTTTCGAACGCCTGCCAAAAGATCCCAGCTTCCGCTCCTGCTTGATCTAGATCCTGAATCATCATCAAAGCGATGGAATGGTCGAATGGGTGGTCTCCCTCCAGACGACGAAGAAGGTCCACTATCATACTCATTTGGCATGCTGGTGGGAGGCATTTCGATGATACGAGAGTGGCTTTCACTGTCCTGAGCTTGAGGCCGGTGAAGTGGATATACATCTCTAACGGGTTGCGACTGGTTTAGAGGAAGATGAGACTGGTAAGACAGGGAATCCACGGCTTCTAGATCGTAGCGGTCCTGTGCTGCGCTTCCTGTCCAAGCATCTTTTTCGTCAGGAGATATTGGTTGAACGGTATCGTAATCATGAGACATTGATGAGAAAGCAGGCTTGAAACAGGCCCTAAAGGATAGAGGATCGCGTTGTTGCAGTCGAACTACTAAAAGGTAGAGGTGGTTTGTAGTATACCGCTGTATCTATAATGGGACATAATATGGCTGTTAGTGGCCGTCTTCTCCAGACTTAACCTTATTCGATGGGTAATCGGGAACCCTAGCAACATGGTCTACTGGAGCCCTTGGTGTCTTTTTGTCCTTAGGCTCAGACACGGCCGGTCAATTCAAAAATCCGCTAAGCTCCGTTGAAGGCTCCATAGTATAGAGCCGGCTTTCCCGACTCTAACGACTCCAACGAAAAAGCGCCGTGGCCATTGAAAGCCCGCTTGGCCCATGAACTTATTGTCTCAACAAGGAAAATCAGGGCGGAGATTCAACTGTTTCTAGGCTGGTACACATAGTACCTCGCACATTACGATCGCATCCTGGGTCCTTTGAAATCTGATCTCATCAGCAATACCTGCACAGGAAAGACGAACATTAGAAGGGATATTTTTATATCAAGATTATCTTCAATCTGAACCGTTTGACTCAGCCATAATTCGCTATTGAATCCATCGCAAAAGCCCTGTCGAAGACATCGGCGGGAGAGGGACGTCGCCCCTGCAGGGCCCATACCTCCGTATTGTTTCCAAAAAATGAAGCTTCTGACCCGCTTTTACCGCAGGCAATACCATAATCGAGGACTTTGCTCTTACTAACTCGAACATTAGAGTGCATGCGAGAATCTCTCTTCTTTCTTGGTATGTAACAGCAGGGACAGAAGGGACTGCCATATTCCTCAAGCCTCAGTCTTCACGGACGGCGTACTTCTGCAACTAATACGGTGGCGCGGGAACACCCGTAAGTAACAACGGCCACCTTTCGCAGCGAGCAAAACGTCAAGTAGAGGCCCAGTCATATGCTGGACGGCCTCGCCTTGTCTAGTTCAATCTCAGATTACCTGACCTGTCGCGAACCCACGTTATACCTGATGACAGCGCAGTCGCCTACCTCCATTGGGCTCCTATGCGCCAACTCGAGACGGAAGATCCTCGTCGCTCGATTTGGAAAGGGTTTCCAGGAGAGTCGATCGAATAGCAGGGTCGAAGTTGGTCGAAGGTGAACACAGCCCGACTCACTCTCTACTTTCCCTCAGAAGAGTATCTCGCATACAGCTCTCCAGCCTATACCCACGAAGTCGTTTCCGCACGACCCGATCGGAGGTGAGAGCATACGGGTGTTGGATTTCCACCCCCACGCGCCCGCAAAAGCGACACGCGCGCCCCGTCGATTGGCTAGCTGCGCGACTCAAGAAGAGGTAGCCCCTATGTCTCGGGCAACGTTGCAGAGCGCTGCACCGGAAACCTGCCTTAAGTAGGGAGCTCACCTCCACGAACAGGGCCACGCATGCGCCGCTACTCACTTGAACGTGGCGTAGGACTTCGAAAAAGTCGGGCCACGACCCATATGGCACTACCGGCTGGGCTTCCCAAGGCAACGGCAACTCGTGGGGGAGGGGGGCCAAGCACCAGACTGGATTCGCATTCTCTGCCAGCGACACACATAAGCGTTGCCTCGACCACAATCGAACTCTGAAACGTCTTGTGCGGCTCCTTTCGGCCCCGGCATAGCCACCGTGCAAATGTGCTCCAATGCCCCCAAAATGATCGAGGAGCGAGTTCTCCGCAGTTATGAGTGGATGTAAATCCCAAAGAATAAGACGGAACCGGTATGATCTGGTAAATCAATAGAAAAATAGGACACTTGAGCCGTACAGGCCAAGTCGAGGAAAGCATCGAATAAATGGTATCGCTTAAATGGGATAAGTCCTATAGATATAAAATATTAAAAGCGTCTCAAGAAGTGAACCCGGTGAATCAAGAAAACAGCAGGCGAACAACCATAATGGGAGCAGCAAGAATACAGGGCACTTCTGTGTGTGCGTCCGAAAGACTGCACCCGACTAACAACTCGTACACGCGTTAACAACACACTCCTCAGGTTCCTGTTCCTTCGGACTGTCGTCATAAGATGTCATCACAATTCGTCTTCGAAGCCGGTCGTCCACTTGCCAATAGAAGATCACATCGAAATGGCACGTCCCTGCCCAACTTCGCGGCTCCCGCGTACCGTCGAGCGTCCGCGTTCAGGTTCTTCCTCCGCGCCGTAAGAATCAGGCTCAGGGTTGAACGCCTTGTCCGCACGCACGTAACTGACAGCGCGCGGGCTCTTGTGCGTAAACCCTGCAAAAGCAAGTGCCTTGCGCACGTCCATAATTTGTGCCCCGTGCACTTTGTCACGCAACAGCGGATCTCGGGTGGCGTCCGGCGGAGCTCCGTTGGCGGGTGCGAGCGGCTACACCAAGCGCTCAGACAAAGTGCAGAATAAGATCGAAGAAGACTTGCAGCGCACCTCTGCAGGGATGTCGTCGTCGAAATGCTTCGTGTCTGCGGGATTACGCAGGTCCGGGCGATACGGTGCAGTATAACGGTGCATATTTGCCCAGTCAATGCCGCGGAACCACGGGTGCGCCTGACAAAGAGACGAAGGCAGACGTCAAATCATTGTTGACATCTGAGATCCAAAGAAAGTCGTGGCTTGCGTACTTTGATCAGTTCGGCTCCATCAGCAGAGCCGGAGACCCCCATGAGGCCGCTCCGTCGCGTTTGCACGATCGTTGAGTTGGGTCGAGTGACGGCGAGTGAGGCTTGAAAGCCCAGGCGATCTTCGGGCTCGCACAAGAGCTGTTGCATGAGGTCAACAGCTTCATGGGAAACGCGCGGCCGAGAGGGAAAGCGGAGGGACTGTTTCCAGTTCAAGATCTTCTGTCTGGTTACGTGGCGCTGCAGTATGGCACGGCAGGTAAAAACGAGCAGTCCATCAAGCAATGCGTGCGGGCAAAATGGGGTCAACGCGTGGTTGATGTAGTCTCAAGACATACAGCTTACCGAATTGCTGACGAACGGTGGAAAGCTATGCGCGTGCCAAAGTCTATCAATCGCATACGATCTAGGCTAAGCATCACGTACCCGTACAGACACTCGAACATGATGACACCTAGACTCCACCAGTCGCACGAATAGGAATAGCCTTGCCCCCGAATAACTTCAGGAGACACTGTCATGATGGTCAGGTACAGCCCGGCAATGGCCACCGATCAGCGTCCACTTACTGTAGGAATTGGTACCACACCTGTGCTTGCGATGAGCACGCAGGAAGACATAGTGAAATGGAAGACATACACGGAGTAGGCGAGCTTATTCGACGAGAAAATGAGACTTTACTTCAGGAGATAGGTTGGACGCTACACGGGGCGTGCATACCTTTCTGCGGTTCTTTTCTCTCCAGGTAAAGATACCGCCATTACCACTGCCCTTCATAAGCAAATCGAAGTCTTTGCGGTCCAACCGCTTAGTACGCGTTCCATCTCCTAGTGTGCTATCTTCTAGATCGATACCGTGCTTGCGCAGCAGGTGGAGCCTCTGTTGTTCATAATCTGTGAAGGAACGGTGAGATCCCGTCACCCATCAACAAAAGACCTAAACGACAGACAAGAAGTATCATGTGCCCAGTGAAGATCCGTCCTTCAGACCCAGTCAGGCGAAGACGATAAGCTTTGGAACATCGGGTCTAAGACCACCACTTACGCAAGTCCAAAATCGCTCAGCCTGATATGGCCCTCAGGATCGAACAAAAAATTCTAGTGATGACGAACATCGGCATTCCCCTCCAAGGCGCCCGCGAGAAACCGCACTTACGTCTGGTTTGATATCACGATGGATGAACCCATGCTTGTGACAAGACTCAATCGCCAGAACCATCTGAAATGGAAGTACGGTCAACAACAACCCTGCTCGCCGAGCCAATGGCCGTATACAGACCTCCGCGACGTAGAAACGGGTGAAATCTTCCGGAAAGACATCCCGCTCGATCAGTAGATTGAGAAGGTCTCCGCCGCCCATATACTCAAGTACCTATCCGATATGAAATCAGGAGCGCGATCAGCAACCACACAACCACGGGACAGGGTATGCTTATCGTGGGGACCCACCAGATAAAGATTATCGCGATCCTGGAAGCTGTAATGCATCCTGACGATCCACTCTGCTCCCCCCGGAGAGCTGACTAGGGACGCAGACTTGAGAACGTCGCGTTCTGCCCGTACGTGACCTTCCTGTCCCTTGCGAAGCATATCGGTCTTACGCAACTGTGGAGAATGATTAACACTTGGACGCGCGCTTCAGAAGAATGCCACGACGAAGCGGGAAAATGGATCACCTGTTTCATCGCGTAAAGTTGGCCAGTAGATCGCTCCTTCACGAGTGAAACGACACCAAAGGCGCCTGAGACACGGAAGGGATCACAAAGTCAAGGAGAGGGATGTAATCTTCGACTCGAAGAAGCTCACCGTGTCCAATCGTCTTCAACTTGATGAACGCGCTGACGTCGACCTTGCGTCTCTTCTCGCGGAGGTAATCTGTTTCATTCTGGATCCAGCGACGGCGAAGCTCCTCTTTTCGATCTTCTGAGAAGCCCATGCTCAGCATGTCCCGCTCCATGGCAAGCCTTCTTTGTTCTCGAGAAGGCGGGTGGCGGAAGAGGGGGAAATAAAGGTTTTCAAAATATATTCTGGTAGACACCGCTTTCTCCAGCGTGGCCAGGGACGGGTTGATGGTCCTAGGCGGGGGTGCAGAGACAGGAGCGTGACTGACTGCGGCCGGGTCATCCTCGTGGGCCAACTCTGGGTGAGCGGACAGTCCGCCGCCCCATCGAATAGTAGAATTTCCTGGGCGGCCTGGGAGACCATCAATGGGAGAGATTCGGACGTTCTCTCGCGCAGCGGTAGTCATCACCGACGATGTCGTGGGCGTGCTGATGCCGTTGACGACTCGGAGAGGCGAATTGCCGTTCTCAGTCTTACTGCCCTGCGAGGGCTTGAGGGCGTTGACGACCTCGTTGACGGCACGAGCCTGATTATTCTCTCGTACTCTGTCCTTGATGGGATTGGCCCAGCGTGGATCTGGCGGAATGCGGGTGTGCGTTGGGCGGCGAACTGGTTTGGCACGTTTTTAAGATCTCACCTCCTAACTTTCCCAGACCATCCGGACCCCAGCGAGTGAGAAGAGCCTCGGCCTGATCGGCGTCCGATGCATGCACTAAGTGGCTGTATAACGGATGGAATGAGACGGGAAATGTACGTCTATGAGAGCACGCACACGAAGCCCATAGGCTTGGAAACCATGTCCTTGCTGATCCTCCTGGCCTTCTTTGGGAGCGCGGGACTGGTCGGGGGCGTGATGACAGATGCAGGAGGCCTCGGAGGTGGATCGTTACGGGAGGGCAGATCCTCGTATCTCGGCCCAGCCACGCCTTGAGCCCTCGGCTCTGCGCCCCAGAGCAAGCGCGAGGGCGATGGGGTCGGAATAAAGGCGAGCAGATCGTAAAAGCCTTTGTGAAGGAGGGTTCCTCCACGCAAGGTGGTAGGAGGCTGGTCATAATTGAGGTGGGGATGATGATTGGGGTATAATCGTTCGCGCTCGCGGTCTGATGCCGCGACAGCATAGTTGAGGGGAGGAGTTGTGGGAGGAGTGGGGAGAGGTCTCCAAGCTGGGTTTGCCATGATGCTCGCCTGCAGGCGGGAGGAGACTCGGCAAGCCGTTGCACATGTCCGGCGCCGTCCCAATCCAGTCTGCGTCATCTCACGTGCTCTCCACGTGTTCTGTCTTCCTCGCACAATTCCCTTCTCGAGCCTCTCCCGGGCTCCGAGTCCGAGCAACGCCACATCTTGAAAATATCATATCCAAACCGGTCGCTCCTTCAAGCTGAAACAGCTTGCAGCTCTGCCCACGTCACAGCCGTGACCGCGTCATATCAAATGGCATCCTTTTGTCTGCACTAATATCGACGAGGTGTTTCGTCTTATGATTTCACCCCAAATCCAGGGACAAACGCACCCAGCTTTCCTCGGCAAGCCCTAGATAAATTCTGGTCGCTTGCTTGGCCACTTGCTCGTGGCGGAGTCGTGGCTGGTCTATTAATATCCGTCCATTGACGGCCGATCTAACGTCCTGGCTCGCTGCGAGTTCCCGTCTCTGCAGGGCGTGAGCATCAAACGAACTTCCCAGACTACCGTCGAGGAACGGTCGACGAATGTCACTCCCCACGCGCCTGGCCGGAGATCTAGAATCCTTGTGCCTTCGAACAACACCAGCGTCATGGCCAAGCTCCGCGAAAGTGACGGGGGGTCGCGCCCCGGAAGTATTTTGGAAAGCAAGAGGCCTGTCTTCTCTCCCTCACCACAGCCCCCACACCGCCTCCCTGTCAAGAAACCGAATTGCACACTCGCGATCCCCTGCCCTTGCGCGTTCCCTCGTGGCTGCCTGCTGAACGTCCTCGATGCCCTCGGGCTCTGCTTAGTTCCATCACCTCGCTCCGCACTGACCCTTTTGGCACCACTCCATGCACGCGTGTAGCCCAGTACTTAATCGACGGGATCCGCTTGCTCATCCCTAATATTATTCTTCGCCTTCTCCATTTACCCGTCATGTCCACTCCCCGGGACAACACTTACTATTACCCTAATTCTGGAAGATTGCAGAGCAAGAGCCCTACAAGAGGCGACACTCAGAGTGGTTCGTCTGTGCCGGAACAGGGTAGGCGTACTATACTGCCCCCTCTCACTTTAGCCTTTCCAACCTCTCATTCCCCAGGTTTGTTTTCTTATGTCAACTCGATGTACATCAACTCAGATCTGAAGTCTACCGACGTAGCTCCTTCCACGTATGCCAGTCATTACACACAACAACGCCATCCTCAACCGTACGACGGCGGCTACGCTTCCTACCCTTGTGAGTCGTCTGTCCTCTCCTCCGCGTCTGAGAATGTGACTGACGCTGCCCAAAGACCAAGCGCCTTCCCAACAGCATCAAGCGTCGCAATATTCGATGTATCAACAGCAACCCGACCCGAGATACGCCGCGCAGCAGACGTACTCCACCTACCCTTCTCGAACCTCGCCCCCGATTCCCGCTGACCATCATCGACATATCCCTAGCCATGCGCACCAACCCGTCCGAGATGATCGATGGCAGGCCCAGAGCACATCATACTATCCCCAACCTACATCCAGCCCCCAGACGATGACCTCGCACAGCACCGTCCGCTCCCCGCAGGCCGCCTATCCCACCCAGTACCCTCAGTACCAGCCCGTGGCGACGAGCACGTACCCCACCGATCCCAACGCCAGCCGCATGACGGCACATGGACAGCCCGTGGCATCCCAGCATCATCACATGCAAATGGGCCACCCTTCCGTCGAACGCACCGTCTCCTCTAGGAACGTTGCATCTTTACCCTATTCCCGCGGCCCGCCCGTCATGTCTCCCATTGACTACGACACTGCCGAGAGCTCCGCGGAGCCGACGATCAAGAAAAAGCGCAAGCGCGCAGACCCCCACCAACTAAAGATCCTCAACGATGTCTACGCCCGCACGGCATTCCCATCCACGGAGGAGCGCGCAGACCTCGCGAAGAGGCTGGATATGTCAGCACGGAGCGTGCAAATCTGGTTAGTGCATTCCATCTGGCCCGGGGCGCGTTCTCATCCATTCTCAGGTTCCAAAACAAGCGCCAATCAATGCGAACGGGTGGACGCCAAGGCAATTCATCGACTCCTACAACGACTTCTATCCCACCGAATCCCCCTCTGATGCCGTCGCCGCCGCATGTGTACGACACGAGCCCGACTCTCGTCAGCCCCCATTCGATGGCCAGTTCCTCCGGAACACACTATTCGTCACGCTCTCCACCACCCACTATCTCTACACGGAAATCGCCTTCCCCACCCGGTGGGAGAAGCATGGACCCTCGCAAGTGGTTCAGTCGAGGTGGATATTAATCGATGTTACGTGTTGCCAAAGTCGTAGGCCCTTCCCATTGTTCCGGAGCTGGCCTTCGAGTTTCTTGATGATTATTTCTTGCGTTAGACTTCGTCTCCATATGATCCATATACCCCTCATAATCCATTTTGGACGTATTCGATTAATGTCGGTTCGGCAGGTCCCGGTACTCTCCTGCGGATCTGCCGATACGTATGCTGTATATGTACTGGCACTCTGTATCTATCTCATCACGGGCTCGTACTTTGTTCTCCTTTTGCACTTCTTGACGGACGAAGACACTATCATTACATACTACTATGTTTTTAGCACCTATCTACATGTCTCGTCCTTACTCGGCGCTCTGCCTTTGTATGTCATCTAATTTATAATACAGGGTAGTTCAGGGGGGATCCCGATCGATTGTACGTGCCATACTGTGAGCCGCTGGACGTCAGGTCATTCCGATCGGCGTCGATACTTCCCTCCTACGCTGTCTGAAGTTGATGGGGTAACGGGGATCGAATGACCAAGGTCACCTCACGTAGTCGTTTATAAAGGCATCATGGACTGACCGGCGCATTTTTACGACGGACCGCCCGTCGAGGATAAGGTCAGGGCCGGAGATGAACGTCTAGTTCATTAATCACAGGGAGGGGAGATTGAGATTATCGGTCGTCCGCAATGGCCTATCGCGGAGGGCGTCGAGCTGAATTTCATTTTCATCAACTCTTGAGGCGGCTTGTTTGGGGTATAGGCTTTTAATTTTGGTCTTTCGCCCACGTGCGGCAGGTGGATGGACCGTGGCGTGCAGTGTCCGGCAGGGGAGCTCCGACTGGGTAAGGAAAGCGAATTGTCCAATGACTCAATTACGGGCCAAGATTCCTGAACACGTATTAATCTTCTGAGGAAATGGGGCTTGAACGCTCTCGGTCATTAAATCGGTCTGCTATTGTTTTTATGAGGCGCCCATTTTGTTTGAAAAAGGGATCATGAATTCAGAGCGCATCGAAGAAAGGCGATAATTTCAATTGAGGTCTGAACATCTGAATGGACTCAACTGTCCTGTAGTGGAGTTGTGAACAGCGTGTCCGATACGCTTTCGCTTTCGTAGACAGGTCCTCGGCCCAAGTGCCTATGCTTTCCGACTGTCGAATGTTTTGAAGGAATATGGTGCAAGCCAAGAGATCGGGTCGATAAGCTTTCCAGTGCAGAAAAAACAAGCAAAAACACGGCAATGCGCACCTTCCAGGTATGGCAACTGTAGTATTCGTTTCCCAACTTACAACTTACCAGGCCTCAATGGAAGGTCGTCTTCTGACAGAGCTCAGACGCCCTGAATACGCATGCCAGTCCCGAGACATGTGTTATGGGTGCGCAACGCAGCGCTTCATGTCTGGCTTCCCAGACTCGAAGCGCATATGCCGTTGTCGCGGCGTGCTGCGCGCAACCAGACTTTGGATGCTTGACGTCTACACGGGTGTCATGAACCGCACCTCATGCACGCACCTGACACCGCCTTCGTCCATTTACTGACCAACACTTCACGGTATGTGTGTGCCTCGATCGATCAACTTCCCGCCCCGCCCCATGATCACTCCGTTTGGCAGTTGTAGCCCCGAGGTGCAAAGTCTAGCTACGCTTGGGTGTACACGATGTGCATGGCGATCACGAAAATACATACTCTAAAAGAACAGGCGCAAATGAATGGCGTAGCGGCTCGTAGCGGTACCTATCTATTACGATCTCGGAATCAATCTATTTGGATCACGATAGCGATGGCAATGAAAAGTCATAAATCAATACCTCTGAATCAGCGTGGGTACAGTAGTTGTCCATCTCTAATCCTCATCCGTATCCTCCGGTCTAGGCCCACCCACGGTCAACCAGTGTAGTTTCCTCAACCTTCTCCGCTCTTCCTGTGCCTTCTGCTGGTTCCGCGTCATCTTCTTTTTCTTCTTGATAGGAGCCGAAGGAGAGCCACCACCAGCTTCATCACCACTCACAGCCGGAGAGGCGACTGTAGAAGCGGAAGGCGTTTGAACCCTGGATCGCGCGGGCGTATTTGCACCACTGCCCTTCGGCGACTTCACATTGGAAAAAGCGTCTTCCACAACAGCCACTTTGCCCTTGTGGGTCATGCGGCCGGCCTCGATTTGCCATATCTCCGGGCCTGGAACATAGTCAGCGAGAACACTTAGATGAGTAAGAAAGATAGCTCACATAGGGCAGAAACAAATTCACTGTTGTGAGAAATAATGACCTGCAGCTCTGTTTAGTAGGTGAACATGGATGTACCATATACGGACACTTACGACAGCACCTGCCCAGTCCCTGATAGCGACAGCCAACCCGCCAAGAGCCTCCCGATCCAAGAAGTTACTTGGCTCGTCAAGGACACATATCTATAGATACTTCAGCATTTAAGAAAGGTTAAGCTGTGAAAGCTCTTGCCTGTGGGTTATTCCAAAGGCAAGCGGCGATGACCAGTTTGATTTTCTGACCTGCAATGACTTATGAATTGGCACGATCATAGATGTGAGAGTGAGCGTACCCCCCGACAATCCAGATATCTCATTATACTGTGCGATATCTCCATCCAGGCCGATGTCTTCTAGATGCTTCCTGACGACGTGAGCCGAGGTTTCTCGCTGACCGGCACCCTCTCTGGAAGACTCCATGTCATCGAATTGTTGAACAAACTTCCCAAAGCCCTTGGCCAGGAGTTCATCGCGTGGCATCCATGTGTTGAATTTGTGGTCTAGTCCACGCCATTTGAGTTCGTATTGGAAGGACTTCTTCAGCTTTTGACGACCCATGATGATCTGAAAGAAGCTCGTGTTAGCGACCGTGAGCGAAGGTGACCATGCTATAACAACGAACCTCAAGCTTCCGTTTCGCTCCATTCTTGCCAACAAACTCGGTCTCCAAAAGCTGTTTATCCGCATCCGTGAGGACACGAGTGGCCTTTTCCAAAAGCTCGCCTGCGACAAGGATGAGCATACTATGGCATTTCGAGGAAGACAAACCAAACTCACGATCGTGCCCGTCTTGGAATCGCCATTGAATATATTGGATAGGTGTCTTTTCTAGATGGCGCTCTGCATGACAAGGGATTAATGCACAACATGACACAATGTATGATAAAACATACCAATATGATGAGTGGCATGTTGCGACACGTATCCAATGCGCAGCGCAGGGTGCTTATATACAGTTCCTTCCTGAGGTTCCGTCTCTCCCTACAGACAAATTAATGAATTAACCATCCTCCGTGATGATTTTGGTGGGAACATACGGTGAGCAACTTGATTAAAGTCGACTTTCCAGCACCGTTCGGTCCAATGACTCCTACACGACTGAATAGTGCATTCAGAGCAGATGGCGAGGATGTTCAAGAAAGGTGTTACCTCGACAATGTGAGCGCACAGCTCACATCCATTAGGTTTGGGGTGCTCTTCCCCGGGTAAGTGAAAGTACAGTTGCTCATCTTGAGGATTGCACGGGTATTGCTCCGGACGCCCATCAGGGAGCCGGGGGGAGGGAACGCGAATTTAACCGAAGTAGCGGCCAAAGTATAGTAGGACTTGGCCTCCGGATGAGTCGCGACAAAGTGAGATAAGTTTCCAGGATAGTACGCCAACTGGGAGGGCACTGTTAGTCAAAACAAACGAAGCTGTAAAAAAGATAGCGGTTTCCAACCTTTTTGGTTTCGTAATGTATGATATCTGTTGTTACATTGTCTAAAAATCTGTTCAAATTGGATTAGTTACCTGGAAGTATGTGAAGTATGCGACTAGAATGTACCCAGAGTCGTGACTGATGATCAAACAAGTCACGTTTTTGTGATCAATGAGATACTGCTCGAGCCATTTTACAGAATTGCGGTCCAACTAGAAGAAGAAAAATGTCAAGGTTGTAGGAAGATATTCATTCGTATATGACGTACGTGATTGGTAGGCTTTTGGGGGAAGAGGTGTTGTCAGTGATAACTTCGCAAAAGACGGGGCAATGGAGCAGACCTCATCAAGGAGTAATAGATCAGCGTTGTAGAGCATCGCTCTCGCGAGCTCCAATTTCATCTTCCAACCACCAGACAGGCCGCCAACGATCTCAGCCTGCCGCGAATCATCGAAGCCAACTTCTAACAGCTGATCACGAATCTTACTCCGCGGTACGCCTTCCAGAGCCTTGTCTACACCAATGTCATTGCGCGTCAAGTTGAGGTAGCTCCGTGAGACATACCAGAAGAGACAAAGTCAATGACGGAATGAGACGTATTCTCACCCTGCAGCGAGTGCTCCACCATCACGCAGCGCAGTTGATCCTGCGGCGGAAAGTTCTCTACCTTACCATCCCGCAGCTGGCGCATGAGCGTGGATTTGCCAGATCCGTTCGTTCCAAGGATGCCGTATCGGCGTCCACGGAACAGACGAAGTGACGTATGTGAAAGGAGCAAAAGAGCACCATAGGCCAGTGAAAATACGGTATCGCACAGGAGCTCGCCTTCTTCAGAATCACCGTTCTGCACTGGGGCATATTTGGCCTGTTGCGATCAATAAGTTGATGGATCGAGCGGAGAAACTGTATCAAATACCTTTTCGATCGCGTATAGATGCTCTCGGACCGTCTCAGCAAATGCTGTTCCATCTGGGCCATTCTTGGGCAGCCAAGGGCCAGTGTACACGCCAACACAGCGATTCCAGGTTGCCTTGTCGGTGAATTTGTTGTCATGGATGAGGTTCGCAACGAGAGAAGCCTCAAACTCGGCAACAAGAGCGAAGGTAGGCTCAGCTGTCTTGCTGGGTTTTACGGATGTATCTACCAATTCTTTAGGAAGAAGCGAAAGGATTACTTCGAGCGCAGAGGCCGTTTCCCCTTGGACATCCCGATGTGCCGGAGGGGGACCTGAAGCAGATGCGCCAGATTTGGCCAAAGTGTTCACTGCTCCCTCGGCGAATGCACGGACCTGGGTAGGACAGTAAGCGGATGAAACTGGACAAGACAAATTGTACGAACTTCGGGAAACGCGGCCCCTTTCGCAATCTTCTCTACTCCCTCTACAAGCGGGCTCAGATATGTGGCAGCTACCTTGGGGTCACGGACAAGTTTCACGAGATTGTCGATGACAACCACCGACCGACGTTGAACTTCCATACTTCGGTCGTTAAGGGCACGCATGAGCAGGGGAACAAGAACGGCTAGAGCCGGAGAGGTGACCTCGGCGACAAAAGTACTATTGGAAAGTGATTTGATACAGGCAGGGACCGAGGTGGGGTCCGACATGCATTTGACGAGGGAAGGAATGTGGTGTGCAAGATCCGCATTTGCAAGGGTCGTGCATAGCGCTGTGGCGCATTTGATTGCAGCGGATGAAACCTGCGATATTGGGAGGTGATAAATAGATTTGCTTCTTCACGGAGCATGTGCTCACCTCTGATTTTGTATCATGCATAGCAGCCTCGACCTTCGGCAGCGTCGTGCCTAACTCGTTGGCGACTGCATCTCCCGCTGAACTTACAAAGCTCCTGATGGCATCGAGAGCCGCAACCTTCGTTCTCCATTTCCCCTCTTCTAATATGCTTTCTAACGTTCGGAAGACGAGGTGAGTGGACTCAGGTGGGAAAAGTTTGAGGATCGCCTTTGTCGCTGCAGTAGCCGCCTGACGGACGACATCGCCCTTGTCCATGTACAGCTCAAATAGGACGGGCAATGAGGGAAGAAGTATGGGACCAGCAGGTGCGCCTAAAGTAGTCGCAAGCGCTTGGAATGCAATGGCAGCGGATTCACGCTCATAGCCCGATTTTTTGTTTGTAGCGAACTTGTGAAGCGTAGGGATGACTTTGCCGGCCCTGAATAAGGAAGGTTCAGTCACTGGTAGACTCACGATTGTAATACTCACGATACGGACTGAAGCCCTTGTTTGGAAACCTCTCGTGCGAGCTTGTCGGCAGCGGCTTTGGCATCTGTGCGCCAATCGTGATGAGATGACAGAGGATCTGAAACCCAAAAATGCATACCTGGAGCCGTAGGTGCCGTACGGAGCGACTCGAACAAAGCGGAGAACGTGGAGGGGGCCATTTCAATGACGGCGACAGGAGACATATGTGATGAAGAGGACAAAAAAAAATCGTTGCAGGCAAGACGATCCGATATCTTCTTATAAAGAAGCTCGGGCTAAGCGATTGTGTCCACTGGAGACGAGCGCCGTCTAAAAAGCGGTTTGTCTGGAGTGGAAGGCCTACAGGGAAGGGAAAAGAGGATGGAGGTAGGAGAGAAGAGAGAGAAGGGATGGTCTAGGGCAAGATGATGGGCGTGAAAATCGTTGGAAAAATCTCGCAAATCTGCATTCAAACAAGTGTGACACCTGTCCCGCAGGTCACATGGCACCGTCACACCGTCACGAGTGGCCAAGTCACCCACTGTCTTCAGCCAACGGACAACGGGGTAGATGTCAAGCGAAATGAATTATCACCGAAACTACAATGCATGCTATACTTCAAGTCCTACAAGATCTTCTACTCACGAACGCTTTAGTTATAACTTCCGCTTCATTACCCGGTCTCATGCGAATCCAAACCCTTCACCGCCCTCGTTAATAGCCAACAGCAGCTGCTGTCTCAACATCTCATACGACGAATACTGCGGAAGATCGATTTGATTGAAGCCTATTGGAGAATGCAAGGTCAGAGGTTGTTATCTGGCGGGGCATCGAGAAGACTCACAAGTGTGGGCCTGTGGCAAGCGATCCGAATCTCCGTACGCCCGATGGATCGAGAAACGCTGGACGCCCTGAACGCCTTGCAGATCACCGAAGCCGCTCAGAGGCACCCGCGAAGTGCCCGTGGCGAAACTCAAAACCTTGGCTCTCTCATCCCGATTGAACGACTTGAGAGCACGCCACCACCAGACTATCACAGGGTCAGAGCTAGTGTATCCGTTGTAATCTGTAGCGGCCCGCCACTCGTCCACATCGATATCTGGTGTCCCAGAAATGAGGAGCTCGAGCTCCTGTTCGTTGAACTGCGAAGCAAGTGTCAGAAAGTGTACATTAGGTTTAATGAAAATCCCTTACAATGGCGACCAGATCCTTCGGAATGATCTCGTAGAAGCCGGACAACAAGTGCTCCAACTGTTCCTTGATCGAAGAATATAGACGGTACTGTGCCGAAAGCTGCACGAATTCCCGTCTGTTCGCCATGGTCACAGGTATCGATGCACCGTTCTCCTTCAGGTCGACGATCTTCGTTACGCCAAACTAAGGAGCGATTGTGAAGGTCAATGCATGTCATACAATCAGCCGCGGAAAAACACACCTCGTCACCCTCCACACTGAACGTTAGATCTAAAAGGCTCGGATCGTTCTCTAATATCCAACAGAGCGACTTGTAATACTCTGGATCGATCCACTCTACGTCCTTGTAATCCACCGGTTTGCCCAAAATCTGCCTGTATAGACTCCTTGCGAAGTAAGCATCAAGCAACCGCCCATCGTATATCGCCTTGCCGATGACGCGGCCGACGAATTTGAAGAACGACAGATGCTCCGGGTTGACCCACGACGCCTTGTTCGGTTGATATGTCAACCTGTCAGCAGCACAGGGCTCGAACAGAGCATTGTTTGGATCGAACATCTGACGAGCAAGGATCTGGAACCACTCGCGAGTGACTCCTCCAGCATCTACACCCTCCTCATCATAGAATCGCACGCTGAGCTTGCCGTACTTGATCTGTTCTCCGGTGCGTCGGTGGAAGTACTGGAAGCTGTCTTCGAAAAGACGCTGCCTGCGGACATTGAGCTGGAGCGTTCCATGATGCTCGCGCGTATGCGGGCGTCGGCGAAGCTGCTGGTTGAAATAATTCCGCTTGTTGTCGAAGTCGAGCACACGAGGATTGTGAACAAGAAGAGAAAACGAGCCACTCATGAGAGAAGGATTGTTGCGGACCATGACATTCAACACCTTGCGGTGGGCGTCCGTGAACGTCACGAACAAGTCCTCCATTGATTCGCGGGCCGAAGTTGGAGATTTTGGCGAAGAGGCGGCTCGCAAGATGCGGGCTGCCGTTCCCGTTGAACTCGAGCCGACGTATTTGCAGACGACCATAAGGGACTCGATGAGCGGCAAGAGGACCGTCGCTATATGCTCAATCTCTGGTCTTTGCTCAATGATTGAGAGACAGTCGCCCAATCGTTTCCATAACGAAGTGAATCTGAATGACTCGTAGATAGACTGGATCTTCTCGGTGTCGTCACTCTTCTCGGTCTCGCTAGTGGTGGCTGCCTTGGGGGAGTACATGTAGTCGATGGTCTTCAAAACCCGTAAGAGCTTGGCTTGGTCAGAAGATGGCGAAGAAAACTTCGAGGCGACCGAGGAAGCTAGAACGTCCCCTTCAGACCCTTGCAGCGCGTTCGCTAGCTCATCCAAGTCCTGGTATAGACTGTGCCCGAAATCTTGTGTTTTCGCCCGGAGTTCCTGAGCGATCACCTCTCGAGCATCAGGGATATATGACAGATGTTGAATGAGAGATAAGCTGTGATGGAAAGGCTTCGCGCCGCATTCGCCAACAGTCAAGATATTCACGATGAGGCGAAGTACAGAATGTGAGATCTGGGGCGGATGCGCGAGCAATATCTTCTCCTCCATGGTCTCGCCTGTGAGGGTTACGGCGTCTTTTGGTGGCTCGGGAGCTGCATCTGTAAGAGATACAGATGATATACATTTAATGCACGCGCGAACAACTCAATTGTGTACTAACCTGCTTCTGCGCTGGGTTCCGGAGCTGCAAGCACAATCGTTTCACCTGGTGGTATAGCAAGCCCAGAGGTTGCTGACGCTGGTGCTGGTGCTGATGCAGGTGCAGAGATCGTCGATACGCTCGCTGAGGGCTCGCCTGCCTTCTGTTGAGTATCCTTCAAGCTCGTCAACGGGCGAGTGACTGTATCAAGCAAGCTGACCACAGACTCCAGAATGGACGGAGTCTTGAGAAGCGACTCCCGATCTAAGAGGCTGAGTAAAAGGACAATGGGATATTGTGTCTGAGGCGCCTGTTTCTCTTTTCCCTTGCCCTTTCTCGAGACAATTTTGCGGAAGCTAGCAGGGACTTCATGTTCTGTAAGGAAGAAAAGAGAAGAGAGTTCGTTGGATGAAACGATGAAGGTTAACGCCTCCAGACATCGTTGAGCAATGAGATCCGGTACGACTTCACTGGGAAGGTGTGACATTGGCAGAGAGCTGGAGAAGAAGTCAGACCCGGCCTTTTGCTTGCCGGCAGATTTAGGCGTTTGCGTCGGACCCTTCGAATTGCGGAATGTCATTTGCGCAAAGCTGCGGTCGACGGATGCTAGGTCACCTGTGCCGTCTTGCAAGATATTGAGAAGGAGGTTGAACAGCTCCGTCCGGGTTTTTGAGTTCTCGCAGAGGTTGACAAGAACCTTGAACAGCGAACTCTTCTTGGAAATTTGGGGGAAGAAGAGTAAGCGGATCAAAACGGCAATCCCACCCTTATCCAAGAGTTGGATGGCGTCTCGTGGAGGTGGAGGTTTCCGAACAGAAGGCGCAGAAGCGGCATCGGCACGTCCGCCTGGATATCGAGCGGTGACTCGGCGAGGAGTTCTCTCCCGATAGATCCCAGCCTCTGCGATCATGTGCGAAGGAAGCGTCTGTATGAACCCTTCGTCCTGCTCCATCAAGACATCTTGTCGTAGCTGAGGGTCGAGGCTCGCAATGAAACTTGCCGGGTCGATCTCCGCCGCGGTCCCAGGATCTGTCGCTTGTACCTCTGCAGACTCCTCCGCACGACGCCTAGCCTGCTCGATTCTTTCCTGCTGCAGGATCTCCGCGCGAATCTCGGGTGGCAAGGCATCGAGAAACTCTGAGCTGATCTGCGAGTCTGCTGGCCGCTCGACTCGAGCCGCTCTTTGGTCACGAACATGTTGATTTAGAACTTCTTCGCGCATGTCGTCAGGTAGAGCTTCTAAGAAAGTCGGATCGATCCCAGTGTCAGTAATGTCCACTGGACTACCATGGATCATGACTGTGACGCGCTCGGGAGCAGCGGAGGTGCCTGGTACAGCCTGGTTGGCGATGGTAGGTTCAGAGGCCGTTTGAACCTCGAGATGCAATGACTCAGGTAGGACTTCAGCTGTCGCGTCAGCCATTTCCGTGTCGTCATCTGCAACTATCGTAGGAGGGCCATTGACCAGTTCAGCCGCGGCGGAAGCTTCAGCTGCCTGACGAGCGATAGCCTCTTGCTCTTCGCGAGCAGCCCGTTCTGCATCCTCTTGCTGTTTCTTTTCTGCAGCAGCAACCTCGGCAGCTCTTGTCTCCGCTTCCGCCCGCTCAGCTGCTTCTTGCTCAAGTACCTTTGCCTCTTTCGCCTTTTCGATAGCGGCGGGGAGCATGGTCAGGATGATGTGGTTAGGGACTTTCAAAAATCGATCAGCAGAGAATTTCCCGTGCAAGATCTTTCCTTCTTCTAGCCAACGTTGGAGAGTGATCTGAGGATCGAATTGTCGGCTTTCAGGTCGGATCTCCCCTGCACGAGGAGCTCGCTCAATGCGAATCGATGCTGAGACGGGACCAGTCCGGCGGCCTAGTAACCCACGCTCCAGATTCACGAGCGCCCCAGCCGGAACATCCAAACGAACGGCTTCAGGTGCAGCTCCATCACGACGACTGAATATGTGTTGGAATAGATGCACAGCGCCACCGCCGATGATGTCCTCAATAGCATGGATAAAATCTTGGCCATCACCAGGGAAGATGCCTCGCTGCGATCGTCTAACCCCTCTGCCCTGACCGGTGGGGACGTGTGAGGACCCAGATGCCGATTCGAGGAGTAAAGGATGTGTCACGATGTCTGCAGCCGGAACGGGCGCGCGACTTCGCCCGAATATCTCATCTTCATCTCCTGTCAGAGAAAGTCAGGCGCATCAACGAAATGAGCGAACCAACTTACCGTCCAAGCGTCTAACTCCTCTAGGTCCACGGGAGAATATAACCCCTGCAGGATGGCTTTCCAAGAAATCTGGGATGCCATCTGGCATCTCGTTTTGGAAACCAAAAACGTCGCCAGGAATAGTCGGGCCTCCGTCATGGCCATCGACGATCCCTAGCTCAGCGCCGAGGCTAAGAAGAGCGGATCAGTTGAGTTTAGAAACAAGACGTATGTAGAACTCACTCTTCGTCCGAGCCGATATCGTCTTCGTCGTCTTCATCTGCCTCTTGATAGATGGGAATATCTCCTAAGTTTGATGAGTTGAATTTCATGAGCACAGTCGAATGAATGATATTTACCAGCAATCTCATCTTCATCTTCCGGGCTATCAACGATATGAGGAGGAATTTGACCGACCTCGACACCCTGCGAAGGCATTTAGTGTTCAGATTGTGATAGCGTAGAACGTCGCTCACCTCCCATCCCGGATTTTCGTCACCATCTTCGTCACCATCGTCGTCTCCGTCTACTACAGGCTCATCCTCGTTCTCAACTAGATCTTCATCTTCCTCATCAACGTCGCGCCATGCTTCCTCTTCCGAACCACTTTCGTTCTCGAGGTCCTCATCCTCATCCCCGCCGTCTTCCTCTTCGGTATCCGATGTGTGCTCGCTTATCTCGTCACCGAATTCCATGTCGACGTCGTCATCATCGTCGACTTCATCTTCGTCCATTTCGTCCTCTTCCATGTGTTCTTCCATTTCCTATGAACGATATTAGCTTTTACCATGCTTTGAGTGTTGCACATGCTTACTCCACTGAACCTAGAAACCCATGCAGGACGTCAGACAAAAATGATAAGTAGTAAAATAAGCGACGTACATTCCGAGCGACGAGTTTCTGTATAGATCGGGGGTCTCTTCTCGATCCGTTTCGTCATCGTCATCGTCGTCCGGTTCTTCCTCTTCAGACAGTTCTGAATCCTCCATGTCTTCCTTACCTTCAACGGCGTGTTTACCCTTGCCCGACGTACGACTCATTTTGATCGCAATCTTCGAACTAGAAGAACGGTCAGCAATTGGTAATATATGCGCGTAGAATGACTTACAGCACTTCGAGAGGCTTCAAAATAGCTGCGACGACTCCACGGACATTAGGGAAGTTCAAGTCGACATCTGCAAGCGCATTCGTGAGTGTCGAAACAAAGTTCTTCTCCAGCATGATCTTCGCGATGTGCGTGGGGCCCTCCTCCGTGATCTGAGACTTGCGCACCACCGTATTGAAGCGAACTGTGAGTAGTCTGTTACAAAGATCCGACAGAGCCAGCAGCCTGCCATATCGCGCATCCATCGTGTCGGATGGTGCCAGATCTTTGATGGCTCGGTTGACAGCCTCAAGAACAAATTTTCGGACGGAGATCAGCTCGGGAGACACGTCCTTCAAATCCGGTGCGCTAGAGGTCTCGACGCAGAGCGCGACAATCAAGGACATCGCCCAGTTGCACAGTATGACTCGCTTGTGGGCTTCTCCAGTCGGCTCCGAGATAGTGCCGTAGGTGATGAGGTCGTAGAGCAAGAAATGAAGCGCAACCATCCTATGTCGGCTCGAGGAGTCCTTGGGCGTCACAGCACGTTTCTTTGGAGAATAAGACAAGAACGCCACTTTACAGATGTCGTACGAGAAAAGCAGTTCAGTCAGACACTGCATCAGGAACCCACAGTAAGGAGTGTCAATGGTAGCATCGCTGGACGGTACCGAATCCTTCTTGCCTTCCGTACTCGATACCGGCTGCTTCTGATGATCGTTGGATCCGGTGGCGTGGTGCTCACGAGAAACGTCTAGCGAGTGACCACCAGGAACCTTGACTGCCTTCATCAGTTCGGCCAACAAGAAATGAACGACGGTTTCTAGGCTTTCAGGCGGAGACGCAGGAGGAAGATTGAGTGAAAATGACGCCTCGGTGGAAACCTCCTTCGTGGATTCGGGCTTGCTCTCGGCGGGGGATGTGGGTTTCAGATGGAGGTGATATGCGCTGGAGTACGGACGATCAAGTTCACAAAGGGACTGAGTAACTTCCACAAAAGTCTCAGGATCTCGCAACGCCATGCTGCTACAATGGCGGACATAGTTCTGTACATCAGTGACACGAGTCCGCGGCAGAGAGAAAAGACGCTGGAGTTCTTGCCGCATGATGAAGCGGACCACAGCGGGGTCTTCAACGATATGACGAAGGATGATGGTAATGTACGACTGGCTGCCAGCGACCCCACCTGTTGATGATCTCAAACACTGGAATAAAAGAGGCACGCCGTCACGTTTGATGAACTCCAGAGAGATCTCATGATCACGCGTCAGGAGCACTAGCAAACGCAGCGACGCAAGCAGTTCATCGCGCGGTAGATTCGTCAGCCTCAAGATGCCCAGAGCGACATCAAATAACACAGGACGAGCTTCTGTGTACGGTGGTCCTTCTAACAGGCGTTCCGATTGGATTGGTTCACCCTCCTTGGGTAAAGTGATCGAGCGCGGTTCCTCCCCAAGAACAAGCAGAGCCTCAGCTACCAGGAGAAGAGCAGCGAGCCATTTGTGCACAGTGGATGCGTCAGCGCCATTCGCGATGTGCTCCGACTGGATAAGACCTAAGAGGATTGCCATGAAATCGACCTCACTTCCAGCGACGACGGAAGTGAATGAGGAGGGGGACTCATTCAGGACAAGTGCGAGAAGCCGACAACGAACGGCAAGATGTTGCTCGCGAGAGCCCGCAGCGTCCGGTGCAAACCTCTTGATATCATCGACAAGGAGTCGGATCGAATCTTGTTGGTAGCCATCAGGACGGCCGACGAAGGCACCGTGGATGTCGAAGATCAACGCATGATGCTCATCGACTAAACGAAGAGCCAGCGCTCCGAGATTTGGTTTTACCTCTTCTCTCAGGACATCAAGCTCCTTCCGTAACAGCTCAGACGCTTTCACAATAGGCTGCTCTTCCTCCTGATTCTCAACTTCAGCGGGCGGCAGCGTTGTCGTTATTGAATCTGGCACAGGCTCCTGCTGTACCGTTGGCGTGTCGACTGGAATTGTGTGGGCCTCTGTTGCCTCTGCTTGCGCCAGTACCTCTTCCTGTGCCGGTACCTCTTCCTGTGCCAGCACATCTTCCTGAGCAGGCACCACGCCCTGGACCGGCACCGGCACCTCTGGGGGAACTTCGTTGGTTTGTTCCTCGGCCGGGCCTGGTGGTGGTGCTTGGATCGCGGCAGCGAAACGGAACGGATTCGCCAGCAGCAACTCAGTGGCGGCGTTCACGTTGTTGTGGGTGCGCATCAGAGCGCGCTCGACTGATGCTCGCGGGAATCCCATATCGGTGAGCTGGCGGACACGATTCTCGTCCGGGAGAGCTGAGCGCAGAAATCCGGGCCCGCCAGGGATAGTTGGAGGGCCTGCTTCGTCGCCGTGACCTTCCTCGCTCTCGCCATTCACGATCTCGAGAGTCACCTGTACAACAGATCTGATCAATCCTTGCGGGGCCGACACTAGCCACGATGCCTCCCACAGGTCACGAGCCACAGGGAAGACAACCAATCTGAGCTGAACAAGGAAGTTGTGGACCTCAAAGTAATCAGGGTCTCCATCCTTCTTGTCCCGAGTGACGAGGATGATGGTCTGACTTGAGTCGAAGATGGGCTTTGGCGATACCAACGGGAGGAGGAGGTGTAAGGCCACCTTGATACCACCGAACGCGTGAACTAGTTCTTGTTGCGCGGTCTCCGAGCGATGTTCGGTGGGCGTCAGAGACACCTCGTGGACCGTACTCATGAATCGACGGACGTTCTCGATGACAGCATTGAGTCCTCCTTTGCGGAAAAACGCATCGAGTAAGACCGTGTGCAAGGTCTTTTGAGCGGTCCGTTCTGGGTACAAGGTGTTAATAAGAGACCGACGAGAGGATGTTCGAGAAATGAGTATACCATCTACTAACAGTGTCGTGACCAGCCCGAGCATGAAGGTATAGTAGGACGAAGAGGACAGTTTGTCGTCTGTGAACTCATGACTGAGTAAAGAAATATGGAACGTGAGAGTTGCACCTACCAAACTCGTTGAACTCGACGTGTTTCAACATCACCTCGGCGACAACCGCAGCCGACTCCACGATCTGATGCCTTTGCGGGGGGTCAGGAGTACGACGGGTCGAGAATAGCTTCACGACAGCTAAATGATAGTCGCGAAATGGTCCATTAAAAACATTCGTCGCCGAAAATGTGCGAGCAGCATACCTTGGAAGAATGGAGATAGAGCTGCTGGGATTTGGTTGGCGATATGTCTCAGCGCCTTCCCATTGTCTTCCCTTGCGCCATCAATTCCCGTTCCTTCTTGAGTAACCGCTGCATCGTCAGTCGATGCAGTCAGGCCTTGCTGTGCTCCATTTGTTGCCGTCGCAGCGTCGCCTTCAGGAAGGATCGTCGAAGTGCGGCTTGGAGAGCCGAGAAGCGGGGAAATGGAGAATGCGGACTTGAGTTCCGAAGATTTCGTAGGGAAGGCGCTCTTCAACAGAACGTTCTCCCAGATGCATACGCGATGCAGCGAGCCCAAATCAAGCATGATGTCAGGGGAGCCTCGACCCATTAGCGTCAACAATAATCCCGTTGACGAGCGCGCGTGAGAGTAACCTGCGGTCGCGTAGATGTCGGAGAGTAGAGTAACTCGAATGTGAAGGGTGACCAGCTTTCTGAACGTCGAATTTGCTGCGTCAGTTGACTCCGCTGGATCATTATCGAGATCAGTGTTGCTTCACTGCCGTAGTGTATTCCTTCATTGTACTCACCTGTGAGGTTGAGAAGTGACAGCAACTGCGACTCCTGCTTAACGCCGTTCCAAAACTCCTTAGTTTCACCCAAGGATACCTTCACCAACTTCGCCAAGAACGTTAAAGTGCCATGCCGGTCCGCATCCACCATTGTGCGTATGACCTGCACCAAAGAGTCTGAGGCCACACTATTAGCGAAATCATACGGTACACAGGGTAATTCCGTCAAGCGACCCAGGCGCTCTAAGCCGTCCGACCTCGACATGAAGTCTTTGCAATGCGGCGCATGCTGAAAAAGACCCTCCAAAAACTGTCACAATAAAAGTCAGTCAGATCGTCTCTTAGATGCATTTGAGAGCACGCACTCTGCAGTGCACGTCAATGTACGAGATGATGATGTTCTCGTGGGACTTCTCTACTACTTCTTCGCTATTCAAAGCATCGTTCGACGCAGATGCTTCGGCTGCCACAGCCGTGGTCAACGACTCACCCATCACTACGTCTCCATCGGCCGAAACCGCGGGCGGTGATGAAGGAACTAACGAGTACCACGACTTGATGCCGTCCGGCACGAGGTACGCATTTCCAAGCTCTTCAATTTTACTGAGCGTCGACTTGATGGCCTCAAATACGGCAGCCTTTAAGAACGGATGGTGTCGGATAAGCTCGTCGACGGCCGTCCCGATGAGTACCGCATTCTCTTTATCTTGCAGAACACGTTGATGCCTCTCGGATGTGAAGATGGAGAAAAGGCCCGGGATGATGGTGGGGCGAGCTTCCAACTGATCCTGACCCGCCTGGTTGAGGCATAGAGCGCCCAGTGCGTTCGGGATTGACTGGATGACCTCAATGACAGGCTCCAGTCCTGCTTCGACTGCTTTGTAAAAAGCCTCGGGGAGATTGGCTTCTTGGATGATCGATAATGACGTCGGCTCATTGTGGACAAAACACGCCATGATGTTGATCGCTTCACATCTTGTCAACAACAGGATCCACACGAGACAATGAAGAAGGCTTACCGAGAGGCAATACGCTTGGGCCGAAGAGACTGCGATGCTCGATTATCTTCTTGATCGACTTGAGTAGCGATGAGTCGATCAGGCCGCGCAAGCCTTCAGATGTACCGGAAGACTGCATCATACGGTGCGTCGATCGCAGGATATGCTTCAACGCAGCGGCACGAACAACGGGTAATTGGCCTAGACACGATGGCGATATGTAAATTGCAGCATTTTTGTAGTAGTTAAGAACGAACCATAAGACCTCGGGACCTCTTGCACTGGCTCCAAACCTCCAAACTCTGCGATATCGTAGTCGACCTCGTACTGAATCGTTGTTGGTAAGCTTCGAAAGATAGAATGATATATTAAAATCACCTCAATCCGATCGACAAGAACATCGACCCCACGATTGTTGCAGAACAGCTGGAACGCATTGGCGAAACTGTACAGCACATTATCTACAAGCTGCATAGCCTTCGATACAACAGGGAGCCTGTTTGCTAGTCTGTTCTCAAGGATCTGGATAAGCAATGGTACAAGCCCGGCTCCCACGACCATGTTGCCTCCCGCGGCATGGGACGCTAGGAATGTGACGAATGATAGGAGGGCGTCGACGAAAGATTGTGGGAGAGTAGATTCTGAGCTGGCGACGTCCGCCACTGTCTTGCGCAAGAGCGCCATTAGCGTCCCGTGATTGACGCCTGCATTGACGGCGGCCAACACGTCTTGCACTTTAGTTCTATACCGCGCCATCGCGTCTAGGGCTGCGACAGCGGCAGTCTGCACCGTGACGGGCACGCCGCTGTCCAGGGCCAAAAGCTCTGAGATATGAGAGATGAGGTCGGGCTCATACAAGAAAAGCGACGACAGCGCTTGGTGCTCGCTGTGAGTGTGTACAAAGATGGCATTCGCCAAAAGACGAATAATGACTAGCTTTTCCCGATCTTCGTCCCGACCGGGCAGAAGCACTTGCGCAGAGCGAATGCGGCACATGAGCTCAAATCTCTCTTCTTCGGGGACGTTGAACGCATCTGTAAGATCAGCGAGTACGTCCATGGTGGGCTTCGACTCCAATGTGTGGACATCGACGTGTAATTTGACGACTCCGGACGCATGGGTGGCACTCAGACCTGTCGATGCTGAAGTCGATCCCTTACGAGGTGTCTGTGGGACATCTGGGGCATCCACGTCCATCTCCCTCGATGCATCCCCATCCTTAGAAGGCGCGGACGTGTCTCTTTTGTAGAAGGTGAAATGCACTTCACGAGCTTCAGCAGGCAGAGCCTCGACGGACTCTTTACCTTTGGGAGCGACGAGGTCGACAAGGCTGACGCCATATTCACGGAGGTTTGGCCAGCGTTTGGCGAGTGATTGGAGGCGGGGGGTAGAGATGCTCAATGCCCGGGAGACGGCGGGTTGAGCGGAATATTGTTGAGCGGGACGCAGGAGGAGGTTGAGAGCGAGCACAACGACATCGAGATCAGACGAGGAGAGGAGACCATTGATGCGCTATGGAGTGGATACGTCACTCGCCACCCGATATGAATAGAGAGCAAAAGAACTCACGTCGTACGAACTGAATGTCTTTCTGTTTGTCGAATTCTCCAACAAAAGCCTCTCGAAGCGCAGGATCTCGCATACTGTCTTCTTGGTCGATGGCGTGAAGACGTTTACTTGAAGCTTGTCGACGTCGTAATCGCGGATGACATCTTCTAAGATGGCGTCGAACTTGTTGAGTACTTTAATCCATGCGTTCAGGTCGGATCTCGGCCAGGTCCACGCGTCGACCTTGCCCAATACTTCGTGCAAATCTTCATCTGGTGTGTTGGAAAGCTTGTTGATGAGCTCCGCGACCTGTGGAAGCTGCCAAAATATGTTAGCGCGCAAAGGCACCCTTCACAACGCAGACGTCATGCTTACGGGTGGGAGAGCTCGCTTTGTCCGCTGAAGGATCTTCATTTTCCACGACCGCGTCGTGAAAGGGAATGGTGAGCTCCGATCTTGTTGTTGTGGGATGGAGTTGCGTGGCGTGGAGGACGAGGGGAATGGGAGGGCAGGTCGGAAACACTGAGGCGAGGAAGCTGACGCAGATGAGAAAGCTGATCTGGTCGAGCAGTTCGCTCTCACGCCTCCATCTCCAGCCACAGACGCACCCGACGCGTCCCCCGACAACGCGCGACGCGCCCGCACTGCACTCGACGTTACTGCCTCACCCGGCTCTGTCATGGTCAAACGCAAGGAGCCCGCCTCACCACCAGGGGACGAAGGTCTCTCTACCACGAAGCCAAGATCAGTGAAGGTATGCGCGACGCGATGACCTCGAAGTGACTTTCAGACGTACCTACTGGAATAGAAACCAAAGATTCCGTCCAGCAAGAAAAAAGCCGTCGAAAAGGAAGGGTCTTCTGACGAAGAGCAAGAGCCGTTGGCAAAATCGAAGTCCAAGAGCGCAAAGAAGGCAAGACAATCGCCCTGTCAGTTTCACTACCCAACTCACCTCCTTCTCAATCACCACATCCAGGTGTCTCCTTCGAATGAGAAGGACGACGGCTCTGCAGAAGCTCCATCTATCCACAAAAATTACGAAGGCGACCAGTACATCGAGCTCGCGAAAAAGCGACGCGTCACCGTCCGGTCTTTCAAGGGTTTGATCTGCACGCACGTTCTGGTCACACTATGGAACTGAGAGCATTCCTCAAAGGTACAACATACGTCGATATTCGAGAATTCTACGGAGATGCAGGCGACGAGAAGCCCGGCAAAAAGGGTATCTCGCTGTCCGTTGAGCAGGTGCGTTCATGTCCTGTCCTAGCATTCTCGACGTGGAGGCAACGGCATAATATACTCACGCTGCACTGACTACCAGTGGCAGACTCTCGTTCAGAGTGCCTCAATCGTCGACGCGATGGTGAAGCGAGCCAAATAAGAAAAACCCTATCCCGGCAATCCTGAAATATCGAAGTTACCGCACTGTTCTGCCCTGTATTCTACTCAAGCTATGCTCGCGTGCTTTGATCTGTAAAATATATCTCTATCGTTCACGCGCAGGGGTCTGCTCGGTATTAAGTATCAACATTAAGCTAAACCTGCGGCTGCCAGATGCGCTCCTTCGAAACCCTTGCCCCACAACCCTCGAGCCCAGGCAGCAGTCTTGCGAGCATAAGCCTGGAGATCCATAAACGTCTCGACTATGATGAGCGATCTATACAGTTTTTCGTATTTCCTGCATCAAAACGTCATGAGAACCTCGTCGCTTAAAGGACGGTGAAAGAACTCACCACCAGCTGCTGAAATACTCTACCAATATGCCTGGCGAGAACAGCCCTCTTTCCCGCATGTCATCTATGAGCCGTTTTCTATCATCCTGCCAAACGGCACTAGCACAGTACTTAGCAGTAATGATGAAGACACGAATCTAAGAGTAGAAGATCAACGAGGCTCGCTGGACAAGCGCATACACTAGACACCGACTTTTGAATGTGTTGTTGCCAAGGCGTGATCAAGGCTCCTACGTTGTAGGTCAGTATGAGACATCGTCCTAAACGAACAAAACGATGCTCACCGCGTCAGATCATTGAGTTTGAATACCATAAGCACTCTTCTAGGCACTCTCCGCAGGACATTGAAAACGGAGAGCAAGAGTCCCTCACGCGTGATGACCGCATTCCGAATGGCTTCCATCTCCTCTTCTGTCTGCGGCATGAGCTCAAGCATGCTGGACGCGCGCCTGAAGAACGATTGCTTCTCCACCTCGTCAGGTTCGGCATCTGGACTATCAGCCATCGTCGCTCGACCTGCATTTCCAAGTAAACATGTATGAGATACAGAATGAATTTCATTAGATATTTCGTACCAGTAAGGGCCGCCTCAAAGACAGGATACTGAACAAATAAAAACGATAAAACCGATCAGCAGAGCAAATAACACCGTGAAAGTGCACGAACCAAATCGGGACCAATGTTTCCAACAAGCTCAGCATATTTACGTCTATCTGCAATTACATCTGGCGAAGATGGAGCGATCAACGAGAGCCATAATTTGCTGTAATTTATTCGAAGGGCAGTGTCCAGGTCGAAATAGAGTCCATGGTCGAGGAGGACGATTTCAAAGTTATAAGGAGATTTTGATATCGATGGCCTGGGACGTATGAGAAGGTTCCCTGAGAGATAGATAATCCATATCAAAGGCTCAGGTATGATCAGACAGGCGAAAGCATACCTGGATGTGGGTCCTACCGTGAAGAACTTAACGTGTCTATTGAAGCGAAAAAGCGAAGCTTGAACTCACTGCATGGAACCACCCATTCAGATACACCATCTGCGAGAATATTCTGGCCAATTCCAGGGACACTTTGTTCCTATCGATATTGTGTTTTGCCAGGTACGCGAGGTCGTCCACTCGAGCGCCCTCGATGAACTCCATGATCAAGACTCGCTTGGTCGCTGCGACGACTTCGGGAATATATAGCGAGGTGCGCATGTCTTTGAAGTCGCTGTCTGCACGTTGAGCATTTCGTGCTTCGTGAACGAAGTCCATTTCTTTTGGCAAGTTCTCGCGCATCTCTTCCCCAAGCCATGTAAATTCAAAGTCAGGGAACCAGCGCTTGATCCAACCTATATACGTTCGTTCCATTAAGAAACTCGTGTTGACAAGGGTCTGGTCCAGCTCACCCAATGTGACCTCGACCATCTCCATGTCTATCTCACAGAACTCAGCCAAATGAGGATGTTGCAGCTACGTGAAAGAGAGTTGGCATCAAGACCGTGCGAACGACCAACCAGGGAGTGCGCTTACCTTCACCGCAACAGTCTTTCCTGATTCACGATGATGTCCCAGATGCACTTGCGCGAGACTGGCGACCCCAATAGGCTCCGGATCGAACGAGTCAAACAGCTCATCCATGGGCTGGCCCATCTCAGACATAAATAGGTCTCCAACTGCTTCATATGGAGTCGGCACACATTGGTCTTGGAGCGGGCGCATCGTGCGCGTCCATTCCGGAGGTAAAACTACCCTGTGCGTCCATCAGAATATTCACGGTATGACCTGTGGGGAAATACGCACAAAGATGCCATGTGCTGCCCGAGCTTGATGAATACCCCTTTTCGCGCCTACTTTGAACATTCCTCAAAATGACAAAGTCCGGACACGACTCACCCCCATTCGCTAACAAGGCCTTTAGCACACGTCTTGCACTACGAAGATGGCATTGGGAGTACGCGTGTAACTGCTCCTTCTCCGACGCATAAGTTTGTGCAAATGTGTACTTGTAATCGACAGCGCCGGCGATCGCGGCCTCTATTGAGCAGCCAGCGACCTATTAAGCACTTCCTCGATTCAGACAGCGCCAAAATAGACATACCAGCGACCCTCGAACACCTCACAGCAGCCAACAATGCATGCCTAAAAGGTTGATAATTTTCATACGCTACCCAACTTGATCCCGAGATGAGCGCGAATGCACTGGTGTACGCCAACCATGGATTTCCATTAGATGATTGTCTAGCTTTACGCGGCTTGATGAAACGAGACGGCCAGCGACTGAGAAATCTGTTCGACAGGAAAGAGGAGGCAGGTAAAGAATGTCTAGACCGTAACAATCCACGGGACGAGCTTTGCATAGAGGCAAGAAGGATAGGTGGTCATAGACAAAGGAACGCGGATCGGCTACAGCCGAGCTCAGGAATGTCAGACCAAGAAGTCAGCGTGTATATTGTAGGGCCACTCAAGTTCTTCATTGCAACACGCCCCGGAGATATGCTATTGGATGAGAGACAACAAGGATATATGCACAGGTATAGAACGTAAAAAGACATAATCAGCAAAACTGAGCACTAGTACTTCATGAACACTGATGCAGCGTCGCCTACTCTATCTTGAAATTAGGCTGCGAAGGCTAGTACTTCCGCTGGCCGGTCGGCTCACAGACAGAGAGATACGATGTCCAGAAAGCGCATCCTCATTTTTGTGCACAGACTCGGCATATCTATGAGACTTTTAAAAGCCGATTCACAAGTGCATGATCAGGCCACTCACAGCAACTTGTATCGAACCAGCTCACCCTCGAGCTCTTCGTGTCGTAACCGCGCTGCAACAAGTTCATTCTGCTAACTCGGTCAGCATGACATCTATATTCCTCTTCGTAACTGAAAACTCACGAGAAGATCAACATGCTCTTGATTCAGTTGAGCGAGGCTGGTTTCCAATGTGTTACTATTCCGACAGTGAAAAGGTTTTAGCCTGATTAAATGGACGGGACGATGAAAAGTGTACGCACACTTGCAAAGACAAATTGCGATTGCTGGTGCGCAAGGCCTCCATCTCTAGTATGTGGGCCTCTCTTACCCGAATCATCTCGTTGTATTCATGGGTGTACGAGTCAAGCATGAAAGACGTGATCTTGGTGGACATTGCATCTTGCACGAAATCATCTACTCTGTATGTCGGCTTCAAGTCACTGCCTTCGGGAGACGGCTCCTGGAAGGAATTTGAGAGCGGTGCTATTATGCAGACAAAACTCAACACGTACGAGGTATGTGTCCACGATTTGGGTGTTCAGGAACGCGACAATCTGGTCAAACTTGAGCTCCAGCAGTTTATCTTCGTTCTTTTGCAGCAGAGCTAGACTGAAGCCAAATATTGATTCAATGCCACTAGCCAAGACATTGTCAAATATTCGGTTCACAATCTCATGAGGAAATCTGTGATCAAAGGATTGGTGTCAAGACTGATACAAAACGATGACGACCCACCGATAGCTAAAGAGCGTCAAGAACCACTGAGAGCAGAACATGCTTGACTTGACGCCTTGACGTAAAAAATGGATGTGGAGAACAGGGAGCATCTCCTCTATAAGTCGATCGAACTACGCATATGATTAGGCTTTAAACTTGTAGGTTAAGTCACAGATGCTACCTGAAACTATATGAGAAACGTAAGCGTAATTGAGATACACTCAAACGTGTATGCTCACTAAATGCAGTTGTAGCTTAGGCATCTCAGGTAGGAAGTGGCCTCGAAGGTCGTACGAGTGCATCAGCCTGACAAGTAAGCAGAAGGCCTCCTCATCCGGCATCTAAGGACAAGAGAATGTCAGCGACTTGCAGCACATTGATTAATCAACAGTCTTACGTTAAGAAGGAGGACAGCGACGATAAAGGGAAGCCCCTGGCAATAGCCTACTTGGGGATCATATCTTTTTGAGCACGTCAAGAAACGCATGCGATAAGACAGGGGAAAAGAAACGTACATTGAATACGCCTTCAGTACGTTGAAGAGGTTTTCTTGACCAATGCCCTGATTGTCCGTGAAGAATGTATGATGAGGGAAAGTTCTGAGCTGTGTCAATATAGAGAACGCTTAAACAAGTACCGTATTCACCTGCCAAGGTCGCGTGTAATTGCCTTCTCATGAGGACTGCTCTCCTTGAGAAGCTTGATATATGTGTTTTCCAATTCTACGTCCTTGGAAGTTGACCTAAATGATCAATAAGGATGATGAAGCGCCGAAAGCCTAAATTAGTAGCTACATTAGCTGCCACATCATACCGCGAAGACTGTCGGGTACGCCTTTCTCGATCGCACGCGCAAGCCTGTCTCCGTGTTCCGACGCAAACGTCTGGTAATCTGAAAAGCTTGATCTAGAGAAATCTCTTTATAATTCGAACGCACTCACCAGACACTACCGAGCCCCAAAACTCTTTTCATTCATAGCAAGTCAAGTCAACCGAGCCACTCATATTATCGCAATGAGAGACTCACCCCAGTCTATACCGCCCGTTCCTCCATTGTCCTCCTGAGAATCGCCGCCATGAGAGCGATTGTACTCGTCTTGTAGTGTCAGCTTTCCATCAACGCTCCTTCTCTGTGACCCTCCATCGTGATTTCTTGACAAGTCCATCTTCTGAAATAGGTATGAATTTCGATTCGCTGACCCTGAGGACACCGACTTCTTGTGCTGCATGAAACTCGCCCGCCGCGGACTGGACTGAGGAGTCTCGCCAATAGCTATAGTGCTCCTTCGACCGTCCTCTCCGAACCTGTGTGGTGGTGTTTCCTCTATGGGCGACTTGATGGCTGTCATGCTATCTCGTGCATTGAGCGATACCGTGGAAAAGCGAGAGTCGTCGAGGCGGACTTCGCCAAACTCGGATTCCACAACTGAATCTCGCACAAAAGCGTCCTTTTGAGGTTGTGGAGTTCCTGTCGGGGACAACAGTTCGTCAAGTGCCTGCAATGCTTGCACCTGCACTTCCTGCTCGGGTGCAGCTTCGGTACGGGCAGAATTCCCGCCATTGGAGGAAGTCATGGTGAGTTGAGACTGTGGCCAACTTGAAGCTCAAGCCCAAATGAGATGTAACAGAATTGTAGTGAACAAAAGCTTGAGGGGAATATGAGGAACGATGTAGAGCCGTTGTGTCAGGTCTGACGCGGACGGCTATGGCTAAGACCAGGCACCGCTTTGTTTATTTCTAAGGCTCTTGCCAAACAACCGATCGAAGTCCGCCACTACGCTTTCCTGTTTTAGATCAGCGAATCACGACAAATTGCAGAGTTCAGCAGTAGTTCAGCCACGTTCAGCCAGCGTTCAGCACTCGTTCAGCCTCGCTCAGATTGACATTGATCAATTTTTCAGCAAAGCCAATTCGACAACGTAAAGACCAAGGTAATACAAGATACATGTGAAAGAATACAATTTCACTAGGATGCGTCCAATGACGGAATCTTCAAATTTCAAGATACATTTAAGAAGGAGGGCTATAGAAAAAAAATTGTTAGACATATACGCTCCATAAGTTAGTAAAATAAAACTTACACTGGGGCAACCGAGGTAACTGGGCCAGGATCGGTGCCGAGAGTTGGGAAAGGAGTAGTGGCACACTGAAGTTATCTGTCAGCCAGACAATTACATTGAGAATTCAAACGACGTACCGCTTGTTCTACATCGTTGGAGTTGATCCCAGCTGGGAAGGTGGCAACGTTGGCGAAGGGCGGAGGCGTAGGGATCAGCTCCGAGCAGTCAATCATGTCAGCCGTGTTGTGACCGAGGACAGCCAACTTTGCCATCGCCGCAGCAAAAGAGTTGGCCATGTGAGTCTGCTGGTCTGTAGAATGTTGTCACTTCTAGCTAACGGGATAGTACACAATATATACTCACTGACATTGGCTTGCCATAGGCAAGCGGTGCGAGAGTCTAGGTTGGATGGTACGTAAGCCAGCGAAAATCCTTTGAGGTGATCTCACGACAGACCTCTAGCCAGCTCTGAATCGGACTGCAGCCGAATCTCGCCCGCCAAAGGCGACTCTACCTCGCCCTGGTTCCCACCCGTTCTATGCCAGACCAAAACATTAGCCGCGCAGTAATTTCTTAGATCAAGATGGTCGTACCCTGGGAAGAGTGTTCCACGAAGCTGGGTCTCAACAAAGAATTGAGTGTCGAACGTGGACGGAGTCGAGTCGAATGGCGTTCCAGGGATGGTTGGGTCAACGTGATCGGCCGCGGCGATCGTGTGGCTTCATCATGAATGAGCAAATAAGTTAGGCCAAAGTATTTATCGCTTACGAGGCAAGGAGGGCGACAACTTCAGCTGTGGTGAAGCCAGCGTCACTGAAACGGGCGAGAATGCTGTCGACGGTATCTGCAAATGGAACCGTGTCAGGGATTGGGGAAAAACAAAGCGTTGAGACCAACCAAAAGGCTCTGGGACAGTCAGATCGGCGGCCGGAGCTATCGCTGTGGGACGACCAAAAAAGAATTCCAGCCGAGGAGCACCAGGGCAGTTACTAACACCAATAGCGCCTGCAAATTGGATGCTATAGAAATGTTTCAGTGAGTCTAGGACATCAAAGCTGCATATACACGGTGCTCACAAATCTCCGGCGGTCATATTGTGCGCAGCAACGAACGGTCTTTGTTCCTCAACAATTTCATCGATGCCGTTGTTGGCATGGAAGTTGGTCTCGATGTCGGAGAATGTTGATATCGAGCCGTCGGCACCACCACTATCACGACGATATGATAGGTGAGGTTTTTCTTCAGGAGAAAAACTTGCACTAACCCAACATTCTTTGTAGTCGAGAAACCGATCGCGTCGTGGAAGGTCAGGCGGAGGGATTCGTGCACCTCCTCACCGCATTCGCCACCATCAAACAGGTTTGTCTGGATGTCGTCACGGACAGCAAACAACGCGCAGCATGCCGCGTTTGTAGCGGTGTTGATACCATCGGGACAAGCAACACGCCTAGTGATGGCAGCTGTCGTAAAATTCGGTCAGCGCGATTCAAGTATCGCGTCAATCTCTGTACCCACCATTTGCAACAGCGATGAGAGCAAGGAAGCAGGCTAGTGTCTGGAAAGCCATGACAGAGGACTCAAGGTCTGGTTCGAGGTAAGATCTAGGATATCCTGACCTCTCTTCCTAGATGTCTCGCCGTTTATATAGTAACAAAAAAAACCGATTCTCATTTTTGAGACGGACCTGGGAAGCATGTCCATGCGTTGCAAGGTCCAATTAGACGGTAGGACACTGGGGTATAGTACACACCAGTCATAGCGCTTTCCACGATAGCAGGGTGCCTAAAATGGACAGAAGCATCATTCGCCAATGAGAGGAGGGACATTTCTTCTGGAGATCCATAAACTATATACGAACCAGCGCAAATTTGCGCACCATTGGACTCCAATGACACAGTACCCGTTGTAGCGACATAGCCCACGATATCGGACCTGTTATTTATTTAGATACAGGGTAAAGGAGGATTTTGATGGCATACCGTACTTGGTGTAAAACCGAAACCGTCATCACTTGAGGAGCTGTGAACTCAAGTATGCGTCTGAGGCACCGCGTTGCGCGGCACACTGAGGCATAATTGCGTCAATTTGATGTGTTTGGCGTCTCCAGCTACAACAATATAAATATTACTGTTAAAACGAAGATGAAGTACGTACCTCAATCATTTGGTCAAGCAGAACCCATGGCGATATGACTGTGAGAGGGAGTCGAAAGGTGCTCTCACGCCTCGATTCGGCGTCTTCTGACTTTCCCACCGCTTCCACCACCAGGGCCCTGTACAAGAGCGATAGTCAGATTTCCTATCACCTTTCATCCCAATCTAGAGTTTGTTCAATCAGTGTTGTATATGTCATTGCTCTAACGAGCACTGATTTCCGATTTGTCGCTTTTGCCAGCTTTCCGCAACTCAGAGTGGCCCGTTCAAGCTGGATGCTTTGCTAGCCCGTAATGATACAGACAAATACATGCCAAGAGCTCTAGTCTATTTGTGACCCAGGGAGCTCCTGGGAGCTCTCAGAGATGTTGAAAAGTACTGGATGGGCCGGATCTCAACCCGGCTCCTGGTATTGGTTACCTTCGCTCTGGGCTTTGCCCACCGTGTTGTCTCCTGACGAATACACCCTACTGACCTCTGGAGGTTTCTTATGAGCAGAATCTTTTATTTCGGTTTGAAAATCTCTCCACTATCATCATAGACCATGACCACGGTACATCCGCGCAAAAATCTATTGGTAAGTCAATGTTTTTTCTCCTCTGTGAACAAGTTTTTGCCGTTCTTGTAGACCTATAATACATTCTTTTACGGGTCTTTCTTCGAGCTTTCCCGACGTGGGATGTTGGACCCAAAGGTACCTGGTGCGAGTCTTGGGTATCTGTTCTGCCATCAAAATTCTCATGACCCGGGCTAGTAGAAGCACTTTCGTCCTAAAGCATGGTACCTCCATGAAGAAGAAATACCGGTCATGGGGAAACCTTCGTTCTACGCACTCCTCCCGTGTGTCATTTTTTGCCTGAATGGTCGAGGATCATCGAAGCATATGCACCTCGCAGAACAAATTCTCGCCACTCGATGTCTTTTGGCGAGTATTTGGTCGGTTGTGCACACATGGGTGAGAGATTCGGTCTTACAATCGAGACCCTCTTTTCCTTTTATTCTCACACGGACAGGAGACTCCTGCTATCTCGCTCGAAAGTGGCCAGCTTTCTGTGAACTCCAGCGTGCTTCCAGTCCAGCAATCACGATGACCACTGTACTACTTCACCCTGCTATGTGATTGCCTACGAGCCTTCCCATACGATAGCGCCTAATCATCCCGCAGAGAATCAAGTCTTATCAACGAATCATACGAGAGGAAAAGCAGCAGCATAAAGGAGGATAACAGTATGTGCTCGAGAGGTCCCACAAACGAGCCTGTTAAAGTGGTCTTTGCGAACCTCGGCGAGCATTGTGGTGAGTGTGCTTTAATACCGCTATTCCTATCACACATATAGGTTGTCGACATAAACAATCTTCCGCTTTCATGCTGCTTGTCGTCTCGCGAATCAGACGGTCGCGTAGAATCTGCATTTCCTGATAACTGACTATTGAAACGAAGACGTACGTTTGCCCTCTGCACTCGTTATAAACTCGTCAAAACCCTCTCAATTCGATCCTGCTTTTGAGGGATCGCCTTTGCTATTGCAGTTTCGCGGATCCCTGACCGCATAATGATGAAGCCTTTGGGTCGTTCAAATTTTATAACACCAGAAAGCACTTTCTTCCTACCCATAAATTATATGCTTGGGGCTAAGGAGTCGTTTTGTTCCATCACACTGCCTGAGTACTTGAGACGCTGATCATTTGAAATTACGCGTCTGTGGCTGAGCTGCTGGGGGCACAACCGGCAAACACCGAACTTCGGAGGCCGCCAGCGCCTCCGAATCCTCTATTGTCTTAATCGACCAGCCTAGATTCAGTTCCTTTAGCTTATAACAAAACAACGGTGTCATGTTTTCAGCACTTTCTTACTCACAACCATGTCATATCCACCATATTTCTACGGGATATATCTTTTCAGCGTGTCTTTCGTGTTATACAAAGCCTATCAATTGTTTAGCCGAAATCCTCTACACGAACTAGATGGCCCGCCGTTGACAAGGATATTGGGAGGACATATGTCTCTAGTGTTAGAGTGAGTGATAGATGCACGGTATGAAACGGTGAGCTCTGAATGAGACTGTAGTCCAGGTCGATCGCCGCTCGCGCATGAGCGTTTCGTGAAAGAGTACGGCCGGAATGTCCGTATCCAAGGCATCCATCCTGTTCGTCGCTGCGACTATGTTCCTTCTTATTCCAAGCTTGCTGACATATCTTTCGCTGAACCCATAGTGGGATGTGCGCCTCCTGCCCATGGACCCCGTCTCCGTTGCACATGTCCTGAAGAACTCGACCGTGTACGAAAAGCCATGGCAGTCCCGCCGTCTCATCACGGGCCTCATTGGCTGTGGGCTTCTCGCTGCAGAAGGGCAAATGCACAAGCGTCAGCGCCGTGTCGTGACTCCTGCTTTCTCAATTCAAAACATGCGCGCGTTGGTGCCGCTGGTGTTCTGCAAGGGAGAAGAACTACGGGATAAGTGGATGGAGATGATTGAAGCGCAAAATAAGGCGCAGAAAGAGGACGTAAATGGAACGTCTATGGTGCTCGATGTGTCCCATTGGATTAGCAGGGCAACATTTGATGTGATCGGTCTAGCGGGTGAGCTTCTTCCCTTTGTTTGTTGTATATGCCAAATTGAATACGTACCTTTTCAGGATTTGACTATCAATTCAACGCGATACAAAATGAATCGAACGAGCTCTTCTGTGCGTACAAGGATATGTTCGAGGTAGCAATCTCCCAAGGTCAGAGCATAAAGTCTATCGCGAGCATTTACCTTCCTATCATCAGCCGCATCCTTGTGAGTTAAATACTTTCACCCCATATCAGAGCCTTTTGGACAACGTTTTGCTTCTTCAGCCTGACAAGCAGTTTCTTGCCGTCCGCCAAGGCCAAGAGACCATTCAGCGTGTGGCAAGTCAGCTGGTACAAGAAAAAAAGCGCAAGATCCTGAAAGGGGAGCAAACTGGAAAGTCTTACGAGGGCAAGGATCTTCTCACTCTTCTCCGTAAGCATCAAACTACCGAAGATGAGGTTAAAAATAGAGATCGGACATTCACATCTCTGCCCAGTCAAATCGAACGTTGCGACAGACTTGCCTGAAGAACAACGCATCTCTGACGATGACATCCTGCACAACATCAACACTTTCATGTTCGCGGGGTCAGACACGACATCTCTTGCTCTCACCTGGACGCTCGTTCTTCTTGCTAAGTTCCCTGACTGGCAAATCCGGTTGCGTAATGAACTGCTCTCCATCCGCCCGTCCACTCCGCATGCTACCCTCTGCGCTGATGAAGTAGAGTCCCTCTACACCGTGCTCTCTGCGCTCCCATTGCTGCACAACGTCTGCCGCGAGTCATTGAGACTGATCCCTCCTGTGCACTCCTCGCTCCGAGTCGCGACGCGGGATGACGTCGTGCCGGTGTCAGCACCATTCACCAGCAAGGACGGGATCCTGCGGGACAGCATACTGGTACCGAATGGGACGTTCGTCCACATCCCGGTCGAAGCCATGAACTTGGACAAGGAGATCTGGGGGCCAGATGCATGGCAGTTCAAGTGAGTCTCGCGTGTGCGTCTTATATTCGGCGCGGAGAGGCTAAAGTTGGCGCAGTCCTGACCGCTGGGATAGCTTGCCCGATGCTGCCGCTGCGCTTCCCGGGTTGTTCTCCAACACATTAACATTTTCTGCGGGTCCACGGGTGCGTCTTCGTTCAGAACGTCCCGTGGTGTCGGAAACTGACGCACGCGCCGGGTCTCTGTAGTCGTGTATTGGGCAACGGTTCTCGATGATCGAGATGAAAACCTTCCTGTACATCTTGCTCACCGACTTCGCCTTCTCGGAGAGCGGGGAAAAGGTCGTGAAAGCGAATGTGTGAGTCGTACATGGCCTGCCTGTGCCGACCCGCTTCCTGACAGCTTTTTTACATACGTAGCGTGTTGACGAGACCGTACATCTCTGGGCGATTTAAGGACGGCAGCCAGTGCCCTTTGGTCGTCCGACCCTATGTCGCGGCATGAGAGATCTGCGAGTGTGGAGAGTTGTGAGATGAGTATTTATAGCGTTCGTTCGTGCTCTATTTCCGGGTCTCGTCCTTTTTATATACTGCGTGTATTTCTAGTGTGATGTTGTACTTCCTCGTAAATTGTGCCTATGCCATGGCAGATAACATGATTAGATGACGGATCGTGACTCAGCCTTATCTCTCCCCGCACAGCGCACATGGACCGGGCTTATATAGGCCACGGCTGCCAACATGGCACCAACGCTTGCTGGCAGACGCCGCACCCCCATCTCTCTCCCAAACAACTCTCTCTTGACCGCCATCGACAGACACAATGGGCTCCGCACCGTCAAAGCCAGCGCAGACAGCCCCAGCTGAATACGACGAGAAGCGCCTCGCACGTTCCACCTCTGTAGTGACGCACATGTCTGCCCTTGGCCCCCGCGCTCCCCTCTCTGCCAACGGTTCGCTTGCGCTCTCCAGCGTCGCCGCCTGGGAGGCAGATGCGTCCGCTGATGCCAAGACGCGGCTCGCGCGCACGATCCTCGCGCACGCCGACATCCGCTCGGCGCTCATCCGGCGGGACGCGGTCATCCAGGACTCGCACGTCTTCAACACCGAGCTCGAGTTCAAGACGAACCCGGTCACGAACCAGAAGAGCAGCGGCCGGTGCTGGCTATTCGCCACGACCAACGTGCTGCGATACCAGGTGATGCAGAAACTCGATCTGAAGGACTTCCAGCTCTCACAGGTGCGTCCTCGCTTTCTTATGGGGCAGGTTAAGGGTGCTTATGACGCAAGCCGATTATCCCCATTCTCGGATTGTAGAACTACCTGTTCTTCTGGGACAAGCTGAACAAGTCCAATTATTACCTCGAGCTGTCGATCGAGCATGCTGATATTCCTCTTGACGACCGTCTCGTGAGCCATCTGTCTGGCGATATTATCAGCGATGGCGGTCAATGGGACATGGCTGTCAATCTCCTGGAGGTATATATGCTTTCCCTTATCGTATCCTGCTCTGACGTCACACTCACGCTGGTAATCAGACCTACGGCATGGTCCCACAGCCAGTCTACCCAGAATCCACGCACTCTTCCCTCTCCTCGCCCTTGAACTCCCTCCTCAAGACCAAGCTGCGCGAGCACTCCCTCATCCTCCGCAGACTCTCCAGCTCCCTCCGTGCTTCCGGCTCCCTTTCGGATGCGGAGGTCTTGGCCACGCTTCGGTCGAAGAAGGAAGAGCTGCTGAAGGAGGTGTACAGCGTGATGAGTGCCACGCTCGGCGTGCCGCCTCAGCCCGACGAAAAGTTCGTGTGGGACTACTACGACAAGAACGGCAAGCCGGGCAGCTGGAAGGGCACAGCAAGGGAATTCTACAAGGTGCTTTTCTATTATCGTCGCTTCGGGCCGGGCGCTCACACGACAGAGGACAGGCATTTGCGAGCAAGCAATTCCCCGTACGTGGACGTCTCGCGATTATTCGCGCTAAGCTGACAAGCGGACTATTAGGTGTCCGAGTCGTTCTCTCTGATCAACGATCCTCGGAATGCGTACTCCACGCTCTACACCGTCGACAAGCTCGGAAACCTCTGGGGAGGGCGCCCAGTGCTCTGTAAGCACTCAGTTGTTCCTTATTGCGTCAGTCTCGACCCCGCGACTAATGCAGGGTCGTAATAGACGTCAACACAGAGATCGAGAACCTCAAGGGCGCGGTCGTGAAGGTGCTTCCTGTCCCTTTTTCTTTTAGCCACACGCGGGTCTGGATTTCGATGTCAGGTCTAACCACTTTATTTATTTATGCAGATGATCAAGGCTGGGCACCCCGTTTTCTTTGGGTGCGATGTTGGCAAGTTCTCCGAGAGCCAGTCGGGAATCATGGACACCGACCTGTATGACTACGAGGTACGGTTGCTGCTTCTTTGATGCGGCTCCATGCCAAATTCTAACGGCTTCGGACGTCTGCGATGCATGCGCCTATTGCACATAGAACGCGTTCGATATCTCGCTCTCGCTCACAAAGGCGGAACGGCTGCAGACGAACGAGTCGTCGATGACGCACGCCATGGTGATCTCCGGTGTGCACCTCGACTCCCAGACCGGCAAGCCCGTGCGCTACAAGGTGGAGAACTCGTGGGGCGAGGCGAGCGGCGACAAGGGATACTTCATGATGACGGACCGCTGGTTCGAGCAGTGAGTACTCTGTTCATTTACTCCGTTCACCGCTTCCCGCGGTTGCCTCGATACTGCCCCGACAAATGGGGCCTTTCCCGCCCGAATTTGCACGCGAGCTGTTCGACCGGCTCTGGATGTCTCCGAGGTTTTCTGCGCGCTTCGCTCTGACTCGCTTATTTGCACGGTGTATGGAGTTCGAAGCGCTTTGTATCTGACGACTTGCCCGTTTGACAGGTTCGTGTACCAGGTGGTGGTTCCCAAGGCATTGGCGCCGAAGGACCTCGTCAAGGTGTTCGAGGGAGGGGAGAAGACGGTGCTCCCTGCTTGGGATCCTATGGTGCGTTCGACGCTCTCACGAGCTTCGCACTGCCTCCAGCTAACACTCCCGAATCAGGGTTCTCTTGCGTGAGTCTTTCTCGCCGGCGGTTGATTGAGCGGCTTGGTTTGCGTAGGTACTTTGGGAATGTTGTGGGAATGTTGTAATTGTATCTGTAAGTCCCCATGACAATTGCTATACCACGCTGTACTTTTTTTAGCTCCTTGGAAGAGCTGCGATTGAGTATAGTGTGGATGACGAACGAAAATCTGATGCATGGTCGATCTTGATTTTGCACCCCATCCATACGACGAGTGGTCGGCGCTGGGGATAAGCCGAAAGCCTTGGCCCCGATAAGGCAAGCTCTTCCCGCTGCAGAACGCCTCTGCCTGGCTACTGCCTGGCTCTGCGCGTTTGCGAGGTATGGAACAGCCGGATCGAGAGTAACCTAGAGGGACTGTGAAGGCTAAATGTGCGGGCTTGGGCCTATCAACGCCGTATGAGCTCTGTGATGCGCATTCCCGAGAAAACATATGCCGCACGTGTCGCCCGTTTCGCCTACTATGGCGACGAAGGTGGCGGCCAGCTGTCCTCCCCGGCTTCCACATTGAAACACCCTCAGAGGCTGGAACGCTACTTATTAGTCCCGGAACTCACGAACACGAACACAAACACCAGCCGTCCGTGACAATGTCGCTGTCGGCCACAGACCCATTCACAGCACAGCACAAGTCTTTTGGGCGAAGAAGCCCCCCAATACATAGAAATCAGACTGAACAGTGCCGTACACATGCGCTGCCGTATGTAGGGTCCCATTCCCTTGATAAGCTCGTTTCGCATATACTTTCTTTGCGCGCAGCGACAAAGGCGTAACCGTCTCGAACACTCTGATCATGCATTTGAATTAGCCCCTCATTCTCGAATCTCGGCGTCCTCCGCTTAAACTCGTCCCTCCTTCTACTGCGATCTTCTTTATTCGCCTTTCCCCCCTCCCCTCTGCCCCCCATCCTTTCCATACCACTACCATTACCACTGGACGTCGCGCTAGGCGTGTCCTTGGTCAAGGACGCTCTCCGCCAGGCCGCCTCTGCACTTGTCAGCGAACACCATGTCGCCCGGATGGTCAGAGCGGGACCCGCGCGTGTCACTCTACTCCACGATGTATGTTCACTCGTACTCGCTCGCTGCTATGCTGAACGCTCGCGGTGGTGGGCAGGTCGCATTCCGGGAGTGCTGAGAACCTTTTGGCGAACCTACGCGGGTTTGAGCGCTTTGCGGAGCAGAAAGCGCCGTCTCCGTTCGACTACGAGCACCGACCTCTCGAGGACGAAGAGGAGGTCCTCCGCGCCGGAGTCGACGCGTTCATCTCCGCGCCGTCGCCGTCGGGCAAGGGGAAGGAGCGCATGTTTGTGGATACTTCGCGGACATCGCGGACGTGCGTCCATTCCGCGCCGCAGCATTCCACGACGATACTGACGCCAGAAACGCTCACGCGCCTGACTTTTCTCCAACCATTGCTCTGCGTCGCGTCGTTCCGCGCTCCGTAGCGCGTATTCAGACTATGACCGGCATGGGCTTTCCCGCGCCTCGTCACCTGCCTCTCCTTCTCTGACGCACAGCAGGTGCGTACCTTGTTCTGCCCCTCGCAGTGGGCGCGACCGCCTTGTCTGAACCGACCACGCAGCACGTCACCGCTGAGCTCGCCGTCGCCGTCGACCCCCCACCACTATTCGACGTCGTCGAACTCGTCGACCGGATTGGGCCCCCCGAGCGATCATCGGACGCGCTCGACAGGAGCTGCTTACGTAGGCAAGATGGCAGCTCACGCTCGTTCGGGGTCGGCTTCTAGCGCGGGCTCGCATGTGCTCCAGCGCGGGAACCGCAGCCTCGCCGCGTCCACGTCCCAGCCCTCCAAACAAGCGCCGCCCACGCACACGCACCTCGCACCTTCCCTGTCCAGGCGTCAATCCCACCTCCAGCTCTCGTTTCAGCCACTCGCCATCACCGTCGACCCCGATGTCGACGATCGCAAGCTGCCATCACAGCCCCGCACCGCGCACCCCATGTCGTCCGCGGAGCTCGCCTCCTACCGTGCTTTTTTGGCCAAACGAGCCGAGGACTGTGCGAAGGATCGCATCGCGTTCGCCTCGATCGACCAATTGCATCCTAACGTGAATCCTCGTCCGCGTGTCAAAGCCGACCATGCCTTCCTCGACGACGCAGACAGCGACTTCTCATGGGAGGCTGCTTCCTTCATGTCTGCTCCCTCGAACCAGAATGGCAGTGCAGTGCAGGGAACGGCAGTCGAAGTTCCGCAGCATGCGCGATCTAACCTCTCCACGCACATTCAGTATGCAGATGCAGCTTCTCACGAGGACTCCGGTCGTGCTGCGGACGAGGACACGGTCTATGCACTGCAGTCGCTTCGCTCCAACATCCGGTCTCACCTCTCGCGCGATCGGCATCTCTCGGACACCCCAACCAGCACGGACAGCTTCATCGACCTGTACGAGTCCATACCCACGACGAGACCCACTCTCACACCTATCGATACCCTCGGCACCAAACCAGCACCGCATCGGTCGGACAACACGCTGTCCGTGTTCGAAGACGAGCAGGCCCTGCGCGACTTTCTCCCTGACTTTCTCGACCTGGGGCCGGATGGCGATGCTGTTTCGATGTACGGCGACCGGGAGAGTGCCCATGGCCTCAGCCTGCCTGCGTCTATACCGGAAGATATGCCGAGCCCCTCTCACCCAAGAATGCCCTCCGATTCGGGCACGGACAGTTCGTACTTCGACTTCGGTGACGAGGACAGCGCCGACCCCATCCTCGCGCCGACCCCTGTCCCTGGCACCCGCCCTCGCAAGGTGCACAGCACGCCTGAGCTCGCGAAGCGCAATGGCTCCGGCTCGTTCCTGCGCCCCTCGCTGATGACGACGTCACATTCCCTCGGGTCGTCTAACGCTGTCTCGCACCTGGACATGTCCCAGGACCGTTCTTTCGCTCCCTCAGCGGGACGCGATGCATCCGCAGTCGACGACCATTCTCTGAAGATGTCATACGCACTCGCGCGCTCCCCTCTCGAGCGTCTGCAACACGTGTTCCAGATGCAGCAGGACGAAGGCCCGAGCTCTTCTACCACCAGCCTCGCGTCTGCGCACGACCGCCCGCCCGGAGCTCACCGAATTCGACTGAGGAGTGAAACGCTCGATGAAGGCAGGAGCTTTCGGACCAACGCACTTGGCTCGTACGGCGGTCCCGCCCATCCGCACTCGTCTGCAGGCGGCGTCCCCGCTCGTGGCCACAGGCCTTCTCAAACCCTCGACGGCGGCGCGCTCCCGCCCCGTGATTCTAAACCGAGCTCCTCGGCGACTCGGGATTTCTCGCTCCCTTCGCGCGTGAAGCCTCCTTTTCCATTCGAAGAGAACGGCTCGTCTTCCTCTCACAGCGGGCTGAGCCGCTCGCACTCTACCCAGTGGTACGATTCCCCGCCAACGAGGGGCGTTCGCGTCGAGCGGACATCACCTTCGCGCCCCACCCTCTACTTCTTGAACCAAGTGGACGCCCCTGTTCCTGGTTCAAGGCCCTTTGAGCTCTTCGACAACGGCGCATTCGAGTCACCTCGCAAGGCGCCGACGCCGGGGCCCAGCAGATACGTCCCGGAGCCGTCCACCCCGCGCCGGCTCGCGCTCCAGAAGTCGCTGCCCAGCCTGCTCGGCGCGAGCACATCGTCGCGGGCGGCGTCGGCGGCAGCAGCAACGGAGAAGCACAGGGACGCCCTCAGGGCGGAAGAGCAGCCGCCGGCGCGTCCTGTCGCGTACGCGCGGAGCAGGCCGCGCCCGCCTTCGCCCGAGATGGCGTACGGCTTTGCCCTGAGCCCGGCCGCGGGCTTCAGCGTGGCGCAGCTCATGGGCGCGCGCAAGGCGAAGCCGCGCTCGCTCGCGCGCAGCGCGTCGACCAAGGGCTCCGTGTCGAGCGTCGAGTCGCACCTCTCGCCGCCCCACTCCGCCAACGCGTCGGAACAGAGCTTCAAGTCGTTCTTCACCGACGTGCCGGAGAAGAAGCCGCAGAAGAAGAGGCTGTTTGGGATGATGAAAAAGAAGAGCGTCGAGTGGAGTTGATCTCCTCGGTGTGTCGGTGTGTCGGTGTATCGGTGTATCGGTGTCGGGAAGGAGGGGTCGTCGATCGGCCCGATCCCACGCCGGCACTTGTCCCTTCGCGTCTGCTGTCTCTCTCCGCCTGTTTCTCTGCCCTTCGCGTCTCTTGTTCCCCTTTGTTTCCTTCCTCGATAGGGATCGTCATGCGACTGTACGCTCGAACTCTTCACAATCTAACTGCTTTCCGACCTAACTCGCTCGCTCGGTCGGTCGCCTGCTCTGCTCCACACAGACTATCATCATCGCTCATTTATTTCCATCTCGTGCTTTTCCGGGACGCTTGCGTATTAGTATATACTCGGACTTCTTCACAGCACGTATTGACTTTTAACTCCCTGCATTTGTTAATCGTGTAGTACACACTGTCGTTAATTTCGCATACCATCCTTCGCTACCCTTAGAATGCTAGCGCCGTTCTTCTTTATCTCCTGGATGCGAGAGGGAGAGGGGTGCTAACAGACACTAGCATCTCATCTGCTCTCAAAAATCGTGTGATAGGCACCAGTGCATGCGGGCCTCATCGACAGGATCCAGCAGGATCCCGCCGATCTCTCTTAGGCTTCGGAGGGAAGGTTGATGCTCTTTCCGTTTGCCTTGGTGACTCCTCGTTGCCTATCGATACAACAATGTAAATTGACATGCAGATAGCCCTGTGGGCGCATACACCATACTTCACATCTCAGTACGGCTTCGAACAGTGCCTCTTACCGACTTTAAGGAATCCGGATAGGACGCAGTACACAATGTGAGGACATATAGCATATCATGTCATAAGAAGATGGTGTGGATGTGACATGCCCAGAGAGTTTTGCGAAAGAATACAGAGAGAAAGCCTCATCGTAACAAAAACACGCCAACAGTCTAGTACTGCTTCCTGCCTGCGAGCTGCAAATGTGCGCTGTGCTCGTCGTATGGTACCTTCGAGACAGGGATCTCGCGCCAGAGATCGGGGGTAAGGAAGGCGTAGGTTTTGGTGATCTGCAAGAGTATGGAATATCAATCGGTCAACCATGTGTCTCATGAGTATTAGGAATACGCACGGCAGCGAAGGTTGCCTTCAAGAAGTTACCCATGGTCGCGGTGGAACCCTTCGACTGGGTGTAAACGTCTGATACACCAGCGAGCTGCAGGAGACGCTTTGATGCGGGAGCGGCGACGATACCGGTACCACGGGGCGCAGGGATAAGACGGCACATGACGGAGCCGACCTTTCCGCTGACTTTTGACGGTACTGTATGGGGAGCACCGAGACTGGCACCCCAGTAGCCACGACGAACGGGGATCACGGAGAGCTTGGCCAGGATGATGGCGCCGCGGATGGCGGTGGCGACTTCCTTGGCGCACTTGACACCGAGGCCGACGTGACCGTCAAAGTCACCGATCGCGACGAACGCCTTGAAACGCGTACGCTGACCGGCACGGGTCTGCTTCTGCACAGGCATGATCTTCATGACCTCGTCCTTGAGGTTGGGGAGGAAGAAGTCGACGATCTGGTACTCCTTGACGGGGAGCGAGAAGAGGTAGATCTCCTCCATCGACTTGATCTTGCCGTCCTTTACGAGACGACCGAGTTTCGTAACTGGGACCCTATATGTGCATTAATACGACGATTGAGGTGTCGTAAGTTAGAGAACTAAAAGGCAAACGCACCATTCCTTCTCCTCGTCTTTGCGGCCTCCGCGGCGTCCGCGTCCACGACCACGGCCTCGATCACCACGGCCTCGTCCAAATCCACCACGTCCGCGTCCAGCGTCAGCCATTGTGTTGAAGCTGAAAAGTTACTGAAATATCGATAGGTAAGTTGGCGCGATCGCAAGAGGTCTGAATGCCATGCTCGTCCAGAGGCATAATCGCATTCCATGTTCATCCGAGCAGTCTCCCATCCATCCATCCAGTAGCTCACTCTCCAGCTCTCCATTCAGCACAAAATTTGGACAGCATAGATTTATGCCTCTGGACTGTGGAGTGAATACATCAGAACAGCATTTTGGTACTCACGTCTTGAAGTTTTGCGAGAGTTGAGCTCGATGGGCAAGATTGGTGGATGTCAGTACACGCTGCGTGACCTATGTGACCAGGCCGGCCCTAATGGTAGAGACCCCGAGCACCTTTCCCTTGAAAGATATCATACCCACGACTCGCATTCTTCCATCTAATTCGTCTCTCCGATGTCCTTCCTCGTCTATTCTTAACATCTACATCATTGCAGCACCATTTCTTCTCCACTCTCAAACTGAGCATGCTTTTTCTGTGTTCAGAACGCTGTGGAAACATGAGCCCAGGCTATGACGCCAGTTGAAGCCACGTGTGCGGTCAGGGGTTTCGAGGTTAGCGCTGATTGGTAAGGCGGTATATAATCGTGGCGCAGCGGCCCCCGCCGAAGGCAACGCCTTGCCTCCGACCACCGTGCCATTCGCCTTTGCTACAGCTGCTCAAATCACTCACTCCGACACTTTTCGTGCAATTTTTGATATTTTGTGAGTCTTTCATCATGATTCATGTCGTCTGTCACATCTGCAATCGGCAGTCCTGTTGAGCTTATTTTTTTTTAGGCTTTGATAACACCAAACATCACCTCATCGTCAACCTCACCCAGTTCAAGTTGGCAACCCATGTCGAATTCAATCATGATGAATATTTCAAAACCGATATCTAGTCCTTGCCCCGCGTATGTCTCTTTCTCCCCCTTTCTCTTATGGTTTATTGATCCCAAATACTTTTGACAGCAACGGCCGTCAAACCGTTGGGGATGGGGCTTTCTCTACCGACGCTACTCCTAGTGTGCTTGCTGTTTGCCACGTACAGGGCAATGACAACATGTACTACTACTCTACTACGTTCTCTGGCGGGCCTGGGGTACGTTTTTCGTGCGGCCCACTGACTCTTGTTGACTGACCTGAGACATTATTTGACGACATTTCTGTGAATCATCACAAACAGTGGCGGTTTTGACGTCCCTAAATCCAAATGCCCTCCTGACCGAGGGTCGTCGGACTGTGTGAGAGACAGTCCGGCGTCGATCGCCAAATCCGCATATTCCACTCTTCTTCGTGCCACCTCCGCTTCCCCCGCTTCGCCTTCCTACTTTTCTTCCCGCCCTGCAGCTCCCGCCTCCGGCCCAACGGCTCAAAAGCCTCTGTACTTCCCGCTTGCCGAGTCTCTTCCCCAATCGGCCGTATCCCCTCAACCGATTCCCAAGTCTGCGGTTGCGGCATATGCGCACGAACTTGCGACACCCCCCCTCACGCCGGACGATGACGACGATGACGACTCCTCCGAATCGGGCTCGGACCTCGGACAGACGTCTGACGATGCGCTTGAGCTACTCGCCGCGCTGTTCCCCCGAGACGCGGTGAATGCCCTGCCCCACGCCAAGCGTGTGTCCATTTCTTCCCCGGGCATTGGCGCATCCTTCGATGGGGTCGTACTCACGCTGCCGGGCAAGCCACGAACCCTGTACGTCGACGGGAAGAGCGCCGAGATCGTCAGCTTGCGTGAGAGGTGCGTTCGGCTGTCTAACTTCCTATCTTCTGCTTCCCTCCGATTGGGTGTGGGAAACTGATTATCATTCTCACATCTTTTTCTCTTATTTTCTTTTTCTGATCGTTGTATTTACAGTATCGTCGCCCTCCTTGACTTGGCGGATGAACATCTCGAGTGCAATGCGCTCGTCATTGCGCTCGAAAAAACTACCCCGGCGCTGGGCGACCTCTTGCACTCGCTCATGTATGTCGGCGGCACCGTCGTTACTAAACCTCCGTTCCAGGTCGACTCCGCGTACATCCTCGTCGGTCTGGAGATCTAAGCTGTCTTTGACGAGTGCTGAGCAAGTGTGACTGACTGTCATCTGATCGGAATAATAGTGCAGGATGGGCAAGAATCGGATAAGATCATAAGTGGGCAGCTGAACGAGCGTGAGGTATCACTGCTACGAGAGCGACAGTGGGTAGAACCCGATGAATCAACGGGCGAGTGCGGGTGCAGGAATGACACGAGGATGTCATGTTCGTTAGATAAACTGATGAACATTTGCGGGGCGAAGATGACGGTCATGGATTCTGTCCTTAAATTCTTTTTCTCTCTTCTATGTGTTTCTTTGTTCATGTTTGAGTACAACCTGCGTTTCAAATACATGTCATGGTCTTTTTTTCTTTTTTCTGCGAAAGCACTATGCTGTGAACGACGTGAACTTTGTAGACGGGTGTATGGTAGGTGCTGTATTTGTCCAGATGATAGGCATTCAAACGGTAGAACATCGAAGAGAGTACGTCCGCAATGCACAATGCTTTACATTAACGCAGATCCTCTGAGCATAAACATGGGCATAGTTGCTATATCGTCAAGCGCTCCTCTGAGTTTTTACTAATGCTCCTCTCCAGTCTGTCTTATAAGCTCAAGTGCCGCATCGGAGCGTGGAACGAGAGAAACTCGGAACGGCTTTGGTCGGCTGAAGAAGACATGAGGCTACAGGTTTGGTCAACTGTACGGGCAGACCTCACCTCACGATGCCGGTAGTATATTCAGTGTCAGGTTCGATCACAGCACCGCCGTCGTCGACAGCCTTAGAGATGTTGTACACGGCCAGCACGGAAGCAACCGTGATCCACAGGGTATCGAACGCGAGCCACCTTCCTGGACAGGCCCTACAAAAAGCCTTCGGTAAGTGGAGAACACGCTCGCTCCTAACACAAGGACGTACCGCCGGCCATAGCCAAAGACAACTTCCGGGAGGGGATTGATCCCGAGCTCGAGGTTCCTCTTTCGGTCTTCGAACCGTTCAGGACGAAACGCAGAAGGATCAGGGTAGGTCTTCTCGTCATGCATGATAGCCCTGTCATATTATCAATGAGACGAACAAGTGACGATAACAGGGATAGACGCTGACCAGATATTTGGGAAGATAGTGGTTCCTTTCGGTATGCTATATCCCTCGTAGATATCATCCTTGACAGAAGTGTGTGATAGGCCCATGGGTACGGTTGGCTTCCACCTTAAGGCTTCCCAGATGATGCAGTCAATATAACTCAAATCTTGTCGATCGGAAAAACGGGGCAGCCGGTCAACACCTATAACCTTGTCAAGGTGAGCTTGAGCCTTGCGCTGAACCTCGGGGTAGAGCATCATCGCCAAAAAGAATGTTTCTATGGCACTAACGGTCTTTTCAAGTCTCAATTGAGCACCATCGATGTCTCAAAATTGATTTAAAGGAGAGCTTACTGTGTCGGTGCCAGCTAGTACGATTATCGAGATATTAGAGCACTAAATGAAGGCAGTCCAAAGAGGTGACAGACCAGCATAAGAAATTGCGGCAACACTTTTGATCATAGTGGCATATTCGGCATCGTTGGCTCGATCAGCAGAGTCCTCAAGTTCTAGTGTCGTAAAACATGGTTCCGCTGTGCCAGATGCCTATCCTAACATTGCCATGCCAGTCTATTTGATACCGACAATCTGTACGTACCATTCGCTCTTTGGTCATTTCGAATGGTTGGTCGACCATGTCATCGACCAACTTCTTCCATTCCTTCGCTTGCCTCTTGAACTTTGCCCCAGGCAACCAGTCCGGAACATACCTCACTGCGGGGCGAATCAAAGATTGGCCCGCTCGATAGCAGAGAGAACTCACAAAGAGGAATGTAATCCACAAGATATGTACCGAACACTCCGGCATTCAAAGCACTAGCGATAGCCCGTTCTGAAAGGGTGACGTAGATGTCACCTTCTTCCTCGATCCTATGACCATAAGATATCCTCATAATCAAGGCTGTCGCATTTCTGGACGAGCGTCCGTTGATGTCAGAAAACAGTCCCGTGTGATGATACCAAAAACAGACCTTTGAATGTGATAGTGGAATTTCTCAGGGCTGCGTGCCAAATTACGAAGCAGGCCATGTACTTCTTTAGCCTGGATAGGCTGATAACGGGATGAGTTTGGTTGGAACTGTTTTTGAAACAGTGCACGATATTTCCGCCAAGTTGGTCCGTAAGGCATGCTTGGAAAAGCCCATCTCCAGCCCATTCTGGATGCATTTTAGCGGAATGAAGGTTCGGTGAATGATATATATATAGTATAACACTCACAGATCACGAACCATCGGTGATGGCGGTCGGGAAGAGTAATTAACACTTCGCTTGTCGAGTAGGTCGGATGCGACCTTGGCCGAATTGACGTAGAGAATGGAGTTTCCGACTTGTGAGATGTAGATGATGTCCCCTGTGAAACTGTGTTGAGCTGGAAATCATTTCGAGACCTTTGAGGAATTGGGTACCATAAGTCTCTCTCCACTTAGCAACAGTGAGCCAAGGTAAGATCTCGGGCAGATGTACTGTCCCAAGCCACCATGATGCCCTGGGTCCAGGAGGTAATGGTAGCCCCCGTGTTCTTGACATAAGAAGAAAGAACGTAAGAGCAGCAATAGCAACAGCAAAAAAGAGATCGTTGTAATCCCGCATAAGACTGAATAGATGCAACGTCATTGTGAGGGGCTCTTGCGATCGGTTTACATAGAAGTCTGTGAGTACATATACTCAGGAGAGACCTTCCAATGCGCTGAGGTTTGCGCTTGTCCACTTCGAGACCAATCTCTTCAGCGCTTGTGGGGGTCATCAGGTCAACCCTTCTCGATATGAGGTTATTGGTGATTCCGCATCACGGATAAGGCTAGCGCAGAGAGCAACTGGTGCGCTCATGATAACGACCTCATCAAACGGCTCCGTATACACTTAGTACCCGAAGTTTCGATGGCGTAGAACGCAGGGCCGCATCGAATGTTTCCTAATTTGTTCATAAAAGGTTGAGGGTATTCTAGCTGTTGCTAGCTCACGATAAAGCCTTCGTCCGAACGGCGCACCACATCAAGATGAGCAAAAAAAAAAAGAAAGACAATTATAGACGCACTATCAGACATATGACCATACTAGGCTTATCACAGCACATAATCTGTTCAAACAAAATATATGCATGGTCATCTATATGCATGGTCATCATTCTAGTACCGGGCAGCGTTGAATCTTGTTGCTAGTGTGCACAGCGTCACATGTCTCCACAAGAGGAACCTGACGTGGATTCAATCTGGTCGCAAAGGCTGGCAGGCTTGAGCGCTATCTCTAATCTTCATCTTCAGTTTGCCTTATGAGTTCTCGCGTGCCCTCCGAGCGAGGGATCAACGAGCACTGAAAAGGTTCGGCCGACTGCGACGGATGTTATGGAGTTTAGAACGCGATGAACACTGATCAATAAGGAGAGGAACTGTCACCTTACTAGACCGATAGCTGCTCAAACGAGGAGAACGCGAGTATTTCTCTATGGCGAATCGGAAGTTTGATCTTTAGAGTCGTCATTTTACGTGCAATTCACGGAAAAGTAAAGGTGCATGTGCATATATGCGAGCGCAAAGTGCCAAGACGCTATACAGAATATGTTCGCACGGAAATGTGAATTGGAAGAAGGTTAGCCAGCGAGATGAGCCTAACTGGGCTGTTTGCTTTACGAGCTCAAACGCTACTGCAAAGCGTAGAACGAGAGAATATTGACAGGGCTAAGGCCAGCTGGAACATGTATATATTAAGTTAGAAGTCGGTATACACAGTAAGACAGTCAGAAAAGAAGCTCGCCTGATCACACCATCGGTGTATTCAACGTCAGGCTCGATGATAGCGCCATCTCTATCGACGGCCTTGGAGATATTGTAGACTGCGAGCACGGAAGCAGCTGCAATCTATAAAGTACCAAACGCAAGCCACCTCCAAACACTGCTGCTTGCTGAGCAGTAGCCATGCCCTTGTCGGCGAATGTGATGAAGATATCGTTATCGTCTTCGATGTGCTGAATTGGTTATTAAAGGGAAAAGTTTGGATTGGATTGTGTCTGGAATGATGCTCGATACCTCCAGTCGGACCTTAAGGCATCCCAAAGAATGCCCAACTCCATCCTGTTTTGTAAGATGACACTATCAAAATGCAAGACATTATTGTGCAGACAAACATTGGCGCTCACGTATCCTGCCACATCGGCCAGTATAGTCGAGAGGAATAATTAGTTAGTATTTCGCTTATCTAAAAGATCCGCCGCAGCTTTGGCCGTATTGACGTAGAGGATGGGACTGCCCAATTGTGAAATGTAAACGATATCTCCTAAGATACATTCAATGGGCGCGTGTGGCAAAGATACCTTCCCGTGCCACCATGATGCCTTCGGTCCAGGAGGCAGTGGTAATCGAGGTGCTTTTGACCTAAAAAAGCAAGAAGGTCAAAAGAGCGAGAGAAACTGTGACAAGAACATCACTGGAATTGACGAGAGAATTGCTTGATTGCTTGATCGTGGGCGAATCCCCTCACGAACAACATTCTGCGCGAACCGCTATATTTATGCCTTCTTCGAACAGAGCCAGTCTTCGTAAGAGCTGTGAAGACATGCAGCCCAAAAGAGCTTAGCAGAACCTAAACGTATGAGATCAAAGCTGAGAAACATGTTTTATTCCACCCTCATCCTGTGGATACATGCCAGCGTCGCTGCTAGCTTGATTCGTATGCAAGTGATGTAGAGAAAGCGCTCAGGGTCTTGCAGAAATGAAACGCCCCTTTCTGTGCCAGCTCGCGACCAGACCAATGACAAGTACAAATTCCGTGGGCAGTTCACCAGCGGCTTCGCTGAGTGCTCCATTCTGGAGCTCAAAAGCACCAAGTTGAGCACCCAGGCGCCGTCACCAAGTTGGCTATCTCCATGGAGAGTGATAGATTGGAATCACTTACGGCTCTCCGATGCTACGTATTTCGTCCGCGATGTATACTGTTCCTGAATCGAAAAGGCTTCGGACATATGCTCTAACCAAGCGATGCGAACCATCAAAATAAGTACGCAGGTCGAGGGTAGACTCACCACTAACAGTAGATACATAAATCGTCCAGAGACCTCAATCTCATTCGCGTCCACTCCGAACTCCGGCCTCTGCGTCCAATGCGTCGTCGTCCCCTCTTGATCGCCGCATGGTGCCTTCTCCAGTCCTGGTTCGGTCACTACTTTCACCGACTCTGGCCCTAATCACTGCCGCCTCAAACGCCCCCCGGTCCAATGCCTCGCCGATACTGCTCCGCCTGGCCATACTTGTCTGCATCACGAAGACTCCAACCGCCTGCCATCATGCAGATAACATGATTAGCACCAGACCGCGACCACCGGGACAATGAAAGAAGACGACGAGAAGAAGGAGATAGAGTACACGTACGACCAACAGCGACCCCAAGAACAGTCTATCCTTCCACCGGTCATCCATCGGCACGTTCATCTCCGCCCCTCGCCTCCTCGCGCGTCTCCGCATCGCCGAGCTCAAATCATGAAAATCTCGCACGCGTTGACCCAGTCCTACTCCCAGCCCTGATCCATCGTCGAGAGCGCCTGAAGGAGAGCGCCCGCGCAGGACATCATATGCGCGGGAGATGGCGTGGAACCGCGCTTGGGCGACGTCTGGTGGTATGAGCCGCGCGGTGGGTGCGTCAGGGTGGTAGACCCGGACGAGTTGGTAGTCTGTGCACAAGTTTGAGGTGAGTTGTGATTACGTTGGATATAGTTGACCGGTTTCGTAGGGATTGTTGGGCTGGATGGAGGAGAGTGCAAATAAAAGGAACGCACAGCGAGCCTTGATCTCCGCCTGCGACGCGCTCGGCGGCAAGTGAAAGATCTGATGTGGCGATGGATGTGACGCTGTTGGGTATGGATATGGGTTCGCGCTTGATGAAGATGTTGACGACGAAGACGACGTTGACACGGGCCGTCGCCGGTGTGTCGTTGTCGTCGAGGATGCGTACGAGGTAGATGCGTACAGCAAGTTCAAATTAGCGCGCGCACAGCCGCGGTAGACAACAGTATGCATGTTGTGCTGTTCCTTGTAGATTGAAGGCAAGAGGAGATGCTCAATGCAACGTCCGTCGTCGCTGCGGGTAGAGGAGGAGGAGTTTAAACTCAGCGATTGTCCTCCCACGTGCCAGCACAATTTACGAGATCTGTCCGGATCTGTCTCACGCATTCAACTCGCCGGGTCGATTCCCTCCGCGGCCATCAATTTAAGGCCAGCACTGCAGAAAGTCAGAGGCCCGCAGCCAGTAGCTCACCGCCCCTAGCTCCATCTAAGACTCGAATCAGAGATTCATGCGTGGAAACATTACACAAGAAAGGCGGCCTCGACTGGATTACACTGGTCTGCCATGCACAACAGGCAGGTTCAGTATATATGACTTTTGAACTTCAGCGCTTTTCTCAGACAGATTCGCTGCCTTCTGCCTTCTTCTCCCCGACCCCCGCAACAGACGCACTCGATGCACCATCCTCGCTTCTACTGCTCCTGTGTTCCTCCGTCTGCCCCACACCCGACCGCATCTGCGCAGCGTCCACGATTACGGCCGACCGCCGCACACTCCCGATACCAGTCTCCGTCACCACTGCGGCCGAGGCTGCGACACCAGGCACCGATGCGAACCGCATGTTCGTTTGTTGTAGATCGCTGTGGTGGGCACGCGCGTGCGTGTGCGATGCATTCGGAGAGTCGAGGACGGAGCGGTGGAGGTTGACGAGTACCACGACGATGGTAGGGTATAGACCCTATTCGAAAGGATGGAGTCAAGCTCAACGATGTGAGACTGTGTTTGAGACTTACGACAATCTGCTTGCAAACAGACCCAAAAACGACGCTCGTAAAGTGTGCGGGGCCGGGATGGAATGTTATTGGGAAGAAGCCGAGGATCTGGGGCACCTGTATTAAACTGTGAGTCAAGCTAATCCCCACAGCCGCGCCGTCTTCTGATGCCATGCAGGCTTACCCAGAGGACAAAATAAACCGCGCCTGAATCGACTAGGAGCGCGAGCACCTTCTCGATCTGCGTTCTCCTGCTCTTGGACCCGAGCGACTTCCTGATGAACTGACGGTATTCCCTATTCAATGGAAGTGAGACTAGATCCGTACAGCTTGTCTATGGAGTGTATTATTTACCAAGCTTTGTATCCAATAATTCCGGTTGCGATGACATTCGCGGCAATGGATAGGACCCAGCTGGTCACTTCAGAGTTATGGCACAAGGCTGGCGCGTCAGCGACTCTGCCAAAATGGGCCTTGGCACCGCAGCCCAATAGCGCGAACGCAGCGACTGGGACCGGGAGAAGGGGTGAAGCGAAAGGTAAATAAGTCTTAGGAGTCAAGGAACTCAAACGGTACGCACGGGCAGAGGCTACTGCGAGACACAGCGGCGCGAGGAGGACCTTGATGTTATCTTGCCACAACGCCCAAGCTCGCCATATGACAACTGAGTCTCCCAATACAAACTGCATACGACGGCGGTCAGTTCCCGATGGTCACAAACATAGTTCAAGGTGTACCTCGAACGAGAAAAACACCTCAGGGAGCCATATCTCCACGCGACTTGCGATGGCTGCGTCAGTGACATTGTCAGGTACCGAGAGATCTGGGCGCGTGACGAGCCCGCGTCGTACGCGCTGGATGAGGATGGCAAGCTCGGAGGCCCACAGCGTAGTCGACATGGCGAACATCGTGAGGGTCACCACGAGCATCGCGACATTCGCAGCGGACCGGAAGCCCTTACGGCTACCAAAGCATAACTGATTGTCAGAGCTTCGACAAGGTGAATACGAGATGAGCGAGCGGAGGGACGTACCAGAGGGTGTAAGTGGAGAAGAATATGAGGATGAGGTACATCCCTGTAAGCAGTCATGAGTTCTTTAGTCAAGACATCCATGGCCTGCAAGGAATAGCACGCACCGTAAAGCAGCGTCTCGCATACGAGTGCAACGCCGCTTTGCACGATGTTATCCCCAAACGTTTGGAGAGCTGACGCAGTGTTGTTCGCTGTCGAAGACATACTGAGAGAATTCCGTATAAGATAATATCCTGGAAGAGGTAGAAGTGTCTCGAGATGGGGAACGAGTACAGATGAAGAACATAACCCTCACTTTATACCACTTGCCTGTACTTTACGCGCGCTGCGGCATGTGTGCGGCGACAGTGATGTCTTCGAATAGCTCCGAGTGCAGCCCTCAACAGGGATGATAGGCACAAAGCGCCATGATCAAAAGATGCAGAATGGAATAGCATGCGTGAGAACCTGTAACGGTCGCACATGGTCGAACGCAGTCCCAAGCATCTAGCATGGTGCTTCAACGAGAGAGGCTGCGAATCTGCACGCGTTAGATAAGAGGCATCTGTCAACTGGGACAGATGCCCGTGATCAAGGCGATGAATATGAACGAGGGATAGTACTTTACATCAGAGATTAGATATACCAGTACTCTCGGCACCTGTGTATGTGCACCAGCGTGTTGTTGCGATCAACATATCCTATCATCTAGATTTAGAAAGGTATGTAAGTATCCCACAGCTTTGAACACCCTCACGCCGACGTGGACCCGCTGCTTCGAATCGCCGTTATCTCAGAAGTCAGGGTCAGATGGAGGTTATGTGGCCTCATAATCATCAAAATTAAAGCCGGAGATGGGAAGCACAGCCGGGGAACATGCTTCTGCAGTGCAACCCACCACTGAGTAGAAGAACACCGCACTACACCACCATCATGAATCTGCCAGCGACAAAGGAGACTTCGAAACATGAGCATTAAGGATAGGTACGACAGTACAAACACCGAATTTTCGCATGATATCTGCTTTGAAAGCGATTCGAGGTCGTCTATACATGAACACGCGCCAGTATAATCAAATAGTTCGCGTCAATTAAAACCAGTCCGATGTGCACCAATCTGCCTCTCAGAGTGCCTGTGAGTGAAAAAATTCCAAAGTTGAAGATCCCCTTACCGAGTCGTCTACAGATATCTTTCGGTTCAACATATTCCTCAGGGTGCCCAAGGCTAGGGCCCGATGGTGTCACGAACGAAGAATTGACTCTGCTTTCCGTTGGTCCGGGTCGGGAGACCCCGGATACCCGCTGATCAATCATTTCCCAACCCTCCGCTTCGCAGTCCAGCGCAGCCAACATGAACGCTCATCACAACCATTCGAGACGCCTGTGCCGCCGTGCAGCCTTCGAGTCCGAGAGTCTCTGAATCGATCGTGAGTCCTATATCTGCATATGCTATCAAGGCTCGCTCCATGGTATAGTGCACAGAAATCACATCATATTCCGATCAGCAAGTCGCGGACCATCATGCCTAATTGTACAGATAGCAACAGAATAAACGAATGCGAACGCCGGTGATGCTTGAGCATGGCGCACAAATCAACACAAACGACCAAGAAAGCAATCACAAGATGCCAGACAACCACAAACCACGACCTAATCACACACCTCGAACCAGACATCACGGCCAAACCATACACTCCAAGGCCCATACCCCACTCGTTGCGAGTCACATCTCGCACACGTCCGAGTCATCGCTGTCATCCAGCACGCGCGCTCCACTGTCTAGTTGAACGATCAGCGCACCGGCGTTGCCACGCTGCTCCGCAACGACGAGTCCGCGGCTAGTCATAGAACACGATAGAGGACGCCGATGTGAGTGTTCATGTCCTCATCCTGCATACTAGCAGGAACATGCACTCACCGCTCCAGCATCTTCTCAATCGCGGGTTTTACCTTTGCAATACCATCCGAGGTGTGCAGACCTTTGCCTGCGGACCCAAACCCGCTCGGTCGGCACGATGCTCATGGATCTAGCTCAAGAAGACGTACCGACAATCAGCTTGAGCGTCGAAAAGCCGCGACTCTGCGATACTGTAATGCTCGCCTCGGCGAACTTGATTGCTTCCTGGACATAGAGCCCATGCAGGTCGACGTCATTCGCTCGCCTGTTCTGCTCGGCCAAAGCCAACAATGTCAGCCGCATGGCCTCCTTAGCTGCCTTTCACTGGACGCACCTTGTTATTTTCTGCCATGCCAAACAAACACCGATTAGGACCTGTGCGTCCTGCCAAAACATTAGCATTCGACTCACCTTTGAAAATACGCTCGGCTGCAGTTGTGTTCAGCCGCTCTGCCTCTTCCTTTTTTTGTTTTATCATGAAGCTGAGCCGCTTAGCTTCGCGCCTGTCTCCCCGCCTATACGCCTGCTTCCGCATCGCTTGTGCATCTCGCATGCGATCATACGCTCTCTTCGCGGGCGCGCGCTGTGTCGCATTGAGATCTCGCTGGCTGACGTCTGCATCTGGAGATATGGGCTCTGGCACATAGATCTGGGGGTCCTCCTCCTCGTATACGGAGATATCATAGTGTGTCGCTCCGAGATATATACGTGGCGATGGCACGAGTGCAGCTACGTGTACATCGGCATCAAGACGCACTGGGGTTGGAGGCTCAGGAGGTGCATATGTGGGTGCTGTGTACGTGCTCTGCACCCTCGAGGCCCAGATGTTTGTCGGAGGCTGAGGACGGGATGATATCGGCGCCGTGTACGTTCTAGCACTCTGCACTCCATGGTTCTCTGTCGGAGGTTGAGGACGGGCTTGCGTCGGCGCTGCATACGTGCTCTGCACCCTGGAGTGGTCAGTAGGCGCATATACCTGGGTTGCATGAGTATTCTGAGGCCTGACGTAATCCGTCCTCGGTCTCTCAGCCGCCTGGCTTGAGGTGAAGTGCGCGTCCTCGTAGCTCTCATCGTCGTCATCATTGCGTTTCCAAAAGTATATGGACATTAGAACCGCCGCTGTGGTTAGTATGAATAATTTTAAGAGGCCCATATCTGACTTTTGAGCGTGGTGTTTGGCTGCCTTGGTGTTCGAGGTCGAGGGAGCAGGCAACGTCTCTGACGTTGCTAGGAGGCAGGAGATGGGGGAGGCTGCAAGCCCTTTTTTGGCCTGATATCTGGCCATGTGCTATATATGTTCGCGGGCGCACGGGCGCTTGGGGTATCGCTGATGGCCATGGAAGCGCGGATCTCCTGATGTGAGGCTACGACTGCGTGCGCTCGTCTGCCCAATTGGGTACAGGCACCATGCCGGCATTCTTCGCAAAACCGTTCGTCGTTCGGTTGCGCCCTCGACATCAGAGCATGATCTACTCCTACCCAGCGATATCGTACACGTTGCATTTGGCGCATCGAGCAGGACATCCCAACATACACCAATATAACGCCTCCAGCCCACATCGTTGCCGAGCTCAAGATGAACCGGTGATAAAGGGGTGTGCACCCTGGCCTCATAATTGACTGCATGTCAGATTCACACGTGTGCGCAGTCACCTTCGCCCTTTGCTGTTCGTTGATGACTATGGAAGCGTGCACTCGATTGAGTGCACGATCCAGCGCTCGTGTTCTCCGCTGCTCACTCTCAACAGCAGAGCATCAAAACCTTTGGACGTTGTCTGCCTCCAAGCAACAATATTGTACATGTTCCGTTTGGCGTATCAGACTTCGAGCAGGACATACTAACTTACAACACAGCGAGAAAACCCAGCAAAACCCGACCTCAATTCACAATTCTTGGCATACTCGTACACGCCGATTTATCGGCTTTCAATCTGTATCTTCGTTGTCAGACCATCCGCCCAGTTGGATGATCAGGCGCCCCGCGTTCCCCGGCTGCTCAGCCACAGCGAGTCCAAGACTAGACGAAGGTAAGTCCCGTGCATTGCATCTACCTTATACGCTAGCAGAGGCATCTGTGCAGACATACTTTTCCAAAAATTGCATGATTGCGGGCTTCAACTTGGGTACTTTGTCCTCTGTATGCAGACCCCTGCCTGGAGACCCGCGCACACCGAGTCAATGCGACGACGCTCACCGCTCTGCTTGAGGACATACCGACGATAAGGCTGAGTGTCAGGTCACCGCGGCTTCGTGCCTTTGTGACCGCCTCGTTAGCATACTTGATTGCTTCCGAGACGCGCAGCCCATGCAGATCAACATTATTCGCTCGCCTGTCCTATCCACTCCCGGAGCCAAATGACAAGTCAGCCGAATACAACGCATACACCATTCACTCCCACCTTGTTGAACTCTGCTCAAAACAAAGCAATCAGCAATCAGCCCGTTTGTGCATGTGATCATCAACGACGTGGCTCTGACTTGCCTTTGAATATTAGATCCGCGGCAATTGCGTTCAGCCGCATCATCTCTTTCTCGCATTCCTCTATCAGATCCAGGAGCTTCCCCTTCTTGCGCACGTCTCTGCCACAATGCTTCAGCTTTGCCTGTGCCTCGCGCATCCGTTTACACATTCTCTGGGCGGGCGCGCGCTGCATTGCCTTGAACGTGCGCCTCGCCTTGTCTGTGTCCGCAGGTGTCGTCTCTGTGCCCACCTCAGCAGCAGGCGCTATGCACTTCATGCCGATGGACCTCTTCCTGCGAGAGTTCTTCGTCGCAGGCGCTATGTCGGTGGGACGCTTCAGCTCTACTGGGGACCCAGTGCCACGGTCTGCTGATTGAGGATGCATGGAAGCCCGCGCGCGAGAGCGCACACGTTTCTTTCGATATGCGTATTCTTTCGGACGCTTTGCGCTAGGGACAATCTGAAGCTGGGCAGGCGCATTCGCTGGGGCCATATCAGCGCTTTGTGCTTTCGACGCCGCATGTTCCATCACCTCGATGTGCGCCGGTGGGACTTCCTTGACCGCAGCAGACAAAACATCGCGTCGCGATGCTGACGGAGTTGTGCGCGATGACGGCACGGACAAGACGATGGGTGCCTCAGGGAGCGCTGAGCTAGGTTGGAACGGCGTGTCTGCTGGAATCGCAAAACCATTCGACACGGGCGCTCTTTGAGAGATGGTCAATGTAGCCTCCTGGTCATCTGGTGATAAACGACTGTAGGACGATTCCATGTACACCGACGCAGGCGGTGCTATGTGCATCTCCGCGCGTACTTTGCCAATCTGTGGAGGCAAGGGCTGGGGATGAACATCTGCTGGGATGGTATAGGTGCTCCACTCCTTCGGCGCAGGGGCTATCCCCATGAGGCATGGCTGTGAGATCTGCGAAGGCCGATCACTGAGCGGCGATGCTGGCGAACCTGTGATCGATAACGACTTGGAAGATCCTCCAACCTCCTCCTGGCATGGTGTGCTACGCTCAGAAGCTTCATGCTCGAGGAATAGAGGTGCTTGAGGTTCATCATCGGTCTGTGATCTCGACTTGTCCGTCGATGGAGATTCAGCACCAGCACATTGTGGGGTCTGTGTAGCAGCCTCGGTGGCATCGCGATGCACTCCTGTGTCCCCCGATCTAACGCCCCGCGTCGTCTCCATCTCCGTATCTCGGTGAGAGCACAGAGCGGGTGATACCCCCCCGTCGCCTCTGTTATAAGCACCATACGGCCACCACCACTCCGTCACGCCGATGGCGACGAGGATGCCTAGTGAGAGGAGCCCCATGGCTGCGGCCCCGGGCGCTCCACTGTTCGGTCGCGGTGCACGACCCAAGCGCGGTTTGACGAGGAAGGACAGCGTCGACGTCCACGAAGCCATGGAGGGAGGGGGCGAGATGGGGGCGGGGAGCGCCCTGCCACGGGCTCATCAGTGCAGGGGCGCGAGCTTATATACGCTCGCACGGACGCTCGGGGGCGCTGATCCTGCATCCATGCTGGGCCTGCCCAATTCGGACGCCGCGGCCGGATTTGGCGCCCCGCGCGCGCTCTCTCCTCAAGTCTTCCGACTAAACATGCTGGAGAATGGGTGCAAACACCGCGCAATACCCCTAGGGACCTTGTAACGACGCGTGCGCTAGCCGCCAGCCAAACAATTTCGTGCTACTCGCGACGGAGCTGGGCATTGGATTCCCCGGAAAACAACGATACACTCGACGGAGGCGTGCAGTAGCCTTCAATACGGTCGATGTTGCTATACTCATAAGTTTTGTAATGACGAATGTTTTTGGCTGTGTTAACAGGGTTTCGTAATGAGAGCACACACTGCTATCCAGAGCTGAGTGTGCGACGATCAGAATCTGCACTTCCAGAGGAGATATCAGGGGGCGTTGCGCAGCAGAAGGATGAGATTTGCGATCGCGAGTTCGGGGAAGTGGCTCGGATGTGGACGATGATGATTATAGTGAGTGGGTATATAGCCTAGCAATGACAGCGATCAGGTAAATTCTTGGGCACGGCCTGCATGTTCGGCACTCACGACAAGTTGAACGAGGATGGATTGCGGTATGAACATCGCGGTTCGAAGTCCGTAGTAGATCGCAAGGTACACTGCCTAGTGCATCCCAGAGACATTGAGCCGAAGCGTGTCGTATCTGAGCTGCGAACGCACCCATATGCAGCAATATATTGCCCCAGATTCTATCAGCAGGCTGAGAATTTTCTCGGCGTTTGTTCTAGCGGTCCCTTCCCCCAGCTGGGACTTGATGAACTTCCTGTGCTGCCTAGCACGGTCAAACGCAGGCTCCGGTTAGCGATCTATCTCACGGGTACCTCGAGATTCGACGTACCACGCTCGCCAAGCTATTATCGACGTTGTCCACAGGATCGAGCCCAGAGTGAGGCTCCACGATACAGCAACAAGACCCCGGGGCAGATGCGGCTCGACAAACATGCTGATCACGAGGGTAGCTGGAATGCGGGGGTCCGTTCTCGCTTGAACGGCAAGTTGTGGAATGGACGAACCTAGCACCCCGACAAGGCAGACGAAGGATGGAATACATATCGTTGTGTTGCGATCGCAGATCAACCACGCTCGCCACAACAGGATTGAATCGCTGATGATATGCTTTCATTGCAGCGTGAGTTTGTCGTTGTAGAAACGGTCGTAACGTGCGTACATTGATAATAGGAGACAACGAGGCGATGAGCCTGTGAGCCTTCCCCTTCGCGACATCGCCCAGGATGGTCACCGAGCTTGATATCCAATGGTGTACAGCAACGGCATAGAGGACGATGTTCGCCCCTAACAAGACATAGGTGGTCCTTGACCGTGGCCTTCTAAACCTATACGACATTCAAGTGTTCGAGTTCGACGCGGGACAGCATTCAAAAGGGGAATCATGGCTCACAGAACCACGTACACCGAGATCCCGAAGAGGACAGTGAGCACGCCTTGGAGCCAGCTTGGTTGATATCGGATGTAGGAAGACGAGAAATTAGACGCACCACAAAAAAAACTTTCGCACAAGAGAGCAACGACAGACAGTCGAGGATGAACGGGACTCATGACTTCTGCGTGATCAGAGTAGGCCACACCGACTTGGAAATAATTTGATTCCAAACCAGTCGACCGCCACGGCTCGTCATGTCGGTTGCGCTGTGCCGCTGGTCAGTCCAGGACGGGATTTTGATAGAAAAGGGAGATTTGGAGTGTGTTGTTCAATGTTACCAGAAGATTCACCGATGAACCGTAAGCGGCCATGTCTGGAATCTGACGAGCATCAGTGATGGGGATACAGCCAAACCCAGCCCAACCCAGATCGGATCTCTTCTCATCTGCGCTGCAACTACCCACATGCTTCACACACCTTCAGCTCGATGTCAGTAGCAGATCCATAGATGCACGACTGCACGCGACCGGTGGGGGGCCATATATACAAGTAGGTCGTCGCAACACGCCCAAATCCTCCGCCCACAATAGAATCTAGACCGACCTTCCTTGTATACGCGCGCAATAATCAACCCAACCGGCCGTCATCCAAAACGAGAAACGTCGCGCACGCGCGAACCCACGCACAAGTGAGTAGCAATACATTACGAAACAACGCGCGACGAGCCCGCCCGCCAACATTCATCATCACCATCATCGTCACCACCATGCCCGCACATAAAAATATAGCTTATCGACGAGGCGCGACTCTGAAGTCCTCCGCCCGTCACCGAGTGCTTGCCCAAAGCGGCACGTGCACCGCACACAAGAAGCTCAGCGCAACGCCCAGCTCCCGCGCGCGCGCCTCACATAACAACGCACTGCCCATCCCCGTTCCGCGCCCCGAGCCGGCGCGTGATATCCTCCGCGCCCAGCGCCCCGCCCATCTCCCGATCCCCAGCTCCAGCTCCAGCCCCTCCGCGCGCCCCTCCCCCGGCGCCGGGGGCGCCAGGCAGCTGCACGACGAGGACGCCCGCGTTGTGCGGGTCGAGCGCCGCGACGAGGTCGTGCCTGCCACCGCCGACCACACGAACCGTTAGCTCACGCGGCGCGCAACGGCAACAAATAACAAGAAAGAAAGAAGAGGTGCGGGGAGGGGAAGGAGGGGGAGAGGAGGTGTACGCACTTCTGCATCAGGTCCGCGATCGCGGGCTTCAGCTTCGCGGCGCCGTGCGGCGAATGCAGGCCCTTACCTATCACGCATCCGGTATACGCGTCAACAAGCCGCGCAGGTAGTAAGTAGCGGAAGCGGAAAGGGAGTGCGCACCGACGATGAGGTGCAGCTGCGTGTCGCCGCGCGCGCGCGCCTCCTGGATGCTCTGGTCGGTGTACGCGATCGCCTCTTTGACGAAGAGCCCATGCAGGTCGACCTCGCCGGGCTTGCTGTCCTGCGATCGCGACGCACGCGGGTCAGCCCCCACACACACACACACACACACACACGCACACGCGGACGACGAACGGCCCATAGGAGACTCACCAGGTTATTCTCTGCCGCGCCCCCCCACCAAAATAGATTAAATAAAAAAATGAGAGCACAGAAAAAGAGCACCACGCGCACCGCGGAAGATCCACGCGCTCGCCTCTGCGTTCAGGCGCTCCATCTCGCGCTGGCGCTCCTTGCCCTCGTTGGAGAGCGCCTTGGCAGCCGCGCCGTCGCCGCGCGCGTACGCGTCGTGGCTCTGCTCGAACGCGCGCGCCATGGCGTCGCCCGCGGCGCTCGCGCGCGCGCGCAGCGCTGTGTAGTGCGCGTTTTGCTGGTTCTGCTGGTTGAGGTCCTGTGGGTGGTGAGTCGGAGGGCGGGGTTGTTAGCGCGAGGCGGGAAGAGAGGAAAGGGGGGAGGCGGAGGGGACGTACGATTCGTGGGGTAGAAGCCGGGGGCGGATGGCTCTGGCTGGGCTTGTGAGCCTCATGATGGGGCTTGTGTTGTTCATGGTGCGGCTTGTGCGGTTGCGGGTGTTGCGGCTGCTGCTGTGGTTGCTGCTGAGGCGGGTAGGACACCGGCTGCTGGTATGTCGGGTACTGCTGTGACGTCTGTGGCTGTTGAGGGTACTGTTGTGGGTACTGCTGCTGTGGGTACTGCTGCTGTGGGTATTGCTGCTGTGGGTACTGTTGCTGCGGGTATTGCTGCTGCTGCTGCTGCTGGTCAGACGAAGGCCCGCCGCACAAGACGCGCGCGAGCGCGCGGACGATGTCGCCGAAGACGCCCATGGTTCACGTGCAGTCGTTTTCTACAATAGACGCGTCTCGAGAGCGAAGAAGAGAAAAAAGAGATAGCGGTAGATAGCGGTAGATAGACGGGGGCAGGTGGAATGAAGTTAGGGGCCCCGGGCGATCTGGGAGGGCGGGTTAATATGGTGGGCGCGGGGGTGTGGAGGCGGTGCAGGGCGGTGGCGGGCACGCGGCGGGAGGGCGGAAGACGTGAGGTTGTTTAGCTGGAGCGAGGAGGGCGTGTCGTTCACGCGAGCAGATGGCCACGCCGGTGCAGAACACTTGCAGAGTGCTCCAGTCGAGTCGCGACGACGGGGCGGGCACGGCCCGGCGTTGTCTCCCCGGTGCCGACATGCCGGCCGTGGCCCGCGTTCGACGAGCATCTAGCTACGTATACGATAGATACGACATAAAGATATCCGGACCTGCAACGACAGATGCGCTCAGAAAGACAGCCCGACCCACGCCGCGGGCGCAGCCACCACCACCTCGTCCCGCCCGCCCCTGTCCCCGACCCACCCCTCCCCGCCGCCGCCGCCATGTACGCCCAGCCCATCCACGCCGTGCGCTCTCACCGCCCGCGCGTCCACCTCCACGCGCCCATCGAACCCTGCCCCTCGGTAAGTCAACTGCACCTCCCCGTTCACCGCCGAATAATGCTGGCTGCGGATCGCCCGCCTCGCGCCCCGCGCGCGCTCATACACGACCTCCATCCTGCCCTCCCCCGACACCGTCCTCAGCTCCGCCGCCCGCCCCTCCCACCCCTCCTCCACCTTCGCCCCCATCCCTTTCCCCTCCGCGCTCTCCGGCCACACCCGCAAACTCCCCACCGCCCCTCCCCGCGTCGTCACCGCCACCCGCTCCCGAATCCCGACCTCCCCAACCACCCACCCACCGTGCACTTCCACCCCCACGCGCCGCGCCCCCGCCCCCGCCGCGCTCAGCAACACCATCGCCCGCGCATCCTCCGCGAACCCCGTCACCTCCAGGCTCTCCAGCCCCGCCCCCGCCCCCTCCGCGAACCGCACCTGCGCCACCGCCCGCGCCACCACATGCAGCCGCCGCAGCCCCGGCGGCACCCGCAACACAATATCAAACCGCATGCACGCCGTCCCGTTCCCGCCCTCGCGCGCCCGATCCGCGAAAAACCCCGCGTTCGGCGTGAACAGCGTGAAATGGCTGTTCAGCACCCGCCCGTCCGCGTCCGCCTGCGGGACGTACGCCCAGTACCGATCCACGAGCCCCGCGTCGTCCGTGCGCACCGCCACCTCCGCCACCACCGCGTCTTCTACGCCCTCCGTGCCGCCGCGGCCGCCGCCGCGCACGATCGTGAGCGTGCCCACCGCCGCGCCGCGCACCTCGAACAGGTGGTCCGCGCGCTCCGTCCCGATCGGGATCCGCAGCGTCGTGCGCGCGGGGCGCGAGAGGAAGGGCGCGGCGGGGCCCGTGCACCCGAGCGAGGTGTCGTAGACCGGCATCGACGACGACAGCGACGACGACAGCGACGATGGGAGGCCTGTGGGCGTGTGTTCGGACCACCGGATTAGGCGGAGGCCTTGCCAGGCGAAGAGGACGTAGGCGGTCACGGCGCAGACGACCCACGTCGCGTTCCAACTGGGCGGCCGTCTAACTACATGAGCATATATGCGGGAAAATGGGGGCTCTGAGCGGACCTGCGCTGGATGGCGCGCTTGTGCGCCTTTGCGGGAGCACCGCCGAGCGGCGTGTCCTCGAATATCACGTCCCCGTCCTCGGGCTCGTCCGCTCCGCGCTCGCTGAACCCGAGCTCTCCGCGACGCGGCGCCGGGGAGGCGCCATCGTCAGAATGCAGCACCGGCTCGTCTGGGGAATAACGAGCAATGCGGTCAGATGCGCTCCGCCGGCGGGAGAGGAGAGGAGAGGCGGACTCACAGCGGCGCGGCCGGCGAGCGTCCCGGCGCGCGAGCGCGAGCGCGGCGGAGGCGAGGTGCGCGAGATGGCGCGGCATGGTTTTCTTGAGGCTGGCCTTGAGACGGCGGTAGGGTGGGGATGTGGAGTGCGTGAGCTCAGCTCCAGCTCCTCGCGCGGGGGGAAGGCGAACGAGGGGGCGGAGCCTCACGGCACTTTAAGCTTTCTCACTCGCTTGCTTGCTCGCACGCATCCACGCACGCATCCACACGCGTCCGCTCTCACGCGAACCCCCAACGCCCGCGCGCATCGCTCAGATGCTCCAAATACCCGCGCGCGCACACACGACGCGCGGGACCGGGGTACGCGCCTGCACCGGGATCTCACTCGCGCGGGAGCGGCGGTCGGGAGAAGCGCATCGGGCGGGGGCCGCGAGCCGGGCGGGCTTGGCTTGGGTGCGATCCGTGGGTGTGTTTGGCTGTGTTTGGAGGGAGGGGGTGGACAGGCGTGGTGTGTTTGGCTGGTCGAGGGCAGGCGAGCGGGCAGGCTGGGCCCCCAGGAGATCGGTCGAGGTGTCCGAGGTCCGACGGGGTGCCCGACGAGCGATGCAAGCTGCGCGACCCTAGTGCGACTCTGCGACTCGTCGCTCTCACTCCTCAGCAGTTTGTCTGAACGCCTCGCAATGTGACCGCCTGTGTCTCCCTGGCCGTCTGCTGCGTGTTGCTTGGCTTGTTCACCATGAGCGCTAGCGCCGCCCAGACCTTCGCAGAAGACCCTTCTTGCTCAGGCTGCACGCGTACTTTTACGGGCATCTCTTCGATCGCGGAAACGCCTGTGGCCTTGACCCTTCTGCCGCTCGAGCCCCCTGGGAGAGCGACTGAGTGACTCACAGGCGCACGTCGCTCCCAATGCACGTTCGACGCCGTCCGCGCAGCGCGCGAACTGAAACTCATCATGCTCGTCGCCCCCTCCTTGCACCCCGGTACCCCTTGCCTAGGTCACTCCCCACCACCGATATCTGCGCCGACATGGGAGCGGCTCTTTTGGGACTCCTCGATCGCAAACAGACGCCAGAGACGCCCTGTGACCTTGACCATTGTAAGGCGAAGAGGAGAAGGATGCTCCAAATATGTCCGTATCGCCTCGTGCCCTCGTATGTGCTTGCTTATATACCGCCTAGGCTGGCTCTCGTCTCGTTTTCCTCTAGGATTCGCCGCGCACGGATAACGTCCACACAGCATGTCGACAACCCCTATCCACACTTTCGAAGTTGCCGACCCTCCGTTCGATGACACCGATGCAGACATCGTTCTCCGTTCCTCCGACGACGTCGATTTCTACGTCCACAAATGGCCCTTATCCAGGGCATCTTCCGTGTTCGAAGACATGTTTTCCATCCCTTCCCCAAACGCCCCTTCCAACGCCGACGACCTCAAAGATGGCCTCCCTGTTGTGCGTGTCGCGGAAGATTATCAAACGCTGGACATCGTTCTGCGACTCTGCTACCCGAGAGACCAGCAGACCCTCACCCTCGATGTACCGTCCATTCGACAGCTGCTTCCGGCTCTCGAAAAGTACGAGATGCTCAAAGACATGACTGAGATCCTTGAACCGATGATGTTGGCCGCTGCCGAAACGGACAGTCGCGCAATGTATGCTATTGCTTGTCGATATCAGATGCTCAAACTCGCGAATCGCATCGCGGTCTTATCGCGCAGGCTCCTATCCGATGCCAGTTCCCCTTCCACCATCGGTTTCTTCAGTAAAGGAGACTTGCAGTCTATATCAGGCCATCATCTCTGTCAGTTCCTCATGTTCCATCAACAAAGCTCCTCTGCCGCTTCCAGAGCTGTTTATTCCAGCTGGATTGTTTTTGAAATGCTCGCTGGATCCGTCAGAAGTCAAAACGCACCCTGTTGCTGTTCTCAGGTGGATTTCGCGACTGAAAAAGGTGCATTTCACGGCCCAGAGTGGATCTTGACATATTGCAAGCAATGTGAAGAGAATCTGAGATCAAGGCCCCATTGTGAGGTGGTTATGGAGATGGAGCTCATCACTGATATGTGTGTAGCAGCAGCACAATGCGATGCTTGTCGGCCCCGAGCACGCAGGATACACAATTATTGTAAACAAATGATGGAACGTGTCAGACGTGCCCTTGAAAGTGTAAGCAGCAGAAATTCTGGCTCCGTTGTAGACATGCATCTCACAGCAAGGGGATTGGGTAGGTTCCTCTTCCCTTTCCGGAGGCCGAGTCCGAGGAGTAGAGGCAGAGCCTGATTGTGATGGACATTCACGGCGGTCAGCTTGCTCGTCTGGGTTCTGTGGTGTGCGTGTGTTGGTGGATCAACAGCCTGTGTTTTTCAGCTTCCTGGCCGATACTATCTGTCCATGCCTCCCAAATCCATTTTGGCTACATCGTTCCGTATTACAGGTAAGGCCGAAATATGCTGTCGTTGTTGTTCGTGTCACTGAGGCCATCCTCGATGATTCAGTTCCAGTGTATGCAGATTGAATTGTTATAAAGTGTGTTGCCGATTCTGTCATCGGGGTTTTGGTTTCGAGTTTGACTGCGAAGGGTGCGCTTGACATGCACGCCAGCTTACGAGGTACGCATGAGACCTGTCACAGGACATTCAGCATCAAGGCATCACATTGCTATCATCAATGTCCTCAACATCCACTACCGCATACGATGAACTCAAATTACAGTCGTTCTCTATGTGCGAGGTCAGCTGCGCCTTGAGGACAACGAGTAATCATAGTGAGCGGCTTTCTATTCAGCCTCGTCTCGCTTCTGATGTCTAGATCTCTCGTGGACACTTGCTCTGAAAAACATCAACAGAAGGCATGCGTCATTTCTGCGCGCATATGCAACGAGGCTTTGCGGTTGACGGCTTCCATCCATGGTGAGCTATACTATCTGATACTTGCTGCGTAGGTCACGTACCGCCAGCGCTTGGACATGTACACCCACGCGGAAACAGCCGTCTTTGCGCAGGCTCTGCGCATGCTTCCCCGGAATCTACATGGTACTTATATCACCCTGGCTCGATCTCACTCCAACTCACCCCAAAAACCACTGTGCACAGATTATATTCATCCAACATGTCGACGACCACCCCCGAGCCCACCCTCATTACCACTTTCAAAGCTGCTGACCCTCCGTTCGATGACACCGATGCAGACATCGTTCTCCGTTCCTCCGACAACGTCGATTTCTACGTCCACAAATGGCCCTTATCCAGGGCCTCTTCCGTATTCAAAGACATGTTTTCCATCCCTTCCTCATACGACTCTTTCAATGCCGACAATGTCAAAGACGGTCTTCCCGTTGTGCGTGTCACGGAAGATCGTCAAACGCTGGACATCGTTCTGCGACTCTGCTACCCGAGAGACCAGCAGACCCTCACCCTCGATGTACCGTCCATTCGACAGCTGCTTCCGGCTCTCGAAAAGTACGAGATGCTCAAAGACATGACTGGGATCCTTAAACCGATGATGTTGGCCGCTGCCAAAACGGACAGTCGCGCAATGTATGCTATTGCTTGTCGATATCAGATGCTCAAACTCGCGAATCGCATCGCGGTCTTATCGCGCAGGCTCCTATCCGATGTCAGTTTCCCTTCCACCATCGATTTCTTCAGTAAAGGAGACTTGCAGTCTATATCAGGCCATCATCTCTGTCAGTTCCTCATGTTCCATCAACAAAGCTCCTCTGCCGCTTCCAGAGCTGTTCGTTCCGACTGGAGCGTTTTTGCAATGTTTTCTAGATCCGTCAGTCAAAACCCACCCTGTTACTGTTCTCAGGTGGATTTCGCGACTACAAAAGGTGCATTTCATGGCCCAGAGTGGCTCTTGACATATTGCAAGCAATGTGAAGAGAATCTGAGATCAAGGCCCCATTGTGAGGTGGTTATGGAGAAGGAGCTCATCACTGATATGTGTGTAGCAGCAGCACAATGCGATGCTTGTCGGCCCCGAGCACGCAGGATACACACTTTCTGTAAAAAAATGATGGGAGGTGTCAGACGTGCCCTTGAAAGTGTAAGCAGCAGAAATTCTGGCTCCGTTGTAGACATGCATCTCACAGCAAGGGGATTGGGTAGGTTCCTCTTCCCTTTCCGGAGGCCGAGTCCAAGGAGTAGAGGCAGAGCCTGATTGTGATGGACATTCACGGCGGTCAGTTTACTTGCTTGGATCCTGTGTTGTGCGTGTGTCAACGGATTGACAGCTTGTGTTTTCAGATCGTGCGTCTATGCGTCCCAACTCTTCTTGAATAGTTCGTTCCGTACAGGTGAGGGCAATATACAGTATTGTTGTTTGTCGTGTCACTGAGGCCATCTTCGACGATCCAGTTCCACTGTATGCCAATTGTTGAATTGTTATGGAATGTGTCGTCAATTTTGTCATTAGAGCTTTCGAGTTTAGGTGTGAAGTGTGATCTTGAAGTGCACACCAGGTTCCAGCACGCATCATACCCGTCTCAAGCTGTCTCGAGGCAGCGCCTCAGCCTCAATCAAGATATTGCATCGCTATTATCGATGTTTCCAACATCCGCTACAGCATGCGATAAGGGTTAACCTTATGCCATGGGGAACGTGGTATGCTTAAAGAGAGCAGTTGTTCATCTATGCGCAAGATCAGCCGTACATTGAGTTTGCGAGTGATCGCAGTGAGTGGCTTGCTACTCGGCCTTGTCCCGTTTCTGACATCTAGATCGCTCCTGGACTAGATTGCTCGTACATACTTGCTCTGAAAAATGTATCAGTTCTGCGCGCATATGCACGAGGCCTTTAGGTTGACGGCTTCTTTGATTATAGGTAGACACTAGATGCCTTCCGCAATCCTCCTGACGTCCCATCGGTTGGAAGGCAAGACATAAATAGTGCCCTGCGCGCAGCCGCTTCTCCCGGTATGTACTATATTACCCTGACTTCACGACACCCTTCCACACTTCCATCGCCCACGACCCGTGAATATCCATCATACGATGTCGACCCCCTCCCTTGGCCTCAAAGCCGCCAGACATCCATTTGCTGACGCCGATGCCGATATCGTCCTCCGTTCCTCTGACAATGTCGATTTCCACGTTCACAGATTAATCTTGTCGAAGGCATCCCCTGTCTTCTCCGACATCTTGACCATCCCATCCTCGGCATCTGATCCTGACGCTAGTGACCAGCCACCCAACGTTGACGAGCTCAAGGATGGTATCCCGATAGTGCGCATGGCGGAAAATCAGGCAGTGCTTGACACTATTTTGCGTTTGTCGTACCCGACAGATAAACCGTCGATTTCTTCTGACCTCTCATTCGTGCGCGCACTGGTTCGAGCGATGGATAAGTACGCCATGATCATGACCTTCCCACAGACACTCGAATCGGTCATGTTGGAGGCTGCTGCGGTGCAACCTTTCGCCGTTTATGCCATTGCATGCCAGTATCGGATGTTCGAGATTGCGAATCGCATCGCGCGTATTTCACTTCTGCATCCCTTGGATTTCTCCTCTAGTCAACTGATCACGGAGGACTATGATCTCATGACATCTTCCCAATACCACCAGCTCCTGCGATATCGTCATCAAAGCGCTGCTGCGGTTCTTGAACCCATTCAGTCCCTGAAACGGCTACAACCACTGGACATACCTGGCATAAAACCTCAGCCGTCGTGTACTTGCTCTGTACTCTCGAGGTTCAACGAAGCCATTAGATATCCTCCTGCCTATGCGCTCCGTCGGGTTTCACTATATCTAGAAAGATGTGAAGCCACTCTTCGATCACGGCCCCACTCAGACACCGTCCTTGACGATAGCATCATCTTGCCCTCAATTCTGGATGCGCCTCGATGCTCGGCTTGTCAATCGTCCACGAATGAACTACGTCTCTTCAGCCGTAACCTGGAGAAAAAGTTTCGGTCGGCTCTCGAGACGGTGAGGAATGATATGTGCCTTACTCTGCGAGCATTTTCTGACGCAAACAATATGTGTTCAGGTGCAGCCACCCTTTCCAGCGGCCGTGCCATAGAGAGATGAACAGAGGATTTCTTGTACAAATGGAATTCTGATGGTTTGTACAGTTTCTTGAACTGTGCCCTGTGCGTTTCTGATTCATCAGATTCAGTGGACCCTTTCCCAGAATTTCGATCATGAATGCTTCCTTGCTTTTCCTAGCCCCTGACGCCTGATTCTGTATTTGACCCTGCTTGCCGTACGTGTATTTGAGACGTGTGATTTTGGCATACAAAAAACTGTCACAGAGGTACCGAGGGGAAATGTCTCTCTAGTAGTGTTTGCGGTCGCGAGCATTACACCGTGACCGTAGCACGGATGGGATAACACCTCACTTGGGGATGAGGACAGTGCGTCATACAAAACGAAGTCCCTGTAACATGCCCGAGTAGTGTTGAGATTGTATAAAACTAAAGAGCGATGGCAGACACGTAGTATATAGAGCACACACTTCAATCATACTATCGTCCATCCGCCACGCAGCATAGCCGGTCTTCACGAAAGCCTGTGACAGGCGAAGAGTTTGTTGTTGAGATTTACTGCAGCGACAAACGTGCACGAAGGCACAGTGGTATGTTTTGACTTCAAACGGACTATTACATAATATGTTATCAGTTTCCTTTTATGGACTCACTCGGACATGTTACCTTGCGGAGTTGATGCCTTGGTACTATACAGTTCCTATTCACACTCCGAACACACTATCGTTACCATACGTTCGTCGTTATCGAGCACCTCAGTCGTTGTCTACACGCACTGAGGTGAGCTACTATACCATTCACACTTTCGTAGATCTTTTACTGACTTACCGTAGTCATTCGTTTGCTCGCGCTTCTATTAGGTACTTGTTATATATATAAGTCGTTGTCTACACGCACTGAGTCATTCGTTTGCTCGCGCTTCTATTAGTCGGCCTCGTAAACTCTAACAGGTTATGGGCCCTGCTGATTCGTCAATGTCGTCCAGCCAGAACTTCTACAATGTTCCGAAGCTAGCCAACGATGGCACGAACTGGGTCATTTACAAAACCCGCCTTCGTACCGCTGTCGGTGCACGAGGACTGGTACCTCATCTCGACGGATCCAGCTTAAGGCCGACTGTCCCATCCCCACTTTCGGAAGACACTCCGATTTCCATGTCTGATGCCTTCGAACTCGAAAATGCACTCGACATTCTCGCAAACTGGGAACGGGATGAATACACGGTCCAGCAACAGATCTACAGCACGATTAGCGACTCCCTCTTACTCAAAATCCAATCACGAAGACTTACCTCGGTTGCCGAAGCCTGGAAGTACATGTGCAAGGAGTTCGAGGATAAGCCCGATATGGTCAAGATCGACAAGCGTCGTCGACTGACCGAGATGAGATGTCGTGATGGCGGGGATCTGCGAGCACATCTAGATGCAATGGAGAAGTTGAAAGAGGAGTTAGCAGGAATGGGGGTCAGTCTCCCGGATTCCGAATACCTACCGATCCTCGCCGCTTCACTTCCCCCTTCGTATCGGTCTTTTGTCTCGAGCATCACTGGCGCCGCGCGCATCCTGGGGCAGGACATACAACCCGACCGACTTGCCTCTCTCGTCCTTGATGAATGGGAGAATGATCAGTTGCGGAACGAGCAGGTCTCATCTTCGAGAAAACGCACCGCCACCGAACCCACATCTTCGGCTCTTTACTCACATCCAAATGCGGAGGTCTCGTCGGCCTCGTCGCAGAAGATCAAGGGCAAATGCTATAATTGTGGAAGAAAGGGTCATCGGAAAGCAGAATGCCGACAGCCAGGCGGTGGTGGTTTCAATCCCGATCAAGGCAAAGATCAAGGGGGAGGAAGGAGTGGATCGAAAGGTGCGAAAGGAGGTACCGCCGCCAATTCCGCTAGCACGACTGAGCCTGTCGGATTCACGGCCACCCTCACCTCTTCCGCACTCGCCGCTCATCGTAGGGAATCCCGAGACCTGATGACAACTTGCATCGACACCGGGGCTAGCCATCACATGTCGCCCTACAAAGAAGAAATGGAGGATTTCGTCAGTATTACTCCTGAACCCATCACTGCTGCAGACGGCGGAACCTTCATGGCAACCGGACGCGGGAACCTGAGGGTAGAAATCCCCAACGACAAGGGTGAAACATCCCCCATCATCCTACGAGACGTGCTCTATGCCCCTGGCATGGCATTTACTCTGTTATCAGTCCCACGCGCGGACAAGAACGGCTGCGCCGTGTCATTCAGAGGGGGCCGAGCCACGATTCGGAATCACGATGACCACCAGATCGGCTGTGTGCCCCTCACCGGCGGGCTCTACACTTTCACAAGCCCACGCAGGGTTCCCTTACAGGCCAATGTGGCCACAAGCAAAGCACTCGCACTCACACCGGCTCAGTTGCACCGGCGGTTGGGTCACGTTGGCACTCGACAATGCAAGGAACTCGTCCGTAAGGGACTCATCCACGGAATCACACTAGTCCCCACAGCCAATGATGATGAGGATGGCAACGAGCAATGCGAGGCATGCGTGCGTGCAAAAATCCACCGCACACCATTTCCGCAGGAGAGTTCGACTCCGCGCGCGGCAAACTATGGTGGACGGTGTCACACCGACGTATGGGGCCCCGCACAGACGCCATCGATTGGCGGCGCACTGTATTTCTCGTCGTACCTGGATGAAGCAACTATGGAGTTAGCCACGAAGTTTCAGAAGACAAAGGCCGAAACACTTACCTCATACCGCACTCATGAGAAGTGGGTGGAAGTGCACCGTGGCGCACGCATCAGTGTCCTCCGGTCGGACCGCGGCGGCGAGTATACCTCGAAGGAATTTAACGGCCATCTTGCGAGTCGCGGAACCCATCACGAGTTGACTGTCCATGACTCACCGCAGCAAAACGGACGTGCCGAACGCCTCAATGGCACGCTCGTTGGCCGCGCCGTTGCAATGCTCTTGGATGCAGGTCTTCCGAAATACCTATGGGCAGAGGCAATCAGCCACTGTGTTTGGATCTGGAACAGAACTGGAACCCGTGCACTCAAGGGAATGACTCCTCTTGAGGCTGCAACGGGCAAGAAGCCAGATCTCCGGAACCTGCACGAGTGGGGTTGCAAGGTTTGGGTCAAAATTGACGGGCGGAAGAAACTGAGCCCAAAAGGGGACGAGGCCCGCTTTGTCGGATACGATACCGCTAGCAAGGGCTATCGTGTCTACTGGCCGGGCAAACGACGCGTCAGCATCGAGCGGAACGTCGTTTTCGCAGAGGGGGGACGCGCCGATGCCGCAGATACGACCGTTCAGGTCGAGGGGGAGCCTAGGCCACACAACGCCCCGAACGTCCCGCCTGCGCCACGTCTGGACGCCTCGTCGTCGTCTGCGCCGTCCGCAACGTCTCCTGCGCCGCCCGCAACGCCGTCTGCGCGCGCGCCGTCGCCTGCGCCGCCCGCAGCTGTATCGCATCCACCCAGCCCTCAAGATTCCAACCAAGAAGGGGAACTCACCGAGGGGGAGCACCCAGACATCCTGGTGACGCCTCAGGACGCTCCCGGCGTCCCTGCGCCTCCGGATTCGATCCCTGTCGCATCTCAGAACGACCCTATCGCTGCCGCCGACGCTCCTGACGAGGAGACATCGACCTATGAGCACCAGGGACGTCCCCGCCGAAACGCGCGGCCGTCCGAGTACGTGCGACGCCTCGAACGAGGAGAAGGCGTCGCAACCGGCCTTCCGAGGTCCCTCTTTCCGACGGCAAGTCTTGCGGCCAGTCCAGGTGCGGTAGAGTCGAGCGCCACGCAGGCAGAGGACGAGGACGACGCAGAGGAAGAGGAGGGACGCACAACTTTCGAGCGCGCGATGGCTGCCAGCGTGGGAGCGGACCTCGAACCTAGAAATTTGGCGGAAGCACGCCGTGGGAAGGATTGGCCGAAGTGGGAGACAGCAATTCTCGAGGAACTGGCTATGATCAACCACTTTGGCACCTACACCCTCGTCGACCGGCCACCCCCAGGTGTCAATGTTGTTGGCAGCAAGCTCGTCTTCAGGACGAAGCGCGACGCGGAGGGCAACATCGCCAAATACAAAGTCCGGCTCGTCGCGCAGGGCTTTACCCAGGTCCCTGGACTTGATTACACCGACACCTTCGCGCCGGTCAGCAAACTCGAGTCCTTGCGCATCCTGCTCGCGCTTGCAGCCCGCGAGAACTGGGAGGTCGACCAGATGGATGTCAAGAATGCCTACTTGAATGGAGAGCTCGAAGAGGAGATCTACATGGAGCAGCCACCAGGCTTTGCAAAACCGGGCGAAGAACACAAGGTGTGTCTACTCCACAAAACCATCTATGGCCTCAAGCAATCGGGACGCCGCTGGTACAAGCGGCTCTGCGACGCTTTCGCTAAGCTGAAGCTCACGCGCTGCTCAGTTGACCATGGCATCTTTTGGTGCCGACTCGAAAACGGCATCATCATAGTCACAGCTTCAGTGGATGACCTGGCGATCTTTGCGAGCTTGAGACGACACCTTGAGAAAATCAAGGAGGGACTGAAGCAGATCTTCGAGATGACAGATCTCGGTCCGATCCACTGGTTACTTGGCATTGAGATCAAGCGGGACAGGCAGGCCCGCACTCTTTCACTCTCGCAGGCCGCGTACATCGATGTGATCATCGCACGGTTCAATCTTGACGAAGCCAACCCTCTAACGACACCCCTTGACCCCTCCTTCATTTTGAACAGCACCCAGTCACCTTCGACACCTCGCCAGTATGAGGAGATGCGGAACACGCCGTTTCGCGAGGCGATCGGTTCGCTGATGTATGCAGCACGCGGGACCCGACCTGACATTGCGTTTGCGGTCACGCACCTCTCGCAATTTATGCAGAACCCTGGGAAGGCTCATTGGGAAGGTGCGAAGCGAGTTTTTAGATACCTAAAAGGCACGCGAAGCTACCGACTGGTGTTCGGGACAGAACAGCGTGGCCTTGAAGGTTTCTCGGATGCAGATTGGGCATCACAGGAGCATCGCCACTCGATTTCGGGCTATGCATTCCTCATCGATGGAGGTGCTGTGTCCTGGTCAGCCAAGAAGCAAGCCATCGTAGCTCTTTCGAGCACCGAGGCTGAGTACGTTGCTGTCACACATGCTTCGAAGGAAGCTTTCTGGCTCGGTGCATTTCTCGCCGACATCTTCGGCACACCCCGCACAGCACCTATTTCACTGTTTTGTGACAACCAGTCTGCGATTGCCCTCGCGCGCGACAATGCTTTTCATGCGCGCACAAAACATATCGATATTTGTTATCACTTCATTCGCGAGGCTGTTGATGAGGGCCGCATCACTCTTGCCTACTGTCCGACAAATGAGATGGTTGCTGATATCTTCACAAAGGTGCTCCCGCGCCCGAAGGTAGAGAAGATGGCCATACTCTTAGGACTCCATGCAGTTTGAGGGGGAGTGTTGAGATTTACTGCAGCGACAAACGTGCACGAAGGCACAGTGGTATGTTTTGACTTCAAACGGACTATTACATAATATGTTATCAGTTTCCTTTTATGGACTCACTCGGACATGTTACCTTGCGGAGTTGATGCCTTGGTACTATACAGTTCCTATTCACACTCCGAACACACTATCGTTACCATACGTTCGTCGTTATCGAGCACCTCAGTCGTTGTCTACACGCACTGAGGTGAGCTACTATACCATTCACACTTTCGTAGATCTTTTACTGACTTACCGTAGTCATTCGTTTGCTCGCGCTTCTATTAGGTACTTGTTATATATATAAGTCGTTGTCTACACGCACTGAGTCATTCGTTTGCTCGCGCTTCTATTAGTCGGCCTCGTAAACTCTAACATTTGTACCGTCTATAGCATTTCCTGGAGTACAACATCCACCTTTCTCTCCAGACAGGCCTGTAAGAGCGTCGAAGCACGCCGTCATCACTGAGTGCCTCGGTGCTGCCAGCTCTGGGCGCGACGCGTACCACAGACATCACATGACCGTATCCCTCCAATCAGCGCTCAGCGCTCAGCGCCATGTGACTCCTGCTCGTCCTCGTCGCTCATCTTCTCCTTCCTTCGCATCAAACACATTGACTGAAACCACAACGTACAAAGAACACGCACACATGCTTTCAACAGGGTATACGTATATGCTCTCCACTGCTTCGAACTTCTTTACCTACTGCCACGTAAACAAAACAGACACCGTCCGAGCCACGCCCACATCCGCACGCATACACCCACCGCTGCTCCTACTGATACACCGGCGCAGATCATCAACAGATAACACCCTGCACGACCAAAGATCCCGAAAAGATAAAAAATAAAAGTATGCAAGGGCCCTAGCAGCAACGCCGTGAAAGACAATGCCGAATGGATGACGCGACTGGATTGCCGGCGGCCTCCAAGCATGTATGTACGTATGTAATGCGGGTATATGTCTGCAGCTCGGTTTTCTCTGCATGGTATACTTACTGTATTGTACAAGTCATACAGGTCGGGAGCTGCATAGAGCCCGGATTACAAGTAAGGACTGTAGGTGCGTAGTTTAGCATGTGCGCGCGGTGGAGGCAGGGGGGAGTCCAACACTCATATCCCAAAGAAAAAAGAAGGAAGGGACCGAGAGAACGAACGTGTCTGCGTCCTCTCGGCTTAGGCTGTGGTGGGCAAGTCCGGGAACGGCATATTGCACTGTTTCGCAAGTCGCTCAGTCAGATACCAGAGCAGACGCGCGCAGAGGTGCGCACGCACCGATTGATCAACATCCTTCTCCGACGTGCCATGCGGGAAATGTGGGCTGTCATTGACGCGCGCGGCAGGCAGGATGACCTCAGAGCAGTCGATGAGGCTGAGCTCATTCTGCCCGACAAGCGAGAGCTTCTTCATCGCGGCTTTGAACGCAGACTGCATCCGCGATTGGTTCTCTGTGACAGGAGATCAGCACTTATCTGATCTCATTCTGTTCCACAAGACAACACGACGCACTGATCATTCCTTGCCATTGACACGCTGTGCGCGAATCTGGTTCGCAAGGTGAGTCGCGATTTTAAGAGGTCCCTGCATTTGCACAGATGCAGACGTACCCCTTGCTAGCAGATAATCGGATGTGATGCGGATCACGCCGCCAAAGGGAGACATCTCTTGACCGAAATTTTTACCATCAGCCCTACAGTCACCCATCGCGAAGCCCCGTCAGCTACAATTTCGTTTTTCTGCTGGAGGGATAAGAATGCACGAACCCAGGATACATGGTACCGTTCAGCAGCGACTCGAGGTAGAACTGCGTGTCGAACGTCGCGGGCGTCGAATCAAAGGGCAGCGCGGCAATTGTTTCGTCGACTTCCTTTGATGTTGCCATTGTGTGCCTTGCAGATCGCCGCGTCCAACACATCAGACCTTTTCACCTGCACGTTTTTAGACGTGGACTCACGAGGCAAGCAGAGCGACGACCTCATTCGGGGTGAATCCCACATCGGCCATGCGGGCCAGAATGATATCGGGCGTGTCTGTGCAGGTTGTTCAGTTAAGCCCTGTCGGCGCCGGAATGCGAGGCGGACGAACGGAAGGGCTCCGGGACAGTGTCATCCGGAGCAGCAGCCTTGGCGTCCGGGCGTCCGAGATAGAAATCGAGTGTAGGTGCGCCAGGACAGTTGGTCAGCCCTACGGCACTTGCAAACTGGATACTAGACAGCACGCATGGTCATGTCACTCAATAAATCGAACATGGATGGCGCGGACAGGGTATACACACAAGTCACCGTAGCTGAGGGACACATTGTGTGTCGCGAGGAACTGCAGCTGCGCGTTGACGATCTCGTCGATACCGAGGTTGGCATCGTACGCGTTCTCGATTGATGCGAACTGCATGATGGAACCGTCGGCGCCTCCGCCGCTGAATTTGGCCGCGGGGTAGGTGTAGTCGAGCCGAGCAGTGTGACGGTGTTGATCGATCAGAACCCACCGCAAGATGACTGAAGGGGGCCGGCGTGGACGCACCCATTTGGATTCGACAGAGAATATCCGACAGCGTCATGGAAAGCGAGGCGGAGGGATCCGCGGGACTCGAAGTCGCACTCCCCCTCGAAAAAGTCGCGCTGGAGCTGGTCGCGGAGGCTGAAGAGCGGACAGCACGCCTTGTTCGTGGTGATGCTACCGTCGGCGCATTCGACGCGGGGGGTGATTGCAGCTGTTGAGCATTCCGCTCGCGTCAACGGTCTCGAATTCGTGGAAGGGAAGTTGAAACGGTTCCCTGTACGCACCATGAGCGAGCGACGAAAAAGCGAATGCAGCGAAAAGGAGAGTGGGGATGTTGAACGCCATGGCCGACGACAGGAGCTTGCAGGAGGGAAGGTGCGGAGACGGGGGCAGGAGGAAGGGGGATGTGCAAAGGGAGCGGGAGGGGTGCTATATATACCCTGGTCGCCACGTCCGCTCGTCATGGGCGATCAGGCTGGTGCACCGCGCCGAGATGAAGTGCGTCGGCCAGGGCGCCTGGAAGCTCGAGGGCTCGCCGTCGCTCGTTTGGGAAGGAAGCTTGCCGCGTTGGGCGGGCGCTCAAGACCCGCTGCCGTCAGCTGACGTCCGCTCGCTCCTTGCAGTTTAGACGTCCACCCTCGACGATGTGAACATCTCGCCACTCGTGCTCTCATCTAGCGCCCTCCCCCCTCCCATTCTCCCTCCCTTCCTTCCTCCTCGACGCTCAGTCGTCTCGCTCCAAGACGGCGCCCATTTCAACCAGAAGCTAGCGGGGTTTCGAACGAACCCCAAGGCAACGGCCGCGGGCGCACAATCTCCGTTCATTTCTCGCCGCCTTCCGCTTGGAGTCCGCGGCCGTGACGGCATTTTCAATTTTAGCCGATGGCCTCGAGTGTCGAGTCGAGACCCATACAGCACTCACCCCACCCGCCCCTCGAGAAATCTTCACGAAGCGCGGGCGTGGCATTATTGGCGCGTCGCATGTGCGCTCGCTTTCGCTTTGGGCGTCGAAGAGCTTTTTTTCCAACCTAGCTCGTTCTCGAGTCATAGGGATGCAGTGGCCCCCAGACACCAAGTAGACAAGAATCATTAGGTAACACTGTCTACCTAGCAGACGAGTGTAATTGAACATCATTTACCAGTCACCGCGACAAACGAGCAGACAGTGAGAAAAAGCCATACGGTTTGCACTGACTTCACGTAATCAAGAGACAAGATTGAGTACATACGACTTGATGGTAGTAAACCCGTCAAACTTACTTTGCGCGCGAGTGCTTGAGAAATCACACTCTCAAGTGGGAAAAAAGGGTTAAGTGTTATCAAAATTTTTATGATGTTTGTGGTCTAATACATTTCGTAGCAAGCTATGGATACACGCTGGTATATTTCTATTGTGTGATGGGTATATCTCCGTCGATGCTCGGGAGACCCGCTCCCGTGTCATCGCGTCTATGATGTGAAGGGTGTCATTCAGGGGGAAGGGGTGCGCGCACAGGCAGGAAGGATGCGGTGCGCATGGCGGCGTATGAGCGTCTGCGGTCTCTGTGCCGGGGCAGACTTCGGCGCTGCAGGAAGGTAAAGGCACGCGTCGCGGCGGATGATGACAGGCCGCTGCGACAGAGTCAATTTCAGCGCTGTCAGGAGGTCGTGGCAAGCGTCGCGGCGGACGATGGTGGGCCTCTGTGCCAGAGTCGTCTTCAGCCCTGTCGGGAGGCAGGGGCGCGCGTCGCGGCGGATGATAGCGGTGTGCGGTGCGGAAGGAGTGGTTACCGCCAACGGGAGGCAGCGGATCGCGTCGCGGCGCACGAGAGTGGTGGGGCGCTTGATCGCGACGGTCATCATCGACTTTGTGAGTAGGGAACCCGCGTCGCGGCGCACGAGCTTGGGCCGCTGTGCCGTCGCAGAGTGCTCGAGCACCGAGCGGGGGAGGCGGACGTCAAGGCGGATGAGGCAGTCGATGAGCTGCGCCCTGGAGGTGTCCCGGAACGCGAGGCGGCGCGCGAGCGTCGGCCTCTGGACTGTTCTGGGCTCGGGCACCGAGACAGGGGCGGACATGCGCTCGATGACCGCAGGGCGGGGGATGAGGGAGAGTTCGAGGCTCTGCATGGTGGGGACCTCGCAGGTCGCGAGGCCACGTGTGGGTGTGGGCCGCGGCGCTGCGCTCTCCGCCTTTGACTTGCGCGAGAGTCTGAACTGGGTCGGAAGGCGGAGGAAGGCGGGGCGGCGGAAGAGGGTCTTGGGGCGCTGCAGGGCGGCGGCGACGGACTTGCGCGTGATCCTGCAGGAGGTGGGGAGGCGGAAGAAGGCGTGGCGGCGGGTGGGGCCCTTGGGCCTCTGCGGGCGGGTGGATGAGGTGGATGAAGCGGACGGCGCAGAGGTGGACGGGGCGGATGAAGAGGACGTGGTGGATGCGGTCGAGGGGATGTATAACACGGAATACTCGGACTCGATGGAGGGAGTGCGGTTCATGCGCATGGAGGCGACCATCGAGCCGTACAGGCTGGTGTAGGTCGATGCGCGGAAGAGGTTGGGCCGGCGGTAGTAGGTGACCAGCATCTCGCCCGACGTGATGTGGGACTGTCTGGGCTGAGGGGTGGGGGTTGTGCGCGGCTGTTTGGCCTTGGTTCGCTTGGTGGGCGCCGCGTCCTGCGCGGTCGCCGAGATAGGGGTATCAAGCGAGGATGAGGCGGCGATGGTGGTGGAGTCGGCCAGCGACTCGGATGATGAAGAGACGGCGTCGACCTTGGTGTCTTTATCGCCATTGAGAACTCGGCTAACGAGGTACTGAATGACGATACAAGTGATCTGTGTGTGCGAACAAAAAAAAATGAGAAGGTGAGTAAATGCACGTTGACGGGGGAGACATCGAGGAGAGGACTTACGTAGACAGTGACCGCGATCAACGCGGTGAGGACAACCTGCATGATCAACATGACAGCAGCGTAGAGAGACTTGATTGAAAACATCTCGCAGAGATGGTTGAGCAAAGGGTGGTTAAGTTGGTAAAAAAAAGCGTTAAGACGTGGTAGTGGAGCGATGTGGGGGAAAAGTGGACAAAATAAAGTTGGTGAGGGTTTTCCTGCAAACCATGGGGGTTTATATAGACGAGAGAGGCTCGGGCTGTGAGGTTTCGTAAGAGAGAGGTTGTGAGCTCTAGGCTGGTAATGGAGGAGGCGCTGCAGGCCTAGAGACAGAATGTTAGCGAACTGAATGACGAGCATCGGGTCTCACTCTCGCGCATGAAACAGCCGCAGTGTCGAGGCTCTGTGAGCGATGGACGCGTTCGAGCAATTCAGTTCGAGTGTATTGAGTCGGTGCTACCGCTTTGGGACAGCGGGCTTACCTAATGGATGTCGATGCTCTCCGCCGCCGTGGAAGCGCCCGCTGCCGAGTCGCCTCTCTCTTTCTTTTCCCTAGAAACACATTTCTCTCATAGTCCCAACGCTGCCGCCGTCGATGTTCCTCCTCTCGCCCACGCTCCTTTTCCTCTTCTCCCTGCTCTCCCTCGCGCACGGCCAAGACACCGACACCTGCGACCCCGCGCACAACGGGCTGCGCACGGGCACCCTCCAGTACTCCTCGGACTGCAATGCGACGACGTGGTGCAACAACGGCAAGTGCGACCCCAAGGGCTGCAGGAAGGATGAGTTCCCGCTCGGATGGCCCGACAGCATCGATCTGCCGACCCGCTGCAACTCGAGCTCGTTCTGCCCCGACGAGGGCTCCGAGTGTCTCCTCAAGATGCCCGTCGGGAGTGCGTGCCAGTTTGATCGCGACGGTGCGTGCGTGCATGTCTCGGGTCGTGCTTGGCTGTGCTTCCTGGCGCTTGAGCGAGGAAATGCTGACGTGCATTGTGTGGTCGGTGGCGGCGCGTGATGATGTGGACCGTGCGCGAGTGCAGACGAGTGTCTCGCCCCGGACAACTTCAAGGAGCTCAGAGACCAGTCTGCGCGCGGCTTGAACGTGAACGGCTCCATATGTCTTAACTTTGTGTGCACGTATGTCTTTTTGCGTCTTTCCCCCATCCTTGTACCTTCCGCCGCCCTCCACCCGCCAAAATGCGATCAGAGAGCGCTGACCCTCGTCCGGCGGAAGATTCGCCAACGTGACCGTGGGACAGGCCTGCGAGGTGGAAAACACCGGGTTCACAGCCTACGGCACGGACGGCACAGAATTCATCGACATCGTGTCCAGGTAATGCATTCTCTGCCTTCACCGCCCCCACCCTCGCGCTTCCATTTTGGGCACTGACGCCCGCCGTCCGCATTGGGAATCTGCACCGGCGTATTTCCGGCGTTTAAACAGAGATAATTGTCGGATCGGGCTGTACTGTGACTCGCAACAGAAGGTCTGCATCCAGCAGAAAGCACTCGCCGTCAGCTGCTCTGCCGACAAAGAGTGCGTCTTTCGTATCCCGCCTTTCCTACCATTTTCTCTACCATTCTCTCTGGACGCTCTGAGGCTGTGAACTCAGTTGAAACTTGCGACCCGAGACATACTTACCTTCCGAGACACTTACCCGAGACCCATTCACTTTTCTGAGACTCAGTCTCGGAAACTTGCCTACCCGAGACCTATTTCTGAGACTCAGTCTCGGAGACTGGCTTACCCGAGACCTATTCACTTTTCTGATATTTACTCATGGAGACTGGCTTACGCGAAGCCCTTCATAGGTGTCTGTCCTACAACTGCCTCGCCTCCGGCGTATGCGGCAAAGACCCACGCGAGCCACATCACGTCGGCGTGTGGGTGTACGTCGTGATCGCCATCGGCATATTTGGAGGTGAGTCGTCGAACGACGTTTGGAGCGAGGGGACTAACGCATATACCGCCATCTGCAGGTATGTTTGGGACGCTGTTTGCGCTGTTCTTCTTCCACGGCCGCCAGCGCGACACGGAGCGTGAGAAGCGTCTTCAATACTGGCGCGAGCAGGTACACCCGCCGGCTTTTCTTTCTCTTGCAGCCAACTGACACCCAGCGTCTACCCTCCTCACCCCCGCCCCCGTCCCCGTCCCCGCCCCTGTCTTTGTCCGTTTCCTCGCCTCCAGAACGCCTTCCGCCAAAATATCCTCCAGATGCGCGACACCGCACGCGCGTCGATCTTCTCCTCGGGCGCGGCCGGGAGCCCGCGGAGCACGATGTACAGCCGCGACGGGGGCGATGACTTGCAGGCGCCGCTCGTGCAGCACGGCGCGCCGACCAAGAGCAGCGGGCTGCGGAACTACGTGTCGGACGACGGCTCGTACGAGCAGGGGAACGAGAACGAGGAGCTCGTGATGAGCACGCCGTATACCCACGATCGCAAGTTCTGAGCGCCGGGGGGAGAGGAATGGGGGTTGGGAGAGCGCGCGGGCGCTAAGCGTCGAGTGGACCGAACAGCAAGGAGCAGGGCGGGAATGGGATGGGATGGGATGGGCGTGCTGCATGCATACTGGTGGTGTGTGTAACGTTGGGTTCGGTGGTGCCATCGTGTGTCGCGCATCTGTTTCGTTAGTGGTTCGTCCTCTTCATACCTTAATCTGATTTGTTGGACATTAGGCTGTGGACAATTGATACCTTATCGTGAAGTGAGCGATCGGGCTAGTTTGATGAGTCGGTGGTGCGTCGATGTGTTGATGTTGAGGCGAGCTATGTGGTTTGGGGATGTTGGAGGTGAGGTGTAGGTACGTGGAATATCGGGACGGTGGGGGATACAGTATGCCGATTTGGCTCTCCGGGTATGCGACTCATCCCTTGTATCCGCCAGCGTGCACATCCAGGGTCATAGCTAAGAGATCAGAATGGTGATGGGCCCGGACGAGAGGAGCATGACTTGAGGATCTTGCCAAGCTTTGGGCGTCGGACGAAGTATCCCTTTCGTCGATTTCGGATGTTCGTTCTGTGTGAGCTCGCGCGTCTGACTCGTTCTTTCTACGCTGCTTCGAGCTGAGGACATTGTACTCGAGCAGTGTACGGGCACTATTACCTCGCGATCGTCGTCGGCGGTGAAAGCTCGTGTCATGATGTTCTATTGCACGGTTGCTCGGAGCCGTTTCATCTAACGTGCAGTGCCCAAAAAGCTGCCCGAATATAGTCACTGATGCGCTCAGACGCAAACACGGGACATGTGCATTATATGTATGCGTTGCAGAGCAGCTCGAAGTCATGCGCCTTCCTGGAGCCGCGATGGCCGCGCTCGAACGTACGTTTCCTGGCGCATCATCTTGGGAGTTGCTCACCGGCGATTCGATGGCGGCCATACGTGGCTAGACAAGAGTTTGAAGACGCCCACTTAGATTCGACAACGTGCGACGATTAGGGACGACGATCAAGAGCTCCGAGCAATGCGTTTTACTGCCATAAAACGTGTATCGTACAAATCACCCCTATAGAATGTCAGAGACCAAGTAGAAATGCTTCTGTGAATCGAAATCAAGGCTGTTTTCTGTCGAGTACTGTCTATTAGTTCATTGGTGCGCACGGATGATCCGAAGGAAAACGCACTGTGCATGAATTCCGTCACAACGTCGGCGTTAATCACGGTCTTGTTTTTCGGCGACAACCTCTGGGAAAGGAGGGGGTACCTACTCCGATCGATGTGTCGTCAGAGACATATACGGGGGCCAGGAAGTGGAACTCGCCTTGTCAATGATAGATGAAACATGGTCCTTGAGCAGTTGACTGCATTGACGCAGCTTCTCCAGAGACTTCTGGCAGGATAAGCACTCTGCTGCTTTTTCTACCATCCGTAGAAAAAATACATCTCCCCAAAGAGAATCCCCGAGCGGTTGTGTTTGGACAACTGCTTTGCAGTCATCGAGGTACTGGATGGACCACTTTGAAATAGAGAGCTCCGCATGCCGGCCACAACTCTGGCATGTCGCGACCTGCAATATCTCGGGTGGGATCCGATCCCTTACGAACGCTTCGGTAGCCAAGTCAGAGCACTTCTGGTGATATCGCAAGAGGAGTTGGTATTGACGGACTGTCATCCACTCGAGTTCAGGTCCGCTTACGGTATCGGCCAAGAATGACATCCGGAGTGTGAGGCATGCCAGACTGTTTGCGGTCGTGAACATTCGATAGTGACATGCAATAGCATACGCTGCGAATGGTCGAGTCACAGCAATGTCGAACAGAACACCCTCGAGAGTTTGAGGGAACAGGTCCAGCATCCCATACTTCTCCGCCGCTTGAAATAATTTATCGACTGACCATATATCCGCTCTTGATATCAACATTTCCTCTGGGTTATCTGTGGGACATATCAGGCGAAGAAAGCTTTCGAGCCCTTGATGGTTTTCCGTCATCTGTATGATCCTGACTCCATCATCATTGGGTTCCCGACGATGCGCATCGGAAAGAATAGTACGTTTGAGAGTTGCGGACGTTTTCGACAGAATCCAACTATGAACGTGAAAGTCGACTTTATCAGAGGAGCGAAGGATAAGATCTGCGGTGGCGTCCGTAAAAAAGGCGAGGGAAGGCGTCTTTTCGATCATGAAAGGGCCTTCCTGTGGATCTTGTGGAAATGGGAGGGCATTCTGTTGCACCAATTCATTTACTCCAAGCAAAAATTATGATGTAGCAGGATGAAGCTTACCTGTTCGATTTCCAATTTAACCTGTGTTTCTAGGCGATGGCAGAATTGAAAGATGTCATTTGAAAGATCACAATGTGAAAGACAACCTATCACTGCTGTGATCAACGGCATGAGGAGTTCGTCGGCCACCGCAGTCCGCCAGTTGGGGGTGGTTTTGAGAGTGGCCTCACAACGGTCGAGATACTCTATGAACCAAGTTGGAAAGCTGCCTGCGTAGAAGCAAGTACATGGACGGTCATAGTAGCCCAATCTTTTTCTTTTCGCAAGTATGGGGTCCCGTCGGCTAAAAACCTGAAATGCTCGGAGAGCCGAATCACGGCATTTCTGGTGATACTGGTGAAGCTGATTATATTGGTATGTTGTGATGAGATTCACGTCCTCTTCGTCGAAGGCATCGGCCAGAAAAGGCTGTTGAAGCGTGAAAGGAGCGATCTCGTTGGCGAGTGCCAATTTCTGATAGCGGCATGCAATGGCGTACGCCGCGAATGGGTGAGCCCTAGCTATGTCCCGCAGGTTTCGATCGAGGGTCTGGGGAAACAAGTCGAGCATCTCATACTTGTCCATTGCCCGAAACAATTCACGAACAGATGACAAGTCGGGAAGTTTCCCGTTGTCGGTAGGATACACCAAACGAAGTAGATTTTCCAAAACTTGACGCTGTTCCGCGACGTGAATGACAAGGATACCATCCTTGTACTCGACGCTGGCACCAGAATAGATTGTCGTGTCAGGAATGGACAATATGTCTTTGAACACGGGGGAGGCGAGCGAGAGAAGAAATTTGTGAACATGAAAGTCGACTTTGTTGGAGGAGCGGACGACAAGGTCGGCGTCAGCATCTGCAGATGGTGGACCGGCGGCTGTGCTAACGAGAGTGACGGTGGAGGACGCCATCGTTAGGTAGTTCTGTGCAGAGATTTGGAGGGGCCTAGCAGATAAGTGAGGCAAGGGAGCGACATTTGTATGAGCTGAAAGGTGGGCAGGTACTGCGGGGCAAGAAGGAACACAGGATGATGCTGCGCGCAGGGATTAGTCCGCAAAATAGGCCCAGCTTACCAACAGTGGGAGGAGAGATCACAAAACCAGTACTAATTGAGTCGGATGTGATGCTGCGACGAAGAGGCGGCAAATTGCTCGGGTCTGCAGGGTCATATGTCGGTCAAGAACAGAATACACATACACCACGACATCCAATTCGCCCCAACGATGTCCATTCAGGCCTGTTAAGGCCTGTGACGGGTAATTGGAGGAGGAAAATCTGTCGCCTGAAAAGAAAAGGAAGAAGAGAGAGGACAAGGAAACTTCGAGAGTGTCGGCGTCCGCATGGCTGCGCACACACTTGTTCCGTCTGTGATCAGTCCCAAGCAGCCCACGTGAGATACCTAAAACCTTGCGCATCCGCAGCATCGAAAAGATAGGATAGGCACTTACTATCAGCACAGGAAATCAATGCTCGAGGTACGGTATAGTGCGGTGCGGGATCCGCACGTCTCGTTGTCTACGGGTGGATTCACGGTACAATCCTTGCCCCTGAGAGATGTCTCGAATGGACGAACGAGCTCAGGAGTCTCCGAATTAACACTATACAGCTTGACATAACTGCCATCGATGATGATTGTCAAGCGAGAGAAATGGGGAAAGGAGACGCTGGTCGTTTTTGGTCAAGGACGCCTGCGTTGTCCCAGCCACTGGTCGCAGCTCTCATCCATCTCCGCATCCTCCTAGTCAACGGCTGGTACACAACGCATACTCGCTCCCGCCCAAACCAGCGGACAAGGCTCAAATGCACTTCATGCACGGGACATAGACGTTCCATTCCCGATAAGAGAACGACGTGCCTCCTAACCTAGTCGACCCCGTCGCTCTCTTCCCGCCGTTCGCACCCTTTTCTCTTTCACCACCTTCCCTCGACCACCATGGCCCAGGGATCATCCCCGTCCTATTCAGTACGAGCAAGGTTGTGCTGCATGTATTGGGAACGCCGCACTGAGCTCGCGCCATTCAATTCACTGGGTGCGTGATCCGTTCTTTGTTGAGCCGATGCGAGTAGACGAGGGTACAGCAACACATGTGAGCGCTGCCGATTTTCTTCTCAAGAGACCGACGAGAACCGCCCAGTCGTGACCGAAGGCATCGAATGCAATGTCGTCCACCAGACGTCCACCAGATGTGGACTCTAACCAGGCTCCCCACAACACACACGTACGCGCGCATCGTCGTCCGCGCGTCTCTCGAACCAGCCCAACCACCATGTCGCATATGGCTCTGGGTAGGGAGAAACGGATGCTTTAGACTTGTCCTCCAATCAGACAGACTCTCCTCCGCACGTATCTATCCCTGTTGGGAGTGATGAAGCACCAGCGCTCGAAGAGACTATACCTTCGGCATTCGCTTTCGTCGCATCTCCTGATCGTCTGCGAGGATAGATAGCAGACGAGCAGCCACCTTGGACTCTGGAGTCCTTGAATTTCCGGCGCCAGCGCGCTCGAGGAATCATTCGTTGTCGCTGTTCAGCGCTCAGCGTCTAGTTTCGGTTCTCAGGTTCTCGCTCGATCGCATTTATCGTTCGCGAGGCGCCTCGGCGGTCTCCCGATGGCTAGTGTACTGTAGGACCGTATTCTACGATGATGTCGATCTTGCTGCAGTCGTCGGTACTCCCGCGGTTGCCGCCACGGCGTGTGCCGCAAGGCGCCACACCGGTCGACTTCCTATCGAATGCTTTTCGAGCGATCCTGGCCTAAGTCTAGCACGCTCGCTTGAGCCTCAAAAAATATGACACCGTCTGTCTCCCGAAGCGCAATAAACTCGGCCTGTGAGAACTTGAGCGCGTCGGCTGAGTACATGGGGCAGGATGGGAAAGGGCAGAAGGGCTCAGGCTTTGTAATCACGGTTGCGTCGACATTCCAGGCTATTACCGTGTCCCAGATCGCAGACCCCGGGTGCGGCTCTGCAACGCACGACGCCCCTTCCTCGCCATCCTCGCCACCCGCAGACGACGACCCCCAACCCCCGCACGAGACGGCGCCGCCCACAACGTTTGCGACCACCACCACCATCATAGCACTCGCACCTCGCCTCTGATTCATCAGCCATGGCGTTCGACAGCGCGACGCAGGGGCGCAGCGCCTCGCCGCACCCGCTTCCCTCGCTCCCGCCCTCCCCGAGCGAGGCGGACCTCGGCCGGCGGAGCGCCTGGGACGAGCACGAGATCGACGACGGCGATGGCGACGGCGACGGCGACGACCACAACGACGACGAATACGATGAGCTCGAAAACGAGCCCCGGACGCCCACGGCGCACAGCGCGCGGGGCACCAAGGGCAAGGGCAGGGGCTCCGCGGGGCCGCTCGCGGCGACGTACGCAGAGGGCGGGACGGACGAGGCGCTCAGGGAGATCGACGGCGCGCAGGGGCACTACCCGCCCACGACGGACGGCGACGCAGAAACGCGGCGGATCGAAGAGGTGCGTTGCGCTCGTCGCCCGAACCCCGCCCCCACACCCACACGCCTCCCGCGCCGTCCACGCACTCACGTCTCGCATCCCCGCTTCTCGCTCGCTACCGCCCTTCGTAATGCTCCTACGCACGCACCCACGCACACTAGACTCTCAGGCGCTGGGAAGTCGCAGAACGCCAACGGCGGAAATCCGCGCGCGATGCGGTCGCCGCCGCAGCCTCCGCCGCCGCCTCCGCCTCCGCCGCATCGTCCTCACCCACAACCGCCGCGGCGCCCTCCGTCGTCGCCGACGTCGCGCGGCGCGCCTCGCACCTCTGGGCCTCGCGCAGCTCGCGCGCGCCCACCGCCGGCGTCGGCGCTCACCACGCCCTCCACACCTCCGACGACGCCGACGCCGACGCCGACGTCGACGCCGTCCCGCTCTCCACCCTCGCCGGCCCTCACGCCCTCTCCCCGCCCCTCCCGCTCTCGCCCACGCCCTCCCGCCCGCCGACGCCCCCCTCCGCCGCGACGCTCACGCCCGAAACCGAAAACCCCTTCCGGGACCCCTACGGCTCCTCCTCCTCCTCCTCCCTCTTCGTCAACGCCCAGCCGCCCGCCTCCACGCCGCCCTCCGCGTCCGGGCCCGGCGCGGGCGCAAAGCCGGGGTTCGCGCCGCCCGAGCCGCTCGGGCTGCCGCAGCCACGGACGCCGCCGCCGCGCACGGCGACGCCGCACGCGAACCGGCCGCCGGAGCCCATGCCGCCGGCAGCGTTGACGAGGACGGGGGGCCGAGGGGCGCGCGGCGGGGAGGAGGCGGGGGAGAAGCCGGTGCGGTGGTGGACGGAGTGGTTGTGCGGGTGCAGCGAGGGGCCCGATCGGGGAGGCGACGCCCAGGTCCGTCCGCTGCCTGCCCGCGCGCGTTCTTCCTTGTTCGGCCGCTCACGCCTTCTTTTGCTTTCCCCCTGCAGGCGGGCCGGACGAACCCACTCGAATGAACGACTGTATCTCTGCCGTGCTCGTCTCTCTCAGGTTGTACGTACGCGATCCGACCCACCCCTTCTCGCCCTCGCCTGTTCATATGTGCACTCCCCACCCATAAATTAAACCCAGAGCAGCGGACACGGACATTCCTTGCTAGCTAGCTGTCACTCCTCCACCCCCGTCACGCACACCCCCTCCCTCCCACGCACCCGCACCCCTCCTCCTTCTCCCCCTCCCCCCATCTCGTACGTACCCCAACCGTGCTCCTGTATCAGTAGCAGGTCCACACACACACACACACACACGCACGCACGCACGCACGCACGCACCCGCCTGTCTCCCTGCCCCGTCCTGTTTTGCATACCCCGCTCTGCATGTATGGTAATCTAGCCTCCCGGCACGGCAACCTCACGCTCGAAGCGTGACGCCCTTCACATCAGCATCCAACAGCGACGAACGACGAACGACGAACGACGTGCGTGGACGTTCGTAGCTTCCACAACGTCCACATCTGTATCGATGAAATCTCGGCATCTCGACCGCCGCATGTCAGTCAGTATGCCAGTCGCGCGGTGTCGTGCGGTGTCGCGCGGTGTCCAAGAGCGCTCTAACGCCGCCCGCTGCAGCCTCGCGGCAGAACCGAACGCCCGAACAAGACTGGCTACATGCGTCTGGTCTTCCCAGCGCGTCTGCACGACCGCGCACGGGTCCGGATGCGGACGACGGGCAACGGGCGGAAGATCGGCGGCGATAAACGCAGCCTGGCTTCTTCCCAGCTTCCATCCTTCCGCAAATGTCACCCCAACATGAGCGCACATTCGACGCGGAACACACCGCTCGGAACCTGCGCCGACGCGCTCGCGCTTTCGCATTGAAGCAACGTGAAATTTCAAAAGGCTAAGTAGCAGCAGAAGGACCTTGAGCTGGGCCGCGCGCTGGGATACCACACGAAACTGCATCCTCGCGGAGCCTGGTCTAATCGTGTGCTGCGCTCGCCCGGGCCCGAGTCTGAGATCTGAGACCCAGTACAATACGACTCTGCAGCGCACGGCTTCCCACACCGCCCCACCCACCGACGCGCCCAACGGGGGGCGCCAGCGTGTGTTATTGCGCAGAGGGGAAGTGGACGGTCTTGGACAGCGGGGCCGACACGCCCCAGTGGGGCGTGTCCTGCTGCTGCCCGCGCTCGTCCGCAACGTCGCCCTCGCCCTCGCCCTCGCCTTCGCCTTCGCCCTCGGGCGCGCCCCCGCTGTCCTCGCGCTGATGTCCGCGACGGAAGCTGATCCGGTGCACGAGCACCCCAACGACGTCGTCCTGCGAGCGCGCAAGAAAACAAAAAGCGACATTGCGTGAGCGACTCGGCGAGCGACGCAGACGTAGAGCGCGCGAGACGTACAAGATCGACAACCGCACCCGCCGCGCTCCTCGTCCGACCACTCTGTGCCGGCCGAGGCTCGGGTTCAGGCTCAGACCGCGGATCCGGCATGACGCCCCGCATCCCCTCTGCCGCCCTCTCCCGATCCATCTCCGCCATCGGCACCCCCCGCGCGCCCGTCTCCACCTCCTCGATCTCCACGCTCACCCCGTTCGCCGACGCCGTGCCTTTTGCCGCGCCGCGGAACGTTCCCGCGCGCGAGAGGCCGTCCCCGATGTCACCGCCGTCCTCGCGCAGGTGGGCTTGGAACACCAGCTGCGAGGGCGTGCGGGACAGCGCCGCCGAGGCCGGGGCAGAGGCGGGCAGGGACGTGGGGAGGGGCGGGGGCGAGCGCCGTGCCCAGAGGAGCCAGTCGGGCACCTCGGTGCCCCGCGCGGTGAGCGTGCGCGAGAGGGACTGCGTGCGCGAGTGCACTTGGCGCGCGACGGAGAAGAAGGGGATCGAGAGGCCGTCTGTGCGCGCATATACCCATTGGACAAGGTGGTCGGCGCCATTGTCAGTGAAATTGCGACATGGTACGCATGCGCATTCGCGCTGGATGGGTGAATAGGGATAAGGGTGAGACTTACGGATCATGATGGAGCACAGAACAAGGAAGGATACGATCGGGGATAGCGAGTCAATGAGAATCTGCTGCTCCTGCGACGGGTCCTGCGTTTGCTGTTCGAGTTTGGTGATCGCGAGCGTTGAAATAAACACGGCCCCGACGCCGATCTGACATCACAATAAGACTCGAACGAGCAGCTGGCCCGGTGATACCTAATAACACTCACAGGCCCTATTAACCATAACCATCCCCGTCAGTATATCGATTTTCCGCGGACACCGAGATGGTCCCAGCGTATCCCTGATCGAAAAATGAACAAAAGGATATTGTGACCTACCAAAATGCCCGGCGAACAGCGCCTCGCGCCAACCGGAAATCTCCGGAACGAGCTTGTACAAGAGGAGCAAGGGAGGAATCCGCCGCAGCGTGAGGATAGCGACGGTCAACACAACGAGGCGCCAAGGCGTGATGCCCAACGCGGCCTGGTTGAACTGGTCGAACGGGAGCCAGGCGCCAATGTAAATGAACGCAGCGCAGTTCAGAACGAGGTCGATCACGGAAGAGAACACCTCGTCCTCGATCTGTGTGTTGAAGTGGCCGTCCCAGGAGATCGCGCTCCCTGTGGGTCCGATCCCGACACGAAGCGTTAGACGCACTCGTCAAATACGGGGGACGCACAAGTGGGAAGAGGACGCACCGGCGGCAAACGCGGCAAGCAGGTCGTCGCTGCCGAGCGTACTCGTCACCCCTATCGTGAATATAGCCAAAGCGAGATACTGCGCGACATAAGACTCGCGATCAATGAACCCTCTACCGTGGGTGTATTTTATGAGATAGGAAAACATGAGTCCTAAAGAAGGGAGGCCCATTGGGATTAGTCTAGCCATCAACGCGCTGGAAGGGTGGTTGCTCCGCGGGTCACAAAAGATTTACCGATGATAGCCCCGATGACCACTCCCAATATGACTTGGTCTAGTCAAATAGCGCGTCAGTCAACGTGTCCCGGCGGGTTCCTGATGGCCGAGGACAAGACGCACAAAGCCAGCCGATCAACAACCAATCGCGGAACGCGGAGCGGTACGACTCTGTTGAGAGGTAGAGGGAGATCGTCAGAAAGGGATAGGCAAGCCCGTCGTTGGATGCCGACTCCGCAACTACCAGGCGACGCAGGTTCACGGGGACGTGCTTCGTGGCGAATTTTCCACCTGATCATATGCATCCTCAGGTGAGAACTCGAGGGGCGGAATTGTTATAGGACTGACCAACGATGGCAGCAGAGATGACAGGATCGGTAGGTGTGAGACACGCAGAAACGGCCAGCGCCGACGTAAAGTCCAAACTCGGGAACAGGAGATGTATGAACCCTTATGACGATGCAAGTGCGCGTAAGTAGCGCTCTCTTTGTATTACATGCGAAGAACATATTTACCTGCACACACGAGCCAGCCGAACGCCATCGTCGGGACGACCATGATGAGCAAGCTCTTGAAGTGCTTCGCCATGTACGACTGCGGGAGCTCAACGCCAATGGCGAAGAGCCCCGTAGCGAGCACAATGCGCATGACTTCGAGCGTGAGCGCGTTGGTCTCAACATCCCATGAACGCGGGTTGAAAATGTTCGCGACATACGGCCCTATCAGGATGCCGAACGCTGTGCCGAGAACAACTTCGTTGATGTAAAACTGCGGGGATGGATGAAAGGGGAAATCGTGTGGGATGAGAAAGCATGATCGTACCTTCTCTCGGATGAGCAAAGACACCATGCTGAACTAAAAAGAGTATCCCGGTACAATGAGTGCAAGTATAGATAACAACGCACAACAAGCTGTATGGGCGCTCCTCGAGCTTCGGGTACAGCCAAACATCTGCTGTAAGATGGGAAAGACACTGACCGCTACTACAAAACCACCCAAAAGGACGTACGCCAACCCGGGCGTCGTCACCTGTCCGGACGAGTTTGTGAGATGACACGGAAAGGGGATGGAAGACGGACTTGCAATAGCTCCGTTGCCATTAGCGCCTTTTCTATGTAGGCTGAGCACGCTGAGATAATGTTTCTGTCTGTTGCGAGCGAGGGAACAGCTGCGCAGGTCTGGATTAGTTGGAGTTTTGAGATGGCGGGAAACAAGTCGCCAGAGAGACTTTGCACGTTATCTTGACATAGCGAATACGACAGCACGTGACACGGCGCGTCTACGCGTCGGCAAGTTTGCGGCAAGAGCCTGTTCTTGTGGTGGCGCCACGCCTCTGACAATTTTTCGGTCCGAAATAGACAGTTCCATTCTTACGACTGATAGAGGAATACTTGGGGGGAGTTCTATGCTCAAACAAGGTCGAGACCCGACCGACGGCTTACGACTGTACATGACGTCGTCTCCTTTGCCTGGGCTCTAATTACTGGCAATGAAACCTAGACAATTAAAGTTTTCCGGGCACCTTGTGGAAGATGACGATTTCGAAGACTGGAGTTGGACTGTGGCACTCAGGGACTGGATTTGAGGTGCTGAGTTCCAACTTCTAAGTCGCCGACCTTTCAGACCTCTTCGGGCCTGGGTCTACCCCACAGCCGCATGCTCGGAAACCAATGACCACCCCCGATTTATTGGCCCAAGGCGGTCCGGGCGCATCTGCGATCTGCACATGATTCGATCGCATCCATTTATCTGTATCGGGTTTTGGTCTTTTCGACTGCAGTCATAGCAGAACGAGGCGCATGCGCCGATAATAATCGATGGTCTCTGCTGTCGGCAGGGCGGAGCGCTATAAACGCTTCGAGATGATTACACAGAAGCCAACGTCGGGAAACCACGGAGATCAGTTGCACAGCGAACGCGCGCGCGCCGACGGCAGACCAGGGGCGGATCATCTCCCGATGAGGCACACTACGGCTGTGTTCAGACCAGCGCACGCGGGCAAAATGGAGAGGAGGAAATGACCATACAGAAACGGTGCGAATCGATAAAGAAACAGAGATGTAATGTCACAAGAGAACATGCGCCCAAGTCGAGTCCATAACCTGAAAATACAACGCCCTCCCGCGATGGGAGGGGGACACCCAAACCAACCACCTATTAGTTGATCTTGAGTAGCTCCACCTCAAACTTGAGCGTTGAATTGGGCGGTATCACTGGTGGGAATCCTCGCGCGCCATATGCCTATGTCACCCAGCGCTCGTGAGTTCCCAGAGCGGATCATACAGCGGAATGGGGAAACGCACATAATCAGGCGTCGCTGTGAGAATAGCTTTTTCGCCCAAGGACAGTCGTGGTACACCTGATCGGATCGATAATCAGCTGGCCCATCCAAGAATAGAGCGCACAGCAACGAGAGAGACGCACCCTCGTCCCAGCCTTTGATAACTTTTCCTACGCCAATCTCAGTCTCAAAGGGAGAGCCGCTGCAACGAGGCGCGCGTGCGTCAGGGAATGAAGACTCAGCGGCTTCGTGAGATGAAGGGGACTTGCCGATCTCTACTCGAATCAAACTTCTTCCCGTCAATGAGGGTGCCCACGTAGTGTATTGTGACCTTATCTGCGGTATGTGGATGGGCGGTCAATAACACGATCGGAGAGCGGGGAGGAAGGCAAACGACGTACCGCCTCGTTGAGGGAAGGTAGTGCCGTCGCCGGGGGAGATGCTTTCGACAGTGACGCCCTGGGGGAGGATCATGAGCACGACGGCGGCGGCGGTGGGGGTGCGCAAGGCAACAAGGGGCTCACCATGATGGAAGGATGCGAAGGAAGGCTAGGATAATCGGATGTGTTATATAGGGAGGCGCATAGCGGCTAGGGACTTATAACACTGACGGATGCGGAGTACGGATCTTGATCCGATCTGGCGTCATCCGACCCCATTTGAGCCTTTTAAACTGTTATCGATGTCGATGCCACTTTTCCAACCTCTCCCTGCCTTTCCTCGCAACTCTCTCCGTCGTTCGCTGGCTCCGGGAACTCATCGATTTCGGTTTGAGCGCACTGTCCACCCGTGTGGGTCGCTCCAGCCTTTCTTGGACACACTGGCCCGAGCCATCCAACTGGCAAACCTTTTTCTCTGCTTCTTCGTCACCTGCTCTCCCGTTCGATGAACCCTTCTTTTCTATCGGCAGACCATCTCGTTCTGGCCTATCGCCTCGCTGGCCCTCTTCCAAGCACCTCCTCGCGCACCCACACCCGCGCATCACACTTTGCATTCACAGCGCACTCCACCGACCGGTTTCCTCGTTCATCGTGCACTGAGGGTATGAAAACGCTCGATGTAATATTCAGAGCTTATCTTTCTTATCTGTCCTCACCCGCGCTCTGTCTCGCTCAGCCGCGCGTCTAAGCTCAGGATCCAGAGCACCGACCGTCTAGCAAAAGGCGTCCGTATGAGTGACTTCGGCGAACAGTGCCTAATCGAGCAACGCTGAGCTTTTGTGATCGAGTGACCTGTTTGTGACAACCATCACAATGACAGTGAACGAGTCTCACTCTGGCCGAGGATCACATATGACCGTATTCGCTTCACAGTGGTTTCTCCGACATATTCATTGCATTTCTTCATCAGGAGAACCGTGCACTCATCCATATTCGTCGAGACGGTGTTGGCCGTCAGCTCAAATGGTACACGATCGTCCGGGTTTGCGATCCCCTGCCAGATGTTTCTTCTATCTAACAGCATCTATCCGCTCCTCTCAACGTTTTCATTGTTCCACGTCGGTACATTCTGAACCCACAGTCCCAGAGGGGCAGGAACTGTATACTGATGCATGTTCGATAACTAAGGATATCTAGCCGACCAGCGCTCGCCTCCTCTTCGGTGACTTTGCCAGTCTAGATCTGTGGACAAACTTCAATCGGGCGCATGGAGATCTGCGAAACGAGGCAGAACGTCGTGGTGGCGTAGGGTGGCGTACCGGGCCAAGTAGTTTTTACTGACGACGGCGACCAATAGGCGATTGTTCCCAGATCTTGCAGGCCCTGATAACCCCTCTTGGAGCCAACGTGACCGATCGGTATCCGTCCTCTGCGTTGCATCCGCCCACCACGGGCTTGATTGAAAGAACGAAGTGGACACATCCAGAGTCGAAGCTGGTGACATCACCTACGCCTTCGCCATTGGACGCTAGGTGCGGCGACGTCGTTGTTCCATTGGCATGAGCCCTTGTGTGTCTGGCCAGCGATGATGCCAGGCCCCACTTTACTCGTTCAGCAGACAACTTGCGCGATAGACGTCTTCTATGGTATTCGTGCACGCCCGAACAAACGTGGGGTGCTTCGACAGTCTCGACTTTTGTAGATTGGGACTGTTCTCGGTCGCATCATCACAATCGAGGATTAGACCCTCCATATTCTTAGGGCGTTCTCAGATCGACGGACGAAGTTTCCACTCGCGCATCACATCGCGACGAGAAACCATCCGAGAGAAAGGAGAGCAAGTGGACAGAGCATCTCTTCTCTCATTCACTCCCTTATCGTATCAGCGTCTCCCGAAGACACAGACTGATGTACGTACTTGAAGCAGTTCCACGAACCCCACAGGGGGCCGCGGAGTTGCTTGCTTGACCGCCGGAATCGGCGCGCAATTCGCCACCTTCTGTTGCGTCCGACTTGAAATCCTCGAGGCCGATCCCCCACACAAGGTATCAGTGTAGACATGCGCCAGCAGCGAATCAAAGTGCGAGGCATACACTTGGATGCGATTGGCTCGCACGCCTGGCCACCGCGTGTGCCGGTCGCTATCGGGCGTGTCGCGCAAAAGGAGGGTTCATGACGCAGCATGGGCCAGCCGGTGGCGCCACTGTGGCGGAAGGCTAGACGAGGAGCGCGCTGCGGCTGGGACGTGATAAACACATTCGAGAAAAGGTATTACACATACCCTCGCTTGCACTCCGTCCCGGAGGCTTAGGGCGACAAGGGGCCAGAACGCACAGGGCGAAAAACATATTTGGGGTGTTGTCTCCTCGCGCGTAATGAGGAACGTGCTACCGACTCAACCGATATCTGATCGCTGGGGGGCATATAAGCGAACGTTGCCGCGGAGCGAGGGCGCGCTCAGAAAAAGCGAGCCATTGTGCCGCATCACTTTTATCTCATAATCACGTGTGTGTTTTGCAATGGCTAAAGCTCACATACGGTCAGCTGGGGGCTGTAGAATTTGTATCGCTATCAGCTAGGGAAACTCTTCACAAGAGAAAGGAACTTACCACTCGAGAAGAGTGAACCCTTGTAGGAGCCATATTTAGCGGACATCGACCCGGAAGCGGTGGATTCGTCCTCTTCTAATACCGTACGTGAGCGCAGATACAGGCTTAGACAAACTCGAATCGAAGACGGGGAAGTGGGTCAAGTACCTTCTCAGCTTCGTACTTCTCGCCAAAGAGAGGACGGCGGCCCCTATTCAGCTTTGCCCGATGGGCCTACGAATCAAACATGTATCCGGGCTGTTACGGCAAGCTTCCAGCCAACCGCGCGTTCGGCGGCCCGCACGGCCCCATCTTGGTCGACAGCGACATCTGCATATGGGTTTGAGCTGGCAGCGGGGCGGGATGCGATGGCGTTTTGGGCACGCACCGAATGACATAGATCGTCCCGAGCCCCCTAATCGAGGACGCATTACTCGCCGAATTGGTTATTCGCGACGTAGAAGACATCGTTCGGCACGCGCCCGTGCGCGATGCCATTGCTTCCCCAGATGTTTTCCACAGCGATCGTGGAAGCACAGGTTGAGGATCTTTCTCAGACGCGCCGGAACACTAAGACGCTGCTCGCTTCAGGCTGCATGTCCGGAGGTGGCTAGACCTGCGAAACACACAGACACGTACATCGCCCCGCACGAGACCAATACACATGTACACCACACCTGCACGCACGCAAATAAGTCGAGAGAAGCTGTGCTCTCTTCTTAGGGTGATATGGAAAGAACAGAAGATTGATAGGAGAAGTGGCAAGAGACAAGACACGCACATAGCCAATTTTGTGCCCATGACTGCTTGTCACGAAGAAGCGCTTCCCATCCTTATCTGGTGCGACCGCGGACCCATCCGACAAAGCCCACGCGTCCGCCGGACTATTCCTGCCATGCATCGTCGAAGACTTGGACACCAGAGTCCGCGCCGATGTCCTGTGCTCTGCCTCCACGAGAGGGGCGACGTTCGAGGACGTAGATGGATGCTTTAGAGGATCAAGAGACGATGTCCTTGCCATACATTGAGGAAGGAATCAGGTTCGATTTCTCCTGAGGGGAGTTGTGAAGGGGTAGAGAGTCGCAACGTAGTCGTCACCAGGTTTGCTCGCCCGTTGACGATGCCCGTTGACAGCGCCCAATAAACACCGCTTATAGGTGTTGGGCATGCAAAGGCCAAGGCCAGAGGCTGCGCGCAGCATCATCTACAAGAACACAGCCCACACCATCGTTCTGATAGCCATGACCACAAAGATGACCGGGCTCACCTGTACATGCCTAAACCTCTTCTAAGGATCGTGGTGCCAACAACAGCTTCATACAATAAAAATCTGCGACGATGGCGGACAGAAAGGCGTTTAGAAAAAGCTAGATGGCAGTCATGGTGGTGCGATTCAGCGAGGAAAGAAGGCTCGGGGTTTCGCTAACCAGTGCAGTAACTAAGTGATGTTGCCAGGTGCGAGCGAAGGAGCGCCGGATATGAGCGCTTGTTCCAGGTCGCTAAATGCATTCAGGAAACTAGGCAGCATAACTTCTCGAGTAAAGTAGACTGAATCGATGGATGCTTTTCCATTGAAACAAGGCAGGGCGGAGAGGTGATGACAACAGGATAAGTAATAGCTAGTGGGTCTCCGTGTAGCATCTCTTCCTGATTATTGAGACGGGCTTTGGCCGGCCCGAAGGCAAGATTTGAACACGTTCGATGTTGCAGTCCTGAACAGATCTGTGCAATCACCTACAATCACTCGCGCAGGGATGTGGTAAATCTTGTGCTGATCAGGGTCATGCGCTTGTATCGCAGATCTTTTTGCGATGCCTTTCACCTCGGATGACGGGCCACAAACCTCACCGTCGAAGCGGGCTTGTTAGTTAAACACAAGCTGGGCATCGATGGCAAGCATTGGGGTGAGGTGGACGATTGCCGTCTTCCGGCATTTATTTCTCGCACCCTGGGCAGCAATGTACTACATCGTGCACGAACACGTCACAGTCTGTGCAGAAATCGTGGTGGCAGTCTGAACAGCGATAGCGACCTAGCGGACTCATGCCCTCGGTCAACACGGTCGTGGCTCCCTGCAGCTGTTCGAACGGCAGGGCGCACGCATGACAGCTCGCAGCCGGGCTGGGCGTATCATCGAGCGTGGTGCTGTCGACGATCGTCAACGCCAAAAACAACAAAGCACGAATGGAGATAACGGATGCTTACACAGCAGCATACGGCTTCACCGGAAACAGGTGGTGATAGCTCCGCGCGAGATGCGGCGAGCTCACGATCATGAGACCGCAGATGTCGCAGTCCGTCGGCACGTCGCAGACCTTCGCGAGGCAGCGCGGACACAGAAATCCCGCGCTGCGCAGGTCCGCATGGCACACGCACAGCGAAGGCGGTGACGTGTCTGGGAGGCGCGACGGGAACCCCATCATCATGAGGTCGGCCGCCGGGTTCGCCGTACCCCCTCCGGCAGCGCGCGGAACCGCTCGTTGTGCCGGCGGAGGGATTAATTCAAACAGCAGATCCTTGAAATGTCCCTCGTTCATGGCGACACCGAATTGGCCTGCCATACACAGGTTTTCGAATATACGACGAGCGTGGTGGTGGCGTCAGTGACTTACCGCCTGTTTTATCGCACAGCTCGCGGCAGATCTTCATTTCCGCGGCGAGCGCGACGACTGATATGCGAATTTTGTCTTTGACGCAGGTTTGGAGGGTGTCATAAACATCCCCGGGATCCACGGTTGTCAGAGAGCCGAAAATAATGAGGATTTCTCGTGAAGAGTGTGTTGGGAGATGGCTTCAAAAGCATTCAGGACGTGATTTCTGAATAAGAGATTTGTTGTACCTCATGCTGCTGCGAGCCATCTCAATGGCATTTTGTAAACTTGGTTCCCCGACGGGCTCTAATTTGTGTCGTTCTGACAAGGCTTTCAGAATGTCCTGGGGGTTTCCTGAGAGAGCGCAAGTACCGTTAGACCGATGACGTGTTAGAGGCCTGCGCGCATACCAGACATCTCGCCGATCCGTTCTCCAAGCCCGCTGCGCATCCCCACAATGCCAACCTGCCCTAAAGGATTCTGGTCGAACCATTCTGTGACAAACTCACGGGTGTATTCTAATGTAAGGTCAAACCGTGTCGGACGCAGGTCACGGTCCATCATGGAGGATGAAAGGTCGAGTAGAATGATCAAATGTCGAATAATCGTGCGGCGGATGGCGGCGGCAGGCGCGAGGAGCCTGCTCGATTTTAGAAACACCCGACACAGAAGGCAAGGATGCTCGTGAAGGATGCGCCGTACCTCCGTCGCCTCCCCCTCGCCATAAGCTCTGCCACAGCTCCTTGCAAACTTCCGCCCTCGTCTTCTTGCACAGTGTCCCATGAGCGCGTGTAAGATGCCTCCCATGCGTAGGATTGCTTAGAAACGGCGAGACCATCCCATCAAGCAGTGCTGGATCAAATTATGAGCCACAACGGGAGCTATGGGTAGAAAAGACGCACGTCTTTCGCCTTCGCTTTCGCCCTATCCTTCTGTAGGTCGGTAGTTTTCTGTTTGCCCTTGGCCTTACTGCGTCGGCTGACTTCATCAAAGACAGAAACATCAGAGTCTGATTCGGCGTCCATTTTTTCGATAGTAGTGGCAGGTTTCAGTAGTTATGCGAGTTGGTGGTGGCGGCAGTGGGTGTGGCGGTGGCCACTGAAGAGCACCTTCGGAGCCGGTGCTGAACGGTCCGAGTTCCGGGCTGGGCCACATTTGGCCACAGCCGTGTCACTTTCCACCGTCACTAGCCACAGTAAACCGCGCCTCCTTGCAAGCTCATCCATCCATACTACAGCAAAAAAAATGAAAGACTGAAGGTGCAAGTCAAAGCACCCATTTCGCGTATACTCAGCCCTCGGTGATATTGTCATGATCGAGCAATCTCCAAAGATTTACCGACCAGTCACCGTATCCTCCAACTTTTTCGCCTCCTTTACCATTCCCATGCAGGTTTAAGCCAAAATTCATCCATGCAGACATCTCAAAGGCAAGTCGCTCCTATATGCTCTGTTGAGATGACCGATCCGCGTTCGTCACATGGCAGGACCCTCGATGCCGATTTGTCCTACCCTTCTGGGAACACGAAGGCACACATCCAGCGACTTTGTCCCCCAATACCTTACGCGGCGCTTCCATCAAAACATCGGCTCGATGTGCTGCGCCTGCGTGATCATCTTGTCCGAACGTGGACGGTTTTTATTGTGGCAGATTGTGGCTCGATCCTCCTCATGGCTGGATCTCTCCAGATCTCTGTTGTCCTGATGAAATACTCATATTGTTCCTATCTGACGAGATTTTAGATCTGATCGAGGGTCTTACTACTAGTGTCTTACAGTGTCTTACTCGACATTCCCCTCAGCGCGCCCGGTGAGTCAAGGATCAGCCAATTAAGTTATCCCCTTTCCATCGATAAGTGACTCCAAGTGCCGATATTCCGGAAGTCTTCTGGCATCGTGCATATATGGCTCGTATTTTTTTTATTTTCCTTGCTATGTTCAGAGTGCATCTTCTCCAAAAATATACATACCACATGAACTGCTTGCCACAGTCAGGAGTCTTTGCAATTTCCTATAACATTACCGCAGCGATAAATCAAAGCGTTCGTTGCCTCCTCACTACTATTAGGTCCTAACTTCTGCGACTTGAACAAAGCCCACCCAAGTGGATTCTACCCATCTCATCGCAGTCCGTACTTTCTTCATTGCATCCTTGATCCCGTCGAGAAGAACTGGGTCCTCGAATCCTTTGACCTGCAACCCTTCGAACTTCTCTGTCTCCTCTTCTTCCGCTTCCTCCGATGACGGCATCTCCAACCTCGGCCGCTTCCCAGGCCTCTCCCTCCCCGTACTCATCTTCCCCGGAACATCTCGTCGTGCAGGTGCCGGCTGCGCGACCAGCCTCCCCGCAATTGCCACCATTAGTCGGCGCTGCAACAGTATGAACACTGGGTCTTCGAGCTTGAGTGTGCGGTCCACGGCCGCACGCAGTCGTGTTTCCTCGTCGGGATCGAGAGACCCACCAAGTGCGCGTATGAGCTCGTCGGCAAAGTTGACGAGCTTAATGTCGAGCGAGTCTGGCTCGTCGTTGATGGAGACGAGCAGGAGCGTCCAGATGCGCAAGACGAAATCGGAGGCGATAGGGCTGGATGCGGATGGGAGGAGCGCGCGCAAGGCAGCTGCTATGACGAGACCTTGAAGCAGGTTTTGGATGTGAAAAAGCACGGGCGCGGAGAAAAAGAAAGGAGGGGGGAGTGTGTTTGGGTTGCTAGGAACTGGGGGTGCTTCTGTCCCAGGTTCTTCATCTGAAGGAACTGGCTTCACGGGCAATGGGCAGGCGACCGGTGCCGCAGCGCCCAGCGCCTGGATCAGACGCAGAACCCACTTGCGCTGAGGGGGCGCAGCGACGGATGACAGAGGGCCAGTAAGTTCTTCCACCCACGCGTTCCATTGCGACTCGATCTTCTCTTTCTTCCAGAGCTCGAGCGCAAGGCCCCGTTCTCTGGCACGAGCCTGCTCCCGGATCGCCATGCGAAGTTGATCCTCTCCCATAGTGCCAAGGACAAACTCCGACAAGTCGTCTTTCATCGCTTCTGCTAGCTTCAGGATGGACCGCACAGTTTCGACCACGAGCGTGGCGAGCTCAGCGGTCATCGATGCTGGTGGAAGATCGTCCAGTCGATGCATCGGAGCATTGATGTCTGCGTCTCGCACAGGAGCACACCGCCCTTGCAGCGCGACAAGGACCTCGCGAAGATGCGACAGAGCGGAGAGCAACGGCGCCGATGTGGGGGACAGCGGTGCAGATAGCGTAACTAGAACTACATGATTGGCAGGCAAAAGCGGCGTCAACGCAGCATGGAGATCATTGTAGAGCAGCTTGAGGCGAGGCAGTTGGACGGAAGGTTGCGCAGATGAGAGAGAATCCAGCGCCTGGGGAACAAAAGCATAAATTTCAACGGCCCGCGCCTGGGGACGCAGGTGCAGAATGCCGCACCTCCTCCCAGAAGGCCTTGTGGATCACTTCCTCGACCTTTTCTTGTATGCTGGGCAGGTCGCCTGATTCTTCGCGCGTGCGAGGTTTCGACATTACAGAGAGCAGAGACTTGCCTGGGGACAGGACTTTGGCTGGATCGTTCGCCAATAAATGGAGAAAATATACATCATTCAGCAGTTCTAGGAGTTCGATTGGGAGGATGGTGTTTGGAGGGATGGATCGGAGGAGAGGATGTGGGGCAATTGACGAAGGAGCTTTGACGGTCGAGATATCTGGGTATGTGGATGCAACAGGATCGGAGGAGTTATGAAAAGAGTGCTGCAAGCTGTTGAAGAGTTCGTTATTTTCTGGTGTGCGCTCCCATAGTCCCTGCTCTTCCAGTAGCTGAAAATCATGCGCTAAGATGTCCCAAGATATCTCTCGAGAATGCGAAAGATGTTTAAGCGTGTTATTGACTATAGCATTTGAAGGATCTCGAGCTTGAATCTCCTTCAGTTTGGAAACTATATTCTCCATTGGAAACGCGAAGGGAGAGACGAGAGAACTATTGAAAGATCAATAAGTGTTCACCAAAATGGGCCTATCCTGAAAACTGGGATGAGCGAAGCACCTTCAAGGTTTCCTCGACGAATCTCGGGACATGGGACATACTGTATGATTCCCTGAGGAATACAAGAGAAGTGATGAAGCCTGAAACGATTATAGTGCTCAAACCACTGTCTCCGCTTCACGCCTGAGTTTCGGATGAATCTTCTTGATTACACTACGAGTATGAGCTTGCGCGGAAGTGGGATCGGAACCTTCGGATGTGAAACCCGCCTAGAGACCTCTGTGCGCGGTTTGTCCTGAGGATGCTGTCAGAAAGGATGGGAGGACGGAGGACCTGGCCGTTGAGGAGAGGGATGCTGACCGGGGATGATCACGAAATGGGCATCACGTCTGAGAGGGACGCTGGCTGCCACTGACACTCGCTCGTAGTGACCATCAATCTGGTCGACCCTCCCTCTCCGTCTTTCTTGCTCTACATATGGCTGTTTGATCCCGGGCACATCTCTAGACATTCACCCTTTCCAGTCTCTGAATCGTGTCTTCTACCCGAGCGGCTTTCGACGAGATATTCAATTTATGAACTTCAATAATTCGATGGATTCATTCCTCGTTCGTCTCCTCTCTCGTCAAACCCCTGAAGACGATGCACCTCCTCCACCGGACCCCGTTCCGGCTCATCATGCAAACGCAGTAGTAGCCTTCATCATCGGCCTTGCAATTGTCGTTCTTGCATCGGTGTTGAACGCTGCTGGATTGAACTTGACCAAGTTGGACCATGTGCGTACCGTTGGCTCCCTGGGCAGCTCTTGGGGGAACCACGAGGGCCTGATCAATAGATATTCAGGTGCGCACGAGCGTAATACCTAAAAGTGCACGACGGAGAGACTGGTTACGGCCGCTATGGCTCTTGGGCATGCTCCTCTACATGTACGTCCTATCCCTTTCCATCGGCTTCCATACCTTACGCCACTGGATGAAGACTTTCCCAGCTGATAGGGTCCACGCTCGCTTTGGAGTACATGCGTGCCGGTATGTACCACGTACCGCTCTTTGTTCTCTCATCGTAACCTGTCTTATAGAATATGTCGCCCCTTTGGGTTCGACATCCCTCATATTTAACTTTCTATTTGCACGGTTCCTGGTGGGTACGCCAGTCACTTCAAATGATATATATGTACGAACTTTTATCGATTCTCATTGCACACCTGCTGATTTTGGCCGTCTCCAGGGAACCATAATCGTCATTGCTGGGGTCATCGGCATCGTCGCCTTTGGCTCCATTAATACTGGCCTCTCTTCAGAGACAGATGCCTCTCACCTTGCCTACCTATGGGCCCGTGCCGGATGGATCGGGTACTTTCTGGTCATGTCGCTCGCGCTCTCGCTTCTCTTCGTATTCACTACGCAGCTCGATCTCGTCCTCGCGTCACGCAGCGATCTGTCCGCGGAACCGTTTGCGGGAATGACCACCCGTATACCCAAGTCCACCTCTGGTGGCCCTCTTAGGCGAGTTATGGGCTGGATACGATGGGTGATGATTGCGATTGCAGAAAAGTTGGAGGCTTGGACGGCTGGCAAAGATGACAAGGTTGTGGCTTGGACTTTGGGTATTGGGTGGGCCTGCTGCGGTGGTGGGATGGCCGGCGAGTGCTTGGTATTTGCTAAGGCCACGTAAGTCGTCTCAATGGGTATTATTTGAGGTTGACAGTTCTGATCTTTGATGATGTTACAGCGTCCAACTTATATCCGGTTCACTGTCCCATGAGAATCCTGGGAACCAGCTCGGCCATGCCGCGCCCATCTTCACGTTTATATTTCTTGCGACGACAGCGATATTGCAGATAGTTTGCCTGAATCGTGGTCTGAAGGTGTATGACTCCACTCTCGTCGTTCCCGTTTTCTACGGAGTGTACACTGCGACTGGGTGCGTGACATAGTTATTCGTTTGCTCTTGTAGTAGCGCTCATGACATCGTACGTGAAGTTGGTTGAATTCATTGGTAAAATTATTCGTATGTATTTTCGGCGCACTAATCTGACGCTCCTCTTCACATCTAGATCTTCAACGACTCCGTCGATGCCTATGCCTCCTGGACGCTCTTCCTCATCTTCGTCTCCATCCTCATCCTCATTTCGGGCGTCGTCCTTCTCACATACAAAAAGCCCGAAAAGGCCGTTGCACAGCGCGATGCCGGGATCTCCCTTTCCTCCGTACCCAGTCGCCCGATACCCAAAAAACACGACGGCAAGTCAGTGGCAGACGACATGGACTCGGAGCGCGCGGGCCTGAGCGGAGAGAACGGTGCGGCCGTGTGGGATGTCGGAGACGTGAGCGACGAGGAGGACGAGGGCGCCGAGAGCGTGACGCCGAGAGCCCCAAGGCATGAGAGTGCTCCGAGCCAGGCCGTCCAAGTGCATAGCGGAGAGGAGGGCGTGCATTTGATGTCCACCCACGACGAGGAGGATGTTCGGCATCCCGTTCGTGACGGGAGGCCGGAAGTGCTCAGCCGCAGGCGCTCTGTGTCATCCGCGATGCGGCGTAGCGAGGAGGGTGAAGCGGATGAGTTTGGAGAGTTCAATGATGGGTTGTTGCGGACGCGCTGATCATATCATACTGCATGTCCTGGAGTTGACGATAGAACCAACAGAGACTTTACGAGAAATTACGACGTCGATGTACCATAGGTTATAATTCTTCTGCTTAATGGTTTATGTATACTAATAATTGCCTTGTGTTGCAATAGCTTGAACATTTGGGAAGATGTGAAGCCTGAGTACTTCTGCCCAAGTTGCAGACATCTTGCTAGACACAGCATTAGAGTTCAAATTAGAACTCAGACAGCCTGTTTACCTTTGCTTGGGTGCTATTTCCCTTACCTGTGAGAGCCCTCTTCTCCTCATCCATCACATTCCATTGCCATCATTTCTTGACCTTTCTTTCTTTCCCACTTTTCACAAAACACAACAAAACATAGGAGCTCTTTTCTTCCTGAAAGCATCTACCTACTACCCCGCTTATACCCTCACCTCCGCATCCAGTGGGCCACAACTATGTCCGAAAAGGAAGACCATGATGAGCTTGTTGATGATTACATGGATGTCGATGAAGAGGCAGAGACCGTCATCGATCCGAATGTATTTAAAATTAGACAGTCGCTTGAGCAGCCATATGCTCAGGCATTCACGACTGCTCAACTTCATGGTAAGTCGATCTCTGATGTTCGCCAGCCTACCGGGAAGGTCCGTCACCACGAACACGGAATTAAATTGCGCGTCTGCCACCAGCTCAAATCCACGAGGGTCAGATAGACCTCAACCCCCCTTACCAGCGCGGTACGTCCTGCATCCTTCCTCATGTCGAAAGCCTTGTCTTATATGATCAGATGTCGTATGGAGCACGAGCAAGCAGATGGAGATCATCGACTCGCTTTTCCATAATTTCTATGTGCCGCCGGTCATCTTTGCCCTCGTCAAAGACGACGACGGAGAGGACACGCGGGTTTGTGTTGACGGTAAGCAGCGCTTGACGAGCATCCAAAAGTTCTTCGACGGACAGGTACGCCTTGTCGATCCTGACTTTGGTTTCGAGAGCCGCACTGATGATGCCTTTTTTCGTGCAGATTGCCTGTGAGCCACTAACGCTGTTTTTTGCATGTGGTTCACATACTGATCAGCGCGCGTGAAGACCGCGACCCAACTACGAGGAAGCTCTGGTATTACACCTGTTCGGAGACCAACAAGTCCTCCCGTAATGAGATCCCACCGGAAGGGAAAAAGCTGTTCGCAGAGAAGCTTATGACATGCGGTATGCATTCGGTTTCACTTGCTTGCTTTCATCATTGCTCGGTGATGGCTTATAGCAGCTTTGTACAGTGGAATACCGAAACCTTACGGCGGGAGCTGAACGTGATGTGTTCCAGCGCGTACAACTCGGCGTCGCTTTGACAGCAGCTGGTAAGTTCATCCCGCATTTTCAAAATGAGTGTTTCATCGGCCAATGCACAACTCGCTACCAGAGAAACTGCAAGCAATATCATCTCCGTGGGCCACCTGGATCAACAAGCTCGAATCACGCTACATTTCTGCGGACGACGGACTCACCGATGTGCTCAAGTTCGACACCAAACGCGGCCGAAACTTCCAAAATCTGGCGCACTTCATCTACTGCTGCGACGGCTTCCCGGAGCAGCTCGTGCCTACGCAAACAAAGGTCGAGAAATGGATGTACCGCGCCGACGAGCCGCGGAGAGAGTTCCAGGAGGCCATCAACAACGTGCTCTCGACTCTGTGGCATCTGGCTCACGAGCCGAAACTGAACTTCCCGTTCTCGAAAATCAAGATCCGGATTGCCCCGGTCGAGTTCTGTTACATGGGTCCGTGCCGTTTCCGCTCATCTACTGGCTGAGCACGATCGTGATCGCTGATCTGTTCCGCACGGGCGACAGGCGTCCTCCTGTACGTCATGCGCGGCAAGGGTTTCAAAGACGACGAAAGGGCGCAGAACATATACGATCTGCGAACCGAGCTCCGCAGCCACGAGCAGGACATTCGGTCCAACGCGCGCATTGCGCGACGCTGCTGGGACTTCATCGAGGGCGTCTCGGACCAGGAGTTCGCCATGAAGTACAACGTTCCTGGGAAGCGTAAGCGCAAACGAACAGTCAAGGATGATGCGACTGATGTTGACCGTCCAGGGGGGAGCAAGAAGGGCAAGGCGAAGGCTGCATAGTGGCTCACGATGCAGTAAGGAGGGTTTGTAGACCAGATATTCATCATCCATTCAATAATACACAACCTCATACATCCCCTGGCGCCTTCAATTACATCTCTCTTCTCGTACTATACCTGCAGCCATTGACCACGGTTTATTTCACCCGCGATGTATACCATGCACCCTCCTTGTCCGTCAAGGCCCTTGCATATCTCAACAGCAGCTTATCCCGCTCCTTTGCATTGACTGCAATGTCTGAAAGGAAGGGAGCGATGTCTTCAGCTTTCCAGCGCCGGCGTGTGAGGAAGAGGTCGGTAAAGCGAGCGGCGGGGTCGGTGGGTAGTTCTGCGCAAGGGAAGTAAGAGATGAGGTTGTTGGACGTGAAGGGCGACGTCGAGGAGAGGTAGTTTCCCTGTGAATTCAAGGGGATCGGTCAGCTTGTGAGAACGTGGAATGACGGCACATACCGAAAGAAGAGACAGGGACACTCGAGCAGAGAACGTGTCGCCGACCGCGGATGTCCATTTTGTCAGGAACTCGTTCACGTCGGCCGGTTCGTCTTGCTAGAGTGCGGATGAGTCTAACGATGCGAGGAAGAGGACACGCCGAAACGCACCTTGTGGTGCCTAAGTATTCCCAGACCCACTTGCCTCACGACCGCGTCCACGTCCATCTTCCACTTGCCTCCGTCCACGTCTCCGAACCACTGCATGACCTGCGTCGTGACCTCGCGCCCGATCTCATGCTCGTCTTCGAGCGCGCACACCATGTCCAGGACGGACGCGGCGTCGTGGGGCTGCTGGAGCGACGCCAGGTACATCAGGAGGAGCTCGAGGATCGTGTGGAGGTAGGATGGTGGCATGGGCCTGAGGTTCCCTGTTACGAGCGTGCGATCAGGCGCGGAGTGCGGGAGTGGGGGTATGGTGAGCGGGGGTCGCACCGTTCATGACGAGGACGCGTTGATCGCGGATGGCGGCGGCCAGCTCGTGCTCGCTCGCCTGGAGCTCAGAGCGCGCCTGCTCGTACGTGTATCGCGGGCGTTTTTTCTAGTGTCTAGCGTCAACAACAAAGGCACCACGAAGAGCGCCAAACGATGCTCACCGGCCGGTCGAACTCGTCGTACCCCACCTCCTCGTCTTCGTCCTCGTGGCCCTCCTCCCACTGCATGCCCCTCAACAGCCCCCGCAGGCGATGCAGCTTCGGAACGGTCGGCGCGAGCTCCAGGATCTCGCTCAGGCTCTCCTGCACCTCGATCCTGGGCATGTCGTTGTTCGGCCCGGTGGCCAGATCGGCGGAGGGCGTGACGACGAGGACGGAGTTGGAGAGGACGACGGAGCGCATGGTGTACGTCCTGTCCGACGTGCAGAGCACCGCGTCATCGTCCGGTCCACCCTTTATCGACAGGCTGCAGATGAGTTTCGCGGGATCAGCGTGCGGGCAGCGAGACTCAGGCCGGCGCGGGTTGCCAGTGCTGTACCTGAGCGTGCTGTCGGCAGAAGACTCTATGAGCGCGCAGAGCTCTGGAGGGAGCTCCAGAAGACGAAAGGAGCCGTGCTCGGGCGCGTCCAGCGGATACTTGAGCTGTGCTTCCGACATTGGAGGAGATCACAGCGCACAACAGCGCGCAAGACCGAGCGCTTCAGCCAGCACGCGACGCGTCGGTCACGCGACACAGCGCGACAGGTCACAAAGGTGAAGGTCTCAGCCGCACATACAAGTGGTTCCAGCCAATTCACAACAGACAATCGAGAATACCGCAAGCTACTCGTACATCATTTGCTGCACATCCCCACCCCACGCACAATCATTGTGCACATCAGGGGTAGAGCCCGTTCAACAGCTCAACCACGTCCCCAAAGATCTCCGTCTGCCCACCCAAAGCCTTTTCAGCGATCTTGGGAACATCCCCACGTGGAACCTTGTACTGGTCAAGATCCGACTTCAACCCAAGACCAACCACCAGCCTGAAAACTACCGCGTCAACACACAGGCGGGCACGGAAACGAAGCGCTCGACGTACTCTTCGATGAGGGAAGCGAGCTTCACGATATCGCCGTCGACGGAGCCGGTGGAGGGCTGACGGAGATAGAAGAGCGCGCCGGAGAGCCATTCTTTGTCCTCCTCGGAGGCGATCTGCGCCTTCAGGCGGACGGTAGGCGCGAGGGTCAAGCACTGCCAAAAGTATTCGCGGGTGAGGGATCGTGTCTGGCTCAGGAGATTGTGCGCCTACAGATGTGATCCCGTGGGGGATACCGTATGCTGCGCCGAGTTTGTGCCCCAGAGCGTGCGAAAGGCCCAACGCGCTGTGGAAAACAGACCAGGTGAGATGCTCAATCTTCGTACAAACGGGACCATATGGCTACATACCTGTATTTCTCGAGCTTCATGGGCCAGAGACTCATCCACGACGCGAGTTGCAACTTCTGTCGCACGGCGACGTCCTGGGGGTTCGCCTTGGACTTGGGCAGATTCTCGAAGAGGTCACGAAGGGCCTGATAGCAAAGTGCTTTGATGGGCGGGGTCACCAAGGGACGGTACAGGTTCTCGACCGCATGGTCCAGAGCACGGAGGCCCGTAGAGAGCCTGAAGGCGTCATTGAAAGTTGAGACGTTCGTTTCGTCAGCATACAGCAAGAGAAGGCGTACCAGAGGCGTTCAGGAGTCGAAAGTGTGAGCTCAGCGTCCAAGATGATGCCCGCCGGTGCAAGCTCCGGGGAGCTCACCGCGACCTTGACTCCCTCCTCATTCGTAAATCCCGCTCCGATCTGTCATATCCACCTCGTCAGTCGCCGCATCGTGAACCCCGCCACTGTCCCGCATATAGGGGAGACAACGTCCACGCACCGTGTATTCCGCAGCGCTCAGCGTCGTGGGGATCGCGATCTGCCGCGCGAACGCCCCGCCAAACTCCTGCTGCAGGTTGTATATGATCGCCTTGGTCGCGTCGACCGGCGAGCCCCCGCCGACCGCGACGACGAAATCCGCGCCTGCGTCCTTGTACGCCTTGATCCCCGCCCTGATCCCCGCGATGGGCGAGTGCTCGCCGATATCGTAGAACGTCGCACCGTACGCGTTCTCGGAGCGCAGGACGGCTTCGACTTTCTTGACGACGTCGGTCTAGCGCGATCGCAGCGGCAGTCAGGCGGGAGGGTCCGGTCGCAGAGATGGGTTCCGGGCGGGACGTACCTTGTTGAAGAGACTCTTTCCAGTGACGACGAGCGCCTTGGTGCCCCCTATCGCAGCGCGCAGCTTTGGCAGAGCGGTGGGGAGGCTGCCGGGTCCGTAATAGACCCCCTTGAGAGTGTCGGTCCAGGCGTAGAACCCCTGAACGTTAGTCGACGGATGCGTATCGGATAGGAGAGTCGACATGGCGGCCCGTGCAAAGGTCGGGAATGTGCTGTGTTTTGGACGGGGGCGTATGAGGGTACAAAGCAGGCCTGCGCTCGCGAAGCTGACTGATGACGGCGGCATGATGGCTGAGCTGCCGATACGGTCAGTTGCAGGCAGAGCGGCGGCATGCGTGACCGAGTCAAGCTCCAGCACGAATTCATGGCTGAATGCTTTAGCCTGCGTTCGTGGCCGACCGACCAGGCCAGCTGATGCCAGCGACGGAGGTTGGTGGGAGTGCGCGCATCGTTTTCGGCGATTGCGTCCAATCGAGCAATCGGGCAGCATTATGGCGCGGAATTTTCTCTATTTAGGGATAAAGCGAGTTTTTGCGCTGTATTTGCGTGCATATGCACCGCGAGGGTCCTCGCGACGTCGGTATGGGGGCAGTCATTTAATATCGTGTCATATTCGCGAGCTGTAGTCGACATGCTGGTTGTTGCAGAAGGTGGTCCATAATTGGGAGGCAGTGGGAAAGACGGCACGCCTGAAGATGTACACCTGGTTGCGCACCGCACCTTCGAGACATGGCTTGGTCATTGACGGATATGTACCATAGAGTCCCCCAAGACCTTCATTTATGTTCGTCCCACGGCCAAATCTTCCCCACTTCATTCGCTCCTCCACAGTGACACGCAGGACTCTACAAAATATGTCCGCCGCAACGCATCCGTCGCCCATCGGCACGCTCCCGCCGTTCGACGAAACGCGTCCGTTCAAAGTCACACAGCCTCCGAATCCGACGTGGAAGACGCAGGACGGACTGCTGGATGACACGCCGTCGACGCAGGCGTGGAAAGCGGGCGCGATGCAGGGGTGGAAGTCATGGGATATGGACACCACGTCGCCATCGTGAGCACCAGCTGCCATTATATTGCAGGATCCGCGTCCTCACTCACGCGCACACGCACATTCTGAAACCCGTCTGAATTCGTAGGGTTGCGTACAGGATGTTGACGAGTGCCATCGTCCCGCGCCCGATCGCATTTATATCTACCCTCTCCCCCTCCGGCGTTCCAAACTTAGCGCCGTTCAGGTGTGTACGCCCACTGATCACACGACCGCAAAACTGAACAGCGGGAACCTGAAATTACCCGTTCTACAATCAAGCTACTTCTCCATGGTAGATCCCTTCCGACCCAAAAGGGACCCACATACACTAAACGATGCGAACCCGAACTAGGTTTCTCACAACCCACCTATGGTCAGCGTGTCCTTCTCCCTCTCCCCCCGGCGCCCGAAGGACACGCGGGAGAACATCCTCGCGACGAAAGAGTTTGTCGTCAACATCATCAGCGAGCCCTTTGTCGAGGCAGCGAACTCGACGTCGGTCGAAGCGCCCGAGGACGTGGACGAGTGGACGGTAGCCGGATTGACCAAAGAGCCAAGTGTATGCCCTGTTTCTGACACGAGCTGCGGCAACGAGGTTGACGGGTTGATCACCTGCAGCTGCGCGTCCGGCCCCCTCGCGTTCAGGAGAGTGCCGTAAGCCTAGAATGTGAGGTACGTGGGCGCCCTCGAACTTTGAACAACGCGAGGCCAACGGACGGACTGAGGAACCTTGATGTCGGCTGTAGCTGTTTTCAACGCAGGACCTATACCCCGAAGGCGCCTCCGGTGCCGCAGCGTCTACCACCGTCGTTTTGGGCCGCATCAAGTATGCCCACGTCCACGAGGCGGTCCTGCAGCCAGACGGCGTGCAGGTTGATCCTGCGAAGCTGAGGGCGGTGTCCAGGCTGGGTGGCACTACGTACGCCAGGGTGAGCGAAGCCTTCGATATCAAAAGGCCGTCTTGGAGGGACGTGAAAACCGAGATGGACGGAGATGGCAATGCAGGGGACGCTTAGGGACATGCGCAAAGTGAAAAGACTAATTTAGAATTTGACCGGAGGCCAGCTGTTAGAATGCCATGGGCACACGAATACCTCTTGTGTACTAGCGTGAGAATGCATACGTAGAGACGAAGGGGCTGACGCAGGCCGGACAGCTGCAATGGCGCAGAGCTATGATTGAGGTACGGGCGATGTATGTGATCCCTTCATCTCGAACGGGAGAGTGCGGCGCCGGTAGCGAGACGATAAGCAGAGGCTCGAAATACTTACACGAATACAAAGGGAATATGAGCTACGTACGTACGACCTCTTCTGGCCAGAAAAGAACAAAGGTGGATTTGGGGAAGATCTTCGGTCGCCTTCTCGAGCGGTTCAGGGCACGATGTCTTCATCGATACCACGCGGCTTTTCGACGCCCGGGTCGATTGTTGGGAACGGCACTAAGTAGTGGCGACCCATGAAGGGAATGAGAGGGCATCGACTCACCATCGGATCGAGGACTTTCAAACTCATTCCTTTCCGCAAGGGAGAAACGGACGGTATGGTGAGAGCAGATGTGTGTGATCAAGTTGTGTGGCCATCGCTCGAAGGCTCCTTCAAGGGAAATGAGCGTGGGGCAATCATGCATCTCGGCAGAGAGCCGTAGAAGTCGAAGGTCGTGGTTTCAAAAGTTATTCCTTGTACGTGAATCGCCTTGAGATGAATTCGCCATGATGCTATTTCTAAATTAGTGTTCGAAGAGTACCTCTGACGCTCGCCCCTGGCGTCACGACGTACGCAACGGCAGAGCACGGGGTAGCGGAGTGCCCGACCGTGAAAAAATACGGAGATTCGTGAGGGCGACAGGACCGACAAATTATTGGCTGTAGGCTCGAAGGGCGAGGGGGGAGATGTAGATATAAATGATGGACGGCCTCGAGGGAGAGGGGAGGAGAGGAGGAGAGTGTTCCGTACAACTGGCCGGGCCACGTGGTCTCCTAGTGCAGGTATGTCGCCCAACTGAGGCGGCTACATTTTGCTTCAACTTCGCCTCCGCCACCCTTTGTCGCCCCTTCTTCCGTCCCTCCCAACATCCGCCGCCGGTGAGCATTGCCTCAGTCTGTACACTCGCCCTGCTTCGACCGCCACCGCTTAGCCTACATTTTTCATGAACTGTGCCGGCAACCGGATCCTTTCATTTCACGTTGACTTAAAACCTTGCACAACCGCTCAGCACATCCCCTTGATCTCTTTCATCACAATCACGTCGTGCGCTCTCAAAACTCAACACTAGCTCTCGGGCGACACCCATGGAGCAGCCATCGGCCGCAGAACAGCGCGCCGTCGCCGTCGCAAAGCTCAAGCGCGCTGCATCTCTACCGCGCACCGTCGATGGGCGAAGACCCCCCATGCACGCCGGCGCCGTCAGCGAGGGAGAGAGGTCCCAAGTCGAAAAAGTAGAGGAGAGCAAGCTCGACGACAACAGCCCACCTATGTCCGATGTAGGCGCCGTTATAGACAGACAGGAGGAAGAGAACCCGGAATACGAGGCGGAGAAGGAGGGGAGCGAGGCCAAAGCGGAGGACGGGAAGACAGAGGAAGAAGGCGCGATCACGTCTCCACCGCAGACCCCCCTGCCGTTTGAGGAGCCGATACCGAAGACCAAACGCCGGTCGAGGTCGCGTTCGAGGGGCAGAGGTTCGAAAGATTTCAAGAACAAGACGCGGGCCTTGCAGTCTCCCATCCCGAATCCCTCCACCGCTAACGACTCGTCCCCGGATGAGGACCCGAACCCTCCTCTCATTCAGTTCAACGGGTTCACCTCGCCTCCGCTTATGTCCCCCATTCCATCTCACTTCGCCCTTCTCCAACAACGGATGTTCGCATCACCGGAACCAGGGATGATGTATCCCGGCACATCCCCGCCAACTCCGATGCTCCCCACGCTGCAGGACATCCAACGTGAGGCCCTGCAGCGAGGCTTGTTTCGGTCGAACAGTGCGGCAGCGCGGTTGATAGCGCTGCAGCAACTCACGGCTGAAGCATATGACCCAATGGCGGCGATGCATATGCCCGCTCAGGGTAAGTTAGGCCGGAATAACACCGTCGCGGGGGGTGAGCGGGCGGACGCGCGGAGAGCGATGATGCGCAGGCTCGGCGAGCGTCTGAGGGAGGCAGACGAAGCACAGACGAGCGGAGGCGAAGAGGTGCCGGTGGCCCCCCCGCCGAAACGCAAGCGACGGTCGAGGCGGGGCTCGACGAACCGCCCCGCTGTAGTGGATGATCGGGAGCTGTCCTCGACCACCACACCGAACACGCCGATCGTCCCCTCCTCGTCGCTGCCCCTGTCCCTCGGCGACTTGCCCGATCCCCCGCGGCCCCCCTCTGGGGCACGAAGCCCAACACCTAATGCGCGGAGTTCTAGCATCGAGCGGAGTAGGGAGGACGCGCTCGCGAAGCTCCTGGGGTCGCCCACCACGTCGTACGAATACGAGACGGCAATGGAGCGGCGGGGTGTTGTGGTCGAGGAGGACGACATGCCCGAGCGACTATCACCGCCGCGGCCGCCATTCTCTAACCTCCCGAAGACTCCCGTTCGCGGGGGCGATGGTCGTAAGCCTCATACCTCCGACGCGCCGTCGAGTTTTTTGTCCGACTCTCCGGGCATCGGGGTGCCTGTGTACTTATCGGATGCATCGGATCGTCAAAACGAGATGTTCCCGTCAAGTCCTTTTGCTACTCCGCTCAAGGAGAAATCTGGCGTCGAGGACGAGGAGGAGGTTCTGTTCCAGATGAATGGGGACATGTCTCAACAGTTGCCATGGAACAATGGGTACGAGCGGGAGATCAGCTGGGTTGCAGATCCTGGTACATCACATTTTCTTCACACAGAGCGTTCTGCTGATTTGCTTTCTGTCATCCCAGTACCAGACTCTCGCCGAATACCTATCAACGACGACGACGAGTTCGACGACGAGGAACCGGCGGTTCCTGTTCCAGTCGACACTGGGTCAGCTGAACCGGCTTTCGATGAGGAGGATGAAGCCCTCTCCCAACCTCTGTATTCCCGATCGCAGGATTCTGTTCATGAACACGAGACTTCTCCGGGGCCTGTCGTGCTCGACGAGCCTCCATCGCCCTTCTCTGCCGTCCCGATGCAGGTGCATCCCAGCACCGACTCGTCTTTCCGTGTTTACCCTGCACGACTGTCAGTAGCGACGCCCGTGCACCCAGAACTGTCGTCGGCGAATAGTGAATACGTTGACTGGGATGACCGAGTCGTCGTCCCTGATAACTCGGGAAAGAAGAATGGAGAGGGGGGCACAATCAGTAAGTGGGACAAGGTCAAGAATGCCTTTGTGAGGACGGGGTCGAATGGCGGGAGGCGATCACGGACGAACAGCATTCGTGAACGGAATCCCAACACAGACTCGAGTGTCAGTCGCGAAAGTGGGGCGAGCCTTACGAGCAGCTCGAAGGCAGACAAAGGTCGCTTTCTTGTTCTTACTATCCGTAAAACTCAGTTGACATTCATTCTCCTACTGCAGATGTGTTGGCTACGCTGTTTCCGAGTTCTCCTGGAGCAGTGTCGCCCGTACCTCCACCCTCGACAGAGCACATGCACAAGTACAATGACGCAAAGCTCTTCCCGTTCCCTGGTATGAAGAAGTTGGAGGAGCAGATGAAGCGCTCAGCGGGGCAACCCTTCAATGCTTCATCACCCGACATTATTTTCGCTCCTAACAGCGAAGACATATCTCCGCTCAGTTCCACGTCCTCGCAGACACCACAGGCCTCTCCGGAATTTCACCGCGATCGGAAACTGTCGCATCAGGCATCTGATTCCCGTCTCCTCCCAAAGTTCAGCGCTTTCAACTCGCCACAGTCCCTCTCGAGCGCCCCGTCAACCTCGTCGCATCCGGAGTATTTCAACATCTCTCCTTCCTCGACCAACGGGACCGGATGGCTGAATAGCAAGCTGCCCACGAACCGGGAGGGTGTCAAGAAGTGGCTGACGGCGAAGAAGATCTTCTCTTCACAATCGTCACAGCCGTCATACCCGAGTCTCCAGATCTCGCCTCCTATAGTGGACCCCCGGTCGAAAGCCGCGAGCAAGAAGCCGTCGCTATCAGATCTCCTCAAGGGGCGAAAGGAGAACGAGATCATGGCGGACTGGGAGGATATTTCGAAGACGCCCACGAGCACCAGTGGGAGCACCTTATTGGGCAGAGGTTCTGTGAAGGACGGCAGGGAGTCCACGGTGAGGGACGCTTCCATTCCTCAAGCAGACACTTTGCCTGCTATGGAGACGCCAAAAGATCCCGTCGACATACCGAGCGCAAATTCGCCGAATGGAGAAGCACAGTACGCGTTGTATCCTTCACGTCACGATGACCCTACCGTTCCTTTACCATCACCTCCCGACCTTACTTCAACAACGCCTGATCCCATGTCGTCTCTGGATGAATATCCGATCCGGTCGTCTACATCCACGCTGTCGTCAGACCGCTCGCCGGCCGTCATGGTCCAATCGCAGAGTTCTGTTGTGCTCGAGCGACTAGATGAGATGCTCAATCGAAGTTCAAAAGGCTCTTCGGAGGCTTCTTTGATCGACGATCCGCCGCGGCAGCTTGTTTGGTCGTCTGCTGTTCTTCAAGTGGCAAATTCCAACACGGTCAAGGACAGGTTCCTGTTCTTGTTCAACGACATCTTGGTCATCGCGAAGCCCGTCTTGCTAGACCAGGATTCGCTGTTGGATTCCACGAAGCCATCGCCTCTAGATCGCAAGTTCATGGTCAAGAGCGTGGTGCAGCTCCGTCAGCTGCGCTTCACGGCCGATCGGGATGATCCACAGACGAAGGCGTACAACACATCTATAGCCAATCGCCACCCCCTCATCCGCACTTTCGCCGTGCAGTTCACAAAGGAGCCAGATCATGCCATCTCGACCTTCTTCGAGAAGACGGGAACCAGGGACGATGCAGTCGTGCTCGGACGGGTGCTGTTCAAGACTTTGGATCTAGATCGGGCCAGGTTGGGAAGCTACCTATCGCGCCGAACGTCCAAGGTCGTCTTGAAAGCCTACATCGACGGCTTTGGCTTTTCTGGCATCCGACTCGACAGAGCACTCCGCGTGTTCCTTCAGTCCCTGCACATCCCTGCTTCATCGAGGTCGTCGCATTCGAATCCCATGGACTACATGGTGGATGCGTTTGCGAGCAGGTGGTACGAGGCCAACGCAGGGATCGTGGCGTACGACAAGGACTTGGCTGTCCGCGTCGCTCGTGCTCTGGTTCAGCTCAATGAAGTCCTTCACGGCGGGATCGTACAAGAGCCAGGACCTCTGGGACCCTTGAAGCGAAATGTAACTAACCGTGACTTCATCGACGCATTTAGACGGTACGACCCGCGGTGTCTCGTCTCCGACGCCCTCCTAGACAAGATGTACACCTCTATCCGACGCGAGCCTCTGTCGCAAGCACGGAACTCCGCCACAACGACTAGTCCTGACTTTACGATTACCCTCAAACGCCCTGTTCCGCCTCGACTTACTTACAGGATGCAATCCGAGCCCATCATCCTTCGCATTCCTCAACCTGATCCCAATCTCACCATCGTCCTACACGGACAAGACCTCATTTTTGACCCACCCACTCTGACCTTCACTCGCTCCGCCGAGGCCTCCTTCCGCATCACTGGTACCTCCCTTGGGCTCAAAACCATCTCCTTTTCTCGCTCGGGCCAGGCCGCCCTCTTGTACTCTGGCCTCCCGCTCAGCAGCCCCATCGTTGTTGAGCGGAGTTTCATGCGCAATACTTTCCAGGTCGCATTTCTGAATCACGCGCAGCAGAAGAAAAAGTATATGTTCAGCGTAGATGATCCCGTCCTCAGACACAATTGGACGGCGAACCTGAAGCATTACGCTGATCTGGCCAACGCAAACGCAGCGCGAGAGCCACCACCGAGCCGGTTCCGGAGAGCAGCGGAGGAAATTGCGTTTAGAGTACTGCAGGAGACGCTCATCTCCTACGAGGACAGCGAGTGGGATAAGGCCGTTCGGTCACTATCGGCGTCACCCGCACCTCTGTCTACCCCAGGTTCTAGCAGCCAACTCGCTGTGAATCAGAACGGGAATGGGTCGGCACAGCCAGTCTCTGCGCTTTCACCACGGCGCAGTCGACTGGAGGGCGGGTCTTCGCACGTTCGCTCCAAATCGCGGAGCCAGATCTATCACCGATCCGGCCCGGGAATGGTCGAACAGCAACAACTAGACATGCTGTTGGCGGCATCGCCAACGCCAGACGAGGTGATGGATCAGGAAGTTCAGATCGAGAATGTGGCGAGGTTGTGGTCTGGGAAAGAGTTGGAGATGGTGTGCACGCAAAATAGCTTGGTTGCGCTCGCACTGGAGAGGGTCGGTGCTGGTGCGGATGAGGTCCGTGAAGACGGATCTCAGTTGTATTTGCGGTCACAGGTCGCTGTGTCATAGCGTTGTAGATTGATATCTCCTCTGTGTGCGTTCACTTTTTCTTTTTCTCCTGTGCACGACGTCAAACTGATGATCTTTGAAATTTCTTGCAGCGCATTTGAACCTCTGCATGTCTTAATATCTAATCCTGCCCCGTTCAGTCGCTCCCCATTTTCGTCGCATCTTCCTTGCTCTCCTCTGGACGTACATCTACGCTCTCTATTTCCTTCGTTGTATTTTCTCCCGTCTAGTCTCTATGGCACACACTCTCTATTTAATGACCCCACCTATACTGTCCCGTCCTTTAGCTAATCTCGGTATTACATGTCGTGGTGCTTGTTGTCTATGATCGCATCGTTGTCTCTCATTCATCATCTGTTCCCGTCTGTACGCACTGTCTTACCTCTGAATATTTTGAATCCAAGTGATGCGATTCGATGCGACGAGCAATGTGCATGCTGCGGGTGAGAACGTCATCCGGCATGTGCAGCGGCACCGAGGCTGCCTTCCCAGGTTGGCGTTGGACCTTCGCGGTTGTATATATACACGGCTGCGTTTAGGCTGGAAGCTGTTCACTGCTGCGGGGACGGCTGCGACTGAAAACTTTCATGCTTGGCCTCAGGATTAGGCGGGTGACAACCGCAGCAGCGTCGGCCCCCTTGTTCGCTCCAGCCATTCAATGCGAAAATCGCAGGCGCGCCGCTACTACGTGTCACCGTGTCAACTTCGCGCTATTTAGTCGCCAGCTCGGATCCAGGGCGAGAATCTGCCGGATCACCTCATCAATCTCATCAAGCTCCTTGCTCACCTCCACGTCGTCGTTGTTTTTCTCGCCGCCAGCAAAAAGATTCGGTATGTGTGATTCGAAGGCGGTCGAGGCCCGACGAGAGCATTCGACGAAGAGTGGGGAAAAGGGACACGTGGGGGCCGCACAGGAACGCGGACACGAACATGACCATTCGCATGGAATTTTCGGGCACAGTCATTCACATGGAGGGGACGACGGCCATGCGCATGGTGGGGAGGTCATGGAGGCGTTACAGAAGGGCGTCGGTGCGCACCGTTTTATACCACACTTCGGTACCGATGCTAATCTGCGACTGTGCTCCATGTGGGCAGCTGATAGAGGGAGTAGGATAACGTTGATTGGGCTTGGTGCGAACGTTTTGTTGACGAGCGCGAAGGGAGCTGCGGGATGGTACATGAACTCGGCTGCGCTGCTCGCGGACGCTGGACATTCGCTCAGCGGTGAGTTTCGTCGTCTGAACACCTCCCATCCGGACGTGTGCAGTGTCTGACACGTGTGACCTGTTGAACATCGAATACTCATGAACGTATTCATTTAGACCTTCTCGGGGACTTCGTCGTCCTCTTCTCATGGCGTCTTTCTCGCCGCCCGCCCAGTGCTCGCTACCCTTATGGCTTCGCCAAGTTTGAGACCGTCGGCACTGCGATTGTCGCGCTGCTCCTCGTCGGCGGTGCTCTCGGTATCGGATTCCATTCATTGTCCCTCCTACTGGAAGCTCTCGCCTACACAGCCGTAAACCTCCCTGACGGGCCCCTCCACTCGGCCATCGAGAACCTCACATCTATCGCACACAACATTCCTGCGATCGGCTCCGTCGTCAGCCATGACCATGTGCACGCGCATGTGTTGGACCCAAACGCGGCTTGGTTCGCGGCGGCGAGCGTGGTGGGCAAAGAGTGGCTGTTCAGGATCACGAAGAAGGTCGCGGACCAGGAGAGCAGCCCTGTTCTGCTTGCAAACGCGTACCATCACCGGAGCGACGCGTACTCGAGTTTGGTGGCGTTGGTCGCGATCATGGGGAGCAGCTGGTTTCCGGCTTTGCCTTTGGATCCGATTGGAGGTTGGTCTCTCCATCGTTTTCACACCCAATCTTGGTGCTCATTCGATATCTTGCTAGGGTTTTTGGTGTCTATCGTCATTCTGAGCCAAGGGGCTTCGATTATGGGTGGCGCGTTCAGGGAACTTACTGATGCCAGTGCATCCCCTTCGACGATGCGATCAGTCACACGAGTCCTCGATACCATTATCTCAGAATCTGCCGCCTCTCCCTCCCCAACTCTCCTCAAAGTACATCATGTTCGCGCCAAACGCACCGGCGCGATGCTTTTTGTTGATCTCGCGGCAGAAGTGCCCGGTTCGCTAAGCGTGGAAGAGACGACGAAGCTCGAGGAGACGATCGTAGGCGCACTGAGAGAGGCGAAGAAGGAGATTGCAGAGGTCAACATCAAATTCAGGCCAGTCAGCCATTCGGAGCATGATCACGGTCATTGAGTCTATCAGGAGGCGACACAGCGTTGTATTCAGTCTATTTTCTCTCTTTGTTTTGTCGGCATATTGTATTTATCTTACATATTTTTTTGTAGTGTACACAAGCCACGAGAACTGTTTCTCTCTGTACAGATACCTTTTCTTTGTCTCCGCAGTTGCAGCAAGCAGATCAATATTGCCCCGATATCGCGCTACTGTTTGATCTGCTTAAGTTAATACAGCTCCCAGAGAGTCGAGACGAGACGGTCGTTCATTATGCTTTCGAAAGAAAGGTTATATATGAACTTGGAACGAGTCTACACATGATATTGATGACTTTTCGTGCTCTCGTCTAGTATGCTACATATCTTCGTACAACGGTTACTCTTTCCTCTATCCATCGACAGCTCTCCCCTAGCTCTAAATACTGAATTCCCAGTTCTGCCAAAAGATTTCGGAAAATACGCGAGCATTTTTGTCCATCTTCTAAGCTTCTCACTCCATCATCTACCATCCATTCAGAGATGGGATGGAGAAGCACAAAAAGCGAGCGCCGGTATAGAGGCAAGACGGCTTGGAAATTCGGCGAAGAGATCAAAGTCCGCGAGTCGGAGTCAGCGCCGTCGAGCGCAGCGTAGACGACGGCGTCCACAGCTGATCTATCGCTCAGCACAATGCCTCGCCCTCCTGGGTCATTGGCAGCACGGCGAGCACGCATGTCTTGCTCTATCTGTGCATCCATGATAGCTCTCTGCATCTCTAGTCTCCCTACGTCGTCCCGCGTAAAACCGCGCTTCCGCATCACCGTCCGTGCAACTTCGGTAATGTGAACCGCCTCGGACAGCCCGAGGCGTGCTGCCAATGCATTGCATAGGGTGGTTTTCCCCGTAGAGGATGGACCGATAATGTAAACCGCAGCGACGTTTTGAGAGTCTGTAGAGCTCATCATGTGCAAGTGGGTGACTGGTATGAGCGCTCTTCTTCTCTTTGTTAGGCCTTGCTTAGATTAGGAGCTGCGCATCTTCTATCCTCCATCTATCTCCCATCTCTGCTGTACCGCCTGCTACCCTCTGGATGGCATCCCGCTTCACTCTGCGCGATGGTGTCTCTCCTGACGACGCTTCTTGGTCCTTCACCAACGTACCTTCCAACCTTTTGAAGTCTCCCACTGTGGCTCATGCAAGAGCACCAAGGGGAAAGCTCGTTATCTTCGCTCCCGAAAAAATAACTCTGGAACTTGCTGAGTTCCCGAGCAATCGTATACTCTATAACGATGATCCTTCGGAATTCGTGCTCGCGTCTTTTGAAAAGCTCAGGTTTCCAGATACAAAACCCTCTGTTGCTGCAGAGTACAAAATACGACTCTTCAAAGCAGGTCTCTTCCTGAATGGGGCTCAGTACCGGTTCTACGGCCACAGTAACAGCCAGCTCGTATGACTCTTCGATATTGATGCTGTACTCTATCGCACTAACACGCACATGCAGCGAGGTCGTAGCTGCTTCTTGCGGAGAGCAAACAATGACAAGGAATTAGATGACCGTTTGTATGCAATGGGCGATTTTCAGAAAATCATGAACGTCGCAAAGCGTAGGTCCAAGATCATGCTTCAAGCCCATCTCTGTACTGAACTTTTCTAGGTGCCAAGCGCATCGGTCTCTTATTTTCCGGAGCTCAGGTCGATTACATTCTAGATCCCAAATACGTTGGAGACATCGACGATATCAAGACTGGAGATGAGAACTTTTCCGATGGCTGTGGTCTGATCTCTGAAAGATTAAGGTCAGAACGATCTGTGCGATCTGCTGACGTGCAGCTCAAGAGCTTAATAAACATAGTATGCAAGTAAGCAGGGCAAAAAAAATCATCCATCAAGGCAAGCCATATACGCCATGCGTATTTCAAATCAGGTTTGTCCAAGAAGATAATGCTAGCCTTTATTAAGCTGATAGACTGTGTCTAGATATCGAGGATACAAGGCGACTATGCCATCAGGATCTTGCATCTACATTCATCTAACTCGTCATTGGCTTTTTAGGGCGTGGTCATGCTGCATCCTGATCTGGACAAAGCAAGAAAGAACTTTGTCGAATTTAGGAAGAGTATGAAGAAGTTCAATGCAACAGTTGATCATATATTCTCTGTCGTCAATTATTCTGCGCCATACACTTTTGGCAGACTCAATAACGAGATCGTTATTCTCCTTTCCAGCCTAGGCATCTCGAACCAAGCTTTATTGGCGAAGCAACAGGAGTACTTCGATTGGGTTGAAAAAGCGTCTTCTGACCCCATAGCCGGTTTCGAGTTTTTGTCTGGTATGGGGAGGCAGATTTCGGCGGAGCGAGTCCTTCTTGAGGGAATCGATTCTCCTAATATAGCCAAGGAGATCAAGTCTCTCCAGAAAGCCGAGGTTGCCTCTGTTCACAAGGACGGAGATGCCAACAAGGAGAGAGTCCGAATGGTTGTACGCAAGTCTCGTCGCCTATTTGGCGTCTGCGACCCTTTCCGAGTCCTTCGTGAAGGACAGGTTCATGTCAGGATCACTGTTTCTCGGCTTGGATCATCTACGTTGAAAGGCCTTGATGTCATCGTCGTTCGAAATCCTTGTTTACATCCTGGTAAGCTATAAAAGTCATATGTGATCCTTGTAAACGCCTGACTTGAAAATGAGGTGATATACTCAAACTCAGGGCAGTCGATCATCCTCAGCTCGCGCACCTAGTCGACTGTGTTGTATTTCCATCAGTAGGGAAAAGAGCGGCACCCTCTATGAGTTCGGGCGGCGATCTTGATGGTTAGTACTACTGTCGACCAATAGCCTGACAGGCTCTTGAACGCTTCGTTCGTAGGTGATGAATATTTTGTCTGTTGGGATCCAAGTTTGGTGCCCTCGAAAGTTTCCGAGGTATGACATGTGTGTCGGTGTCAACTAAATGGGCTAATACGATAACGATAGTCATACACGTATCCACCTAATAGGGAATGGGTGAACCCAAAGGTCACTCGTGAAGACCTTGCCAGGCATTTTGCAGCATATAATAAGTGGGTTATACAGCTCTGTATATAAATCGCGAGCGCTTACTCTGTTCAGCTCCGGAATGGCTAATGCTGCGAAATATCATAACCGATGGGCTCGTTACGCCGATAATATCGCGTTGAGCAAGGAATGTCAAGAGTTAAACGCACTCTACTCGCAGGCTGTTGATGGCGCCCGAATCTCGATACCGCCTCGACTTACCAAGGCCCCTGAACCTAAGGAAGATTTCGTCTTAACTGTTCTCTTCTCTGCGGTAAAGCAGTTCAGCGAGCATTTCCTTCAGAAACCCGAAAACATGACGCCGTCCCAACTCAGCCGCAGCGATGCTGAGGAATTGATTCACCGAATTTTATCTGCCGAAGAAACAACGCTCTCTGAGTATAAGCTCGTCAACTTGGCCCGCTCGATTGCTCGCAAGCACGAGATCGATTTCCGCCAATATATTTCTCATATCAATTTCGGCGCATTGCTTGCACATGAGAAATACGAACTTGCCGCATATCTGGGCTCCACACCCGCGAATGAGCCATATATATGGAACAGTCTCCTGCGGTCTGACATAGTGACAGCATCCGAATTGGCGGACAAGAAGCTCGGAGGTTTGCTGCGGCTTCAGCGTCTGTATTCGTCAAAATTACAAGGCTTGTATGCATTCTTCGAATATATGGAGCGTTCCTTTAGGGAGTTTACAAGGAAAATCGTTATCATGAAGGTGAGCTTAGACACCTTGCTTTTCAATCCTGTATGATTGTTCTTTTCATGCTAATTTCAATCCTTTGAGATTGACGGACGATTCTCGGTCGCAATCTTTCTACGAGGAGACATTCCGTGGGATGATGATGTGCCTGTGAATGGCCAGAATGTTGTGGTCGCATCCTTCATGAAGGACACCGCTGCCAGTGTCCCCGTATATAAGCCCTGCACAGACGGCTTCCGCCTTCATTGCAGCAACGGAAATTTTCAATTATTCAACCAAGAGCGCGCTAATACGTTTATCTTCGTAACTCGGCCGCCAGTCAATTCTGGCGAGGAGATCAAAACAAGCATTGCTTTGCAACAAATTTCAGCACGAGTGCAGCGTGTGCGTTATTCATTCCCCACAGGCAGTCTAGCAGCTGATATATTGTGCTGTTACTTCCGATAGCAAGTTGGGCGAATCAATAGGACCGCTGTTGTTTCCATTGAGATACACGTAGTATCCAATCGCGATCGAGTCGCCACCCAACTTTTTGACATGCGTTTTGAACAGTGAGTCTACTATAGCTCACCCTCTCAATACTGCACGGCCACATATTGTATGCTTTGACAGCGTGGAGACCGAAGAATTTATCAGACGACTCGCCCACGAGAACAGTACATTTCAGCCGAATACGCTGCAAAACGCTGATTGGGAGTCCCTTCCGAACGAGCATCGAATGGTTTTCTACGAGTCAGAGTTTAAGGTCAAGGAGTATCTTTCCGGGCAACCTCTGGATGCCTTGGACGAATGTGCTGAATTCGCCTGGAGATACCACGCTGATCACCAGCTGTTCTGGATCTTCGATGCCATTATCTCTCCAGTCCCTCTCAATCTCCCTTATGTCGAGAACTGGGTGGATCGAGAGCCTCTCCTTGTCTTCTCTGTGCTGAAAAAGTTCGTTCCATCTGAGACGGGCTTCCTTCATGAGCATACCTCTTCGCTTGGACGGCTCATTACAAAACAGATCATCCGCTCTGCGAACATTGTCGGCATAGCGTCCCTGGTTGCACTGGAAAAGATCAAAGGCACGATCGCTACACTCAATATTGTACATTACCTCGAGCTCCTCGAGCTTGCCGCTATGTCTGTCCGTTCACCAGAGCTTGTACAGGAAATCCTCCTCGTTCTACACGAATGCCGGGAGATAACTCGGAGCACCTCAGCATCACTAGCTCATATTCATCAGCACGCACTGGCTATTGCATGTGACCGTGCTGAAGAAGCTGGAGACGAATGTCCCTGCGATGAGAATGGGAGGCCGAGAAAGCAGCACATAGCGCCTGCGCTAGTACCTCTTTTTCCAGTCGAAGGAAAGTTGTCGGAGGCCGTCGCTCACATCCGCGTTGATGCACCATCTGCTATTCGATTACATTCTCATGTTCGCCTTCGTGCTGCCTCTAAACCCGAGAAAGGACACGTTGAACCGTCTGTCCTTGACGCTATTGTGCTCGAAGCTAACGCAGGAGAAGTCAAACTTTTATTAATCCACACACCTCCGCCAGAGTACGTGCAGATGCAGTGGTATATATATAATGCAGGCAGCGTCGGTGAGTTTCAATGAGGCCTTGTTATACGTCGGATGTCTGAAAATCAAGATTTCTTCAGCAACCTTCAAAGCCATGATGAGTGCCATCCACAGGCTTGCTACGGAGGGCGCTGAGTGCTGCCGTTTTCACCATATTATTACTGCACCTAAAGGGCCGCCCGAATTGAGTAGCCAAAGCCAAGAGCCTGAGGACGTCGCCTCTGAAGCTAGTGTTCAGGAAGTTTCATCGGGCGACGAGGACGGTGGGCTTAATCCAAGTCAGAGGGCGGCAGTTCTGTCGAGCGATGCCACCCAACTGTCATTGATCTGGGGGCCTCCTGGTAAGTCAAATCAAATACCTGTTTCGGTCCTGTCGTGATATGCGACATAGGCACAGGCAAGACTACAGTAGTCGTTCAAATCTTGAAACGCCTGATCAAGAATTCAACGGAGAATTCTAGGATATTGATGACTGCTTCTACTCACAATGGTAAGCTATTTGAGAGGTTATGCTTACTTTCGCTATCTGAGACTATTTTCTTATCTTTCAGCCGTGGATAACGTCCTGGAAAGGTTTTTAAGAATCAATGAAAAGGAGCAGATCATAGCTCCAGAACAAATATTGCGTGTAGCTACCGACAGTTTCAAAGTCAATCAGGCGCTACGAAGTTACACGGTTGAAAGCCGTGTGGGAGGGGAAATCAACCGCGATTCTAGGAGGCGCGAAAAAGCGGAGAAGTTGGTAAAAGGAGCACATATCGTCTTTACAACCTGCGCAGGTAAGCCATTACCATTAGTTTGTTTTATATCCGCTTATACAATATGGATCGGATCAGGTGCTGGGCTAGGTGTTCTGCGATCAGTTGACTTCGACATCGTCCTCATCGATGAAGCCTCCCAAGTTACCGAGGCGGTAGCCCTCATTCCTTTGGTCAAAGGCTGTAAGAAAGCAATACTCGTGGGAGATCAGTGAATATTTTCTTTTCTCCAGTCAATTGCCGGATTGATCATATCACTTCGCAGCGTTCAACTGAGGCCTATGGTGCGGCCTCTTGGTCGAGCTCTCCAATATGACGTGTCCCTATTCGAACGTCTGTACACAGGCAACTCGATGAACGGAATGTCACGCACGATGCTGGATGTAAGCCTCTGCAACTTGATAACCTGATCCATTGATAGGTGAGCTGCACATTACGCGCAGGTCCAGTACCGGTTCCCCGAAGGTCTAGCTTGTTTCCCTTCGACCGAGTTTTACAACGGCAAGCTGAAGACAGGTGTCCGAGATGCCCACGAGCTGCTGAAAAATCTTCTTCGATCACAGTTTCCATGGCCTCAGGTAGCTGGAAAGACGAAGCCAGCCGTATTCATTCCTTGTTCCACGGAAGAAGACTACGGCGGAAGGTCGAAGAGCAATGAGGGTCAAGCGCAACTCGTCAAACATATAGTAAAGTTGCTCACTACCAGCCACGATGGGGATAATGACGGGCATTTATCCGACGCTCCTAGCATTGTCATTCTGTCTCCTTACACCAAGCAGACAAAATTGTTGAAAAACACGCTACCTCCTTCCACACCAAGCTTTACAATTGATTCATTTCAAGGCCGGGAGAGCGACATCATCATCTTCTCGACCGTGCGGTGCAATGCCGGTGGTGAGGTAGGATTTGTCGAGGATGCGCGCAGGCTTAACGTCGCCTGGACACGTGCGAGGCTGGCGTTGATTGTGGTAGGAGATCGGAGAACCATGACAGGTAGTGTGGGGCTATGGAAGAGGGCGATTGAAGCGTGCGTTGAGGTTCAGATACCTATGTCAGATTGAGATCCAGAAGGTCGAGATAACAACCCTATCAGCTCTGTTATTAAATTAGACACATGCTGCATTCGTGGATCAGTTGATCCAGCCAAGTGGTCTGCTTTGATATGAAAGCCTCAATCAATGGAACCAAGGGCGAAGGAGACAGCAAATTGGCAGGAGAGAGTAGTGGACGGTCGAACTCTTCAGTAACGCCGAGATCGGCGATGTGAGGTTTCCCACAGTCGTGTGATCTAACTGTTTAGTCACGGTCCTCAGTTTCTCCTCCTCACTCGTCTCCTCCGTCCTCCACTGTTTCTTCGAAAAATGTTCCGACACATAGCCCGGCTGTCGTTGCGCAGAGGTCTACACACCACCTCTTCTCGTGTATCCTCATCAAGCGCGTCACGGCAGCGGCTAGCCATGGCTGCGGCAAGCTCATTGACGGCTGCTGCTTACCTGACATGGCACATAAATTCGGAGGGTCAGAAAATCGCACTAGACTCAAGCACATCGCGTATGTTAATAATACTTCAACTGAATCTCCAAATGTAACATTTTGCCTTGTACTGGTTAGCCAAAGATGTTGCACCGGTCGCGAAAGCCTTGCAGGTTGACCAGCCCCCACAACCTACGCCTTCATCTGCTGAGCTTCCTGTTATTGACGCTCAAGCTGAGGCACCTGAATCTGACGGAGAGGAGAGCTCATCGGGAGGCGCGTTTGACCCGGTCACCGGAAAGATTAACTGGGATTGTCCCTGCCTTGGTGGTATGGCTTACGGGCCTTGTGGTATGCAATTCCGCGAGGCATTCTCCTGCTTTGTTTTCTCGGAAGAGGAGCCGAAGGGAATCGACTGCGTGGAGAAATTCAAGGCGATGCAGGACTGTTTCAGGGCGAATCCTGAAGTGTATGGGGAAGGCACGTCTTTCTTACCTTCTTCTTACATTATAAGAAAATGACGTGCGTTATGTCTGTGTGATAGAAATTTTGGGCGACGATGACGATGATATACCTGCACCTGTGACCCCACCAGAAGACCAGGCAGATTTGACTGTGGCCGGAACAGCACCAGCGGAGACATCTTCAGTACCGACATTGCCGTAGCCCTTGCTTGTCTTTAGCACATAGAGCCTCCGCTATCTACAGTTCATTTATACGCTCTCGCATTGCATTGCATTCACGCTCACCTCTCACTGCATATAATTAGTATACAACCTTTATTCTGGCAGGCGCAAAATCATAAGGATAGCCAATTGCGGTATGGAGTTGCTATCTATCGACTCTGCACATATGCTAGTGCTTCCCAATTGTGTCTTACCCAGGGACTCAACATCACCGCTTTTTGTGCCAAACGTCTTGCGCTGCCTGAATCGTGATCACTCTGCGCCTCGGCCACTGCAGAAAGACCGAGCGACTTCCTTGAACTTTCGATGTCGTCGTCAAAGCCTGCAAGGGATGCTCGAGCAGCAGATGGTTCCCCGCTCTGTAATGTAAACGACGCAAGTGCATATCTAGCATCTTGTCGAGAAGGTTCGGCGACAACCGCCTTTTGCGCTTGGGAGAGTGCCTCAATAATATCACCCTGTGAAGAATGCAAAGTTATCGAAGGCGAAGACAAATTAAAGGGACCTGGGAGACATACTTGTCCTAGGTGATGTTGCAGTATGAGATGATTAACATTCCGCTGGGGATCTCGCTCCTGTCGGCGATCGAGTGGGAGGGCCAGAATTTCGGAGAGTGCGGCGTCGACGAGACTGTCGTCGTCTGTCGATATACCCAGTGCTGCCAGGACGTTGATGGCGTTCAAATTCTCCGAATCAGCTTCAATGCTGCAATCAAGGCAAGTTAAGTTGATTCAAGTATCAGCAGCGCCATGGCATTACAAGACAGACACATACCATTCGAGCAGTTGGGTCTTTGCGCTCTCCCGACTTTCCTCCGTGCCCAATATCCAAAGTGTCTGAGCCAGAAGCACACTGATATGGCCCTTCATTCGGGCATCCTCACCTGCAGACTGCAGCGCTTGATCGAACCAATCCAGAGCTTCCTCCACCTCACCTAGCTTCACGCTCGCCAAAGCTGACCCAAATCGGCATTGTGTGAGCAGGACCCTCGTGGTTTCGTCGATGTCCTCTTCCTCTTCTTTTGAAGACAGCAATCCCAACGCAGTCTGATACGGCTCAATTGCGCCGGAATAGTCGTGCGCAGTGAGACGCAGTCTCCCGAGGCTCGTGTTAGCGATGACGAACTGCTGCTCGACGATGGGGTCCTCGGTATCTTCATAAGCGGCTTCCAGGATGGCGATCGCGCTTGTGAGGAGCTCGATAGCGCGTTCAACATGGCCCACTCGCTCGCAAACGAGACTGAAAAGGTGGAGGGCAGACGCATCGTCTGGTCGTTGTTTGACGTACCGGTCCAACACGAAGAACGCTGGAAACAGATCGGAGGTGGCGAGAGTCTGGGAACGCACGGTCTGGGAATGCCGAGCGAACACCCGCTTCCCAAACTCAAGGTCTGCTTCGGGCTGTAAAATGTTACATTATCTCCGCTCGGCGCAATGGAGTATGAACTTACGATATCTGCGGTAAGACTGACTGCATGCTCGAGTAGCGACGTCGACGTCGAATCATGTCCGTTGCGTGTTGCTACTAGGGCCTGACCTACCCAGGCCAAAGTGTAGTCTGGATCTAGTGTTTGGGCCTTATATAGAGCCTCATTGGCAAGTTCCGGATCGTCATGATGCAGATACAACAACCCCAGACTCGTCCAAGTCGCAGGATTCTAAGTCCGTGATGTCATTGCCAATATTCTGTAACAACAAGATGTAACGACGCACTTTCGAATTCGACTCCAGCGCCTTGATATACGCGTGCTGCGACAATTTTGGCTGCTGTTCGAAATGAATATTTCCCAGAGCGACCCAATATCCTTCTTCGTTGGGGTCGTTTCGCAGGGCCTCGACGACACAGCTCACCGCCTGTTTCTCTGCCTTTACAAGCTGCTCCCCGGGCGACAGCCGGCGAGCCAGCGAGTTCAACGCTACTCCCAAGTCGAACCAGGCGCTTCCTGTAGCCGAAGAGTTCGGTAGACTAACGGAGATACGTTGATTGAACGCGACAACGGCGGCCTTGAGAACATCTAAACTTGTGACGATAGCTGGGATTTCTATTGGGACAGGTATTATACCAGCAAGTCGTTCGCCTGTATCTAGTTGAATGAGACCACGGACTTCGGAAAGGATGTCTCGAATTTCGTTGTCGTCTGCAAATAAAGAGGCTTGGGAAAGGTAGTAGAGAGCGTCAGAGAGAGCCTTCCAGGCTACGCTCCTGAATCCCGCAGTCGAATCTAGGAAGTCAAGAGAAACACGGAGAGTCTTGATGAACGAACTTTCAGCTCTGGCGGTCAAGCCAGTGAATCTCTCCTCCAAGCCAAGGTCCAAGTATGTTCGAGCAAGAGACATAAGAGCACCGGGCTCTGAGGGGCGATTCTCCAGGATCTTTTCGAAAGTTGTGATCGCTTCCTGGAATTGACCCGTCTGGCGTTCGACCTCACCGAGGAAGTACGAGCATATCCAGTCGTCGGGCTTCAATTCCTGAGCACGAGCGAGAGCTTTCGTAGCAGCGACGTGACGGCCAGCTTTGATATAAGCCTCGCCCAGACGAAGCCATGATAATTCGTCGTCTTGGTCCACACGAAGAGCGACTTGAAAGGATTGGATAGCAGACGAGTATTTCTGTCGGTTCTAGAATCGCGAATATATCAGCTGCAGTGCATATCCTGGTAGTTTGCTCCCATAGTTACCAGTTCGACCGCACCTACAGCCTTCCACGCCCATGCGTTGGTAGGCAGATATCTCCCAGCCGGTCCCTGATTAGACACCTCTCCTCCCTCCAGCCCGCCCTCACCTTCGATCGTCCGTCTCGCAACAATCTCCACAAGGTCCCATTCACTCTCTTCAGCAAACCCTTCGGCAAGCCTTCTAGCCGCATCTCCCTCTCGCGCGTCGAGCTCGAACGCTTTCTGGAAACACTTAGAGGCACGATTCGGGTCTGCAGGATTGGCCACTTCAGCATAGTAAATGCCCAGCGACGTGAATGCGGGCGCGAAGGTCGAGGAGCACTTGAGTGCTTTGATGAAATTGCTGTAGGCTGTTTCTAATTCTGGACCTTATGACAGGACTCGTGTGAATGTTGATTTGTTGCAAGTAACATAAAAGAATATCTCACCTCCCATCTCCCAGTGTGCCCGGCCCAGTCGCCACCAACAACGTGCCTTGTCCTCGCCTCTCCCGTTCAGATTATCGAGAATGTCGAGAGTTTGTTGGAGCTGATCCGCGCCTTCCTTGACCTGGTCCATGTGTACCAAACACCACGCGTGTTCCTCCTTCGCACGCAGCCCGTCATCAAGACTCTCGGGTATCAGTCTCACGACGCGCGAGAAGAGCTGACTCGCCTCAGGCCATTTCTTCGCATGTTGGCAGATATACCCACGGCCCATCAGACAGGGTACATTATCGGCATCGAATTCGAGGACCTCGTCGATGACGCGGAGGGCTCGGGAGTGGTGCTTGGGAGGGTAATGATGTACCAATGACGTTGCCAGAACGACGTTGAAAGCCTTGCGGACTCTGATGAAACTCAGAGGCCATAAGCGACGCGAGACAGTGGCTACTCACAGTGAGAGGTCGCTGCCTATGTTCCTGCTTGTCCTTCGCACGAGTCCCAAGCCAGCCTCGGCAACAACAATGGCGTTAGGATTGTCCATCTCAAGCAGATGTACTTCGGCAATCACGCGGTGGGCGAAGATTGATGATTGTAGGCTTGAAAAAGCCTCCTGTAAGATAAAGATGAGAGAAACGATGATAGTGGAGAGACAATCAAACGAACCAGCATGTTGTCAAAGGCTTCTACCGGATCTGGATCCGGGGCTGGTTCGCCATCTTCATTTTCCTTGTCCTCGTTCTCGGACAGAGGAATGCTCATGTAAAAGGAGTACCCTCGAATAAGCTGCGAGAGCTTTGCCGACGGGAACAACTCCACGAATTGCCGCATGTTCTCGTAGCCATATCCCTCTGGATGGAGCGTTAGGAAATGAAATAATCCAAGTGAAACGGCTCTACCTATGGTATCAGTATCCTTCCCGTCGATATACATGTTCCATGCCAATTCATCTCCAATCTTTAGTAGGACAATGCCATCCACGAGATCCTTGACCTCCGCTGCCAATTTTGACTTCAAGCCTGCTTTATCATCGGTCGTTGGTAGAGCATACAAGTACTCCTGTTTATGTCGAAGGAGTTTCGACTCCGTCGTACGTCGCAACTCGTCGGAGGTGTTCGGATGGTTAAGAATCTCGTCATAAAAATATGGGAGCTGCGCCGATGTTGCTTAGGAAGACAGGTAAAGGAGTCCAGAACAAGATCTTACTCGTGAATGTTCAAACACTTCTCCCTTGACTTCTCGTGCTATCTCTTCGGGACCTGCGGCGTTGAGCCGCTGACGGCGGTTGGTGACCTCTCTTTCGATTCTCTGGCCTTCATCAGCTTCAATCAACGAAACAATCTCCTCCAATATTGGAAGCGAGTTTTGGATGGCGACTTGGCTGGCGTGTGTTGCCGTCGAGGTGGGATTTGTCGGGTCAGGCGGAGGGAGAGAGGACAACACAGAGTAGAAGGGAGAGTCGGGTAGATAGAGAGACAGAGCAGAGACGAGCTGGGGTCAAAGGCAGTCAGCGTCTAACGCGGCAGAGGAGTCGCAGTACTCGCCTGATCTTGGGGTCCGTTTTCGCGGCGGAAGTCGATGATCTTCTCGATAGTCTTGGCAGAATTTGTAGCGTCATTACTGAGAGTATGTATTAGAAAGGGCTGTGGACAGCCGAAAAGGCAGGGATTGTTACAGCTTTGAAAAGAGCTTTGCTAGATTATGCAGGATGTCGATGTATTGTTCCCTTTTCTGAGCGCGTTCATAGACTTTGGAAAGGCCCTGGGCAATTTATCAGGTGCAACGCAAGTTATCGAGGGTGACGGCTCACCTGCCACGCTAATGGTTTTTTGGGATCCAATTTTATAGCTGAGCGATATGTCTAGAGAGGTGGTCAACGGATGGGGACACGAAAGCCTGGATGCTCACTTCTTCGCTCTGCTCGGCCTCCTTTAGCTCAAATAATGCTAATGCCAGGTATACCTTCCTGCCTCACGGTTCGGCGTTCGTCACGCTTGCGAAGAGATCGAGAGGACAGGCTCACGCGGTATAGTTCTCCGGCTCATATCCCAAAACCTCCGTACTGGCACTGCGTGCAGCTGCATAGTCTTTGCTGTCGATTGCGGCCTTCGCCTCCTTTAGTTTCTTCTTCGAGAATGGGTTTGACATTCGGATAGATGGATCCTAGGAAATCGGCCAAGAAGGTCGAAGACTCTTCAGCCAGACGTTTGGTCGGAGATGCAGCGCTGAGTCAATTAAGTTTCTCCTTCGTGCACCTAGGTCGAAAAATGCGTTTGGATATGAATTGGAGAGCAGTATTCGAGGAGTTGAGAACAGTGATTCGTGGAGAGGTCCCAAGCAAGATGGTTTCGAAGTTCAGGGCAGATAAGATAAGATCGGATCGGATCTTCCTTTTGGGCTGTCCTAATAGACTGTCCTGCCATCTCTTGCCACCTCCGCCATAAAGCAGACTGGAGCATCTGGCCGGGCATCGGGAAGCTCCCGATAGCACTACATCGTAAGACAAGTATCTGAAGGCTAGCAAGACATCGCTACAGGTAACTTACGAAAGTAGTGCTGGCAAGTGGCCTTTGCGCGTCGCGCGAACTCCTCCCGGCGTCACTCGCTCTCTCACCCTCCAGCAACTTGTTCAAAGTTTGCGCCACGAACTCTGCCCCAAGCTTCACCTTCGACTCATCTGATGCTATCACCATGGGAATGATACTGGCCGTGAAGGCAGTTGAACGCCATCGTCTGAGCTCCGAACGTAACCTATCCCTGCTGGGCACGCCGACCGAGTGGTATGGCGATAGTAGGAGTTGGCGCAGCGCCCTCGGAGTGAAATCGAGTGCGTGGTCAGGCTTCTGCACCGTCGGCCATGGTATGTCGGAAAATGATAGCTCGCCTCGCTCCTTGATCCTCTTCCAGTCGGCCTCGTATCGCATCCAAGCCTTGACAATGCGCGCGCTGGTCTGCTCTGAGTTCCTGTCTTGGTATCTCGTCTCTTCCCTGGCCTGTTGCTGCTTTTCCCTGATCTTTCTTCTTTGACTTTGTTCCCAATCTTTTTGCCTCATCCCTTCCTCCGCCTCTCTCTGCTGGACTAGCATCTGTTGCTCTCTCTTCCTCCTCTTGTGCTCCCGCTCCTTTTTCACCGCCGCTTCCATTTGATGTTCCCATTGGGCTCTCGCGTTGTGCTCCGCCTCTTGCATGCGCCCACGCAGTAACTTTTTCTCCGACTTTAGCCATTCGTCGGCAACCCTTTTTTCTTCGTCCACCTCATCCTCTGCTTTCTTCCTCTGCACCTCTAGCTTTCCGTCCTCCTCCAAGGCCTTCTCAACCTCATCTCTCTCCTGCTTTTCCAACTCCTCTTCCAATTCGTGTCTCCGCTGCTTCAAATATTCTTCTACCATCGTTCTCTTTTCCGACAAACTATCCGCCGCCTCTCTCTTCATCTGCTCTATCCTCTGTTCCTCAGCTGCGATGTCCCTCTCGACACGGTATTGGGTTTTGAAAACTCTGTTCTCAGCATCCTTCTTGGCTGACTTCCATTCCGAGTGCGCCGTCTTGCGTGCGCGCTGGATGTGGTCGTTCAGAATTTGTGTTTCTTTCTCTAGTTCTACCTTTATCTTTGTCTGGCGCGGCCTTCGTTTATCCATAGCGATATTTCTTCTGTTTCAAGTCGGTCTCACCATTCAAGGGTCTCCTATACAGCGAGTGTGACTCACCGGTGCCGCACCGCGATCTCTCGCCAGTCTCAAGTTCAACTAAGACGCCGATACTAGCAATCAGCACCAGACGAAGCGTGCCGAATTCGACGAGGAGAGCTCTATCACCGCGCCCTGCCCATCCCACCGCGTTGCTTCTTTATATCGTCCCGCCCATGCGCTAGACCAGACCGGCGCTTCCTATTCTCGAGCGGCGGAGCAAATCCCCTTCACGAGCTATGCAAGCATGTATGCGCTTCAATGAGGATCCCAGAGCGAAGAATCCGTGGTCCGCTATTTGCGCCGTGCGGTGCCTTCTTCAGCGGACCCACGCGTGACGGCATCGATCGTCGCGCGTTTGGCCGCTCAGATATGGGTTCTGAGGCCGCCTCGTGTAGATTTGTTGAAGCCGGTAGAGCTGCGTGCGCAGGGAAAGCAGATGCTTCGCTTGAGAAAGGTATGTGTCGACTGATCCTGGTCTTTGCGCGTATGGATCAAATGCGGAAACGGAATGGTGCTCGAAGTCTCGAACGCTAATCACCCACGTTTCATGCAGTTGCAGTTGCAGCCTAACGGCAAAGCGCAATTGCCCGACAAAAAGCTTGAAATACTATCAAGTGTATATATGCGCCGATCGAATCTAGGCGTACTGCGTTCGTACCAAATTTCTTGTGATGGTGACAGGGATGGCGACATCCAGTGTTAGCGTCTGGTGATTAGGCAGTTGCAGCAACAATCGTATGTCTCGATCCTTGTCAATTCTACTTATTTCTATCTTGTTTTTCAGGTCCTCTATGGCGCCAGTACACTCAGCGAGCTCCAACGCAAAATACAACTACGTACGGATACCTAAATCTCCAGTTTGATCGCCTCCGTATGGACCAACAAGTTGCAACCAGGTCGTCAGGTATGGATCGAACTACCTGTGTCTCCATCCATGCTTGCCGCTCCCTCGCTTTCCTGCAATAGCTCCAATAATGCCATTACAAGATGGCGCCCGAGCTCTACCTTCATCCTGTCCGACTCTGTCGCCCTGGAAAGAATATCGGCAAACGCATCTGGATGCCACCGTTGGCATTCTAAACGCAGCCTCTCCTCCGCAGAAGCGCCCCCGGAATGGTCTGGAGACAGAATGAGCTGCCGTACCTCATCAATGGGGATATCCAACGCGTGTTTTGGAACCTTCAGAGTCGGCCAGGGTACGCTACTGAACGACAATATAGTGTCTTGCTCTTTGATCTTCCGCCAGCGAGACTCATATTGTGTCCAAGCCTCGACGATGCGTGTGCGCGCCTTGTCTATAGCCAATTCTTCCCGCCTCTTCTGCTCTGCGACCTGTCGCTGGTTGTCCTCTCCCTTTCTTTTCTCTCGCCGTTCTTGATCTCTCCGCCTCTTATGCATCTCCGCTTCTTCTTCCTGGGCTAGTATCTGCTCTTCCTTCCTCTTCTTTTCGGCTTCCAACCAATTCCTCACCGCGGCGCTCATTCGCTCTTTCCACTCGGATCGCGCGCTATGCTCTGCCCCTCGAACCCGCTCGTATAACTTCTCACTCTCCATCTTCAGCTTCTCATTCACGAGCTTCTTCTTCTGCTCCGCCGCCTCCTCCACAAGTCTCTTCTGCTCTGCCGCTTCTCTTTCCTTCTCTAATATCCTGCTCATCTCCACTCCTTTCCGATCCTCCCAACGCCCTTCCAGCTCATCCCTCATACGCTTCAATTGGTCATCTATTTCTTTCCTCTCTTCCGACAACCTATCCATCACTTCCCTTCTCAAGGTCTCCACCTTCTCATCCTCCGCTAAGCATTCTTCATTACTGTGTGTCTCCAGCTTCAGGATATCGTCATGAGCAACCTTCATGAGGGTCTCCCATTCCGCATGCGCCATCTTGCGCTCACGCATGATCAAGTTGTTGACCTTCTTCCTCTCCTCCTCTAGCTCCAGTTCCAAGGTATATTTGATCTGACTCAGTTTTTGGTTATTCATTGCGAATCGCTTTCGTCTGCAATGATGGCTTCAGTATATGTTTCCTCTTCATCGATGGCTCACGCACCAATACTGTTCGACGAACTATCACCAGACTCGAATTAGGCAAGGGCGTGGATTGGTGATTGACAATTGGGAGGGGCAAAGTGTGCCGAGACGACAAAGAAAGCCGTAAGAGCAGCGCACCTCGTTCCCTATCCCTCTTTCACTTATAATAATCTGCGCAACGTGTACGACCGGCGCTATTCCGCTGTTCTAGCTGCGCACGCAGCTGAATCCGCACCTTCTGCACCTCCCGCCGAGATGTCTCTGTTTCTGCCAGGATCCTAGGATGAAGAATTCGCAGCTTACCAGTTGGCGCTGTGAAATTTCCATCCTCGGACGATCATGCGTCAGACCGTCGCGCGCTCGTTCCAATATGGCAGCCGGACACCTTCGCGTGAGTGCATTCGAGGCGTGTTGGGTTTTGTTCCTGGTTGGTGTCTAGTGTCTGGAGGACTGTACGCGCTGGATCGCGCAATTCACTTATGTGCATCGACTGCTCTTGACCTTCCCGAGCGCTGATCACCTTGATGTCCTATGTGCCAATTTGAAGGTCTGACAAGGGAAGCCCAGTTACACGAAGAAGAAAACCTTGAGCGGGAGCATCTTTTGCCGCCCGAGCATTAATAGCTAACCAAATGCGACTGCACATAGGTACGGGAATTGTCCTCAATCTTCTCTGTAAGGAGACATACTGGACAAGGAGTTCCGCGAACTTCTCTTGTCCGTGCCCATGCTCGGCGTAGTCTCGCTCCTTTCTAATAGCTCCTCCAAAAACGTCCTCACGAGAATAGCCCCGAGTTCCACTTGCGTCTTGTCCGCTTCAGCCACCCTGGAAAGGACATAGGCGAACACATCCTCATCCCATCGCATGAGCTCCGAATTCAGCCTTGCCTCCACTGACATCCCGGGGGAGTGGTTTGGAGACAGAACGAATTCATGTATGCCATCGATCTCAATGTCGAAGGCATGGTATGGGGTCTTCAACGTCGGCCATGGTATGTCGCGAAACAATAGAACCGTCTCTCGAGAGTCTGACTTGATCCTCCTCCAGCGGTCCTCGTACTCCGCCCAGGCTCTGGCAGCGCGCGCGCTTACCTGCTGTCCAGCCAGACATATCTTCCTGCCCTTCTCTGCGGTCCGTCGCTTGCTCTCGTCTCCCTTACTTTTTGCTCGTCGTTCCCATTCCCTGTGTTGCCCAGATGCCTCCGCTTCTGTCTGTTTGGCTAGCATCAGATTCCGCTCCCTCTTGTTCTTTTCTTCAAACCACTTCTCCACTGCATCAGTCTTACGCTTTCGCCCCTCGGCCCGTGCGCGCTGGACTGCTTCTCGGAAACGACCGTAGAGATCATCATTCTCCGCCTTCAGCTTCGCCTTGACGTCCTTTATCTTTTCCTCTGCCTCCTCCTCCATGCTTGTTCTCGTCGCCGCCATCTCTCTTTCCCGCTCCAAAATGATGTCTGTCTCTAATCCCGTCAGTCTACTCCACTCCCTCTCATGTTTACTCTTCAACTGCCTCAATGCTTCGTCCATGCCTTCCCTTACCTTGGATAACCTACCCATCGCTTGTATCTTCACCTCCTCAATTTTGCTCTTCTCATCTGCGAGCCTTTCCTTGCTGCGGGCTTCGATCTCGAGCATTTCTCTCCTAGCAGATCTTCTGAAGGTCTCCCATTCCAGATGCGCCTTCTTGCGCTCGCGCAAGATTATCTCGTCGACCTTCTTCTCCTCGGCCTCCAACTGTATCTCCAAAGCATTCTTCGTCTGACCCGGTTGCCGCTTAGACATCAAAGATTTGCTTCCTGTGCACTGCGACAATCTTGGGTGTTCGAAGCTAATCCCTCTTCTATGGATAGTACCACTCACCAGCACCGGCGAAATTTTGATACGAAGTTTGGGTTTAGCAAATGTGTCTATCAGCAATCGGCAAGGTACAAGATGTGTGTCTGATGAGGAGAGCTGTCGAGTATGCCCGCTCCTCCGACTTCTCTCTCTTATATCCCGCGCAGCGCATGCCAGGAGCGCTTTCCATCGTCCGAGGTGCGTAGTGCAACCCATTTCCTATATAACTCTTGCCACGTAAATGCACTTCATTGAGGATCCCAGGGCCCGTCTATAGAAGAGGCCTCGCACGCTGCGCGATTTCCTTCCTGTGTCGCCACGTGCCTGGTTCGAGCGACGGCTGCTGCGACGTGTCGTGTCTCTTGCAGCCCCGCAATGCCTGCGGGGCTGCGTGCAGGAAAGCGGGGTGCTTGATCTAGGGATTGTGCAGATCTCGTCATCGGCTGCCCTGGTCCTCTGCAAGCGCAGATCGTCTGCTGCGGATGCGCAATGGCGCTCAAGAACTCGAGCACTGACAGATATTACGTTTTGAGTGTTGAAGAGGAACGAAATGCAGCATGGCTGTACGAAGTAAGCAATCTGTACTCCACTGAATATGCATTCTGGAATCTGCAGGATTCTTCAAATCTTATATGTGCTGCCTCGCGGTATTTGGTATCAAAGTTCATGTTTCTTTCGAGGATGGGACAGACATCGTAAGCTCTCGGGCTCTCTCCGGGCAGCTTCGGTACCGGATCGAGTGTGCGTGGGAATTTGGTTCTCTGCTGTCCTCGCACTGGCCTTGCACTGGCCTCGCTGCTATTGTCCTCGCCTCCTTCTGATAACTATGGACTAATCACTCAATGCTATCGTCCTGTCCTCGACTGCCCCTCAACCGCTCTCGGCGAGCATGAAAATCCTAATCTTATTCACACTTCTTCTTCTTGTGATGGCTGTCCTCGACTGCCCCTCAACGTCGTTGTTCTGACATTGGTGTTTTGCTCATACATGCCGTCGATGATAATCAGCTCAGCTACGGCAGGTAAGGTCTCTGGCATCTTTAATCACGATGTACTCGTACAAGAAAATGGCCCCACATCCTTTCCAAAGTGCTCCCAATATACTACGTCGAATCGAAGTTGTGGCACGAGGCCAACACTCCTTGCAATGTGCGCGCAAAAGACTCAGTGATGGTGGTTTAGGTGCAAGGAGGGCTGTGAGGTCGATTTCATCGTTGAGCTCAGTATTCAAGTCGATGTGCCGATTTCCCAACCTTTCTTCCCTACCCACATCTCCCTCCCTGTGTCACATGGTTGGATTATTGCATTTGTATGTCTCAGCTCTCTCCATTAAAATCTATTGCTTGTTTGGTCGATTACAATAGCGGGGCCTCCACACATCGGAGGATGGGAGACATTTTGGACAGTTCTCAGAGTAATCGGGAGGTCCCAGGTTGGCTCAAGAATTGTAAGCACAGATATCGCATACTTCGATCTTGGATTCCGTCTGTTCATGATCATAGCTTGTACAGCGATCAGAGAAACAAGACTACATGATCCCTCGAGTATGGACTAGATTGTCAAGCAGTCGCATCTGTATCCATGCTTGGAACTTCCAACAACAACAGCTCATTCAACAATATCCTCACGAGATTGACCACGAGCTCTACTTTCGTCTTGTCTTCTTCAACAACCCTGGAAAGGACATCAGCCAAGGCATCCGAGCGCCATCGTTTAAGTTCCGATCACAACCTGCTCTCCGCAGAAGCTTGTGTGGAGTGGTCCGGATACAAAAGGAATTCCCTTATTGCATCAATGGAAATATCTAGTACGTAAATTGGCGCCTGTAGCGTCGGCCAAGGCATGTCGCTGAAGCATAATAACGTCTCGTTAGCCTTCTTGATATTTCTCCAGAGGGACTCGTACTTCGTCCGAGCCTCGATGATATCCGTGTGCCTTCACTCCTCAGCTGACTACTTCTGCTTCTTCCGCTCTGCAGTCTGTCGCTCGCTCTCATCTCTCTTACCTTGCTCTCATTGTTCCTGCTCCCTTTGCCTCCTGAATCCCTCTGCCTCCTTCAACTGGGTCAGCATCGATCCCTCTTTTGACCTCTTCTCTTCTTCAAGCCACTTCTTCACCGCATCTTCCATCTTCTTCTGCCCCTCAGATCGCAACTCACGCTCCACCGTTTGGAAACGCTCGTGAGCCTCATTGATGTCCAACATCATCTATTCTCCAATTCCCCTTTACCGCGCCTTTCGCTCGCGTCTTCTGCTTCGCCACTTTGCTTTCCTCCTCCACGATCTGTTCCATCTCCGAATTCTTTTGCCTCTCCTAGACCGCATGCAAGAAAGCAGGATGCCCGATCTGGAGATTGTGCGGATCGCGTTTCTGGATGTCCTTGTCCTCTGCGAGCGCGGGTCGTGCACTATTGATGCGCGATGGCGATGGAGCCTTGAAGCGCTGACAGTTTACGTTCTGCGAACAGGGACGAAACGAAGTCAAGCTAAACACAGAGGAAAACCTATCTGTGCAAATCGCAACTTCCATACTAGCACTTTCATCGTATGCTTTCTGAACTCAGTTGCGCAAAGTGGAAAACCGCGAGCGGGACGCCTCCTTGCAATCACAGCTTTGATGGCCATCGGAACGAAACTGCAAACTTGTGGGTATGGGTGTATTTCCTTCAACGTCCTCAGTATAGGTATCTAGTGTGCAGCGACCGGGAGCTGGACGAACTTCTCGTGCTCGCACTTATACTTGGCTCCCCCTCGCTCTGTTCCAGCAGCTCTTCCCAATACGCCCTCACGAGATTGGCCCCGAGCTCCACCTCCGTCTTGTCCGCTTCAGTCGCTCTAGAAAGAATATCGGCGAACGCGTCTTCATCCCACCGCCTAAGCTCTGAGATGAGCTTTTCCTCCACAGAAACGCGCGGGGAGTCGTTCGAGGATGGAATGCGTCCCTGAATACCATTGGCCTGAATGTCGAATGCGTGGTTTGGGGTCTTTAGCGGCCCTTGACGTCCCTTGACCTTGCCCCAGTAGGGCTCGTACTTAGCCCAGGCCTTGACGATACGCTCTTTAGCATATCCTTTCCGCCTCTCCTCTGCAGCCCGTCGCTTGCTCTCATCTCTCTCGCTTTTTGCTCGTCGATCCCGTTCCCTATGCCGCCTGGACGCCTCCGCCTCTTTCTGCTGAGCCAGTATCAGATCTATCTCCCTCCTGCTCTTGTCTTCAAACCACTTCTTCGCTGCTTTGGTCATTCGTTCTCGCCCATCGAGTCGTGCGCTGACGACTACCTCCCCAAGCTGATCGTAGAGCTCCTCGTTATCCGCCTTCAGCTTTGCCTTGACGTCCTTTCTCTTCTCCTCTGCCATCTCCTCCACGCTTATCCTCTTCGCCGTCGCCTGCCTTTCCTCTTCCAAGACATTGCCCATCTCCACTCTCGTCAGTTCATCCCACTCCCGCTCGTGCTTACTCTTCAGCTGCCTCAGTTCTTCGTCCATCTGTTCCTTCGCCCTCGATAACTTCCGCGTGGCTTGCCTCTTCACCTCAACGATCCTCTTGTCCTCATCTGCGAGCTTAGCTTTGCTTTCGGTTTCGATCTCGAGGATTGTCTCCTTGGCCGCACTTCTGAGGGACTCCCATTGCAAATGCGCCTTCTTGCGCTCGCGCAGGATCACTTCGTCGACCTTCCTCTTCTCATCCTGCAATTGGATCTCCAGGGTGTCTTTCATCTGACCTGGTCGTCGCTTAGATATCGATATATGCTGCCGGTTACTGCGAAAACCCGAGGGGTTCAGAGGCTGATCCTCGTCCATGGCTAGTACCACTCACCAGCACCACGCCAGTCCAATATGATGCTCGAGCTCGGCAAAAGCGTCGATCGGTGATCAGCGAGGTACGAAACGCGCAGAATCTGGCGAGGAGAGCTGCTCAGTATGCCCTCTCCTCCTACGCCTCCCCCGTCTTATATCCCGCAAAGGAGCGCCTTGCCATCATCCCAGTCGCGTAGTCGATTGCGCGCGTATCTGGGCTTCACCGAGGATTCCAAGGCACATAGTAGCGGCCTCGCAGGCGACCAGCGAGCGGCCAGCTCTATGCGATTTCCTTCCTCGGCCGGGCACGCGCCAGGGGCATCCGCCTCGTATCGACTAGTTCGGGCAGTGTGTTGTATTTCTTGTGGTTTCACGATGCCTGCAAGGGCTGTGCGCAGGAAGGCGGGGGTCCCGATCTGGAAAATTGTGCGGGATCACGTCGTCGGCTGCCCTTGTCCTCGGCGAGCGGGGATCATTGCCTGCAGACACACAAGGGCGCAAGGGCGCTCGAGCGCTGACAGCGCTGACAGCATTGACAGGTTACGTTCTGCCTTCCGCGTGCTGAACAAGGACGGTCTGCACGAAAGCGGGCAACCCGTCCCACATTCGGCAGCGCATAGCACCTCCCCCAGCCTTGCGACGATTGCGTCCAGTAGCCGGCTTATCATCGAGCATCGCAAGGACGACGTGCATTTTTGCACTTGTTCATTTGAGATACCGAGTGACTCCTATGTAACTTGATACCCTAGGGTACTCAGTACACTTTAACTCGCTGAGCGGTCCCTGCATATCGACAAGCCAACCCGCGCGAGAGAGTGGCCTCTAAGACCTGAAATGTTCGCCTAACAAGCCGTGGGTACACGAGCAGAAGCATGTCGCAACTCAGGGGCACAGGAGTGTAGTGTCATATATTGCCAAGTATCCTACAAGTTATGGCAACGCCCTGCAACGCCTCGACTGTCGAATATCGAATGCTCATGACGACACGTCCGACGTCGACGTCAAGCTTGATGCTGGCGTGTTGAAATCGACTTATTGTCGCTTGTTTGGACAAGTCGACGTGACGCCCTTCAACGATAGACTGCAACGGAGACCGCATCGTACTTTCACAAGAAATCTGGCAGTTCTGTACGAGATATAGGTACGGGAATATTTCAGAGTACTTCAGTATGAATCAAGACCTAGTGAACCGAGCGAATCTGTCGTATTCGCACCGACGCTAGGTGACCCCTCGCTCTCTTTCGACAGCTCCTTCAAAAGCTTCCTTACCAGATTGGCCCCAAGCTTGACTGACTGCCTGTCCGCTTCATCCACCTTGGACAGTATACTAGCAAATGAATCCTCGTTCCACCGGCTGCGCTCCGAATAGAGCCTTGCCTCTATAGTCTCACCCGTGGAGTGATATGGAGACATGATGAGCTCCCGCATACTGCCGATCGTAATGTCCAGCGAATGCATTGGCTTTTTGAGCGTCGGCCAGGGTATATCGCTGGAAGGCAGTGGTTTTCCTTGAGGCTCCGACTCTATCTTCTTCCAACGAGCCTTGTAGGTCGTCCAAGCCTCGATGATATGCGCGCGCGCCTTCTCCTGAGCCGACTCCCTTTGCCTCTTGTGCTCTGCAGCCTGATGACGGTCCTCTTCTCTCTTACTTCTTCCACGGCACTCCCGCTCCCTCAGTCTCATGTTGCCATCTGCATCTCTCTGCTGCGCTAGCATCCGTTGCTCTTGTTTCATCTTCTCTTCCGCCGCTGCTTTCACCGTAGCTTCCACCTGCCCCTCCCATTTGATCCTGGCCGTACTCTCCGCCGATTGAATTCGCGCGTGAAGCTCGCGACGCTTTGCCTTCAAACTATCGGCAATGTGCTTCCTCTCATTCTCTCCTTTCTCCTTCGCAGCCCTCCTCTCGTCTTCTACCGCTCTCTGCTTTTCCATGACATCGTTCAACCTTGTGCTCTGCTTCAGCTCCAGTTCATCTTCCAGCTGCTTTTGGCACTTCTTCAACATGTCGTCATACTCCTTCCTCTTTTCAGACATTTTTCTCTCTAACTCTTTCCTCTCCTTAGACAACTCTTCCGCCGCCTCCTTGCTAATTTTCATCACCCTCTGCTCCCCATCCGCGAAAAGCTCCTTCAGACCACTCTCTATCTTTGAGATCGCGTCCATGGCAGCTTTCTTCCCCACAGTCCATTCCACGAGCGCGTCGTCGTGCGCCCGCTGGATCGCATCATACCGCTCCCTAGCATGCTTCTCCAGCTCCGCATCCAAATTGTTTACCATTCGACGTGATGCTTGTATGTCCGTCGCATTGAATTCAGAGGTCTCCCCTCATCTATGGGTCAGCACCACTCACCAGTATCCCCACGGTTATCGAGGCTCGAGTTCCGTGAAGGCGTGGTGATCAGGAATTTACGCGATGCGGTGCGCACAGAGTATGACGAGGAGAGGTGTTGAGAACGCCCTCCTTGTTCAGCTTCCCTGTCTTATATCCTGCGCGGCGCGTTTCACGGGCGCTTTCCCCTCGTCCGAGCCGCGCAGAACAGCCAATTCCCATATACTCCTCTCACCACGTAAATGCGCTTCGCCGAGGATCCCAGGGCACGTATCATAGAGGACTTGCAGTCCGCCGATTTCCATCCTCGGCCGACCACGCGCAGGGCCATGCGCCTCGTTTCTTCTCGTCCGAGCGGCATGGCCGCGTGGTATCACCTACGTCTCTGGTGGCTCCGCGATGCATTCGGAGCTGCGCGCATACGGGCGCTCGTTCTCGCCTTGTGTCCGGGCAATTGCGTGGATAGTCTATCTCTTGTCCTCTCTGCGAAGTTCGATCGTCGGCTGCGAACTTGTGAAGACGATCGGGCGCTTGAGTGCTGACAGCGTTGACAGGCTCCGTTCTGCCTTGCCTGTGCTTAATGAGGACACAAGGACGACCACATACAAGCTGAAATCCTGTTCCGCCCAACGCGCCTCCTCCAGCCTTGTGACGATCGCGTCCGGATTGCCTGCAGAGCACAGACGGACCGATCGATGACTCGACTTCACAAAATTCCATGACTCGAGGATAGCACTTGAAGTCGGAGGAACTGCTCTCGGTGGACTAGGGGCATCATTCCGACACTGTGACCGACCGACTCTCGATTCCGATGGACTCCCGAGCCAGAATAGGATGTGATAATGCTGCGTGAACGATGTATCATGGATCATGGGTTTCAATATCCTCAGTATGGGCCAAGTTTCAATGTGCTGGGACAGGAGCTGAGCAAACTTCCTATCCGTGCACCCGAGCTTGACGCATCCCGCTCTATAGTATTAGCAGCATACCATATCCTCGAGTCAGAACATGCATTCCTGTGGCCTGGCGTACAATGTCATGTATCTGTATGTCTTCGGATGCCTTCAGCTTTTTCATCAAGCCTCATCAAGCCTATCAGGTTAGTCCTTATCGGACTTACTCTCTATCGCTCCAGAGGAGCAGTCGCTCGAGCAGTCCCTCCTTCAGCATCCATTGAACAACGATACTCCTCCCCCTCTTCCTCCTGCAATGACCTCGACCATTGCAGAACAAAGTGGAGCATCATCTGGAGCTGTCTTACGACATTATTCTTGTGTACATGGACTGCCATTCACCCCAATGTCCCAGACATTCACGACCGAGCATGGCTATCTTTATGCCGCCGCCTACGATTCACAGTGCTGTTATTATATGCTCCAGAAACTGTCATCTTTTTTGCCCTCCGGCACCGCAATGCTGCAGCAAGATTAGCAGAGCAGTACCATGGTACGTTTCATCTTTCCCTCCATTCTATGATCGATCTTGTTGTTCCTAGAACGTAGTGGGTGGACAAGGACGCATGGATTCTTCGCGATTATGGGAGGATATATGCTCTATGACGAAAATGACATCCCTGTTCGAACTCTTCGTGTCAGGAATCTCAATGACGATACCCTGTACTTCCCCAACATGACGCAGGACGAAATTGAGGATCGGAGCAAGGGAGATATGCTCTCGAAGGGGCTCGTTCTCTTTCAGACAACCTGGTTCGTACTCCAGTGTATTGGACGAGGAGTGGGACGTCTGCCAACCACAGAGCTCGAGATTACGACGCTAGCTTTTACTGTCGCCAATATTGGAACGTATGTGTTTTGGTGGGACAAACCTCTTAATGTTCTACGCCCTGTCCGAGTGTACAAGAAAAGCTACCGCCCAAATCACAAGCGGGAAGAGGTCGACCCGGATCCACTCGAGGCTGAGGGAGGCGAAGAGAGCTCGCTTCTGATCCCCAAGGTCCCAGAAACATCGCCGACATCGCCGCCTTCCGGGCCTGAAGAAGTGTCGCCCGCTCCGGGACTCGAGCGCGAGAAGAGCCATACTCCGCTTTCTCTCTATTATCCGGTATGCGGCGAGATCATAGAAAGATCATTCAAGCTACTAGAGGCGACAATAAATTCCTTTCATAATGAAGAACAGAACGTATCATATTTCAATTCCGCGTCGGAGACCAAGATCCCTGCGTTCTACTTCGGCGACGATGATACTCCTGAAAACTCACACTCCCTTTTTTCTGTTCTTATAGGTGCGGGTAATTCTATAATTGTTAGCATGCTCGGGATTACAACGGTCCTTGGAGCCTTCCACTTCATCGCATGGTCATTTGACTTTCCAACCCACACGGAACAAATTCTGTGGCGGATATCCTCCATCGCAATGATATCCAGCCCGATGATCTTAGCATCGTTTTACAAAAGGTAGCCCCGGGAGGTTGCGAATCACCAACGCCCTCGTCTGTGGAGGACAATCTTGAAACTCGTTGGGTTTGGGCTGTTTTATGTTTACTGCAACTGCCGGGTCTTCCTATTGATCGAGTCGTTCGTGTCTTTGCGATCGCTGCCTGCCGGAGCGTATCAGACCGTGGAATGGACGACTTTCATACCTCACATCTGATGTCTCCGACCAGCTTCGACTCTCACCCTTGACTGTCCCTTATCCCTTACTCACCCCGCCGCCACATGCCTCCCCTTTACTCGCCTTGTCGTCCTATATGCCCACGCCTTTCCTTTCCTCTAGCATTTACCCACCAGCTCCCCATACGTACGAATCATAACGGTAACGGTACCCCGCTGGCCTCCATGTAAACAACTCGCCTCACCTCGCAAGTGCCCCGATCCACGCATTCCGAAGCACAGCGGCTCCTCGGACTCACCTCCCTACCGATCCGGGTTCACGCTGTAGGTATCGCGCACGGCTAGCCAGCTACATCGTTCCGACACACAGGCCTCAGGACCGAGCGACCGAGCGCGACCGACTCCCGGCTCTGGGAACGACGAACAGGCACCGGACGCCGGACGCTAGACGACGGTGTCCGAGACGTAGATACACACCGTCTCGAAGAGTGCTCGCGAGGTCTGGTCTGGTCTGATCTAGTCTGGTAGTGCAGGATAGCATACTCGCGGACAGGCAGCAGGTGCGGCGTGGCACAATGTGTGATGCTCGACGAACCACGAGATCCGGAGGGAGAGAGTAGCATAGAGCGAACGAACGAACGAACGAACGAACGAACGAACGAACGACATCCACGAAATAAAACGAAAGACCCAAAAATCAGCCGCGTCGTCCCGAGCCCGAGCCCGAGCCCGAGCCCGACTCCAACTCTCAATCCCAGGAAACGAACAGACATCGACCATCGCATGCCGGACGCTACCAGACGACGGCGCCGGAGAGACGCGAAAGCAGAGACGCAGAGGTAGATGCACGGTCGTTCCGACATCTTTCGGGATTCGAACGGCACGCGCGCGATCTGGTCTGGGTGCGGGGTAGTCTGTTCTGGCAGTGCAGTGTAGGCTAGCCTACGGGATACGTAGCAAGCAAGTGCGGAGGGCAGGAGAGAACGAACGAACGAACGAACGAGCGAACGGCACGCACAAAGTAAACCAGAAACTCCAGAAACACCAAAGAGAGAGAGAAAAGGCCTATCCAACATACACGAACCAAAAGCCACACGAACCAATAAGAAAAATCCACAAACCAACCCTGCACCCACGGACCACGAACCACGCATATATCTATATATCACAAACCCGCTAAGATTCGACAGGCCAGCAGCGGCGCGACTGCTATGTATATGTATATGTATATATAGAAAGATCCCTATGTATACTCACTCTACCGCGCCGTGCCGTGCGCTTGCCCGCCCGCGTGCCCGCTTGCTCGCCGACGCCAGGCCGACGGCACGGCGCGGCGCGGCACCACGGAGGAGGAGAGAGGGAGACGAGAGAGGCGAGAACGGGAATGAGATGCACATCACGTGATATTGCAACGATACAACGACGACACGGTACGACGAGGATGGGGGGAGAGACGAGAGCGAAGGGACGGGGACGGGGATCGGGACGGGCACCATAACACGACGGGAACGGGACGAGACGGGACGGGACAGCATCGGCGAGAGCAGAAGCCGACTTTCTTTCGACGAACGGACCACGACACGAGCAGCGAGCGCGGATAGAAAAAAAAACGAAGACCGAAGAAGACCGAGGGAGACCGAGGGAGAATGGGAAGTCCAACACCGGATGTGGACGCTTGCGGGCGGATCACCCGCTGCTGCTGCGAAAGAGCAAAAAGGCGCGTTAAATAAAGGTCAATCGTGACCGAACGCGCGCCGAAAATAGCTGCGGGGAGAGGCGGGACGCACCTACGCAAGACCGCTCACGCCATGCCTCCATAGCCCATATTCGCCCCCTGCTCCGCCAACTTCCGCTGCCTGAACGCCTACACACGCAAACACGCATCAGCACGCCCACCACCCTCGCGCTCAAGAAATCCCCAGACGCACCTTGCGGTACTTCGTGCGCTCATACGTCACCAGCCCAACGACAATGAGCGCGATCACCGAGATGCCCGCGAACACCCCCAGGCCGATCGGCAGCACCATCAGCTTCTTGCCCGGGATCTGGAATGCCGCGGCGGCCGTCGCGCTCGCGGACGGCGCCGAGTCCGCCGCGGCGCTCGCGGTCGCTGAGGCGGAGGACAGGTCGGGCGCGGAGGAGACGGCGGCGCCGCCTGCGATGGCGGTGCCGGAGGCGGCGCTAGATGTGGGCGCGGCGGTGGCGGTGGCGGTGGCAGCGGTGGCGCCGCTGATGCTCGCGACGGCGACGGACGAGATGCCCTGTGCGCGTGATCGGGTCAGCAGGAGAGAAGAGCGGCAGAAGAAGGGGTGCGCACGGCGACGGAGGCCTCGACCGGCGCGGTGCTCGCGGCCGCGGGGGCGGACGAGAAGGCGGAGGTCGTGACGGCGGGAGCAGAGGCACTGGCGCTGGCGCTGGGGTCCGCGGCGGAGGTGGCAGGCGCGGCCTGCGACGCGGCGGGGGCGGACGATGGGACCGACGCTGCGCTCGCGCTCGCTGCCGACGGGGACGCGGAGGCAGACGAGTCGGAGGAGCCGGAGCCGGGGGAGGAGGAGGAGCCCGAGTTCTGGGAGTTGTTGCCAGAGGAGGTGTCCCAGGAGACGGTGCAGGACTTCTTCTCCTCGACGAGGGGGTCGCCGTTGGACCCTGTGACGGGGGTGAGCGTGATCGTGCAGGTCTCCGTGACCGGACCCGCGTTCCTGTCGAGCGTCCCGAGTGTCAGCAGGGCGGCTAGGGGGAGAGAGAGAGGAGAGGCAGGGACGCACGTCTGGCTGGTCTGGCTCTGGGTGAGCGTGACGGGCTGGGAGAGGTCCTGGCGGCGCAGGACGACGGTGGTCTCTGTGCGGGGCGCGGGTGCTGGGGCTGGGGCAGCAGAGGCGGCGGTGAGGAGCAGGAGGAGGCCCAGGGACGGGAAGAGCATGGTTGCTTGCGGCGGCGGGGGTGTGTGTCGGACGAGGAGAAGAGGATAAGTTAAAGGAATGGAGAGCCTGCTCCTGGAGCGACGCCGACTGGGGCGTGTGTGGCGGGGAGACGAAGAGGAAGAGGAAAGGGAGAGAGGAGAACAGAAACGGAAGGAGAAGGAGAAGAGAAAGATGGGAAAGGAGCCTCCAGGGCAAGGCAAGGCAGGGCAAGGCGGACGGTCGCAGCGAACAGTGGCGACCCGGAGTCTCTGCGCAGCCACACACAACACCTCTTTCGCACTCCGCTCTGGCCGAGAGCCACCCAGCCCCTCTCTATGGCGACCGCTGCCGCAGTGGCACACGCCCATCATATACACTGATACACATCACCGCTACACTACTCCCGCCGCCGCCCGGTGCCCCCGCCCGTCCCGCCCCCGCCGCCGACGCCCGTGCTGCAGCAGCATCCCCACGCCCTCCGCCACCCACTCCACCCCCCACCGCTCGAACGCGAGCGACCCACACACGTTCACCGCCACCGCGCACAACAGCGCCCCCCGCGCCTCCGACGGCAGCGGCATCAGCTCCAGCACCTGCCCCACCGCCCCCGGCGGCGCGAGCAGCACCAGCGCGTTGAACGCCCCCAGCGCGACGAGCGCCGCCATCAGCCACCCTGCGTGCGTGCGTGCGTGCGTGCGTGCGTGCGTGCGTGCGTGCGTGCGTTTCTCCAAAGTCAGCGTCCGTGTTCCGCGATACATGAGCGCGAGCGATCCTCACCGTTCGTCCACATCGGCCGGCGGTACGGCGGCCCGATGCTGAACACCGCCGCCACCAGGATGTACTGGAAACACGACACCAGGAACAGCACCGTGTTCTCGTAGTTCGTCGCCTGCAGGTGGTCGTCGTCCCCCGCGTCCCCCGCCGCCGCCGCCGCCGCCGGGTCCGCCCCCGCGCGCTCGTACCTGCGCCATCAGTCCAAGTGTGAGATATTCGCGTGAGTGAGTGAGTGAGTGAGCGCGCGAGCACGCACCACGGCTGCCCCCGCACCCAGAAGAACGCCCACAGCTGCGTCGCGCTCGTCAGCGCGATCTGCCCCGCGATGCTCGCCAGCACCGTCTTCGACACCAGGCTCGCCGTCGGCCGCTTCGGGTGGATCCGCGCGAACGGCCGCGTCCGCCCCACTGCGCGCGCACATGCACGCGGACTCAGCACACGCGTTCCGAGCGACGGCGCGAGGGAGACAACACTCACTGGTGACGGCGACCGGGATGATGATGAACAGGTCGATGTACAGGAACTGCGCACCCGCCCGTCGCATCTCAGCGGCAACCCGACCCGAGCCGCAGCGCGCAGACGCACCTGGAAATCCCCGAGCGACGACGCGAACGAGTACAGCAGCGTGATCGTCGTGAACTGTATGAGCGAGTACAGCGCCCTGCGCCGCCGCACGCCCAACCGCACCGAAATAAGATGAAATGAGTCGAGTCCAACGCACACACGTCCGCGGCCGCACGCACATGTACTTGAAGCAGCTGAAGCTCGTCACGAGCGCCGCGCGGCCCTCGCGCACGACCTCGAGCGCGCACCCGATGTCCGGCGTGCGGCTCGTGAACGGCGCCGCGACGGACGCCTCCGCCTCGCTCAGCGACAGCCCCACGTCCGCCGCCTTGAGCGCCGCGCAGTCGTTCGCGCCGTCCCCGCACATCAGCACCGTGTGCCCCATCGCCTGCAGCCGCTCCACCACCTCGTTCTTCTCGTCCGGCGACATCCGCGCGAACACCTGCGTCTTCGCCAGCATCTGTCCGTCCGCCCGCCCACACACGATCGTCAGCGCGCGCACATATCGTGGAAATAGCAAAGGGCCCCACGCGCTGCAGCGTCTCCAGAGGCGCGTGGCTCATCATCCACCGGAACACGTCGCCCGTGATCACGAGCGCGTAGTCCTGGTAGTCCAGCATGTCGCCCTCCATCGCGTGGTGCGCCGGCGGCGTCAGCGGCCGCAGACTATAGTCGTCCAGCTCCCACGCCGGGTCGTCCATGCACGTCCACTCGAGCTTCGCCATCGGCGTCCCCGCGTTCCCTAAACATCCACAACACCCCGCGTCAGCAAACGCACCCGTGCGCGACCGCGGCACGCACCTCGCACGAACGCGGGCGCAAACACGTGCGCCGTCTGGTTCACGAGCCCGCACTCGCGCGCGACGCTCACGGCCGTGAGCGCGTTGTCGCCCGTGATCATCCGGCACGCGAGGTGCGCAGCGCGCAGCGCCTGGATCGCCGGCGCCGTCCCCGCCTTGAGCTTGTTCTCGAAGATCACCAGCCCGAGGAAGCGCAGCCCCGATTCGGCCTGCTCGCTGCCGGCGCGTGTGCGCGTGTGAGCAGGAGCGCGGATGGGGAGGGGGGGGGGCACACACCGTTTCATGCGCTGCGCTTTGAGCCAGGAGAGCCCCTCGACGCTCTTACCTGCGATCGCGATCACGCGGTACCCCCGCTTCGTGTAGTACGACAGCAGATCGTCATAGTCGTCCGGGACTTGGCGGGGTGCGCGCGGGCGTCAGCGACCTACACGCGAGCGGGCGAGCGCACTCACAAGAATCCGGCTCGCAGATGTCGACCATGACCTCGGGCGCGCCCTTGACGTAGATCTCCATACTGCTGCTCTTGAGCCGCTTCACCACGACGCTCATGCGCCGCAGCTGCGACACGAACTCGAACGTCCGGATCACGCCCAGCTCCAAAAAATGCGCGTGCTGCACCCGCGGTCGGTCAATCGGTCAGTTCTCCAAACGGACGGACGGACGGACGGACGGCCTCTCCGACCGACAGACGAACAAGGCGCCGAGCCGCCACACGCACCTTCGCCGCGCCCTTGAGCGCGTCCTCGACGCGAAAATGCGCGCTCCCAGGCGGCCGCACGATCGTCTGCACGAGCGCCGCGGCGCGCCCCGCCTCGCCCTCCGCGCGGCGCTTCCCGCCCCCACGAATCACGCCCGTCCCCGCGACGTGGCCCTCCTCCACCACCCACCTCGTAAACGCAAACATCTTCACGTCGAGCGGGTCCCCGATCGCCTCCCCGTCGACGACGCTCAGCTGGTGGCACGTCGCGAGCGCGTGCACGAACGCCGCCTTGTCGCGCGCCGCGGGCAGATCGTGCGCGTCCTCGACGAGCTCGCCGAACCGGTGCGCGCCGCGCTCGAGCGCGCGCACGCCGAGGATGTCCAGCCCGTCCTCCGTCAGCGTGCCCGTCTTGTCGAAGCAGCACACGTTGATCTTCCCCGCGACGTTGATCCGGCTCGGCGAGATGCAGAAGATGCCCGCCTGCCGCAGCCGCCCGAGCGCGAAGCTCGTCCCGATCGAGAGCGTGGCGGGCAGCGCGGGGGGCACGACGACGGTGATCAGGTCCAGCGCGCGCAGGACGATCGTGTGCCAGCGGACCTGCATGTATCATATGCGCTAAATGCAGCGCAAAAAGGAGGGGTTTTACGCACCCCCAGTCTGATGAATTGGACGGCGCTGGCGCAGAACCCGACGCCTGCGATGCCAGCCAGTACGATGATAAACCGGATCGAATCGCGGTAAAACTTGAAGCCCATGGGCTTCGGGAACAGCATAGATCGCACCAGCGCGCCCTTTGTCGTATTGAATCCTTACGCCAGGGCCGTCAAAACATATTAAAAAAAAACCCCCCGACGGACATCGCGAAAGCGAGGCTCACCCGTTCTCACCACCATGCCCAGTGCCGGCCTCTCCAGCTCCCCCGCGAGGCCCACCCCTTTCCTGATCCTCACGACCCGCGTCCCCGCGTACAGGAAGCTCTTGGCCGTGTTGCCGTCGACGTCCTTTGCCTCGCGCCAGCGCGCGAGGTCCTCATCGCGCACGGGGATCTTGCTCACCGGGACTGACTCGCCCGTAAGCATCGACTCGTTCACGATCGCGTCGCCCGAGAGCAGGAATAGGTCTGCGGGGAGGAGGGACAGCGGTGGCTCGAGTAGGTTGACGATGTCGCCCACGACGAGGTCGGACGAGTCGCGTTCGAGCCCTGGTATGGTAATATCAGTGTTGTGAACACCTGCACGCGTGTTTGAGAGGCGACGTACATGACCCGTCGACGAACACGCTGACTGCACACGAGAACCGTGACATTTGGCGCATCCGTGCTATTGTCTGCGTATTGTGAGCAATGGATCCACGTCATAAAATTGTCATATACCTTCTTAGTCTCGACGAGCGTCGTGGCCACGCTCAGAGTCGATATCAGAGCGATGCAAAAAGCGTAGTAATAGTAATCATCCAGTGACCAGAGGACGATGCTCGCGACTTGAAAGACGTAGAACGGATGGATGATCTGCGTCTGATGTTGAGCCGTGAATGCAGGCAACGGTGCGAAAGGCGAACCTCGTCGATCAGAAGCGACACCGTCGTTTTGCCTTTGACGTCGATGATGTTTTGCCCGAACAGCGTCAGCCGCTGCTCGCGCACAGACGCCTCCAAGCCGTTTTTGACCGAGGATACGCCGGTCCAGGTGGGATCGCGCCAATCCCTACCTACCGTTCAGGAATCTTCTTCCATGAGATGTAAAAGAAACCCGTCAACGTACTTCACGACACTGAACAGCCCTGTTTTGGGATCGAGCGCGAATCTGGCATACCGGTAGTCTAGCACCAACAACGTCTCCAATACTTCACCATATTCGGCAGGAACGCCATTCCCATTCCCGTTTGGCTTCGTCGACGCTAGCTTTGGATCACTCACGGAGCTCGAAAACACGGTCGATGCGGGGTATGGGTACGCCAACCGCTGAACAGGAAACAGCGCGATCTCCCTGTGCGCGCTCTGACACACCCGTGACTGCGTGCCCTCCCGTCAAAAACAAAAACGCGCTCACCTCCACCACGACGAACCCGTCCTCAAGGTCCCTAAACGCGCGCTCCCGCGTGACCCACCTCAGCCACAGCATCGGGAACCAGTGCCCCAGCAACCCCAGCACGCCCGCGCTGAGCACGCACAGCGCGCGCCACGCGGCGCGGCGCCCCCGCCGCGTCTCGTAGCCTACGAACCTCACGCTCGCATCTTCGTCCGCGATGTAGATCGTCTGCCGGCTCGGCGCGCCCGGCGGCGGCGGCGCGAGCGGCTCGAGGTCGACGTCGATGCGCACCTCGGCGCCAAAGAACTGGTCGCCGGATAGCAGCGGCAGCGACGCGGAGTGCGTCGGCGAGGGCGGCTCGGAGCCGTACCCGAACTCGCTGGCGGCGGGCGACGGGCTGCGCGCGATGTCCTCGTCCTCGTCGTCTTCGTCTTCTTCCTCCGCGGACGAGTACCCCCAGCGCTCGTCCCCGCCCTCGTCGTCGCTCTCGACCGCGACGGACCCCGCGTCCGACTGGCGGCCCCACCGCCGCGCGGAAGAGGCGGTCGAGCGCTGCGACAGCGACGAGCGGCGGCGATGCCCCTGCGCGCTTTTATCGCGGCCGAAAAGCTGCGCGATGTTCCCAAACACGTTCCCGCGGGCGGGCGACGGCGACCTTCTGCCCCTGCGTATCAGCGGGCGCTCGCCCGTGATATCCTCCTCGTCCTCGTCCTCCTCGCGCCCCTCGCCCCCGTCCACATCCCCGCCCCCGCCCTCGTCCGTCCTGCGGCTCGCCTCGCTCCCCCTGCGCGAGCGCCGGGGCACGCTGCCCTCGGAGCGCTGGCGGCTGAGCGAGCGGTGGAGGCTCATGCGCGAGACGCTGCTGGGGTTGACGGCGTGCCCCGGCCCGTCGAACATCGCGCCGTCCGCGTCGTCGTACGCGAGGCTGTACTGGGACTCGCGGCGGGCGCGGCGGGAGTTGGAGACCGCGGTGGAGATGTCGATGGCAGACGCGCCCTCGGTGTAGTCGTAGCTCGACGGCCCGGCGATGGCGGACATGCGAGATGAATCCTGTTCGAGGAAGGGAGACGGGTGAAAAGTGATTCGGCCTGGACTTGTCAGTCCAAAGGCTGCGAGGCGAAGCTGTTAGTGAGCGGACCCAGGAGACCAGTGCAGAGAAATGTTGTCGCGCACAATAAGTAGACAGGCTCTATATCCACAACTAAAAAAAAACAGGAGAGCGGGTCCGAGCCCAGCGTGTGACTCGTGTATAGCGGCGCTTATCCAAAAGTCAGCAAAGCGACGTCGAGTCTAGCGTATATCCCAAGATGCGCCACGAGTGTACAGAGATGGGGAGACTATAGACTATAGAGTGTGTGCAAGGCTCATGAACGGTGGTGCGAGCGTAGTACGGGCCAGTGCAGTGAGCGGGACGCGCCGGTGCCGAGACGCGCATCCCAACATGGAAACAACTTCCAAATCCAGCCCCCTCACCCCCTCTTCTCCATTTTCCCACCGCCACCACCAGTATAACACCCACCTCCAGGCTCCCCACCCCATCCCGTCCACCATGTCCTCCAACCTCGCCCTCCTCACCCAGTCCCACAGCATCGTCGCCTCCAAAAAGCGCCAAAAGCGCGAACAGATCAAAGAGATCGCCTTCGACGAGTCCGCGCGCCTGTGAGCCTCCCCTGCGCCCGTATCAATATAATATGTGTATGTGACGCCCGCGCTGCGACAGGGAGTTCCTCACCGGCTTTCACAAGCGCAAGGTCCTCAAGGCGACCGAGAGTCGCAAGCGCGCGCAGGCCCGCGAGAAGGAGGAGCGGCTGCAGGCCCGCAGGGAGGTAAGCCGTCGCGCCGTCGAGCTGCTTACTTCCCCTGCCCCATTCATTCCACTCATCTATGTTCTTTATATGCGCTGCAGCAACGAAAAATGCTCGCAGAGCAGGCTATAGAGAACGCACAAAAAGTAGAAGCCGCATACGGCGGCGGCATCGGTGAGCCCCCTTCCCTACCTTGCCCTCCACACTCCACCGCTCACTGAACCCCCCACCCACCCCCCACCCACTCCCAGACGTCGATGACGACGACGGCGAGTGGGCAGGCTTCAACGCCAGCACCGGCAAGGGCAAAGAAAAAGAAGCAGAATACGAGGGCGAAGAGCAATTCGCCACCGTCACCGTAGTCGAGGACTTCGACCCCAGCACCCTCCTCCACGGCGACCCCTCCGCCCCACCACCACCAAATCCACTCACCTCTACCTCCACCTCCACCTCCGCTTCCTCGCCCACCCAGAGCAAACCAAAACCAAAAACCCCCCAAGACACGCCCCACCCCCACCCCCACCCCCACCCCCACCCCCTCAAACCACGCACCAAAAACCCCAAATACGGCACCATCGCCGCGCGCAAAGCCGAAGCGTCTAAGCAGCGCAAGCGCAAAGTCGAAAAGGCCGAGCGCGCAGGCGGCAAGGCCTCCCGCACGAAGAACACAAAGAACACGAGGAACACCAAGAACACCAAGGGCAAGAAGCGCTGAGCCCCGAGCGGAGGCGTCGCTGTCCACGCACCGCACCGCATCGCACCGCACGGCTCTCGGCTCGCGCAGTCGCAGTGCACTGCGCCGTGATCGAACTTCACGATCCGCTTTCGGGCGAGCCCAGAGCGGTATTGGCTATACTGGTACTATACGCGCCGCTATCGTTTATCTCGGGTGTACTCGTGCGTTCGATATATACTGTCTTCGACGATCCCTCAATCAGCGCCTTCCACAATGAAGTGGATCCCCATGGCATCCGAGCGTTGTCAGTGCGTTGTCTCGGCTGTCACAACTCGCTACAGGGACGAAAATAGTCCGGGACTGGTTTCCGTTGCTGACCCTAAACGCAGAGGAGAGCCGTTCTACGTATAGAATCTGGAACCACCGCTGCTTGCACTCCCTCGCCATGGCAAGCGTGAATGAATCAATTTGCGAAACGATTCCAGGAAGCTTTAGCGAAATGAATATCGCGGGCTTTGAACAAAGGCAGCGACTTGCGGACGCCTGTAGCTAGACACGTTCCGACAATGTCCAACTTGGCTTCGTCACTCCATGCGAAAAAATCGTAACAACCACATGACATTCATGTCCAACGGCTAGTATGTTATACATTCACGAACGCGGATCCACACAAGGGACAGACAACACCTCACAGACCTCCACGCAGACGAAGAACTAGATAACTACAGTCAGCTTCCGCGAAAGATGAGTGACCAGCGACAACGACTCACCAAGGTGAAGGGTGCTCTCCTTCTGGATATTGTAGTCAGACAGGGTGCGACCGTCCTCGAGCTGCTTGCCCGCAAAAATGAGGCGCTGCTGGTCGGGAGGAATCCCTTCCTTATCCTGAATCTTCGCCTTGACATTGTCGATCGTGTCCGAAGACTCGACCTCGAGCGTGATTGTCTTACCCGTGAGGGTCTTGACAAAGATCTGCATTCCTCCACGCAGACGAAGTACTACACAAGAGTCAGGACAACGTCGTCATCGATGGGTTCCGAACGTACCGAGATGAAGAGTCGACTCCTTCTGGATATTGTAGTCCGAAAGAGTGCGTCCATCCTCGAGTTGCTTGCCGGCGAAAATGAGGCGCTGCTGGTCAGGCGGGATACCCTCCTTGTCCTGAATCTTTGCCTTCACGTTGTCGATCGTGTCAGACGACTCGACCTCGAGCGTGATCGTCTTGCCGGTCAGGGTCTTGACGAAGATCTGCATGCCTCCACGCAGACGAAGGACGAGATGCAAGGTGGACTCCTTCTGGATGTTATAGTCGGAAAGAGTGCGGCCGTCTTCGAGCTGCTTGCCCGCGAAGATCAAGCGCTGCTGGTCCGGGGGAATGCCCTCCTTATCTTGAATCTTCGCCTTCACGTTATCGATCGTGTCAGAAGACTCCACCTCGAGCGTAATCGTCTTGCCCGTGAGGGTCTTGACGAAAATTTGCATACCACCGCGGAGACGAAGGACTGCGAACCAAGGGGTCAGAATCTCGTGGCAAGCCCAAACCGGCGATGACGTACCCAAATGGAGGGTCGACTCCTTCTGAATGTTATAGTCAGAAAGGGTGCGGCCGTCTTCGAGCTGCTTGCCCGCGAAGATCAAGCGCTGCTGGTCAGGGGGGATGCCCTCCTTGTCCTGGATCTTGGCCTTGACGTTATCGATCGTGTCAGATGACTCCACCTCGAGCGTGATCGTCTTTCCAGTCAACGTCTTCACGAAGATCTGCATGCCTCCGCGCAGGCGAAGCACTGCACAATGGAGAATTCAGTGCCTCGATCGGCAGCGGATCGCGAAACCTCAAACGCACCGAGATGAAGAGTCGACTCCTTCTGGATGTTATAGTCCGAAAGGGTGCGGCCGTCCTCGAGCTGCTTGCCCGCGAAAATCAAACGCTGCTGGTCGGGGGGGATTCCCTCCTTGTCCTGAATCTTCGCCTTCACGTTATCGATGGTGTCCGAAGACTCCACCTCGAGGGTGATCGTCTTCCCAGTGAGGGTCTTCACGAAGATCTGCATGTCTATAATAGCGTACGACACCCATCAGCATCTATCCGATTTCCAACGAGGGCAAGCCACATGGGTGCCACAGGCAATTGGACCTCGTCGAAGCACGCCGATTGGAGCGCGAAGCCGCAGAAAGGATCTACTCACTGAAAAAGAGTCTGAAGAGGCGTGCGTGGGTAGAAGGATGCTGGGATGGTGGTGGTTTGAGAAGAAGGAGCGATGCGGGGGTGAATCGCCTTATCAATGATGGCCACACGTGACGTCACGGTCCTGCCCGACGGGCGGCTCTCCAACTGTGCCGCCGGGCGGCTGGCGACGTGCCCCGCACAAAAAAAACATCGGTCTGACCACACGCTGCGCAACGTCGCGCAATAAATCGCTCGCAAAAAAATCGGCGATCAAGTTATAAAAAAAAAAATGGCGCGAACCGCCCGAAGAGATAGATACATGTCAAGTGCATACAATGGGTTCTACTGCGACGATACAGGGAAACTGCCAGAAGGCAGGGCGGATTTGTAAATAAACAAGCTAGAGGGAACCGCTGTGCCAGCGTCGACATGAGGGTCGGCAAGGGGTAGGCCAGGAACCACAGGCGAGCGAGTTGGCTATGTGCGGAAGGGACAAACCGAAGGAAATAAACAGGATAAAAAAATGATAGCGCCAACCGCCCGCCTCCCAAGCTCGTCCCAATTCGGGTGAGTCAAGTGAAGAGGCGGACGCGGCTCGGCGGCTGGAAGATGGGAAGAGTCGGAAATGGGGTAATGTAATGGTTACGTCGTCAAGATCATCGCTGTCGTAATAGCTGCCGTTCAATGCTGCTCTGTCGGGTCGGATTCAGAATCTGGGGGGGAAAAGAGACAGAGAAGAGGTCATTCGGTGCAAGACAATCGAGGGGGTCAAGGATAGATAGGTAGATGTACAGGTGTGCGTTGGGGTATAAATGATGTCGCAAATAAATGATGCTGTGATTACACGAAATAAATCAAAAAATGGAACGGGGAAAAAGACAAAAACGAGACCGAGGCCCAAGCCGGAGCTGGGGTGGTTGTCGTCGCCCGTCATAAGCGCACAGGGGGCAAGTGACGTTGCCCCCAGCGACGCCGCGTGGCCGCATCATGACAACCACACGTCCCCCCCTCAGCGGTCAAACGCAAAGCCCATGCGCTTCCCGCGGGCCCGCTTGTCCTCCGCGACGCCGGGTATCTCGCCGTTGCGTGCCAGTTGGTGCCAGTACAGCACGTCACCCGCGCGGAGAGGGAAGTTTCCGGGCTTGAGCGGGTCGACGAAGGCCGCCGACACGACCGGGAACGGGGACTGAGGCGCAAGCGCGCTGAAGGAGACGAGCGAGGGCATTGATGCCGGAGAATCCCCGGGCGTGACGGGCGATAGCGGTGGCGAGGGCGTCAGGGAACGGAACGACGACTCCCACGGCGGGATCGGAATGGGAAGCTCATGCGAGGTGGATGGAGGCAAAAAGGGCGGCGGAGAAACGGGGGGAGGGGCTGGGGAGGAATCTGTGTAGAAGGGAAGCACGCCTGGCTCGTCTGCAATGTAGTGCCGCTCCGAGGCAACGATCTCTGTAGAATGGAAGACGAAGCGGTGACCGTTCGTCGCGCGATTGGTAGCGGAAATCGACGACGTGCAGCGGGCGCACTGTCGATGAGATCAGAATTGATTAGCGTGAACTACAAAAAAAAAAAAAAAGACACGGGACTCACGGGAATGACGATCATATAGCCTACGCCGTTGCCGCAGCCGTGGCAGCACAGCGTCTGCGTAAGGCACTCGCAGGTACGCGGCGGGTCAGCGGATGGTGCGCGCGAAGGCAAGACAGGCGTGGGCGTCGCAGAGTACGCCGAGCAGTTTATCGGAAGGGCATCGGTGGAATACAGCGGCACATGCGGACGCAAAAGGAGAACCGCCTGAAAGAGACGTCATTTCCGAGTGAGCACCGGTCGGGAGAAGGAGGGCGTGCGAGCCGGCTCACCTTCATGCCACGGTTTGTCAAGAACGTCATGCAGTTTTTGCAATCGAGCAGCCAGACCTTGTGTGCGACCTGGGGAGGGGGCGAAGGGATATTGACGCTGACATTGACCTGGGCGATGTTGGAGGATCCGACCCACTGTGTGTGCGCGGGGTAGGCCCAGGTTCCCTGAGGAGAGGTCGAGTTGCGAGAGAGGGGGTGATGGTAGTGGACAGCTGCAGGGGAGGGGAATTGTGCGGGGAAAGATAGGCTGAGGCTGGAAGGCGGAAAGATACGCTCAGGCATGGGAGGGTGGGTGACGGGATGGGAGTATGGATTGGAAGTCGGTACAGGGTCGTATGGGACGTTTGTGTGTACGAATGGATCGTGTGCTGGAGTGTGCGTATGTACGACGCGGGAAGCAGAGAGGGTGTGTCGGCGGGAGAGGTCGCGATCGAGATGTTCGTTCCCGGAGGACGGGGAGGCTACCGCTGGCATCTTTATCGACGACTGTCGGACGGGGGATGTGTTTGGGGTCAAGGGAGGGGAGGGGGGCGGAGAGGGGGGATAAAAAGGAGAGAGAGGGACAAGGGGGATGTGGGAGCGAGAGGAGGGAAGGACTGAGGTGCGGGACAAAGATGGTTGAGGACGAAGTGGAGTGCTTCTGATCGACCAGGCCAGTGGGTGCCTTCCCCTGTCATGTATCTCGACAGCGGATGGATAAAACGTTGGACACGTTCTCATTACTTCATTCAGGATTCATTACCGACGAGGTGGCCGGCGAACATATGGGGCCACTAACAGCTCGCGAGCGACGCGTCTCGCGTGTCACGTTTGTTTTGCGCGGTGTCCGAGCTCGTGAAGGAGGACGGCCCTCGCAGGCCTTCTTTTTTTCCATCGAGAACGAATACAAATGGAGATGGGGCTGAAGCGAATCGATGATGCTGACGGAGGCTGACGGCTGTCCCAAGGCGGCGGTCACCTCGTGTTACCAATCTCAGCTGATTGGCTGTCCAACCCCGGTCCGTGAGTCTCACGCGCGACCGGCCTGTCTGATCCAACCCCTCCTTTGCTCGCCATGTCCTCCCGCCGGTTATCGCCGGCCCTCGTTCCCGTCCAGAGCCTCGTCGTCACCTTCCTCGTCGACAACACCATCGAATGGTGCGTCCACATCGGCCCTCGTTCGGTGCTCACACCCTGTGAAATGCCATTCACACTGCACAGGTTTGGGAAGCTGCCTCCGGGCTTCACGCGCGAGATGCGCCAGCACCTGGACCAGCACCCCCCGCCCGACCCTGACACCGGAGTCCCTGTCCTCGATTTGGAGCGCTTTTGCTGCGGTACATCCTCGATCCTCGATCTCTGCCTGCACGTCCTTGTACTCGCTCACTCACACGCGTGCCATCCCCGTCACGCGCCCAAGGTGCCCACGGCTTCTCCGCATTAATCGTAACTACTGTCCCTCCCTGCCGCTCCTCCCGCGACTCTTCCATGTGACACCGTCCGCGCGTCCCCCCAGGAAACCCGCGCGTCCGCTGACACCCCGTCGCACCTCACCCTCTTCGACACCGGGCCCGACTCCCAGTCGCTCGTGCGCAATCTCGCCGCGCTGCAGATCCGCACCCCGTCCATCTCCCGCGTCGTCCTCTCGCACTGGCACGCAGACCACACCGGCGGCCTCCTCTCCTTCCTCGCCCACCGCGCCGCGCACCCCGAGCTCGCCGCGAGCACCCCCACGTGCGTCGTCGACGCGCACCCGTCCCGTCCGCGCGCGCGGGGCATCGCACCTCCGCCCGGGGACGAAGTCCTCTGCCGCCTCCCCGCAGACCCCTCGTTCGCCGAGATGGCGGACGCCGGTGCGCGCGTCGAGATGCACGACGAGGGGCACGCGGTCGCGGGCGGCACGGTCTGGGTGAGCGGCGAGATCCCGCGCGTGACGGAGTTCGAAGGGGGCTTGCTGGGCGGAGTGCGGTTTGGGGACTCGGGGGAGTGGGCGCCGGAAGCGGTGAGTGAGCTCGGCGGAATCCTCGCTCGGACAAGGACAGCGAGCTGTCAGAGGGATCTCCGCCGCTGCCAGCCTCTGGCGTTCGCTGTCTGGGACCGAGTCGTCCCGTTCGGACGACCGCTGATCGTGATCCCGTGACCAGCATCTCATGGACGAGCGCTACGCCGCGATCGACGTCCTGGGGAAAGGCTTGGTTCTATTCAGCGCGTCAGTCCCGTTCGCATTCGTCCACTGATCCATCGGAAATGAATCCACGTTCTCGCCCGATGTTGCCGATCTCCTTCACAAACGCCCCAACTCTATCTCGCCTGGCCATGCCACCTCCAGATGCTCCCATGCCGGCATCGTCAATGTCGTCAAAGACGCAGTCGCGACCTTCTCCAGGCCCGTATACATGGCGAGTCCCCTCCTTCCATCTCTCACCTCACATCATCACCCCTTCCCCTCGCCGCGGCGTGGTGCGCTTACGCGACCTGCTCGCTCGCACTCTCCTCCGCATCCGTGCGCGCAGATCATCGGGGGCCTCCACCTCGGTGGCCCAGAGCTCGCCCCGCGCATTGCGCCCACCGTCGACTTCCTCGCGCGCAGGTTACGCCCGGCGCCTGCGTACGTCCTCCCGATGCACTGCTCGGGCTTCGACGTCAAGGTCGCTCTGCAGGCTGCGCTCGGCGAGGGCTGCGTGCCCGCGGGAGCCGGCATGCAGGTAAAGGTGCTCGGGGAGTCGACGGACGAGGCGCGTGTGTTTCCGCCGAGCATCGCCATTTGAGCATGTATGGGTCCCTGGAGGGGGTACCTGCGTACATCTTTTACTCGCCATCGCCTGTACGAATCTCGGAGAGAAGTGAATAGCACGAAGCTCCGTTTCTCGCGGACTTTGGAATTCAGCTCGAGCTTCCGAGTCGCTCGTCCTCTCACTGGCCAGTGGCCTCCTTGCGCCAACATGCGCCAACAAGCCCTAGCTCCGACGCGGGATTCCTGATCTTGTGAGATCCGCTGCGAGGCTCTTATGTAATATCTCTCATGTAGCGCAGACTAGCGCAGAGAAGGGCGAGAGAGAGCCCACCAGAAGCGGAAGCAGGTGCCATTCTCTGCCATTCTGCCTCCGACGCCCGCCAGGACCCCCGACAATCCTGCTAGAGGTATGTTTGGCGAAAAGGGGCAAACTACTGGACATTTTTCGGGGCCTGCGGCCCTCTTTGACTACCGGGGATCAATCAGACCTTGAGTACAGGCTCTCCCGCTACCCGAGACATTATTAGACCTCCAAAAATCCTTTAAAAAAATCGCGAAAAATCCTAAAAAAAATTGCGCGGTAATACAATACATGTCAGGAACGAGTTCAACCTATCCATAAAGCACGTATAGTAAGAAACTAGTTCATGTCTTGTAGTGAAATGGCTATATTTTGGCCTAGCAGCGTGGGATTTTCCAGGAGAGCGGCAAGAAATGAGCCCGGTCTAATAAGCTTGAAAGTCAACACTTTGAGGCCTGTAGCGTGATTCGTGGTTGACGAGGATCGACACGCTGCAAAAGGTTTGAACAGCTGTGCACCAAATATGGAATATTTTTTTCGAACCAGATTCTGACTACCGGAACTGTATCATATCTTACTTAAACGGGCAAAACTACCGGAGAACAGCATAGACCTGCTGTTCCTGTACCGGAGTTGATCACCATTTCAGTGATCTCGCCGTCAGGGCTCCTGTGATCAAGTTCACTGAGATAAAAAGAACCTTAATACCTTGCAAAGTATCGAAAATTTACGCCTCCAAATTTTACAGGTTTTTCAGATGAGCCAAAACAGACCGAGGCAGCGACGAAGGCAGGTGAGTCGTAAACAGGCCAAAATCGCAGAGTTGAACAGATCTCTTTCCGGAGGTCAGTCACGCCTAGTCACACATGCCGATTGAAAGTCCGACGGCTTGCAAGGATGCAGATGTGCAAAAGGCGGACTTTGAACAGATCCGACTTGCCGAATGCGGATGTCACTCTCTCACCTCATGTATCTTCAGATTTTTATTTCGGGCCTATCTTTGTATTAAGGGTGCTCGGAGAAAGTGTATACTGGCTCTAATTGTCAATAATAGGCACGTTTGATTTTTTTGTCCAGCACCAAAGCTTCGCTGATTTGTACTGATTGCTCTCCTCGCGCCATAAAATCAAGCATATCATTGTATTCTTAATGTAGAAGACTCAGCGCCTGAATATTTTAAAGTGTGCAGGTTGTGTATGTGACGAGCAACACTCATTGTTCATGTGCGAGACCCTGGTATGGTCCAAAAATGGGCCTCAATACTACCGGACATTTTCAAAGCTGAAACATATCTCTGGCGGGATTGTCGGGGGTCCTCGCCCGCCACTGGCGGCATCTGCCAGCGCGATCTAGACCACAGCCAGACTTCGCTCGCCATCGCCCATCGCCCATCGCCTGTCATCCATCGCCCCCGTCGATCATGCCATCGGCAGCACAACCGCGCCCGACGCCCGCCTGGGCGCTCGATTTCCCAGAGCCAAAGGCGACGCCGCCCAAGATCTCGCAGGAGGAGCTCGCCGAGCTCGTGCGAACCAAGACCGCCGGCGTCGACTACCTCGTCGTCGATGTCCGGCGCTCTGACGTCGAGGTAAGCCTCCCCGCAGCATCAAAATCAGCATCTGCCGCCGATCACCGCATCCCGCATCCCGCATCCCGCATCCCGCACCACATGCACGCTCGCACGCTCGCTAACTATCACCCCGCACCGATCCCCACACGCCCCCACACGCCCCCACACGCCCCCACGCCGCCCCAGGCCCTCATCAAAGGCGCGATCAACGTCCCCGCCCAAACATTCTACCAGACCCTCCCGACGCTCCTCCACCTCCTCGCCCCGATCCCCGCCGTCATCTTCCACTGCCAGAGCTCGCTCGGCCGCGGCCCGCGCTGCGCAGGCTGGTACGCCGACGCGCTCCCGCCCGGCGCCGCGTCGCGCGCGCTCGTGCTCGATGGCGGCATCAAGGCGTGGCTCGCGCGCTGGGCGGGCGACGCCGACATGACGGTCGCCGTGCCGGGCGCTGCGGCGGTCGATTATCCGCCGCTCGTGCTCGAGCCGGAGGTGGTGAAGGCGCTGGGCGGCGCGCGGCCTGGTGCGGGGTAAGGCGCGCGGGCCCGGCTGGGCGGCGCGTGGGCGGATAGGCGTTTTTTTGTTTGATCGCGGATCGTTGCGGCGGGTTCGGTCTAGTCGAGGTAGGTGGGAAGGTGGGAAAGGGTGAGGGTCTTCCAGTCTGGCTTGTAACAGCATGGTGGACTGTGGATCTATCTGCGATGTTGTACTGAGCGATGTCTGTGTAGTTTTCGACGAGTGCCGTTGTATGATCAGTGGTGGGTGCGTAGGCTACGAAATCAAACTCGTTGGCGTTATTGTTGCGACGAGCGCACGGCGAGGCTTCGCTTCTGCTGAAGACACGCCTCAAACAGCTCACAGCAGGCCATAACACGCACATGCCAGAGCACAGCCGGCACGCGCGCGTGCGCGTGTACGCCGTGCACTCAAAATCTCTTTGTTCGACGACTCCTCACGGACAAAGCAGCTCGATGCGCCACTCCAACGCGCGGCGCACCGGACACTATATATAAAAATATGAAAGTCAAAGCGAGCCACACGCCCCCTTGGCCCCCGTCACTGCATTCATGCCCGCCCCGCGCACCGGAAATTTGCCGTGGCACTTGACCACTATGGGTACGATGACCAAGGTTATTCCGTCCAGGCTATCGAGCGAGAGGCGCGGACTGCCGGAGAAGAGAGCGCATATACGCCAGTGCCGCCGCACGAGCAAAGGCCACACGGAGGACAAAGGCGATAGAGCTGTAGACGTAGATGTAGATGCCAGTGCTTGTGGCCCAGAGAAGCGTACGGGCAGAGGCAGGAGCCAGGGCAGCGGTTCGTACAAAGCCCCGCTGACGCTCCCGGTGAACCGTAGCGCGCCAGCCCCCGCAGAGGAGCTCAACCCCGAGCTAGGACTCATCACCGCGCTCGGGATCCGGTTCCGCGCTACAGAGCGCGTGCTCATCCATCTGCTCACCGAGGACCGGCGCACGCTCGAGGCTCGCGGAGCACGATCCTGTCGATTTAAGCGGCCGCCGGCGGATCGCAGACGAGCTGCGCGCGTTCGACAGGCGGTGGAGGAATAAAGTGGACAGAGCGATGGCGGTGGTGGAGCGGGAGATGCCGCTCTGGGTCCTGGAGGAGTTCACGATTCACGAGGGGTGGGTGGCACCGCCGGCCGCGAACAAAGGATGGGTCGAGGATCGAGGCGGAAAGATGCCCCCTTTCTCTTCCTCGCACGGGTTGGGTGGCAGTTTGTGAGGTGCGCGAGCCAAGGCCAGCGCAGCAGCAGCCACAGATAGAGCGGCATTGTAATAGATAATGTGATGTCCGTTAGCAGTAGCTCTTGGAAAAGAGTAATCTGAGATCCTTCCTTATAGCTGGCCAATGCGACTGTGGCATTTGAGCAAGCGTTGAATACCTATGAAGCGCTACAGCACCCAAATGAAGGCCCAAGTGTGATCGATCGTACCCTGTTACCAAGACGAGCGAAGGGTGCTGCCGTTACGGGGGCCCAGCCAGAGTGAGACCGCCACGCCACCAGCATTGTAGCTTTGTGCAGCCAGATTATTAGTCACCGAGATGGGCGGATGGACAAGCTGCAGTGCCCGATCTTGATCGAGCCCATGCCACAAATTGTGGCAGGCCACACACATGGACAATGAGCCCCGGTCACGCTGGGCCAAAGCGACCCCTCTGCCATTGAATATAAGACCAGCGCGACTCTGACCAAAAACCTCCAATTCAATCTACACCACTATCATCATCATCATCATCGTCATCATCACACCTTGAATGGCGCAACAACGCACTTACCTCACGCCCGAAATGCCCCGTCTCGACGTCGGTTATCAGCCGAGCACTCGCGCCCAGCTTGAACATCTCACTCTGAACCACTGGTACGAGCAGGCAACTAGAAAGTTCTCGTTGACAAAGGAGCTCCGCGACTCGTTCAAGAGCAAATTCGATGAAGCCCACAACTCGCTCATTAACACGCTTGCGGCCGATACGGGCACCTTGGAGGGAGTCCTGCTGGGTAGGTTGGAAATAATCGAGCCGTCCTTGGGGAGCAAAGTGAGGCCGCTCTTGGTGGCAGAGTTGATCGACTTCAACAACGTTATGCGCGACAGGTTAGATGCGATGACGCAGAGGCTTCTAGGGGCCTTGGAGAGATGGGTCGCGTCGGAGGTGGATATGAGGGAGAACGAGATCTGGGGAGCACTGCTGCCGTGGCTAGTCGAGTTCGAGAAGCAGATCAAGCGACGGGGGAAAGGGGCGGGCCAGAGCCCGGTGCTGTCTAGTCCGGTCGAGCCGGCAGGCCAGGACGCTCTCAGACAGCGTCTTGCGGAGGAAAAGGCTGCGAAGGAGCGGTTGAAACGGACGCTGGCGGACCGTGAAGCTCAATTGAAGGAGATGCGAGAAAGTTCTCGGGAAGAGACAGAGGCTGCAGAGGAGAGGTTTCTGAGGGCCCAAGACGTGTCGGATACCCACAGAGCGAGGCTGGAGGAGCGCATCAGGAACTTGGAGGCTGAACTTCGCAGCCGACGTGTCGATGGCGAGGTCGCCAGGACTGCAGACCGGCCACGTACGAGCAACAGGACAGCGGGGAGGCCCCGCGAGTTGCAGCTGAACAGCGAACCGGCGTATGTCGGACATCGGGATCGCCTGTTGAGGGAGGAGACGGAGCAGCTGACAGAAGCATTTGGAGGGATCTATGTAGGCGGAAGTGGAGTGCATCGCCCGCGAGGGAACTCGGGGCTCTCTACGATCTCAACTCCACCCAGCACCCCAATGTCTGCGTCCTATCATGAACGTTCTTTCTATGCGCCGCCACGGGCAGGATACCCCCAGCAGCAACCTAGTGGCGTGTACGGCCCTCGCAGAAGGGGCGCGTGAAAGGTCTCTTTGCAGCCAACCTTTTTTTTCCTAGACGGCGTGAGCAGGCGATATGGATTTGGTATTTATTTATTTCGTTCGGGTTTCTTACTTCATGCCTTTACTTGTACTCCGTATAGATGAGCTTGTGTCTGTGTATCTGTAGTATTGTGATCATTGACTGGTATTTATACATCTGGAGATATCTGGTTACCACCGAAAGGCAAAGGACTGACCGCCACAAGATCTGGCAAAGACACCCCATGATTAATTCTGCATGTTCTGCCCAATGTTTTGTGGGTATGTTACCGGGATGAAAAAGCGACTGAGAAAGTGAGCGACGAGACTGCGACGATAGCCAAGAAGGGCACAGGGCACGGAGCTGCGACATCCTCCCGCCCTCCACCTTACGTCACACATTCGACTTGTCTTCCTCCCACAGCATCTCAGGGCCCGGCGACGGTCATGGCTGGTCATAGCCTATGTTTTCTTCGTCGTCCTTGACGACTCCATCTACTCCGCTGGGCTTCTGACATTTTCTAGTCCTGTTAGGTGTCCTTACCGAACTGGTTCTATTTCTTCAAGACCAAACTAGGCCATATCAATCACTACGACAACCCACATCGGCAACGTTGAAGTACCCTCTATGAACGCCTTGCCATACGAGCTCCTCGATGCCATCGTCGATGGAGTTCCCGACCGTAGGGATTTGGTTCAGATTCGAACTGTGAACAAGACGTTCTGCGGCCTGGTCACACGGCGCATCTTCCGACGCGTCACGGTCAAGAGTACTCTCAAGAGTGCCAAAGGGTTTGGCGAGATATTAGGACGCGACATGATCGCTCGATGTATCGAAGCGATCACATTTCAGGAAGCATGGAGAAGATATGACGGTATGTTTGTTCGATCACATAGAAGCGAGTGGGGCTACGTGTTCAAGGCCAAATACCTTCGATAATAGACTACGAGCCGATCAGTGAGCTTATACTGGAAGCCCTCACTTCATCATTCGCACACATCCACGAGCTCCCGAGATTCAGGACCCTCGAATTGTTATTTGTTGCGACACGCTACACATCGCGCGGGAATTCCCCATGTGTCCAGTGGACCATCCTCTCTGCAATATCCAGCCAAACACCCTCACCTTCTCTGACCTCCCTCACCATTGACAACTTAGCTCCATTGTACCACCCCATTTACAATTCCCCTTCGTTTAGTGGTCTTTTTCGTTCGCTGACCAGTCTCTCCGTCACGACGGCTTATGACGATGTCTTCAGCACGCATGACCACTATCGGAGCTTCTTTGTCAAATTTTGGGAGAAAGCCATCCAAGATCGTATGCTTGGCTCTCTCTCTCACTCCCTCACCACGCTCATGCTGCAAGGCCAAGTAGACGTCGGTGTTATGCCCAGGCTTGATTTTTCGCAGGTCAAATTTCCCGCGCTAGAAGCCCTCTCATTGCAAAAAATATTGTTCAACGAAGAAACGCGTATCGAGAATTTCATTGTACGCCACAATGGAACTTTGCGGAGACTGTGGCTCGCGGGCTGTGCCATCGTTGTAGAAGACTTGGATGAAGTAGCCGCGCGCCAGTGGTCGCATATTTGGAAGCACTTTGCACAAGAAATGAAGGGACTGGTGTCCCTCGTCGTCCGGTCCGATTCGCTCGATAGAGATGGCTTCACCACAGACTCTTTCGGAGAAGACGATTCATTAAAATACGTAGGGCGGAACTGGCAAACTTGGCACTCGTATGAGCCATGGGATGAACGACTGCCATACGAGGATGGCGATCATCTAGCCCTTAGGGAGCTTCGACGTTCGGTTCGGTTGCAAGCGTTAGAACGGCAGAAGTATGAGGAATAAAGGAAAGAGTCGCGCTCATGGATAGGAGCGGCTGTGCGCGCGAAGCAGAGGAGTGGATGTGTGCGACGCGCGCGGCAAGGCCGTCGGTGGCGGCAAGAGTAGCGTAGTCGGGTCCGTCACATTCCTCTCGCGCCATTCGTCAGTAGGTTTCAGTGGAGTCGTACGCAGGTATGGTATTAGGGTGGAGAGAGCGACGGAAAGAGAGCGAGCGATAAGAGGGAGGAATGGTACGGAGCAAAAAGCAAACATAAAGCATTGAGTCCAAGCTGCTTGGTTCTCTCTGCGCTGCTCCCCCGGGAAAATCTCAGCCTTGCAATTTACTTCACACGTCCTTCTCTCATCTTCATCTTTGAGTCAATACAGCTATAACGATCTTCACTTGCAACTCCTCAAACGACTTTTGTCTAATTCTTTACAGTCTCAGATGACGAAGCTGCAGCATCCTAGGGTTCTGCGATCGCGAAGCAGCACTCTGTCTGGCCTTTGATTTTGTCATTGTCCGGGCGACCTGTGACGACTCTAGCTGGGCTTCCGATCTTTCTCGCCACCGTACCTCCCCAAGTGGCGACACTCCGGCCATTGTTGCCACTACTCGACGATTCACTGAATTACTCACACAAATGAGTGTTTCAGGCCGCATGAAGACCATCTTATCGAATGAGACTCCACGAATCGAAGGGATAAGGACTATTTTCGCCGTCAAGGCCAGATTGACCCCTTGTGGCATAGGTCCGTGGTCTGAAGTCCCTAGAGCATCTGTCAGCAAATCCGATCAAGTTCAGTCATCGAACTATGCGATACATCAGTTCACTTCATCTCTCCACGTGTGGAAAGTCGTTATATCAGATCCAATCTCGAGCGCTTATAGCAAGGAGATGCTTGGACATGTGAATCTCGGCGTCTGCTAGCACGCACTGAACGCTACTGTATGCTCGAGGGTTCTGACTGACAATATACTCATCGCACAACGGCTGGTATGTGACTTTCGAGAGTTCATCTTCATCTATTCAATAATCTGATTGTCCGTCCTTATCAGTGGAGAGCACAACGTTCTTGGACTGTGAGTAATCAACACAGAGTATCGTGATCGTCATGGTAAGTCTTCATGGTCGAGCACTTTGCAGAGATCTGACCATTCTGGACATCGCGGATGGCTTGTAACTGGGTATTGGCCAGACTGCGCCGACACATGATATCGATGAAGCCATTCATCAAGGTCGCGAAGCGCTTGCTTTTTGACCCCCTGGTCATTCTGATCGCTCCGACTTCCTCAACAATCTCGCAATTGACCTGTCGTCGCGTTTCGAGCGGACTAGAGAGATGCAGGACCTAGAGGAAGCGATAGAATTGGAACACGAAGCGCTGTCTCTTCGATCCTTTGGTCATTCTGGTCGCTCAGAATCTCTCAACAACCTCGCAGTTGGCTTGTGTTCTAGTTTCGAGCAGACAGGGTAGCTGCAGGATCTGAAGGAAGTGGTGGAATCGTATCGCGAAGCGCTGTCTCTCTGACCCCCTGGTCATTCAGATCGCTCCTTACGTTTGAACAACCTCGCAAATTGCTTGCTTCCTCGTTTCTTGCAGACAGGGCAGCACCAGGACCTGGAGGAAGCGATAGAATTGCATCGCGAAGAGCTGTCTCTCCGACCCCTTGGTCATTATGATCGCCCTAACTCTCTCAACAACCTCGTATATGGCTTAATTTCTCGTTTCGAGCAGACAGGGCAGCTGCACGACCTAGAGGAAGGGATAGAATTGCATCGTGAAGCGCTGTCTCTCCGGGCCCCTGGCCATCCAAATTGCCCTGACTTCCTCATTACCCTCGCAAATGGCCTGGATTCTCGTTTCGAGCGCACACGGCAGCTGCAGGACATCGAGAAGGTCATAGAATATCAGCGGAAAGTACTTGCAATATGCCCTGTCGGATCTTCTATACATATATCTTGCCTCGCTGGTTTTTCTCGTGCTTTGTTGGCTCGCTTTCAAGCAATATCTAGAGAGGATGATCTCAACGAGGCTTTCCGTATGTTTGCCACTGCCGCTGAAAGCCGATTTCCTGGTGTGGGGCAGCAGCTCTTAACTGCGCAATCATGGGTACGGTCGGTTCGCGCGTTCCAGCTAGCAGCGGCGATGCAATTCTGCGAGTTCCGCAGTGTTGTCGGGACGTTATGGGGAATGGCGAATGACGATGGGCCGGTCTTATCTTAGGAGTTCTACAGATATATGTTCCGCCATAATGATCCAACCAAGGTGGATTCCAAGGATTCTGCGGTTGCATTGAGATCTGGAATCAAAGTGTTGAGGAAGGCGAGAGTTCCGCTTCATCGATGGGCTGCGTTTGTGCATATCGGTGCCTGACGGATGTCGGAGGGTCATTGGAGGTCATTGGTTGGAATATCATATTTGTTTTCCATGACGACCTTATACCGACAAGCGTGCTGAAATCCCTTCTGAACAAGGGGGTTCATGCTTGATGAAGAAACTCGTTCTATGAAGTGTTTTGGAGTCATATATCTCCTCGTATTTCGCTTCTCAGGCGTTGCTTTTCTTGGTCACTTCGGTTATCGTACGACGTACAGAGAGACTGACAAGCGCAGGAGACATTCTTTTTGGTTTTCGGGATGCTGTCGGTGCTGACCGGACCACCCGGCAGCCGCCGGAAGTTCTCGGTCGTTGCCGATCGGCATAAATACCATGTCCTTAACGACATCACTCCAGTCTCGCGCTCGTACCCTTCTCAATAGCCTATAAAATGAACCTATTTCGCACACTGATTCTCTCTTTCTCGGGGTCGCACTCAAGCGATGCTCAGTGATGTGCATTCTGCATGCGATACAGGGCTGCTCGACTTTCATTTTTAAGGTGCCGCGGTACATAAACGAGCGCCCCGGTCTCACGAGGACAATTACTCTTGCCAATGCTCAGATGACCAGAGGGAGGACCAGTTGGCTTCTCCCGCTTTCCCACCGTGTCCACCACTATGCAGAACCAGTCCGAGCCTAATACAGTCGTCACGCAGGGAGATGCTTCTGGTGCCGGGGGAAGAGTCAAAGGCTCGCAGAATGGTCTCATCTTCGCATCAGCTGCGGTCAGCAGTATGTACATTCTGCCAGATGAACATGTTTCCGAATCCCTGATGTCTGGGAAAGACATGTTCGCATCTGCCGTCAGCAACCCATTGGACATGTGAGTTGTTATGTTTGCTGGCGCAGATCCATACTGAACTACTTCGAGCATCAAGGTAAGATCACTTCCGGAAGTCTCCCAATTCTCCTCATCCACGACACGTAAATCCATCCAGGTTAGACAACAGCTGAGGACGCAAGGCAATGTTTCACCAGCCTTCGTCCATACGTCTAGTCGAACCATTTACTTTAGCTCCCGGTTCGAAAGCAAACTCGTTCTGGACCATAGGCATTCAAATGGCGCGCTCCGAGGGTGCAATGAGCCTTATGAATGGCCTCACCGCAAGCATGCTCCGCGAGATAGTCTACTCTGGAATCAGGATGGGTACCTACGAATACTTCAAGGATTCGTGCGTCTCCTGCATCTGATCCTCTTCGCATCGCCTTCCATCACTCGACACTGATGAGTAATGCTAGGATATACCGTGTCACCTCGAGTTCCATTTCCAGTGATAGTTTGACGCTGAAAGTACTGGCTGCGACCGTTGCGGCAACGTTGGGATCGTAGGCGGTACATCTCACAACTCTTGGTCACCAGACTGACCTGCTGCGTCAAACCTAACAGGGCCATCGCGAACCCCACCGACCTAGTGAAAGGTATGCATTAACTGTGACATCTCTGAGCGCTCCCAGGACCTCTCTAGTCCGCATGCAGGCATACTATCCCCAGGGCAGCCCGTACCGTAACACACGCCACGCGTTCCAAACAGTTTGGCATGAAGGTGCCCGAGGCGAGATGTCATCCATCGTGCGCAGCGTCCGCGCGCTCTATCGCGGCGCCGACGCGACGACTGTCCGCGGTGTGGTGCTCTCTGTATCGCAGATATGCTCCTACGACCAGATCAAGCAGATTTTCAAGCGTCGTGGGGTAATAGAAGAGGGCTTACCCCTGCACTTCACGGCCAGCATGTTCGCTGGTTTTATCTGCTCAGTGACGTCTAATCCTGTCGGCAAGTGCTCTTCACGTAGCATCTTTGATACAAGATGTTATTAATGCGCTCGATGACAGACGTAGTAAAGGTGCGCGTGATGAACGATAAGGAGCGCCAGTTCAAGGGTATTACGGACTGTGTCAGAACGATTTTGAGAAAAGAAGGCCCTCTTGCGTTCTATAAAGGTTTCGGGATGTGCTGGGCGAGGGTGCGTCGCAATTTGAAATTTCTACAAGAGACTTACGTTCGTGGCTCTAGCTTGGCACTCACACTATCTTGAGCTTTGTTGCATTTGAGCGTCTTCGGTCGTTGTTTGGTATAGCCCCCATGTGACGAAGATCACGGTGCTTTGTCTTCTGTTACGGTCTACAATGTGAATGACGAACACATTGAGCACTCTGTCTTTCAAGCGTTCATGCGATATGAAGTAGTTTCCCGACTCTCGAAAGTTCGAGGCATACAGTGAGAGTGGGGATGCTAATCTCTCCGTTGTACTTCTAGACTCCTTGTCGCGTCCTAACGAGTTGTCAGAAGAAGTATCACTTGCCAACATTCAAGTATCATCGAAAATACTGTTCAATTATCGTACCAGTAGCTAGCGAAGAACAACAGTGCTCTCGCGTCTGTGGTTTGTTTTTCTTTCGATCGCATGAACTGTACCTGGTTTTCTGCTTGATAACTCATTCAGGCTCATCGGTGTTGTGCTTCCTCTCGTACTTGTTTTCGCTTCTGATGAACCTCACACAGGCTAAACGGCGAAGTATGCCTGAAGGAGGGAAACGAGCAAAAAATCGTGGTGTACCGATCGCGAAACTAAACCGACGATGGACGGTGCCACGATCGAACCTCATTGCTATGACCCCGGTACTCTTCCTAATCCAGTCCTTCGACTGCTCTTAACCGGCTTTTGAGCACTCGAAACCCCGGAGTGCTAGGTACTTGCGATGGAGGAATGAACCATACAATACTAGAGCAGTGACTAATGTGGGACGCTTGGTTCTCGTGACCTGCTTGCCTATTAACCGGTGCTGCCTATGATACCGACTTGAGGCTCCTGATGCTTCTTGCACTATTTTCAGCAAAGGCTACGTCCTGTGGGACATGGCTATTATAGAGACAGCTCAAGCACCCACGCAGACAGGCTTCCATGTGCAATCTCCCTGGATGCGATACTTGCTTTTCTCGCGGAGTAACATTGTGAACGTTTGTGGGGGAGTGTCTTCCACGAGGGGAAGGCGTAATGCTCTTCCATCTTTGTCGTATCAGAGGCTTGCGAGATTTATCAGAACAGGTGATAATTCGGCAACCCGGCCCTCCTAGGCCTGCTTGCGCAGCTTGCTCGCTTCCAGCTTCTTTGGTGGATGAGCTCTAAGGTGTCGTGCATCACCCCATGACCCTCAGCATCCCTGACGAATTGCATCCAGCTCCCCGCTTGATGTCGTAACGCCATCGAATCGGCACTCCTTTGTTCATACTGAGGAAGTTTTATACACAAAGGTCACAAGATGCCCCTCTTTTTATCGACATTCCTACGCCCGGACATAGGAGGAAATTTGGATTCAGGGCTAAGTGTGGAGGTTCTTGATAAAACTTGGCATTGCTGTTTCCACGCCCGTGATCATTCGAAGGCCTCAACATGTTCATTGCACTGTTCACAGCCCTTGTTGCATCTTGCGCGGCATGGCTATTGGGGAAGCAGATCATGCACTGGCGTAGACAGGCACCCTTGTACAATATCCCTGGCCCTCCCAGTGTATCACTTTTAACAGGTAAACACATTGTTCGCTTCGGAACTCTATATAGCGCTGAAAGTTTTTTCTCTAGGGAATTTGGGTCAGGCTTTTGACCTGCACGGCTGGAAGTTCCACGCTAACATTGTAGCGCAATATGGAAAAGTCGTCAGGCTGAATGGACTTCTAAGAGTGAGCCTGTGCTGATGAGCCAAGTAAAGGTTATTTTTTCGCTTATACTTCCGTTGAACCGACATCTAGGATAGCTTACTATATATCAGCGACACGAAAGCACTTCAGAGCATTCTGAGCAAGGATCAACATGTGTTCGAGCCATCGCCGATATTTATAGAGTAAGTACAATGCATGCTGTAAGGCAACAAGTGACATTGTCCGATTTTTTTCCTTCACAGGGTCAATAAGCTTTTATTTGGGGAAGGCTTGATATCTACAATTGGTATGCTGAGCCATGTGCATAGCTAAGTCTTCTGCTAATTAGCCTTCTTGATAGGTGATCATCATAGGCGGCAACGGAAGCTTCTAAATCCCCTATTTTCTACCACTCATATGCGTCATATGATGCCGATCTTCGTCCGGGTCGCACATCAGGTGAGGATAAATTCTTGGGGCTTTGTTAGTTCCGGGAAGTCCTTGTTGAGATGGCCAGGGAAGGCGAAGGGCAAGTCGAAATCGACTTTTTCGCTTGGATGAGTCGGGCTGCTCTCGAAATTGTCGGTCAAGCTGGGCTTGGGCATCCATTCGACAGTCTGAACACAGAAGTCGAGGATGAATACGGAAAGTCTATCTCAAATCTTTCGTGAGCATGCCCTTCTTGCCCGACTGCGATAGGATTAAGATTATCCCTTGCCAGGCTAACGATGGGTCGCCCTGGAATGGTCATTGGGGCACAGCTCCTTCCTTGGCTTATCAAGATCGATAGCCCGAATTTTCGACGATTCCTGGTCAAGCATCTCCCATGGAGAAGCATGGAGAAACTCTCTGAAATTGTGGATATCATGGACAACACGGCTCGAAGGGTTCTTGAAAGCAAGAAAGCTGCCTTGGACATGGGTGATGAGGTGGTTTTGCAGCAGGTCGGTGAGGGGAAGGACATTCTCAGTACTCTCCGTATGTGGCCCCTATATTATCATCGTTGTTCCATCACCATTGACAGCTTTCTGCCCAGTCAGAGCGAATATGAGCTGCTCGGCAGAGGATCGTCTTCCCGATTCGGAAATTGTAGCTCAAATCAGGTAGAGCTTCAATGTTCCGGTCATGTCCACGGAACACTCTGTTAAACACTCTGTTAAACTCCTTGCAGTGTCATGATCGTTGGTGCTGTGGAATCGACATCCTCTGCGCTCTCTCGAATACTTCTCTTACTCGCTGAGCATCAAGACATTCAACGGAAGCTTCGTTTGGAGTTGACGACAGCTATCTCGACTGGCGACCTAGACTTCGACGCTTTGCATACGCTGCCTTACCTTGACGCCGTCATCAAAGAAACCCTCAGATTGTAACTAAGTATATTCCATGCACAATCTTTGCGCTCGCCTCATGTATGCCGTTCTTCAGGTATCCTCCAGGTCCATACGTTGGAAGAATGCAAGTCATGTCCCTCGAAGGTGATGCCACGGAAGTAACCTCAATCCCATGTAGTTCGCGCTCAGATTATACAGTTCCGCTGGGTACTCCCATAATCGGCATTGACGGTCAAAAACTGTCAGAGATTTTTATCCCGAACAACACAGACATCGTTGTCAGTATTGTGGGAGTCAACCAGGACCCAGATATCTGGGGTCTTGATGCAGCAGAATGGCAACCAGAACGATGGCTTTCGCCTCTATCTCCCAATGTGGCCGAGGCTCGTATTCCAGGTGTCTATGCTAACATGTGTGCCTTTCTGCACAATTACTCCCAAGCTTTCCTATTGACTACACTTATCCCAGAATGACATTCGTTGGAGGTATTCATGCATGCATGTAAGTACTGTTAGCCGAACATCGAACCAATAGCTTACAATATGATCAAGCGGCTTCAAATTTGCTGAGCAGGAGATAAGTGAGTGCTAATGCATAATGACCGATTCGTTGTTAAAATCAGGTTCACAACACCTTGCAGAAGTCTTCCTCTCCATCCTTCTTCCTTCTTTCCACGTCTCTCTGTCCAATGAACGCATTTCGTGGACCATGAAAGCCTTCTCAGCCCCCATAGTAGAAGGTGAATCTCAGCCGACTATGCCGCTCGTATTGTCTCTACTGAGTAATGATGACGTGTGATCGGTAACACTGGGTACGCACATGCTCATTTTTAACAAATATTTTGTACAAGAATACATTGATCGAAATCTCAAACGGACTTATATCATTTCTTCAACCAACGATCACCTGGTATGGGACAGGACCATTGATATGCATGCTGTCGACCACGCCACCGGTCCTCAAAGCATGCGTCTTCAACCTCTCAACCTCCTGGATTATCATCGAATCCTTCCCCGCACGTGTTCGAGGTGTGTAACGTCGGCGCGCTCCGGTGATCTTCCAATCGGGAAGCGATTCCACGCCGAGAGTGTTTAGAATTTTCTGCTCTATAAGGGACTGCTCGAAAGCAATTGAACTAGAGATATCAGACTGATAGAGTAGATGTGCGTACGTATTCTTTCGGATTCTCCCTGTTCAAGTTGAAAGGTGCCTTCAAGGTAACGGGCGGATTTGTGATGAAACGAGGAATGCGCAGATGATTCTTGGATGCAGAGTGTGGCATGAAAGGGTGCATGAGAATGACATCACCAGCTTTGCCAGTGAGCTGTATGTTCAGAAGTTCAGAAAATTCGCATGTCATATATCAACAGATGAGCTGACCTCGACGAACTGATCGCACGTTTGAATAGAACAGACACTACGGCTTCCATCGGGATCCTGGGAAAACTCATCGACGCCTTCAGGATGATCATACAAACTTCAATACATTGTGTCATCATTTTCTGCTTCAGGGACGAAGAAGGTCAAAAACTCACTAACGAACAGCATTCTTGATGCCATCAGGCGCAATCCATGTAGCGCCAGCCTTGGGCTTGATATCGTTATACAAAATGAGAACCTCAAGAGCTTGCTCGCCAGAATCCAGATAATGAGTGAACCTGCAGATCCACCAACTTAATTAGGATCACTCGGTGATCTAAACACACCTACCAGTCGCCATCACTAGGCGATACCCTTCGATCAGCGCGTTCGAACTGCTCAAAAAATAGTCGAGGACATTACATGTGCCAATTTCCCAAGTCTTTAGGCTCAATATCACGCTATATGGTTTTGGGTGAGCTCTCAGACGTAAGTCAGTTAGACTAGCGCTTACATTTTCCCATTCCTCACATCCGAGGTTTACGATGAGGCTGTCTCCGCAACTCTCAAAAAGTGTGCGGTCGATCCGGTCCTCACCACCCAAAAGCTCGCCTAGTTCTCTTGAATATCACCTTTGATGCGCACCAAAGCAAGAGTGGCCATCACGTACAGATGGCGCCCCATGCCTTTGGCATGAATTCAGGCGTAGAGATCTCGCGATGCCTGGGCATATGGATCTGTCGCAAAATTGGATTAACAAAATCATGACGATTCAAGCTCATGGTCTCACCTTCTCTTTTAACCAGGTCGCCTTATCGTCGGGATCAAAGCCAAGGCGCACCCATATGTTCTCCAGGAAGCGCTCAATGTTCTCCTTTGGGACGCCATTTTCGATACGAATCCATCCATTTTGAAGGAACTGCTCTCGCTGTTCAGGTGTCAGATGTGTGTATCCCATAGTGGAGATGTTCAGCAGCGACGTTCAATGAGTCAAAGGAGGATCGCTCGAGAGATCCTCGGATGAGTGTCTTATATGTGTCCAGCGGTGGGAAAAAGATGATCAGCGACAAGCCAGATGGCCCGGAGCAAGACAAAAAAAGGTTGCACACCCAAAATATATCGGCTTATTTCGAGAACAAATCTTTGAATAGATACTCTCCCAACGAAAGAAAGCCGGCGGTCCGAAAAGACGAGTCAGCAGGACACAGTGCCAGACGATTCTCCGAGAAAGGGTAATGAACATCCTCATTGAGTCAGAAAATAATAATTTAACGCTATAAGTGAGCAAGACATCGAAGACGGATGATCTAAAAGATGACGAACTATGGTACAGGAAGAGATGGGTATCGCAACGGAACAAAAACGCCAATGCAGAGTCTGCAACGTTCAGTCCAGCTAACTGCCAGAAGACTGGGTGTTCCGTTTCCATTCCGTATCAACAGCACACAGGAGGTCAATCAAATCCATGGCAAAGCTGCCGTCAGGCACTACGGGCGTCTGGTCTGCCGCAGAGGCCATAACCCGCTCATCTTCGTATCGAGTGCCTCCTTTACCGTACTTGATCAGAAGTTCGAGAGTCAGCCTGCAATGCTGGTACCATTCCACCGAAATGTCCATAGCAGCAGCCACGTGCTCCTAATGACAGAGATGAGCAATTGCGAAAAGAAAAATCATACAGATGTGGACGAATGAACGAACCAGCTTGATCTGTTGCCCCTGATACTCGCCCAAGTCCATAGGAGTCCACCCTCCAACGAACTTGTCCATGATGCTTTGCACGAACCAATACTGCTTTATCGACTCTGCGTGACTCATCTTTTGTTCCATCATGGTGTTGAACTCATCCCATCCTTCTTGTTGTTCAACAACCTTGCGCATGTATTCCGATACCACGTGGTCTGTATTCGGTGGCGATGGAAAGCCCGGCGGAGCATCTATCGTGATAGAACGAGACCGTGACTTGCGCTTTGATTTTGATTTCTTCGGACTGCTGGCAGGTGTCACAGACTCTATGCGGGACATGCTAGTGTTCGGTGTCACTGTCACAGACGAAGCCCTGTGGTGCCCATGCTCTTCAACAAGCGCTTGTGCGCGCCCATCCACCTGCTGATGAGGGGTCTGAGAGCGCCTGGTGCTTTCTTCAGCTCGCGACAGGTCGACAGACATATGAGAACGCTCCCGCTTCGGCTTTTTAGGCGGCACATCATTGGGAAGGCTTGATGTAAAGATCTCCTCCACCTCATCGCCAGGAGAATAACGCTCGTGATGAGTGTGCTTCGAGCTCTGTGAATGGTGCGGCCGCGGACTGGGGGGATAAGCTGGGGACTGTGCGGGCGTATCGTAAATGTCCCTAGACTCCCTGGAAGACGCCCGCTTGCGCTTGTTGCTCGTGCGGCTCTCACTGCGTCGTGGACTACCGTGGGTGCTCATGCCAGACGTCGAGAACGGTGTGAGGGGATGAGAATGACGGAATCCATGGGTGACCGACACCGGTGACGGAGGGCTCATTTGAATATCAGTGCTGGGGATCGACACGGAGCGCAATGTCGGTGCACGACTATCCACACTAACTGCAGACTGCGGAACTGCCAACTGTGCACCACCGGCGGTCAGATCAATCGTGCTGAATACAACTAGGATACGAATACGAATACATACGCCCTCTACAAAAACTGCCAGAGTCTTATCATTTGCGACCCTCAAATTTGCAGACTGGCTGGTCTCGACGTTGTCTGCTGATATGCGCAAAAATGTCTGTCGATATTTCCCACGCATCGCATATACCTTGGCAGGACCTGGAAAAGTGGTATCTCATCAACTGATGTGCATAGCGCCAAACAAATAGAGGAAATGAGATGGTATAACCCGAATACATACCATCAATCCTAGACGGCCCAGTCTGTAATTTCTCACAAACGTCCCCAGCGTCCGCCCAATACCCGCCCTCGGCATCATCCGCCGGCTTCAGCGGCACCTTGATCTCCGCCAGCTCGTCGATCCCACTGCGCCTATCGTCGATGAGAACGGTAACCATGCGGAACTTGGGCGCCGAAGGCGTTCCTGCTGTGGAGTGACGTGTCCGGGCAGATCGAGAAGGCGAAGGCACTCGTGCAGGTGAAGATAGCGGCTCATAGTGCGATGTCGGCGTGGAGGCGGAGAACGAGGAAGAGGGCGTTTGAATGGAGCACTGCGTCGAGTCATCTTGCTTGAAATCCATACGGTCTACATGTGCAGATTTTTGCCTCGAGTTTCTGTGCTCGCGCTCCTGCCCTCGATTTGATTTCGGAAGAGGCGGAGGCGGAGGATTGAATTCTCCTTCATGTTTGTATTCCTGCGACGACGAGCTTTGAGAAGTGGTTGGAGTTGTCTGGCCCTGAAGATGTGCTGATCCAGCGCGCGATCTCGTGCTGGCAGATATGGGCGTAGGCGAGGGTGCGGAAGAAGTCAAGCTATCATAACTTCTGCTCTCATATTCGGAGCGAGTGTGTTTTGATGGATCTGATGCCTTGTTACTCGAGGGCGAAGGTAAATTAGCTCCATACTGATCCGCAAAATCCATATTGATCGACTGTGTGCGAGAAGACGATGCTACGGGTTGTTTGGAATGGCTGGGGGTCTTCTTCACCTTCACAGGAGGAGGAACAAAAGGTGCCGAAGTGCCGGTCTGCGCTCTGTAGAGGGAGTTGTATGGCCCGGCACCCTTCAGGCCGCTCATGGTAGCTCCGTTCTGAGCGCTCAGCTGCGGTTCGTTTACGTACCCTTTTACTCTCCACTTATTCTGGTCTTTCAGCTTTTCCTTCTCTTTTTTCTTGCTTTTCTGCGGCTTTTCCGGAGTTGATTCCTGTGTACGTTGCTCTACAGGCGGAGTAAACGTGGGTAGCGATATTGGCTGGTGCATCGGCACTGATTTCGACAATGGCAAGGGTACAGGCGGAGTGGATGTAGGTAGCGGGACTGGATGGTGTGGAGGGACCGATGTCGGCATTGGTACGGGAGCGGGGGTGGGGGCGGGGGTTGTAGATGCGGAAGAATTGGATGTGTGTGCATGCACGGTGGGCACAAATGGGATAGACGTAGGCGCAGAGAGGAGAGTCGTTGGTTGAGTAGCATACGCAGAGAATGAAGGAGCCCTCCAGTTCAATGAAGGTTTCCGCAGAAATGGGTTAGTGTCGGGTACGGACTCGGGAGCGGCAGCGTTAGAAAGGGGACGGGCGGGCGTGTTGGAATCATCCTCAGCAGGAGCAGATGTGATGATCTCATCGTCGGATGCGGCAGGAGATACTGCAATGCCCTGTATCCCATAGATGAAAAAGGGACGTTTCAACATACAACGAACGATGTGCTCACGACAATCTTCGGGTGTGCCCCATTGGTCCTTCATCCCACCAAGGCCCCCATTAGATGGAGGGACGTGTACATAGTATCACGCAAACTCACGATTCATCATCCGAGTCCGAGTTATGTGTCTTCTTCCTGCCGACTTCGGGAAGGATATCGTAGTCGCTGCCTTCTTCATACTCGTCTGTATTCATCTATGTGTATGTGGATAGATCGCGAGGATCTTCGGGTGGTATCGGCAAGAAATAGGAAAATAGGAGAGAAGCCAACCTCGCAAGATGCTTCGCGATTAGTGCTCTTCGATATACGAGACGATTAAGGACGTGAGTCGAGGAGAAGAAACAGCAATAGTATCTCCAAAGTCAGAGACGCAAGAACCGAAGGTATTTACAGGAAGAAGGACAAGTAGAGGGACCTACAACGAGGAACAGACTACTAAGACGCGTTGAGCGAACAATGAGAACGCGATCAGGTCACGTGTATATGGTTTATTGTGGGCCGAATCAGGCAGGTCTCCTTCCGCATCCGATCGTTGGCTAACCCAGCAATTTTGCGGATCGGCTACGTTTATTTGTATATTTTGACGGGTAAAGCCAAAGCGAACAAAGTCACCCCCCTCGCACTAGCTACAAACTAGACCCATGAATAAATATTAATCACAAGTTCTGGCCAGACGACAAGAAAGGTCTCGAATAATCCTGAAGGGCCGCAGGTAAAATGAAAACCTCGATACGTAGATCCACTAAGATGATGCAGAGTACACCCGTTGGGCGTTACCTCCAAACACATTATCGACGTCGGGTTGTTCGACACCAAGTTCCGCGAACGATTCGCGTGCGATCTCATACCAGTCACCCGCGTTAGATATCGCATGCGAAAATGGCGAAGGTGCTGAACCGAACAAGATGCGCTGGAAGCCAAAGGCTTCGACGGCAGGGCCCACTGTTGACAATGCCAATACGATGCGTTATTTATAGTCGCCTCGGGATGACGGAGAAATATGACGTACGATACATCTTGATTCTCCGTTTCCATTCCTTCTTCTCCTTCTCATTTGCGACGAGTTCTTTGCCTGCGGGTGGAGTCGGTGGGGTAGGTGCGTTCCAAGCGGGAGGCAAGAACTTGACGTAGAGGTTGGGGAACAAGGAAAGGGCGGCGATATGTGCTTGGTAGGTCTGGTATGTGGGGTGGGTCAACAGCTTGACTATGGGGAGCTCGAGGTCATGCGGCGGGGGGAGGATATTTGCTGAGATACTCATTATCAGCGAAGATCTTAATGAGACGAAAGACGAGTTGCGACTCACAGAGTATGATGGTGCCTCTGCCCTCGAGGCCATCTATCGCTCTCGTGAGGAGGTCTTCCAGTCCATCTAAGCCGCTATCACCACTAGCCTGCACATCAATATCAACGATCGACCCGGCTTTCAAGGCCGCATTTAAATTGGCGGCCGCCTGCTCGGAATGCTTGGTGAACGACGTTGAGAGACTGATGGGGTATTTTGCTGATGAGATGATCGGGGCTTGCGCATCTTCGAGGTCGAATTGAATAGCTGCAGACAGCACTGTGACGTCGGCTTCGGATGCTTGTGCCTCCAGTCTACACGCGTAATATATGATGTCAAGTGACATCCCGACTACTGGCAAACAGAATATTACGTACCCAGCTAGCTGGTCTTGGGTTATCTTGACCACGACACCGCCGATCCTCCCTTTCAGCGCGCCGCTTACTTCCTGTTTCCAATCGGCAAGCGAGCTCCCAACGCTCGCATCGACGACTCGGTCAGGATGCACGGTGCTCGGGCTTGGAGGCAGAGGGAAGCTTTCTGAGACACCAGAGTTGGGAGGACTGAACGCAGTCAACGGAAGCCGAGGGAGAGTCTTGTGTCCCTTGCGGCGCGCGCCAACACCTGGCGAAGGTGGCGTCGGAGGGATGGTTGGGTTGCTCATGATGGTGCAGATATGAAAGGGTGCTGTTCCTGTGCGCGATGGGGAGTAGCAGACGAGAGGCAGATCACTAGATTGTTGCGAGAGTCCCGCAAGAGCTTTAAGAGATCTGACATCTTGATGGAAGCGCTTTCCCACGCCCGACACTCGCTGCTATCAAATCGTTCTTCTATTTTCCCTTCTCGTCCTTCGTCACGAGCGCTCTCAACATCGGAGTCGTCTCAACGACCGTCGTATCCCTCTACGACCGACATTGGACATGTCAGGTCTCTAAGTGACACATTCGTTAGCATCTTCCGTTGCAAGGTCCATCGTTTCCTTACTTTCCTGCTTGCTTACTGTCATGATTCTGACAGCTCGTGTCGGCGCTACTTGCAGTAAGTATTCAATATTCTGCCAATCACTCCACGAGAATCTGTGGCACTCGTAAGCTGTGTTCATCGTGATCCGTGATTTGTACAGACAATTGGGGCGTATACGCTATTCATAGGTATAGTTCAATTGCGTAGATCACATTTTGATCACATCTCCGCATCACAAACACGGATCCAATACAATGACTCTGCGCTGTGCTGTGCTCACCAGCTCTGGATTCTTGCGGAACCACTTTGATGGATCAGGCAATCTCCAGTACGAGCACATCCCCATTACTCCTCTGGATTACTCAGTTCGCTGTCGCCACCATTTCTGACATCTATTCTTCGGAGACGGCCTTCCCTTTTCTGTGAAACAGACGCGGATTTTGCATCATACTTCTTACGGCTTGCGCTCTCGGTCGTTGATGACACTCGGGTCTTCGCAACCGTCGAAGAATATCTCGGTCTCCAGCGTCTTCTTGCCTTTCTGGGTGCTATCTTTGCTAAACCAGGTCTTCTCTTTTTCCCCATTCATCGTATTTAGGTTCAGGGTTAGTCAATGCTAATCGGGCTGGTTTGATAGCTGCACCATTGGTCAAATGAATTCCCATCGATCAGTACCACTCATGTTGGGCGTTACTCCGCTCCACAACCAGAGGATCCTTGATAGACCCGGCGTGTTATTGTTCATGATGACTACGGGTGCCAAGGCCTGCTCGTCGATGATGCGGATACATATGGCAAATATCAGAGGCAAGAGTCCGCACGTACATACGTTCCATGTCCTGCACGATCCAAAATTGTGGAGGGTCCATGCCCAATCCGAGTGCGTTATCTCCAAAACATAAATATGCATCTACAACCACCTCCAAGCAATCAACCTCGCCCTAGGATTCCTGGATTGGCTGTTACTGCACGCCGGAGCCATACTGGACGTGGCTTAGGCGACGGTATCCTGATAGATTCTTCGGTTGATTCTGCCCATTGTTGTATCCGCTCCTGTGCCTGCAATACAATTTCATCAGCCACTAACGCGCTTTATACACAAGGGCCCTTGCCCACCTCGTTTCTGTTCACAGACTCCTTCTCCTCTTCACGGTCTTCAAAGTATCTAGGCCGATCGTCAAAGGACCTTGCGCGGCCAGCCTCTTGATACCGATCGTGCACTTTGAGCGCATACCTCCTCTCCTCTCTCTTGCCTATCTCCCGGCCCTCTTCTATCCCGACCTTCCTCCCTTCCTCGAATCCTTCCATTCTCCCTGACTGCCATCCGTCGTACCGGCCTTCTTCCCAGCCCTCCTCCCGCCCGTCGTCGAATCGCCGAAACATTGCCATCCTCCTCCCCTCCTCCCGTCCCTCTTCTCGCGCCTGATTATCTCTCAGCGCAGACTGCCATCTCCGAGCTGCATCCCTGGCCTTTGCCGCCGCCTCGTCCGCCTCCTCTCTCTGTCGCTGCAACCTCACCATGTCCGCCGCAACCCTCCTCAGCTCCCTCTCTGCCGTTTCCAGCTGCATCTGGTAGCGCTTCGTCTCCTCCCTCGCCCTCGCCGCTTCGATCTCCGCGTGATGCAGCGCCTGCTCCGATGCCGCAGCCCGCGCATTCGTCTCCCGGGCCCGCACCTCTGCCATCGTGGCCCGCGACTCGGCCTGGTCGGCGCGGCGTGCCTCGTGTTCGAGCCGATCGCCGGTGATGCGCAACATGGCCTTCAGGTGGTGCACCTGCCGCTCCTCCTCTGCCAACACGATGCTGAGCATCGAGCTCGCAGAGTCCGACGTCCGCCGCCGCCCGCCGTCCTTGCCCTTCCTGGATCCCTCGCGATCGCGCGGGGGGCTCGTCGGTCGTCGATGGGACTCGCGTGACGACGACTTCGTCAAGGTGCGCAGCGCCTCGGGATCCTGCATCATCTCTGCGAGCGGGGTCGGCGTGGCCGCTGCTTCCCGGAGCTGGGCCATCAGGTCCATGCTATTGTCGCGCAAACCGAGAATGGGGACGCTGTCGGTCGGCGCGTGAGAGTCGTATTAGTTAGTTCAGTCCTGCCATCCGTTGACGTAGATAGATCAGTCGACGGGGATGGAATCACGCACTCTTCGTCGGAGACCTCCTCGACGGCTGCCCGTGGGGTGAGGATGGGGCTCATCGCGTCGCAGACGGCAGATGTGGGTATCGTGGGTGTGAGGTTTCCGGATGCGTATAGTTGAAGCAGTGGGAGATGCCGCGTATATAAATACTCTCCAAGGGCCTGCGAACATTGCGCACCGCTGTGCTACGCCCTGACCTACATAATGAGGATGCGAACAGCTCCAACGTGTGGTACACGTGTTGGGGACGATCTGGCTAAGAACACCAAAGTTCGTCTACTGCCGATTGGTCTTCGCACGGCCCTGCTTAACATCTCCTTTCAATTCGGCTGGTCAAGGAGCTAGCCTCAGATGTCGATCTGTTCAAGATGCCCTTGAACTCGCGTACTCCAGATTTTGTCTCCATTGCTCATGACTGTCAATTGTCTTGGGTTATCAAACGATCTCATTTGCATCTTGGTGGTTGCTTCGGTGGAGCCTAGGCCTGGCGAGGCCGTCTAGGAAACGGCAAAGCTGTGGCATTCATATCTGCAAGATGAACGTACAGACTTAGACCATGTCTTTCGAAAACAGCCTTGTGTCTACTCACCCTTCGATCAGTCTCTATTGACCCACTTCAAAGAATGCTGCGTCTTACAGTGCAGGGAGTCGTCACGATGGACACTCGCTCCGGAGCCTGGAGGCGGCTAGTCCCAAAAGCACTGTCGACGATTCTCCCTTGACTATCTGTATCTGACGAGGCAGCCTTCAAACAGCTCCACAAATCCTTGCCTCACCGGCTGTATCTTCTGTGTTGGTCAGCAAAGAAGATTGATATTCTTGCATGTTTTCGCATGTTTTCGCAGTTTTCCACTTCGTCGCCAAGCCTGCCAAGCCCCGCTTAGCCTGCTGAGCACTTCTATGACACTCAAGACCTCCATATACTTGCATCTTTGTCCATACCGCGTATTTACTTGGGCTGAACGTCCGACTTGGAATGAAGAGAACTCCACAGAGCCTCGTGGACGTCTCTGATTTCGCTCAACAAGTAGCTGGGCAGATCTCCACGTTATAGCATGCGACCTTGTAGATCCTCATGCTTATGGTCCTCATGCTTACGCCTTCAGGCTCACATGTTTCCTTCGGCTTGGCAACTCCATCGGCGACGTCTTTTTGCCAACTTTATCTATTCCAGTAGAAACTTTCTGCAGCACTTGGCCTACGTCGGACTTCCGAACATACGGTCGGCTTCTTAGACCCATGGGTCACTCAACAATCTACTTGACTTCGTCCGTGCAGCATATGGCGATCTACCGTTATCTCACCTCCCTCGCGGTGGTCCATCCTTGTCCATCTCTTGTCCACTATAAGCCCAACGTATAAATGGACGTGCTGGTTTACTTTCGTTCTCTCCAGTCCTCGTCGGCTCTCCTGCTCTTGTATTGCGTTGATCCGTCGCCGGCCCTGCTCGTGTCTCGCATTTCATCATGAGATCTTCCATCCTCCTCTCGCTTGTTGCGGCTTTGCTGCCTGCAGCACTTGGTGCTCCTATCTCCCACGATGAGTTGGTGACCAACTCTGCGCAGGGTCTTCGCCTACTCCAGTTGGGCGAAACTGTCGACCCCGTATGGAAAACCGAGGATGAGAAGCTCGAGCTCCTGCGTTCCGGGTCTCAGTTTGTATGTTCTCCTCATTCATTCCCAAGGATCTTAGTCTGAGAGTCCACAGATGGATATCACAGAGGTGTATGAGCGCAAGCAGGCGCTCGCAGCTAAGAAAGCTGCCTCCGGTAGTCATAAAGCCGCTGCTGCAACATGTATGTCCAAGACCATGCCGTTTTTTCTATAGCTTCACGCTCACTCCAATCGTAGATCCGTCGCCATCTCAACAGACTGCCGTGAAGCCTATCCTTTCCACGCTTTCCACTTCGAACATGGCGTCTACCTTGAGCTCTCTGACTGCCTTCAACAACCGGTACTACAAGAGCTCCACCGGTGCTCAGGCCAGCACCTACATCCTGAACCAAGTCAAGAGCGTCAGTCTCTCCCTCCATCGAGAAGGTGTGCCTGAATGCTGACTTCTCACGCAACCTGCAGATCATCGGCGGCCGCTCTGATATTTCCGCTGCCCTCTTTGCGCACAGCTGGACACAATCTTCCATCATCGCCAAAATCCAAGGCTCCAGCAACAACACAGCACCGATCGTCATCCTTGGTGCTCACATGGACTCCATCAACCTGAACTCGCCCACCTCCGGACGCGCTCCGGGTGCAGACGACGACGGCACCGGCACGGTCAACCTGATCGAGATCCTCCGCGCGCTTGTGGCAGCTGACTGGAAGCCCAAGACCCCGGTCGAGTTCCACTGGTACTCTGGAGAAGAAGGCGGCTTGTTGGGATCGCAGGACATCGCTAGCAGCTACGCAGACAAGGGTGTCAAGGTCAAGGCGATGATGCAGCTCGACATGACTGGCTAGTGAGTACTACTTTCCCAGCAGCGATGGTATTTTCGTCTGATGCACCATGCATAGTTTCAAGCCGGGTTCAAAGGAGGTGTTCGCACTGGAGGCCGACTACGTTGATTCTGGCTTGAATACGTTTGTCAAAGCGTTGGTCGGCGCCTACTCTTCGCTTTCCTGGGCCATGGACACTCCAGTACGTTCTTTTATCTCAACAATCGCTCGTGCTGCCATTGACATCGGGGTTTCCTTGTGCAGTGCGGATACGCTTGCTCAGATCACGCATCCTGGAACGAACAGGGATACCCCACCACGATGCCCTTCGAGGCCGTCACTGGCAACGACAACGACAACATCCATTCGACTGGTGATACTATCTCGGTCAGCGGGTTCTCCTGGAGTCATTCTCTCGAATTCGCAAAAGTCGCGCTGGCATACGTTTATGAATTGACAGCTTGACCTACTACGAAATATTTCTTGCTGTATTTATTTGGACGCAATGGAATGGATGGACGTATGCCGATTTACGGAAGAGTCAAAGGCTAGCATGGCCTTGATCGAAGCACCAGGATCGACATTCTATAGCCGTCTTCAGAGAGATGGACATTTGAAGGCTGCGACGGATCCCCGGCACCCTAATATCATGCTTGAGGATTTGTGCTCAGTGACTCTAGTGCTCTCACTTAGCAACCATTGTCAGTGAGAGTGGCATACTTGGAAAAACCCAACTTGAACCACGCCTCGGCCCGCTGCAACAGATATGAGGCAGTAAAACAGGATGGTATACCACCAGGGGTCTTCAGTGACGACGCTCACCACGACGCCGCGACCATGCACTCGAACGAACCTACACTTCAGAACGAGTTCTGAAACCGCGTAAATAGAGACATGCATATATGTGGACAAGGGCGTTATTACATGAGAGAGTGGCTACATGGTGGGCAGTCAGGGCATATGATACATGGATAGCCAGCATAGAAGACATAAGGATCAAAGGCCATAAACCCACTATCTCTGTACAGGGCGTAGAGATCAATCAGAGTCTGACATGTCTGAGTCTGACATGTCAGAGTCCGACATGCCAGAGTCCGACATGCCAGAGTCCGACATGCCAGAGTCCGACATGCCATAGTCCGACATGCCAGAATCTGACCTCTCAGTATGAAGCATCTCGTAATCTGACTCCAGCTCAGACTCAGTGAGATGTCGACAGCCCTCCGTTTCGTGCTGCGGCAGTCTCTTGAGTGCCGCATGTAGAATGTTGAGAAAATCGTCATGCGTAACATCACGCGCCTCAGGTCGAAGAGATGCGTTTGATGGCCTGCCATTACCTCGAGTGTCGAAAAGGTTCGCGAGCTTCTGTACGCAGACTTTCAACGGTTTGAAGTAAGGCTGGAACTGATTAAGGACTGAATCGAAGTGGTCAGGATGGATGCTGTTTTGCTTCTCTCTTCCGCTCGCCAGCCAGTCGCTCGGTTGATTCCACTTCTCCATGACCGCGTTAGGGGTGTTGACGCGACGTCCTGGGCCATTGTATGCCGTGCAGATCCAACAGATGACATAGAATAGTGACTCGAGGTCATGTTGCGCCTTGTGCGGAATCATGAATGCGTTTTCACGCAAGCGATCAACCGCCATGAACGGCAAGGTTCCCTATAGAGATCATATCAGGACAAACCTCGTGAATGAAGAATGAAGATAAGTACAGAGTGAACGAGATGACTTTCTCCTTCTCTGAATGCAAAATCAAAATCAATCAATAATCCCTTTCTGTGACCACGAGCATGTGTCTCATCATCCAAAAACATGATATTTTTTGGGCTGATATCACCGTGTATAATCTGCTTGTCGTTGTATAATTGGAAAAGCGCTGCATAGCCGATTTTAGACTCATCAAGGAAGCAATCGAAGCAAACTACGTACTCTTGACCACGTCAATGAAAGCACCAAGAAGCTCACACCGTGAAGCAAAGGTCGAAAGAGGTTCACCAAAATCCTTGAGCACCAGTCGACGATGAACGCGATTCTCCAATTCTTGATATCTCGGGAAATAATGGCGGTCTTTGGACGGCATCAAGGGAGAACGACGGGAATTTGTGCTGTCATCGACACCGTCGGCTTGAACGTTTTCGTCAGCTTCCCAGCGTGCGATTCCAGATATGTCGCCAGCATATTTAAGTATCTGAGCCTCCGATGTGGGTCGGCTCGTATCGACCCACACATCCTTCACGACATACCGTTCTCTACCTCGGGTGACAAGGAAGCACGTCGTCCCTCGTCCTCGTATATTGTGATCGCGAAAGAGGATGCGCAGGATAGTATAGTGCATTCCGTCCACGATTATGAACGGATCGTTGAGTGTAAGCGAGATGCTCGGGTCGTAGCCAATCTCGTCGTTATCTAAGAGGCTCAGACCTCCTAGAATGCGCAGGAATTTTTCGTCATCATAGTCGCGGGAGAATGTCCTGGATGAGATGAGACCTGCGCGATCAAAAAGGTGAAGACAAAAGTTGAGTCCATGGAAAGTGAGTCCGAGAACATAGCGCCGGTGAGCTTGATGGCGAAAAATAAGGTCAACGTCCTCGACGAGATTGGGCAGCCGATTTTGTCCGTCACGACAGATCTCGCCGACAGCGTCCACATCGCACCAGGATGGATTCTTGACATGACCGTTAAGTAGTACGAGATTGGGTGCCCTGTCACCTTTGGCTTCGGAAACCACGTTGATCTGGGTGGCCTCGCCTGCTAGCCACAACCGTTTGGCCGAGGTTTGCGAATATGTGACGAGGGCTGCCACTATATTGTTGAAAAAATTTGCCATACCAGATCCCTCCTCGTTGGATGGGCCAGGGCACCACTCGCCATTCCACCGAGGAGAGTCCCTGCGAGTCCTAAAGTACTCCGTGGCTTGATACGGGGAGAAAGGGAGTAGAAAGTCGGGGATGATCACCTCGGGAAGGGATGAAACCTTGTGTAGCATGCCATCAAGGAGGTCCTCTACGATGGTCGATTGCATATGCGAGGATGACGACGACGACGAAGGAGAAGGATGAGGTGAATATGATGAAAGAGAAGATGAATGTCTGGTAGCTGATCCCAAGTGGAACGACAAACTCCTTGTGTCGTTCAACGCTGGCGTGCGATAGATAATCAGATCAGCTCACTTCATTCAACACAAGTACCGCAGCTAAGGACTCACAAGCAGCATCTGGAGCGGTGAGCAGAGACATCGTAGTTCTTGAATTGAATCCGAAGACGCACGCATCGAGTATTTATAAGTTCTCTATAATGTGCCACGGAGTCGATCGACAAGCGGAGGACAAAAGACAAGGGCGGTGCTTTGGCCGTGGTCTACCAAAGTTGCCACAAAATGACCAGGACGCCCAAGCTGAGACAGGTCTCTGAATGGAAATGGAAACGTGGACATAAAATTAGAAAGGTGAGTTGGTGGGCAGCGCCTTCAAGTTTCATAGCGTCAAGAGCCGTGGGCCACATTCAATTGGACGCCATCTTGAACAAAGCAGAGATTGCTGAGTTGAACTCAGCGATCGAAAAGCCATTTTGAACGTGCTGAAAAGCGACACAGGTACGTCGAGTAGCGTAACTGTGGCTGGGTCAACGGCGATGAATTTGACAACTCGAGCTACGTAGAATCCCAAGGTAAGATTTTGAAAACGTATTTACTCATCCTCCTCCACATCACCGAACTCGAACATGCCTAATCGATCCCTTTTGGCACCTACTATTGACTCCTGGAGCTTCTTCATAACGGACGGGTACGAGCTGATGTATTTGCAGCCTTTACGATCGATCGTTGCAAGGCCTTCACGTACAAGGTCGGCATTGATGCATGCAAGAGGATCATCGGCCACTGCTGGGTCTGAGGGGTCGATCAATCGTAGATGTAGCAGGGATCCTTCTTTCTGATCGATGTTCGCAACGAGCTTGCGGCCCTCGCACAGTTGCCGAAAGCGGTCAATGGCCTCTTGGTGGTAGTCACTCTCTGGCCCTACCAGCTTGACGAAGCTGTTCGAAATAAACAATCAGACTCACTGATAACGAAGAGTCAGAGAGACCAGCGACCTAAGGCGTGCATCGTGTGCTTGACCGGGCAGAGAACGGAACCTGGGGTCTAAGGGACGAATGTTCTCGAATCCGATCGTGTCTTGATTGCCATAATCGATGAAGGTCACCTCAGCTTCGCGCTTGACAGGCGATGCGCGGCGAATCTTGGCGCGGTACCAAGAGCCGTCTGAGAATTTGGCAGACACAAGATCACCGCCTTTAGGCACAAAACCCGGTGCAGAAGGTGCCACTCGATGATGGATGGAGAAGTCGCGCATCAGCTGTTCCAGCGAAGCAATGCCTAAAAGCATATCTCTCAATAAGCTCAACGATTGGAAGAAAAACACTCGTACCTTCAGTGTTCAATATCTGAACAGAGAAGCTGAACCCGTTCTTTGTTCGCACATCGCTGACTATGACGTCCAAATACTCTGGTTTTAGTGCACCCGGCTGATCATCTGCAGGTATTTCCACAGCCTTCTCAGCTTCCTCGTCGTAGTCTGTCCAGATCTAATAAAGTGAGAGAATCAAGACAGATGTGGCATAACAGATGGTGGCAAACATACATTGCGTTTCTCTCTTTTTGCTTCTTCCTGGATATGACATAAGTGGGGTTCATGTTTAGAGCGTGTTGTTACACACCTCAGCTTCATAAAGTCGTCTCGACCATGACAGTGAGTCTGCAGAGAAAGAATGGACAGTCGCAAGACCCTCCCGTACAAGAGTCACAGCGACATTCTCCGTCTTATTCAGGTAAAGCGCGCCAATGAAGCCACCAGATTTGTCGACAGTGTCGACTTCGATTTCGACATCTCGTTGCATATATCGCCGTGTAGCGAACTCGGACGCCTCCGCCCCATATGGCTCGCTTTTTTCAGAGGCATTCCGGGCTGTACGAGGTGCACGTATGCCACCAAGAACTAATGTGAGCACTTGATTGTCCTTGGGCAAAAAGATTCTAAACAACACGGTGAATGGGAAGAAATCTAATAGGCGCTGAGGGAGAACTGACTTAAACCGTGATCCAGCAGCTACGTACTCGACAACTGCAGGTATTCTTCCTTGGCGCTTGAAACCGCTCACGAATTGCGTCGCACGATTACTTGCCTGGGTAGTGGTCAATATGATATTATGGTCAATCTGAGTTCCCGCGGGGAAAAGGAGGAGCACTGACCTCGGACAGGTTCAGTGGTTGTTTGGGGGGTGGTTGGTCCTTGCCTGAGTGAATACCTCGTGTTTCAGTGACTGCCCTGAGATCGACGTTTATTGGTATGGAACATTGCTCTGCATAGAAATAGCTTACGTTTGCTCAGCTGCCATGAGCTTGTCGTAGTCCGCTGAACGGTCCTCGTCATCGCGTTTGTGCCGGACCACGCTTGCGAGGCCCTTCTCGATAAGCTGCTCGGCTATATTGCTGATGCAAGTAAAGTAAGAACCTGTACAATGCTCGAAACAATGAAACTTACATGTTTTGGTTTCCGTAGCGAATAGTGGCACATTCCCGCTCCTCGAAATCGCCTTCACGTGGACGGATGAAATCAATATGTACCTTGACATGTTTGCCAATGAGCTTTTTACGCAGAAACTCGCGTGCCTCCTGAGCGTAATACGCCTGTTTGGCGTCAGAGATTCTGTCGAAACGATCAGCGCGATGTGAGGATAGAAGGGACCCCAAGCATACTTAGGCCCTCTAGTCGAACTGAGCTGCAGTCTGCGTTCCTTGCCACCGTCCTTCTCGGTGACAGAGATCTGATCTGCACTCCACACGCGAACAACGGTGGCGTCGAATGAGCGGGAAGCTCCATTCGCTACCGTTACTGACTTTCCGCTGGATGTTGCGGCTGGCGCATTTGCGTAAAGACACAACCGCTTCTCCTTCGCGGACTTCTCTGCGGCACGAAGTCGCTCCATGCCTCCAGTACTTGCGAGCATGCCGGCATGCCAATCTACCACACGAGCTAAACCTGCACCAACGAGATGTTCTGCGATATTGCCTGCGGGATGAAGTACTGTGACAAAAGTCATGAGGGATAGTTGAATAAGATATTGAGCCATGCTCACCATTTCCAATGAATATACTTGCCGGCGCGGGGGCACCTCCATTGGTGCCGGATTGAAACGGTGTTGCGGCAGCAGTTGGCAGCGACAATAGTTGCACTTTTACAGCACGTTGAAGAAGTCTCGACTCAGCGAAGAATTTGGCCTACAAGACGAGCGATCAATTACGCCAGTGCCTTAGTAATGTCTACAAGAAACACACGTAGCCGACAAGCGGTACTCACTTCTTCTCCCCACTGTTCAGAGGGCTCCCCTTGTTTCGAGGCGGCACGGGCACTGCGAACACCTGCAAGGGCGACATTGACAAACTGATGCTCGCCTTCTGGCATCATGAGACGGACGCGGAACGTTGTGCCATCTCGAACGGCCTCAACGATAGCTAAACCGATAACAGTGTTAACAGGATCGCACAAATACTAGATGATTAAGTATACCATCAAGCGGCTTCCCCTTCCATTCTGTGATGTATGATTGGGAGTCTAAAGGCATTGTGTGGATCACTTCACGCGCCTGTCAGGTTGCGGTCAGATGCATTCATAAATGATTCAAGTGAAGCCGGACCTTGGGACCATGTGGGTTCCAGATCCCACGGTTTGCCGCGTTCGCGTCAGCTTCAATGTCCCTCCGTTGACTGTCTTCCTCGGTAGGGTCTCGTTTGAGGTCCTTCAATTTGGCCCAACCATGCTTCAAGAGTTCATTAGAAACATCGAGGCCACCAATCTCCCCATTGCCTAGATCTCGAGGTACATCGTCGTTCGGGGGAAGTTGGTGATTAGATACGAATGTGATTTCTTTCCCTACAGCGAAGGCACGAAGGAATTCGCGGGCCTCAAATGCCCAAGGCTAGATAGATCTCGTGTTAGCTTCCAGAGGCAATGAGAAGAATGCGATTTAACCGAGAATCTGCCATCGGGGGATTAAGCTCAACATTAGTCCCCGATTGCCCGATTCTGGCGAAGCCGAGTCATCTCTTCATACGCGTAGGAGATATGAAGGGTCGATTTGAACCATGGAGCAAAAACATAGACCAGATATCCTGGACATGCCGATTTGGCCAGAAAAATACGACGACGGTTGATCTGACAGACCAGGGAAATATGAGCGCACCTCGTCTTCCCTGGATGCATTTCCCATGCGTGGTGACGTGACATCTGCCAGATGCAAGATTCTGCATGAAGCACGAAAAGTCCAGCAAAATCTTCAATTAGCGTACATAGCGCACGCACCTTTCCTTGGGAGGCTGACCCTGAGGACCGGGACGGCCACGGAGAATGAGAGAATCGCCAGAGATGACGCCTGAGGTTCAAATTCAAGTTCCTAGCATTTTATGACAGCACACAGACGCACTTTTCACGATCTGTATCAGGATATCAAAGCTCGTCAACATGAATATCAACAGATATAATTCGGGTATACATACAGCTTTCATGGACATGTCGAATACGATTCGAGGACTGCGGGAATATGCGTTTCGGAGAGAGACAGGAGAGGAACGCGGCACACGATGCCAGCAAGCAAGGAGAAGTGATGGACCGTGAGACCGTGTAGGCGCGCACGATGATGCAGTGTGGTTCGTGGGAATACCAGTGCTGGTCTACGGGACCGCATCACCTTTCCGCGGTCCTCATCGCCCTCCCTTTCGTTACAATCGGAAACCATGCCCTTCTACCAAATGCTATGTATTGCTGCCCATAACCCACAATACGTGAATCGTTTTCATGCATGAACTTCCTTTTTGGGGCGCTCAAAATTCTCGCAGGGTCATATAAAAGAGCTGGTCCGTCAGTCAGCGAAGCATGTCCTAGATCAAGGTGGTGTTGTTCGCGGACTCAAGTACTGGGGCACACAGACGTTACCACAGAGGATGCGGAGTCACAAATTCTATCATAATTACGGAGAGTGCGTGCTAGGTCTCGGCTTTCTATTCCTGCTTGCTTACCACCTTGACTTTCTTGTCGCCCATCGCAGCTATTGGACGATGCATTTTGACGCGTCCCCTGAGAGCCAAAAGGCTTTGCGTTCAGTTCTGAGGAAGGACCCGCGGGTCATCCGAGCGACTGTCCTCAAGATGGGGGAAAAGATTGAAGATGTCGCGACGAAGAAAGAGATGACAGCTAGGAATCTCACCACAGGTTATGACATATAGTCAACCTTCTCTCTGGGAAGTCACGCATGATTTCGTCTGCAATTCATCCCCACACAGTGTACACACTGTATGGCACCGGGTATATCTATATATAATGGCACGTACACATACAACACGTTCATCCCCCGCTCATTCACTACCCAAGCCCTTCAAGATCACATTGTGCCTCACCACTCCGTTGCCCATTCCTCCGGAAGACCCATCTAACAACCTTGTCCAATCCTGAAACAACTCTGATTGTGGAAGTATCCTCCCCTCTCTCCTTCCGTTCGCCAGCACCAATTGCCCCTGGCCGCCTCAGCAACAGTGGATGATACCCTGCGTACCATGAACTCCAATAATCACTGAAAATGCATGAGGACACATATCACGTACGACTTAGAGAATGACTCACTCATGTATGTCGTCGCCGACGTGTACTGCCTCCTGAGGTTTTACACCCCCGCGTACACACGCACACAAAAATATGGACATAGAGGGCTTGTTCAAGCATTCCTTATCGGCGGTTATGATGGGTGAAAACATATGTAGAACGCCGAGGTCTTCCAAGGCTAATACTGAGACATCGGCACCCAAATATGCAACGCCGCGGTGAACAAAGGTTTGAGAACACCACAATACTCCCTACTTACATATTCGTGAGTCGGCACCCGTCACCAACGCTGTTCGTACATTCATCTCCTTCAAAGCCTCAACTGCCTCCCGACAGGGCTGAAATCAATCACTTCTCGTCTATCGTCGCAAACAGGATGCAAAACTGTACGCACGCGTCTCCACCGTATCGTCAAATAGCTTGTACCCCTCTTTCGAGCTGAAGCGATGGATGAGCCGGGGTACGATCTCATCAAGGCTTTGAGAGACAGCTTGGGCATCCGCGCCTGCACCTATCGCGGTCCTACGAATGACCTCTTCCCACCATGCGGACACGCCCTTCCTGTACGCTGGTCTCTCAATTGAAACTTGTTTCAGAGCTAAAGGAGATGGTCACGCATCAGTGCCGACGCTTGCGTGGAGCATCTGGCTATATACCAAACTTGAATGAGCGAGTAATGGAGTCCGGGTCCAGCACTCCGAGGTACGGTGTGAATATTTCTGAGTATTGGACATGTATCGGGAGGCGAGGGGTGATGATGGTATGGAGTGCATCAAAAGAGACAAGGCGAATGATGCTCGGTGCTGTTGGCATAGTCCCAGTCAGTCGCAATCGCACCTCAAGCTGCGTTCAGACTGCGAAAGCGAGATCTTCAGCGTTCAATCCGACTTCACATAGGTACGACCAGGTCGGTCGGTAAGGCGCCAAGACAGATATGAACGGCCTGTTTATCCTACGGAGGTTGTTGACGATAGAGCTGGATTAAGCCCGGTGGAAAGCAAGAACAAGTCAACAAACGAAATCGTCGAGTTGACACGGCAGAGCGGCCCGTCCTGTCCGTCCGCCAACAACATCGCTTGCTTGAACACAGCGACCTTCTTCAGAATCTTCACCATTCAGCCAAACACGGTCTCGTCTACCTCAGGCCGTCTCGAGCCCTCTGACGGAAAGAAACTGTATATTGAAGTCCCACTGACACTATGTCTGAGTCCACCCAGGCATTCCGAGCTGTCGTACAGCAGGAAGAGGCTCGCCTCCAAAAAGAGTTTCCAACACCTGAAGATATCCCCACCTGTATGACCCTCTTCGATGAGTTTTTACGCTGTAACGGTGCGCCCTCGCCCCCTCTCAACTTCCACATCGTAAACTGACGCAGCACGGGGCACTGCGTAGTGGTCGGCTCGCAGTTCAAGTCGCTCTATAGGTATGGCGAGATGGCCAAGTGCACCCCCAAGATGGACGAATTCAAGTACTGCATGAGCATCAAGTCTCTGCATCCCGAGGAGAAGCGCGCCGAGTGGATACGACATCGTGCAGAGTATTGGGCGCGCAAGAGGTTGACTATGAGCAGCGAAAACGTGTGGGAAGTACGGACGTACGTCTTTCTTCCTTATTTTTCAGATAACTTTGCGGATATCTACTCCATAAACAAGATTATGCATTCTGAATGGTCTTACTGACTATGACATACCAATAGGGAGCCGCTACAAAATTACCCACCACCTCCGAATTTTACTGTCGTGGTGGATAGCTCGACAGCTATCCACTGACCCTGCCGATCTTTTTTATCGCATGCAGATATAATGTACGCGTAGCTCATTTTAATGCCGCAGTCGCGTTCGATCTCTTGGGCGAGTAGACCGTGGTCAATGGCAACTCCGTTTGATCTGCGTCATCTTACATCAGTCTCAGCTCTTCTGAAACATGCTCGCCGATGCCGATACTGTGTGGGTACTGAGTAGCTCCTGATAGTTTCGGCTTGCCATCGAATTCTCCGGTGCCCTTTCAGTCGAGATAACAAAATCATCTGGATTATCCATCATTGTGCAACGAGAGTGCCTCAATCTGTGGATCCGCAGGCGTAAAATGCAGGAATTTTTTAAGAATGATGCAAATTTGACGTTATGTTGATGCATCTGATCTTCTGACTGCCCATTCAAGGATGTTTCAAAGGAGTTTGCAGTACGTCCCGCGTGCCTTGGTGCCGAATTTAACTCTGTCATATCTGACGCAGACGTTCTCGAACAACTCACTGATACAGAACTCCCTCTTTACCGTCTTCTGTGGAGATGCTCCTGGAACTCATCGATGTCTTCGACTCGGGAGTAATCTTCGCGATTACACCGGGTCGTTGATCACTTTGCTGTAAAGTGATCATGGCAGCAGCGTTGCGACCGTGTTTCGCGCTGAAATTTCGACGGGCCCTGTCATTATCTATGACCTGTCAAGCATTATTGAAACCATATGCTTCTATGAGCATGAGCCGCTTGACAATATCTTGTCCCCGTGACATCATTTATTCATTATGTTCAGCATCTTCCGTAACTCAAAATCGTTCGCGACTTCCTTGTGTCATCCGATAGTGAAGCACTGACATGCTTTGAGAGGCCTTGTATTTTCCAAGTCACCTCTTGGCCTCATGAGCCTGCGGCATATGACGTTTTGGAGCACAAGAGCCTTCTGAAGCACAAGGGACAGAGATTCTACTCGGTTCTCCCATTTTCATGCCGCCATCACCCACCTTCCACGTCCGAAAATAAATGGGCCTCCACGCTCAGGGCTGACGTTCAAGAAGGTTTTAATTTCTCTTGTCACTACCGTTTAAGGTCGGCGTACAGCCCCTGAGGCTTAACAACTCAAGGCTTCGCATCCGTAGCCCACATGCTGCAGCGGAAGACGTACATCCGAGGCCTCTGGACTATGAGCGCGACATAGGAAGGCATCTATCCTGGTCGATGTATGCGCGGTGTTCGCTTGGAATTTGGTATCTCCAGCCTCTCCATCTAGGCAACGAGCATGCCGAGCTTTCACGCACTCTCACGCTCACGCTCCCGCCCCTCCTTCGTATCATCCCATAAATGCCATGATCTACTACCGCATCAGAATGCTGGCTTACAGCAAGCAGCTGTAAGCAGTTTGCGCAGACGGAGCCGCGATACGACACTCAGCTTCTGGCTGATAGGGCTCGCAGTTCCCCGGGGCAATTTCCTCGGATTGCGCGGACGGCCGGAACAATCATCTGTTTCATTCGCGTCTTTGCCGATACCTTTCGTCCTCCTACCATGTCCGCGTTATCAAATGGCGCATCTATGATCAGTGAGGCCTAGTGATGTTCCTATACATTTCCGTAAAGCCTGTAAGACACTGGAGGACACCTTGTTTCTATTAAAACCAACTCCATCTTCCCTGGATAGAGCGCGGGTTTTCAACGGCAGACGCCGCCCGCAAGGGTTCATAGCACTGCGCCTGAAGTGCACGAATGCAGACAGGGTGAGACACCCACCTAATCCCCCAAACGACACTTTTTTCATCTCTCGGATGTCTAGCAGACTACGTCGTCTCCCGGCTCATTATCCTACTTGATTAATTCAACATACGCGTTTTCAGGCCACCCAGTCCTCCCGATACGGACATGCGGCGCCACGAAAACGTTCGCACCTGTCTCGGTCTGTACACCGAACGCTTCTGGAGGTCTAGGCAGTCTGTGCCGAAATCTAGGCTTTGCACATCCCGGGGGAGGCAGTGAACTGTGGCGCTTTCTGCTGTACCAGGCCGTTCGACCGTGGAAAACGATGGAGTCTGGTGTGTGATTGGCTAGGTGCACCTTATCGCGTGGCGTTCGGCTGTGCTGGCTGACGCTGCACTAGCAGTCATCATCAAGCGTCAGTGGGCTGGGCTTCAGGGGAGCTGATTTCTATATACATCTTTCAGACGAGGCGCTCACAGTGCTCGATGCCAGGACTCGGCCTCATCTCTCTGTAGGCCCCCCGATAGATCTTGGGCGCGTTCATTCTATAGAATACCTGTGCTAGCCCCCATGTACATCGCCTTGTCTGCCCCATCCCACATGTGTGGGCCTAAGGCAGTAGGGCACAGCACCTTGCATACTCCTGTTCTTAGTCCTCAGACACACAAACGCTTGTGCACGCACGGCCTCGGGTTCTCGGCGGTTGACAGACCGTGTGGCACAAGAGCAATTGTGCCGCTTGATGGCGGGCACGACACGGTCGTCGCTGTCCGTCACCGTAAACCGATGTCAGTGCGTGCGCTTCCCTGTTTCGCGAAGTCTATACTTAGGTCTGAGCATTCTCATCGTGCATCACAGCGGTGAAGATCCGGCGCTGCATCGGGGTTACCATGAGCCTGAATGGGCTGCTGAGGCGAACGCCATACGTGGCGGACCAACGCGCTGCAATCGGACGTCCTATTCTTCTTCGTCCATATGTGACATGTCCGTGACACCTTTCTCTTCCTTGGGGAAACCGCATTCTGATCCCGACGTTTATCTCAAGATTCTTTATGCTTCGCTGATCAGTTTCGGACCCGTCCATCTCGAGGGCACGGTGGTTGCAAATTCCGTCGGTTTCGAACTTCATGATTCTTGACACCAGATACGGCGTCGGATCCTTCGGGCTGTCTTGCCATCTTGATGCGGTCCCCACGCATCGAAAGATCAGCGATCTTTTCGATGGCACCGGTCACACGCTGCATCCTGTGCCATTGCCTCGCTAGCGTTTGGTGTGATGCAGCACGGTTGCGTTGTCGCGGAGCAGGCGACCCTGTGCCTCCTAATCAATTCAATCACGCTCTCTGGATCCGATAACATCCTTTTGTGGTTACTCTCGAGAGGGGATCAGTGGGCGCTTGACAAGCAGGAAGGTCGTGACTACCTGCGCGTGCGTCACCCCGACAACTGTGGCTATATGGATCGCTCGAAGCACAAGCTGTTGCTTCAGTGGTTTCAGAGTGTGCGATCGTGAGCTCGTGGTGATGTCGCTCTCATGCAGGTACAGTAGCGACGTCGGAGATTTCGAGTACGAAGAAGGAAAGCGTGGGATCGGGATCGAGGTAGCACAATTGCCTCGATAGGGTGCACACTCTATGATAGCGATGAGCCTCCCAGGCATCTTCATCTTAATAGACTGGTATGATGGCTGTCCTGTGTCGCTCACATGCCCAAGATCAGCCGTCTGCCCCGGATCCATCTTTCATTTACACCGAGCTTCGCTTTGTGATCTCCGCAGAAGAGGCACACGCACTTCCGCAGCAATGAGGTACCTCGATGTGCAGGCGCTCGTGCCATCCAGTATATGGTATATAGTGTGGTATATGTAGAACACTCCACTGCGGCCCTGGGCCGCGATGGGGTGCTACGCTACAAAACAGTCTAAGCTTCGCTGTGTTGCGATACCACATTCATGACAGCGCGAACGGTGTGCGAGGTAGCCTTGTTCTTTGTTTGGGTTGTAGATACTGGGTGGCGCAAGTATGACGCGGGCCTAGAGCGATCAGTCCAAAGTAGAGCAAGTGCGGGACTGGGCGACCAAAGCGAGTTGACAGCAATGCGCCGAAGAACCTCCCAGAGTCCTATGGGGACTAAGGGAATGTCACGTGTCGGAGGTGTCCGGCGGGCGTAAATCAGAATGAGTAGCCGTACATGAGCGACGTGCGTGTTCGACGCTTCGGTGTTCTTTATCTCACAGAGCCTCGAGGCGAGGCTGAGGCTGGGACAGGGAGCCTTCGATGATGAAAAAATCCAGCTACAGGCGTACATTGATCGGAAGCCAGGTCCATTTGGTATTGGGGGTTCAAATAAGCGAGCTTGCGTGTATGCGAGATGGAGGGTCAATCGAGAGGTACCGCCGTCTCGAGTCGGATCGGTGACGGTTGTGGTATTAGACTCGTCATATGGATGCGGTTCGGAACATGACGTGGGTGCTTCTTTAGATGGATCACGGTGGATCAGAAATATCTTAGGAACACATCGACGCACGCCTAACGCACACATGGCGAGCATGCCTTCCGTCTCAAACGCCCTCTCACACTTTTGAGGGATGCCATGCTCTGGTCCGCATGTCAGATGCGAGGGTATCTCAGAGTCTGTCAAGTTTAGCTCCGCGGGCGGCCACCTGGAGATAAGTGGCATACATAATTATAGGCGGGAGCTGAGAAATGTAAACACAAAAGGCCCGGAAAATGAGCTGGGGCCGCGCAAAGTGAAACAAAAAAGAGGGTCGTTGGAAACAGGGACGACGTCACTGCTACGGTAAGTACGGACGCACGATGCCTTTGTCGATGCTGGGTAGCGTTCGTTCGTTCGTTCTTAGAAAGAATGTAAGTTCGCGGGTCCGGCAATTGCCGTCGGCGCCAACTATGCGGCCATTCCGTCATCCTGCATTTGCAAGCCAGTCAGTCGAAACACGCCCCCACCACACGAAGTACGCCCCTACCATGCCGCTAACTCCTCGAAGTGGTTCTGGAACAATCCAAGGACGCCTCAAGCTAGCGACCGTTTTGTAGGAGGCATCACATCGGGGATGCAGCATCGGAGACTTGAGGATGGACATAGATGAATATGGAGGGTGGGAGCGCGCGCGCAAAAAGGAAAGGAAAGGTACAAATCGGGCACGCGATCCCAAACGAATCCCATGGTGCACTGCCAGGTGCTCTTCTTTTCTGGGTTCGGGATTCGCAAAGGCGGAGATGGCCGGGCAGGTCCGTGACGTTTGGCCCCAAGGCGGATTGTGGGTACAATTGGCGAGCATTGCTTTCGAAGCCGCCGTCTCGCCCGCGAGCCATGCCGCAAATTGGCTCGGAGATCCTGGCGCTGGTTTTCCCCGCGGGCCTGAGGGGCCACGATGTGCACGCGACGCACAGCAGGAACCCGGGGGTGCGGGAGGAAGGGCTGACTCGATAGTCGCAGCTCCGGCGGTCCGGAGGTATATGTCGAGTCTGGAACGCGGGCGGCTGCGTGGGTGTTCTCATGCGGGGTACCCGAATTGGGGATGTGGAGGGCCTGGGGGAAGGATCGATAGATTGGATTCGATGGACGGTCGTGGACGCTGGCTGGAAGATCGCTCCGCTTGGACGCGACTCCGATTAGTCCGCAGGGAAGTGGGTGTGGACCGAAAGCGGACGCCCGTCCTGGCTCCGCGTCGTGGCGGCGGGGTCTGCACGGCGGGGGTCTGGTGGACTGGGCGGCCCACGGTGCACGCAGAGGCTGCTTTGGCCTGAGCGAGGCCGGCGGGATCAGGGGCGGAGTCTGTGCTGGCGTTCGCGTGGCCGGGGTGCCCTAACGCTGTGGTCTGCGACCGGGCGTCTGGGGCTGGGCGTCTTCCTTTTGCCGCGAGCTGCTGTCGCCGTGTCCTCATCGAGAGAAGCAGCGCCGTCCGCCCGTAGATGCTGATCCCAGGAATGGAATCCCTATAAATCTCCTGCTCCTCCGCCCCTCCTCGCGACCTCCTTCTCTTTCTTGTCCCTCCCTCGCCAGGCGCATACACCTGCCCCCCGCTCCGACCTCGCACTCGACGCCTCTGGCGACATGCATGCGTTTCGCAAGGTGAGCCGCTCTCCTCGGCAAGCTCGCAATCACACTACGACCGTGGCTGATCCGATCCACTTACATGGAACCATCAGCAGCACCCCGGCTACACGCCCGCGCTCCAGCGCATTCACTCATCGCCCTCGCTACCTAATTTGCGGTAACCAGCCCTTTTTTTTCTTGAGTGTCATTTCTGGTCACGGGCGCTCAATCTCAAATTTTCAGGTATCCTGCCCCCAGTCAATCCCATCCCGAGCCCCACACGCCACCCATCGCCTCCTCCCAACAGCGTCTCTTCCTCGGCTCACTCGATCTAGCCGCATCCAAAACGCCTGATCTCACCTGCCAATCCCGCTCCGGTCATAGCAGTGTCAACCACTCACCTCGCCGCCCACCGCTACCTCTCACACCCCCTCTCACGCCCTCTTCATCCCTCAACGAGTCACTGCATACCCCAACGGACGCGGACGCCTCCCCGACCATTGGTACTCGATGGTCCCGTCCACCCGCCATGTATCTCAAGGGCCACCATGACTGCCAGGGCTACGGCGAGCAGCATGGCGTCGTATCTTTGGATGACCCGCTCGGTCTGGAGCTTGATCTTACCCCGACCGAGCACAGTTTCACCGCCCTAGGGATTACAGACGATAGGTCGCCAGATGGAGATCTCACCTCTTTGTTTGATTCGTATCTTAATTGCGAAGCGCCGCCCAGCCGTTTTTTATTGGTAATTGTTCACCGTCCTACCATCTTGACCTTTGTTTGATCCTCCGTTGTGTCTCAGATCGGAGATGTCCCGCGGGGAACGTCTCACGACACTGTCAAGGCAGTCTTCAGTGTATACGGCGATTCTAAGGGCATTTGGGCTGGCAAGCTACAGAGCCACGGCATCGTCATGCTCGCGTTCTTTGATTTAAGACACTCTCAGAACGCGAAGCGGTCGTTGGATTCCCGGGACGTGCGCGTAGCGGTGGACCATGTTGAACAAGTGATCCGTATGAGGTCAAACTTTGTGTCGTTACCGCAGGTTGTGAAAGTGCGTATATGCGTGGTTGTTTGCAGCGCCTGCATTTCCCGCTAATGCTGCCCTTGTTCCTTCTTTGCTATGCTCCTTCGCGAACATCGTGACAGTTGACAGGTCACTTGGCAAGAGTGTTAGAGATAGAACGTGATGCTGGATTTTTCATAGGAATCAATGATCGCGTAACCGATCCATCAGCTGTACAATCTGTGCTTGCATCATTCGGCCAATTGCGCGCTTTTTCTAGGTATCATGATGGCCAGGTGAGGATCAGCCACCCGTTAACCTGTATATATAGTAATCACCTTTTTCTTTCTCACCGCCGCCGCCCCCATCGTTCCGCGGTCGACTGCATCCCAACAGTACTACGTGGAGTACTGTGATGTGCGCGAGACACTAGCAGCTCTTGAAGAATTGCAAAACAAGCCCATCACGCTCCACCGGCAGTTCGAGATACTCCACCCCTCTTCGATAAGCGACTGGAAGAGCCGGCCAGTTTCATCCTCCTCTCCCATGGGACCCTTGGCCTCTGACGGATGCGACTTCCCTTTTGTTCCATTCCCCACTACGTCCGTGACCACCCCCAGATTTCCTTCATCCGAGTTTGGGCCGGACCCGTCACTTCGCCAACGCCCACGGAGCGCAAGTGCCGGCGCTGGCGACGGCGTGAAAGCGCTCCGGCTGGAAGAAAGAGACCGTCGACGACTGGCCGATGACACAGGAGACCAGCCGCGAAGACGGTCGCATCCAGACGTCTTCGACATTGCTGGTATCACGCCTCCGCGACGCTACGTTGTGCCTCCCGATAGACCCCGGAGCGCAAGTTGTGAACCGCAGGAGAGCAATGATAGCGAGGCGCTCACTCATATCCCGTATGCGATACAACACCCGGCTACGCCTGCAGGTGGCCACTACAATCCCGCACCGCTCGCCTTTTCTAATCAGGATCAGGTCGTCTATGGGCAGGCCTCTTTCGGGTATTCCTCGCCCTTCGTAAATTACCCTCGTAGATATGGTGATGAGTACGACCGCGATAATTCTGACGCCTTCATTCGGACTACGGTCAATCAGAGCTCTCAGTCACCGTACGTTCTCGCCACTCCCTCTCGACGCTTGCCGCACCGCGCCGTTCGTGATGCATATCCATCTGGCGCCATTGCTACTTCTACATCTCCTCAATATCATTGGGGCAATCCAGTTCACGGTCGCAATCGCACCCATCCCACCTCATCTTCGTCCTCGAACCCTACGACTACTAGTGTGCCCGCTCAACCCGACCGCAACAAGTTCAATCTATCTAAGATCGAAGAAGGAGTGGATACGCGGACGACTGTGATGATCAAGAACATTCCAAACAGGATGAGCGATAGAGATCTACTCGCGTTCATCAACAATGTATGTCCAGGGCGAATAGACTTTTTCTACTTAAGGATGGACTTCCAGAACGGTATGTATCTCGTCTAACTGCTATACAGTTCTCCCTGTTTCCTGTACGACAGACGTACACCACCATTGGCTATCAGTTGGAAGGCATGTTACTAACATTGATTCTATTCTGTTTTGCTTTGCTGTGTAGGGTGCAACGTCGGCTATGCTTTTGTCAACTTCATAACCGTCAAGGATCTGTTATTGTTTGCCAAGGCGAGGCTGGGAACCAAGTGGTATGTCGCACAACGCTCTCGTCCAACTTCTGATAGCCCGGCCATTGATCACACGGACGTGTTTGCCCCGTTTAGGAACATGTACTCGAGTGAGAAGATTCTCCAGATGAGCTACGCAACCTATCAGTGCGTCTCTATCCCCCCTCCCCCCTAACGATATAACACTCTTTGGCTGACCTACTGATCTGTTGTGTAGGGGCAAGGAAGCGCTCATCGAAAAGTTCAAGAACTCTGGCATTATGGACATTCGCGAAGAATGGCGCCCAAAGATTTTCTACTCTGATGGGCTGTACCAGGGGAAACCAGAACCCTTCCCACCGCCCACGCACCAGAAACGCAGGGAACGGAGTGCCCACAATCGAGGCATCCTGTTTCCGCCAGGGGCTCCGCGATCGTCGTAGAGCTGTGGCTTCAGGTCTCGGACGAACGAGGCGGGCATGAGTCCGTTATTTCGTTGATTCCCGGCCGTCAAAATAGGTGCCGCGATTGCTTCTTTCTGACAATGCTGGTGATGGAGGCGCTCCTCGCCCTTCGGTTTCGAATATCGATCTCTTCCGGCTAAGACGCCAGCTCTCATGTTATTTTTCCTTCCTTGCTGTGTATAGACGCTGTGCGCGTGGACGCTCAGAGCTCGCTGTGCATTTTCCTCCAACGCATCCCATCTTCAGACTCGTCGACCTCGTATATATCCCCTTGCGCCTCTTATTGCTATTCGGTGCTTTCCACTTCTGTCGTTGTTGTTTCGTTCAATCCGGCTATCCATCTGTTTCGTGTTATTGCTGTGCTGCATATTTTTCTACTGACTTTTTTTTCTCATCACTCGCTGTGTGCTATGTAGCTTGTCGATATATCCGATCGTTTCACCTTTTGGTGACCCCGGTGTTGGCTTTGCTGGCCGGTGTACCGTATCCTCATCTTACACATCTGGCCCGTCCCTGTTTTTTACATCTTCCCCTTTGACCATCATATATATTCACACTGTGATCAAGTTATTCGGTTTGTGTCTCTCACCTCCGCTTTGATGTTCGCCTGTTTTCACTCGCTTTTAGCTGACGCCCTCTGTCTGTCATCCACCATCCATTCCTGGCTTTATCGTCTTTTGACTCCATGTCGTGTGGTTTCTCGAATGCTTACTTACAAATTCCGCATACAGTTATGATTCCGAGTAGTGTGTCTGTTACAATGACAAGTAAGGTATGCCTATACGTATGTACGAGTAAAATGGTAGCACTCCGCTCCTGCAGTGATCCTATGTATTTCATCAGCTGAGTCGGATGCAAGAAAAGGGGCCAGTCCAAACGGCTCACCAGTAAGGTTCCGACACATTTCTCCCGCAAATTTGGTTTAGCATGCCGAGATAATATAGGAGTAAAGATACGGATCAATAAAAGCTACTTATAGCTCCCGATACAACCCAAGGACGTACTTGCATGAACACAAAGAGAGAAACCCGAATCCGAGCCGTTCGGACGCGTCTGACCGCACATGATGAGAAAAACCCTCCTAGTTCCCGATTTGGGCTAAGTTTACATCGGACATCACAGCACAACTTGGGCGGACTTGGCCATCACAACTACCCTGGACTCCCACTGTGCTGATGTTTATTCGATAACCTGGCCATTACCATCGAGTCGCCACAGTAGCTTTCATGAAGAAAAAAATCATTGCTTTTGCTTTGACGCAGGCGCTCTGGTTGCTCAGCAGCACGGTGTAACCTTTGGTTAGGATCAGAATTCAGAGCAGCTGAATTGGACGTGGGCACCGGAAGCAACGGTCGGTTTCCTCGAATTGGTAATTGGCGCGGCGTGATCGCGGGGAAGGCAAACTCGAGGAATGGCTTGAGAGTGCGTTGTCACGGACCTGGTTAGCAGCGACGCGATGAGGGCGTATGATCGACATTGCGCACACAGGGCGCCCTGTCCTGGCGTCGCCCATTCACATCCTGTTCTGTTCCTGCAGTCGCTCGATGCGACTGTGGGCACCACACATTTTCGCACTCGTCGCGTGCTGCATGTATGGCGTCATGGCTACGCAGATGTCTGACCATCATCAGGCTGGGTTTTGCGGCGGACGCGCGTTGGGCGAAGGTATTGGTGAGCTGTTCGTCCCTAGTTTGATAGCATTTTGGGTCCTCGCGCTCTAGGTGCTTCTAATCCAGGAATTATGGTCACTGTTGATTCAGCAGTATCACAAGAAAACAGCGTAGCCGAGACGGTGTATCCTGCCTTCGCATACTTATGCATGTAGCATAACGCGCTTCAGAAACACGGAGTTCTCCGCACTATATGGAGTCCGGGTTCCTGTCATTTCTGGATTGTTCATACTTATGATTTTTAGGCAAACTCTGGTTTGAAATTCCAAAACCAAATGCATGGTGTGTATATCTCTATCAGGCTTGTCCTGGAGTACATCAATCATTCTAGAAGCATGCCGTCTTATTCAGGATGAGGCTCTCGTAGGGAGCTATCAGCGTCCAGGTTCCATCCATCAACACTGGTGGTCATCGTGTTCTGCAGCATGAGCATATCGATATCCATAGTAGGGAGATGATGAATCCTTTTTTGGATCGGGTCTTGCTCTCGAAGGTGGGTGTTCAGCGCTCGAATATCAAGTCGGTACAATTCATATTGGTCTCTGGGACATAAGGAAGACGAGGTCATCGTACAAACTGCCGATGGATGTATATACGGCATTCGGGAGAAGGTCGATTTACAAGAGATTGTAGGCCTCACAGTGGGACTTATAGCATGGTGAGAACCTTCCAGACTTCTTTCCAGTCTGCTGTTGATTGCGGTAGTCGTCAACCACAAGTGTGCCGATTTTGTATAGGTCTCGATTCTAGCTGTCACAACACCGAATTCGATCGTGCCTTGACCACGATCGTGGTCTAACAATCTTTTCTTTGAGCAGCCTCGTCAAATATCATTAGTGGAACTTCTGATGCACGATTGCAGCCAGCGCACTTAATTATAAGAGAGGTGGCTCATATGAACGGGATAGTGAACGCTGACCGTGATTCATCTCCATTGTTAGCATCGTGCGTTATTTTCCGATATCATGAGGCAGACTTTCCTATCTAGATCATCACTGATGCGCTCATTGCCGTCTCTATATGTAGTCGTTCTTAGCCGTTCTGCTGTTTCAAGGTCAATGCGGGACTCTTGTGCAGAGTCGCCGAAAACGCCGACCAAGCTGTTATCAGCAAGGATTCGTTACAGTCGAGGATCAATCTACTTAGGACATATCCACGAAACAGGTTCCACGAAACAGGTATCTCCATATGGTCCTTGCCTATTCAAAAGCAGGATAAAGCTCTGCGCTCGATATTGATGCAGTGGTAGATGGGTGTACAGATGGGACCACATAAGCGCCTTTCGGCGCTTTCATTTGCAGTCATTTTTCTCGTCCGAACAGTGAGCAACCGGGATGTTCCCGCGAGCTCATAAAAGATCTGACAACGCGTGGACCTTATATGGCAGCATCAAAAGAGGTCTTCATCTTCTAAGCTGCTCCACCCATCGTTTTCCGAAATTCAATCCGTCGTGTCAGTGCATCTAGCCCTTTAGGCCTTGCAATTCGCGGTGCTGGTGAGAAAGCATTCTGTACCTATCTTCGAGAACACCTATCGGAGTGCTCAAAACCTTTTGACGATGCTTGGATCATAGGTCTGTCGTGGTCCATGGATGAGTTCACAAGGCTTGCTCTATCGCAGAAGGATCATCTCTTCACATTGACTCTCGTTTGACACGTTCACGCTCGGGATGTCGCAGATCCGGTGCTGAATAGGCGCCATGGAGGGAGGCACGTTACGCAGTTATGCGCGGTGTGTATATATAAGGTGCATTGTCCTCGACACATCGCCACGGCACTCTTCACCCTACCCTTGTCTCTGGAGTTTACGACGTCATGCAGTCTATTGATGCCACCATCGGTCCTGCTGAAGCCTGTGCAGCGATCTCCTTCTTTTTTTACGGTGTCATGGCTATGCAGGTGTACTTGTATTGCCAGTCCGATTTTTTGGAAGATTCACTTTTGACTAAGTCAACTGTACGTTCATGCGTCCAATCTATCGTGATTGCATTCTGACGATTGTCCGATCCCAGGTCATCTTGATTTGGTGAGGCATTCAATATGTTGTCAAGATGCTTGAGACAGTGCTGATGAGGGATTTTGCACAGCATCGTCGAAACGGTCCATACCATATATATCGGCATATACATCTATTCATGCACCATAACGCACGCTGGAGACGCCGAGTACGCCACGCTCTTGGTGATACCACTGCAGGTGATCGTCGGTTCTGGCCTGGTCATAGTCGTTGTGGTCCAGGTACTTTGCATTCCCACTACGTGTTACAAACTAAACATAAAATCATCCTCTCAAGATTTTTTTCTCGTGGCGTGTATATGCTCTGTCGAAGAGCTGGATTGTTGCTGCCGTACTGAAGGTTGTCTCCTCGATTCGGGCTTGCGGAATGATCAGTTTGAGAGTGGTGCTCCCCGAGCATCTAACAAGCATCCATGATTATATCATCGACAATCGCTGGCTCATCGTGACTCTCTTCAGTATGACCTGGTTCATCGACATATTCAACACAGGTATGCTTGTATATTATCTACTTCGTGATGGCACTTATTCTCGGAAGTAAGTGTTTCGTGTTTCCACGCTAAGCACAACTGTTCACCTTTTTAACCAGAACTCAAAAGATAATAGAAAAGATAATCATGTGGACCGTCGGTGCGTCTTGCACATGATTGTCTTGCTCATATTTGACCATGCTACTGGGACAGAGACAGGGATTTTGACCTGGTAAGAAAGTGATCACCTCATCTGCTTACCATTGATTGATCAGCAAACAGTATCTTCAGTACAACGATGATGGTTCTGGTGAGCCTTCACATTTTCAGTAAACTGTGGTCTGTGCTAATGCCCACGAGAGATGTTGGCCATGGATCATAATTGTTCGTTTGTGAATCTATCAACTATCAATGTACTTATTATAGGGGCACAGCGATTTGGATGAGCCTGGGATTCACTGTCAAATGTAAGCACACTAGCTCCTTTCCCTAGGATGATCCTGATAATTTCTGTCCTCGTTTAGTATACTCTAATATATTTTTTGCATCGTAAATTCTCTCTCGATGGGCTGTCGAGTCACACTAGTGTTGACCTCGTACTTCTTCACAGATTGAACGGTCGCAAGACTCTGCGGCGATTGAGCGCTCGAGATACAACCTTGGTCTTCAACACCATTTCCCTGCCGCCGGTCAATAGCTCCGTCTTGATCAGGGTACTATATCAGCCATAAATGGTATTCAGGAACGCTGACTGTCTCTGGCAGGAACCGGTTCATGTGAAAACTTCACTTGCTACCCGAATTGTCTCGATCCGAGGCAGAGCAATCTGTGCTTGACGCCTATCATTTCCCTTTGAGGATTGTATGGGCCCTTTTTGTGCACAATACGTAACGGTCGCTATGGTCAACCCAGGTCACAATTTGGTCCTTTGGTTCCTGCTCCTTCAATTGCAAACATCGAGAATGAGAATCCGAGGCACCTGTGGATTGGATCAGTACAAAACTGCCAAAGTTGAAGAGTCGTTGCAATTGTGATTCTCGTCCTTCGTTATGCTTACCCCGCTCGAACCCCGATCTGCGCTGCTTCGTCGTTCCTCGTCTCTACTTTCTAGTGTGGTACCTTTCTTGTTGATTGCTTTCGTCACATCGATAATTGCATTCTCTCTCATTAAGTGTCTTCAAGACGCCGCTTGAATGTCTAGCCAAATGGACCAATGTTCAGATGCGGAGCATCCTTATCGTGGTTTCCTTCGAGCACTGACCGATTCTTTAGCAATATCTAGGCTATGGTCTGGCACCTACAGACTTCCTGCGGAGCGCTCTTGATTGCCCCATCTATGCCTATTCGAGCGTGACGGATCATCATGCGCAGATGCTGGCTGCCCTGCCAACGTCTGGCACAGACATTGACATTTGACGGCCTATGAGCGGCAGGATATGATACCCGCGAACCACATCGCATGGAAGCTTTCAGTTCTTAGCTTGAAAAGGGGTATATGATCCCTGCCATATGTGTACTCGCATCCGTCCCTCTGCTTCAATCTGCATGATGCGGTGACATGCGATTCTCTGTCGTTGTTAAAAGGCCGCAGAGTCATGGCCCAACGCCTTTTTAACTATCACCCCATGCCTGGGATTGATACCTCACTGGGCGCGTCCCTGAACTGCGCGTTCATCTCTTGCTTCCTTTACGGTGCCATGGCCATACAAACGTATACGTACTACCAATCTGGCTTCAACACGACGGACTCACTCATGATAAGAATTTTGGTGTTTATTACACGGTCAAATCTTCTAGAACCTGAGCTAACATTGCTCTCTCCTAGGTACCATTAGTCTGGTGATACAATCCACCAGTGCTCACGTATATCGCGCTGTATGCTACAGGCTAATCAGCACTCTTCACAGCTTCTCTGAAACCGCGACCACGATTCTCGTTTGTATATATGCGTACTCATGTGCCGTTTCGAATTTCGGGGATCCGAATTACTTGACCCTTACGGTCTGGCCATTGAAATACACTCTTCTGGGAAGCCTAATCACTGCCCTTCTGGTAGAGGTATATGGTTCCAATATATCATTGTATATTCCTTATTGGCCTCTTTCCAGGTATTCTTTGCATGGCGGATTCGCACCCTATCAAGAACATGGTTGCTCACAATCTTGTCCTTGACCAGTTGTCTTCTGCGACTGTGCGGCACGGTGGCTCTAATGTTTGTAATACCCAAGGACCCCGTTGACATCGCAGGCTTTGTGCGAAACCATCGCGGGCTGGTGATCATACTTTTTGGCACTGGAGTGTTTTCCGATTTTGTCAACGCCTCTGCACTTTGCTATTACCTCTGGCGTGACAAGTCGTATTGTCGCAGGTAAGCCGTGTCATTCCGAAGAGTTGGCGATAGCAAGCTCAGTACGCGAGGCCAGGCATAGCACGCAAAGGGTGATCAACAAGATTATAATGTGGACTATAGGCAGGTCTGGAAACGCTCACAGGACGTGAACTTTGGCTGATGATTGTCATCTTGAAAAAAAAGAGAATGGTGTGATGACGAGGTAAAAATACGATATGCTGGCTCGAGCTCGAATGCTAACAGTTCGCAGTCTTTTTACCATAGCAATGATGGTCCTGGTGAGCACACACCTCCATCCCTGACGTCGTTACTGTCTGACACCTGTCATAGCTGTTTGCAATGGAAAATAACAGTATGTTGCAAGCATTGACATCCATTCGTAGCTCATGGGGACGGAATAGCCGCGTGGACTGGGCTAGGATTTGTTGTCAAAGGTAGAAGATCTCGATGTCCCAGTCGTTCACCTCTAGTGCCGTTGACATCCGCTGCTCCGATTCAGTGTATTCGAATGCGTTCCTCGCATCGTGGGGGCTTTTCCCTGCTACCCAAAATCACTGTCGCTCACGATCGATAGGCTCAATGGACGTCGAACCCTTCGCAGGCTAGACATCGAAGACACTTTCATGGTGCCCACCCTCCCCACTTTGCTCGCTGCACGTCGCCCATCACAAACGGTAACCCGAGCATTGTGCTCCCAACTACCATACGCTCATTGTGAGGTTCATACAAAGGAGAACATTGAGATCGGCCTATCGACCATTTCTGTATTTGAAAAGCAGGTAGGGATACATGCCCATATAATACTCGAAATCTGCTATTAATTGCCGCTCCATTGCCTGTCCGCATCGGGCTCCTGAAGCCTCTTGGCGACGCTGTCATTGATATCAGACCTATGGAAGAGAGTCAAGGTCCAGTCGACTCTATGGCATCGGATGCTTAGTTGAACCATACTATACCGCGTTGTTCTCAATTTACCAATCTACGGATACCTATCTGATCAGTATCGGATTGTCTTACATCATAGATAGCTCATACCATATACTTTCCAGGGAATCAATTTTGGTGTCTATGTACGAGTACTCGGATGAAAACTTTGTCCTCATGATTATACGACACAACATTCTGCTCAGCGAAAGCTCAGCTAGATGGCCAAGCATCTCCAGGCCTTACATACCAGCATGCCAATGCGCCGGTCAGTCGACGATGCCCGATATTTAAAAAGCTGTCAAAATTGAACCCAGAGACGGGCGAGCTCTGATCCGGTGAGTTCGTCCTGACCAGCTCTGACGTCCTTCGATGAAGATAGAACGCCGTATTCGTGAGAATGATAATATTTGTATGCAGGTGTATGCACATTATCCAGTTGGACGCGGGCGCAAAGTTGGGAAATCAATCGTGACAGGGAGAGGGCGAATACATCACCGTTTATGAGGGTAACATACTATCGTTGCACCAGAGTTGCAAACGGGATGGGAGGTTCAAAATCGAGCTCCTCGTGGCATTTTTTGACGGCACATTTCGAAAAAAATCACAGTTGTTCATTTAAGTACTCTTCAAGTATGCTAGTTTTTTTAAGAACAGAAACTGGGTGCAGCAGTGAGGAAGCAATGGATAATGGTTTTTAGGACAAAGTTCTCTCAAAGATGCTCAAGATCCCTCAGATCCTTGAGTTCAATTTCAAGAAAATAAAATAAGGAAGATAATCAGGTACCACTGAAGACATGTAGAGCATTCGATTTAACTTTGAAGACTTCAATGCTCTTCACCAAATTGTTTTTGACGGGCAGTGTCCGATGGCAGGCAGAGTGACAAGGAGCCTCGGGCCGCGTGATGCTTGGTCATCTTTTTGAAACGCCGCTTCGCAAGTCGCCCCGCAACCGGAGTTCAAATATGAATGTGACGATGTGACCCGGTCGTCGGAAAGATTTGCAACTCCCTAGATTTGCTCGTTTTCCGACACCCCTTCTCAATCATATCACAACAATTCTTTCAGTTCATTCAAAAATATGAAAAAATGACAGAACATATTCCAAGAAGCTTCCGCAGGTATGATAAAAATTTAGAGTGAAAGGAAGCTTAATTGAAGATGCTACAAAGGAATCGTTTTTTTTTTTGCAACTCCGGTGCACTGATAGTACTGTACTTTAATTCCACAGGAACGTACTGGATTGTCAATTGATAGGAATAGGGAAAGGTCTTACGCTACCTATATCGAGTGTTGATGAGGACGCTGGCGGAGAGCTTAGGTTCACCCTCCCTGAGTTTTTACGATCAGAAGTCAGACGTTGCCACGGATGAGTCCATATATTGCTCCCCGGTGCGCAAACAACTCGATGGCAGCCTATGGCGGTCCCACTTCGACGGTCAAACCCAACTCTCGCGAGATTCAATAGTAGTTCTGCATCTGCCTTGTGGGAGATTGTCGATTGCTATGTCACAGTCACGAGCAACCACTGAGATCTGTACTAGCTCCATGGGATTGATAGAGGAAATTTAGAGCATCAAAGGGAACCGAAGACCCTGAATCTCCCCGAGCATTCACTTGATATCCAGTGTTGATCGACCGGGGATCGTTCGGCTTGAGCGCATGTTGCTGTCTACGAGGATGGAAACATCGGGGCGAGTCTAACTGCGACGTACCTATTCTGGAGATAGCAACGTCATCCCAAGTGCTCAAAATGGAACAGATTTGGCCCAAGCTGCTATCATCGGCGACGTCGACGAGCGTCGAGGAATGGTCAAGTCAACTGATATAGGACCCCGGAGTTATGCCCATATATGGAATCTGGGTTGCGCTATGCAATTTATAGAGCGATTTTTTTCTCCTTTCGTTTATGCAAGGTAATGTTTGTCCTGCGTATACTTTACGCATCCAATTGATTATTTGTTGCCTGCTGGCATATTGCGAGCTGCGAAGTGCTTGCTGTGGAATACCGGTGGCCTAGGAGAAGCAGTTGTGTGTGGGTCCACGACTGAACGCGTCTTACCCCACCCACCAACTGTGAGCGGAAGCAAAACGTGCCTCGCTAACGAAAAGGATTCTGGCGCTTCTCAAGGTATTTATAGGCCCCAGTTCCACTTGTACCATGCTCTTGCCGCTCCCCCCTGCCCTTGCCCACTACCACAGTCCAAATTGTCAGCGCCCGCTTGGTTCCAATGGGTACATCAAGCACACTGAGACCCGCTGAAGTCGCGGCAGCGTTTGTCGAGCTGGCCGTCATAAAACACAGGACGCGTCTTGATATCATTTTCTTCAAGGCCGTGAGTGCTTACGTCGTTTTGAGATGGAGCACGCGCTCATCCACTAGGTATTCAGTTTCTTGCGGGAGTGATGCTTTCGTTCGGAGGCTTGCTTTCGGAGGTCATACAGGGCGGTGCACCTGGTCTCAACACTTCAAATCCCGGAATTGTCAAAGTCTTGGGCGGTTTTGTCTTTCCAGTGGGTTTGGTAATGTGGGTAGGAGCTTTATTGTCGGCATATGGCGCTGATATCGCGGGCTAGGATTGTGCTGCAGGGACAGGAGTTGCTGACAAGTAACATGATGGTGAGTATGCTGTCCATGCGTCTCCGGGGTCCCGCGCTCACGATGTGGGACAAGATATTTCCTATGGCTGTGATGAAACATGCTATCCCATGGTGGAGCTTGCCGCTCAACTGGCTAGTCGGTATGTACGTCGAATTACCGACCTCAGTACCCGAGTTGATCCAAGGGGAGGCCAGTCACTTTTGGAAATCTTGTTGGCTGTCTCTTCTTCGCCGCGATACTCGTCAAGTGTGAGTCCGACAGTGCAATTCCCATCCTCGGAAATGATAGAACCAGTTTGTACGCAGACTCGGGCGTCTTATCCACCGCCCCGTATGACACGTTTGTCCAGACGTTCGCTATGTGCGCAATGACCTTGTTCCTACATGGTATATCTTACTCACATATGCTCTCACGATCGATTGTTAGCCATAAAGCCGGTGATCCGGAGTGGCATCAAATATTTTTGCGAGGGATAGGGTGCAATTGGCTTGTCAGCGTTGCTGTTTGGGTGAGCTTTAATTGACAGGTCAAAATTTTCCCTGCTAATTTTGGCGTAGCAAGCTGCAGGGGCGACAGAGACTATCTCGAAGGTCCGCTCCAAATTACGTTCTTGGCGAGGTGTGCAAGCTCATCGTACATTGTGCAGGTATTTGCAATCTGGATCCCAATATGGGTACGCATGCACTTGTTTCGCCGTCACTAAGATTCCTGACGTCTTCGTCTTCGTCAGATTTTTGTAGCATGCGGATATGATCATGGTAATGCCACTCGACCAAATTACGATGTCCATGTAATTTATAGTTTATTTAGTGGTGGCAAACATGTTTTCGGTCCCTCTGGGTATCATGTTCCACGCCAATGTAGGCCGTACGTCTATCCTTGACATCGGCCATGGGCTAATAATATCTTTCAGTTGACGACGGCTGAATACATCCGAAAGTAAGTCCCTTTTTCACTTGTGCGTGTCGCGATTTGACTTTTCCCGTTGCTTAATATGCTACGTCTTTTACAACTCAGATCATTCATCGCGGCTTACATTGGCAACATCGTTGGAGCGCTTTTTGTTGCAATTCCAGCGGTCTACTTCTATCTGAGTGACTACCGCGCAGGTGGGCTCGTCGATGCTGAGGCAGGAGGGGCATATGCGGAAAAGATGACAGAGATACAATCGGAGGCCGATGGTAATGGGCACAAGAGAGAGGATTGACAGAAGGTCTTTGGCCGTCGCCACCGTGCATACCTTGGAGATGAAGGACTCCTCTGATCAGGGAGGTGCCTTTTGTGTCGAAGTCCTCATGGGTAGTCTCAGTATACCTCAGCCGTGGTGTATTTGTACGTGATCGTTATGCCGTTTGTTTTCAGATTATGTTCCGACCTGTTTAACTGGTGTTATGGACCTGTCAATGCATCACATTTGAGTCAAATTGAGCCAGTAAATATATTTTAGTACCAAAACCAGCCGCATTTTTATACAGTTAATCGGGTATCGGCACAATACCCGTTTTGGACAATCAATTGAGGGCTTGTTCAAGACAGTCATTCAGCCTGTACACTGCTCATCAGTCTCCTCGGTTCTCCCTCTCATTTGTCTCCATATTCAAGCGATATTTATGACTTTCGAACGCGTGTGAAATAACATCTTCAGCATGGAACCAACTCAGATGAACATCAAGGTCGATGAAGAGCACTCTCGCCATGTCAAGCGCGCGCAGCTCAAACAATTGAATGATGATCGAGCTGGCGAAAGTGAGGTTCAACTTGCATCGATTGGGGTGCTGTTATTGACAAGAAAACGAACTGTAGAGCTTGCGAAAGCTCTGGACTCGTCTCTAAAGCGCCACACGGCACTTATCAAGAGGATTAAACAGTCTATGGGCGTGGACAATCATGATCAAATTCTGAAGGATATCGACACCCTTTCTCTGGAGAAGTACATTGATGAGATTGCGGGTGCTGTGACAGAAGGCATTGTCAGATGCAAGCTCGAAAAGGATGTGTGGAGCGCTGCGGAGGTGTGTGGGTCCACCTCCCTGGCGGTCTAGGATGCTGAGTTGTTATCAGGTCATATCTGCTCTGCACAGACGTTTCCCGAAGGCATTTACGCCCGTGCTGGTCTCGTCTCTCGCAGCCGCCTTGGCGCCTCCCCCGCGCGCGGCGCTTGCCGCGATGGCGCCTGAACAGAGGGAGAAGGAGGATACGACGAGAGTGTCAAGACAGCGGCCCGTCTTGCGGGTGTGCTCAGAACTCTCCCTTGTTGGGATAATCAGGGATGGCCCCGGCAGGAGTGGTGGAGAGTGGACCATGAAGGCACTAAAAGATCTGGTTCGTCCCTCCAGCCACATATATGCTATATGTTTCTGTCTGATCCAGTGTTTATAGCTCTCGAACGACCCCTCCCTGTCGTCTTTGCCCCTTCTAACAACCTTTCTCAAATCCTTCTCTAGACCATTTCTTGGTCTTACCCCGCCGTCGTCTAAGCAAATCTCTGCTAATGCCGAACCAGGGACGCTATCCTCTGAAACGACCTCTCATGAGAATAATTCGATCTCCCTGACAGTGAAAGAAGAGGAGGAGCTTGTAGAGAAAGACATCAGGGAACGGTTCAAAAAGATGTGCGAGGGGTACTTTGATAATGTCTCGAAGAAGCTCGTCATTGAGCACAAAGTGAGCGTGGCACATTGCCAGCTGTTTCATATATATAATATCATTTACAGCGTTTGCAAGAACAAGATCGCCGAAATCACGAAGCATACATTCGCTCAGGAGAGATCTTTGAGGACAGGCAGCAAGCGTACGAGAAGATGACGAAGAACTACGATAAATTGCTTGCCAGCTGCCAGACGTACGTTTTCTCTTCCACGTGTATCGCAGCTATCTTGCTCACTACAATACTTCAGCCTTTCTGAGTTGCTTTATTTGCCTCTCCCATCTCTCCCAACTTCCTCCCACGCAAGCAGTTCCATTCAGATAGGAAACAACACCGGATCAATACTGAATGATGATGCGGAAGAGCTTGCTTTGGCAGCATCCGGTGGTAAATGGGAGGATGAAGAAGAGCGCCGCTTTTTCGAGGACATCCAGGATTTGCGAGAGGTAGTCCCTAAAAGTATCCTAGGCGTCGAGGATGGGAAAGATGAGAAGGAGGAGAAGGGAGAAGAGGAAGTCGAGAGGGCGCGCAAAGCCGAGGAAGAGGAGGTGCGCAAGTTAGAGGAGGAGCTGGCTGGGCTGAAGGATAAGGAGCACGAGGTCACTAAGACGAACGGTATAAACGGCGATGAAGCCGAGGCGGAAAGTGATTTGGATGATGGGTGCGTATGTCATTCCAGTCGAGTTGAACTCTTGAGCTCAGTCCTTTTATAGTACGGATACACCTGTTCCAGGCACGCCTAAGGAAGGGTCGCGCCCCACGACGCCAAATTTGGCTCCGCAGGGTCCATCTCAGCTGCTCACAGCCCTATTGGCTCGTCTTCCCGATTGTACCAATCGCTCGTTAATCGATCAAGCAGCACTCGAGTTTGCGTTCTTGAACTCCAAGGCAGCGAGGAAGAGGCTTGTCAAAGTAGTTTTCCTGACAATTTCTTGTTTTTCTTCATGCTCTGATGCGTCTGCAGTTTTTGTCGCAAGTGCCGAAAAATCGGACAGACGTGCTGCCACACTACTCCCGACTTGTCGCGACTTTGGACAAATACATGCCAGACATCGGCGCGGACTTGATAGCTGCCGTACGTTTGTTCTGTTTCTTTGAGAACTGGAGCTTAGCTGGGTATAGTTGGACGAGGAATTCCGATATCTCCAAAGGAAGAAGAACGTCGTTAAGGAACTCGCTGAAGTCCGATTGAAGGTAAGTTTGTATCGGTGGGTATTTGGCCAAGCTTACGAGGATCCTCTTGATGGTGCACAGAATATTACATTCCTGTCCAATTTGACAAAGTTCAGAGTCGTACCCCCGCACCTTATCTTGCACATGTTCAAAGTCTGTTTGGATGACTTTTCTGGGACGAACGTGGACAATATTGCGTTACTTCTGGAGGGATGTGGGCGCTTTTTGCTGCGAGATGACGAAACAAAGCAGCGATTTGGCACGATGGCAAGTCCTCTTCCCTGTTCGTTGTATGTTCGGGCCGTCAATATTTACGGTGCCATCAGTTGGAGCTCATGAAGCGAAAGCAAAGCTTGCAACATTTCGATCAAAGACAGCAGCTCGTACTCGAGAACGCATATTATCAGGTAGAGATGGCAGCGAGTTCTTTGCCAATACCACTGATCTGTGTCGCCTAGGCTAATCCACCAGAACGAGCCCCGCGTCAGGAGAAAGAGCGCACACCAATGGACCTCTTTACCCGACATCTCATCTATGATGTTCTCGCCAAGAAGACCATCGATAAGGTTCTGAAACTCATCCGCAAACTTGACTGGGACGATCCTGCAATTTGGCGCACCTTGCACAAAGTCTTCACCAAACCGCACAAGCTTCGCTATAGTAATATATCTCTTCTGGCGATGCTCACATATGACTTGCAACGCTACCATCCTGATTTTGCGATAGCGGTCATTGACCAAGTGCTCGAGGACGTGCGCCGTGGGCTAGAGCAGAACGTGTACAGCACCAACCAACGCAGGGTGGCGACTTTGAAATATCTGGGGGAGCTCTATATTTACAGACTAATTGGCTCTAGCTTGGTGTTCGACACGTTGTGGTCGCTGGTCACCTTTGGGCATCGTGAGTACACCGAATTTAGCATTATGACTAGAGAAACTTATGTTGTATGCAGCCGAGGGACATCCGCTGCCCCGGTATCCGTGCCCGATTGATATGCCAGACGACTTCTTCCGGGTTCGCCTCGTCTGCGTTTTGCTGGATACGTGCGGCATGTGCTTTGATCGTGGATCGCAGAAGAAGAAGCTCGACAATTTCCTCACGTTCTTCCAGGTAAATCGTTGTATTCGCTGAAACGAGGTGAAAGCTCACTATGGGCTCATCTTAGTACTATGTTCTGTGCAAAGAATCGCTACCCATGGATGTAGAGTTTATGCTAACGGATTCATTGGAGGTTGGTTTCTTATGCGATACGGCAGGATCAGGCATTCATACGATATGACAGGCTATCAGACCGAAGTTGGCCTTGTTCAAGACCTTGGAAGAGGCCGCTGTCGCTGTGGAAGAGATGTTTGCTCTTGCATTCCAAACTGCTGGTCGTAAGTAAAGAAATTTCATAGGTCGCTGTCACGTTTGCTTATGTCTCTCGCATAGTTACTGCCGGTGAAGACAGCGGCGAAGACAGTGGAGATGAGGGTGAAAGAATTGGCAAAGAAGACGACGAGGATGGCGAGGAGGGCGAAGCAACAGAGTCTTCTGTGAGTTTGCTAATCGAATTTCCATGGCTTTTTCTCAACGTTTTCATAGGTTGAAGACCGTGGCCCTTCACCTGAGCCTGTCGTAGTCAAGCCTGCGCAAGAGAACTTAGGTCCTTCGGAGGAGGCTGAAGCCGAGTTTGCTAAAGAGCTTGCAAAGATGGTGACGGATTCTTCGGCAGAGTCACGCAAGGTCGATCGTCGCACGGCGCAGACGTTATGGGAATCTGCGGTCTTGCAACCTGGTACCCGGAAGAAGCGCGCAGAGGACGAAGACGAGGAGAATGGTGACGTAGAAGTCACAGGGCCTGGCATGATGAATTTCACTATGATCACCAAGCGAGGCAACAAGCAGCAGGTAGGATTTTCCTAGTGTCACGTTCAGGCTGTGTTTGCTTAATTGCATTCCGCAGGCCCGCGTCCTTGCTATCCCCGCAGAGTCTGCGCTTGCGGTGCAGACACGGACGGCCCAAATGCAGGACAAGGTAGAGCAGCAGCACCTCAAGCGCTTGGTGCTGAACTACGAACAGCGAGAAGAAGCCGAGGAGCTGAAAGGCACGATGAGGCATCTTTCGAAACGAATTCCGTACTGACCTCTCTTCAGCCCTCGAGAGCAAGAACCGTGCTGTCAAAATTCGTCTTGTCGGATAACATGTCAGCGCTTGTCCCTTCCGCCGCTACCGAACCTTCCTTTCCTAGCACCATCTTCTCTGCATCGGTGCCCCGGGTCGGTCCGCCTGACCTGTCCGCGGGTGACTATTTTCGGCCATCAAGTTTGCGCCAACGATACCAGAAGCACACTCCTGACGAGTTGTAAGGTGAGAGGGAGCGTGCGTTCTCGTGGCGTGCGCATGCTGCATGGTCATGGCGAACAATCCGTAAGCCTTTCTTCCTACTCGTATATCCACAGCCGACTCGGAACAGGATCGGGGAAGCGGCCTTTGCGTGCTGGTCCGAGGTCTGATGTCGGCTGGCAGGTCTGTGCGGCGTATCCCTGTGCTGTGGCGCTTTGTGGCGAGCTGTTTTGTTGTTCCGGTCTTAGAGCGCTTTCGGCTTTGTTCGTGTCTTCTTGTGTATCGTATTCTGTAACCCGTATGTGGTGACCCAAGCACTATCAGCGATGCGATCTTTGCGTGCATGTCATGGGGCGATGACGACGCCACTGCCCCAACATGGATGCAATGCCTCAGGAAGCGCGCCCAGGTCGGAGATCGGTGGATACGGGGCGCGACCCGGTCCCAATAGAGACTCATCGACAGCTGTGGCCACAGCTGTGACTCGACACTGCGCTGTACGGGGAACTTCGTCAAAGTTCTGGGTAAATGTAATCGACAAGCCACAACAGAAGAAATTAAGTACACTATTGTACACATCGACGCGATACGAGGAATATCCCCACCAATCATACAGGAAGACCCACTGAGACAGTCATGAAACAGGAGGCGCGGCCCACGGCAGAAACTCCAGCTCACCTGCACCCGATACGACAGAGACCAACGCATCGCCTATCCATTCCTCCCCCTGTCTCCACTGGCCCGCACACGCCCACTCCTTGACGACCTGTACTGCCTCCGCGACTCGCTGATCGACCTCTTGCGACTGACAGAGCTCCTCGTCATCGATGTCGACGTAGCCGTCGGCGAGGTCATACAGGTTGTAGCCGATGAGCTCGGAGAGGTGCGACTCGAGGGTCATGCGCGTGGGCGACCAGCGCGGATATGCGGTCATGGCGCGGAGAATGGAGGCGTAGACGGCGGGGCGCTGGGGTACGAGGACGGTCTTGCAGAGTGGGAAGGCGAGGGAGGTGAAGCGGGGGCGCGGCTCGAGCTCGGAAGGAGTATAGGAGGCGAACGAGAAGGGGAAGAGGATCAGGTATTGGGCGAGGGCAGGAGAGGTGGAGGACGTGAGGCGATGGAGATGCCCTTTGGTGAAGAAATCACCATGCGTGTCGACGAGGATCTGGGGAGGGGATGAAAGTGGTAGGCCCTCTTCTGAAGCGATGCGAGATGCTGCGAGGAGATCGTCGTCTGGGACAAGGAAATGGTGGTGCTAGGAGCAGCATTGATGAATCCTGGGCGAAGAAATCAAGATTGTCAAATGTAGAAACTCACCTTCAAAATGGTGGGAACGCCCATGCGATTGTGCAGGAGTGTGCCCCACTCAATCAATGCAATTTCGGCTTTTTGTAGAGCATATAAGGTCCTATCCAGGAGCTCCTGGGGAGAAGGCTCAACGGGGCCATCCTCTAATTGGGGGTGCTTTGAATGCGAAAGCCCAAGGTTGGGAAGGAAGAGGGTGGAGGAGGAGGAGGAGGCTGGGACGGTGATTGTCTGCGTGCTCATGCTGAGCAGTTGTCAACGTTCGAGGGAAAGGGATACGTGCCGGATCCTCCGATCGAACCGGCCGAACAACTGAGTTCCATGGTCGCGGATCTTGAATTGGCATCTCTTCTCACGCTCATTCTGACGTGGGCTCGGATACAGCCGCTGCCACCCTGAGATACCTCGATTTAGTCTGTAGGTGATAGAACGGAGGAACACGTGCACCCATTTTTGTCTCACTCTTGCATGAGGCATTGATTCAGCGGCCATCGCATATTGGGCGACTTGACTCGACTCGAGATTTCGGCACGGCACGGCACTGACATGGTCCGTTAGCACGGAATACAGGTCCGACTTTCGTTCAGGTTAGGGGCAGAATGCTTCAAGAGACGGCAGCGTAACTGGGAGCGAGGTTTTCAGTTCCCGATTTTGCGAAAGGACTCTTGAATCCCAAAAACTAGAAATCAATAATACTTGCAATGGATATCCTCTTGGCCTCAAGTATGGATAGCGCTTGATGCCACTCTATACCTTCTTCATGACTTTCAGGGGGCGCGCTATATTGGGTCCTCGAAAAAATACACTCAGTGATGTGAGGATCGGTAGGTGGTTTCAAAGTATCCTTCTACAAAACGTGATCATCATGATTGATGAGGCGGTGTGTTCTTACGCGGCGTCCCTTTTCAGCAACGACAGCACAAGTGGCATAGTCGGTTGTGATGAGCCATCCACCTTAGGTACCGAAATCCCACCCATAGTCCAAGAAATGCGCTTCTCGGATGCAGAAAACCGGAGGGAAGGGAGCAAGCTCGCCAGGATGATCTCTGCGGACTGTTAGGAACAAAGGTCTCGCAGTCATCAAGTCAATCACGTACTCATCTCAAGCTCGGAGAACTTGAACCCGCTGGTCGTCCGTTCGAGGTCAGTCTGCGGTCATTGCCGAGCCACGATATCAAACTCACATGCATGAATGGGTCCCCCCTCCAAATGTCATTCTTGAGCAAAACGTCAGCCTAGGAAATGTTGTAGAAATCGGACAAAGGCATACATGTTGGCGTAGACGCCTGGGACACCAGCACCGGCCACACTTGAAGGCAACGGTGAAAGCCATCTTTCCGGTTTCCACACCATTGCATCGGGACCCCAAATGTCCGTGTCTCGATTGACGCCCATGTACCCAAGAATGATGCCTGTATCTTTGGGGATGAAGATGTCGGACAATAACTGTCCGTCAGTCCCGATGATGGGTGCCGCCAACGGCACTGTAGAGTCTTCGCAAGTCCTAGATTGACTTGACATCACCACGTGGCGTCGTGTTTTGAGAGGGGAAATCACTCACATCCGCCAAACAAATTGCGCCGGAGGATACCTAGAAAGCGGTATTGGTGAGATAACTCGACGCACGAAACTAGTACCTACAATCTAAGGGTTTCCTTGATGACGGCATCGAGATAAGGCAGAGCATATAGAGCGTCGAAGTCCAGTTCGCCGTCGGAATTGGCCTTTGCTAGCTCATCACGGAGCTTCTTCTGGATGTCTTGATGCCCGGAGAGCAGATGGAGGATTCGGGAGAGAGCAGAAGATGTCGTCTCCATGCCCCCGAAAAGCATGACACTAGATAAGAGAAACTTCAGGGACGTTCTACACAAAGCCACACGATAGTTGTAAACCTCATATGGGCTACCACTTCCGAATCTGGGAGACCGTTGTCCGCCGATGCATTTGTGTTTGCTATCACTGGTACGGAATGACGTTAGTACACGCGAAGCACTTAAAGCGTGGTCAACATACAGAGAGCACTCAATATGTCCCTTCCATCACCAACCTGCTCCAAGACGGCCTCGTCGCCCATTTTCAAGGCCGAGCGCTTGCTCTCGAAAACGTTTTGCGCTGTGCGATTCATAACGTCCGCGATCTGGACAAGCGTCTGCATGCTCTTCCATGGAAGATACTTGGCCACAAACCCACGGAAATTTGGGGTGCCGACTTTGAGAGCCCAGGGGAAGGCCTGCGCCCCAAGCATCACTTGAGGGGAACTGAGCGTTGGCCTATTAGAGTTCCATATATTTGAGTGGTTATAGATGAGATGGGAAGAGGGGGGGAAGGTGCGCTCACGCTAGATGTTTAACAGCCTTCGCATACACGTTTTCGACTTCGCTGTTGAGGTCGCCGAACGAATATCCAAACCCGGCTCGACCAATGGTTTCGAGGGATGCGCGCGACATCCAATCTAAGAAATCTAATTCAATACCGTCTCCGTTCTCCTTGGCCTTCTCGACGAGGATTTCCCGGAGCTGTGGAAAAGGTCAAATATTGTCCGAACACAAATGTATCTTCCTTACCTGTTGAGCAACCCGTACAAAAGTCGGCATCATATACCGCATTTGATTGACGGAGAAAAAAGGGTTCAGCAACTTTCGTTGTCGCTTATGATGATCACCTGTCACCAAGGTTCGTCGATCGATTGTTACTGGGTGATAGTTTGGGCATACCGAGAGTGGAGACTAAGCCTGGTCCAAATATGAGTTTATTCCCCCTAGAAGGTAGAGGTCAAGTCGTTTTAGAGCATCACAGTTGTTGATCTTACTCAACGGATACCGGTAGTGGACTGAACGCATGCTGGTCTCTAACCAAGATGCTTTGAAGTGCTCGTGTATCGCTGATATAGAGCACCGCATCCTGAAGAGCAAATAAGCACCAAGGGTCTTCCTGGATTAGTCAATATTGGGACTCACGCCTAAGAAACCGTTCAGCTTCACCACCTTGCCATATTCGGCTATGATATCGGCATGGAATTGCCAGCTTTGCGGGGCGTGAACTTGTCTGATATGTCCTAGATATGATGTTACAATGGCTCTGAGCCACCAGAGCAGATGCAACGTGTACCTGTCAGAAAGGATCTACTAGGGGGACCAGGAATATTGTGCAATGAAGCCTGTCTTTTCCAGCGCCTGGTTTGCCTCCATAGCCAGATTCCGCAGGAGGTCATAGAGACTATGAACAGCACGAGTAACATCCTGAGAGCTTCAAGTATAGAAAGGCTGATTGACGATACGAGTACGAGCAATTGGGCGACGCTTTATATCAAGCGATTTCGACTGTTTGGCGTTGTTATAATCATCACCCTATGAGTGAATGGAGAGCGACGGTGAGGGAGAGAGAGCAACTGACAAGCCGTGATATCGCTGTGTCAATAGCTGTCAGGATCCCAGGCCTCACGGCATTCTCCTGCAAGTCACTGAGAGGAAAACACCGGCTGTTGTTATCGATTCAGTCAATCGGCTTTCTGAAGAGGGAACGTTATTGAGGGACGAGTGTGCGGCTGTGTGCGAATATTCTGTTGGGGATACAAATTCTTGACGCCACTCGGGTAGCCCTTCAAAGCTTCTGCTGTAATGAATGCCGGCGTCTTCGACGTCGGTGAAATATCCATATATATCCGAGATACGTCACGCGCGCCGGCACGACTAGTGGTGAGAGTTTGAGAGACTAAGATCAAATAATATAAAAGTCAAGTCAAAATCTATCCTTGGAAACGCAGCGGATGGACGCGGCCTCCGCGCTAAACTATGGCCCCCGCGTGATGTCGAACAACCTAACAAGAGCCATGTCTGATAGCGGGACCATGCTTGTAGCACAGAGAAGACCCATCGTCGATAGTGATCCCGACGATGCCGCATTGAAGCTGGACGTCGAGCGGTCTCCTGCCAAAACACATGCCATCTATTTCGGTAAGAGCTGAATAATATACCTGTATGTGGAAGGTAGGAACCGTTAGTGATTACGACAATCTGTCAACCCTGACGGAGCAAGGTCTATCGGCAACAAGCAGAAGTTGTTCGATGGACAACTTGCAATTTCACAGTGGCTGCGGGAGTCGCAGCGAGCGTTCAACATGTCAATCTATCACTATATATAGAAGTTCTGCAGCACGGTATATGACGAAATAGCCCGATAATGAGCATCAGGTGATAAGGAGTGATCAACATAGGAGACGCACAAGTTCTTAGGATATCCGCAAGTGCCTATTGCTACCCCAGAGCAGGCGGTGTCAATTAACGCTAAGCAGTGAGTCCTTTCATGTGGCGATTGGAATTTTAAAGTGGTGGTATCTCAGCGCCAATGCGTCAGAGCGTGTCGCCAAACGCCAAAAACGTGTTGCTCGATGACGCATACGGCTAAAAACTTACCGTAGGCCTTGATGCTGACCCGAATAGAATCACCATCGATGGGTATCGGATATTGGATATTGGGATTGAAGGTCCCCGAAAATCGTGCTAGTTGTCGAAAGCCGTTCAAGGTAGGGGTGCGCGTAATTAAAGACTGCTGACGGTGAATATGAACATATCTTTAAGGTATCAACAATGTGGAAGCACCTTAGACCCAGTGAGTACTCGCTGTCAGTCGCGGCAAAGGAAGGATTCAAACCAAGGCTGAGTCTCTTCCTCACGCTAGCGCCAAGATACCCCGCGTGATTTTCGGCTGATAGGTAGAGCGTCGAGCATTGAGAAGGGCAAAGTTAACTCCAACATCGGACGCCGCCTGCTGTCCCGGATGGATCTTGTACATGGTCTTGCATGCCACAAAAGGGAGGGCACAGAATGTACCTGGTCGACTCATAGTGCCATGCTATGCAGTCATGGTTAGCACTAAAGTAAGCGTCCAGATGGCGCGGAATACCCAAACAGACTAAGGCGAACCAAAGACAAACATGGAAATTGTGGCAGAGCAAATGGAGAGTCAGCAGAAGTACAACAGAGTTACAGCGATATCGAGGACAGCTTATGGATAGAATGCGACATCAATTATTTATCACTCGTCTGCTTGCTTGAATCGTTTCTCGATGACATCGTCATTGAGTGTGTACCCGTTGGTGGTGAATAATCGGGAGTGCAGGAATGGTGCCGTGTCAAAAATATCATGATCCTTTGCCTGGAAGTTATCAAGAATGAGTGTAAACAACAGATGGTAGACAGAAAGTCGTACCCGCTCATCGAGCTCTGAAACTTTAACTGTGATACGTTCTGGTTGCTCATGACGTTGCAACTGATGATATCGAGCCTTGTCTTTCACGATTCCTCCCAACAGGAAGGCCAGAAGCTCTTCATGATCTTTGGATTGAGTCAGATATTTCCGGAAGCCCTGTTGCAAAAAAAATCATGTTAGCAGGATTGTAGCATCATGCCGCGACCGGCGTACCCGTTGAAGCGTCTTCTTAATCGACATCTTTTGCGCATTGACGAAGCTCTCGACGGCTACAGATATAGCAAGGTCAATGTCGTCGGCGCGCACATATTCTCGTAGCGCCATTTTCGCGCTGGCCTCGGCCATGCGGATCATGCTCTCTAAATGGCGAACAGTTATAGGGAACGATCCTGTCGCCAGGGACTCGCGCCGCAAGTCTGCGAAGAGACGCGCGAGCTTCTCCTGGTCTAAATCGAACAGCTTCGGGCGAACCTTTTCACGCGCATACATGATATACTTGCGCAACAGGTCTTGGGGTATCAGCTTCAGAATGAGGTAGACTGAGCCATGTGAAACGACAGCAGAAAAAACCACACATACGTCCGCGTCCAAAGTCGTGCCAACATCCATCTCATCCTTCTCCGTCTCGAACTTTGGATGACTTCGCAAGTGACTCCCAACAACGAACCTCGCGAGCAGCTCGTCTTGCACAGGGTCAACTGTGTCCTTCACAACACACATGACGTCGAAACGCGACAGAATCGGCTCCGTGAGCTCAACGTTCTGCTGAAAGGGGATTGTGGGGTTGTATCGCCCACGAATAGGGTTGGCGGCAGCGACAATTGCGCAACGCGCCTGGAGTGTGGTGACAATGCCAGCCTTGGAAATGGAGATGGACTGCTGTTCCATAGCCTCATGTATCGACGTTCGATCTGCGTCGTTCATCTTGTCAAATTCATCAATCAAACAAGTCCCCTTGTCCGCCAACACTAGGGCACCGCCTTCAAGCGTCCACTCGCGTGTCACAGGGTCCTTGCGCACGCTTGCGGTCAGACCGACGGCGGACGCCCCTTGACCTGTGGCGAACACTGATCGATGGGCGGTCTTTTCGACGTATTTCAAGAATTGCGATTTCGCTGTTCCCGGATCACCCAGTAAAAGGACGTTGATATCACCGCGAATGCGATGCTTGCGATTGATATCCTTTGAGACACCACCGAAGAGGGAGAGAGCTAGGGCTGTTTTGATATCTTCATGGCCATAGATAGAGGGTGCGATGGACTTGACGATGCGCTTGCGAATGCGATCATCGCGCGCAAGAGCGCGGATTTCTTTCTCGTCTTCCTCTGTTAGACGGAATGCGGCAAAAAGGTCCTCCTTCTTGTTAATATGATTTGCTTCGATGATGGTGGAGAAGACGGGGAAGCCGTTCTTCGAATTCAGAGATGCATCGAAAGTGTTGCGGTAGACGCCGGTGACTTCCTATATATCGTATTAATCACTTGGATGGAAAAAATTATTGAATCAAACGCACGATTTCTTCTCCTGGCTTGGCCGAATCGATGAGATCCCACAAAAGGACAACTTCACGGTGTCGCGGTAAGCGACCAGGAGGGACGGAACCAGGCGACTCTTGCAAAGTCATTTTTTGATAATTTCGGTAGACAGTCTATGCAACCACCTGTATCAGTAAGAAAGAAAGAACATAAGTAAGCTAGCGCATACCTGTTCAGAATTCACCGTAAACGGTCCCTTGCTCTCGCAGTTCGCGCAGTAACTGATTCTAACCTCCTTCGTGGCGTCTTGGTAGAAGGGTCCTAAGACAGCACCGCATTTTCGGCAGTCAAATTTGACATACTTCAACTGGGGGAATACACCGCTTCGTCGCGTCACGACACCAGACACACGGACAAGGTTATTTAGATTGCTGCGGCGCAGGTCGCGTAGAGAGGAGCTCAGTGGGAGGTCGGTAATGCGAACGTGCACTTCCGCATGGATGCGTTCATAGCTAGGGTAATAAACGAGAATCGCACCCAGAGCGACCTCGTCAAAGATTTCGAGCATCGCGGTAGGGGAGTTAGTAAGAAAATATGCAAGGATAGGCTTGGAGAGGGCGAGGTGGAGATAAGAGACTTCCAAAGATTCGGAATTGTCTGATATGAATTTAGACCATGAGCCTTTGAATCGAGGGAGAAGAGCAAAACGTCCCCTCACTTTCGCCAAGGTTTCTGATGCGTTGTCCATATACTGAGGAGCCATGATCATCCACATAAGTCATGAGGAACTGTCGGAAATGCTTGACAATCGAACGTCGAACCCGGTCGTTGGCAATCCATTCCACGATGGACTTGGCTTTGATATCGCTGAGTTGCTCCAGAGGAATCTCCTAAAGTTTAAGTCAGTTTCTGAGGGAGTTTGGTAGATTAGAATGATACACATACATCCTCAATGCCCTCCATGTCATCAAGATCTCTGCGTTCGTCATAATTTCTGCGCGCCCGGCGTTTCATTCCTGAAAGCAAGCCATTTTCGTCATCATCCATCTCAGCGTCATCACTATCTAAAAATCGTGGTGCACGGCTTCTTGCAGCTGCACGAGCACCGGTTCGGCCACCACGTTCTAGGCGATCACGACGCGCCATTTTTGCATCAGCCGCTCTTCGTGCCGCAATAGACAGGCCTTCAAACTCTTCATCATCGTTCAAACCAGTATCGGAAAACGCATCGAGCTGTTGATTCGCTGCGTAATCACTGATAAATTTGAATTCAATAACAGAATATAGATGCTAGAAACCAAGACGCACTCTGCCATGTCTTGGCCAAAAAGATCTTCGCCTTCCTCGTCTTCTTCGTCATCAATATCCCGGACCGCATCACGCTCATCCATACTATCATCAGTATCAGAAAATGGCGCCGGGGGAGAGGATGGTGGCAAGGAGGATTGTGAATCACGACGTGCTACGATTGCCCGGCCAGGCGGAGAAGAGCTCGCTGGCAAATCAGGCGATCTGGCACGTTTTCCGCGATGGGATGTTCTCTGAGACTGCGTATATTCGTTTAAGATGAATTCTCGGAATAGACAACGAAATAACAAGACTGACCATAGCTTTTGAGTGGATGGGGGATGTAGACGACTGGGGAGACGCGAAGCGCGTTCATTATAGAATCGGAGCTTTGAAGCGTGTCAACTCCGCTCGAGTCAGCCACTTTGATACGGCTCTCCTCCTGCCAGTCAGTTGTCGTTCGAGACATGACCATCTCGAGCTTTTGTAAATCATTCGACCAGCGAGCCATGTAACTTTGAATGACCATCTAATTTTCATCTCAGAACCGTCATCCTTTTCGAAGAAAAAAAAATCTCAGTCGGACCGCTGCCAGGGAAGAGCTCATTCTAGTTTCAACCAATGCGGATTTATGTGTACGTTGCCGTCTTTGTTGAATCCAATTCTATCGACTAACCGACTGTTCTTATGGAATGCAGACTGAACAGCTGTGTGAACATTTCAAGTATCCATCTCCGAGGATCCGACGTCATTGGTGACCCCAATCGTGGAGAAGCAGATCTCGTTTGCAGGGGGTTTCTGATACCATGTCTGGACTAGTTATGCATTTGTATCCAGCTGCACAGTGCTGTTGGATGAAATTAAAATTTTCTGTGGAACATTTGACACGCTTCTTTGCCGTCTAGGTCTCATTCCCCCCTCCGCTCATTCGAGTATCCATTACGTCCCTTCCACATGTTTATTCTCTTCACTCTATACCTGACATCAGTGCCGTTGATCCATTATGCTCTCGCCTCCTCTCCCATGCTTGGGAGTCCTTGCACGACCGCGCACGACCACCTCGACCCCCACACCCGCGCTTTGCTAACTTCATGTGATGCCCAGACTGTTTGCTCCGCACCCCTTAACGGGACATGCCGTGCTCGATCGTGTAGGCGCGACACGTTTGCATTCGGATACGCATCCGACGATCCTATACCCCCACTCTGTCCATCAGACAGCTTCTGTCCTGATGAAGGGGATGAATGCCGCTCCCTCGTTACTCCAGGCCAGGGATGTCAGTTCAATAGAGACGATCAGTGTGCGCCACCGGAAGATCCAGACCCTGCTATTGAACTGTCGGACCCGCAAAATAATAAAGGCGCTATTTGTGTCAAGTCCGTATGCATGTACGTCCTCTTCTGGTCTTCCGACTGGTATAGGGAATATATGACGTCTATTTTTACTCGCGTGTCTAGGTACGCCAACGTGACGGCGGGACAATCCTGCGTTTACGAGCTCACAGGTTATACAACAGCCGATCATGATGGACAGGACTCCACAAACATCATTGTTCGCGATAATTGTCGTACAGCAGAGCTCTTCTGCGATACTTCAACAAGTCTCTGTGTCCCGGTGAAGGAGATCGGCCAGCAATGCCAATATGACCGAGATTGCCGTTCGGTGAGTTAGCTACTTCCAGCCTGTTGCATCAACTAAGCCGCCTTCGCCTTCCATATCCTTTGCGCTTTTGTGTGGACATGTCCGCAGTACACCTGTCTCAATAACGCTTGCGCGAGCTCTTCTGATGCACCAGTCGACGTGGCAATCTGGCAGTATATCGTCACATGCATCTCAATTATTGCAGGCACGTTTATCCCGTAAAGGATATTCCTTTGGTCTCATTTTTCTCCTCCAGCGATGATTACCACCTGCGTCATGTTAACGCTCATGCATAAGCGAAATCGCGTGGAAAGTTACAATGAGACGAGGGATTACTGTTACGAACAGATAACGTCCGTCTCTGCCCTTGTTCTCGAGTTGCCTTCAGGGCTCATACGTGTTTGACTGACGTGATCAATGTCCGGATCTGGTTGACAGTCTTCGTCGCCGCATCATGGCGTTGCAGCATGGTGGCGTCGCTCTTGATCGTCGGCATTAACTTGCCCAATTCGATTGAATGTGCGGGAATGGCAGTGTGGCTACCGGTATTATTCTACGTGTTCTCTCGATCGCCCAAACGCGGCATCATGCATCAAATATCCTGGCATTCTACTCCAATACGAGATAGTCTCTATTCCTAAGCTCGTTGTAACCCCAGGGAACAACTTTTGCACACCGGACTTTTTCTGGCCCCATCACAGTTCAGAACCGAACTGAGCATCATCAGACCAACGAGATGATCAGCGCCCAGCTCCTTCGGGTTCAATGAGGCGTCTATATCTGAGTCTGCGAAAAAGGTCAGGGACCAGTCTATTCAGCAGACGGCCATCATTCATGTCGAATTGTAAGTGCCTATTTCGGTACATTTGGGCTGAATATCTCCTAGTAGGGAGGCTCTTCACGGAGTTTAGGAGCAATATGAAGCGTTTGTCTTCGGTGTTGTTCTTGGCACTAATTCGACAAAGCTTACAAAGATGAGCATCGCTTGGTGGCGTTCCGATGCCCCTTAGAACTAAACAGCCGGTTTCACTTCTCAGGGCCCACTGGTACTCTCACATGTTCAGATTTGGTCGATTACAGGAAAGCATCGAACCCTCTGCGGTTGGATTTTAATAGATGTTGGGTGAACCGAGGATCGGCTCGACATGTCATCCCAGCATATTTTTAGTTCACGGTGATGTCCATATTGCTTGGATTAAAGTGCTCTGATTGCTTTTATCGAGGTTGAATGCCGCATAAAAAGCTTGACGTTCGGATACAAGGTCTCATCCAATCCGTTCCACACAATGCCCAGTGATTCTACCACCACCTTCGACATAGGCATTCTCATTCAATGGCAGTCCGCAGAGACAACTTCTATCATTTGTCTTCCTCTGCTCAACGACAATTCGAAGCTGTCGTGGTCTCTTTGTGGTTGTCGGACGCTGCTGATACAGAACTTTGCTTATGTTGTTGCGGCATCAATTTCTCCTAACCTCACAAACCAAGATTCCACGCAATATTCTCTCATCCAGTCTCAGAAAAAGACTGATCCCTTTGGTGTTGCTCAAGTGCGGAGTACTAAACCACGAGGTGTTCTACGAGTCTTCGCCATGTCTCCCGGTTCCCAAGTTTTTGCGGTGCACACTACGCTTCCAGACCTATCCTACCTCAGTCAGTTGTTCAGCGTCATCGCTGTGGTTAGCATGGACCAAGCGCACACTGGCAGTGACCGGAAAATGTTGCCTTCGATCGATGGCCAGCTGACGTCCACAATAAATCTTGATAGCCTTGCGTTTTCCACCGCGGACAACAGGATCATTTGTTCCAATCCGGAGTGTCGGGTTGTCAACTTGTTCCGTCGTTTTACCAACGATGCCATCAAGCGCGCGAGAGGTTTTTTGGAAGCTCGGGCTGGGGACTTAGATTCCGTGACAAGCACTGGCCTTGTTATTGGTGATAATTTCGCCCAACTGCTCATACTGGAGGCCACGAATCGAAGGTTCGATTTTTTTTGTTGCCCAGCTCGTGTTATCGCTCACTAGTATCTGCACTCAGATCTCTAGTCAATTTCGTTGACCAACCTAGAAAATGGAATTTCTTTCGAGGTACGCATCACGAATGGCAAATCTCTGACTGTTGAATATAAATTTGTGCAACAGGGAAGCCTATACTTGCTCCCGAAGACTTTCCTGCAGACTTTGATACCACATCGATTGCAATGACAGTGCTCGAGCGCGATGATGACTTGGCAAACTCTGTCATGGATGATATGCTACAATATCGTGACCAAAATGGAGTTCTGTTGGTGCGAACGCTATTTTCTCTGCTTCTTACGCTTTAAATGAACATATTCTGCCAATATAGACATACTTCGATCACAGTCGCCCAAGACAAGATCCTGTTGTCTGCATCAACGCCCTTAGCTTTTTCTACTCCCGAAACCGCGGCTCAGACCTCAAGCAGACGTTGTGCTGGGTGCACGATATCCTCCTCCATCGATCATACGCCAACGGGACACGATATTATGAGACAGCCGAGTGCTTCTTATACTTCCTCAGCCGCCTTCTTGTCACTGCTCGTGACGAAGATACACGCGCCCTTTTAGAACCGCCCTTGAAGGAACGGCTGAAGGAGCGCATAGGAGCACCCGGTGATGCAACCGCTCTGTCCATGCGAATTATGGCATGTGCCAATGTGGGCCTACAGGACCGGGTTGACGCGGAACGTCTTTTGCTATTGCAGAGCGATGACGGTGGATGGGATTTGGGATGGATTTATAAATACGGATCAACAGGCATAAAGCTCGGCAATCGCGGACTGACTACAGCCCTAGCGATCAACGCCATACAGGCTTCCTACAGCTATCTCGACTGGAGGATTCACCTGTAAAAGCAACGGCACGTACCTAGCTTTTCCTTCTCTGCACGTTGATGTGATATATCGTCATGTAACAAATCGAATTGTACGTATCCAGTGAGGATAAGCAAGGAACGTGAGTGAAGAGCAATGAGTATTTTGAGACCATACCAGAGGACAATTTTCGTCAACAAAACACAAGAGAATGGCCGCCGCTAACCAGGAATTAATGACCAAGTTGTTTTCAAGCCCGCTAGTGTCCGATAAAATACAATAATGCCCTTATAATCCCTTGTCGGATCCATAGCGATCGTTAATTAAAACAGGTCGCGGAGGTTCAATTGGTGCTCCTAAGGATCCGGGGAGCAAAAAAACCTCTTCCTCTCCAAAGCTTCACCGATGGCCGTTAAAGTATGCAAGAACTAAAAATTCTGTACGAACTCGGCTCTTTGGAATCCGTAGTACGCTCCATCGAGCTCACAGAACCACGTCCGCATATACCGATACTAACACAATAAGTATCACTGTCCCTACGAGAGACCGGTGAGTGTCGCGACTGCTTTCAATAAACGCAGGTGTTTGAATCTCGTTCTGGTGGACGACAGGCTTCGTGACGTCGAAGATTGAGAAGGCTACGAGCAACGACATATTTTGGTGCTGGCATCACTGGCCCCACGACTGGTACTTTGGTATCTTTCCTTCATCAAGATTTGCGAAACTGGACGAATACAGATAAGCGGATCTGCGATTTCTCTCGACAATACGCGCCGAATCCTGCCAAAGAGCCACTTCCATCGTTGGAGAACATGGGTATGTTTGACACAATTTTGACCGTGTTCGCTCGGTGTCTGGTGCAGCTGATTTCGTATCAAACCCAGATACTTGATTCTTTGCTCGGTCGCTTACTCGCCCGCTTTTAGCTGCACGGAAACATTCCTACCCTGCCTTCTTTCGACACATCTTTAGATCACGTGAAATGGTCGCATAGAGAGAGCCCATTCGTTGAACTATGTCTCGCCAAAGTCTGCTAGTAACTATTTCAACAGCTTGGTAAAAACCTGGTCGGAAGGAGAAACAATACTCCGGTCCTCGGATGGCTAGATTTCGTATCATCGGGTGATAGACACCACTCTATGGGACGAGAAGCTCGATCTCAGCGACGTTGATATGGATGTGACACAGCACGCACTTGGGACGTCCTATCTCCGACGCTTGATACATACTCGTGGAAGGCTTCCATAACATGAACGGCAACCAGGATCTTCAGCATAATATCTATGCACTCACACCGTTGTGGCATTTTCCAAGCTATTATATTTCATCGATTTCCTCGCCGGAGCGATCCTCTCCTTCCACATCAACTTCTCTCCGATATCACTGTGTCTACCTGTTTCTCATTGGAACTTCGTCTCCATCGCTTCCATAACCCGTATGCATAGCCGTCACTCGCCACACCTGCTCCGTTAAGCTGCTCCTGATGCTGTTGGCGAAGATGCACGTCCGGGTCGCACAGGAGTACCACGATACGCAAGAAAGCCCCTAGGTACAGTGTCGCCCTACAGTGTCCCAACCCAGCGAAGTTCAGCAATGAGTGGCACATATAGCAAAGCGGGCACCTACACAAGAGTCCATCCGAGCCCCATCATCGCTGCGAACGCACCAGGATTGTGACTACGAGCAGAGTCCGCGCGTTGGCGTTCGAGGACAACCTCAATGAAGGCTGTCGTTCCGAGCGCGGCGAGCAGCAGACGCGTCGCCGCTCCAAGGAACAAACCCCAGATGCCCTTGCCTGCCTCCGCCCCGTACCTATCTGGATCTGAACTCGTTCGCCCCGCGAATTCCTTCGCCTGTACGCTCATAGGCGTGCCATCCGACTGGGATTCTGATTCCACGGCAGAGTCTGGATCGTGTTCGTCGCTGGAGCACCAAGTGCTTATTATGCTGAGCAGACCCAGGAGGGCCGCAAGCGCGCAGAACGTGAGCGCAAGGGCGCGCGCGCGCGATTCTCCTTGTGGGAATGAAATCACGCTGAACTCCCCAGTCTCCGCGGCGGCGATGGGCAGCAGCTGCGCTGAAGGAAATATACCGTCCGGTGCGTCGGGGGCGGCGTTTGGGGGCGTTGTGTTGTTGAGTAGGGGCGAGGCTGGGGAATGGGGACTCGATGTGGGGGCGGCGGGATGCGGGGATGAGTACGCGTCAAGAGTAGCCACGAGGAGTGGAACGCAGAGGGCGATGCGGACGGGGATGATGATCGAGCAGCATGCTGCGCGGATTCTGAGGACGCCGGGTGCCATAGTCGGCGATGGATGTAGGTGTGGATACGTTGGGAATAGGATGGGGGTGCACAGTAGTTGAGGACTAGAGACGGCGGTCGCCTTGGACTCATTCATATGTTGCGCGCAGGCCGCTTGTTCGGCTCGTCTGCGCGCAAACCGAATGTGAAGAACATCTATATCCCGAACGGGCGAACGCACGTCGCTCGACTCCACCGACTATGTCCCAATCTAGTTACAACCCGCCGATCCATTTGGCCGACGCCTCCAAAGCCTCCGTCCTTTCGGGCTCGTGGAAAAACAAACCGACAAAGTCATGCGTTCCCTCCGGTTGCTCCAAGTGTGTGACCTGGCCTTCCCCGGTCCCAACTCCCATATCCCTGGCCATCCTCCTCACCAGGATCCGTATCTGATCCCGAAACATCTCCGCACCCCCAGATACCACCAGCGTACGTGGGAACCCAACAAACGACACCTCCTCCTCCGCGTCCTCGTCGGCATCGTCGCATGCTGGCGAAATGTACCGGTTCCGAAGGCCTTCTGGGCTCAGCAGCGGGCCGAGAAACGCGGTGCGAACGTACAGTGCGCTTGGATGGCTGTGCGCGAGAAGGTAGTCCGAGTCGTAGTTGGCGAACGGCGACCCGCCCGCGAACACGTCCGACCCCGACAAGTCGGCCCACGGCGAAAACAAGAGCATCCCCCCGGGCGGCGGGGGCATCATCTCCTCGTCCTTCTCCCCGTCGGCCACCCAGCCCGCGTTCTCAACGAGGTACCGGACGAGCGCGAGCGCGAGGTTCCCGCCGGCAGAGTCTCCCGCGACCACCACGTCCTCCGCTCGGAACCCGACCTCCCGCACGAGGTAGAGGTAGCCCGCGAGCGCGTCGAGCAGGGCCGCCGGGAACGCGTGCTGCGGCTCGTCCGGCGCCGCGACCGACAGCCTGTACTCCACCGCGAACCCGCGCCACATGCGCACGCGCGTGCGCCTGCAGTGCGCGAGCAGGCTGTGCGTGATGGTCGCGATCGGGTCCTTGGGGCTCGCGGAGAGCCGGATGTAGCCGCCGCCGTGCAGCATGTACAGCACCTTCTCGCCGGGCGCCGCGCGCGCGCCCACGGCGGCTTTGGGCGTGAGCGCGCCGGTGTCGAGGGCGGAGGTCCAGTAGCCTGGGATGCTTGTGGGCGCGACGCGTGCGTTGGATGCCCAGGCGCGTATCTGCGGGGTCAGGGCTGACTGGGGTGCGGGGGAGAGCCAGACGTGGTCGAGGGAGTCGGGGGCGACGGTCAGGTGGTCGCCGAGGCGTTGAAGATGACCGATCCTGGCGCATGGGAGAAGAAGGGGGTCGATCTTTTAGGAGGATAGAGGTGAAACGGCACTGCACGAGACGCACCGCGCGGTCGTGAGCGTTATTCGGCGGAGGACCTGCACCCACACGACACGGCTGAGAGACCATGCCGGACGCGCGCGCCAGGACGGGCGGGCGTTCAATACGAGCCAGAAGGGGATGCGGAGGAGGAGCGTCGTGAGGAGCTCGTAGAGGATATACAGCGCCTTGAGAGGCTGGCGCTGGAACGCGTGGACCTGATTCATTGAGGATCCCAGTGGGGTGACGTGGTGGGTGGCCATGTCGCCCTCGCTCGGGGGAGGTTAAATCTTGATTTCGGAGACAGGTTCAATGGAAACGGGCAGAGCGCAGGCGAAGAGTCGGAGGCGCGGAGCGGCTGGCACATGATTTTCAGGCATGTCTGGGACGTGGACGTGGATCGTTGACGGCGTCTCGAGTGTGTTGCTCGTTTGTTTGGGGAGGAACGATGACATTCCCGGGGAACATGGGGGGCATTACGACACCGTCCCAGGCATGTCGGTTGTGCACGACGCGTAGTCTGTATGCGCGCGCGAATAAAAAAGGCATTGCATGCATCGAACACGCAAGTCGACGACGAGATACCGCGCATGAATCAACAGAAGCACTGACCGCGCCGTGCGAACCGCAATCGACTCCAGCGCGTACACCTGCGAAACAATCCACAGCGCCGAGCCACGTTCCGCGGTCGTTCACATTCGAGCGACCAGAGGGCGGACGGGGGACAATCCGAGCCCCGTGCCGATGCACACGCAGACCTTCCAAGCGCATGTGCGTCGGCTCGTTCATGCTCCCCACCGCGCTCTAGTACTGCCTCACAGCAGTATCCTGGACTCGGAGCTGAACCGGCTAACGGCGCGGCCCCCGGCGCTCCCGCAGGCTCGCGGATCTCACTCACGCGCGGCATCCGCCCGCCACGACCGAGAGCCGAGGCACGCCTCCGTCCACAGCGCCACGCCGCCCACGCCGCCCACATGCGACTGGATTCAAAAGACCATACACAACCTAAACGCACGACCTAAACGCACGACCTAAACGCACGACCTAAACAGCCTCAATACATACATACATACATACATACACACATACATACATACGCGCCGTCCGCGAACGGCTCTATCCGGTGCGCCCGCGCGCCCCCGCACGCTCGCGCTCACGCTCACGCCCACACCCGCCCCTCCACGCGCACCCCCGCCCGGAAGCCCCCAACGCGCGGCGCGACGCCCACCTTCGCATCGCGCCGCTCAACGAGGCCCAGCCGCGCCCAGAACGCGCGCGCCCCCGCGTCCGCGTCCGCATCTGCATCTGCACCCTCACTCTCGCCCTCGCCCTCGCCCTCGCCCTCGCCCTCTGCGTCGAACGCTGCGAGGTGCGCGATCACGAGCATCCCCGCTTTACCAGCGCGCTCTCCGCCGTCCCCTCCCTCTCCACCGCCTTCGTCCGACCCCGCTCCCAAAGCAAAATACGACCCCCCAGCCCCAGCCCCAGCCCCAGCCCCAGCAGCACGCGCATACGCATACGCATGCGCATGCGGCACGAGCGCAGACAGCGCCGCCTGCGCGCGGAGCGCGCGCACGGCGGCGCGCACGAGGCGGGTGGCGAGGCGGTGGCGGCGGTGGGTGGGGGCGACGCCGAGGGTGAGGATGTGGGCTTCGAGGGCGGGGGCGGGGGCGGGGGCGGTCTGGGTAGCGGGGTGGGAGGGCGGTTTGGAGAGGGCGAGGTCGTTTGTGGGTGTGTGGAGGGCTGCGGAGATGAATGCTACGGGGGCGGGGGCGGGGGCGGGGGCTGCGGAGTTGGAGGAGGAGGTGGTGGGGACGGCGACGAGGCAGAGGCGGGTGGGGTGCACGAGGAGCTGGTGGAAGAAGGCGGGCGGGAGGGGGTGCGGGACGAGTGTGCGCTGGGGGCGGGGGCGGGGTGAGTACGAGCACGCGCGTACGCGGGGGCAGGCAGATGGCGGCGGCGACGGCGGCGATGCCGGGGCGGGATGGAAGGGAAGGGAAGGGGGAGAGGGAGAGGGAGAGGACAAGGGAGAGGGAAGGGAGAGGGGAGGAGAGACTTACGTGGAGCTGGCGCACGGCGGGGATGTCGGCGGAGGAGAGGTGGCGGATGATGTACGCCGCGTCTGCGTCTGCGTCTGCGTCTGCGTCGACGGAGACGGGGGAGTAGAGGGGCGAGGGCGGGGCGGAGTCGGCCATGGTGCGCTCGTGCAGACGGGTGACCGCGCGCGACGTCGGTGGGGGAACGCGGGGGTGAGGGTGTGTGTGCGGGGGTGGGGCCAGAGGGAGGAAGGGCCCGCGCTCACAGGCCTGATATATACCCCATCCAAAAGAAAAGGAAAGAAAAGGAAAAGAACAGAAAAGGAAAAGACACTTACATACGCAACGGACCCAGGCCTCACGACTCACGTACGCAGTGACGCAGATGCAGACGCAGACACAAGCGCGCGCGCGCGAGTGTATGAGCAATGATGCGATAACTGGGGAGTGAGCGAGTGAGTGAGGGTGGGGGGGCGTCCCGGGCGCGGGGAGCCGTCATCTTCCGCGTCCGGTGGATTAATTGATGATAAGTTGTGACAGATGGACCGGGTAGATAGACGGGCTGTCGCCTCGCCCAGGCTTGGACTCAGCGGGGCCATTAGTGTGCGTGGGATGGGCGTAGCGTGGGTGGTGGGCGCGCGCTTGGCATGGCCTGGAACTTTAGAGGACGGGGGGGAGGACGGGAGGGACGGGGGTGGGAGCGGGCGTCACGGGCGGTAGGACACAGGCTGGGCTGGGAAGGCTGACGGGGTCGGTCTCTAGGAGGAGAGAGCACGAGCGAGAGCGTGCACGTAGCTCAGCGGTCGCGGCTCGCGTGCAGCGGGGATGGGAGAGTCGACGGCGCGCGCGCGCGAGCGATCACCTGACGACTAGACTTGGGGGCGTGGCTAACGAGGCCGGCAGGTATCGAGCGCGATCGATGGTACAAAGACCGAGCACGGAATACTGTGCTCGTGCGTGCACGTTACCCGATGCGGACGATGGGAGCAAGTTACGATGGGTCTCAAGCGCTCCCAGACCATAAGCACGATCAGCCTGATCAGCGGACGGCCCCAAGCGCGCAGCGCGTGCACGCGCGAAAGCATGTGTTTACGCGGGCGCCAGCCAGCCAGCCAGCCAGCCAGCCACCAGGCGGACCTGCTCGTTATTAGGTTATTACTTGCTACAAGGTGACTTGCGAGGCGCTGGGTTCCTGGCGAAACATGTGCGAGTGGGATCTGGGGGCCGTGGGGCCGTGGGGAGGGGGCGCAGTGACGGAGGGCCATTGGGAGGCGTCGGTGTGATGCGGGGGCCCGCGGGCGGGGTTCGCGAGAAGGGGCGTGGGCGCGGGAGTGATTAATTGGTAGGGGGTGCCATGTTGGGCCGGAGGCTAGTAGGGCGATGTTGACTTGGTAGGGGTGGGGCGTACGGGGACAGGCGAATACGTGGTGGGCGGTCGAGAGCGGGCTGGGTTGCGCTATTTTTGCGCGGGGAAGGGAGCGAGAGAGGCGGCGCGAGGGCCTGATTCGTCGGCGGGTGAGGGTGGCAGCGGGGGTGAGAATAGACGGCGGGGAGGGCCGGGCGAAGGACGGTTCGCAAGGAGCGGATTGGTGGGGAGGATGCTCGCGGCTGGCGTCCAGCGCGAAGGCCTTCGTTCAGGACTGTTTTTCCGAGGATGAAGGGGGGTGAAACGCGCGCGGGTGGGGGTTCTATGACATGTTGAGGGGGGCAAGCGAGATGTGCGAGGGGCTGAAGGTGTCGAGTGCTGAGCCGCTGGGGCCGCCGCCGTGAGCGCGAGTGGAGGACTCGGAGCGTGACGGCGGCTGTGACAGGGATGGGGTTCTCTCGCTGTGGGTCATCAGAGAGCGGCGTGGGGGGCGTTCGTGTAGCTGCGAGTCGCGCTTGCCATCGCCATCACGGGCCGTTCGCGGTGTCCCGCTCGAAGGGTCGGGCAGAAACGGGAGGAGCGACTGGCCCCCGGATTTGGATATCGAATGGAGTGGCTGCGCCGTATAAAGCGTCCCCGGATCCCATCGCCAGCCTCCTGCATTCCCCGCACACAGCCCCGCCTCCGTGCTCCTCTCAAGGTCGGTCCTGCTCTTGCTGCTGTGGCGCTGCGGGGTGCCCGCGCTTATGTACCCCGCACCGCCGCCCCTCTGTCCTCTCTTTCCCACGCCCGTGCTCACCGTCCCTTCTCCCCCCCCCCCCCAGCTGCTCCCGCCCACCATGGTCTTCCCTCTCATGACCCCCTACGTCACCCCCCACATCCTCCACAAGAACTACGCACAGGCCTCCGACAACGAGATCATGTCAAACCGTCCGTCCTTTCTGTCGCTTTTTTTTTCACCCCCCTCTGCTCACGCCCGCACACAGTCATCGGCCGCGATCTCGAGTACTTCTCCCAGGCAGGCTTCGACATGGACAAGATCACTCTCAAGCGCAACGCACCCGTCGCCCTCCTCTACGAAGACGCCATCCGCAACGAGGGCGCCATCATCTCCTCCTCCGGCGCACTCATCAACTTTTCCGGCAAGAAGACCGGCCGCTCCCCCAAAGACAAGCGCATCGTCTACGAGGACACCAGCAAGGACGACATCTGGTGGGGCAGCGTCAACATCAAGATGGACGAGCGTGAGCCCCCCCCCCTCCCCCTCTTCCTCCTCCGATCACGTGCATCCCCCTCTGACTCCCCATCGCCTCCCCAGACACCTTTGAGATCAACCGCGAGCGCGCGATCGACTACCTCAACACCCGCGACAACGTCTACGTCTTTGACGGCTTCGCAGGCGTAAGTCTCTGCCGTTTGCGAGCCCCGTGTGACGCCCTCCTCCCTCCCTCCACCACCGTGTACTGATCCTGGCCGGCCTAGTGGGACCCAAAGTACCGCATCAAGGTCCGGGTCATCTGCGCCCGCGCCTACCACGCCCTCTTCATGGCAAGTCGCCTCCCCGTCCTCCCTCACCCCCACGTGCTCACCGTGATCATTCCGCCGACAGAACAACATGCTCATCCGCCCGACGGAGGAGGAGCTCGCGAACTTTGGCGAGCCCGACTTCATCATCTACAACGCGGGCCAGTTCCCCGCGAACAGGTTCACAAAGGGCATGAGCTCCACCACCTCCGTCGAGATCAACTTCAAGCGCATGGAGATGGTCATCCTCGGCACCGAGTACGCCGGCGAGATGAAGAAGGGCGTCTTCTCCGTCATGGTACGTCGTCTCCCGTGCCCCGTCTCGCAGCACGTCGCCGACGCGCACATATGCGGCAATAGCACTATCTCCAGCCCGTCAAGTTCAACACGCTCTCCCTCCACTCGTCGGCGAACGTCGGCATGGAGAACAACGACGTGACGCTCTTCTTCGGGCTGTCGGGGACGGGCAAGACCACGCTCTCCGCGGACCCGCGCCGGCTGCTCATCGGCGACGACGAGCACGTCTGGTCCGACACGGGCGTGTTCAACATCGAGGGCGGGTGCTACGCCAAGTGCATCAACCTCTCCGCCGAGAAGGAGCCGGAGATCTTCAACGCGATCCGCTTCGGGAGCATCCTCGAGAACGTCGTCTACAACCCCGTCTCGCGCGTGCCCGACTATGACGACGTCGGCATCACGGAGAACACGCGCTGCGCGTACCCGATCGAGTTCATCCCCAACGCGCAGATCCCGTGCGCCGTCGACCGCCAGCCGAGCAACATCATCATGCTCACCTGCGACGCCTTTGGCGTCCTCCCGCCCGTCAGCAAGCTCACCCCCGAGCAGGCCAGCTACCACTTCCTCGCGGGCTACACCTCGTGAGTCTCGCGTGCGCGTAGGCGTCCCGTCGCATACATTGAACTCTCCTCCTCCTCCTCCTCCTCCAGGAAAACCCCCGGCACGGAAGACGGTGTGCTGGAGCCCATCCCCACCTTCTCCACGTGCTACAGCGCGCCCTTTATCGTCCTCCACGTGCGTGTCCCTCCTCGCCTCTCTCTCTGCTAACGTCCTGACCCCCCCGCCCCGCCTTTTCCAGCCCGGCCGCTACGCCTCGATGCTCGCGGAGCGCATGGCGAAGCACAAGGTCGACTGCTGGCTCATCAACACCGGCTGGACGGGCGGCAAATTCGGCACGGGCAAGCGCTGCCCGCTCAAATACACGCGGCGCATCGTCGACGCGGTGCACTCGGGCGAGCTCGCCGCGGCCGAGTACGAGACCTTCGGGACGTTCAACCTCGCGATCCCGACCGCGCTCGAGGGCGTGCCGCGCGACCTGCTGAACCCCGAGCGCGCGTGGGCGGATCGCGCGGCGTTCGAGCGCGAGGTGCGGAAGCTGGGCGTGATGTTTACCCGGGCGTTCAAGAACTACGAGCAGGACGTGGACGTCAAGGTGAAGCTTGCCGGGCCGCAGCTCAAGCCGCAGTAGTCGCGGGCGGGCGGGTGGGGCCCATGGCGTTTTTTTTTTGATCGTTAGACGGGCGGGCGCGAGGGCGCGAGGGTGTGATTGTACGGGTTGGCAGGCACGCGAGCGAGCGCACACACACACACACACATCTAGGTTCATCGTGGTATTATAGCGGATCATCATGTATAGATAGACTATTGCGAACGAGCGAACGAGCGAACGAACGAACGAGCACGAAGGCTGAAGACGGGGCGTACAAAGTGGCGGAGAGAGAAAACGGAGCGCTTGAGAGTGCGTCGCCAGGGTCGCCGCTTTTTGTTCTTGCGGTGCGTGGTGCGTGGTGCGTGGTGCGTGGTGCGTGGTGCGTGGTGCGTTGTGGGGAGAGGCGGCCCTGGCGATTCGAGATCGGAGATCGGAGATCGGGGACGTTCTCGGCTGTTTATCAGGGTGGCGGCGAGAGCTGGCGGGAGACGAACGGGACGGGGCGAAGTGCCAAGTGCCAAATGCTAAGTACCAAGAAGTGCCCAAGCGCTTATGCGCTTATGCATTCACGGCCCAGCGCCGACGAGCGCGACGAGCGCGACGGGCGCGACGGGCGGCCGAGTCGTGGCTCGCGCGCCGACTCGGATACCCGCTGCCTCCCGCTGCCTCCCGCTGCCTCCTGCTGCCTCCCGCTGCCTCCCGCTGCCTCCCGCTGCCTCCCGCTAGATATCACGCCCGAACTCGATTCGATCTCGCGCTCTTGGTTCGTCGGCCGTGGAGCAGTAGTCCGACCATGCAGTAGGAGCGGTAGGATTAGGAGCAGTAGGAGCGGTAGGAGGTGTAGGAGTTGTAGGAGCGGTAGGAGCGGTAGGAGAGGCAGAGCCGACGCTGTAGACGCGGCGGTGCGCGACGTGGACTGGGCCATGAGTGGTAGTAAGAGCAGGAGTAGTGAGTGAGCGGTAGTAGGAGTGTCCGAGTGTCCGAGTGAATGAGGAATGAGGAATGAGCAGATGAGGCGAGGCGAGGCGAGATGGGACACGGCACGGAATAAATAAGTTATGAGGAGGACGCGCGCTATCCGACAACAAAAACACAACACTGTCGACAAAAAACAGAAACAGAGAAAGAGGAAGAAAAAAAACAGAAAAAGCAGCAAGACGCCCGTCGCCACCGCCGTCATCGTCCGTCATCCTAGTCCACGCCCCACCGCCCCGCACACGCATCACCGCTTCTTCGCGCGCGCCCGTGCGGGCGCCTTGCCCCCCCTCGTCTTCTTCGCAGCCGCTGGCGGCGGCTCGATGATCTCGATGTCCGAGTCCGATAGGCTGACGCTGATCGACGCCTTGCGCTTCGCCGCCCGCGCGCCCGAGCTCGCGGACGACGCTGCCGCCTGTCCTGCCGCCTGCTGCTGCAGCGCCTGTGCGCTGTCCTGCTCCACGAGCTCTGTCACTGTTGCCGTCGACGCGGAGCCGCTCGCGCGCGCGTGCGCGGCGGCTGCTGCGGCTGCGACGGCGGGACTTGGCCGGCGCGAGGACGCGGCGGAGAGGCGGCCGGACCCGCGCGAGCGGACGGAGGACGCGGGCGATGGCTTGCGCGAGGACGTACCGGCGGCGGGGCGGCGGGGCATGTCCTGATGCGCGTGGAGCGCGGGGAGGGCGCCGAGCTCGTCCTGCTCCTCGCTGCGCGCGAGGCCGAGGCCGCCGCCGGCGAGGGCGTCGGCCTGCTGGAGGCTGACGCGGGTCTCGCGCCAGTCGCGCGCGAAGATGCTCTCGGTGGACAGGTTGTCGTGGAACGAGCGGAGGGTCGCGTCGAGCAGCGCGGTGTCGTGCGCCGGCGCGGGGACGATCGCGTCGCCGGTCGCGCGCGCGGCGAAGAGCTCGAGGGAGAGCGAGGCCGTGTTCTTCACCACGGCCGTGCGGTGCTCGTCGCTCTGCTTTTCGTCCTTCGCGTCGCCCGCGAGCGGGTCGCCGAGGTTCTCGACCCACTCCCACGGCCGGTTCTGCACCGCTGCGCCGACGACGACGCGGCCCGCTGCATCTCGCGATGCGTAGGCCAGGTCCGCCACGACTTCGTTGGGGCTGCAATACGGCAAGAGGGAGCGTAGGTTCTGGCGATATTCCTCTGGCATGTCGGGGGGAAGGTCCATCATACTGCGTTGGGGGTAATTGCGAAAGAGGTCGGGGGCCGGACTCTTGGTATCGTATGCAATTTCTGTGATACCCCCGTCAATCGGCATGAAAACACTTCCAAAAAAAACTAACATACCGTCGAGAAGGTAACAGTAAGTGTCTAATAAGAGTGGGAATGCAATCGGGTTCAGATGATCGCCTGCACCATGAGCCTGCCAAAGACCAAATGTCAGCCAGTGCCAAGTCATATCGTAATCTCATCATCACTCACCAGCGCAAGATCAAAAACAACCTCGCACATCTTGCCGCTGAGCTGTCGAGTCTTCGGAGTCCATACTCCTCGAAATGCCAAGTCGAACTGTAAAAGGCGGGCCATCAAAATAGCCGCTTGCGTGGCCTGGGCCGGTGTCATCTCAGATTTGGCGGGCGGTTTGGGAGAGAGGATCGATCCAAGAGCCTCAAATTTGTTCATGAGGGTCTCGAAAAAATCGTTTTGCGTTGGTGCGTCCATCGTAGGAAGTTGAAGCGGATCATCTCTGACCGGTTCGACGACATGCGCGAGAAGACGAAGGCGTTCCCCGACCACGTCCAAGGTTTGCTGAGAAGGCACCGATGTAGTCTTCAATATACCCGCAATCGTGTACAGGCCCATGTTGACGAACTGGGAGCAAGGAAGGTCAGAGTAATCCACAGATGACACCCGTAGCGAATACCTTGCTGACGATGGTAGGACCAACGCCTTTGGCCATGTCTGCCACAAAATCCGCTTCTTCCGTCGTCATATGATGGTGCAAAAACTGAGCAATCAATTTATCGACCTTCGTCTTGCCATGGGTATGTGGAGTGCCCAGAGCCAATCGCTCGCCCATCTGCTTCAAGCCAAATTGCACCTCGATCGCTGTGGCTGCAAGCTTCCAAGGACTGAGGAGTGCGGATGTGTCGAGCCATTCGGACGACCCGATGGCTGCGGTATCTGGGGCGGAAGAGTCAGTCGGTGGTCGTAGAGAACCAGATTAAAAGACGAACTCGTGCGGGCGACGTTTAGTATCAACCGTAAAGCGTCCATGAGCGGCTCGACAAGACTCTCATCCAGCGAATCGTACTGCAACCACCGCTCAAACGCGGCACGGACAGCACTTAAATCTCTGTACACCCCTTGTCGGAACTCTGTGATTTCGCACACAGCGTGTCGGATGGAGGACGACAGTTGTCGCAGCTCCTCGGGTATGTGAGGATCGTTCTCCACGAAAACCAGAACGGGAATATTCGAAACGAGCAGCAGAAGATGCGGCTCCGCGCAGACGTCCTGGCGACGAGTACGAATCCTTTGCGACTGTATGAAGTCTGTCGGGGGTATCTCGTCTCCATTGCTCTCAGTCCGCAGCATCAGTCGAGCAAAAATCTCGTGAGCCGCACGAAGGTAAACTTCGGGCGGTTGAGAGATGGCTTGGGTGCCACCGGGAGGAGGAGGATTGAGCGCGCGCTGCCACATCGGGTACACCAGACCCTGGAGGATCGTTGTCGTCGATAGAGCACCCTGCACAGTAAGGTAGAGCAGCGCCACCATGACACAATCCCAAGCTTCGGCATCAATCGCGATGAGCTCTGCAACCCCAGGCCCGCTGAACCAATTCGAGACATGCTCGTCCAAGCCATTCGGCAGATGCTCGTCGATGTGAAGCAAAAACTCAGCATAGAGCAATGCGCGGGCTCTAGCGCCTGCAGCATCCTGCGGCAACTGGGGCTTGATGCGCAGACTTGCGAACGTGTTATCCCACACTCGCCATGCCCAATCGGGCGCAGTACGATACCGGTACCACAAATTGTTGGCGAGTAACTGGGCTGCCCCAGGCCTTAGGTCATTGGGCAACAAGAGTATCTCTTGTAGATGTGTGGGGACCGTTTCGGGATTGCCGTCCGCGGCGCGGAGAGCCTGTGCGTACGGTCCTATTAGTGACCAAATGAAAGCACACACGAAGTACGTACCTGAGCGTAACTCATCATCTCCGACTCGATAACTTTGCGCGAATTGGGATCCAAGTTCCTGCCATTGTCGATCTCTAGCAACAAAGTCAGAAGCACGCGGGAGTGCATGCCCCTAGCCTTGCAGGCACTATTAGCAGCATACAATGCGTTCGCTATTGTCTTCATGACGTTCATGCTTGCCCATATCGAAAGATACCTTCGGATGGTCTCTATCAACATGCCGAGAAGGTCAACGTTGAACGGTGCCAAGTCCAGCATGGCAAGGCTAAGCTGCAAAGATGATCTCAGCATGTACAGTACAAAATGCAAGTGCGATCTGCGCTTACATCCAAGATAGATCCGTAGCACTTGGCCTGGGCCATGAGTTCGACGGCCATGCAAAACGAGCGCACGGCTTGACTTTGAAGAGGAGTAGAGCCTTGAATTTGGTATTGAAGAGGATCCCGGATGCGCCTGACATTCTCACCAGGATCAACAAAAACAAGCATTTCAAAGACACCTTGCAACTCACTCCGGAAGAGTCTTCAGAAGAAGAGGGAGCAACCACTGTCGGACAGTCCTGACTTGTTCATAACGAGGCGATGATAGGAACGTCGTGAGATCGGAATGCCCTGGGCCCATAGGATGCAACATAGGCTGCGGCTCCACTGACTCGATACAAGGGACAAAAGAAGAAAGCCCAACCTCGTCAACACAAGATAAGAGTGACTGCGGGAAATACCCACCAGAAAAGATATCCGGAATCAAGAGCCGGATCTCGCGCCGGATCTCGCGCTCGTTGAGCTCCTCGGGCGTCTCTCGAGCTCGGACGCCATGCAACGTCACCTTGCGCTGATTAACGATCGAGGACGTCGACTTCTGCAAGGGAATCCACCTCAAGAACTCCCGATGCCGCGAACCGTCCTCCTATCCACATCACTAGTTAGTCAGTCTCAAAAGAAAGATCATCGATCATCACAGCGTGAGATGCAAACGTACTGCAGAATGCAATAACCCAGGCTCGCAGCGCGCGATGAGCCTCTGGAAGTATTTCGCGTAGGAGAAAAGCTCTCGCTTCACGAGTCCCCCGAACAGCAATGCGACCGCCTGCAGATTCTCCGGCGCGCCAGCCACAGTCGAGGAGTCGAGCCAGTCAAACAGCAAATCCTGCAGCAGGTCGTCGGGGCAATTATAATCCCGCCGCGTCGCACGATCACCTGCGCGGTCGCACCAGCGCCGCAGGAGGGTTACAGCAGCATAAGGGCGATGGTCTCCGTATTGCAAGGGCGTCACGCTCCATGTCAGGAGCCTATCGACCTTGAGGGCAAACTGGGCATCCGTGGTCGGGGGGTCGAAAAAAGGGAACGTATCGAGATCGGTGTTCACTGATATGGAGTTGAGGTGCTGTTCAAGGCGCCGTTCATGGTTAGTGATGGACGGAACAGTGAGAATGGTGTGTGCAAGCTACCATGACGTCTGTGACAGCCTCCGAAAGACGCGCAAGCACGCGTGGGGGTAGGTTGCGAAAAAGCATCGCCTCGTTGCGCTTCTTGATATCTGCGTGATTTTCGGCGAGGAGGCGGCGAAGAAATATTTCCGTGTGTTCGAAAAGCGTGTCTGGTGTTTCACACGCATCGCCCGCTAGAATATCGCTCAGCAGAGACGAGTGCGCAATCCACATACGGGGGCTGACGAATGCGTTCGGCATGTTGAAGCAACATCTCTGTCAAGATAACACCGTTAATTTATGTGTCTCTACGAGTGATTGGACGAGATACATACTGCGATGAATGTCATTAGGATCTGGCTCAGGTTTGATAGATGCAGCTTTGCGGATGTCGACATAATCTTGGTTCGCTGTCAGCCCATCTGAATGGTATATAGGTTGAGGAGCTCACCTCTGTAATCTTACCGAGACATGCCTCGATTAAAGGGCGCACTAGAGCCCTGCAGGATACAAGACCTTCCATATACTCGTCGACCAACCGTGCGACGAAACTCGCCTGAGCCAGGTTACAGGTGTTCATCTGTAGTACCAGCCACGACAAGAACGTGCGATTATCGACAAGTCCCTCCGAATAGAAGCTGCGCAGCAGATTCAAGCTAGAAGTTCAAACAAACAAAAAATAAGTGATGTTATCAAAACCCCACGAGTGAAGCCAACGTCACCAATACGTGAATCGCGAGATCCAGCGATCGCGTGTCTCAGAGTCAGCGAGAACACCCTTGAAAGTGGATTTGATGTTGAGGCCAGGACGAGGGGCGCTAGGAAGGAGGATTTCGCCGAGCTGCTTCTTCATGTAGCCCGTCACAACGTTTGCCCAATCGACACTATACTGCGTAGGGTCGTACGTCGGCTTATTTCGAAGGCCTGCCTGCATATTGACAGAAATGAATGATATCATTCATCGAGGATAGACACGCGTTTTCAAAAAGATCAGATCCCAGAGTAGGTGTACGATCACAAGCTTACTGACTGTCTCGTTTGCGCCGAACACGCGCAGAAACCATATCGCGCGGGGGATAGCGACATTGTTAACATGTAGGAGATCGAGCAGGTCTTGACCTTTGGCACCATGCGGAACGCTTTTTCCCAATTTACTGAGCGGTACGTCTGGGTTTGCGAGATCGGCGAACCATGCTTGGCGTTTGGCGTCGTTCAAGGTGACTCGTGGAGGCATGCGAAACGACGACGGCCTGCCAAGGTCAACAAAAGTAAAGACATGCATGAAGATAGTTATGTGTATAGATACAGACGGGATGGCTGGGACTGCCTCAGCGCGCCGGGCGAAGATTTGGTTCATCAGGTCTTCAAGACCCGACATGGCATCCTCATGGAGTCTCTTTGTGACCACTTCCTGCGCGGTGAACGTCTCCGCCTGCTCTACAGTAAATTTATGCGTATATAGTGAGGGGTATAGACGTACGGAAACCGTAGCAGGGAGAATCAATCCATTCTTCACATTTGCCTCCGTCAAGATATCGACTTCCTGCCCAGGGCGTGGGGGAAAGTATCCCGTGTATCCTGATATTTGCGCACATGAGAGAGGTCAGTACTCTGTGCAACCGCGACGAGATTTCCGAGACGCGGACGCACCTAGATCGGCCGTAGAGTGTGCCTCTAGCAGCCATGTCGGAGGGCGCGACTCTGATATCTTCAAAGGCGATTGCTTTTCATTTTTGGAGTCGCGCATAGTATTGCCACCATGAGAACAGATCTAAGGGTATCAAGATGGAATGAGAAGGAAGTGTGGGTAATGCGGACGACGACCTCGACGTCTGCGACTCTCGCCGCTCGAATTACAGGGTCCGGGGGACTTCCCCGGTCCTTTTATGTAATGGGACGCCGCGACGGTCTCCTGCTTGGTCCACCACCCGCCGTGCCTCTTCAAGCTCTCTTCCGCGAAGAGGATGCGCCAGTCTGTCGCCTCGTCGCGTTCGTCGCACGTCCCCGGCCAAGCTCCAAATGCAGCAGCGACCGCCCGCCTCACAGAGAAGAAGAAAGAGTTTGAGGCGGTCTCGGCGTTCGATCGTGCGAGCGCGATGTTTCTCAAGCGCATAGAGGGCTTAGCGGACGACTGCGATATCATGGCGGATGCTGGCATGGGCATGTTCTGCTCTAAATGTTTCAGCATTCCTCCAGTTGACGCCGCTGGTGTGTTGCAGTGCATGGACAGGTTTTGGCACAGTGGCCACAGATGTTTCGCATTCTCAACACCTATCGTATGTCGTTCGTTGCCTTTTGCGTTCGAGTCTGACGCGCACGCGTACTGCGCTTTTCAGTTGCGTCTCGAGATCAGCCAACAGAAGACGGCGAAGAAGAACCTGTCCCGCACTCGAGCGGCGAGCGCCTCGTTCGTGTGCCTATCGATGAGCTCCAGCCCTCGGAACCGCGACATTCGTAGTTTCCATTCACGTCCCTCTTCGTGTATCCTCAAATACGCCACGATATTACCGGAAGGAGAAAAAGAAGAATAGCATATAATGTAGAAGGGGTATGTAAGGCAGCTACGACTTCGCACTCGCCACATTTTTCTTCTGTTCCTTCAACTGTGCTATGCGCTGCAAAGCGCCAGTGGCACGGACATCAGCACTTTCACCTCCAGATCAGATACAGCAGACGTGCGAACCTGTTTCCTCTCTTCCTTCCTCCTCGCCATCTCAGCAGCCCTCTCCTCCTTCGTCATGCCCGCAGTGCTGACGGCTACTGGTGGAACTGGCGACGGCGTACGGTTATCCTGGTCCGGCGGCTTCGGAGACGAGGTCCGCGAAGAGTGATGGTTGGAGGAGAGAGGGTGCGGTGGGGAGAGAGTAGTCGTCCGTGAAGATGCTGGCGCGGTCGGTTTTCGTGCTGGTTGGGTGGACAGTCTCGGATAGGACGGTGGTCCTGCGCTCCTTGTCGCTAGGCTTTCGGAGCCGTCCATCGATCCCCAGGGGTCATCGTTGTCTAGATGTATCCAAATGTCAATCACGTATGCGCAAAAGGTCGGTGTGCGGAATTCACCCTGTGCCTGTTCCGACACGTCCTCGAACCCAAGCCCTATAGCGTTAACCTCCTTGCCGTCCGGTGCGCTCGCGAAGGCGCCTGAAAATGGGCATAAGATCACAGAACCTGATGACTTTCGTGTACACTCACTCCAGTCATCCTCGTCCGCATTGACATCCATAAGGTCGCCATCAGCCCAAGAGCCGCTCGTCTCCTCTATAAGCTCAGCTGGAAGGTCGCCAAGCGTGCTCTTGTGACTAGTCAGGCGCATGCCCTTCGGCTTCGTCGGCGCAGAGGACGCGGACGGCGTTGCGGGCGCTGAAACGACAGTCGTAGGGCGGCTGGAAAGCAGCAATCGCGGAGGGGGTATCGAGGATGCGGGAGTGATAGCACTGTGCATGTCCCCGGGCGCAATCTGGCGTTCAGTGATCGATCAATGGACGGACGAAGGCATAAACTTGAACGGTCATGTACCTTCTTCCCGATGGAGGAGATGGCCCAGCCTGCCAGCGCGCCGGCTGCACCAGCAGCGGAACTGGCGAGCGTAGTCTGGCCGTTCGTCGCAGCCGTGAAGGCACCCAGGGGATTGGGCGTATCGTCCCCTGTAAGCGCCGTTTCGGGCTGTACCATAATACATCCATGATCAGCACAGTTCATCTTAAGACGCGACGCAACACGAACCATGGTCGCAGCGTGCACTTCCAGCTTCTTCATGAACATCTCGACCGCTTTCAACGCCTGATCGCGTACGAGCCTATGTCCGCCGTATCAGCGCGCCCACTCGCAAAGCAATAACCAACGGCTCACTTCTCCTTATCGACCACAGCCCCCGCCACCGTGCCCACGACCCGACTTGCGAGCTCTTCGATATCGAAGCAATCGACGCACGCCATGAAGCCCATGACCCCCGCCACGCGCGCGTGCACAAAGTCGTCCTTGAGCGCCTTCGCGAACGCCATGACGAGCACCTTGCGCTTCGTGTGGTACCCGAGCGTCGGGCCCAGCCGCCCGATGAGGATGCATGTGTTCGTGCGGATGGAGGCTTCTGGGTCGGACTGTAGGCGTGCGAGCTGCCGTAGGAGGTCGTTATTCAAGATCCGGTCGTTGAACTGACGTGCCACGGAGCGCCCGGTGAATACGGAGAACAATAGTATGTTGCATATGCGCATACCTTGCCAGAAAGGAGACCTATGGACTTGACGGTGGCCTCACGGATGACTGGGACGGTATCCATGAATCCCGTTTGCTATGCGAAAAAGTAGCAATTGTCTCAAAACCAAGGGTCCCTCCACGAATACAGCTCAAAATCACTGACTAGATGTGGCCACACTTTGTTCGAGACAGTTTGCTTGTCGAGCTTGTCCGCAAACTCGGGCAGGATGTCGAGCAGCGCCATGCGTGTGCCGCGGTCGGGGCTCGCGAAAAGTTTTATGACGGGTTCAATTATGATCTTCGTGTACTCCTCGGGCGAGACGTTTTTTCCGAGCTGGACGGCGAGCGGGAGGATCGTAGACCCCGAGGAGGCCATCGCGGGGTTCGAGACCGTTTCGAGGAGGAACGGCAGGACGAGGTTTGTGGCAAATGTCACAGGGAGCGTCGGCGCAACCTCCTTGATCGTCCTGCGTCGCTACACACATGGATATTCACTCGAAAGATCAGTCTGAGCAAAAAGCCGTACCGGAGGAGTATGACCCGCTCGCCCTCGGACATAAGACCAAAGCTCTCGAACCCTTGGCAGATCTTGAGCAGCCGGTTGTCTTTGAAGAATCCGCCTTCGCCGAGGCTCTCAGCCATTCCCACATCTAGGAACAGCTTCGCGGTCATTCGAGGTTTGGGGTTCGGGTTTAGGAGCTTCTTGAAAGATGGGAATACGGTAGGTGGGATGGCTCCACGAGAAGAGGGTTGGGGGGGTGGATGTGGGGGCTCCATTGTTGACGGTGGAAGAGCAGTTGGGTTAAAAAGGGAGTGGATCAGGAGGGCAAGCGCATACGAGTCTGCAGCAGCGGTTGGATGTCTAGAAAGAATAATTGAGAGGTTAATGCGATGTTGTTGCTGTTATTGTTGTATTTACTGTTTTAGACCAGACCACCCGCTTTTCTGCACCTCTGGAGACGCTATCGAGTCAGCGTAGGGGCGCAAGCCGCCGAAAGTCTAGCATATGATAAGGACGCAATACATTTCGAGAACGATAACTACGTACATAGAGTACTGCAGCCTCGTCGCTTGGGCTGCTCAGTACCTCGAACCCTCCGAGTTTCCACTCGCCAGTCGACGTCAAAAATATGGAATTGACACGCAAGTTCCCATGCGTTGAATTACAAGATTCGTTGACAAACGCCAAAGCCGTCTGCAAGAGCAGGCGGTAAAAGCAAGAACCTACCAGACAACAGATTGGTTGAGACAGACCGTGATCCTATGAAGACCCCACAATAACCAATCTTGCTTGTCTTGGACATTCTTCGTAGATAGATTCTGCAGCTCAGACTGCAGGGGTCGAACGCGTTCGGTCATAATATATACTGTGGTGTCGGTCTCTACTGCATCCATGAATTTGAGGACGTCGGGATGGCGGGTGACACGTAACTTCCTCAGCGCATTTTTCGCCAAAGGAAGTAGACCCTTCAGAGTGGTATCAAACTCGAAGACTGATACAGGCGCGCCGTCATCCTGTTCAGAGAAACCCATATCAGCCTCTACCGCCTAGCGGCACAAGTTATGACCGAACCCTTCTTGTAGCGTCGTAAAGTGCCCAGATCCCGTCGTTCCAAACTCTCTGGCCAAGTGAAAACGGGAGGTTCAAGCCTGATTTCTGCACTAGAGATGAGACAGCCGCAGATCCAAGAGTACGAAGGTAGTCCATCGCCAGAAAAGCACGGGAACGTCCTGGCTACTTCCGCCGTTGCGAACCGCGACTGCGCGTCGCTGTCGAAGAAAGTGTTGAGGAACGAAGACGTGTCTCCGCGCCCGTTAAGCGCCCGTTACAGCTGGATGACGTCACGTGGTTTACAGACTCACTTTGGCCTCGAATGTTTTCTTGTTCTCCCCTCGACGCTTATTCCGTCGCCTCCGTTGTGCTGTCGACGCTGCCCCACTCGAGAACGTTCTGCGCGTCTCTCTCGCTCTCTCGCTTCAAACGGAGGCCGTCATTCATAGCCAGTCTTCCGACAGCTGGCCTCAGACCTCGTCAATCCATCCCTTCCATCACGACAGCCTTCTGCGCCGCACCACACTAACTCTCACTTTACGAATCCTTCGACGCAAGTAATGGCACTCAATGGCACGAATCTAACAGCATCAACATCCCAGCTGCCCCAACCATCCTCCGACTTCATCGACGGGTTCATCCCCTACACAAACGGCTTCGATGAGCCACCAATCGAGATTCTCGAACAAGAACTTCCTGTCGTGCTCGATGGACAAGTACCCCTTGGTGAGGTGGTCTCTAGAGTGGCTCAAGCATGTTACGCGGAATTGAGCGAGATGGCTGAAACGTGAGTCTTTACCTTGCATTCCGTATTCTGTGATGTTGGCACAACCAGCCATGCATGTGGGGAGCATGGCATATTGAATAGGTGAGGCTGACATCTATGTCGCTAGCCTCCCAAGCATGTCAGACAGCGCTCGCAAACGCAAGCTCGCAGACTTCGTAGTGGCTTGGAAGAAACAGATCGTCAAGCTCTACGCAGTAGCAAAATGGTCTCGAGACGCCAATGTTGTTCAGAAATGCATGGTACGTTCCCCTTGTCATCTGTTGCCAAGGCTCAACCCATCACATTCTGTTTCAGAACATTACGGCATTCCTCATGAATCAAAATCGACAATTTGAAGATGTAATCGAGGGCTTGAAATACGCAAAATCCAGTCTGGACCCTGCCAGGTTTGAGACGTGTCTCATTCGCCATGCAGCGTATTTTATGACCCCGTATTTGCTAGGCTGCGAAATCATGACCTTCTTACGTCTTTGGACGTACTTACGACGGGATCGTATCGGCGGCTACCTACTGGAATCAAGGTTTCTACACCTCCTTCAGTGACAATGGCTAGCAAATTGACATAGCAGAGTAGAAGGCCATAGTGCCACCTACCCCTCTGACTGACGAGCAGGTCGCGAAAACGTTATCAGACATCGAGTCGCTCATCCGATACCGTCTGCGAATGCGGGAAATCATACCCATCGAGATGTCCAAATATCGAATACGTCTGTATGATTTCACGGCACATCGCAGCTTGTTCTAAAGACGTGTCCTTGATCAGATGATGGCCGAGTCTTTTTTCGAGTGCCAAAGTTCTTTGAGATGTCGTTATGCCTCCGCGGAGGCAACGAGGACGATGGCTGGTTTTTCGTCCATGTCGAATTTCTTTTCAATGTAGGCGGTGACCCAACAGGGATGCAAGGTAAGCTGGATCCGTTCAACCTTTTCTGCGTCATCTCGATCATATCTTACTTCGCAGAGTTTCCTCAAAAGCCCACTGGAGTTCTCAAACGCCATATCACTGACGAAGCAGACGCTCGCCTAGCGTACTACCTTCCCCTCCCTGCTGATCTGCCACCACCTCCTCCCGGCGTCAACCTTCCGCCAGTACCCCATCTTCCCGAAGGGACAGTCGACGCACCTCTCGTCCGAGTATTCAATTTTCTCCGTGAGTACTGCAAGAGTCCCATGACTGGCCGAGTGAAGCATCAGCCATCGCTAACCCTGAGCAGAGATGATGTCCATGTCGTATCAATTGGAGATCCTATGGTACCAGGTAAGCGCTTTGTAGATAGTTGCAAACGTAGATAGGAGCCAATCGTAGACTCTAGGCAGAGCGCATGCGCTCCCTCGGCTGGGCTGACTTCCTCACAGTCGAAATGAGTCGAGATCGCAAGACGCTCACAGTCAGCTACTGGATGTAAGTCCGCTACACAAGCTCCTTTATACACTCACGTAACGTAAGTTATCCTCTTTTTGGTTCTCGATAGTCGCAAGCCCCCGCCTATGATGCGCACCAAGGTCCCATTGTTAGGCGGGACTGTCAGCATCGCGCTGATGTCCACCCCTGGCCCACGACGCTCGCCAACGGCCCGCGTACTTGCCGAGCTGCAAGAAAAATCGAAGATGTCTAGTTCAAGCAAACGACCGTCAGATCCCGTCGAGGGCATGCAGTGGCACGTTAAATGGCAACCAGAACCAGGCGCGTTGGGGGTCAAGATATTACCTGATGACGGGCTCTTGGCCGACGGCGAAGTAGCGGTTGTAAGTTTCAGACCTTTTCATTGCGCTCTCACGAAAACCCATCAGTATGTGTCCGATTGCAGGATGCCAGCGATCTGGATTTCGAGCGACTGCTGAGGCAGGTCATCGAGAAGCACACACGGGCAATTTTCAGAGTGCTGTACATGCGACTCCAACGGGGCCCCGTCTTCTCTGTACCAAATGCAGTCACCGTTTCTGAAATCGGTAAGGTGTTGTCTTGTATCCGTTTTTTCGCCATGGCTGAGTCATAGCTGCTACGTGATCAGATGGCCATATCGCTTTGAACGTGCATCTCTGTGCGGACGAACACATTGTTGTGACCATCGACCCGCGCACTGGGCGACTCAACGCGCGCGACATCGGTGATATCAGTGCGACGGGGCGTGGTCCACGGTTCGCTGCCTTCTCTAAAAATCTTAACGAAGATTCGAGCATACTGCTTGAAGCACTCATGCGGCTTCGCATCCTCGTACGTCTAGTGATAGTATTATCTGCATGCATAAGGTCTCATCGTGTGTAGACAATCATCTCGCTTGCGGAGCAAAAGGCTACCTATCTTGGTCTGCAGACTCACCGAAACAAGAACTTCCCCAACGAGGGTACGTCCGGATCTTGTCTCACAATTGTCGCTGGTAGCGTCTGAAATAGTACATCCCAGAGTTGGTGAAACTAGGCCCTTCAGCCCGTGGCTATCTATTCATCAAACTGACCCCCTTCCCCAATCACCATCTGGTGCTCGTCGTCATGGACGACGACTTCCGGTACGCGCTGATCAGTGTCAAGGCTGTCTTGAAAGGCATGTACCAGAAACTCGTCATGGAGGACATCGGGTGGTTGAACGTAGAGCGGATATGTGCGCATGGGCGAGAGGTTGACATTGCTGAGAACGAGGTCAGTTTGGGGAAGCGGAAGAGGGACGCGGGAATGGACAGCAAGGCATCCACGAAGTAAATATAACAACATCTCTAACTCCCGCATCCATGGTATTGAAAACACGCATCTCCAGGTTCAAGTTGGAAACACAGGTCCTTCGAGAGCTCTATGCCTACTGTTGGTAAGTCTTTATGTTGCTCATTCGATTTAATCTTCACTGACATACTGACTACAGCGCGCGGGTTGCACACACTAAGGTCGAACAGCAATTCAAAGCGCGAGGGATACCTTACAATCATATCTACCCATCTTCCCCCGCACTGACTCCTTCCCTGCCTGCTTCCCTGGCACACCTACATTCAGCACTTTCACACAAGATCCCCGCCCTATGCGTCAAGTCCTCCGACATCCTCTCAGGATCACCTGCCTTTGAAGCTGCTATGCCCAATATCCGCGTCATACCACTGAGCTGGTGGTCCGTTTCCGCGTCCGCCGGGGTCGACACGAGCATGAGCCTGGACGCAGGTATGACGGGGCTGGATGGGGCTGAACGCCCGCCACAGGTCGTCACCTGTGTGAAGCTGAAGTACGTGCAGCAGCCAGTCGGGCGCCGCGCGCGGCTGGGTAAAGGCGTGATCAGGCCATCGAAACGGATCGTGTACGACGCGAATGAGGCGGTAGTGTGTTTCTTGTCCGAGAAAGTGGAGGGCTGTGTGGATGAGTTTTTGGAGGAGTGGGCGAGCGTGTCGAAGATCGTCGTGATTGCGCGAGAAGGTGTGTCTTTCTTTCGACCGTTTTCTAATGTAGCTGTTGACATCCACATGTTATCTCATTCCTTTTCCACGCCTCTAGTGGCTGAGATGGCGAAAGAGAAACGGTGGGAGGATGTCCGGATACTGTCCTTTGATCTTCAAACCATCGAGTTCGCTTACGCATCTGTAAGCCCTTGACATGCGAATATCTTCGATCCAAGGGCTTATTCTTTTCTTTCAGGACTACACGGTCTCGATCACCTGCACAGATCAGCTCAGCGCGACCGGCGGAAGCTATAATCTCCACTTCTCGCGCCAACTCCCTCCCTCCCCAATCAACGCTTCCGGCCCTTCTATCGCCTCCGGCGGCGCCCTCAACAGCCATTCATATACTTCAACATCTAACTCGTTTGACGACCTGTTCGATGCGCAGTCGCCTTCGAGTGGTCGTGCATTCAACCCGCACTCGGACGCTGTATCGTTCCTACGGCACATCTTGCGGCAAGGAAAGCTGTCGGCAACGCTACCGACGCTCGTAGCGCTCCTGCGAGATACGGTACCCGTCGTGGAAGTCATTGAAGAAATCCGTGCGTGGGCAGAACAGAGAAATAGTCGTGTTGAAAGCGCGGCGGGTGCAGGAGCGCCTCATGGCGGAAACGAGGTCGACGTGGACGCGTTTCCGAAGGCCGCGGGGTGGTGGCGCGTGCAGTTTTCAGTCACCCCTAGTGCCGCATCAGCTCCGGCTTCGGGTGTGATGAGGCAGCGGTATGGGCTTGATATGCGGCTGATGAAAGGCGAGCGTGTGGCAATGCTCGATGCTGCACGCTCGCTGTTCCTTCCTTTCTCGTCTGCCGCTTCTTCGACAACCGCGCCCGCCAGCTCCTCGTCGCGGCCAGGCGCACTCGGCGCGCTCGTGCTACAGCCCATTCCGGGCTTCCAGCAAATAGTGGAGCACGCGCTGCGGGACATGAAGGGCGCGCGGATCGCGGTCGTGGATGTCGCGGTCGTGTGTGCGGTGAAGGATTTGCGGGCGGTGGGGCGACGGGTTTGGGAGGCCGTATGCAGGGAGCTGGGAACAGGTGCAAGTGCAAGTGCAGGTGCAAGTGCAGGTACAGCGGCTGGTGCAGTTGGGGGCATAGGAATGAGCCCGGGAAAAGCGAAGGCTAAGGGGACAGTCAGAGCTGGTGCCATTCCAATGCCCATACCGGTGGGGAGTCAGGTTGGGTGAGGAGAAGGTTCGAGAGAGGTTCGAGCAGGGGTGCGCGTATCTTCTTGGGCTCACACGTGCATATATTATCTACTTTTCCTTTTGTTTTCTGGGCCTTCTATCTCACGACGGAAACTGACTTGTCCATCTTGAGTCGACTACCTCTATGCAGTGCGCGCGAGAGCACTGCGGTTGTCCTAGGCTGCGTCCACAATGTACAGAAACGCACGCCTGGTCCAACTTTGCTCAGCTACCTTGTGCCAAATTCATCAGATAATGTATTTCAATAGCTCGATTGAAGCTTGCACAAGGAAGGTCATGATTGATATAACAGAGATAATAGCCAGAGTCTGTATATGATGATAAAAAAATCGCAAAACAGGTCTCGTAGCCCCTTTTCGAAAACAACTTCATGGGATAGCCCCCCCTGGATGACTGTTAAATACCACATGGTCGTTCGCGGCGCCACGTAGCCCGGTGTCTCCCGACCTCCTCGCCCACTATCGTGCCTCCGATAAAATATTTCTACTGTCCCCGAACAGATCCATGTCGTCTTGATCTTATGGGCTTGCGGAATCATCTCTTGCTCTCGCTCTAAATCAACCTGCTCTTCAGAATCTTCACATGCATTGCAGCGCGTTCCAATAGCTCAGAATTGAAATACTCGTTTATCTGGGTTTTGTACGAAGTGTCTGAACGGCGATCGTTTGAAGGGACCTCTCGACTCTGTGACCACCATGCCAGCGGCTCAGCATAATTCGTGGTATTTGATCCCTGCGAGAGCATCTCTTCGCGTATTACTAGCTTGTTTATCCATGACATGCTCTGAAGCAATCGCATCCTCACGACACAAGTCACGCTTCAGTTATTGTGGTCTATCCGAGTATGCCTCCCTGGTACGTCTCTAGTCCGTCGTCTTAAGACGGCCATACTGTCGGTGGCAACGCAGTAGATCGCTTCCAGAGTTCAGATATCAAAACTCGTAACCGTTTGTCCCTTTCTGAGGCTGGAATAATTCTTAGTTGTCAGCACTGCGATGCCCTCTGCGAGCACATATTCCGGTACTATGGGTCCTCCGTGCAGTCAACGTCAAGGGGAATGTCTATGAGAATACCGCGCGGTTCCAGCCGAACTTTACAAAGATGACTGCTCGGGGTGTCTCTGTTTACGTTCATATGTCTTCCATTCTTCCAGGCTCAATTGAATCAACGTACGGCAGGCGTTGTATCACGACTCATCTCGCAGACAAGACTGTAAGTCAGGAACGGACTAACGACTTCTCTTCTCTTCTGCAGCATTTGATAGACGTCAAGCATCGAGATCAAGCCGACGCGAGGACCCGTGATGATAGATTGCAAGCAACAAAACGAACGACTATCCGATTCAAACGGAAAAGCAAAGATTGACAGAACCCAATCACGGTCTCAAAGCGATTTATCTGCACATGACGCGCCCGCCTACCCTATTGCGAACCCGACAGGGTGTACTGGCGCGTCTTTGTCTGTTCCCCGTTCAGAGACCAAGGTTGATGGGCGAGCAGCCAACAGTGACTAGGCCATTCTAAGGAGCGAACGGCCGCTCGTCAGCAGCGTACACGGGGCGCCGACCATCGAAAAGGGCGTAAGCACTCACGAAAGTGTTACCAGTGCAGCAGACAGGCTGCTGGACGCAGTTGGCGCCAGAGCCGACGCCGATGACGGTGATTGGGGTGCACTGGATGCCGATGGGGATGTCAATGCCCCCAAGAACCACGCCGAGCAGGCCGAGGAGGAGAGACGTGACGGGGTCGCTGGACTGCAGTTCCAAACGACATTTTCGGTAAGACTAGGATCGATGCGGATACGGCGCTGGTACTGACCGACTGGACGCTGTTGCAGCACTGCAGGGTGCCGGTGTTGCACTGGCCGTCACGAGCGATGAGCGACTCGGAGGACGGAGTGGGGGTGGACGAAACCATCAGCGCGAGGCCGAGGAAGAAGAAGACGAAGAGGGTGGAGATGCGGGCGAACATGATGAGTCGAGCGAAGAGATAGCTGGTGAGTGAACGAGGGAAGTATAGCACTTAGGAGCTGGGGAATCTTGCAGGATTTCTGAAGGGATTTTATACCAGATTTCGAGTTACGAAACCGGAGCGGTGCTTCTCAATCCTCGGCGCCGACTCGACGCCTGTGCCTGCACGAAGACATTCATCGATCCCTTGTTATGCCCGCCGTCACGGGATACAAACCAAGAACCCAAGGACGCGTCGCGCGCACCATGCTCCCTTTCATCATTTCCGCGGCTGCGCGGGTCCCGTTATGCCTGTACAAGAGGACGCGTCGGTGTTTCAAGGAACGCGGCCATGGAACGGTGGATCGGCTAACTAGACCAATGGTTCGATGCAATACGTATTTGTAGGGGTAAGTGGTTCTCCGAAAACATTTTCAGCACGATACATATATACTCCGCCACGACGAGAGACTAGTTGTGGACCCTTCTGACTTTTCCGTTTGTTTGAAGCGTTGTTGTTGCTGACATTGGGATGTCAAGTCGGGCACATGACCAGTTGAGGCGGGAGACAATGACATCACCGCTCGCGCACGACGTCATTGCACGCCCGCCAGCCCACGCCTGAAAAGCACGGTGCCCAGCCCTCGCTATACCTTTCACACACGCTCTCGTGCCCACAACAACAGCGAACAACAGATTTTGCTCATCACCACCACCAGTATTCCAAAGTGCGTGCCGCAGGTTGACTACACAACACAACACAAACAACAACCAAATACAGTCGACTTGTCCTCGGTATCATGAACCGCACGTCGCTCACCCTTGCCTGCCTCGCCCGACGTGCCCGAGGAATCCCCACGGTGACGACCACGCCCGCCTTTGCGCTCGCACGGACCATCTCTTCCACCACTAGGCGCTGCGTCGTCGCCCCCGACCCCACCAAACCCAGCACCAACCAGCCCGAGCTACCGCGCAAAGGCGGGAATAGTACGCTGTTGTACCTCGTTGGGGGACTTGGCCTCGCCGGCGGTGTGTGGTACTACTATACCCAGGCAGAGGATGCGCGGCTCGACCGTCAGAGGGCAGAGTTCGCGGTGCACGAGCGTGTACGGAAGCTGCAGGAGAGGATAGAAGGTCAGGCGCAGGTGGTCAGGGACAAGACGGAAGTTGCTAGGGGAAGGGTTGAGGGCGCGGTGAAGGACGCGCAGGGGAAGTATGAAGAGGTCAGAGATGCAGGCAAAGAGAAGCTGAGGGATGCGAGGGACAGAGTCGATGGGGCCGTGGAGGACGGGCGGGGCAGGGTGGAAGATGGCAGAAAGGAGGTGGAAAGAAGGGTAGGCGAGGCGAAGGACAGCGCGCGTGAGTGAAAACCAATCTCGCGCCATTATACAACACCTTCACCGATCTGATCGAAATCTCCATATACCTCACTTCATGGTCAACAGAAAATAAAGCAGACGACGCAAAGCGCGGCTGGTTCAGCTGGCTTGGATGGGGCAAGCAAGCTGCGCAGGACGTGGTGGATGATTTGAAGCGGCGAGCAGGTGAGACGGAGGACGCGTTTGTGAAGCGGCTCGAGGAGGCAAAACGGCGGGCCGCAGAAAAGGGCGAGGACGTGCGCCGCAAGGCCAACGAGACCGAGGAGGACTTCAGACGTCGGATCGAGAACGCGCTCAGACGGCCATGAGCGACGCCTTGGTCCCGTGCATCTCGGAAAGGTCAGGAGGTTATCACGAAGCTTGAGCTGGGATGTCTTCCATGTGGGAAACCACTCAAGTACATACATGCGCCGATGGCTTGGGATGTGAAGGATGCCACCTGTACTCAAATTGGTTGTATTGTATTCCGCCTGTCAGGGCTTCAGCTCGCTCTCGTTCAAGTGCGATGGCTGTCCATCTCGCTGTCCTGCAAAGTAGATTTGATCGAGGCTGCCAAGATATGTGCAATAATGGACCGAGCCAGTGTGTCTGCCCCCCACTCACTACAACACTTTTTGCAGTGAATAGAGCGTGCACATTATCACATGCTTTATTGCAATCTAGGGACGACGCGGATCGCGATCGCTGAGAGCTATGAACGAGCTTCGCGGGCGGCCCTTCCCGCTGTGTGTACATCTGCTTCCGCCGCCCACCAATCGCCACCTCAAGTCCGACAGAGATTGGAAGCGCGTCCATCAGTGTTCCCGCTTGTCCAATGACCCTGTGCTAGTGGGGCAAAACATCCTTGGCACGGATGTACAGCGTGAGAATGTAAAACCAGAGACGTCGGGAATTTGAATGATAGGAGATTCAATTTTGGCCCGGGTCGAGCCAACGTAATTTCCGCGGCTACGAGGCAGGTGAGCGGGTCGTAAAATGAGGCTGGAAAATCACAGCAAAACCGATACTCATCGGTTCGAGTCGAACCGACAGATGATGGGCACGTGATACGCCGTCGAGGACTGGCTATGGCAGATGCGGCGTTCTGCGGCATCCGACGCTCATACCAAGTCTAGCAGCGCACTGGCGCTCGACGGTGGCACGAGAGTGCGACGCAACGTCAATGGGACATGGTTTTGTGACGAGGAGTTAGCCAAAGCTTGTGTCCGATGGGAGCCTCTTGCTGATCCACAGGCGTCGACTGGCGGTGCTCTATGCTTGGAACCTCGAGCTTGAAAAATATAAAGCCTCGTCAGAAGGGTGCAGGATCCTCCAGTTCATAGCTCTCAGTTGCTTGAATTACCTCGCTCACTCTTTAGCACTCTCTTCGCTCGACTTTCCGTCGTCAAACACATTCGCTTAACATGTTCGCCCGCATCTCCAGCATCTCCGCCGTCTTCTTCCTCGGCTTCGCGCTGATGGTCTCCGCTACCCCCACCCCGTCCCCGGAGATGCTCGCCGCTCGCGGTGGCCAGTGCAACACTGGCCCCCTGCAGTGCTGCAACTCTGTCCAGCAGGTGCGTGTTCAACAGTGCTCTCGAACTGCCTAGCCTGAATACCGCAAATTGACATGTTTTTCGGAATTATTGCTTCTCTGCTGACAGGCCGACGCTCCCGGGGCTGCACAGCTCTTGAAGACACTTGGTGTCGTCGTCCAAGGCACGACCACCATGGTTGGCATCAATTGCAGCCCGATCCCCATCCTCGGTGCGGCCACGGGCACCAAATGCACCCAACAGCCTGTCTGCTGCGAAAACAACAACTACGTGAGTGCTTGCATCGGTGCCGATCGATATTCCGGTACCACGACTGAACCTGGCTGCCCTCTTTCTCGGACAGAACGGCTTGGTCAACATCGGCTGCTCGCCCATCAACGGCGACCTCTGAGTGGGGTGGGAGCGAAGACGCGCTTGCCCATCTCTGCCGGGATCGCAGTAGGGGAGGGCGAGTTTACGTTACCGCACGCGTTGCAGGCGAAGGGGTCGATTCAGGAAGACTTTGGACACTGTCGATTACTCTTGTTCTGTTGGAGTTGGATAGTCATACGTTTCTGTGCTTTGCATATAATCACAATTGATAATTATGTTGTATTCGTCGCATGCATCCGTAATCCGAGATAGATCTAATAAATAAGGGCGAGATCGAGGACGTGCTCATTAGTTAGTCAATTGTTTGCGAGTATCGTGAGATGTCACCTTTCGCGCGAGTGATGCTCTGAAGAGACTGTGGGATCCATGTCCAAGTGAGGCATCATTGGGTCTTCAGCTGATCACCACAACAGATTCACTTGAATGAAACTGATCACCACGACAGATTCACTTGAATGACAGGCTGCGAGCGATCTCTTACCGCCCCATTTTGCACGCACGAACATGTTACAGAAGAAACCGGCGGCACAAGATAAGAAAACCTACATGCTAAACTTGTACAACGTCTATTCATACAGGGAAGCAACGCGACTTTACCGAGAAATTGTGACATATGTGGCCAACGAGCCGTACATTCCAACGCAAAATTGTTGGGAATGCAGCTAAGATGCCAATGTCTCAGGCTGCATTCTCATTGCGCCTGTTGAATTCGAATGGACCGCCATACGAGTCTTCCATGTGGGCGTAGACGTCCTGAGATGTGTCGAACACGGCCAGACATTTCCAGCAGAGGTGCCTTCCGCAGCTACCGCCGCACATCAAACCAAGAAGTATCAGCGAGTTGTACGTCTGCTCGAATCCAAACGGCATTTCGAGCAAAAACGGAGTGGAATGGAATGGTATAAGGTGGAAGAAGGTAAAAGGGACGTACCGGCACTCGATATGGTTGCAGCCATCGATGCGCTCTATCGGAATGCCACACGCTGGACAGTGTTTAACTCCATTTGTGTCCGCCCACACGGAGAATAAACGGTCGTTCTCTCTATCCCGTGCGCCTGCAAGCTCGCTACAGCTGAGCCCTTCATGTGCCTCATCATGGCACGCCGTGCAAACCGTCGCGAAGCAGGACGGGCACTCGGCAAACGCCGCGGCGCTATTGGTGCCCTTTGGGGTTGCGCGGTAAATCTGGGTGCAGTCCGGCGTCTTGCAGTACTTCAGCTCATCGGCGTGGCGGTCAAGGTGATTGAGAAACGACGCGCGGAGGAGGGCATCGAACGCGTGATATGCGCGCACGAAGCGGCGGATGACGGGAATCGGGATGGGCGAGCGGCACTGCGTGGCATCGCCCATGCAGACAAGGGGGAAGGCTGAGCGCGATTGTGCAGTCGTGAGGTAGTGCCGCAGGCAGCTTATGCAGTAGGCGTGCCCGCAAGGGAGGCGTTCGGGATGCACAGGCATTTCTGAGCACACAGGGCATGGCTGGGTGTCGCACAAATTGCCCGCTGTCGCGCTCGACGATGAATGGGCCAGCGACTCCGCGATCAGGCCAGTGAGCACGTGGCGAGCGTCGTCTCCGCCGCGGAGTATTATCGTGGGGGGTTTCGTCGAGGTATCGAGGTTGGCCATGCCCTCGCCGAGAGTCTCGTTCAAGACTCCCATTCCCTTCTTCATGAAGAAACTGACAGATTTGCGTTTCAATGTGACAACCAATCCGAGTGTCGCGAGGCGCTCCACTTCGTGCGCAACGAGATACGTCGCTTCCTTGACTGCAGCATCGTCGCCGCACATGCGGATCGTTTTCGATCTGACATCAACAACGACGAATGCATGGGTGCGCGCGAAGACATCCTGGAAGAAGCGATGCGCCTCGGGTGTGGCGAAAGCAGGATGCCAGAAAGCGAGTGGGGTGCCTTCCGCCAGTGACTGGACACGGACGAGAAGGGCGCCTACGGCGCGCTTGTCATTACCCATAACATGCATGAGCACATGCACAGCCCCTTCGTCGCCTAGTACACGCACGGATGCTGCAGCATTGTTCACCGTGTTATCAACGAGTGCATTCCACATGCGATGTTGGGCATCGTACTGCTGTGCCAGCACCTTTCGACTGTAGGTGAACATGCGATCGGACCCTGAGACCTCGCGCTTAGACATAGTGCTAGCTAAATTAGCATTCGAGTGAGCAACTTCAATGGAAGATTCCCTAGAGTCGATCTTCTCGACGGCAGCATTCAAATGTGTGAAATGCTGCGGGGAACCAAGGCGGGACTCAAAGCCGGTAACGATGAGTTGCACGCTCAGACCTGGCCCAAATGTGACTGTTGTGGAGCCCAGCATGACGCGTTCAAGGGTCGAATTAGTGTTTCTGTCTTCATCGGCACCCATGGTTGCAGATTTGGATGCAAAACCAGCAAGGTAAGAGGGCTTGCATTCGATGCGAAGAAAGGATCGATGCGGATGAGGGCGGCCATAAAGCACAACATCATGGTCCTACGCCTATGGGATTAGTCGTCGATGTTGAAATCAAAATCAAAGGGCATACTGACATCTACATCGGCGTGATATAGTGCGTTGTCTGTGATCCAAACGTCGGTCGTATTTGGGTCGTACGCGATGCCAGGTATATCGAGATCAGATTGTGGGGTGGGATGGAGGAGATCCTGCCGAGAAGATGTGTGAAGAAGGGTGGGGTAGGCTGAGACTATTTGGCTCACGACAGCCGGAGGTGGCTGATTTCTAGCTTGTTGCTGTTGGCCGTTTTAAGTCTACCTTGTTAGAACTAGAGAAAAATATAGCACGTACTGGACGCCACATGCGAAAATGCAGACCTTGAGAGACCTTGAGACGACCAGTGAGAAGATGCATTGATGCTCACGGATCGTGAACGTACGGACTAGGCAGATATTTCTAGCAATGTTAGAGAACGGCAAATGTGGTGTTGTGTAGGTGAGAGGGATTTGCACCTCGAGGTGTGAAGGAGGGAATATGGTATGGATCCTAGTGCACCGCAATGAGGCTGTGGAGGCAAAGGGGTGCAGCATGCACCCCTTCAAATATGGATAGGTACTGTAGTGTCCACAGCCACCAGACGAACCTGCGAATTCAAAGACACCAGTAACTTAATTTCCATGTGAATAGTATAGGAGAGACAGCGAAAGTACAACGTACTTTGATATATAGCTAGGGTGGGTGGTGCGAGTGTATTTGCAAATGGTGAGGGGTGGTCCAAATTCAGCAGCGAGGCAAGACACCCCCATTTCGAGTCAACTCGTGTCCTCCTTGCGGTTCATAGCTTCAAAGCGCGCAGGCCGGTGCGATGCACAGCTCTTAAATCTGTGTTCTCTCTTCACAACATCACATGACGGTGAACGATCACATAGAACATGTTCTGTAGAACATCGATTGGACTATGGCTGCGCTGTGGACGGCGGTTCTGCGTCTTTTCGCATGCCTTTTACATAAATGACCTGTAGGCTCTGAAAAGTGAGAAAGTGATGAATAGACGATGCATGATATGGACGGCGGTTTTGTGTCCTTTCGCACATCTGCTACCTAGGTGACCTGTAAACTTTGAGAAGTGAGGAAGGCATAGATAGAATAGACAGTTCATTAGCGTATATCTACCAATCAAATTTGAGACCGTCCTGCATGCTGTACAGCACCTAAGTTGGTCAGGACTGAATATGGAAGGAAAGCACTGGTACGGAGAAATATCGTGAAAACAAGCACTGATTGGGCTCCCATGCTTCGACATGTCTATAACGTACACCTAAAAGTGTTAATGTTTCTATGCCTCCAGAATTACGAGCTCCAGAGGTATTCTTGCAAGGCTGGGGAGGTTAGGCGGTGTAGAATAGACGTTGTAACTGCAAGATTATCGGGCCGGCAGCATTTTGTCCACCGTGATGGACGTACCGTAATCGGGTCATGGCACCGCCAGTCCAGTGCTGAGCGCGACACAGCACACAGGATGGATGTAGCACACTGCAATCCGATCACTGAGTTAACAACGAATGACGGTGGTCATAACATAACAATCGCACTTCAGAGCAGATAGAAGGTTGTAAGCTATATATAGTTGTCACCTCGTATCTCTCCACCTTCAGATATAATTAAATCAGACAAATTAGACATACCGTGAGTCTCCTTGTGTCGATACAGTATGTACCCACACCAATAAATAACATAGAGAGACTGGGGACAGAGATAAGAGAGAAGAACATTTCGATTTTGAGGAAAGCACAAGGCCTAGAAGTTAGGCAAGTCTGGCGAGCGAGGAATGCCGGGCGTTGAGGATACCATGTCCTCCCCTGTCATAGGCTGTTAGTCCTGCCCAAGGACATAAAGTTCATTCCAGCTCACCAATGTCCGACTTTTCCCCGCCAGTTTTCTCCGCACTGATGAACATCGGCACGCTAGCATTCGCATCACTCGGTACGCCGCGCGTTGAGCTGAGGTCGACCGTGCCGCCAGTTCCGGTGGTCGATCGCGCGGCGAGAGAACGCACAGCAAAATGCATCGAGCGGTTTCCCGTCGTCGTGTGTGTGGCTGCGCCATGGGGAGCATGGCCGTGGAACGGCAGGCCGTCCGCAATCTCCTCGCTACGTGCCCACGAGCCGGCCCAGATACTGGCGAAGACGACAAGAATGACGGAGATGTTGGTGTTGACGAGCACGATGTCGTTCGTCACTTCTTGGTCCGTTTCTCTGTACAAAGTAATGATCTGAATAAGAGAAAAGAGGGCGGGGACGACGAAGTTGGTGGTGGCGATGTAGAAAAGAACTTTGAGTCGATAGCCGAAGGAGACTAATTGTGTGTTATAACCGGCATGAGCAAAGGTCAGGTAGTATAAGGAGGGTAAGACTTGCCTTTGGAGTTGCCTCCATCACTGTCAACTTGCCCGCGGTCCTTCCTGTGCAGCCATATCTTGTAGAGGAATAGCGACGACGCGTAACTACATCGACCAAAAGCTGTTCAGTAACTCCGCCGCACGTCGAATATTATGTATCTTGCCGTACTCACCTTACGTCAATCAGCTGTCCAAACCACTCGATCTTGATGTAAGGGGCATGTGCCCATTTTTGTAGAATCGTCGCCTCCGCGTTTGGACCGGAGCTCAGCGCGACGAGTGTTTTGCTCAGCAGGACAAGGTTGATGAACCGGCCGACCTTGAGCAGGACCGGAAGCGTAATGATCAATACGAAGCGCCGTGTGCCAACTAAGTCGCGTGGGTAGACGGAGACCAGTCGGATGAGGAGGATCACGTCGATGAGCAGTGATTGGATGATGCCCATGATACTGATCGACAGGTTGAATGGGTACGGGAAGTTTGACAGAGGGTCCAGGGTGAGCCGAACCTGTTGTTCCGATCAGTACGCAAAACGGGCAATACAACTTGCCAAACTCCGGACATTGAACTTACACCGCGATAGTCAAGCATAATCCCGACTGCGATAGCCAAGCAGATATTGAAAATGTTGAGGAGGAACACGGGCTGGCGACGTGTGTTTGTGGTAGAAAAGAACAAGAGTCCACACACAAGCGGCACAAAGAGGACCAAGAACGAGTGACCGATCAGTACGCTGTGTAATACCGGCGATATTACAGCGATGTAATTGAGACCAGGAGGTGGAGGTGGGGGAGCTGCTGCCATAGTTTATGATCGTGCCGATGCCGGTGCTGGGGTGGGGGCGAGGGGTGCGAGCTCCTGAGGACTGACCTCGCGAGGTCGGTCGACTTTAAATCCAACCTGATTGTATTGCTGTACTGCGATTGGTGCATTTAGAGACACCCAACCACAATTTGTCGTAAAGGTACACAATTGTAATGAAGCCCTCGAAATGGATGGATGGCAGGCCATGGTTGATGATCAATCTACACGATAGACAGCCTGGGATCTCCACGAAGTCCGGTGAGGGCAGGTCACAACTGCAGAAGGGAAATAGCGCGGGCTCAGCTCTCACCTGCAAAGTCGGACTCAACTTGGCGATGACAATGCTGCCGTATTCGTACTCAGTTGCCAGCCACTTTGGCGCAGGCGATGCGGGATTAAGATTGATGATCAAATATAGGTCTCGATATCAAAGAAGGCGAAGCAGCAACTCACCAAAGAGGATAAAGCGACGATTACCTTGCGAAGTTGAGCCATTTGTAGGCGTGCCTATTGATCCTTTCACAACGGTTGAGTTGCTTCAGGAACACATGATCCTTGCAACACAGAAAGTTGATATCAATCCAACAAGAGGTCGATGATCTGTATGGACACTGCCTCAGTAAGGGGCACAGAAGCGGATGAATATGATATGTTCAAAAGAACAACGTGATGAGCATGAGAATGTGTACAGCATTGCCTGAGCATCAAGAGATACTCATTCATTAACATATAATTTTCACGAGACAGAGAAGCTCAGGGACGGATGCACAGAAGAGCACGTCGTGCATCTGTCAGATGACGGCGGTGTCAAAGGCAGATGCCACAGTGATCAAGCGCAGAATATGTAGCCATGCGGGCCGCGGAGGTGTGGGATTCAGCTATTATTGTTTGCATTGTGTATTGAACACTCACAGCACCGCAACACAAAACCGCACTAAGGGGAGGTGTGCTCACTGCTCAAGTGATTGATTGTCGATCCGGGAAACAGGTGAAGACTGAAGATCAGCCGTCATCACTTGATTGCGAGGGCAGGCGTGTGGACAGGAAGATTAAAAACGTGTAGATATACTTGAACATATCAGATGTAAAAGCCAAGCGTGTTCGAGATATGCCTCGTGCTGAGATTAATATATGGGGTTTTGGAAAATTAGACGACAAGTGACGAGAAGGTATGGGTGAGGGAGCCTGGAGAATTATCGGTCCGGTGACAGCGTGGCCATCAGTGCTGATTGCCACGTGTTTGCCACGTGGCCTTGTGTGGCACAAGCACGCTTGCATTACAGCGACTTTGACTAGTCTTTGACTGCCACAATTCGTTGATCTATTTCGGGGGGGAGGTCACTGCACATGGGTACTGCGCATTCGGGAACCCAGACTTCAGAATGAAAGCAGCGATCCTCTTATTCGCATCGGACTGCGCACCGCGGTCAGTACTTCAATCATCAATCAACTTCTGCCTCAGCGTGTTCGAGGATAATCGCCTCGTGCAGTCACGATGTCTAGACCAAGGTAAGGGTTTTCCTTGCTCGTCGAGTCCGCAGCCGACTCATGAACTGGGGCCTTTGAATGCCGAACAAAGTCAGAATTTGGTAGACGAACAGTTCGTGTCGTCGTGTGTTGTCTAGCATGTGAGACTTTGCTGCGTCGAGCCTCGCGTCATTGATATCAATGTTAACTGCGGACTCGCAAATTGAGGCAATGCATGCTAGGTCTGTGCGGGACTCTTGCCCGGGGCTCGGCAGAGCGATCTGGCTTTCTGCGCGGAGGTATATCTCGGCAGCACAAATTTGGAAAGTGAGTACGGTCAAGTTTCAAATTTCTCGTATCATTTCTTGAAGTTCTTTGGTCGTCTACGCATAGCGAGCAGAAATACACGCAGTTCAATCGTGATCACAAGGGTCCAGAGGACCTGAGTAACTAGTCTAAGCCTCGTTGTTGATGCTTGTTTCCTCATCAGGATGCTAAACAGATACGGACAAAAGCTCTTCGAAATCCAAAGAAAGCAATCGCTCTGCGCAGCCATGGGACAATATAAACAGGGGCCACCGGCCCATGAGTTCTTTCAACCTGCGCTCCCACCATGTCTCGCGTCTCCCAGCTGTTAAACATCCAAACTGCGTTGAACCGGCCTCTGCCTGGACACTTCCCTTCCGAGAGTGACTTCGGGAGCCCGGTTTCGACATTCATCGAGTTTTCTGGCTCAGAGTCCGAAACAGATACGGAGACCGGAGACTCGGATGACGAGACGACCAGAGCCCGCCTTGATCCTTTAAACATAGATGATTCTCCTCTCACCGCGACCACTGACTTGTCCCTAATCACACCCGGCACGGAGTACGGGGTCAATTTTGCGAATGGGAAGCGAGTATATTTCGCGGAGGAAGAGATAGACGCGACACCAGAGAAGTGTTACAACGAGTCGAGTACCGCGACAGACCTCAAGAATTATAACGATGCTGAGGTGGCTGCACATCAGGAGGAGGGGTACACGGAAGTCGAGATTCACGCGGTTCCTAGTTCAAGGCCAGTCGAAGTCGATGCCGTTCCTAAGGTCACCCACATCGGGATCAGTGCATCTCCATATTACACCCATACCGCCGTCGATGCGACACCCAAATATGTGGATGCGGGGTGCGCGGCACCAGGGTTGGAATACGCACAGAAGGAGGCCGCGACAGAGTCGGACGAAATCACGGCATTCAAGCTCAACGAGCTATACTTCCTTGATAGCGTTGTCTTTCTGGTGAGTGTATCAGAGTAATTATATACGCGATGGTCCTGTCTAACGCATCTTGTCAGGTTGGGGGGCAGCTATTCCGAGTGCCGAGGTACTGTTTCCTGAACGAAGCAGGCGCAACCTTCCACAAGCTTTTTTCGCATCCGTTCGGAAAATTCGATATCGTCAAGGGGTCGAGCATCAGGCACCCATTACCTCTTCCCAAGGACGTCAGCGCATTCGACTTCGAGAATTTCCTCAAAGTTATGTATCCATTGTACGTCGTGCTGTTAGTTTATCTGTCACTGCTAAGCACACTCCCCTCTCCAGATACAGCCCGTTGCCGATCCAGATGGGCCGAGTAGAGTGGGAGTCAGCCCTGAAGTTGGCAACAAAATGGAAGTTCACCATGATCCGCAGGAAGGCCTTGTCGGAGTTGTCGAAGATGAACCTGGAGCCCATCGACTACATCGACTTTGGAACGAGATACACCTGTGCGGCATTCTTGTTCGATGGCTACAAGAAGTTGGCGCTGAGGGAGGAGTCAGTGAACGACTACGAGGCGAGCGTAATGAGCAGGTCCGGATCGATGGGCAGGTTTGTGCGGCTGAGAGACCTCGTGAAGGCGACTACTGCGGGTCGGACAGTTGCGGATGAGCATGTGCACCGCGAGTTCCGGGAGGAGCTTGTACAAGATGACGACTATCGCTTCAATCCGAAGGGGAAGCAAGGATAAATGACGGGCGGTCATCATGCAGACACGGGATCCATTATGTATTTTTAGATATACCGCTTGTATTGACTGGGAGAGAGATCGGAATCCAGGACGTCATTCGCAGCATGAAAGAAACTTGAACACTGCCCTCTGGAAAAAAGGCTTCCTCTTCCTCGACCACGAGGCAAGGGGTACTTAAATAGGCGCGGCGACTCACATAGTACTGCGCAAAACCTCCTATCAGATTAACGCCCTCCATCTGCGCAAACATCCCCCATGACCGACAACATTGAGCGTAGGGCAGGGATTCTCAAAGATGAGTCTTACTACATGGAATACTTGGTTATCCTCGTGAGTATAGAGATGTCATGAAGGACCAGAATTAGACTGATCTACTGACATTTATAGGCAGGCAAGACGCTTTTCAAGGTACCACGGTGGGGCCTGGAGGCGAACGATATCTTCAGCATGATGTACACGTTGCCAAATGGCACCGCAGGGGCTGAGGGTTCAAGCGACGAAAACCCCATACAGCTGTCCGGGGAGATTAGCGCGGAAGAATTTCGATCATTCCTGAAAGTACTGTATCCCATGTAAGCACCCTTCTGGCTGCGCATTGCGAGGAGACAGAAGGAGACTCATCGTGCGCGCAGGACAGGTTCGAGCAAAGCAGGCGTCGACTGGCAGGCTGTGCTCAAGCTTTCCACTCTATGGGACTTTGGCAAGGTTCGACAAAGGGCGATTGCTGAACTGGAAAAGAAATCTCGGGAGCCGCTGGAATCTATTCTCCTGGCCAGAAAGCATCAGGTGTTCAAATGGCTGATCGAGGGGTACGTAGAACTCGCGAGGCGACCCGAGCCCCTCACATTCGAAGAGGGAGAGCAGTTGGGCTGGCCTGTGTTTGCCCGCCTAGTTGACCTCCGCGAACGGAGCTGGCAATCTGCCGGTGGAAAGACCTGTGTGGCAGAGAAGGTCAGGTTGGAGTTTGATTTCGCTTCAGAAGTCCAAAAGTTGTTCGGGAATGAGATAACGGAGAACGGTGCGTGACTTTCAAAGAGGCACTGTACATGTACTCGGAGGGCACAAATATAGGGAGAGATTATCAGCTGGCAAAGGCTGCGCAGATACAAATTCAGCATCGCATGGATAATTATCATACAGACCTATTTTATAAGCGCGCCGATAGCTAATTCAGCAACCCTCGTGTGAAGTGTGTCCATGTCACAGATCATGGAGATAGAGCGATCGATGTAAAGATGCGTAAACTCAAAGCATGTCATGTCATATATATCGTGACCCACAACTCACGAGTTAAGGACATGCGCCAGTGCATATCTTCGACCTCTTCTTAATCTCGACACGAGTTCGATGCAGCGAGGCACAGCGAGAAAGCCAACGCACGACGATTTGTACTACGACGATCTGGTTGTCTTCAGAGTGCGTGGTCTCATGAGCCTGCAGACAGTGATCACCGTTAGATCATACATCGCGGAATAGGTCGAAGACATACTATTCAAGGTCCCTCGTCGTATCTTTGAAGGCACTTCTGGTGTCTTTGCAACGATGTTTACCTTGCCTGCTGGAGACTCAGAAGTCGAAGGAATTCATGACAATAATCCAATACAACTGCCACCCGATATCAGTGCCTTTGATCTTAGGAGTGTCTTAAAGGCTTGCTACCCTATCTATCCTCTGTAAGCAAAGCAACTAATATGTTCTGTTGATGTGCTAAGTTTGATGATATTCTGGAGTGGTTCGTGCCCTGCTGATCTGACGAAGAACGAGTGGCTGTCGGTGCTGAAGCTGGCCACAATGTGGGATTATCGAGATCTGCGAAAGAGATCAATCGAGAGATTGGATGCATTGGACCTTGAGGATATAGAGCGCATCATACTTGGCAGACGATTTCACGTTTCCGCGTGGCTGGTCAAATCGTACGAGGCACTGGCTAGGAGAGATGAGACCTTGACGGAGGAAGAGGGGGGTTTAGTAGGCGTGGGCACGGTCTGTCAGCTAGCAAAGCTTCGCGAGCTCAGCTGGCATTTCGCTCGCGTTGCTACGCCCCATAGGACCATCATCAGCGGGCGGGATTGTTTCGACTTCACCAGTGCAATACACGACATGCTAGAGAATGAATTGAGGGAGGATGAAGATTACGAAGTAAGTTCACCCACTGTTGCAGGTCGGCAATCGTCTAACATGTGAGCACAGCCTCCGCAGCCTCCGCAGCCTCTGCAGCCTTCGCAATGGAGAAATCGGGTTCGGATATAGTGACCGTCTTAGGTGCTCAGTCGAGACTGCAGTCTCGCGAAGAGAGAATTAAGGAGTAAGTAAGTATAAGCTAGCCTGTAAGGACATAATAGAAATGATTTCTACAGGGGACATTAGCTTGTGTGATGTGTGAAGTAAGAAATATTAAACTAACCTCAGTCTCGCGAAGAGAGAACTGAGGAAAAGAAAACGGCGAGGGAGAAGGAAAAAAACTTATGGAACTCGGTCCGACCCGAGTTGTGCCGCTTCGGCATGCGCTCCTCTCCTTCGCATCACCTGACCTCGGCGCGTGCAGGTGCTCGTTACAACAATCAGTACGTGCGATTATAGGGATTATCTGTGAAGTATGGTCTCCGATCGCGTCATGTTGCCCAACCACGACACAGGCGGTGACGTTGAGAATAGGTTACGGACACGACATCCCATTCGCGATCAAAAGGCAGTGCCAGTCATTATCTCCAGGTGATAATCATCCAATCTAACAAAAAGAAAACGGCAGTCAACGATGTGGTATGGGAATGACATAACGTACATAAACCTATAGGATAGTAGTGAGAGCCAATGTGGCGCGAATCAAAGATCACAAAGTCACCCAACATCGAACAACCTTGCTTCCATCTCCTCATCATCCACCACCCCTTTTCGCTCTGGCCACGCTTGATACATCGCCCACACGCTTTCCGCCTCGGGCCCATCCACAACCAGCTCCAACAAATCGTGCGCCATCTCTGATATACGCGGTCAATGACGGCCCTCAATTCAGTAGCCGAAGTGGTCACGCACCAGCAAGCTGCTCAAGCCTTCGCTTCTCGTTGCCGCCTAGGTTCTCCACGTCTGGTGGGTCCGCAAAGCTCAGTCTGCCCAGTGTGACGACAAACATATGTGAGACCCCGTTGAACTGCCGATGAGGCGCGTAGTGTAGCTTATGGCGGAGGTTGAGCCCCTGTTCGGGGCTGAAGACAAGGTAATGCAGGAGCATGAGAGCTTGCGTGATAGCAGATATTGTGCTACGATCAAAGATCAGACCAAACACCTCTCTGCACAGTAGAGAGATCGGCACGCACGAGATAAGTTGTGTAGCTGAGGACATGAGTTCTTCGGCTTCCTCCCACAAGGGATCGGTGAGGTTGGTGAGTAGAACAATCAGGCTTGGGATAAGCGTTCGTGATTCAACCAGGATGGCCAATCCATCTGCATGTGCAATTGCAAGCAGCGTTAGGGTAGTCAGTATTGATCTTCTCATACTATCGCCCTGAGGAATGATCAGCCTAAGAAGCTTTGAAATGGATGTGAATGAACTTGCATCCGTCCCTGTCCTGGCAGTGTCGACAAGTAAGACACAAATATTCTCGACATTGGGTATCTGGCTGAAATCCTTCATTTCTTCGGGTCCCACCTCATCCTCGGGAAACGATAACAGATGGCGGTGTGTTGTAGTTCCTGTGATACGATCTGAATATGACAACAAGGATCAAAAAGGGAAGTACGAACGGGAAGCGAAAAATGACAAAAGACGTGTTGTACGTTGTAGAAACCATGTTGGCTGCGACGAGTTCAAAAACGTAGTGAGAACACCAGGTGCCCTGATGGGCTTGATCAAGCTGCAGATGTCGGCAAACGCATAAGGAGTAACAGATAAAACATACTATAGCTCGCATTCATTTGGTATGCATCCACAGATAGCTTCCATAAAATTGATGATGATCTTTGCGAGTTCCGAGGCTTCAGATTTCTCCGTATTGTCGCCACCAATGTTATTCGGAGAAAGATGTGCAGAGACCGCGCGACAGAGAACCGCAAGTAAGCCCGATGTATGCTCCGTAGGAAAGGCCGAGAGCAGAGCGCCTATAAAAGAGGGCAGGAAGAGCGTGAGCGCTGCCAGCAAGCTGAACAAGTCAGTCAGAGGTGCAATCTGCGACTCATCAACAAAGAATGCGCGCTAGGGCGGAACGGATACATACAAGATTATGGGAAATCAACAGATTTGCCATCCCCAGAAATGAAGCTGAGAGACTTGCGACCAAGGTGTCGAAGTCATTGAACTTGGACGATGTGCCCAATAATTCCAGAATCCGGGCTGAGGCTGTCGAATAAGCTGCTACATCTTCTCCCAGAGATGAAGAGGCGTTCAGCAGCGTCTGCAGTGTATTTGCACCGGACGTGCGCGAAGCGTGCGTGAATACGATCTGGCTCAGCTAGCATACCAAGGATAAGTTGCTGGACAAGGCCCCCGCAAAACGGCGACAACTCTACTCACCTGCTCAACCCAATCTGGAGGCTCGACGTTGGCTAGTTCCTCCATCTCCACTGACGCCTTCATTTTTTCCATACTTCCGCCTCCAAAATCAACAGCCATATCGAAGCTGATGTCTGCGTCCAGCGTCGTATTGCCCACCTCGACGTCCTCCATCTCGTCTGGGATCACCACGCTTTCCGCTTTCTGACTTCGAGTCATTGGCCGAATAGGGCTGCTGGGCGGTGAAGGCGGTTCCAGAGAAAGGTTCTGCTGGTTGAGGTCAAATAGCAATCCTTTGCCTTTGCCTTTGCTCCTGCCCTTGTTTTTCAGAGGGCTCACAGGAGCACGGCGCCCGCCCGATGAGGGTAAGAACGCGTTCACGAACCCGGGAAGCATCGCGTTCTGCTTAGGGAGAACTTTAGCGCTGCGCGGACCAACGGGCGAGCCGTTCTCCCGCACAAACGTAGCGACGCGTGGACGTGTTGGCGTGCGTTGTCCTGCATTGCTTGGACCGGCATGCTGGTCCCAGCGCCGCATCTGCGTTACCGGCATCATGGGGGGTCCCATCGCCATCGGCGTCATAGGAACGTCCCTCGACGGGCCTGTTCGCGCAGTCCACGGCTTGCGAATCGAAGTCTCAAGCTCGTGCTGCTTGAACGTGAAGTGCGTCTTCATACGTTCCATCTCCTCCTTCATCTCCTTCCGGATTTGCAGCTGCATCGCCTCTGCTGCTTCCTTCGCTGCTCGAAGCTTAGCCTGTTCAGCAGCGTGTGCACGTGCTGCCTGTGCACCTTGTCCATCAGTAAGACTATTGATGTGGGTCAGGAACGAGTAACAAAAGAGGGCGGGCTTGCCTTTTCCATGTTATCTCTAAGAATGGTCACTTCACCAGCTTTAGCTTGTTTTGCTTGCAAGGCCTCGCTGAGGATATTCTGTGCCTCGGAGTGATCTCTTTGAAGCTACCAGGTTATTATCAACGAAAGACAGGCCTAAAGACTTGGGAAGAACATACCGCTCCCATTTGGTCACGAAGGGCGATGAGCTCCTCTTCCAGTTGTTTAGCGTGCGAACCCTGGCCGGTGGCGGATTGTTTAGGTTGGGAAGGGGGTTGCTGGCGGGGAGCGGGCGTATGCCTGGCATTGTTGAATGATGGATAAGACGGCTGACGATTCGGGAAGCGATTGAAAAAGGTGGAGCCTGAATTTGTTCGCACAGGAGGACGCGAATTGTGGTTTGGAGGGCGTGATTGGGCATTGTTTTCACGCAGAGAGCTAACAGTCGATGTCGACACTGGGGGAGGCGGTCGCGACCTCTGTGGCCCCCCAACAGCTCCATGGTTGAACATTGCATGAGATGCGCTTCCACTCGCAGAATCCCTCGCAGACGATGCAGATCTCTGGCTCAGGCCTGCTCGCTGGCTGCTGTCCACGCCATAAAATCCCTGATTGACAGAAATCTCAGGTAACTCCAAGTCCTCGAGTGAAAAATTGCGGCCGGGAGGCGCAGGAACAGGCGGGCTCCATGCGTGCGCCGTTTTCAAGCGCTTTGTAGGCGGTTGAGGGGCGAACGGAGGTGTGTGTTGTTGCGTGGCAGGCAGACGAGCAGTGCTTTGGGCAGGACGATTCGGCTGTTGCGTAACGAATTTGCTCTCCTCTTCGTCGAGCTTAGCGATAGTCTCTTCATCAAAGACAATGTCGTCGTCAAAATAGTCATCCGAGTTGTCCATCGAGGGATATGGAGAGTTACGGGGCGAGAAAAGCTAAATTGGAGACATGCATGTAGAGGAAGACAACAAAAGGTCTCAGTCAAAGAATCGCGACGCGACGCGTCCGGTGAGACCTTGGACACCCCTCCCAGGTAATTTCTCTCGCCATCATGCATCATCGCCGTGAGCGCCTGGTAAACACAGCACGAACTCTACCACCTACGTTGAACCTTTGGACCGTTTTCCAAACATAAGGAGAACACTCGAATATGTGGCAGCCTTGAACGAATGGAACTATAACGAGTTCATCGACTGCTTTGACGACACACCGGAGCATCGTATTCTCCCTGCAAGCTTGGGCAGGCCTGCCCGTGATAAGGCGCTATACAAGGAGTGGTTTTCATTGATCTTTCCTAATTTCAAGGAGTTCAAGGTGAGTGCTTCTTGCGTCCACTGCTTGTGGCGATCGGTGTTGTCATGCATTGGTTACCTCTTGATCAATAAGTTCGAGCTCACCCTCCCCGTATTTTCTATATCAAGGCTACAATTCACGAGCTCGTTGAGAGCGGCGATACCATTGTCTTCCATGCATCGTCTCGTGGTGTAACGGCTCTCGGTACCCCTTACTAGAATGAATACGCCTTATTCCTTCGCTTTGCGCCGCCTAGCGTAGCAGGAGATTTGCCCAGGATATGTCGCGTGAAGGAATTTGTGGGCAGTCAATTCTCTGCTCAATTCTTCGGGAGCACCGCTATGAAGAGAAACGCCCACAGAGATGTCGACAACGTCAAGGTCTGATACAAGGAGCAGGTACATATCAGCTGCATCGTTGGGCTATTGACTTGCGACTGACGTCCACACAGGTGCTTCGAAATGATTCTGAGAAGCGTATTGTATGATCATTGGACAGAATGTGCTCGTGCGAAAGGTGGCATTAAACACATTATTCTCATCATGAAGACAGCTAGACGCAGGCTTATATCCTACATATGCATAATCGAACGCCAATACTCCATCCTCGTGAGCGAGCTCCAGACATTCAAATTCAATCCTTGGTTCCAACATCTCATTACAGCAACATACCCCTCGGGGAACATCCGCTCGAGGATGTGCAAGTCGAAGTGCACAAATCCAAACGTCTGAAGCTGCTGAACCTTGGAATGAGGGGGAAGCAACCAGCGCGACTCGATCATGCGGGCAAAACTCCTGCAAAAGGCAGGGTTCGAGACTTCGCTGAACCACGCAGAGAGCTTCTCCGTGGTTAAGTCCTCGCGCGGTGGCTGATTGTCCAGAAAAGTGATTAACTGCGGAGTATTAGTGCAGTCGCCATCGCCAAGAGGGTGCCTCATAGAGAAGGGCAGCTGAGGCAACGCGTCGCTGAAACTGAATATTCCTGCAGTCAAGCACGATATAACCTTGAGGTGGAGGTTATTCCCGAAGATCAAGTGCCCTTCGTCGTCGAAGCGAAGAGTAAGCGCTTCGAGAACTTCCGTGTCAACGCGTTCGTGAAAGAGGTGGAGTCCCTTGAGGTTCGGGAGCAGCGATAGACATGACACGATCTCCCTAGGGAGGATGCACATATCGGTGAGTCTCAATGTTTCGATAGCGCCCCCGCTCTCTTTCAAAAAAGCTAGGATACTGTAACCTAGAGTAGCGGAAGGTTCAGGGTACCATCTTCGATTCAAGCATTCAAGCGAAAGGTAGCTCAATCGTGGAGTGACGAGCGTGTGCATGAGGGACTCAATCACATCCGTGCCGTTGCATTTCAAGGCCAGGTAGTCAAGTGTCGAAAGCACGACGTCCGATGTCGGTGGGCGGACCTCGCCAGTAAATCCATACTGGAATGCAAGTTCCAAGTCAGAGAGGTTCACGCACTCGTGCAAATTGTCGCATAGACCCTCGAGTGTGTCAGCTGATATGTCTTCAGCCTCAATGACCAAATTGAGCACTGTCAGGTTGGCCCAAGGCAATACCCATTTGTGCGACTGATCATGTACGATCTCGACGTTACTCAGGAGCGGCGCTGATGCAAGAGAAGTCATGATTGTCGGAACGTCTGTGCTTGTGTGGTCTGTGGCGCCATCGAAGTAGAAGTCTTCGAGGAGATTCATGGATCCGGGCTGGACGACAGGCATCCAGCTAATCGCGCCGAGACCCAGTACTATCTGCACTGATTCCCAACGATGTATCTCTTTGAAAAGCAGCGCAAGATACCGAGCAGTCATGTCGCGAGAGCAAAAATTAGAATCAAAACGCAGGACAAACGAGAGGGGAAGGGATTTGGACAGTGACAACCAGATCGCGACCTGGGAAAATAGAAGCTTGCATTTCCTGCGGGTGTTAGGAAGGTCGGGTAAGAACATGTTGGTCCAAAGACGAGGGGTTGACATTGCTACTGCGCGCCAGTGGCGACATATTCTTGTGAGTAGAAAAGGCGCATCAACAGGAGCGTTAGGAATAGGTCCGTCATGATCTATCCATGGTGGAAAGTCAAGACATTCCATAAAGATCTCGGAAAGAACCTCAGGGGGAAAGCGCGTGGGCTGCATGGGTGCTGTGTATAAGCTTTGAGTGGCTCACAAAGCGGAACTTGTCTGATCACTCAGTTCTCCTAGGTCGAGTATAAAATCAATCTGCCAAGATCAGAAATGGAGGGAGATGCACATACTGCTCTTGGGACGTATAATATGGATGCTAAAGAGGAGCTTATGAACGTGAGTAGCGCTGAGTAGCGTAACGTTGAGCCTCGATCAATGAACAATGCCCGTCGGGGTTTACAGTTTCGCATTCCGGTTTTGGGTCCGCTCATCCATGTCATTGACGAAACGACGAGAATGCAATCCGCACATCCAAAGATCAGTCAACTTTGTTGGGTGCAGACGAATGGCGCACACGCATCCTGAGACAGCAAACTTGAAAAGAGCACGTCATCAGCAGGCAATGCTAAATTTATGGAGCCATCACGACCGTTCCAGTATAGACGTATTATGAGGAATGATGCCTGCAACCAATTTCTCCCGTGCTATAGATCCCTACGCAGTGGCCAGCAGCGAAATTCCGAAGTGTTTGTACAAATACAGCGCACCTGGACAGAATTCGATAATGTAGCAATAGCCTTCAGGATGACCCTTGATGTGAGCGGCTCGTCGAGAATCAAGCTCAAACATCCTGTCATCCTACACCTTGCCGCCCAAAATGTTCGCACAGCTGGCCACGTCTCGAGCCAGTCTCGAGCCCCTCCTTACGACTCTATCAAGGGCTTCTGATCAATCACCAGAATTATGTACAACTTCAGCTCTTGCCCCGCCACGTAGCCGAGGGTATCGCCACGGCGAGGAGCGGATCCACTGCGCATCTACATGTCTGGATTGGATGGGGCTGGCTAGGGCGCGCCCGGAGCAACTCGCCGAGGGAATCATGTAAGGGTATGAGCAAGGAGGGAGGGTTTCGGGGGCTTGAGGAGGCCCGCGCAAATATCGGGCAGGTGGATGTTAGAGTAAGAGTCAGCGTCGCCGCAATTTCCGCTTCGGGCTTTCATCTCCATCGGCATGCGACTGCGTATGCCTCGAGAAAGGTGCGCGGAGGAGCACCTAGATCGGCACTGCCCCGGCATATCTCTCGGCAGCATACAGAAAGGGGATGGCATAGCTAGGCTACATAACATCATCCTGCAAAAAAATGTTCAAGCATCCGTGAATACGTGAGTCCTCATCCAGCGAAACTAAGTGTTGAACCAGAAACACGGAATGATCATTCTCCCAGCATGAGACTCTGGGGTACGGATAATAGAAAGGTGGCTGACTAGACATGGCTTGTACAAGCCGATTTCAAAATGAGACGTTGTAGCGAGCGAGGATAGGCAAAGATCTGCAATCGGTAGTAGAGGGTACAGGTCAGGCACTGGCAGGACTAAAAGCACGGCCCGCCAATAACCGTATCCGCCTGCGCGCCGCGGTTGATGAACGTAACTTAACAGACACGTGTTAGGTCAGCAACGAAGACTTGTCTCGTCTTTGACCCACAATCAAGTGACAATTTTCCCAAGTTAGCTCTTACATAACGACTCTGACGTCGAGCTGACTTTGGACTTGCACATCTCACAGAAGCCCATAAACAACCTCCATGCCTACACAGCCGAGGTCAGATGTTTCAGGATGTCTCGCCTACTTGCCAGAAGCGACGACGCCCGATGACGGCGCATCGAAAAAAGCAATCTGGGAAGCCCTAGGCTTTGAGTCCCAATGCTTTCCTATCAGAGACTCTGTCACTTTTTGGGAATCAGACATGATGAATGTGAGAGATACAGCTGATTGATTGCACTAGCCAACATCCTTTCGCCTCAGGGATGACATTTCTTTCCTTAAACAATGTTATGTCCTCTCGCCGGTACATCATAGTACATCATCTTGTTGTGTCTGCTTGTTCATAACTGATATGGCTGTTGATATTCACAGAAGTTCATAACGTGTAAGGTTGCTATGATATGGTGTATACTTCCCACAGTGTTCGCCCCGCTGTGTCCTTCTTTCGGTCATTCAGATTAGACACCCCCGCCGCGGATATCCTGAATCCACATTTTTGCAAAATTCGAGTGCCTCGCTCTGCATATCCAGATGCAAACACTCACGTAGGTGCTCGGCATAGGCCATCTACTCGCTTTATAAGAGGTTCTCTTCATCTACACTGCAAACGCATTCACCTCTGACGACAATGGGGTTCAATAAAGCCGTACACGATGTCCTGATTGTTGGCGCTGGTATGCATACCTTGCGCTTATGTCTCTTATTGTTAGCTTACCGCTTTGTTTCATCAGGGCCTGCAGGGCTTACAGCGGCTGTTATGCTCAATAGAATGGGGATCAAGCCTCTGCTCATTGATGCTGGGACATATGTGGACCATGAGTGGGGTCGAGCTGAAGTTCTTCATTCGAGGTATATCGGTGTTCCAGTCCGATACTATGAACCGACTGACGTAAACGATGACCTACAGAATATTGGAAGTCTTCGAAGTAAGCACTCAAACTATGTTTTGGGGTCTGTCATCAGCTATGGTTCTTGTTCCTGACTCTGGTCTAGAGTCTTGGCGAGCCGTACCACCACGTCATGGCGATGTCACGCGCCATGAACTCGCAGACTATCTGGAAGTTGGAGGACGGAGTCGCGAAGCGCACTCTTATCGCGCCGTCTTACTCCGGCGCCATAGACTTTAATGTGCCGCATCCACGCAACTTACACCAGGGTCTCGTCGAGGAACTCCTGCTGCGCGACGCCGAGAGTCACAATGCCGACTTCCGCGTACATTGGCAGTGGAAATTTGTGGATATGGACTCTCAAAGTGCCGGCAAACCATGCAAAGTGACCTTACAGCATCTAGGAACGAACGAAATCAAGGTCGTCCTTGCTAGATATGTCCTTGGGGCAGACGGTGCAAGGTCCGCCGTCAGGGGGTGGGCTGCGAAGTTCGGTGTCAGCATGGAGACGCAGCCGACCACTGACAGGTACTGTATTCAAGATCTGACCGGCATTACTTCAGATTTTCCAGATCTCGAGCGCTTCTCGTATGTTATGATCACTCTAATTACTCTAAGTGATGCTAAAATTTATCACCATACAGGCTGATCGTATCTGAGAAGGGTCTCGTGATCAACATTCCTCGAGAACCTCTTGCGGGCAAGAGAGCTACTCGCCTTGTAATGCAGCCCACCGAAGATCTCCATGGACTATCCAATGTGGAGATGTCTCAACTCCTCAAGAGCATGTTCGCCCCTTTCAGACTTGATTGGGACGAGATTGTTTGGGAGTCTAGCTTCACCGGTTCGTCATCTTCTTGGATGTGTACGGAGCGACTACTCACGTGACCAAATACAGTCACGCAAAGACTTATCAACGAGTATATGGTGGACGACAAAGTCATCTTCTTGGGCGACGCTTGCCACACCCATAGCCCCAGAGGTAATTTTGCTTGCTTGCTTGTGTGCAAGGACTAAGTGGGATTTGTTTAGGTGGATTGGGTATGAATACATCCATGCTCGAGGGACACAATCTGGGATGGAAGCTTGCACTTGTGCTCAAAGGTATTGCAAGGCCTGAGATCCTGTCGACGTATGGCGCCGAGCGGCATCCAGTGGCCTACAATCTGATCATGGTAGATCGTCAACTTGTGCAAGCTGCCAGCAAACTTTATCAGAAGGATGCAAAGAAAGATGGCGATCATGCCGTCGACGGTGCAGACCTGAGGAATGTTCATGATATCAACAGCGGGGTAGGTATTCTTTCATCATTGCCATAACCGCTCGCAATTCTGAAGCGTGAAACCCTCTTCTAGTATCAATCCGGCTCCTCGATCGTATACCCCCCAAACTTGCTCGTTATGCCTCCCAACAACATAGCAGAAGTATTCGAGGCGAATAAACCTAGCGCACCTGTCGGAGGGCGCACTCGTCCCGCGCTCATAAGGCGTGTATCGGACGGTTCCATCGTATCTGTTCACCCTCGCTTCGATGGCCGCTTCACGATTTTCTTCCTAGTCGGCGACCTCCGTCACACAGGAACAGTGGATTCTCTGCTCTCCCTCGACACCTACATCACCTCTTCTGGGTCCATCTTTACTCGTTATGGGGAGAATGTGCGCCTGGAAGATACACCCATCCATTTGCGCACTCCCCACGCGGAATGGATCAGGGAGGGGGACTCGACGCCAGATGGTCGCAAGTTCTTCAAATACGAAGATGACGACCTCCCACAGATCGATGGCGGCTACGGCACGCGTTCTCATTCACTCTTTCGGTCGATGGTGATCACTACTACGAAGGATGCGGAGGTTTTCCAGCTCGATTCTTTCATGGCCAGGGTCTCGCCGCTCGGCCAGTCGAAGTCTCGCTTGTTGCACCCCTCACGTTTATTCTCTGATGATTGTGTTTCTCTGTCGCCGTTTAAGGAGGCACTCTTGAGGCATCCTGTGCACGAGAAATGGGGGGTTGATCAAGGGGTCGGAGCCACTGTCGTCGTGCGTCCCGATGGTCATGTTGGAATGCGAGCAGATGGCTATGGGATTGGGGCCTGGAAGGAAGTGGAAAGATACTTTTCAGGATTCCTTCTGTGAGAGCAGAGGAACTTTCATATCACGTTGATCATACTTCCAATTGCACTTTGCCTGTTTGGCCCTGCTTGGCCGCACTCGCGCTGTAATTATGACAGGGATAAGCCAATCATGAGCTCCGATGAATTGTGCCCTACTGTGCTTCGGCATGATACCTGTAAGTTTCATGATATCCGCTTGCTTCAGAGGAATCATGTGGTTGTGTCTACTTGACCATAGGCGCACACTTTCGGGATGATTGTCGGCCTCTCAAAGATCTTAACATTGACACTTATATGAAATTACAGAAGAACCTTCGTAGAAAAATCTACTGAGCGAGCTGGGGATTCATCACTAGCCAGGTGCACTCGTGAGCCTGATTGAGATGCATAAGTACGAGGACTACTTACCAGAGTTAAGCGTCTGACGCCAATAAGCTTGCCTCCTGAGCGAGCACCATACACTCAATCGCAACCCTTCTCCCCAAGACTTCAAAAGCGCAGTGTACCAGTCGCGCGAGATCATCTCCACGATGTGCAAATCGAAGTGCACCAGTCTCATCCCGGTCAGCTGTGCGACTTGCCCCTCGGCTCGGGCATTCGGAGGGAGCAGCCAGCGCGACTGAATCATGCGTGCGAAGTTGATAGAATATTCAGGATTGGATACCTTGGCTAGCCAATATTGTAGCTCGTCGAGGGGTGCTCGGTTTTCCGCTGGAAGCAGTTCGCCAGCAAACGTGATCTGGCCTGTCGCAGTACCAGGAACTCCAAGCGATCCAGCTCCACCATGAGCTGCATCGACAGAAAGCGGTAGACAAGGGACTACCTGAGTATAGTCCCAATTGCCTAAGTAGCTGGTTGAAGCCACGCAAGAAATGTCTGTGAGGCGGAGGTTCTGTCCAGCTTGTACACGACCTTGGGAGTCATAGTGGATGGTGAGTGCATTCCAAAGAAGCGGAGTGACGCCTTCGTCTTTGATATCAAGAACCTGAATATTTGGGACCCGCTGAAGGATGCGCACGAGGTCCGAATCTGGTAGGATAGATATTTCCAGATAGAGTCTGTCGATTTGATCACCATTTCGAGCAAGGAAGCTCAAAATGCTCGCCATGATTTCTTCATGAGGGTCAGGGGCATTGTCGGCCCTCCTATGTTCACTCACTGTGAGATTGAGAACACCGAGGCGCGGCATGTCAAACATATCCATGAAAGACCCTATGATCTCTGGCAAATCGGCATTGAGAGAAAACTGCGTAAGCTGAGGGAATACGACAGGCAATCTTGATGGGAGCGGCGGTTCGCCGTCATATGGAAGTTTAAACCTAATAACGAGAAACTCGAGGCAAGCACACGCCTGCAAGCTTTCACAGACCCGCCGCATCACATCCGGTGGGAATTTCGCCGTCTCACAGACCATCTTCAGGCTTGTGAGGTTTGTCCAAGGGAGCGCCCAAGTCCATGCCATGTCGTTGTTGATGGTGACTGTGCGCAGACGTGGTGCGGACGCGAAAGATGTCAAGAACGGGGGGATTACGCTGCCGACCTTGTTCGTGTTTCCTTCATACAGGAACTCCCTGAGCATTTCCAATGAGCCTACGGGGGGTAGTGTCTCGATCTTGACAAGCCCCAAATGTAGCCGGACTGATTCCCATCGATGGCTCTCACCGCATAAGAGTGTGGCGTATCTCGGAGCCAGAGCAGGAAACCTGCCGCTGATCCGCAGAGTGATTGAAAGTGGGAGCGAACCTGACAACGAAAGCCAAAAAGGAATTCGTTTGAGGAGAGAGTTGCGTTGTGGTAGAGCAGGAGGGAGACTAGGAAGAAGCATTCGAGACCACAAGCGTGGGCTAGATAAGGCGACATTGCGCCAGTAGCGACAGACACGGGTGAGGAGGACAGGGGCGGCGTCTGGATGAATACGAGGTAGATATCCCACCTCCAATTGAAGATCGAGACTATTCAGGAATATTTCGGACAGGACCTCAGGAGGAAACTGCAAGGTGTCCATGACTGGACAGAATTGTTCGGGCGGAAGGATGACCCACACAAGATCAGGGTAGCGTATGCCCAAAATGAGTAGTGCGCTGTCGGTGATGTGAGTGTGAGGATGATATCCGAGAATATATGAATTGTAACGCACAAGATCAACGACCAGATGACGGCGATCGATAGAGGGAATGAAGAGATGCCTGTTTATATAGCATGAGCAGCCTTGATCTAAGTATTCGGGGAGATGGGGTGCATGTTGTTCAGGCATGTCAGTAGCGCTATGGAAACAAAGTCAGAAACAATGAAACTTGTGGGTTTGAGGTACACGCTATGTACAGGCTCATCTCAGCACAATAAGGCTCGGAATACACGCCCCATTGACTGCTGAAAGCTGCGAAAAACAGCTACGGGTCTTTTTGTCCATGGCTATGTCGCAGCGCAGAAAATATATCTCGCTTTTTGCGAGCCAGTTTGCAGAAGAGGTGGTACATCTTACCGACACTGCAAGTGCAGTTCGTGAGATACCACTGGAATGCAAATAGGGAAGATCTGGACAAGGACTTGGTTGCCGAATGCAGGTACACGCGGAGGCACGCGGTTCCATAAGAACCCTAGCATATCCTTACAAATGTCCTCTCCCAATGCGGATGGAAAGTGGTCGAAATACCCGAAAATGTCCAAGACCAGTACGGACGAAAAGGGGTAAATCTCGAAAAATATCCACGGCCAGTTGGTAATCGTCACGTCCGATCCTTAGTGCGGACGGATTTGCCTGTCGTTAAACTGTCGTTGAGGACACTCAGGTTGCAATCGGACTTGGGCTGCACCTCGCACTTTCGGCTGTTGTTTTGCAGCACCTGTGCCCTCTTTTGTGGACTTTTCGTCATCTCCTGTTGCGCAACTGTTAGTGTTCTTCGGACACTCGCTGGAGACAATGATCTCTGCACAATTACTGTTGTCTTGTCGGCAGATGTCTCATATGCTGGGCTGGTGGGTGGATCAGAGATAGAAGCTCACAGGGAGGCAGAAGATGAACTAGACAGCGGGAAGAGAAAAAGGAAGAAGCAGAAGAAGTGACATGTGAAGAGCAGACTGCGAAACACATGAACGAAGAAGAAAGACGAGACGAGACGAACAATGGCTCAATTGATGGGATCGTATACAATAAGTCTCTACCAATCGAGCGTCTCTTTTGAGATTAGATCAACACATTGAAGGAAAAATGCCAATCTTTGGTGCGTTTGTTAGAAACTTGAATCCGGTTTCTCCATCTATCTTGAGACAAAATAATAATAACAATAAGTATTACGATAATGCTATGATTGACATGCTACTGAGCTATGCACCTGAAGAATACGAAAGGGATGGCCATCATTTCTGTCCAGACAAGGATAGGAAGTGAAGCGCAGAATGAGTTCATGCCATCGTACATTTGAGGGAAACCAATTAAGACGAGCTTTCCTGGGTTCTCGTCAAACAAATACTGACCTGAAGTACAAACGTAGGCCCCGAAACGCATCGAAGAGTACGTGCATATATTAACACCACAGCAAATACACACAATAAGTGGCTCAACTGCATATGTTTGAAGTATAAGGTGTACGCTCTTGTTGAACTGCCGGCTTCCTCTCAGCATCTTCCCAACCTCAATCGACGAGTGTCAGATGCCGGACACTCGCGTACATCTTCTCCGCGTACTCGGCAAACCTAGCATCAGAGTATCCCACTGTGCGTTCGAGCAGTTGTCTGAAACGCGCGTCGTAGTTCCCGATGACCGGATAGGTCGTACTGAGCCCGCGGACGTCTAAATAGTATCGTTTTGTTTCGGCCTCCTGTTCAGTTGCGTATCCACCCTATCGTGTGAAGCCTTCCGCACCCCTTCGAGGCCTCCAGGGCTCTTCATACGTCAAACGACATTTTTGACTATCTTGGAAAGAAGTAGTCGCGCAAAGGTCCATAACAATCGCGAGGTAATTTGTGGGCTTGTAGCGAGGGCCATCTTTGGGGACTATCCAAGTACCAGCCAGACCGTCGACGAGAGGATGTGATCCCGCCCTGGTCTTGGTATTTGTGCGCCAAAGCACATAGATAAGATTTTTGTTGTCGAATGGCTTGCTAAGGTCGTCGCGATAGCCGACGAAGAATTCGTTGAAGACCGACTGCCCGGAGGAGCATTGTATAGCTGCATTAGAGGACCAGCATTTTTTCAGAAACTCGGGAGTCAATTCAGTTATGATCTCGTCGAGTTGGACGACGTGGGTGAAGTTGATCCAGATACCAGCAGTGTCATCAAGGAGACGATCGCGCAAGGTGTTGCCCATAGGAAAACTGAGCTCGGGCCCGAGTAGCGTCTTCAAGAATGCGGACAGTCGCAAAGGAACAATTGAAATTCCTCATCAGGCTCTCCGGGAGGCTTCGTCACGGTAACGAACTTGCCTACTTCCTTCAGCGTCCCCATGTCTCGGCTGAGGATCATCAGTAACTGGCAACATAGATCGCCCCGAAGGCTTCGATCGACCACAAGCCCTGTGAGAATAAGTTCGTCGAACAAGGTCTCGAAAGCCCTCGAGGAGTGCTGTAGCGGCAGCGATGGAGAGAATTGGCTCTGAAGGAGCCTCTGTCACGAGGAGGTTGTCGGCGACACCCGTCGGGACGCGCATGTGGCTGCGCACGGAAGCTGTAGCCAAGCCAATAGACCCTTCGCCTTCACCAATGTCTAGTACGACTCGTCAAGAAAATGCGGCGAACGTGTGAAAAAGATTCGCAGGGGAGAAATCGCTGGTGCCGAAAAGTTTGAAGCGCGCAGCCTGGAGGAGACTACTGTTAGTATCGAAACCCCACCAATACTGCATATGGTGAGCACCATTCAACAGAACAATCACAGTGACTACGATTCGTACTCACGGATCTGCCATACATCTTCATGTGACGGAGAAGAAGTGCTTGTTGTGGTGTCGTCAAACAAACATCGCTGAGGTGCTGGTTGAACCCGAGGTACATCCACGGATGCAGCATCTTTGAACTTGTCCTTGAGCAGGAAGGAAGAGGTGATCTTTTCTCGTGGAGCAAGATCGTACAGAGACGGAGTCTTATCGAGCAACAGAAACCAGAACTTGACAGGGAGGGCAAGGCGGTCAGCAGCGTTTATAATGCGCTGAAGGGCCATCCACGACATATTGATTCCAAATCTAGCGTTTAACGTGGTGCGATCGTCAAATGCAACGATGAATCGACTATAACCACGGAGTTGCAAGAGCTCAGCAAGAGTCTCCATGTGGGGTCGCACGAGTACACGAAGGAGTGATTTGTGCCAAACGAGGGGATTCAGTCGATGGTCGGGAAGTTCAGGATCATATGTCGGTCGCAAGCGCAGTAGGCGGAGTTCTTCGTGATGCTCATGCAGCGTTTCCTCGGCCGAGGTCTCAACTTGCGCGAAAAGCTGATGGCGCTCAAAGGTTTGAGGATCGGCGGGATCGGCATTTTCCCAATCGCTCAGCAAGTCTTTTGGTCCTGTCGTCGTCGTTTTCTGTCTAACCCCGTCAAGCAACGACTTCATCAACGCTCTGAGGAAGGCAGCTGCCAGCTCCTCTGACTGTGTAAACCATTGATTCAGCAGATGAGCGATGGTTATATTACAGCACGAGTACTTACCTCGGGAGATTCATCACCCATGATACGACTTCTCGTGAAGAAATCCACTGCAGGGACCATCCACTCATGGGCCATTCATCTTGTCATAAACAGATGCTCAAACTCGGAATCTGCCCACGACAGTTGAAACGCGAAGACCTGACATGTAACAAGTCAAAGCCAAGCCCACCCTCCACCAGACGTGATTTGCCTGTGCCGCTCGACGGTACAATGACAATCGTGTGGCCACAGTAGATTTCAGGATCGTAGGTGCCCTCATAATGGGCGAGGGCTGCCACAAAATCGTTCGCTATTTCACCTATGTAGGGGCCTCGAAAATTCGCGTAGAGCCTCTGCAGCTGATCCTTTCTGCCATGACGGACGTCAGCGCATCTATACAGCTGACCAGAGGGAGTGCCGACGGTCGCTCCAGCCCCTTCGCCTGGTTATCGGGCTCTAGCTGGTATATTCATCGACAAACCGCGATGCTGAACAAGATAAAATAAACTCACCGCATGCGCTCATGATAAAATCCACAGCATCGACAGTTCGCATCAACTCGGTGAGCACCGGGTCTACTTTCATATGCCGTAGCTACCGAACGTCTCCCCCAAAGAATAGCGTCTTCAGCATTCTATCAGGAACCCCATGCGCCGTGCCCTCCCCAACAATGTCTCTCATCAAGTCTTCCAGCCAGCTCCTTGCACCGGTGGAGCTGCTGGGTCTCTCTGGCATCAGTTTCTGATAAGAAGGATATCTTGACAGGGAGAAGCGCAATGCGGGTCCAGGATCGTCGGCTGATCCGAGAGTCGACAAATATACGGATGAGTCGTCAACTTGGGCACTGCCATCTGGCACCGTAATCCTCGGGCGCAGCGGGATTTTGATGTATCTTCGCAACTGAAGAGAAACACACAGGTGCAGTTACAGGCGCGGTGTACAAAGGCCAGCTGCTGCGGCATGGAACCGACGGGAGAGACGTCAGACGACTCGCTGTGTCTCGAAAACGTACTTACGTCATCAGACTCTCAATCTTATCAGATCTTATCTCGTTTCAAGATCCATCCACCTCCACCAATCCGTCACCTGGCGAATACAATTTTTCGCAACCATAGTGAGCGGTGTCTAGTACCGGTCGCTACCCTAGATGTCGGATTCGGGCGCGCCAATAATGTCAGCGCGCAACACCCCATAGACGATATAGTACGTTTGAGACACAGTGGCCCCGCTTATGCAGGCTTGCTCGCGGCACGTCACAGGCTCCCCGGTGCATGCCGCATGATGGGGGCGTAAATCCTGGCATTAAAATCGGAGGAACCCCCGCCCCTTTCCGACTCCTCATTCCCAATAGCCGCGATCCCTAAGTGCCGACTATGAAGGACATCTCTTCCCTCGGCGCCTCGCATCAAGCCAGCTTCCCCACGTGGAAATAGCGTGTCCACAGCGGGCACACGTGTCGCCCACTCGAGACGAGTTCCGACCCGTCGCTTCGCGACTCTTGCACAGCGCTTAATATTAGTTTTGTGGGGTTAGGGTTTATTTCGATAATTTTGGAGTTTGCCTCAAGTGAATAGAAGCCAGCCCTAAAGTTGATGTCCAGTGAGATCATCAAGATTGAGTGCAAGCACATTTTACATTGTAGAGCATTTTTGTAAACAAACAGATAACAAATCAGGAGAAATAGTAAAGTAAAGTTGAGAGCTAGGGCCTTGAGGGTGTTCTTCTAAGAAAGCAAATAAGTATTAGAATTTTGAATGATTTGGCACATACCATTAAGAACTTTTGAAGCTTTGTTAAGGGATTTGAGATTTTGAGGGGAGAGGTTACATCTAAGAAAGAAATTATTGGTTAATTTCTCTGAATAAGAATTGATGGAGCTTGAACTTGCCAAATATTAAATCAGGTTTGCCAAGACTTCAGGATAGACAATGTTTGTAGTCTTTGTATCCCCACATTCCCCAGGAAATAAGACTTTGATCCTCTCACTGGATGTGCAACGTGATAATGCAACATAGAGTTGGCCATGTGAAAACACCGAACTGCGTAGGTCGATACCAACATTTGAAACAGATTGGCCTTGGGATTTATTGATGGTCATGGCAAATGCAAGTCGAACGGGGAATTGACGGCGAGAGAGAGGAATAGGCATGTCTTCTGCTGATGGTTCAATGGTAAGTCTAGGAATAAATGCAGTCTCCCCAGCATGCTTTCCACCTAAGATCCGGCATTGTAAAACGCGAGGCCTAATGTCTGTAAGGATCATCCGTGTTCCATTGCAGAGACCATTGGGCTGGTCAATATTCCGCAAAAGCATAAGAGGACAGCCAGGTTTGAGTTTGAGGTGTGCAAGTGGCAATCCTGAGACATTGAGAGAGTTAAGGTATTCCATAGGGTAATCCTGTGTGATCCCAACCACCTTATCCACTGACATCAACACAGATTCTTCTCCAGGAAACTTTTCCAAGGTATCATGGTTGATCTCATCCACTACATCATTGGTTGTTGAGAGAATGGTGCGCTCCTGGAAATATCCATCTGGCTTTGGTCCTACTTGGATCTCTGGGTAAAGATGGTGGATCAATGACTTCAATGTGTTTTGCTCCAACCGCAAATTTTGTGGAAGAGAGATTGACTTGTCTTCTGGGAGATTTTGACCTGCGCCAACCTCTAAAAGCCAGTTTGCAAATTCTTGACTTTCTGGAGTTTGATCCAAACGCATGTTCTGGGTTAGATGATACAAATGGACTAAGCTCCATAAATGTGAGCGGCGAAGAGAGGCATTGATGATCTGTTCCCTAGACCCTCTAGGAACCACTGGAAGGACCTGTCGGAAGTCTCCACCAAACAACATGGTAATTCCTCCAAAAGGCTGTGCATTTTCCATCAAGTCTTGTAGCGTACGGTCCAAAGCCTCGATAGCATGTCAGTGCTGCATTGGTGCTTCATCCCAAATAATGATACCGGTTTGGCGAAGTACATCATGAAGGTCTGAATTTTTCTGGATCCTGCAAGTGGAAGCTTCATGAATGGGGATTGGAATGTGGAAACGTGAGTGCGCAGTACGTCCGCCATCTAAAAGCAAAGAAGCAATCCCAGATGAAGCAACACATAGAGCAACTTTGCCCATAGAGCGGGTAGCAGCTGCAATAGTGTTGCAGACATATGTTTTTCCACATCCACCTGCACTATGAAGAAAAAAGGTGTGCCCATGATTATGAGTGACTGATTGCATGATGCCATCAAAAGCAGCCACTTGTTCTTCATTGAACTGTTCTCTTCTCTCCTCAACCTCCAAAGCCAGTTCTGGCATATCATAATTCAGCTGTTCCTGAAGCAAAAGATTATTTTCTACCATCATCCAGTTTTTTTGAGGAAGTGGCATTGGAGGAAAGCTTGTAAGATCCTTGCGGGATTCCAAGAGAATTTTCTGTAAAAGAAACAGGCCATAATCATAAATGTCCTCCTGAGAAGGGTCCTCGTAGTTTTGGGCTTGCAATAGTATATGGACATCATCACATAGAGTGTCACGGTGAGTATTCCATAACTCTGCTGGATCTGTGGGAAGGCAAAACAAAAGCAGGGTTGCAAACAGTCGACGTAGCTGATGGCCTGTTTGTATTTCTCCTGCTTCAGTAAGACATTGGTTCCACTCATTGTCATCTTCCAATAGGCCACGGGCAAGACATGCTGCCTTATAAGTAGGGTGCTCTATTCCTTCAAAAGTCCTAAGGTCGCTCCATCCTTTGGCACCTTTAACCACTGTCAAGAGCATCCGGAGGTAAAAGCGCTCGCCTGCAGAAGGTGGAACAAAATAGATGCGACCAATTGCAAACCCAAACTTTCGTTTACTCCATTTCCGCTTGGATTTGTCCCAGACGAAGTTTTGAGGGAAATCCTGATAAGTAGTGGCCTGTGCAACTGGATCCTCTTGGTTTGCCTGAAACCACTCTGTTAACTGGGTTTTTTTGGATGCTGGGCGGTCTAGCACTACTGCAGCATCATCCTCAGGATCAAAGAAAACCTGCTGATCGTCTTGTAGATGGACAGGTAGCCGATAAACTGTGGGAAGCTCTAGATGCATGCCAAATTCAAAAATGTGCCAGCATGCCTCAATAGGCCCTATATATCGTGCATCCACATATTCTTTAATCTCATCCACACCCCCTACCACTTCCAGAGTAGCACGATCATGTCCTTTGTAGATGTATTTGTGAATATACTTGACAGCCTTGACCGAAGCACTGTTAAGCCGGCTAGGCTTAGTCGAGTGCACGTGATGCACGAAGAGGGGTTCCCTGGGCTGAAGCCTATTAGTTCCACAATCGACTCAAGACTTACTGAGTCCTTGACTAGTTACAGGCAGGAGAGGGTGACGAGAGTGACGAGACGAATCCCTTGCTTCGTCAGACTTCGTATGGTTCTTTAGATCTGACAGAGATCGCGAAGCGTGAGCTGGGAAGGCAGCCAGACGCCGGGCGCAGTGCTGAGATCAAGATGTATACAAAGTGAACGAGCTGAGGCTTCTGAGAAGCTCAGCTCCCCTATATATAGTACAGGACTATTTAGGGTGGGACGGACATATGGTCCGTGCTTCGAAACACTAAGTACTATCAACGATCGACATCAGTAAGCCGCAGTCATTGTTCGTACTCCGCGGCTCTTGGATGTAGCCATGTATAGTAAGTAAATCAAATGTCTGTCCGCATCAATCAGAAACAAGGCACTGATCATGATCGGCAATGGAAGGGAACCCGATCACGATCGAATCAGAAACGAAGAGGAAGCATAGTATCGTAAGCGTTCATGCATTAGCATGTGAATGATGATCAATCCGGAATCCGAGGCAAAAGCGTTCATGCGTGCGCATGTAAATGATAAACAGTCTGAGTCCGAGTCGAAAGCGTTCAAGCCGAAGCTTGTGGATAAGTCAGGAAGAGATGCCAATGAATCACGTGCTGAGCACGTGTTAGGACGCAGTCCTAACACTACCCCCCTTTTTACACAAGTCTTCGGCGCTTGGAGTGTGCACCGACTACTGGCGGCGGTTCGCGTGGATGGTCGACGTCATAAGTGGGGATGGAGCGAACAGGGTATCCGGTCCACATGGACGTGGTGATCATGTGTTCCAAAGCCTGTTTGTGATAGCCGTACTCCTCAGCCACTTTGTCCATTTGCAGACGAAGTCGATTAGTGGCTCCGCGATGTGCGTCGTAATCGCGTAGAAATTGACGCGCGGTGACGTCTGTCCGCATCCGAATGCGTGTGATTGGACAGGTTGCGAGGAAGTGTCCTTGACGTCCGCATTCCCAGCAGTAACGTTCGTCTGGTGCAGGAGGTGACCCAAGAGGAGATGGGGTGAAGGCTGGAGTTTCGGGCCAGACGTGTGCCGATGCGCGGGCTCCTTCGTGCCAATCTTCCGATACGACTGGAATCGTCCTAAGTTGATAGGAGGACGTGTCGATAGGTTCAGCAAGGGCGAGGCCTTCTCCGACAAGGGTCGCGGATGAGGATGCATCAGGGGGTGCTGAGGGCGGCGTCGGAAGTGGTCGACGAGCCTCGCGATTCCGGATGTTTTGGTCGGAGTCGTGAGGAGGGCTCGCGGGGGGCATGGGGTCGTCTTCTTCCAGTCTTGCAACGACCGTGGTTCTTTCGGCCGAAACCGCATGTCGAAAGGATCTCGTGTTATCCGATGGGAGGAAACGAAGTGGCGAAGAGGATGTGTGGGGGAGACTCGTTGTCAGCGATGACTCGGGGATTTCAGGAAGAGAGAGGATGAGGGGTGTGACGGGAGGGCGTCCAACATCTCCGGAGGGCCTCGGAGCGTTTGACTTGTAAAGGAGCTCCTCGGGTCGGGGTAAATGATACCCATCCTCGGCCGTGACGTCCGATCTTGCCATGTACCAGGGTCTTTCGTTGTCTGCTGGATTAGATCCTTCAGACCAGTACGCGGCGACGTGTTGCTCCCCTCGACTATTTGTGGGAAATAGTCGTTCTGGTAGTGTTCCTCCCGGCATGTATTCTTCGATGACTAGGCGCTCTCTTCCGAATCCCGTAATGCGGAACCAACGTATGGTGTTTCGTCGGAAAGGAATTCGTGCCAGAGTGTCGAGCCATTCGGCGGGAGAATGTCAGAGGAGGAGATTCATTGCGAGGGACGTATATCCGGTAGGGCGGTAGCTGATCATGTCGCTGCGAAGGGCTGGGAGGTTAAAGAGCCCCTTGTTCCTGTAACTGGTGAGGGCGAGATTCGAGAGAAGAGTCATCTGGTGTCGGCTCAGCGGTCCCTGATGCACCTGATACGCTCGTGTCATCACAATCTGCTGCAAATAGAAGAAGAAGTTTGCAGGATCGTCCAACCCAGATTGGTCCAGCATGATTGGAGCCTCGTCGTCGGTGAAGGTGATGTGATAGAGCGCACCGACGAGATTCGGGTTCAAGTAATGAGTCAAGTCATAGATGGGGGAAGGGTAAACGGGGATGAGGACGCGGGGAGTGGTGTTGAACTGAGCAAATATTTGCCCAGCATTAGGTGTGTGGGGATCCTCGAGACGACTCGGGAGACGGGAGACGCCAATTTCGAAGTGTGGGTCGTCTACTGTGACGCCGTTAATGTGATCGACGGAGGCGAGGGAATCGGAAGAGTCGTCGGAGTCGTCTGAGACGGCTGAGACAGGGCGTAGCAGGAAAGGGGGTGACTGGGAGTGGGAACGATCGCGGGGGTAGGTTGCGTGATGAAAGTCCGCCATGATGTAGCGGGGAGATTCGAGAAAGTGGAACTTGCGGATGGTCAAGGACATGTAACCTGGGGGAACTGGGTGACGGTTTTTGTCGACGATGATCTCGTGTTTTATACGAGGTCACTGGCGATGAGGCAGGAGCCCTGGCAGATGGCTCCAACGAGAAAAGCAGCGAGAGAGATAGCGAGAAAGGTGGCGGTCGCGACGGCGGTGTAAACGGCGACTTCTGCTAAAGTGGGGTTCAAGGGGTTCATAGTCGTTTACCTGTCCAGGCTAAACCACGACTCGTCTGCTTTTGTAGTTCTTGGTAGGCTCGTACTCGCCAATTAGGGCTGTCCGATCGTTTGTGCTGTGTCATTGATCGAGATGAGTCTAATCTGGGCTTCTGTGATCGTGTCCCTTGATCGTCGATCTTCGATTCTGTCCTTCTTGATTTTGGAAGTGCTGATGGCTTCTTGAATTGTGCCATCCGTGCTTCGAGTTGTTTCTTGATCTGGGGAACCGTTGCTCCGGTAGCTAGAAGCTTCTTCCAAACGGGATGTTTTCGGAGTTCTTCTTTGAGCGTGGCGTCCTTCTTGTCTTGTTCCATCGCTATTTCCAGAATTCCCACTGTCTTGAACTTTGCCGAATAGAGCGTCTCCGGGATTGGTTGACCTTGGACTCTCCTTCGGTTTCGGGCATCGATTACTTCCTTTAGTTGGGTGGTTGCGTTTTCTTTGAGCTTGGCTGGAGTGGTTCCCTTGTCGAGGTATGTTTGTCCAATATGTCGACCTTCGAGTTTGTACTCATCGTCCTTGAATTGTCGATTCAGCGCTCGTGCTTTTTGCTGAATCTGTCGGATGGTGTATCCTTCGTCTAGAAGCCTTCTTCCTGGCAGGTCCAACAGCGCCTTCGTGATTCAATCTTCTTCTTGTTGGTCTTCTCGATCTTGTAGGATTTGGCGCATGTCCTTTCCTGTGGCGAGTAGTCTCCTTCCCTCAGGACTTTTCTCGAGTTGTTTCCTGACCTGCTCTTCCTCGGCTTCTCGATTGTCTTCCAGGTCGGCCGTCAATACTCGAATTGATGCTTCCCTTCCCTTGGGCGCGGAAGGGTGTCGCTTATAGAACTCCGCGACGGCTTCCTTGGCATTGGTGACGTTATCCGCTGATTCCCAAGAGTTATCCGATTCGGGATAACCCTTCCATTTGATCAGGTACTGGAGGGTCTTCCATCGTCCGAAGCGTCGGGCTCCGACGACCTTCTCGACTTCGAATTCTTCTTGCCCCGCGATCAGGTCTGGTGCCGGTTTGGGGTAGTTGGGTCCATATGTCGTGTTCTCCTTGTAGGGCGTAAGTCGACTAGCATGGAAGACGTCGTGAATGCGCTGCCAGCTGTTTGGCAGTTTCAGCTTGAAATTGACTGTGCCGATAACGTCGGTGATCTCGAACGGCCCAAATCGTTTGGGTCTTAGTTTCTCCGATGGGTGGTCTGTGTGGATGTTCTTCCCATCTAACCATACTTGGTCTCCTTTCTTGAAAGGTGGTAACTCCGTTCCAAAACGGTCGTGCTGTGTCCGCATGGCTTCGGCTGCGATTTCGAGGCTGGCTTGTGCTTCCTTCCTAGCATGTTGCAGAGCTTCGAGTCGCGCGTCGGCGGTGGGGACGTTCGTGTTTCCTATAATCGCTGGATACGCCCTTGGTTGGTATCCGTGTAGAAGTTCGAATGGTGACTTCTTCGTGGCTGAGTGCTGGTGTACGTTGTGGGCGTATTCCGCGTAGGGAATGAGGTCGGCCCAGTCGTCCTGTGAGGAGTTGCAAAATGCCCTGAGGTATTGCTCCAGTTCTTGGTTCATTCTTTCCGTGGCGCCATCTGTTTGTGGATGATATGCTGTGCTGAGCGCCGATTTGATCCCTAGTTCCTTGAGTAGTGCTTGTGCCACTTTCGACGCGAATTGAGGTCCTCTATCCGATATGATCTTGTCGGGTAGACCGTATCTTCTCCAAGTGTGATCTAATAATAATCGGGCCGTTCCGTCTGAGTCGATGTTCTTCAGACACGGTGTGATGACGGTCGTCTTCGTGAATCTGTCTGTTACCACGTGGAGTGAGTCGAATCCGTTTGACTGGGGAAGGTCCGTGATGAAATCCATGGTAATCGTTCCAAACGGTCGATCTGGAATCTCCGTTGGCTGGAGAGGAACCATCGTCGGATGCGTGTCGTTCTTGGTAGATTGGCAGGTTGCACATCCTTCCACGTATTGGTGGATCGTGTTCGATATTCCGGGCCAGGTGAATTCTTGCCCTACTGCTGCTAGTGTTCCTCTTTGTCCTGGGTGTCCTGCGGCTAGATTATCGTGATTTAACTTGATGATGTCTCGGCGTAGTTGTTCGTCCTGAGGCACGTAGATTTTTCCTCTGTGTAGGACGAGTCCGTTGATACGCTAGAGGTGGCTCTAAGTGCCGAGCACAACACTAAAACAACCTCTAATGCAGGGGTGCTGGAGCTAGTCTCTGTTACACAAGGAATCGTTAGTGATGACTTTAGAAATCGACGGCGCACTTGAGAAGCAGCGAGGAGTGGAGATTATAGCGCCCGAACGGTTTCGGGACTGCACCGAACACCGACCGAACGTTCGGTCGGTCGTGTCGGCGATTCGGTCGGTAACGAGGAGGTAGTGTCGCGACCGACAACTACGTGCTTCAAGAGCCACACGGGACTCTGACAATATACGAGGAAGGACGAGGGGTACGAGCGAAGAGACGAGTACGAACGCGAACAAGGCCGAACGACGAAGATGACAAGTTTTCGGGAGTCGATGAAGACGATTTCGATGGTTGAGATGAGTGCGAATGAGCTCTGAACTGTGGGGTGCGAAAGCTGCTTTATTCCAGAGTTGTATGTAGGTTTTTATAGTAAACAGCGCCCCTAAGTAAAATATCGAACCTGAAATGAGAGTAGATGTCGAATGGGCGCCAAGCCTTAGCGATCAGAGAAGATAAGGAGGTAGGTGAGATGTCCATATGGGTTCCGAAGGTGATAAGGTAAAAGGTAATCAGTGATGTCGAAATCCCGAACGTTCGGGATCCGTCGCCCGAGTGTAGGTAGCAGGAACAGGCGTTGGAGAACCAATGAAAAATAAAGAAGAGGTATCGTACGACCAGGGTGGCCAAGCAATGGTGTAAGATCGTGTTTGACCGACCATGCGGAAGTCGGGACGATAAGCGATAAGGACCGACCGACTCACGGAGGACATCGGCCGATACGGAATACTGGCTCCGATCTCGTACACACCTATCGTAACCCTCCTGTGCGGTCATGGTAAGTACGTGAAGTGTGGGCGAACTGACCCAAGTGCTGCCGAATCGTCCTTCGGTGGCTTGTCGTCGGTCGGGTAGGGACCGACCGTGTTCGGTAAAAGTCGGCGACTTCGGTACTTGTCTAGCACTGTTCGGTATTTCCCCAAAGCTTCCCGAATCCCTCCCTCGGACCCTAGCGCGGGTGCATGCTCATCATCTCCTCCCTACTGAAATCCTGACTGTCCCCAGTCAGTGGTCGGCGGCTATGAGTCGGAGCAGGAAAAAAATTGGTGTGGAAAATGTGGTGGCGTGGCAAGTTACGTGGGAAAAGGATCGGCAATGAGCGGTGGCGTGGCAAGGAATGGGTGCGTGGGAGAGATGTGGCACAGGTGAATAATCGGCAAGGAGATGTCGTAGAAAGGACCGGGTCGGCGCGCAAGAGAGACCGGGGCTGAGTTGGCAAAGTCCTGTGGCGTGGTAACTGATTAGGTGAGGCAGTGGCTGAGACCTAGAGTGCCCCAACTAGACGCTGGCGTGAGAGTCGTGTCGGCAAAGAGCGGTGGCGCGTATCGCGGCTTCTGCCGAACGCAGCGGCACGGGGCTTTGTCAGGTGACCACAATCCTGATGATCGTTGATTCTCCAGCGACTAAGTCCCTCATCGCCTTCCTTCCTGCCTCTTCGTCTCTCATGTCGTCCCTTATCTCTGTCCTGAAGGCGAAACTCGCCGACTACATGCTCTCCCTCCTGGACGGCGCTGCCGAGTATGAGGATTACGAGGTCTGGGGGCAAGGGTTCGCCAAACGGGTGGTGAGTCAGTCCTTCCTCTCGTTTTCTGCTGGCTGCTGACGCCCGACAGGCTGTTTTCGACCGTTCGGCGCGTGGGCAAGACGTGCCCGAACTTGCCGACTTTATCGCTGAGGCCGAACGTGGTCTCGATTCGATGGCTACTGACGACTGGCTGGTATGGGGAGCGCGAATCCTGCCGCAGCGGGCGGCGCGCGTCGCGTTGCAGCAACAACAGGCGGCCGAGGAACAGGCACTAGTGGAGGAGAGGGAGCGTGTTGCCGTCGCCGAACAGGAGGCTGCCGAAGCTGAGGCGACGCGGGCTGCTGCGGCTCGGAAGTCGGCTGAAGTAGATCGTGAACGGCGCCGGGGGGTGCTGGTGGACGCGATGTTTGATGGCTCGCTCGATCCTGAAGAGGGTGAGCGTCAATTGGCTGAGCTCGAGGCCGAGTCCGTCTTCCCTCTCCCTCTCTTCCTTCTTTCTCCTTCTCCCTCCGCCGCCGCTTCCTCTTCTCATCCTGTCCCGTCCGCCGACTTATCCCATCCCGACCCGTCCGCCGACTCGTCCTATCCCGACCCGTCCGCCGACTCGTCCTATCCCGACCCGTCCGCCGACTCTGCGCTTGCATCCGCAACCGATGCCCTGGACCGAATGAGCGTGGGTCTGGTCGCCGCCGCTGCCCCGACCGACGTGAAGGGCAAACAGTCGGCTGCGGCTGTTGTCGTCGAGTTTGCTCACCAACGGACGCCACCTCTTGGACGCGTTGTCCTTCCTCTCGGCCCTGGGACGGGCCGAATGTCGACCGTTAGGTCCCCTGTGGAGCGGAATGGTGCCGGTAAAATGCTCGAAGATCCGCCAGAGTTGTTACCCGGTGATGTACTGGTGAGTTCCCTCCCTCTTGCCGCCGTTTCCTCTTGCTAACCGTCCTTCTTCTAGGCCGACTACGCTTGTCACCGCTGTACAACCGCCTTTCTGACCAAGGCGTTCCGTTGCTACCAGAGACCTGGGCTGGTTTCGTGCACTAAGTGTGCCAGGGAGTCGAAGGGGTGTAGTTTCCAGCCCGGGTGGATGCCGATGGAGAAGGCGAAGGGGAAGTCGAAGTCGAAGGGGAAGGGGAAGTCGAAGGAGCAGTCGGCGCCCAAGGCGGAGGAAAGGGAACGTCCCTTAAAGCGTCGTAAGGTAGAGGTGGTTGTCCCCGTGCGGTCAGTCGGGGATAGCATCGCCCAAACGAAAGGTAAGTCATTTTTCGGTTGGATTGGAGATGGGAGCTCATCGTTCGGTATTGTTCGGTGCAGCCGTTCGCACCCGAAAGCCGGTCCAGCGGCTTCCTACCACGGCTAGGGCCGTCCTCGCTCCTACCCGCCCTTCCCGTGCTCGTTCGGCTGCCTTCCCCGCTCCTTCCGACTCTTCTCGCCTCTCGCCCATCGTCGCCCAAGGCATCGCGTCTGAGCTTCGGTACCGCATCGCGGTGGCTGAGGGTACGCGTGCTTCGCTGGCGCGATCGGTCGCGATGTGGCAGGCTGAGCTAGAGTCGCTCGAGGTGCGGGCGGGTCCATCCACGTCCACCGACGTTGTCTTGGTCGAGGACTCGTCGGAGGCAGACGATTCGGGAAGGTCGGTGTCGGACGACTTTCTTCCCGATGAGTAGAATAGCTTCGAGGGTTCTGTCGTATAGTAAAAATGTATCATAAAAGTGAAGGGACTGTCCTGAGTTAACTGAGACGTTCGGTGAAGACTAGAGGCATTGTTTCGGAAGATCGGTCGGCGAAATGGCTGTGTGAATGTAGTTGTAAGCGAAGCGTTCGGCAGAAATGAAGAGAATAAATTGGAATATTAGGGGAAGCCTCAGTATGTCATCACAGGCATAAAACCCTATGGTTTTGCGCAAATCGGAAGAAGTCTTCAATGCGGCTTGGTACTTGAAGGAGTGACGGGGAAAATGAGTGCCGACTATTCGGTCGGCGATTGGTCGGCGGCAAAAATACTAAGAGATGCGGAAATAATCGGGTGTCAGTCCATGTCTGTGACGAATGAATCGGAATAAGGAATGGGTATATCTGTGCATCCTCCTCCCTACTGAAATCGTGACTGTCCCCAGTCACCGACCGAAGAGAGCGAAGGGTGGGAGGGTGGGTCTAGTCGGAAGTCGCCGAAGCCACATCGTCGTCTTCTGCTGATCGGATGGAGCTGGTGTCGGTATCCTCTTCGTCGGCATCGTCGTCTTCAGCGTCGTCGTCGTTCGATCTGGATTCTTCCATGGCCCGAAGGCGTGCTTGTGAGATGTCGAGGAGGGCTTCAAGGTCGGAGAGCTTCAGAGATCTGCGAGCAAAGTAAGGAATAATGCGGAATGCTGCCACTGGCCGATCAAAGACCGATCCGTCAAGTTCGGCCAGAATATACGCTCCTCCTTGGTTCCTAGAAATCACCAGCAAAGGTCCCAAGTACCGTGGTCGCATCTTCCGATTGAGCGCCTTTTCTATGGCTGTGTTGCGCATCAGGACAAGCGAGCCTCGGTGGAAATTGAAGTCGCGAAGGGTGGCCGAATGCTGTTGTTCGAATCGGATGGCGGCCTGGACACGGGCGCCGACAACTGAGCTGCGAAGGTGGGCGAGGTCCGATCGGCGTTTCTGCAGGGCTATGGCCCGTCGGGCGATGAGGTCGGTGGTGCTGAGGGTTGTGGTCGGTGGTGGCAGGAGGTAGGTGGCTTCGGCGATGTCGAGGGGGAGAAGGGGATGGGTTCCGGTCGCTGCGAAGTATGGCGAGCAACCCATTCGGCGCCGAACAGTAATACGATCAGCCCAGAATACGAAATGAGCTGCACGATTCCACTTGGCCTGATCTCCATCAACGGCTTTGAACAGAGCCTGCCGAACATCGAAGTGAGGTCGTTCGGCGATGCCGTTGGCGCGGGAATTGTAGCCCGAAATACGAATGTGCCGAACGTGGTACTTTTTCGCTAACTGGTCGAGCGCCTTGACGAACGCTGGTCCGTTGTCGGAGACGATCTCTACCAATGTTCCCCATCGGCACAGGATATCCTCGAAGATCCAGTCGGCGAGGGCTGAGCTTGTCTCGCGTCGCAGCATTCGGAATTCGGGGTAGTGTGATACCGAACAGCGGCCTTGAACGAGATACTTGAAACCGCCGGCGGTCGGCATGTGCATGGTATCCATATACATCTTCGCGAAGAGTGGTGCAGGCGTGGCGACGGTCGGGGGAATGAGGACGTTGCGAGTCTGGCAAATCTGGCAAAGGTGACATGTCCGAACAAACCACGAAATATCTTGCCTCATGTGCGGCCACCAGAAGCGTTCGGCGATCAAGGCGGTCGTGGCGTAGAATCCCTTGTGAGCAACGTCGTCGTGGGCGGCGGTGAGAATTGTGATCCGACTAGAAGGGGCTGCAACAATCTTGTGTCGACCGTGCGAGTCTTTTCTCCATAGCTTGTCGGCTGCGATAAAGAACTCAGTGCAATATCGTAGGAAGGTAGCATATTCGGAGTCGGAGAGAGAGGGGGGCCGAACCAATGTTCGGTGCCAGTCGCGGACCAACCATAGGCGTTCTTCGGCTTCCAACGCTTTTTGCGATCTTGGGATATCCGAATAGTCGATAGTCGGGCCTTTGTCGTCGGAGTCGGTATCGGTCGGGGGGTCGCCTATGAGTGAGGAGGTGAAGATGGCGGTGGTCGAAGTTGAGATGGAGGTGGGGAACGTGTTGTTGATCTGATGGAGGAAGCCGTAGAGATTGTCGATCCAGTCGTCAAAGTTGTCTTCGGGTTCGGGTCGATCGGCGGGTTGCGGTGGTCGTCGGGAGAGTCCATCGGGGCCGTGAGAGGTGCCGGGGACGTGGACAAGTGTGAAATGGAAGGTGAGGATGGAGACGATCCACCGATTGATGCTGGCGCTGGGTTCGAGATCCGGGTTAGTGAGCATGCCCTTGATGTAGCGTGCGTCTACTTCGACTATCAGATTCCGAACGCCGATGAGATACATTTTGAGCGATCGGAGGGCGCGAAAGAGACCGTAGAGCTCGAGCTTCGGCTGGGAGAATCGCGATTCGCGGTCGTTAAGGGTGATGGAGCCGAATCGAGCATAGTACCGAACCCGCGGACTGTCGAGTGCGCATTGACAGAGGTGGAAGCCGACCGCGATTTGTGAGGTATCGACGGCGAGGATGACGTTGGCTGCCGACCCATAGTCGATCGGCCGGAGGGCTGGCGATTCGAGCAGTGCCGACCGGAGGTCGTCTTGGGCTGCTATCTGGTCTGGACCGAACACGAATGGAAAATCTTTGCGCGTTAACATAGTCAGTGCATGCGCCCTGTGTGCAAAATTCCGAATGAAGATCCGAACGACACCGATCGTCCCCAAAAATGCCCGAACGTCCGAGAGATCCCTGCAAGGTCCCCACTTCATAATTGACTCTACCCTAGACTCGTCGGGTAATCTTCCTTCGTACGTGCACCGATGGCCGACTACCGTGATTTCGGCTGCGCAGAGTGTCGCCTTGTGTCCCGAAAAGGTCCCTCCGCTGTACTTCATCCGCTGGACCACCCGATTGAGGCCTTGAAAGTGCTCCCACACAAACCGTCGTATGCCGGGGTTGTCGGGATGCGTCTCGAAGCCTCCGTTCGGAAGTTCGTATCGGGTCGGTGGGCCCCGAATCGGGACATCGTCGATGAAAGGAATGGTGGTGTCTGGGATCTCTGGCTGGAGGATGTGGGTGACGTCGTCGTGGAAGATCGGGACCGAATTCGTCCATCCCATGGGTAGGGTGACGAGTCGGTGGGCACCGAACGGGGTCTGGAATGTGGTGAAGTCGCGAGATGATTCGGCGAGCCCTCGTTCGTCGTATCCAACATAGAGATCCAGAATGCCGCCGCAAGCGCGAGCTGCAAACTGTTCAGCGATCTGATCGGTATATGGGGGCACACCTGAATGCTGGATGGTGACGGCGTTCAGGGGTTCGAGGCTGTGAACGATTCGGAGTTTGGTGCCAGTGGAGGTGCTATTCGTCTTCTTGACGACTGTAAACCAGCGCGATCGGTAGGACGAATTCGACGGCTCATAGACTCCAGCGGCGATCTTGGTTTTGATAAGTCGGCACACTTCGTCGTAGATGCCTGGTGGAATCGGAATGTTGCGCTGAACCCAGGGCTTGTGCTCGACTACCGGCATATTGACTGGTGGGAAGAAGTCCTCGTGGAAACGTCCGTGTTCCGAATCGTCCCAGGCAAATCCCATCTCTTGTAGACACATGAAATGGTGCATGAGCTGTCGTTCGGCGGGCCAAAGGAAGTCGTCCGAGTGGACTTTGTCGATGAGGTCGCGCCGTTCGGCTGTGTATCTGCCGGTCGGCGTGAAGGGTGGGGGGTTCGGTGTCAGCGTCGGAAGGGTAGCGAGAGGGTCACCAAGGATGTTCCGAACGATTCGGAACTTTTCGGGGAGGTCGGCCAAGACTGGTCGTGTTTTCTGTGCAACCGGTTTGTACTTGCGCTTGGCGGCGAAGATGGCGACCGGGTCGGCGATATTAGTGGAATGGAAAGAACCGGGGACGACTGAGGAAAATAAGGACGACATATCGAAATTGAGATTGTTTTTGAGATGATTTTCGGGCCCCAAATCGGAGGCCATAATGTACTTGAGACAAAGATCGCGACGAGAGGGAGATGGAGAATGGAAATCTGAGGACGCTTCAATAAGTGGGAAATTGGGGGTATCATGATCGGTGGAAATGATCAGTGCAACTTCTCCTTGATCTCGGATCAATTCATCGAGTCGCGAAAACCCGCTTGTCTTCGGTGAAGGACTCGAGGGGGTCCTCGTCTAATCGTCGGAATGGTGGCTCGTCGTCCCGTGTTCGGGTCATTGATGGTGATCGTCTGGTCTTCGTTTGAATAATTCTTGACGATACTTTCGGTGAGGATGTCGAAGGGCCGACCGAGGAGAACGTCGTAGGCTGGGTTACGAATGATGTGGACTTGGAGGTACAAGGTGATATCACCGATGAGGAATGGGACGTTGCGTGCGAGGCCCAAGGATCGGTCGATTTCGCCATTCGCCGACTGCATATTGAGGACGATTTCAGGGTCGTAGATGAGTGCCAGTTCATTGCAAATGCCTTCCGACATGGCGATGACTTGTGAACCCGGATCGATGACGCATTCGACTTCCTGTTGGTGATCGACGAGGGGAACAATGGACCTTAGGGCTGAAGATTCTTTAGCGACTATCAATGGCTGAGGAACCTGACCGGGCTGTAGACTCTTCAGATATGTTTCGTACGTGTCGGGGATGATGATCGCGCCAGGTGGAGGTGTTTCCGGCTGGTGCAGGACATTGACGAAGGAGGAGACGGTCGGTCGAGTCGGTGGTTCGAGATCGTCGATGGCGTAGGGTAGATTGGCATCTTGGTAGAAGGTCCGAACATTGCTGGCGTCTTTGGTAGGTGATCGGCGTGCCGACGTGGCTTCCCTGACCTGCGAACGGACTTCGGCGGAGAGGGAGAGTAGTTCGCGCTGGGTAAGCGTCACCTGAGTGGCCATCGCCCTGTTGTAGACCTCGGCTGCTACCTTCTCGTCGTAGATCGGCGCCGTGGTTTTGTAGGCCGGAGCGTCCTTCTTTGCCGATGGTATCTTTGCCGGGGCCCCTATGTTGCGTTCGTGCGGTGGTGCATAGGTGGCGTCCTGGGCTTTGGCGTATGGGTGGATCGGAGCATCGTCCTTGGCTGGTACCGGGGGCGGTCGCTGAGTCGGGGTGGTTGGTCGGGGTTCGGGTTCGGGAGTTTCGGTCCTCGCTCGTCGTTCGGGAGCCGGTGACGAGGTAGGCGCCGAACGTCCTGTCTGCGCCATTTCGCGTGCCCTTGCGCCCCGTGTTCGGAGCGCGAATAGTTCGCGTTCGAGGCTCGCAATTCGCTGGACGTCGGTGAGTTGGTAAGTTGGGGTGACATCCAGCAATGAGGGTGAATCGTGACGGGAGGCTATCGTCATCGGGTGAGTCGGCGCCACGTTTACCGTAAACATCATCTGTCCGGTCGCCAACTGGCCTGGATTCCTGCGATGCCATTCGTCAACTCGGTCCTTCAGATTACTACCCGTGATTTCTCTGGGTACGAATGCCCCACTTGACAATACAACCTTCCCCTCGATATTCCTCTTGCATTTGCCGATCCGAATGTATTCATTGACCTCGGGACAGGCGCGCATGAAGTGTTCGGGACTGCCGCAGAACATGCAGTTATCGCCGCCTTGTCCTGGTTGTCGGGATGGTCGATCGGCTGGCCTGGACGTCCCCTGAGCTGCAATGGCTTTGACGAAGGTGTCGGTGAGCCGTTCGAACATGGTCGCCAGGTCTTCGGCCTTGATCGTGTTGGTGGGCGGCGCAGCGGGGGCTGCTCGAGAGATGTCGGTGGACGTAGTGCTGTAGGCGGATGTGGTGCCGTGCAAGACGAATCGGGCCGCGTCGTGGATGTCCTGGAGGTTGTACGGGTCGTCTGGGAAATGATCGGGGAACTTGAGTTGTAGACGTTGAGAGATTCTTGCCCATAGCTCTGGTTGGAATCCTCTAGCGAAGGCGCGTCCCTGTTCGGCGACCGAGATTCGTGCCTTGCTGAGGAGGAATACCGTGATCGCCAGGAATCGCCGATGATAGTCGCCGAGTTTGCTGAGAGACAAGATGCCGACCCTGCTCGTTTCGCCGACTAGCTTGTCCATATCTGATACCGACCATTTGCGCTCTTCCTCCGATCCGGGGTATAGTCTGTAGACCTCTTCGCAGAACTCCTTGAATGTCTTCGTGGCGTCGGTGAAAGTGGTGAGCGATTCCCAAAGCTCACAGGTGTCGACGTCCAGGAATCGGCAAGCGTGTTTCTTCCTTTCCTGCTCGTCTTCTACCGCAGACCGAACGAAGTGGAAGTCCAGATCGGCGAAATATCGTCTCAATTTGCGGGGTTGATGGGGGTCAAAGGTCGGAGCCGTTCGATCTCCACGAGCGGGCATGGATGGGGTTGCCATAGTGAGAAAGTCAAAGGTGGGGGAGAAGGTATTGTTTGCTAAGGTGATCGGGGATGGAGTCGCTGGTTCGAAGGAGCGTTCTAGCGAAGTCGGTCGGATGGTCGGCGTCCAGAAGACGGGGCTGCGTGGGATTAACGGAGAGATGGAGTCGTGGAGAGATGGGATAGGAGACGGGGGTGATTGTTCTAAGAGCGCAAGGTCGAGGATGGGGGAAATCGGCGGGAGTAGCGATCGGTTCGGCGACGAAGGTGGGGTTAAGAAGAAAGTGGAGTCGGGTGGTGGCGAGAGCGATGGCGAGGATTCAAGATCAAGATAGTGATGGTGGGATAGATGCTCCGGGACTATATCGGCGTCTCCGAACAAACTTCGGTCGGCAGATGTTTCCTGAGTATTGAAGCTGTCGATAATTGTTTGTCGTTCTTCGCGCTCCGCTGTTGGTCGGGACGAGCGACGTAGATTCCTTGAGGTAATTTTGAATACTAACCCCTCGCGGTGGGCTCCAAAATGATACGCTAGAGGTGGCTCTAAGTGCCGAGCACAACACTAAAACAACCTCTAATGCAGGGGTGCTGGAGCTAGTCTCTGTTACACAAGGAATCGTTAGTGATGACTTTAGAAATCGACGGCGCACTTGAGAAGCAGCGAGGAGTGGAGATTATAGCGCCCGAACGGTTTCGGGACTGCACCGAACACCGACCGAACGTTCGGTCGGTCGTGTCGGCGATTCGGTCGGTAACGAGGAGGTAGTGTCGCGACCGACAACTACGTGCTTCAAGAGCCACACGGGACTCTGACAATATACGAGGAAGGACGAGGGGTACGAGCGAAGAGACGAGTACGAACGCGAACAAGGCCGAACGACGAAGATGACAAGTTTTCGGGAGTCGATGAAGACGATTTCGATGGTTGAGATGAGTGCGAATGAGCTCTGAACTGTGGGGTGCGAAAGCTGCTTTATTCCAGAGTTGTATGTAGGTTTTTATAGTAAACAGCGCCCCTAAGTAAAATATCGAACCTGAAATGAGAGTAGATGTCGAATGGGCGCCAAGCCTTAGCGATCAGAGAAGATAAGGAGGTAGGTGAGATGTCCATATGGGTTCCGAAGGTGATAAGGTAAAAGGTAATCAGTGATGTCGAAATCCCGAACGTTCGGGATCCGTCGCCCGAGTGTAGGTAGCAGGAACAGGCGTTGGAGAACCAATGAAAAATAAAGAAGAGGTATCGTACGACCAGGGTGGCCAAGCAATGGTGTAAGATCGTGTTTGACCGACCATGCGGAAGTCGGGACGATAAGCGATAAGGACCGACCGACTCACGGAGGACATCGGCCGATACGGAATACTGGCTCCGATCTCGTACACACCTATCGTAACCCTCCTGTGCGGTCATGGTAAGTACGTGAAGTGTGGGCGAACTGACCCAAGTGCTGCCGAATCGTCCTTCGGTGGCTTGTCGTCGGTCGGGTAGGGACCGACCGTGTTCGGTAAAAGTCGGCGACTTCGGTACTTGTCTAGCACTGTTCGGTATTTCCCCAAAGCTTCCCGAATCCCTCCCTCGGACCCTAGCGCGGGTGCATGCTCATCACCGTCTTCTTCGTTCCATTCCTGTAGGCCTTTCTTCATGCTTCTTGGGCCTAGCTCCTGGACCTTGGCTAAGGTTTCGAGTAGCCACTTGTCCTTCTGGTTTGCTGCTATGATTCGATTCTTGAGGTCTTCGTCAATAATCGTGACGCCTCCTCGTCCTGTGGCTCTGATGTGCCATATCTCGTGGGGGTCCAGTTCGTCCTCTGTGGTGAGTGCGTTGACGTCTGCGAAAGGTCTTCTGCTCTTCTCCGGTGTTTGATTGAAAAGTT